GGGGGGGGCCAACATCTTTCTGATACGGGCAATTTCCTTATCAACAAAAGCATCCTGTGTAGATTTTTTTTAAAATAAAAAAAAGTCAGTAAATATGAAGTATATAAAAAATACTAATTTCTGGAATTTTTTTCAAATATACCCCCCCCCCCCCCCACTGTCCTCCTCTAACTCCTTAACTCTAATCATTGTGTAGCACGTAGGAACAAAAAAAATCTATGTAGTACACACATACCATAGTCCATGAGGCATCGGCGTGGCAAATGTTAACAACAAAGTTCTTCAAGACAGCCTGGCCATCGTCGGTGTGAGTAACTTCGGGGTGGAACTGGATACCTATAAAAATGAGATATTAGGAACAATCATTGCGTCTACATGCAGAAGATTACGCGTACCGAAGAAAGGCTTTGACTCGTGAGCAACTGCGGCAAAGGGAGCGGTGTTGGTCTTGGAAATAACCAAGAAGCCAGGAGCAGCTTGTGTGACCTGATCGCCGTGACTCATCCAGACCTAGATATTTTAAAATACACAGACAATGCAAGAAATATACCAAGAAGGGTATTTTAGATAACACATACACATATACATACACATATAAGTATATAACTTGAACATAATTGTCCCACTTGCGAGAATACTATGTTTTTCGGTAGGGTATAAAAAACTTTAATCGAATATACCTTCAATTCGTCACCAAGACCCTCGAAGAGCTTGTCAGCAAGAGGGAAGTTGGGGTGCTTAATGACATTAAGCATGGCGTGGCCGTACTCACGGTGATCGCAGGCTTCAACCTTGCCACCCATATGGTTGGTCATTTCCTGGAGACCGTAGCAGATACCGAGAATAGGGACACCCGACTCAAAGACAGCGGGGTCAACACGGGGAGCATCGGTATCGTAGACAGAGTAAGGAGAGCCTGACAAGATGATACCCTTGGGCTTGAAGTGAAGTTCAGACATCTTCTGGGTGCAGGGCAAGAGCTCGCAGTAGACACCCATCTCACGGACACGACGGGTAATCAAGTGGGAGTACTGGGATCCAAAGTCCAGAATAAGGACAGTGTCGAACATCTCGTTCACCTGAGGGAGTTGTGCTTCAGCCATGGTTTTCAAATTGGAAGTAAGGATAAAGAGAAAGCAAAAGACTTCAAACCAGAAACGTAAAGGTAAAAAACATGCTTGGAAAATTGGAAAAAAAATAGAAGCAGTCACATATGCAGCCACAGACTCACTTTTTTTTTGGAACCTGAATGAGCGGTGTCCAATCAGAGTACGGGTCTGTGATTTATTGGGCGGTTGATCAGGTAACTTACTGTTTTGTGGTCTAATTTCCCTTCTCGGCCAAACGCTGTGCAATTACCAGCGGACTTTAATAAATAAAGAAGTTAAACTTAATAAAGATCATAATAATATTTATACTAATAAATATTCGGTCGGTTGGACAGAACAAGGCAACATAGAACAGATGAATATATTTATATGTCCTAGTCAGTTAATGACTTGGTGATTTATTTTGACCAAGTTTGTCTTATTCACGGCCATAGTAATGACAAAGTCTTTACCTATTTTTTTTCTTTGATCTAAACACAAAGCCCAATTCGTTCACTTCTTGCCCCGTCTTGTCTTTTCTTCAAATTGGAACTGTCGACAAAGTTTGTGCTCTGTATAAATATTGTAGTAATGTCTAATAACACTTACAAGTTACTGTGTCTATTACATGAGAAGGGTTTAAAGACTGGGGAATTAATGTTACTGGAATTCCGTTTTTATAACCCGGTTTGTAGGCTTGGTATTTTTTTTTATGGTTTGCGTTAGTACATCCTGATATCCACAATTATCGAAATGTTTCAGCATACTTTTATATTTCTCGCCCCTTCCCTTCTTCTTTTTCTCGTAAAGTACTTGTGCTAGTGCATCTTTTAATGTGTTATTTGTTTCTAATAATGTCCCCTATAGTGTTCGACTGTTTTACTTGGTCTAGACAAATGAAAAGCAGCTCAGCCAATTAATTTTTTTTGCTTGTTCTTAGCCATTAAAAAACGTGCTTGGAACAATTGATAACTGCTTTTACTATTAGTATGAAAGTAAGGGAAGTTTGAATATGTATTGATAAAATAATCAAAAGCAAGACCAGATGACTACTGCAAGTATATTATATTATATTATCTATTCAATCGTCAATACAAGAAACAACGGATAAAATTCGATCAATCAGAGGTGCTGATTTTTTTTTATCTTTTAAATGTTGGTGCAATTTTTATTATAATTATCGATTTGATATATCTAGACCAACTGCACAAGATTTTGCCTGGGATCTGTTCAAAAATATATAGATATATATATTGTGGATTCCCTTTCTCTTTTAATACTTGAAACGAGGTTTGGATATAAGCAGGTTTGAAATGGTAAATGTAAACAATTGTTTCTCACGCTACCTTTTTTTTCGTGTCTATTTGTTTTGTTTTATAAAATTCGAATATCATTTAATCATGTCACAAAATCATGATTAAATAAAGAAGGTTGTCATTTCCTACAAACTCGCACAGTTAAAAATAGGGGGTGGCCACTCCTACAGATGTATCATTCGTCTATTTTGATCACTGAGCACTTTATCAATCGTCTTTTGAAAATGCAATAGTGTTAAGAAAATAATAGTTGTTGAAAGGGCCAATTGAACCCTATTAGAAGGTGTCAAACAATACGGCACTCGACCTTATTTGTGTTCCTCTTCTGCATCGGAAAAAAACCCATAATCAGTAAAGTCGCTATTGTTTCCCAGCCTTACTCAACCATATGTGACAGAAACTACAAAATATAGTTTAGAGGTTTGAAGTGTACCTGATTATCTTTTAATGAGAATACAGTTAGATTGTTCTGATGACTAGATTGCACAACACATTGATCTAATGCTGGCTATCACCTGGTATTTTCCCGAAAAATGAAAACATAAATTTGATCGCATTGATGGTGATCTTACTATCTCTTTTGGGTGCAATTGGATCAGATTAATAATTTAATGCCCTTTTTTTGATTTGCAGTATCATTATATAGCAACATAAGCTTTAATTGTTTAAAAGTGGTTTGTATAACTGCCTCTAATATGTATATTCCATAGAGGAACTTGAAAGGCGGATAAAAAGGCAAAATCAAAAAAAATACTACATATAATGATTACAAGCGACAAAACAAAATAGAGGCAGATAATAGTCTGACTAGTAAAAGAACTTTGCATTGAGATTCATACTGCCCAAAGATGGTGGTAAGGATACAAAGAAATGAGATAAACTCCATATAAAGCATCAGAGAAGAAGGCCAAGAGTAATAGATAGCTCCTTTAAATTTGGACACAATGAATAAGCGTGAAAATCAAGCTACAAAAGTGCTGGTTGTAGAAAAGCTAGTAATAGAGTGTGTTGATATTAATCAGGATGATGCGAAAGATAATACCACATTTGCATCAAAAGGTACAATAGCTACATACTTTATCACTTTGCTAATCATTCAAAACGATAAAAGTCAATATTTACCATTCTCAATCTATTGTGGACTTGAATTACTTTATTGAACAATCAAAAGAAAAAATACCCTGCTAAAACGCAAAATTTTGATCAACATGAAATTCTTTATATTCAACTTTGAATTTTTTTTTTCTTCTTCTTCTTCTTCTTGGTCGTACAATTTTTTATTTTATTTCAAATTCCAATTTTTTTGTGTATTTTTCAAACGCGAAACACTGTATCGGGCATCCAACCAAAAATAAGAAGAAAATAAAAAAAATAAGGTACAAAAGAACAGGCATATACTTTTTGTGCGTCTGTGTGCCAGTGTGCCAGTGTATGTGTGTGTGTGCGTGTGCGTGTGCGTGCGTGTGAGTGTGTGAATGTGTGTGTGTAGTGCTTGTAAATCATAATCATTTTGCTTCTGCCTTTTTCCTTACTTTTATTTTTTTATTTTTTTTTATTAATAGATTCTCCTGAAGGCTTCTTCAAGCCATTCTTTCAATATTATTTTGTACACCAACCTATATATCTGCATACACGCACATAACATATACCTTTTTGAATTATTGAGAACTAGATTCCTTCATGACTAAAGGTTAACAATTCTTTTCTTCTTATTCTTCTTATCCACACACACACACACATATATATATATATATATCTATTATATGTATATGTATATGTATATATGTTTATTATTCAAGAAGTTGTAGGGATCTAACAAAAACTAAAAAATAATTAAAAATAAATTTGGTTACAAGTTGTATTTCGATACAACCTAACTAACCCTGCTTGTTTCATGAATTTGGTAGATTATCGTTATGTGGGCCACCGGGCTGCGCATGCCATTATAGCCGAGATTGGACCTTACCGTGTATCATCGGATGCACTACAGGCCATCAACCAGTTCATTGACGAACTTGTTCTTCAACTTCTCTCTACTTCTCTTTCACTCGACCTATCCAGAATTAAGCTCGCCTTGTTCTCTATTATACCATCTTCTCTCGGAAAAAATGCGATTGTGGAAGCCGAATTAGAAGTCAAGACATTTACTGAAACTGAACCAATTGATTATGAAGCATATGAGCGAATGAGACTCTTGGGCGTCGATAGTCCTTTCCCAATGGACCGCATCATTCCTCTTGTTCGTTATAGCTGCTTAGATTACTGCACATTAGCCGATAAAGATGAAGACGAAAACGAAAAGTCGAATTCTCAGCCCAAAGACGACATCATCTCCCCCATCTTGGTGATCTATCTTACGACTATAATTGAACATGTAGCCGAGTATCTATTAACCACAATTGGACGTATGGCCGAAAATCAGGCAACGGATAATATTAGAGTAAAGGAAGTGTTTTGGGCTTTATCGGATGATAGCCAAGTAGGCGAATTATTTCATCGATTTGCCTTGCGCGAACATTTAGAGGTAAGAATATACAATACGAATTTACATGCAAATTACTTGACCCACCAAGTCGGTGTAGAGTTGAATGACCTGATATATTTAAACGCATCTACACACCAAATACATATTCATATGCGCTTGTATGTTTCATAATACGTTAGAAACGGGCAACTGCATTTGGATACAATCCATCGCACCCATCATTGTCATCGTCTTCCTCGCAGGCCAGACCATCAAGTATGATGCACCGAATATCTATGCGTCAATCCAGTAAGAAGATCATATTTCTGTAGAATGTGCATATCTATGATTTGAGTACTTTTCACTTATTTATTTATATATAAATATATGCACAAATTATAAATTTTAATATATGTAATATGTAATATATACATTAAAAGTCTAATATTTCATTTTCATTGTTACAGCCATGACACCGCCAATCGATGTGTCGCCAGCTGAACCTTTAGTGTATGACGAAGAGGACCCACCAGTGCTGTCACCCCGGATACCTCCCCGACGCCCACCCTCAGTACTAAGTAATCACACAAACATTAGTTTAAATAGTAAAAAGAGTTTTAAACTTTTCACAAAAGAGGATCCTCCTCGGCCTTTACTTGGAGTAGAAGGAATCCCACCCAGGTCTCGATCCACAATCATATCGGTTTACGATCCAGACATTCCTGTAGTTGACTTTGAAGACTTGATCCGTTCTGGAAACACCATGCGGGTATCCCTTACTCCAAATCGCCTCAAATCTATAGAAGTGCACGGCTCATTCAATTCCAAAGATTATGATAACAGTCACGACGACGACGAAGAGGAAGGGGAAGAAGACGATCATCCTTGGATGCGACGCTCAGAGTCATATTCTGAGAGTGCACGTTCCACCGCTAGCACCGCATCTTCGGTACCTCCGGTCCCTACCCTCAGTACTCCAAACGAACGCCGTCGTAAGGTTCCGATCGAAAAGGCTCGTGTATCACGCCCTTTACCTCTACAGACATCACCAATTCCACCTTCACCCGCTATCCCTGCTGCGTACAAACAGTTTGAAAATCCACGCAGTGCACCAAAACCACCTTCTAGACCAAGTAGGCTGAGTCAAAGATCATCTACTACCGAACTAGGATCAAGGTCTAAGCCAATCGAATCAATGCCTTCCCCCACGAGGTCTAAATCACGACCTGTGTCAACAGCAACTGGCAATCATTCTTCGCGCTTTGCAAGGCTCGAAAGACGGAGTGAAGAGAGCCCAAGACATGCATCACAGGCAGCTGAACAAAGAAGAAAGACATTGGAGGAGGCCAAACGGTTAGAAAGACCCTCAAGCATGGCATCGAAGCGACAGTCAATGGCTCGCCCTACCTCTTTGGGATTTATGGATCTTGCCTCTAAACGCCTGTCGACAGCTGGGTCTGTTGAGCCCAATGTTTTGGTCAGCCATCGTCCGTTAACAATCAGTAGTAGCAGTAGCAATAGCATTAACAGCAGCCACAGTAATCCTGAACAACAACAATATCATCAATCCAATATCCATTCTGCAGAAGACACAGCTGGACCACTATCCAGTCGTGACCGTGTCCTCTTTCTCCTTAAATCCAGACAATCTACTACTGGTTCTGCTTCAACATCAACAAGTATCACCAAGGACTTGCAGGCCATGGCCCTCAATTCCAAATCACCTACTAGTCCTACTATTCCCTCTGACATCCTCTCACATCGATCTTAAAATACCTTAGTCCGCTCCCCCCTCCCCTTATCCAACCCCCGTATATCTTCCTTCATCTTTTACTTTTCTATTTATTTATTTTACACATATGTATATTCTATGCGATAGATTCCATATTTCACGTGTATTTTCTTATCCCTCTTTTTCTTTTTCAATACCATGTATACATATATAACTCAAATAATAGCAACAGCAACAACAAAAATAATAACAAACCAAACAATCCAAAGGGTAATAATGATGACGAGAAAAGAAGGAGAGAGAGATGCACACAATGAATGAACGAAGGAAAGAAAAGGATTAAATTAAAAAAAAATTAAGCAAGGGCTCGCTTCAGTTTATCCATAATCAGTGGTGTATCTTGAGCAGACACTTTTGACGCAACTGTGGCTTCCAATGCACTCCAGAAGTCAGGGCTATCAATTGCTTGTTCAGTAGCTAAAGAAACACCAAAGCGACCAGTTATAGGTACATCTTCCACAACAGCCTTTGGTGCAGCGGATAACATCAAATGTATGATTGTCTCATTAGCAACATTGTAGTCGCTGAGCTTCTTGTTGTCAGCCAATACTTTTCCACGAATCAAGAGGCGCTGTCGACCAACTGGATACGCGCTTTGCTGCTGGTAAATGCGCTTTTTGAGAGTAGAAATGGTGTCATCAGGTGATAGTCGAGCAATGATAAATTGAGAAGCTGGCTTGACAATCTTGATGGTAACTTGTATGGTTTCTTCACGGGTTTCGTCTGCAGTGGTCTTGGCCACCTTGGGTTCTGTGGAATTAGAAAGAGTGAGATAATGAGAATAGATGGAAGAAATGAAGGAATGAAGAGAGGAAGTAAGGATTGTAATGTGGCCTTACCGGGTTCAATCTTTGGTGAATTATCAGGTTTTCTCTAGAATGAACAAATGAGTTTATTTTTGTTATGTTTTTAAATATATATTTTTCTAATTGTAAATGGTTTAAGCACAATGCTTTTCAATCTGTTTCTCTTTCTTTATTGCTTTAATTCTTCTTATTCTTCTTCTTGTTTATTACCTTGAGTCTTAAATGAAGGATAGCACGAGGGTTAAAGTCCTCTCCAAAACGGACAGACCTTGATGAAAGAGCACCAAGATAATTTTGAATAAACTGAGATTCCTCGACCATGACAAATATTAAAAGAAGTGCAGTTGAATTTGTATTACACGTCCAATACTTTCTCTTTTTTTTTGGGCTTGCATTTATCTCTCAGAACCCAAAATCCGCCCTGGCTTGATACTTTGTGCCAAGTCACGTGATTATTTTTATAAACTGCTTGGCTGGTTAAAGGGGAAAGAAATAAAATAAAATGTATACAAGAAAAAAGGTAGGTAGATTTAACTTGTAAAATATGAGTTTATACATCTGGATGAACTAAGGTTTATGATTCCCTTTAGCACAAGCAAAGTTTTATCTTTTGAGCAAACAATAATTTTCCTTAATTTGTGTGCCTAAAGAAAAACTCTCTAGAGTTGTAAAAAGCATTAGCATATCATTGTATTGTATTGCATGTGAGTCGTTTCTCTCGTAAAATAAATCTTCACCTTATTGGACTTTCAATTTACACTTAGCAATTAGCTTGATGTTATTCTCACAAGCCATGCTACGTAAATAAATTATTGAGAGGCCCATTAAATGATTATGTCTTTAAAACTTAGAAACTAAAGCTAATTGTTCATACTGAATATACACAATCTTAGACATGTAGAGCTGGTAGTTCATAATACTGTAGCTGACGTCTTTACATAACCAAATCAAGAAATCTTGTGTGACCAAAAAAGCAGAAGAAGTAGAAGATCTCTAAACGTGCGCGATATGACTTTTTATATCAAACAAAGATACCTGCTTTTATATATTTGTATATTCTTATCCATACTCTATTTTTTGTTCAAAGAAGAAGAAAAAAAGAGAATTCAAATTATATTTATATATTTTTCACTGCATGTGTAGTCGTGTCTCTCTCTGTGCGTGTGTGTGTGCGGCTTTAAAATTTGCTGAGAATGACTTGGCTTTTTTTGGAAAAAAAAGAGTGCACACCCCTTTTGCTCTGCTTTGGCTTGTCTATTTCTTACTATATTCACTCCTTTCTCATTTACAATGAATTCACTTATTCTGCCAGCCATCTACCTTGGCGGCTGTATTGCTGCCATGAGCGGCTTCTCTTATCTTTACCGCCGCGCCACTAGTAAGAAACAATGCTCATCATCCATCTCCCTTTAATTATCTTTCTTTTTCTTTCTTTCTTTTGACGTACGCGTACATGTAAAATTATCGGTTTCCATAGTTTTTGTTTTGTTTTTTGTTTGTTTGTCTGTTTGTCTTTCTTGGTTCTTATTATTATAAATATTTTCATCTTCAATAAGATTTCCAGCCCATTGAGCCTTGGTTTCCCGAAAATGTCGAAAAAGAACAATACATTCAATTGTTGAATTGCGAAACTCCTGTACCTGAGCATCATTTGAAAGCAGCCCTGTTACGCCGTGCTATGGAAGCCGTCAGACGACTTGTTCAGGTCCAACAAGAAAAGCCAGCTTTGCAACAATTGATGCGTACCGGCAGCATTGGCGATGATCTCTGGCGCGACTTTGGTGTAGCTGAACAAGACATTATGGCCGAGCTGCAGGAAGTTGTTGGCGAAGCGAACACCTACAAAGAAAACTGGGGCCAGACCATCTTTTCTACTGCTGCACAGATGCTAGAGCATGAAAAACAAAAGGCCATGCTTGTTGAGATGAAAGAGCTCAAGGAGGTAGAGGATAAGAAGCGAAAAGCAATGGAGAAGGATCTTGAACGGGACGCTAAGCGTGCAGAGGAGGAATTGTTGAGAGAGGAAGAGGAAGAGAAGAAGAAGGCTAAGGCAAAGAAATAGTAAGAGCAAGAATACGATTAATAATAACAATAATAGAAAATAACAATAACAAACATAAAAAAATAAAAAGAAAACCGCTACAACATATCCATTATTATCACAATCATCGACATCTCCTTTTATTCTTGCTTCCAACTTGAAAGAAAACTATATGGTGGTCTCGAAGCTGTGGATTGTATCTTGCATTCTGCTTTTCTTTTTCTAGCAAAAGGGATTCATATATATATTTATATTTCTGTGTGCGTGTGTAGTCCCTGAAAGAAGTGTTTTCTAGTAAACAAGTCGGCTGAACTGATTTGGCAAGATTTCATTGGCAGCTAATTGTCAAGGTAGCTTAACTTGAATTAACCTGCAGTCGATTTAATACAATTTAACACACTTAATTACAATACTTTTAAAAAAAATTAAAGTATTTTGTTCAAGACATATAATTATGAATGAATTTTTCGGGTTTGTTTTAATAAGATAAGAAGAAGAAGGTGTGGTAAATACAGTGTTGATATAGGCTATATACTCTCTATAAAAAATATGAATACATATATGTATATAAATTACTATTGTGCTTATACAGTATAATAAGAAAAAAAAATGGAAAGCACGCAGGTGCAACGTACAAATTCAAAAAAATAGAAAGGGATGAATGATAGCATTTGATATACACAAAAAAGGAAGAAACAATAAGGTTAAATGAAAAGCCAAAGGTACAAAAGAAAATGGAATGAATAGATCAAGTCAAATGAGTAATAATAGTACTAATAGTAATAATTGAAATAAAGGTCAGAATAAGTTAGTTAACGAAGATCATCATCTCGATCACTTCCACCAATGTCGATTTCTTCGTCTTCATCATCTTCAGGTGCTGGTGTTGGTGTAGAAGTAACAGACTGGGTAGGAGGAGGTTGAGCCAAAGAGCAATGTTCGACCACGCAGTTTGCAATTTCTTCCTCCTCTTCCTCCTCCTCTTCCTCGTCTTCAACTTCTCGGCTTCTTTGTTCTACTCTTCCTCCTACTTCCTCTTCTTCTTCCTCGTCTTCTCTTTCTCCTTCATTATCTTCCTCGTCCTCCTCATCTTCCTCCACAATCTCTTCCGCAGGTCTGGGTCTTCGCACCTTCTTACCACCTCGCTTAAAATTGTTGCTTTGTCCACCATTATTTAATCGCGGAAGAAGAGCTCCACTCCAAGACGCTGATTTCTTGAGCATAGATGGCATAATCTTTCCGCCTGTACCGCCAGACCATTTGCCTCCAGAGGCACCCGGTCGTCTTCTTCCATTACTACTGTACACCAATCCACCACCATCTTCATTGCGCCGCCTTTGTAATTGATATTGGAATTGTTGTGATGCCGATGATACTGATGATGGTGATACTGGTGATATTGGTGCTGATGGCGATGATGCTGCAACTGAAGCAGATGGTATTGCTGATCCTGATCCAGCTACTACTGATGGTAGAGACGATGAAGCTGAGGAAGACAGAGATTTGCTGTGTCGACTGGGTTTTGTAGGATCGCGTGGGGCACGTAAATGAAGTGCTCGTCGACTTGGAAATGTCCGGAAAGGCTGGACAATAGGACTACTGGCTCGACTCAGTAGTTCTTCTAAATCCATCGAAGAGCCATTTTCCATGGCATCCATTGCCGCATCCCTCATTTTCTTCATCCGTTTTCGAACTTCCTCTACATCCATGTCTGTGTCTGTGTCCTGGTCAGATTCTGCAGCTTGCTCAGTACCTTCTTCTTTAACTGCCGGTAGTGGCGGTGGAGATTTGGACCGTCCGTCAACGATCACAATTGAGCCTCCAGAGTCATCGAATGATCCCAACAAAGGTGCCTTGAGAGTCATGTCAGAGTTGCTTTTCAAGGTCTTGTTCGGTGGAGTGAGCATCAATTGCTGAAGCTGAGCTGAAGATGCCCGTCTGTGAGTTGGGCGTGCTAAAGACATGAAATGATCGTTCGGTCGGTGCTGTGATTGTTGTAACTGTTGCGATTGCGATTGCTGCTGCTGTTGTTGTTGTTGTGGTAGTTGTTGTTGTTGTGGCTGTTGTGGCTGTTGAGATTGATGCTGCTGCTGCTGTTGTTGTTGCTGTTGATAATGTGGTTGACGCTGATGTGGTTGATGCGATTGTTGTGAAGAATGAAGGTGCTGATGGCTCGAAATGTTTGAATGCTGAGTAAGATGCTGTAGATTATGATGATGCTGTAAGTTGTGATGATGTTGATGAGGAGGATATTGGTGGTGGTGGTGGTGGTGATGTTGATGATGATCTGAAGGGGATCCAGGTGATCTGAGGCCTGCCATAGCCAACCTTGATAATCTTTCATCTCGGGGTTTTCGGGAGATAGCCGCCATGGAAAGTGGTAAAGGCATTGGAAACAGGGTTTCAATCGTGGGTAATAAGAATGGACCTAATCGGTTCTGGATCGAGCATGTTACTGCAAGTTCTTGAGCTCGTCTCAGAGGAATCCAGGTACCATACAATGCACTATCTTTATTTGGAACACGCTTGCGGTCTATTTCAAAGCTCAAAATCATGCTTCTTTCACGCTCGGTCTCGATTCCGCCAGCGGTTAGGAGTGCCGATCCGTTGATAAACTGACTATCCAGTCGACGCATAATTCTGTGTTCGGTATTAGTATCAGGGTTGGTCAAGACAGCCACGCACACCACTGCATTCTCAATAAGGGTTATGTACATCGGAGGATTGGTAGGTGTGAGTGTGCGAACGATTTCCTGAAAGCCGCGAGAAGTTCCGGACCCTGGAGTACTAACAGGTGAATGCGAGGGCAGTCCAGGGTTCAGAATCATGCCATTGTTGATGTTTGCATTATTGACATTCGAAATTCCGTTTGGATGAGCCACGGAAGTAACCGAGCCGGGAGCTGTCACAGCAGCCGCACCCAAAGAATTGTTAATATTAATATTGTTTGAGTTGACATTGGTGTTGGTGTTGGTGTTGGCTTTGGTGTTGCTGTTGCTGTTGCTGTTGTTACTATTGTTATTAGTAGTGTTGCTGTTGTTATTGTTGTTACTGTTATTGTTAATGTTGATGTTGGCGGCAGCGGCAGCGGCAGCATTTGCGGCATTAGCAGCAGCAGCAGCAGCATTTGCGGCAGCCATCAAAGTATCTTTCTTGATCAATGCCTCCAAAGCTGGAAATCGAGCGAGGGCTGATTTGAGATCAAATGCGAGCGACGGGGCAGAGGAAGGTTTGGGCATAGTCTGCATATAGGCTGCCAATGAGCGAGCTAGATCAAAAGTTGGCGTGAGATGAGCTAAACCTGGGATGGCAGTTGTCATTTGGTGTAAAGCAGACAGGTTGAGACTTTGTATATTCATGGATTTGAGTAAGTCAGCCGCTGAAAGAGGTTGACCATTAGGACCCACAGGCATAACCGGTTTCAATTGAGTCGGCTGTAAGACAACCTTGGTATCTTCTGATGTCGACGCCGAGGGTGATTCTGATGAGGAGTTGAAGGCTTGGTGTGGTTGTGTAGATTGTTGTCGTAATCGTGCTTGTGCTTGTGCTTGAGCATGGGCCTGGGCTTGAGCTTGAGCCTGAGCCTGTGCTTGAGCTTGAGCTTGAGCCTGAGCCTGTGCATGTGCTTGAGCCTGTGCTTGAGCTTGGGCCTGAGCTTGGGCCTGAGCCTGAGCCTGTGCTTGAGCTTGAGCCTGTGCTTGAGCCTGTGCTTGAGCTTGTGCTTTTACCCGCGCTTCAATCTCTGCCTTTGCCTGTGCTGCCTCTTCTTCTTCATCTTCTTCAAACCGTACAAAATCATCATCTGACATTTCCTGAGAAGACATTTCTACCTGTTCCTTCTTGATTTCCGCTATACGTTCCATTGATCTCGCTGTCGTATAATTTGATGGAGAATGAATAGAGTTTGTTGCTGTTGCTGTTGATGTTGCTGATGATAATGATGATAATGATGCTGTTGATGTACCGGTTTTGGAAGACTGCGCTTCTCGCTTTACAGCGTCTTTGACGATAGATAAAGGATTGTCGCTCAGAAGCATAGTCAGACTCATCGAGCTTTCAATTTCAAACTCTTCCACCAATTCGCGTGCTCGGCTGAGTGGAACCCAAGCACCCCGACACTCTAGCGGCCCTTTAGTGATAACTACCACCACACGGCCCTCTTCTGCTTCTGCCACTGCATCAAATGTGCCTTTACCCAGTACTGGTCGGGCTGCTTTTCTAAGCTGGGTAGCATTTACATAACCTTGATCCAAATACTGATAATTCATACATCCATTATTGTTGCTACTGACTTTTCCTCCACCTCCACTATGACTGCTGCCATGACTTAATTTACCGTGGATGTTTCCATTGCTGTTATTACGCATCTTCCCATCCGCATGGCGTGTGCGCAAAGCTACATGCTCGCTCACGCCATCTAATGAAGTTATGAAGCGCAGAATTTTGGTATCGGGGATGTCGTTTGGCGAATCGAGTTCGTAACACTGCAGATTTCCAAATGTTTTGATTTTGATTCGAAAATTGTGTTTGATATCTTCATACATAGTCGGTTCTTTCTCTTCATCGTCTTCGTCGTCGGCGTCAGCGTCAGCGTCGTCATCGGCGTCGTTGCTTTGTTTATCGTTTTCACCTTCTTTTTTAATTCGAATTTCGATACTTTTATTGTCGTTGTTATTTTTAGTGGCCTCATTGTGCTTGATCTCTGGCCAAGACTTTCGTCGATGAGCTGCTGTTATTGCTGTTGCTGTTTCTGTTGCCGCTGCCGCTGCTGATGCTGCTGATGTTGCAGATAATGCTGTTGCTGTCGAGTCATCTTGCTGGCCTGCTCTAGTGCTGGCAATCAATGCTCTTTGTAACAATGGTTTTTCTCTAGTAACAGAAAAGCTTTTTCGAGTGCGTGCAGCGTTAGTAGGATGGTGAGAGTTTAAATGGTTGATTAGGTTGGAATGTTTCCCATTAGTCAAAGAGATTGTGGAATTAGTTGGTGAGGTATTGTTGTTGTTATTAGTTGATGATTGTTTTGACAAGGTATTCTTATTGTTGTTATTGTTGTTGGAACCAAAGTAGCTGTCCAGTTCAGAAGGTGACACAGACTCGGGTGGATCGACAGCTAGGTGATGAAGGTCGGTGTCTTGTTGAGCTTGATCGGCCATGAAAACGCTATTGAATTCTTCGTCGAATTGAAATGGAGCCCAGGCATCATGTTCGTTGAGCCAGTTGTGAAACGAGACAGATTGCTTACGAGTTTGGCGTGGGGACGCTTCTCGTGCAATCATGCTCGGTCGTCGAAGGGCAAGTACAGAAGATCGACGGCGATCCCGAGTAACCTCAATATCTGCCATTGTCTCGTCTCCTCTTAGCATTTCTTCGTAGTAGTCCGAGTACTCTGCCTCGCTGTCCGATTGTTCTTTTGATTCGGTTTCTTTTGATTCTTCGTCTTCGTCTTCTTTTTCTGCTTTGGTTTCTGCCTCATCCATTTTATGATCCTGATCCTGATCCTGATCTCGATCCTGACTGGCGTTTGTGGCGGAATGACAAGGTCGTTTTGGTGTGTGGGTTTCGTCAGCTTCATCGTCAGCATCCTCAGTATCAGACGGAGATTGCCGAGTGCGGCGCTTGTGGCGTGTGGAAACAGATTGAGGAGATACAGCTGGTGCTGTTCCTGCTGTTGTTGATGCTAATGTTTTTGGTGTTGCTGGTGCTGTCTGTGATGCTGCTAGTGCTGATAGTGTTGTTGATGTTTGTGTCGGTGCTGATGATGATGGTACTGCTGCTGCTGCTGCTGATGTTATTGAAGGTGTACGGTTATTTGATGTGGTTTGTGAGGTTGTGGTTGTGGTCTGGTTAGTCTGCAGGGGTTCTTGTCTGTCTTCATCCTCCGAAGATAAACCAGACGAGGAATCATGGGTGTCTTTAGAAGCTAGGCTGTCTGTTGCTAGCGAGTAGTTAATCTTGCGTGAATGGTTTTGGTCGACATGTTTTGCCAAGAGTGGTGCCCTTGGTGGATTGTGTTCTGCTGCTCTTTTGAAGTGTTGGGATATGCGTGATGATACGGTCGCAAATGGTGTAGCACCTCTGAAAGTTGAATGAATTTGGGTATGTATGGAAGAAATCGAAACAAAGGCGGGACGAGGCGGGACACGGTAATGTTGGTGAGTATCGAGGCAGATAGTAATAATAATAATAATAATAACAATAATATAGGTGGGCAGGGGGGGGGGTTAGGATAGAATTGTATGATGGTATGATGATATGATGATAATTTTTGTTTTATTTTTCGTGGTATTGCTTACCCGAGAGTGGCATATTTATATTTTACAATAACGTTCGCGAGTTCCTTTGGTGAACTTGGTTTGTTGCCTTGTTTGAGAAGGGCTTTGAGAATAGCCGTAAAGACCTTATCTTTTGCATCGTCTGGATGTATTGAGACCGGCAGACTAGGCCGTGGCTTGGAGCCTGTGCTACTTTGTTCGGCTGACGGTTGTGGGTGGTTGGGTAGCATGTATGTATGTATAAATGTATGTATAAATGTATATATCTATATATCTTAATCTATCAAAGTATGTAGTATGTAGTAAGTAATGTGTATGTAATGTGTAGTGTATATCTAAGTAAGTAAAGTAAAGTCAATATATTTGATATATAAAATGTATATAAAATGAAGGAAGAAAGGAAAGTAGGAAGAAAGGAATATGGTTCGTCAACTGGGTGTTTGTTCTGGCAGGGTACTCAACAGTCGGAGAAAGTTAGACCAGTAGAAGAAGAAAGAGAGCCTCCATTTTCTTGCACTGTCTTTTTTTTCACGTCCTTCTTGGTCTTTGGATAATGCGGACCCTTAAAAACTGGCTTGATCTCTTTACCTTTTTTTTATTATGTAAAAAAATATATATACACACAAGGTCATTTTATTATACTGTTTTTTTTTCTTTCTTTAATTCATTAAAGAATTTATTCCCTTAATAGCTAAAATAAAGGTAAAGAAGTTGAAATAAAGAAAAAAAACGTATTGCAACTCAATAAAACGTTTATCATTGATATTCGTATAGTAGTCCAGCCTAATTTGGGTTTCTATTTTTCTATATATATATATTATAAAGTACTATATTATAAATTAATGCGTATATATGTATATAAATTAACAACAGGGTTTGACAGGCTTAAAAACAGACAGACAAAAAGACAAACAGACAAACAGACAAACAGACAACCTGACAGGCAGGCAGGTGGACAGGCGGACAGGCAGCCTAACTGACAGTCTGACTGACTGATTGACAGACACACACAAATAAGAGGGAGAAAGGGAGAAAATGAGATAGCATTGAATCGCCTGTCAAAAAAAAATTTTACTTTATTTCGTTCTCAGTGGATATGTATAATTTGATTGGACCAAGAAAAAAAAATTCAAGACAAAAGCAAGTGCTTCTTTAGGGAGACTTCTCCCAGCTTGGACCAAGTGTAACCGACTTGGTTGATTCGACAATGCTTGCAACAGAGGTAGGCTTTAGTCTACCCTTGGATTCATTTGAGCGAGGAGCACATCGAGTACCTACAGTAAGTTAATGAATCAATGAGACGAATAATTAATTAATTAGCTAGCTAGCTAACTAGCTATCTAGCTAAATGTTTACAATAAAAAAAACTGTAAGCTTTGTATATAAAGATGACATACAAAATATCTGGCCATCGATCTTGCACCAACGTTTTGCCTCCTGAGTTAAGCATCGCGTACATTTGCTATGTTCAGAGTCCTCTCCTCTAGCCACTTTAATAGAGCCATCGGGTTGAAGCATGACCTTACGCTTCTTTCCATTTACACGCTCACTACAAGAATTATACAAAGACAGACACAAAATATTTTATATGTTAAAATCTATGCATATATAATATTTTACAATTTAAAGAATAAATTAATAATAGAAATTAAATGAAACTTACTAAAGCCCACAGGCATTGCACAAAAGGTTACTGTTATTTAATCCCCTGCGCCACGAAGGGGTGTTTTTTGCACCACAGTTTGTACATTTCCGTTTGATATCTTTGATGCGCCCGTTGCCCTTCTTTTTTGATTTTCCTGTTTCATTACAAGGCGTTTTCGAAAAGGGTTTCGGCTGTTCTTGTGTATATCCGAGGCTTTGTGGCTGTTGCTTTTCAAAGTAGCTTTGATCATTGGCCCACCAGGGCACGCTTGAAACCGAGACTGGTGTGTCTGGTGGGTAGTTGTAATCAATTGGACTGTAGCTTGACAGATAGCTGTAGCTTCCTCCGACATTAAACATGGTCTGTTGGGAATTACAAGAGCTTGAGCCATTGAAGTCGGGTATGATCGACATCTGATCCGGAGAGTTCATTTCCTCCTTGTCACACATGGTCAGTGCAGTGCCACAGAAAGAAGAGCAGATATCTAACAACCACACAAGTTATTTCCTTTTTCTTCTTCTTTGATTTGATCAAAGCTAAAATTTGGTGGAATATGGGTAAGGAAGGATAGAAGGAAGAGGTTCTCTTACTTTGCATTGTCTTTTCTTTTTTCTTTTTTTAAAAAAGAAAGAAAGAAATATAGAGGTTTATTAAAGAGGAACAAGTGCTTGATAGCAAAATCTTTGATCTTTTTTTTGTGTATTTTTATACTTTTTCTTTTTTTCTTTTCTCTTTTGGTTATTGGTTTTTTTGAAACCCCATGTTCTTATAGTTGACTTTATGTGCTTTCTTTTTGAGATATTTTTTTCCCATGCTTGCCAGAAACGACCATTTAAAATGTGTGTTGTTGTTTCGTATTCAAGAATTTAATTCATTTTATCAGTGAAATCAAAAAAGGAGGTTCAAAATTGTTACTGCTATTCTTTAACAAAACAAGAAACCTTCTTCTTCTCACTCGCTCTCTCACTCTCTTGCTTATTCATGCAATTCATTTAATTAGATTCTGGGTTCTCCTTTTTACAAATCTCTTCTTCTTTGGATTTATTGTAGTTGTTTTAAATTCTAATAAAACATTTCGATCAAATGACTTGAAGATAGATCATAAGTTTCAATATTATCCATTGTCTTTTAGACTTTTAGTCTTTTGGTCTTTTAGGCTTGTAGTCTTCTTTTTGTCATTCCAAGCCTTTGTCATGTAATAATTAGTCAAATATTGACGTGAGAGATTTCTTTTTTATTTTTTATTTTTATTTTTTATTAATTTTTATTTGTTAAATCCAATTCTTCCAAGACCTCGATGGTTCTCTTGGACAATTAGTCCAGGTCGGTTCGAGAACACATATTTTTCTCGAATCAAGCAAACCACATCGTAGCTTGCCGCAGCAGCAAAGCCACCGTCCGTTTCCATGGCATCCTCAAAACCTGTTGTTCTCTTCTTAATAACCGCAAACGGTTTTGTGAGTCCAACACGTTTCCCTTCTAGTCGTTGATGTCCAATGACAAGAAGCGCAGTGTCCTTTATAAGAGCGAATGGTTTATTTTGTTATTATATATAAATAACAGTAATAATGGTAGTCAAACTGTAGTTCTCTCAAAACAATCAAAACAAGTAAGCAATTAAAATATTTACCTTTTCAAATGTTATGTCACCAATTGCAACATCCATCACCTCGACATCTCCTTCTACACCAAAGCTGCCCTGAAAATCAAGGTAGATCAGCTCTTGTTTGGTTTGCGAACTAGAGACAGGGCAGATCACAGCATGGACCATGAGATTTAGATAAGAGAAACAAGAAAATAAAAATAAAAAGAAAGGTGATTCTTTATTATGTGTGTGCGTAATTGTGTAATTGTGTGTGTATGGTCGGAACAGAAAACAGAAAAACAACGACAGCAACAGCAATGAATAGCAACAGACAGTAATGAGAATAACGATAATAGTAATACGCCCTTTTTTGTTATTTATACAATTATATTCTTTGCGTCATTAAATAACTACAAACGCGTATTTAATATAGACGCGTCAAAGAATATATACATATATATATATATGGTATTATTGGCTATCAGAAATACTACGTTTCTTATGGTTGTTATTTTGGAATGAGAATCTTGTTTTCTTTCTCTAATCGTTCATTCGTCCAATCGTTCATTCAAACGAACATATATATATTATATACTACTTTATTATCACAATAATTTATGATAATTTGTGTGAATACGAGAGGTTATGAAAAAACACACTTTTTATTTTATTTTATTTTATTTTATTTTAAATCTACGAATTGATTTTTTTATTATTATTTATTTTATATATATTCTTTTCTTCTTCTTTATTTTTTCTTTTTTAAAAAAAAATACTGCTTCAATTCTTACAAGATCTGCGAACATAATCCTATTGAATTCAATCTCTCCTCAATCCCATCAATCCTTCTATGGGTAGCGTATATCGTGGACTCACCTTACGATCAACAAGAGACCCGTTGTATCTCCAGAGAACTCAAGCCAGTAAGCCTTTTTTTTTTTAAAAAAAAATTATTTCAACAATCAATCAATCAAACAGTACATTACACTACATTACACTACATCACGCAGGCATACACACACACACACACACTCACACACAAAGAGAGATACATATATATGTACAAGTCTTTATTTATGGGATACATGTTATAGATATATATGTGTGCCTGTTTAGGGGTGTAATGTAGAGTAATGTACATTTATTATGTATAATTGCTACTGTCTATTCGAAAAAGATTTAGCTCATGTCAAAAAAACCAAAAAAAAAACCAAAAAAAAATACCAAAAATACCTAAAGTCTCTAGTCGTAGTCTGCTTCGACAAATTACCAACTGCGACAACCAGACCTATAATTTCTATTACACAGATGCAAGACCTTGCATTCCTTACGCGTGCGATTATGCTCATTGTAAGAACGAAGCTTTATTTTAATTATCAAGAAGATCTAGAAGATGGTCTTGGAGATATTTAGACTTAGACTTAGATTTATATTTTTCTTTATATACATACATATCTATATATGCGAATATGATATTTCCTTTTTGGGAATATATATGTATAGAGAGAGATATATAAAAACTTTTTGGTATTATGTTAAAAAGGCAAGCATGAAAGCAAGCAAACCAAACAAAAAAAAAAGAAAAAGAATCAATATTTATATAAATATATCTGTATGTTTGTTTGTTTGTTACTTATATTTATATGAACATATTTAACGTGGCTCTTTAAAGCTGCATTTGGAGGTCAATTGTTGGCAGTAACAGATGAAGACGGACGGGTAACATTGATTCGAACAGACAAGAGTAGTTCTGTTGAAGATCGTAAGTCTTTCTTTTATTATTTGAATAAATAAATATGTTCTTTTTGACCTTGGATATTTCTCTTTTGATTATGATAATGATCATTATTTTTTTTGTTCTGTTGTGATCCTTTGTACTGATTTACAAATGTATCTAAATATATGCACTTCTTGAACAAATGCCTCCTAAAAACAATATTCTATTTCACCCTATAAAAGTTGATTTTCATTCGACATTCTATGCCCATGGAAATACCGTATTTGATGTGAAATGGAGTCCAAACGATCAACTGCTTGTAAGCTATCTTGTTTTATTACTAATTACTATTAAATCATCATAATCATAATCATCACATTTTTTTTTGGTTGGTTGATGGATCTAGGCCACAGCTTCTGCAGACAAGCTGATGATATTGTGGGATGTAGAAACACAGAAACGACTGTCTTGCTTTGAAGGCCATGAGATGAGTCTAAAGTCTGTCAATTGGCATCCAGTAAATCCAAGTAAGTTCGAGATATACCTATACAATTAAGACTAATTTTAAATGTATGTTCAAAAATAAATAAAAAATAAAAGACCTTTTGGTGACGGCCTCCAAAGACGGATCATTCAATATCTGGGATACTAGGTTCCAGATGAAAGGCACCCTGACTGAAGAAGGTCTAGACCTTCCGATGTATCGACCGATCAAGAGTGTCAAAAACGCACATTCAAATCAACCTCGCAAGCAAAAAAAGCAACGTACCTTATCTAAACGACGCACGGTAAGTTTCCCTATCTTTTTTTTTATGTAAAAAAAAAATACACGCCCTTTGGATCCCAAATACACATGTATACAAGAAAATACAAGACTTGTAAGCTAAAAGTATATATATTCCAATTGGGTCTTTATATTTCATCTGTCTATATATATATATATACAGCCGGATCGTCCAGTAACATCTGCATTGTTTGTCAGAGACGGTGAAGAACAAATTGTATCATCCGGAAGCTATGATGGGTAAAGTGAAATACATAGATTTATTTAAACAATATATATATATATATATATTAATATCATTTGCTTGTGTATATATATAAGAACGATCAAATTATGGGATTGTCGGGCTGGAAGGGATGCCAGTCCATTAGAAGAAACCACGTCCGGTGGTGTACGTGGAATTAGCGACATGAAGATCAATTCTTCAGGAACAAGCCTGTTTAGTATCTGCATGGATCAGAGTGTATACATGCACCACCTCAATAATCTGTCTGGCCTGGCTCGGCGCTACACTGACCCTGATTTCCGGACAACCTCGTTTTACATCAAAATGTCTATTTCGCACGATGATCGGTTCATTCTTTCGGGATCAAGTACAAACTCTATCTTTGCATGGGAAATCGATTGTCCCAAGCAAAAGGCATATCAGTTCAAGGGTCATTCTCATGAAGTCTCGTCTGTAGCATGGTCAAAAACCTCCACAAAACAGGTACGTTCATATATTTTTATTGTAAATAATTCATTATTAGATTTTATAATATGATCTATACTATCTGTATATATAAATAATTATATTTATATATGTGTCTGTGTGGTGTGTGTAAATTATAAATATGTACAATATTTGCACAGTTTGCCAGTTGTTCGGATGACTCAAGCGTAAGGTTATGGAATGAGACCTTTGAACGGATAAACGATCGGTAAGACAAATTCAATCGACCAATCAATCGACCATATAAGAAGAAGACTAAGAATAAGAAGAGTATATATATACACACACACACATACACAATACGCCCTTTTTTTTGTCTTCTTTGGTATTCACATCTTTTACCTTATCTTACACCCTACATATCAAAACACATTCCTTCTTGTAATTTTTTTTTTCATTCTATTATTGTTGTTGTTATTTTTTTTTATCATATTGTCTTCTTCTTTGCTCTATTTTTTTTTGGCTCGTTTTTAAAAAAGGAAAAAGAAAAAAAAAGAAAATTCAAAGAGATATATATATATATATATATGCGTGTGTGTTGGTGTATTTGGTTGTGAGGAGTGACGGTGTGCGGGAGTGGGAGTATAGGTGAGTGTGCAGAAAGAGAAGAAGACAAAGAAGAGTAATAGAGGAGGAGAGAAAAAGATATAGAAATGTAAATACAATACAAGGCAAGCAGTAAAAATAAAATGAAATAAATAAAATAAAATAGAATATAATATAATAAAAGAATAAGAATAGTAAAAATAAGGAGAAGAAGAAGAAGAAGAAGTATATATTTTTTTTCGGTTTGTCTGTTTGTTCAAGATGCTTCATTTGGAGGCGTCACAGCACACATCCAGATTCGAGTCTTGTAAATCTTGAACAGCTCTCGGACCAATTCTCTGAAATCAATGCGACGATCGGCCACAAAGTAATAAGTCAGCTTGCGACGATCCCATTGATACTCTGCATCTACAACGTCCATTGGTAATTTGCGCTGCTTGGTCTTTTGTTGACAGACCACTAATGCACACTGTTCATCTTGTCCCTTGACCAATAACAGCCCAATTTCTTCAGGTGCTGCCAGACGATAGATACGCTTCACATGAAGTTCTCTCATCTTATCTCCAGATTCATTTGAACCATTACCACCACCATTGCTACCATCCTGTTGCTGCTGTTGTTGTTGTTGTTGTTGTTGTTGTTGTTGTTGTTGTGCCTGCTGCTGTTGTGCTTGCTGTTGTTTTTGGAGATGCATTTCCTTGACCTTTTCCAATGTCAAGGTATTCAATGCAATCTTACCAAGATCCTTGCCACGATCAGCCTCTACAATTACCAAATCTCCAACATTGGGGCGCAATTGGCCGGTAGTATCAGGAACGTAAAAGAAATCAGTTCTACCAGCCTTGAACTCAACCATGTAAAGAGGTACGTCTGTAGGGAGTCGATGAAGAGGAACACCCTTGCCCATATCTTGGTAAAGGCGAGAATCTGCTTCAAATGATTCATCGGCTGGTGTATTAGTAGATGTTGAGCCAGACAAAGGTTGGTACTTTTGGTGTGACTGTCTTGACTGATGATGATGTTGCGGTTGTTGCTGCTGCTGCTGTTGATGCTGTTGTTGTTGTTGTTGCTGGTGTTGTAACTGCTGTTGTTGTTGTTGTTGCTGCTGCTGCTGTTGGTTGTGGTGATGATTTTGCTGTGAATGGTTTTGTTGTTGGTGATTTTGATGATGGTTTTGTTGTTGAGCTTGATGTTGGGCCTGTGCTTGAGCCTGAGCCTGAGCCTGAGCTTGAGCTTGTGCCTGAGCCTGTGCCTGAGCCTGTGCTTGTGCTTGTGCTTGTGCTTGAGCGTGAGCGTGAGCTTGTGCTTGTGCTTGTGCCTGTGCTTGTGCTTGTGCTTGTGCCTGAGATTGAGTCTGAGCCTGAACTTGAGCCTGAGACTGAACTTGGGCTTGGGATTGGGATTGGGCTTGAGATTGTTGTTGAGGTAGGGAGGAATGGGACTGGGACATATAATGAGTGGGATGATGCAGAAAGTGAGGAGGCTGCTGTGGTACATAGCTGTGAGGAGATTGCTGATGCTGTTGGAAAAGATCGGGGCGAAAAGATGGCATGGCAGAGAATCCACCACCAAGACCAGATTCGTGACGGAGATGAGTTTGTTCTAATTGATCAGTAATTTGTTGAAGACTACTCATGGGGCGAACAGGCTGTTGCATGGTTAATGAAGGTCTTCGAGGAAGTACCATACTTGGGTAACTAAGAGGCAGCAAAATATATGTACATTAATATATATATATATTAGATTTAGATTTGTACTTTATTTTATTATTATTTTTTATTTTTATTATCGTATTAATAACACGAGTAATATTCCTTATTCTCTGGTTACTGATTTTGATTGTTTCATACCTTTCTGGGAACGTGTAATCCGTATGACCTTGGGATAGTCGCCTCTGTAGGATCTCAAGGCGTTCCTTGTCACCCATAGACATCTGGGCATACATGGGCTGACCTGTGAAACTGAGGGAAGAGCGTCTTCGTTGGGTGTCGTCTTGGTTGGATCCTCGTCGCATGTGGCCATCTGAGCCCAAGAGATGAGAGTGTTGGGCGGAGGATAGGAGACCAAAGGCAGCACCTGAGGATTTTGAGCGGGCACGGAAACGAGCTGCATTGAGCTGGGCAAGGTCGTCCATGAAACCTTCGTCTTCGTTTTCTTCTTCTTCTTCCATGGTGGCCAATGAGCTACGATACTTGTTTGCTCGTTCCTCGGCATCTTCGTAATCATCGTAGCCAAAGAAGGCAGGGTCTTGGCCCATTGAAAAAGATAAACTGCGCTGTTGACGATAAATAGGTTCAAGAGAGACATTGGGAAGCATTGGTACGGAAAGGATGCTGTTTTCGTAGGGTAAGCCGTGGGGATCCATCATGTCTGGAGCAGGATTCCAATCATTAAAGGCAGGAGTCTTTATGTCTTCTTCAAATATCGAGGGTCCTTCCCACTGGAAACCGCCAAATGATCCCCAAGGATTGACACCATTTCCACCAATACCATTTATACTTCCACCCAGACCATTCCCAAGACTTGGTAAATCTGGACCTGAGATAGATACACGTCTGGTGTCTGCAAGTTCAAGAGTGTCGATGAGACTCTGGCGTGGAGAGGCAGCTGGGCTTTTGTCTTTGTGTACAGCCATGGCAAGACTTCCTCGACGGGATGGGCTACCGACGATCTTCCAGGCATCATCTCCTTTGATTGTTCCTTTGATGGAGATTGACCCACCTGGTTGTTCATCTGCCAGCTCATGCTTCGGATTTTGAGACTAGATTAGTTTGATGATAGAGTGAAGAGTAATTTATTTATTTTTGCTCACCATTGCCAATTTTATTTTTTGGATTCCTTATATGTAATGAGACAAAAAAATAATAACAACAACAAAGAAGTAGAGTGTATCTGTGTATGTGTTTACGAGTATAAGTATGAGTGTGTGAGTGTGTGAGTTTGTGAGTGCGAGGGAGAAAGATAGAAAGAGAGAAAGAGAGAGAGAGAGAGAGAGAGAGAGAAAGAAATAAAGAAAAGGGTTGGGTTGAATTGAGTAACACTTTGGCACACAAGAAATAAATCAAAAAAAAATCAGTGAAGAAATATATATGTGTGTGTGTGTGTGCGTGTGTATGTATGTATATATACAATACTCTCAAGTGAGTTTACCTGTGTCATGATTGTTGAATTCTTTCAAAATCTATGATTTTATTTTTATTCTCACAAATATTTTTATTATAAATTCCCACTCTATTCATTTGCGCATATAGCCTTGTTAAATGTATATACTTTTCTGTTTTATAGATAGAGTAAGACAGCAGTAAAACCAATGTTCCTAGTCAACAGTTACTTGTTTTGGTTTTTTTTGTGTGTGTGTGTGTGAGTTTTTGAGTGCCTGAATATCAAGCTTTCAAATGTATGCTAGATAAATGGTCTCTTGTTTAGATACACCTAATACTTGTCAAAGCTTATGATCTTGACTATGTACACCCTTTATTATTATTTGTATTGAATAATGTAATATATTTGAAGTACTATATGACATGATATGACATGATATCTATTCACACAAAAATACACAAGTGTACATATATACGATGTAACAGTAAAGCTATCCAATGTATTTTAAAGAAATATACAAAAGGAATCAAGAAATGAAATGAATGGCCTACAAGGTACTTTGAAGATTATTCAAAAATATATATATATATTTGATACGTACCAAACCTTTAGTTATCTGGATACCTAGTTATTTTCAATAAATTTATATTATAAAACTATTACACACACACACACATATTCATGCTTCTTTTACACACACACACTTGCACATTTGCGCACACAAAGGCGTGGGTTATTTTCTCGACTACAAACATACTGAAAGGAGCTTATTTTATAACACCGACCTCACGTCATAAAAGGTAAATCGATCATCGTCTCCTACTGGTCAACATGTTAATGCCATCAAATTAACCTCACCACCGACCAATTTATATATGTTTTTATCTTTATCTTTAGACTTCAAATCCAGACATTAAATATTTTCTTTTTTGGATGAATAAAAAAATAATAATTAAAGATGTTTCATTTTGCTCTTTTTCTTGGTTCAAAATTCTTACATCTTTAACAAAAAAAAAAGGGTTTTAAAGAAGAACATGTCATAATATATAAGTATAAGCCTAGTGACCTTACAATAGGATCAGATATACCGGTACAATTGTCATTCCTTTCCAGCTGTTACAGTACTCTACCAGCCAGAATCTTATAACCAAGAAGAAGAAAAAAACTGTCAGCTTTAAGGAAAATTTTTAAATAAATAGATAAAATAATATATATATATATATATACCCTCTATAATATGCATATTTGTATGCATATATTCGTATATATCAATGTCGACATCCAACCAATAAAACAGCAAGATAAGGAATTGAAAAAAAGCAGGGTACAAATAAATATCAACGTGGAATAAGTATACATAAAACAATTCTTATTACAGCCAAAAATTAAAAAAAGGTAAGAAAATCATTCAAATTTGAAGTAGAAATATATTACACCATATACATATGCTGCATTACCATTAGGAACATAATGATTTTTATAAGCCTCCTGTCTTTGACCCTTTCCTCTTTTCTTCCTTTCTATCCAATTACTTTAGTCTACATGCTTTCAAAAGGCGAATGTTATCAGATGTCTGTGTATATATATTTATTGTAAAAATAAATGAATTAATATTGAATATAATATAGCCCCTCTTCCTCTTTATCGTCTTCTTATCCTTGTGGTATATAGAGAGTTGAAAGGTTTCTTTACCAGCTTAATTGAATTGTATATATATGTATATGTATACATTTAGATATAGGTATAAAATTTTCTCCTTTTTATTTTTATTACTATTCCTTCTTTTGATTTTCTTCTTTCCGAATACCGCTTTGGTAATACTACAATTTCATTAATTTCTCGGAACAGTAACCTGCCACAAACATGTATATTTATATTATATAATTCCAATATAGGTCCGATTTATGTTGGTGAAAAAAAAAAAAAAAAAGACATCTTTAGTGTATTAAAATAGGATAGTCTGGTAATACAATCTTTATTTTTTTAAGAAATAAAATAAGAAACAATGGAGTGTTTCATTGTAATTCACGCTATAACTAATTAATTTGAATAAATATTTTTGATAACATTACTCAGCAACCATGGAGAGCTGGGCGATGCCTAGTTCATCATAAAATCTGAATAAATTTTGACGTCTTTAATAATAATAATAATAATAAATAAGACATGGATTTCAATACTTAGAGTGGTCATTACAACTTACAAATATTTTCTAGAGTATCAGAGCCATCATACAACAACAACAAAAGCAGACTTCATGTTCATTTTATAATTTACTGATGGCATCGTCATCTGATTAATTCAAAATGTAGAGAGCAGCATACTACTAATGCAAAAAAGTTTCTTGTTGTTTTTTTTGTTGGTTATTTTCTAGTCTTTAGATTTTTATACTTGATTTATAGTGAAGAAGCAAGTAGATCAACTGCTGCATAAAATCTAACAGACTCACCTCAAAATACCATTGATTATGTTACTGATTCCGATTTACTTGTTGTGAGATCGATGTATCCCGCGCTTTATTCTTTCAAATGCTTCATTAAGGAAAAAATGAACACCGAGATATTAACTTATTTTTATTTATTTATTTATAAACCATTGTCATTGACCTTACTGCTGCTAATGAGTTTGTGACATTTTGTCTGACGCCCAAAACTAGTGTGGCTCGGCAGACACCATGTTTCCCAATTCATTGATAGTAAATTCAATGGATGTGGCAAAAGGTAATTAATACCGAAATGTTAAATATAAGTTGCTTAGTATATATTCTATTCATAATTACACGTTAGTAAGATTGACCGTATTAATGTGTATATGTCTGTGCTAGTGTTGGTCAAGGATGCTAGCAGTCTGGACAAGAATATTATACTTTAAATTCATCATATTGTAAATTTGAGTTTGGTACGTTTGAGTATTTTTTTTTCTTGTCAAGAACACCATTTACAATGATCATATGAATATTTCCCTTCATTTTATAAGTGAATATCGTGATAACATTCCAAGTGATCTAAAAGGCTTTGTTTTCAGTAAAAGTAATAGCCGTCTGATCCATCTCTGCTGAGCTGCATGAATATGAATATTCAATCGTTTCATAACAGCAGATACACTCTGGCATTTACTGAAAAACAAATGAATACTAATAATCTTGTTTTCTCATCGTCTGAGTATACTCTATATCGTTACTTGCTACATAAGTCGATATCAACATACTCATTGTTCCCTTCAGTTGCAACTGGATGAACTATAGTAATTAATGATCTCTGGAGTATTCATTAGTAATTGAGTATTGGAGCTTATTGTTTTAATGGCGAAAAGTTTATTGGCTTGGTTTAATCTTTGTAAAGAAATCGGATAATAATTTCGGATGTCTGTAAAATAAATTGTAATCAAGATCAGAGAAAAAAAATTAAAGCAAATAGAGTCAAGAAACACTTTTGTATTAATCGACAAGAGAATAAATGAAAGCCCATGACATGTGACCACGACTTTATTGCTGGACCAAGTGACATCATTGTTGAATAGGAACATTTTTGGCACGACATTAAATTCTGAAGCCACGGTTTTATCTACATGCACACATACACACATAGTAGATATTTTTAAATTATTATTTTTTATCTTCCAGACAAATTTACTCATCTGATTTTTTTTTGAGTCCCCCCATTTTTTTTTTTGCGCAATAGACTCTATTTTTATTTTATTTTAGAAAAATAATAATTGATTGATTGATTGATTGATTGGAAAATGTCTTAACGATGTATACTCCCATTTTGAATGCATAAAGCGAGTCAAAATTGTAGGCAAGATTGCTTAACTCAATATAATGATAGTGTAATAAAGAGATTAAATGAGATGTATGTAAAGCTAATAGCCTGAAATGGCATAAATGGCAAACCAAACACAGACGAATTTCTGTTTTTTTTTTTTCATTAAAAATTAAACCATGTAAAAGTGTATGAATATTTATTAGAAGGGTCCATTTGATTACAGCAAACTCATATTTTTTTTGTGAGTATTTACAAGAAGATTTATATGGATATTTAACATTATCCATGTTTCGGCAAAGGAGTAGAGCACAAATCAATAACTATACCAATAATCGAGGCTACTAAAACACAAAAACAAACAATACGAAAAAAAAATCATACGATTATAATACAGATAAATATTTATCAGATTCCAAATATACATACATATATATATGTGTGTGTGCGTGTGTAAAAGTTGCGGTGAAGTAGAGCACACAAATTTCCTTTGTTAAATTATCTCAGTTACTGCTGGTTCTGCTGTAATAAAGAGAATATATTGTCTTGGTACAGCTAATCATCTAAGTTACGTTTTTATAAAAATCTATAAAAGCTCAACTTTCAATTTTATAACATTTTTTTTATACTTTTTAAAAAAATAGGAAATAGTAAGATAAGTTTAGTTTAGTTGCCTTGTAAGCTAAAATATCTTATTACTTTGGCAATAATATATAAGGTCTGTCATACGAGACTTCTGGGCCCTCAAAATACACACAAAAGTTTATCAAAAAACCAATGGCATACAATAAGATACAAGTATATCTATAGAAACAAAGCAAAAACTTTAGACCTTTAATTTTAAATAGGATCCCTCTTATGGAACGTCTGACTACCCAATTTTCTTAAATTTCAAAAAGAAAAAGAAAAAGAAAGAAACTCATCAAATTTGCGAACGATGAGCTTTACCCCACTATATAAATTGAAAGAAAAAAATGCCATTTTTGATCACTTTCTCGTTAATTATTCTGGAAAATGTTTCGTATAGAGTTCCGTGGTGGCTCATGTATACCAATGCTGGTTACAGATACACACACATATATATATAATTGGTGTTCTTTTGGCAACTTTAGAATATGCCAAACATTTCCAGACTCCAGCCAAACACAATACATGGTAGCTACCTCTATCGCACGCAAAATATGTCCAGTATATTGGGACTTTTTGTTGTAGACGCACAGACCTTTTTTTTTCGTGGTGTAATAGAGTCAAAGGTGATAGTGGTGGTTGTGGTGGCGGTGGCGGTGGTGGTCATACAACGCTTCTTGAATTAATCTCTCCGTTCTCCTTCTTTTGAAATACCACCTTTCACTGTTCATTATATGGACCCAATTACTTGGTCTTTTGCATTAAAGACAGCTAATATACGTAATTATTCATATTGCATACAAAACAAAGTAGTAGATAAAATAAAATAAAGTCTGATGCGCAAAAAAAAAACAGAATTGGGGGGTGAACGCAAAAAAAAAAACTGCGGGGCGCAAAATAATAAACCTGATGCGCAAATCGCCTGGAAAAAGCTAATATTTATATACAGACAGATATAGTGAGCGAGTGGGTGAGAGATGAAAGAAGAGAACCAAAGAGAACCAGAAAAATTTAATCCCTAGTTTAACCCCCCTCTCTCTCTCCCCCTCTTCCTCTTCCTCTTCCTCTTCCTCTTCTTCTTCCTTTTACCATTACCATTATCATTATTGTTAATATATTCTATTCTTCTTCTTAATATTAGTATTACTATTAATATTATTACAATACTAAGCAGTACAATACAATACAATACAATACAATACAATACAATTTACTATTGCTATTGCTCTTTATATTAGTATTGGTATTAATATCTCTCTCTATATTCAAACCGTCGATTATTTCGTTAATCTGAAGCTCTTTATATAATTACTATCATTTCACTTGCTTAACATTTGAGTGTATCTATATACACACCCACACACACACACACATTGGTTTTTATATACAAAGCATATACAACATAGACATATTTTTATACACATTTTATTTTTATTTTATTATATTTTATTTTTATTTTACTTATTTTATTTTATTCTCATTTTATTCTCATTTTATTTTATTTTATTTTATTTTATTTCTTTTTCTTTCTTATTTTATTTTATTATTATTTTTTCTGCGATTCCATTCACCTCTTTGTCATGCGGCCTTCTACTCGCCACAAGATCAGTTCCGATCAAAGTAGCCTCAATCTGTCCTCAGTACCAATGACCAGTCATTACGTTCCCCGTACTCGTCCCCGCTTATTTGGCCTAACAGAAGCACCAGTCTATTACCCAACACCCATAGAATTTTCAGATCCCATCAAATATATTGCCTCTATTCAAAAAGAAGGTGAAAAATATGGAATTATCAAGATAGTTCCTCCTGCTGGTTATGACCCTGGCTTCAAACTCAACAAGGAGGTAAATATATATAGATATAGATATATAGATATACACATCTATACATTTATATCTTTATAAATGTATATATACACTATATACACTATATATATATATATATGTGTGTGTGTGTGTTTTTGTACATTTGTATACATATAGTTATATGTATATACAGACATTAGATATTTCTGTATATATATATATATATATATGCTTGTGTTTTTGTACAAGTATAAAGGAATCTAGAAGAAGAAGAAGAAGAAGAAGAAGAAAAAAAAACATGTCGAAATGCTCATTACTCATTCATTCATTCTTCTTTATTTTATTTTTTTACTTTAAAATATATGTATATTTTAACAATTATAACAAAATTTCTCAAACTTAACATTCATTGTCATCAAGACATTTCGTTTTCGCACACGTATCCAAAAACTCAATAGTATGGAAGGTGAAACGAGAGCAAATGTGAATTATCTCGAACAATTGTCCAACTTCCATATCTCGGCTGGAACACCTATCCACAAAATCCCACAGCTCGACAAACGACCCATTGATCTTTTCAAGCTTAAAAAAGAAGTAGCCCGCAGAGGAGGATATCACATTGTAAGATTATTAATATCATTTTAATTGTCTGTTACTACTATTACTACTACTACCACCACTACTACTATTAGGATATTCTATATTTATATATCTACTATATATATATTATTAGTATTAAATAATTAAAATCTATATTTCTCTCTCTCTCTCTCTAGGTTACCGGACAAAAGAAATGGGCTGAAATCGGACGTTCTCTGGACTATCACCGCAAAGAGTGTACATCAATGTCCAATGCCCTAAAGAATGCTTACTATCGCTATGTACTCCCCTACGAAGATTGGCTGACGAGGTACAAGTCAGAGCATGGTCAAAATTCTCCTGCGCCGCTCACATCAGATTCAATGACAGGATCACGAATGAAATCTACTCGAGGTAAACAACAACAAACAATGATAATAAACCCAAGAATCACACATCATTTTTATTTTTATTTCTTTTTCTTTTCTTTTCTTTTCTTTTCTTTTCTTTGCTTAACAATAATTACTCAATAGCCACCTCTCACTCAAGAGAACAAAGTGTGGCTGTATCAGAAACAACGACCCCGGACGATTCAGAAGAAGATCCATGCCAGATCTGTCATGACAATGAAGGCGAAAGCGATATGATTGCATGCGAAGGGTGTGGGCACATCTTCCACCTCTATTGTCTTTCGCCACCCTTGAAAACCATGCCACAAGGAGATTGGCATTGTATCAAATGTTTGACTGCAGCAGGAGGAGACTATGGATTTGAAGACGGAGACGAATATTCATTGGCTGCATTCCATGAGAAATGCAAAGCATTTAAGCGCGAATGGTTCTCAAAGAACGGCACACTTCAACCAGACGAGACAGTAACCGAAGAAGATTGTGAGGATGAATTCTGGCGTCTGGCAGAAAATCCACACGAAACATGTCAAGTGGAATATGGAGCCGACCTTCACTCGACCCAACATGGCAGGTAAATAAATTAATATACTATCATTATTATAATTAGCATGCACAGGATTTCTACTTCTTTTATATAAATACATGCATACATACATACATACACATACATACATATATATGCATTATATATTATATTATATTATTTTTTCAAGGCAAAATCAAAAACAGAAACAAAAAACAAAGAAAGAAAAGAAAAAAAAAGGCTAAATATTTTGATTTTCTTACAAAGTGCTCTGGGCGATCTTAATGATCCGTGGAACCTCAATGTCATCCCCGCTTTACCAAAATCTTTATTTTCACATATCCAAGCTGATATAAGTGGTATGATGGTACCTTGGTTGTACATTGGCATGTGTTTCTCTGCCTTCTGTTGGCACAATGAAGACCACTACACCTATTCGATCAACTACATGCATTGGGGTGAAACCAAGACGTGGTACGGCATACCCGGCAGTGACACAGCAAAATTTGAAGAAACGATGCGGAAGGCAGTTCCGGAACTCTTTGAACAACAGCCTGATTTATTATTCCAACTTGTCACCATGCTGAGTCCAGGAAGACTTTTGGAAGAGGACGTCAAGGTATATGCAGTCGACCAACGTCCAGGTCAATTCGTCGTCACGTTTCCAAAATCCTATCACTCCGGGTTCAATCATGGAGTAAGTATAATACAAATAAGGAATTATGTTTCTTTTAATACATCAAATCAAATCAAATCAAGTTTGACTTTTTTTTTAAAATTTTTTTTTCTTTATCTTATTTATCTTATTGTTGTTTTGTTAGTTTAATTTTTGTGAAGCAGTCAATTTCGCACCTTCTGAATGGGTTGATCTTGGCTTAGAATGTGTCCAACGCTACAAGGAATACAGGCGACAACCTTGTTTTTCACACGATGAACTGTTAGTCAATGTAGCCGAACACGACAAAAGTATCGAAACCGCCAAATGGTTGCGCGGTGCAATTACGGCAATGAAGTCAAGAGAGATTTCTGAGCGCGATAGCTTGAGAGAAAAGTATCCTAAATTAAAAGAAATCGTAGACACCAAACCCCAGGTCACTGATAATGAGTCTCAGTGCGTCTATTGCCACTGCTACTCTTATCTTTCCCATGTGTCCTGTAGCTGCACAGACAACATTGCTTGCTTGGATCATTACGATGAAGTAAATATTAATTTTTAATTAATTAATTATATATATATATATATATATATATCTTTTAGTATTATTTATTGTTTATTGTTTAATGAAACTCATTAAACTATATTCTACCTTTCTTTTTCTTTTTTGCAGCTTTGTACATGCAATGTTTCAAAAAAGTCTCTTTGCCTTCGATTCACAGACGACCAACTTTTGCAAATTGTACAACGTTCTCCAGACGTAACAAAAGCATCGAGAGAATGGTCCAAGAAATGGGAATCTATTAAAAACGGCGCTCCACCTACTCTCAAGACTCTCCGTAGCTTACTCCAGGAAGGTGAAAAGGTGTTTGCACCAGAAGACGACGTTGAGGAGATCCGGAAAACGATTCCTAAAATAATGGATTGGATTGACGAAGCTAAACTATATGCGATCCGTAAGCATCAGAACCGACGGCGCGACTCTGGAACAGCACAGTATAACGGCAAGCGGTTCGAGCAAATTAAAAAGCTGTGCAAAGATGCGTCTGAGATGCATTTTGATGCACCCGAGGTGCATGCGATCCGCAAAACCCTCAAAATGCTCAACGACTTTAGAGACCAAGCCCTGGAAGTTCTTGGGGCTGATAATCAATCGGTTTCGGTAGATACTTATCGCGATGTGTATGAGATCGGCACAGGCATGAATGCCGACATTCCCGAGATGGCTCAATTAGAAATGGCGATCAAACAGCATACATGGCGCAAGGGAGCTCCCACATCTATCAAAAATCACTTTAGCGACATCATACGTTCGATCGCCGAGGCCAAAGAGTACAAGATCCCTGTAGATGACAGTACTTATCAAACCTTATTAGCCCTCAAACAGGAAGGCGAACGATGGGTAGCTCAGTACGACCTCGTTACATGTTCAGAGTCGGTCACATTAGACCATTATACTAATCTCTTAGAAGCTAGTACAAAGGTCTCTACTCCTCCGGACGCACTCTACAACGTCAAGGAAGTAGTCAAAGTAGGTACTGACGCAACAGAGATCATCCAAATGGCAACCAACTTTTCGACCGGACAACACAAAGAAAGACCATCAGTTACAGATCTTAGCAGAGTTGCACATGCTCTTCAATGGCTACCAATCCAAATCGAAAACTCTCAATGTATTGCTACTCAAAAGGACGAAATAGAAAAATGGGTTCGACAAGTAGAAACGGTCTTTGACCGAACCAGCCAGACTCCAACATCACCCCATAAATCACATCTCGAAATGCGCTTGATGGATGTCCTGACCAACATGGTCAATATTATCGAGCCAAAAGGTTCGGCTGGAGCCGCCTTTATCGCATCTATTACTGCCAGCAATGGACGCGGGGCCTCAACCGGACCTCTCAAGAAAGCCAAGTTATTGAATAGATCTGCAGATCGATATTGTATCTGCCGTAAATCCGAGTCTGGATTGATGATCGAGTGTGACATTTGCCACGAATGGTACCATGGCCGGTGCGTCAAGGTGACACGCCGTGAAGCAGAAGCGATAACCTATGTGTGTCCGGCCTGTGACGGCCATCAGATCATTCCTCGTGCGTTCAAGAGACCTAGCCTGGAGGAATGTGAACAATTGATAGAGGACGCAAACCGCCTGTGGTTTCTACCCAAAGAATACGAGCTTCTGTCACAAATTGTAGATTCAGCGCGTACATTCAAGGGACGCGTACAGGCGTTCTGTCGGTCAAAAACACAACTTGGGGTACAAGATCTAAATGCAATCAAGATGAACTTGCGAGAACTATTAGGGCTTGACATCCATTTACGCGACGAAACAGACTTTCTGCGTAAAAAGGTCAAAACATTGTCTGGTCCGCTTCCTCTACCCCAGATCTACGGCGCCTATCCTTCACCCAATCTCCCTGTCGCTCAAATTTCTCAAGAAGATATTCCTGCTACCGACTCAAACATTTCCCACTCCTCCTCAAGTGCTGACGAGCGAGTGTACTGCGTGTGTCGTAAGCGCTACACCCCAAATGGACCAGATGCTCAGATGGTAGGTTGCGATACCTGTCATGAGTGGTTCCATCTATCTTGTGTCAATCTAGACCTGAAAGCGTTGCCTGGGATTGAGCATTACAAGTGTCCGGGATGCACTCGGAAGCAAGATATGCAACAACAAGTGCAACAGCCACTTCAACAGCTACTTTCACAGCCACTCCAACAACAATCACAATCACAATCACAAGTTGGGAAGAATCACACATCAGCACAGATGGATCTTAAAGGTTATGCGTACAATACAGACAGTGTTGTCTTGCCAACACCCCCTCTTCCTTCAACACATTCACCGCGTACACCAACTGTCATCAAACTCACGGTAAGGCCCCCAGCGCCTACTCCATCTACAAGCATATACGAAAGAAAACGGAAACATGGTGGCGAACATCTTATCGAAAAAGAAAAATCAAAAAGAGAACTTTCTATGAACGAGGATGTCTGTCTACATGCGTCTGTATAATTTTATCTTCAATTTAAATCCTAAACCCACCCGTCCATTTACTCCCTCATCTTTGTCATCTATCTCTATGTGTCTCTATCCCTACCCTTCTGTTCTTTTTCTGTTGTCTCTTTAGTCTCTCTTAGTATCCACCCAACACCTCTTCCTATTTCTGTTTTTTTATTATTACTACTACTACTATTACTACTACTATTACTATTATTTTTGTCTCACGTTAAGTTTCTTTTAATCGTACATTGATCTTTCTTTATCTCTTTCTTTCATCTTTTTTCTGTAATATATCAAATGTGTCTTTGGTTTCTTCAGAAACGTCGAATAAAATATATTGTCTTATGTTTATAATTTCTAAAACTGAAAGGGTAGTCCATTAATGACTAATGAAAGTAACAAATCCACTTTCCTGTTCATATCTTGAATAGATATATATATATATAATAAAGTTCAAATCATTTAATCTTGTTTAAAAGTTGTAGGCGAATGAACACATTTATATAAGTATGTATATAGAGCTAAACAGCTACATAGCTTATGATATATATATATATAAAAGTGCATTTGTATATTTGTGCGTTTATGTTTTATGTTTATGGGTGTGTGGGTGTGGGTGTGTGCTAGTGAGTCATGAATGTGTATTATATCCTTAGAAATCTTCGGATAAGTAGTTGGAAGGCACCAAACCTGTTCGTCCGTCCTCCAATTTGGCCTGCCACCAATCATCAGATTCCTTATCAATGATTGTCAATGTGGCACCAGCCTCAAAACTAAGGCATCCTTCTTCTGCTGGACCATCGTAATCGTACAATGCAGTGGCCTTGATCTCAACCAAAGGTTTATCTAAATTAATCATAATATTAATTATTCAATCAAGTCAATATATATATATATATATATACATTTAATCCATTTTGTATTTATCAACTTGAGTATTAAACATTACCTTGTTTGGCTTGAACGTAGTTAGAAGGGAAATAACCTGATTTCTGAGTTCTTTCAAGGTAACCAAACCACCAATCCTCAGATGAATCGTCCTTTTCGACCATAATCACATCGTCACGGTTGAATACCAGGTCACTGGCACTGTTTCCAGCACCGGCATAGTCCCAAAGAGCAACAAAGGCTATATAAAGATAGGTATGAGCATAGATATATCACGTAGATCAAATAAAAAGGTGAGCAACTCTTATTTATTATTTTGTGTGTATGTGTATGTGTAATTATTTCCATTGATTGTTTACCTTTTGCTTTAGACAAATCAACACTTTCTGCTGGTTCTGATTTAGGTTCTGGCTCAGATTTCTGAGTAGATTCTTCTGTCTGAGAACTGAATCCACCGCCAGTGCGAGCTTGTAACTCAGCAAAGAATCCGCCACCGCCAAAGCCTGTAGGAGCAGTAGTGCTGGCAGGGGTAGCAGCAGATGATTCTGATTCTTGAGTAACAGCACGGCTGGTAGGTGCTGACTTGGGAGATTCATCAATAACGACACCAGCAACAGAAGAGCCGCTGCGATCGTTTGTCTTAGTAGCCTTCAAACGGGCGCCCATCTGGATCTGACTCAAAAGAGCAGAGCGGGAATCGCCACCTCCCTGAGCTTGTTGAGGTGATGGTGGTGTGAAAGTGGATCCTGTTGTTGGTGCAGGAGGAGGAGGGGGTATTCCACTAGCAGTTGAAACAGCAGCAGGAGGGGCAGGAGGAGGAGGAGGAGGAATTCCAGCCGAGGAAGCGGCTAAAGGAGACGTCTGTTGGGCACTAGGGGAGCTAGTCGCAGCTGGGTTTGGAGAGACAGCTCTAGAAGAAATAGAAGGACCTAAAAGTAAAAGATAAAAATTAAAAAATCAAACCAAACCAAACCAAAGCAAATAATTTTTTTTGTTAGGATTAGTTAAATACATGTTCATACATTATACGTATTATCAACAAAATTTTAGTAGATAACTAAATATTGAATGTGTTTTCTTTAACATACTTTGTCTTTGAGCAATGGCATTAAACAACATTCCAGCCATATTCTTTGCACTTCCAGCAGCAGGGAACTCGTTTTCGTCGTCAGAGTCATCATGGTTTGCAACATCCCAACCATCATCTGAGTCACTGTCATCATTGGCCTGGGTAGCGTTGAAAGCAGAGAATGCAGCAAATGGATTGTAACTGACGCGCTTGTTTGTCAAAGCCTCGGGCTCCTTCTGAGAGGGTTTCTCAGCAGTTGCGGAAGTCACATCTTTGGTTGCGCCACCATCTTGTTTCATCTTGGCAAATGGGTTGTTGCTACTAATCTTGACTTCTGCGGCAGCAGCAGCAGCAGCAGCAGCAGCAGCACCATCGGTGGAAGAAGAAGATGTCGATTTTCGTTCAACGACTGGTGCTGGAGGAGGAGTTGGGATAGCTGGAGCGACGGGTGGTGGTGGGGGTGGTGTGGGTGTAGACACGGGTTTAGGAATTTCTCGCTTGATTTCTGCAACAGGTGAAGGGTTCATGGCTTCTTTCTCCTTTTGTTTTCTCGCCTCTTCTTCCTCTTCTGCTCTATGAAGAGCCTCGAGACGAGCAAGTCTCTGTCTCTCTTCTTTTTCAAAGACGGCACGTCTACGTTCTTCGGTATCTTTGGCGTCCTGAATACGTCTAACTCTGTCGGCTTCCTCATCCAGACGTCTCTGCTCTTCATCCTGGCGAGCCTTTTCGGCAGGCGTGGGCTGTTCTTCGATAGCAAATCCTCCAAAGCGAACATTTTCCTCGTTGGTATTACGGAATAACCTTTCAGGTTCTGGAGCGTCACCTCGACGATAGTCTTGGGTACGAATCTTTTCTTGTGCCTGACGCTCAGCATCACGCATACGTTCTAATTATTACGAAGCACAAATAAATTTGATTAATATTTTTATTGAAATATATATATAAAAAAATAATAACGCTGTTGAATATCAAAACTTACGTTGAGCCATAGCAATTTCTGCCTCATCTTGCTGGTGTGGTTTGCTGGGAGTACGTGTCTCGGCAGGTTTGGGGGTTGTAGCTCCTAGATTCTTCTTAGCGTGAAGTGCAGCCAATCGTTCTTGGACCCGTCTTTCAGCCTAAAAGAAAAATCCAGCCACACACAAAAAATAAAGCAAAAAACATGTCTTTTAATAAACTCAAATATTTCTAGTTATTTTTTTTATCAATATGCATATTATTTACCTCTCTCTTTATTTCCTCGGCTGTTCTTGGTTTCGAAGGTGAGGCAATTTTAGGAGTTACAGCAGGAGAAGATGTTGGTGGGCTGAGAGTGGATGAAGACGCAGTGTACGATGTGGTTTGGTACGAAGATGTACCAATATTTCTCTGAGAAGTAGATGTGGTTGTAGAGTTAGTTTGCTCATAATGCACTTCGTCACGATCAAGTTGTTCGATAAATCGACGGAGCTCGTAGGACATATCCTGTCCACCCTTCTCGAACCGTTTTTTATCGCTGACATTCTTGGAGTCTGCCAAGCTCGATAGATAATGCAAATCTCCGCGGAGATCCCTCAAGGTCTCGCGTGCCTTCTCCATATTACGCTCAAAGTTATCTGCCTGTCTATCACAGTTTTGTTTCTCCTCCTCAGCTCGTCTCAACTCAAAGTTGGAGTCCTTGGACTCGGTACCAGATGATCCACTCTTACGTGCGGCCATCATAGCTTTAGCTTTAGCGCGAACGCGGTCGGTCTCGGTAATCGATCCACCAGGACCGGTAGGAACAATATATGCCATAAAGTCTTGTCCGCCGTCCTTTTTGCGTCCATCTCGGACCTTGCTATCTCTCAATTCTGCTGCAGCACCTCGGATTTGGCGTGCAAGCACAGGGATATCACGGTTACAAAGGAATTCGATTTCCGCTTGGAGAGACTTTTGGGTTTCCAGCAAATCAAGCATAGTTTCAGAATTCTCAAGATACTTTGCACTGCTTGGGTTTGAGCGGACAGCACGGTTGAGATCCTCTTGGGTTTTTCTGATCTTTTCTTTCAACTCCTCGACAGAGTAGCGACCATTTGTTGATGACGAGGAATAAGTATCATTACGACGAGATTTAGAGTTTACTTTGTCCAACGCACGTTTGACTTCATTAATCTGATAACGCAGATCACTCAGATCACCGTCTTCTTCGCCATTCTCATCCTCAGCATCGCTTTGGTATTTGCGAGGATTTAGTGACGAATTAAATCTACCCTTGCGACGCGCACTAGATACATATCCTCCAGATCCATGCATGTCGTCTTCGTCCTCTTCATAACCACGGTTCGAACGGGGTGATCTTCCATTGGCAACAGAAGATGCTGGGCTGTTAAAGGACGGTGCACGATTGCCAATTACAAATTTCTTCAGGACACTTGATGGAGGTGCCAATTCGGCAGGAAGTTCTTTTGGTACGTCAAATCCATTGAGTTTTCGATAAATAAGATGCATTGCAATGCAAAATTCGTCCTCGTCTAGACTTCCTCTATTCTCACGATCAGCGTGCCCCCAAATTGTCATCAAGTCTTGTTGGGAGATTTGCGATTGCAAGAACACTTGACTTGCAACATCACCCGACAGATAACCTGTGCCAGAGGTTTCCCAGGCATGGAAAATCTCACGATATCTCTGTTTTTCTTCAGGGCTTATTTTCCATGAAATCTGCTCTCCGGGATTGGTTCCCATGCTAGGAATAAGCAAATTGACATTTCCACTTTGGTTTGGCATCATTCTACTAGCAAAATCGTTATTCTGGATCCTAGGTCTTTGTTGGTGCATTGGTGGTGCAATTCCAGTACGCATAGGAGTTTGAACGGATGGAGACATGTAGCCAGTCTGCATCATGTTTTGGTAAGGAAGGGACATTTGCTGCTGCTGAGGTCTAAGAAGCTGTTGTTGTTGTTGCTGTTGCTGTTGTTGCTGCTGCTGCTGCTGTCCATAAGGATATCCTGTCATCATGGACATCTGAGGTGGTGCTCCAGTCATCATTGACATTTGAGGTGGTGCTCCAGTGGCCATAGATATCTGAGGTTGCATCATTGAGTTTCCGCCCATAGACATCCCATAAGACTGTTGACGCTGCTGTTGCTGCTGTTGCTGTTGCTGACTTGGTGGTTGACTGGTCTCAGTAGATGCAATTGTAGCCATAGCAAGTTCCACTTCTTCTCTGACAGATATAGGAAGTGCCCCTGGAAGTTGTTTTCCTGACAGTTTAGTCGAGGTCAAATACATTGCAACCGCAAACTCGGGGAAAGTCAGGTATGGTGCACTTGCGATTGATGATAAATCCCTATAACAGATAAATACATACATAAATACATAGATATATGCATATACAAAACGTTAAGACTTGGTCTATACCATTCGCTTCTACTCTCATTTTAGTTAAAAGTCAGAATAAAGAAAGAAAAGAAGAAGAAAAACACTTTACCAAATCTTGGCCAGAGATTCAGTATCAAGTCTTGAACGGGCCAAAAGATCACGTACCGCAGTGGCTAAGGCATTGAATAGAATTAAGTTGGAATTCTTTATATACTCTATGTATAAACACGGGTCATTCAAGACTTACCACTAATCTGATTGGTGCCATTCGTAGCACTAACAAAGAGATCCTCGAATTTTTTTTGGTCGGTTGGGGTGATGAAGTTGAATCGAAGACCTAAGGGCGGGTGTGCTCAAGTAAGCTTTCTAATGTTCTATTGGTTTGCACATTGACATCATTTGTCACCTTTAGAAGGACTCAACATTGTTGAATTGAGTTGCGGTGGCACTCCCGCGTTGTTGTACATTGTGTGTAGTGTATAAGAAAAGGAATTAAAGAGTGCAAAAAGTGTATCTGTTTCTCTTTGGGATTTATTTATTTATTTTGTCTTCTTATTCTCTGCCTGGTGAATAAGAAGATGAGTAAGAAGAGGCAATATAGTCCAAGCAGAAAGAATAAACACTCCAAGATTCTAAATACAGAACGATTCCACCATTAGCAGTTTCCTAATTAGGGAGGCGCTCATGATGAAGATCGTGTGTACTTCCCTTGTGCTGCAAATCGGCTCACATTGGTCCATCCCATTCTTGTGGAGTGTATGAGAAATATGGTTTTTATCTGCTAAAAAGTCTTTCCAAAATCTATAATAAAAAAAGAGGCAATTTGAAATTGTAATTGTCAGTGTTTAGGATGTATTGGTAAGTGACAACTATCAATATGGACATTTGCATCTTTGTATCTTTGAAATGAATTTGTTTTGTGAATTACACATCTTGGCTACCCAGTTTATTCAAAAGAAATTGTCAAGTTGAATTGACTTTATTAAACTTGTCGAATAAAGGCTGTAATATAGATTAAGTTCTTCTGTAGCTAATAAGAAAGACTGATTTATAAAGTATGAAAATGCAAAAAAAAACAAGGTTTGATATATATACATATGTCCGTGTGTAATACCACAAGCAGTAACTACAGGTAAACTTTTGTCAAGTATACTCACAAAAAGCTTTAAACCGAATTCTGGGACCAGCTATCTTTAATCCTTGACAGTGCGAATTCCGATATAACTTACTATAGCTTACGGACGTGCTCCACTCTGCAACATGGCCGTTGTTTTTTATAATGATCTAATCTAGATATGCTCAGCTGGATTTTAATTCTGAGCTTGGCATGGTGAGTATTCAAAACTTTATAATGTGCTAACAATTTTTCTATAATGACATATTCAAGCTAGTATTGTACCTGGTTCAGTCCTCTTGGAAGGTGGATATATCATGATACTCGTTATATTTTTGATGTCAGATATTGAGGTCTTTAACTAGAAAGCTAAAATAGATATCTTGGCTTACAGAGCTTTCAAGAGCTGTGTATCTCTCAAACCCTTCAGTTTAAGAGAGACTCCCATACCATCACTAAGCCTCCTACGAATTTTCTATTATTTTTATTATTTAAAGAAATATATGCCTTGAAAACCTTTTCTAGAACCCAAAAAAAATACAAGCAAGTAAAGACTATGATCTTTCACAAAAGAGTCTAACTCCTCGGGTCATATTATCTTACGCCAAAACTTCTCTTTCGCAAATATAGCTTATACAAAGCTTTCTGTAGACAATAATACCAGCAAAAGACAAGCTTAATCAAATTTATGCTTTTTAAGAGGACAATATATTACGCTCAGCTAAACAGAAATGAGATATGTGACCCTTGGTTTATTCGACCTTCCTGGGCTAGGGTATGGCTCTATTGGATGGTCGTTCTAATCAATAGTTTTTAAAGATATATGACATACTTGATATCTTCTTAGCTCTTAACTTCATGAAGAAGAAGAGATACCTTTACAAATAACAGTGTTCTGATAGCTTACAGTAAAATAACATATGCAAGTCGCTTATGTTCATAAAAGTTCTTTCTTACTGCAATTATGGTGAGCAAAAGAAAACAAAGTAAAATTGCTCTTTTTTTTTATATAATGCTACTCGTAAATACAGCTATACTTTTTTATAGCAATGTTTTTATGTATTAATTTTTCTACTTTATTTTTATTTATGTAGCAGTGTTATCAAGTACTGGTCTTTTAAATCTTATACATATACTTGTATAATGCTTTCGGCAAATGGTTTGGCTACAGAATAGACCTGGGCTTGATATACACTATGTAGTATTGAAAGTAACCTACTTAATGTCTTATAATAATATGCCTTCCTGTTATTAATGGTCATAATTTATATCTTAATCACTACGATAAAACAAGAGGTGATTAAGAGAGCGATTTCGAGAAATTCTTATGATAATTTTCAAAACCACCCCCTGAATCACCGCTTTTTTCTCATAGAGGCTATGAATGCTTGCATCACAAAGAAATGGTGATGTCATCTGTACTAGCGCGAAAATTATTTCAAGGGCATACGCGTCCGTCTGTTTGTATTTGCCTTCCTTTAGGTCTGCCTACGTTTACGCCAGGTAAGTAATGAACGTAAAGACCACCAGCATGTTAAAGCCAGCTCGAATACGTCTTTTTCGGTGTCATAACTTAACCTGAACATATTTTCGCCTTTTTCTTTTTTAAAGAGGCGCTCTATATTTTCAACTTTTACGGATTTAAGAACCTAAGAGAATGGCTAATTCTACCAAGCTCATGCGCATTAATCTTTAGCAACATCTAACTTTTTTCTGTTTTTTTCAATAGACTGACAGCCAAACATAACCAAAAGCCTAGAAAAACACTCCTGTTCTTGTTCTTGTGTGAAAAATATGCTGCTGATTGCCATGTTTACTAATTTCTGACTTGACATGCAAAGTTGCTAACGTATTTTGTCTGCATAATTTTATAAAAAAAAACAGTGGTCCAGCGAGCGAGTTCATTAAAATATACGAGTATTTTGGTGGACTCTTTTACTCGGTAAGTAATCGTTCCAAAACATAAAATAAAACAAAATATCTCAGCACTTTATCTTGTTCTTATTTTGTATATACGAGGTTCAAGCCAACAGGATTATCTTTTGGGTCCTGACTGAGCTCTGGTGGTGTCCAGGATTCTGAGTACGAGGCCGAGGGTTTCAGGGCATTGCGCCCAACTCCTTTTTTTTGACGAGTAGCCAGTCGTCCTTCATTTCGGTGTGCTAATCCACCGGGTGTCGTGTGAGTGAGATGTCCCATACTTCGTACTATGTTTTTAGTTAGATTTCCCTCTTTGGGCTCGTATTTTTTTTGCGTGTCTGGTTTTGCAGGTACGTACTTTTATATTTCTTTATTTCTTTCTTTTTTATTGCAGCAGATTTTGAAACACAAGAACAAGATGTGGAGCACCGATGGACATAAAGGATGTATATACTGAAGACTTTTTTAATCAATCAATGAATAAGCAAATAATTACATGATATCTCCAAAATTGTGTCGAATATATACTGTAGATTTATTATCTTTATACTTGCATGTCTACAGAATATAAGAATTTTTATAAAGTTAAATAGGAATGAATATGTGTTTTAGGTGCAATAGATAGTTAAACTTATATAGAAGCAAAGTAAAAAAAAAATAGAGCATAATCAAATTGCATAAGAGAATTATAAAACCAAATTACAGACGTCTAACATATTCATGGGGACTTTGGTCAAGAGTATTGTACTCAAGGTTATTTTAAGAAAGCTATAATGTAAAGAACGTTGGTTTTTAATGATCAAAAATTCTAATTAAAGATTAAACAAAAGCTAGGATTATAAGCCATATTAATGGATAAGTTTTTTTTTTAAAAAAAAAGTTCAAACGACTGCAATCGACTAGCTTTCTTCACTTGTCAATTAGATTAAAGAAAGGTTTATGCTTAATGAAAGAAACGATATTACAAGTACTCGAATTTGTCTTATCTTATACGCATTTGAACAAAGTTTGATCTTTTTGAAAAATAAAACGGTGCGTTCGGATATATGGAAAAGATTTTGATTTGATAAGCTTATTACGACCCTATAATCATTAAATATTTGGATCTGTCGACTCAAAATGTATACACTGTCTGTAGTATCAAAACTCGAAGTCCTAGTGAACACTCGGAAACTGACATGGTTCTTTAGAATAAAAGCTTATAGTTTTCTATGCCTATATTCCTTATAAGATACGCTTTGTTTTTTTATACATTTTCAAACTTTAGTAAAGTAAATATATATATATATAATGCCAAAGCCAATTAATAGGCTGTAAATAAGATATATGAAATTTAACAGCTTGATCTGCTTATTTTATAAAGTGCTGTTACCTATTCGTATGACCTACACATTATATAAATATGCGTGTGTGTGCGTTGTGTACTACTTTTTACAATGGCATTACAGTAATCGGACTGATTTATAGATGTACAAAATAAACATTGATATTCAAGCCAGATGTCCTATTTCTGAAAAAAAAAATGCTCATATAAAGCTGACATTGTTATAACAATTGTACTGCCTTTTTTTTGCTTGCTTTTTGTTCGTTTTTTTTTTCTCAAGTGTTCTGTGATGTTTTGATACACTTGATATATATTTGAGCTGCTTTTTCTTATTCTAATTATTCTTTCTTTTTGGTAAATTTTGGAATTTGAAACTGGTTAAATATACCTGGTTGTATTTATTTTGTACAATTATTTGGTTAATAAAGCTACTAAACCGCACACGCTCAAACCTACACTTGTACACTTGTACAATCGTACGTATAAGAGAAATGACAGAGGGCTTTGCTCTCTGCATATACCCTTATTTACTTTGTCATTCGTATGACTATTTACACTGTGAGTCTTTTTTTTTCATATAAAAAATAATGATTAATTCACGCCATTTTTATTCTCATTCTTAATTTTAATTCTATACATGTATAGACACAGAAACAGATACATATATTCTTCGTAAAATGAAAATCTCCATGTGCTTAATGTTTCCGGTAATAAGCGAAAAAGAAAAGAAATAGCAAAACCTACTACAAAAATAGGATGTTATACTTTCTGCATAAATCAATATCTACTACTGCAAACTCTCTTTTTTGATGATGATGATAATGGTGATGATGTCGTTGTTGTTGCTGCTGTTGTTGTTGTGTACACCTCTTCCTCCTTCCAAGGGTGCTTTTTCTTTTTTTATTCGCTTTTTTTATAGCTTAGATAAGTATAAAAATCATGTTGTATCACCGCTACTATTATCATCATAGTGACGAAAACATACTGCGGTTTCTACTGCACATCTTTAAAGAAGCCCTTTTGTATACCAACACATCACACAACCTGTGCACAAGCAAATATACATGCACATATATAAGTATTCTCAGTATAGTTTTGGATCACACAACTCTCCTTACTAGGAAATATTGCATATATTACAATTGTCCACGAGTGTGGAGAAGAAAAGAAGAAAATCGGATATTATGGATTTGTAAGGCTATTGTTGTTTATTCAATTATGGATCTTTGAAGAATAGATATAAGTATATAATAGAAAGTATTCTTCTATTAAAGAAGTCTATAAATATGCTTGTTACTTATTTATTTAGTTTTACATTTCTTTGTTCTATTTTATCTTGGCTTATTACTTGTTGTACAAATATCATCTGTAACGTACCTTTTCTTCTTCTTTTTTTGCTTAGGTCAACGATGAGGCGTCAACAGAATATGATGTATTGACGCTGAGTAAAAAAGAAAAAGCATGTGAATCTAAACAGCCAGAATTAAATGTACTGATGATTTGAAATACCAATATTAATGTTGATGTTGATGTTGATATTGAGGATCAACCCATTTAGGATAATTTCATAAAAGAAAATTACTTCTCTGTTTGTTTAGGTATCAATATATTACACGTTATTTGTATATGTGTATGAGTTAGTGTGGTTGAATGATTACTATTTAACTGAAATGAAACAAAGAAGAAGAAGAAACATAATGATCCGAAAATAAAATGTTCAGCACATGGCTCCTCTTCTTCAAGAGATGCCCAGGGCACAGCTTTGCATGAGCTCCTTGTAATAGTTACACAAGCGCTGTGAATGGTATAGATCGCATGGTGATGAGCAAACTATACTTCCTTGAACATGGTTGCCCTTTAAAGAACTTGCAAGTATAGCTGTATAAAAACAGGAATCTGAAAATAAGCTCAGCGTGTACGGTATCACTAAGGTTTGATTCAGAGAAAGTTAAGATTAATGTGTCACATTTGACACCTTTTCATCATTTGGGCTTGGTAGAAGAAGAAGAAAAGCTATTTTAGTTATACGCACACATCCAAATGTGTGTATATATATATAAGTGCGTATGCGTGTTGAAGTATTTTTTTTATTTATGACCTTGTTGTTCTCTTTAAAAAATGTTGGCCTCTGACCTACCATACGACATCCTCACAAATATTGCAGAGTACCTTTCTTGCGATGACTCCCGTGAATGCTCTTACTCCTGTAAAGCATGGCTGACACCCTTTAGAAAATATGGGTGGAAATCAGTCTTTATCAACAGTAAAAGTTACTTTGAACACATCTGCAGTCAATCAAGCTCAAAAACGGATTTTTCTCTAAAGGCCAACCGCTACTTTGTACGCAGCTTAGATATTGGATACCACATCAAAGTCAACAATGAACAACTACACACACTGCAACAACAATTTCAAAACATAAAACACTTTACTGTGACAAATGGAGTATTTGATAGCTCTAGCTTTGGGAACACAACAGATTGGCGCAGTTGGAGATATCTTGAAACACTGGAAATGACCGCACCTGCAATGAAATCCATAGTCCAATTTAACAATGTATTCGAGTCATTGTCTCATCTTGAAAGCCTTTCAAATCTATCTCTCAATGGCTACCACAACGGAGATGTAGTCTGCACCTGGGAAGATATTGATAGGATACATGAATATTTACCTAAACTAAGGAAATTGGAGCTAAACATGGACTTTTCGCCGATGAACATAAATGCCCTGGCGAAAATAAAAGAGTCAACAAAGCCAGCGATCAACATCACCCAGATCAACTTTCACATCACACGCACTACCGCACTGTGGCTATTCTATTTTACGTGCAAATACCCGAACATTGAGTATTTCTCTTGGGGGGATGGGTTCAAAAGCGACGAGCAGTATGAGAACTGGGAGCTTATTATGCCCATGTTCTTCAGCCTAGATACTATGTTCCCCCGTCTAGTCGATATCTTTTTAAACGCCAGTGGATCAAATGCTAGATCTTCGTATTCAAATTTTTGGAAACTCATAAATCGGTTCAAGGCACCCCTTAAAAACGTGTGCTACAGTACCAACTGGGAGCTAGATACTATTGCTGAGCCAGAGAATACACTCACGGAATGTCTTCAAGCTTGTTCGCCAACTATGGTGACATTGTATTATGGGAACAACACTAGACCTCAAAGTGTCAATAAGGCACCGATTGAGTTTACCATGTGCCCGCGTCTTGTTGATCTATGCTTAGAGTTCTTTGGAAGCCGGCTCAAACTCGACAATATTTTGGACAATTGCCCAGTCTTGAAGAAACTAGTACTGAAGTGCAAGCTCCTTTTCTTAAGTAGAGAAGCAACCAAAAATTCGGCTGTTCCGCATGGTTTGGAATCCATCGTACTCACACGAATAAAAACTACTACCACCGTATTCAGCTACCTATCGCTTCGTTGCAAGGATTTGAATAGCATGCGGCTGAAGTTTATCAAGGTGCGAGGGCTTGTATCTCCAACTACTGGCAGTTTGTGCATCGACATGCCGTTCACCCACTTTAAGCTTCTAAGAATAGTTCATTCGACATTCTCACTGCATAAGCATCAATACGATCAAACAAATGTGGACGATAAGGAGCATCACTTTAGCTACAGTCCTCAGTTGATCAATCTGCTTACTATACAGTACACCGCACCTCCAGAGAATCATGATAGCCCTGACGATGTATCTACAGAGACACCTTCCGAGCAAAGTGTCAGTCAACTTTGGTTTCATTTTTATCTTGATCTTTCACAACGCATTCCGGGCAGCAAATCACAACTTCTTACTCCAGAAGAAGTAAATTATGCTCAGATGCACTTTGAGTCGTTTAAAGAAAGGAATCGTATTCTACGGGGTAGTTCTGACCAAAGACCTGGGAACTATTGCTGGCATCCCAAGCGTTCTTGGAAAAATGACCTTGTCCATGGCCGTGTACTACTTAACTGTAGGGGTTTAGATGAGTATCATATAAAGGGCGTGAGAACCAAAGGATGTTACTCTGAATCCGACGTATCTTATTGATGTATAGACATTTTATTTATCTATTTATTTGAATATTAGACCGTTTCATTTTTTTAATATATATGCTATATTAAATGTATTATACAATAGAACATTTTATTATTTTATATCATTTGTCTTTGTCTTTGTCTGTTAAGCTTCTTCTTCAATACCTCATTACTTATTTCTAGTGAATATTTTCTTAGTAATGCCCTTCAAGTGCATATAAAAGAAAATGGACACAGAAAGAGGGTTACGATTATGTGGTGCGAATAAACAAAAGAACAAAATATTTGTTGTTTTAACTATCTTTCCTGTCACCCTTTTGTACTCTTAATCTTATAAATGATATATATATATATATATAAGACGTAAGCCCCCCTTCATTCCTTACTTCACCCTTATTGATTCTTTTAGGCTATTGGTTGTTTCTATATATATAAAAGAAACAAACCAAACAAACTTAGTACAACATTACACAATAAAATACGGTACAGTAGGGTGCAGCAAAATACCTTTCTTATTGTATCTCTCTCTTCCTTCCGCTTTCTTTCTTTTTTTTGTTTATTTCTTTTCTTCTCTCTTTCTTTACTTCTTTCTCTTTGTTGGTTATGCTAGCTTCTGAACTTCCTTATGATATTCTTTCTCTCATTGCTCAGAGATTATCTTGCGAAGATGCTCGTGTGTGTTCAGTCGTCTCTAAATCCTGGACACTTGTATTTAGGGAACAAGCGTTCAAGACTTTAGCTGTGTTTAGTGACACCAAGTTCAAAAGAATACTCAATGCATATGCTTGTGAAGAATACGAATATCTAACTACAAATCAAAAAGATCCCAGATATAAACATCAAAGTCAAAATCAAAATCAAAATCACACTTACTATCCGCTTGTCCAGAATTTAGAAATAAAACATTTTGAAACGAATGACCGTCAGAATCGTACGTTGCAGCACTATTTTCAGAATCTTAGGCGGATTTCTGTAGCTTGGAATATCTCAAGAGTCACCAGAACTTCTAGGGAAACGACTCGCTGGGACCTTTGGGGGTCATTGGAAATAATCGACTTGCGTGTCCCTCGTATCAGAGAATCAGATGATTTGGATTACGTTCTTAAAACACTCGGAGCCCTTCCCCACCTTTGGAGCTTTACATTTGAATGCGATGAAATATACACAGCGGTCGGGTGGCGGACAATTGAAGACTTAAACAGGCATCTTCCAGGTCTGAAACACATGAATATATGTCTCATGCTTGACGAAATACCTCTGCAAGACTTATTGTGCATAGAACAAACAGTACCTTCCACGAAAATGACAAGTGTAGGAATTACGATTAATCAATCTGGTCCTCAATGGTTCTTGTATCTTTCCTACAAGTATCCTAACCTAAAACACTTGGATTGGCGTGATTCGTCTGATTATTCCAAAATGTACCATGACTGGAAAACAGTGGCGCCAAACCTTATGTCAATCAGTTCCAATTTATCCCAGCTACAGTACTTTAACATAAAAACTTGCGGAACACATTCAAATTCGTTTCACTGTAACTTTTGGGACGTATTTCATTATTTCGGACTACCAGTGAAGAAACTTGTCCTTGATGCAGCTTGGGACTGCAAACTGCGTGCGGAACCAGAAGATGTTCTAGCTAAATGTATGCGGGCTTGTTCGGCTACTGTTGAGTCGATCACCTATAGCTACAACTATGATAGACATGAAACCAGAATGAGACCAGTGTGCTTCAATATATGTCCACGTCTTGTTACAATGTTTTTAGAGTTAAGAGAGAGTGCCTTTACACTTGATTCGCTCTTGGATAACTGTCCGGCATTGAAAGACTTACAGTTGACCTGCAAGCTGCTTTTACCCGGAGAAAGCCTAACATCCAGTTCCAGGGACTGTTTACCACCAGCTCACGGTTTACAAGCAATCACGCTTAATAGAGTAAAAACTACTACAAAATTGCTCAACTATGTGTCTCGACGGTGCCGCCAGCTTCACACCATGAAACTGATCCAAACAAATATCCGGGGTCCTATTTCTCAGACATCAGGTCAACTGGATATCGACATGCCTCACACACACTTCAAGCTCTTGAAAATAGTGTCGCCGGTATTTTATTCGTACAAAGAAGAGTATGATTATGATAACATGGATGAATGCGCAACACACCCAGTAAAGTTTCTAGGAATAGAACAGACAGACTCGCCCGATCTGTATACTCAGCTTGATGTTTCGTGCCCATTAGTACCAACAAAAAGATCTCTGGTTCTATTCAGTAGAGAGCTTAAATATATGGTTATGAAAACTACTTCAATAGTACTCTCAACTGATGAAGCACAGCATGCCTTTGATTACTTCCAATCGTTTTCTTATAGGAAAGATTCTGCTCACAACACCTCAGTCCATAGTCTCAATACGTATGAGTTGACGGAAAAATCTTTCTGGAAAGTATTCCTCTTTAACGGGTACTTTTTGTTGCGTTGCAAACGCATTGATTACAGTGTATTTAAATAACTTTAACATCATATTTATAAAGCCAGTGTTTTTGCTACTGTTGTTTTTGGTGTTCTCTCAATGGCATATATATGTAAAAATCAACCCTAAAGATATTAATAAAAGGGTCTTATTGAGGTGTAGAGAAGAGAGAAATGGAGAGTTTTGGTTATTATTTGTAAAGGGTATTGCTTGCTTGCTTTCGTTTTGTTTTTCCACTTTGCAACTAAATCGTGTGGAGTATTTAAGGTGTATATATAATCACATCAAAAAAAGACCTCCTCCTTCCGATCTCTGAGTCTAAGAAAGCTGCGAGAGAAATTATGATATATATCTAACATGTAATTTCCCATCAAGAACAATAGATAAAACCTTTAAACTTCAAATACAGGATGATATATTTCCTTATTATTGAAATATATAAAAACAAAAGTACCAATATCTAGAGTGACGTCCCTTGGCATTGATCCTACATGCTGCCGGCCAAAGTTAATGCAAGTTCAATACCTATTCTTTTCCCTTCTCGTTGCATTACAGGCTTTATATCAATGATCTCGGTGATAATAGTCCTATCATTACTCATATGCTTCTCGAAACCCCACCAAATGTGCTCAATGAAGTATCAGTTTGGGCTCTAAGTTAGCCAGTAGTCAAGACCCCGGGTCTCATGACTGTCTTTCTACCATCTCAAAAACCACTTGGTATGGCAGCTGGCGTTGTCTTCTTCGAACACGAGGTGCCCGTTCTGTCCCCGTGAAAGATCTTGAGACCAAGAGAGGAAGTTCTGAGTCAAAGTGTTCACACATTGATATTGGTTTACGTTGCTATCTACGAATACAAAATATCCCAGAAACAGTTCGAGATCATCACACCATACTTCCCCCACTTGGTTCCTTGGATATGATTTTTTTCTTTTACCCTTCACCAACTCTTCTGATAGTTCTGGTTGCCTCCATTATTACCCATGGCTATGAGCCGCAATTCATCGGTAAATAAAGCGCCTCTTCATCGGTCATCGGTCGAATTGGTATGAGCACGAGCCTATTTTAGCGGGTTTTTTTTGTGGCTGTCTGTCAAGGCTGGTTTATGAGCTACAATATATGAATCAAAGCCTAAATGTGGGAGACAGCTGATTACTATGTCTTATAATCTTCTCATCAATCCTTCTAGGTCTTTTGGACCCATTCTTCTCGGCTCAGTTTAACCCTGTTTCTTTCACTCTGTAGCTAAGGTTTCGACTGCACCATAATCTAAGCAAATGCAAATCCATATACATAATACACCTATACTTGTAAGAATTGACTTTCTCATATAGACTGTGGATGATAGTTGATAAAATTGCGTCTTAAACTTTGGATTCAATTAATACAATGAGAATAAGGAAAGAAGAAAACGTTTTTTTTTTCCTTTTCGGTTGAGGTAGTAGAGAGGTTTTTTTTTAGCGTAAGTGTCTTTCATTTAATTTAATTTTTTGATATTTTACCTTTGGGAGGATTTGCAATATATATATAGACCTCTTTTGATTTTTTTTTGCATTCTCCTGTTAAGAGCACATACATAGATATATGGACTGATAGATATAAAATAACAGGCTTAAGGGAAAGGAGATGTACCACATTTTCATGTACATTCTGTTGCTGCTGCTGTTGTTTTTCATTGCTTTGTTTGGCCAAGGGATCACCAACAATGGAGGACATAAAATAAAATATTACATCTTTAGACATCGAATAATTGTGTGTGTGTGTGTTGTATGTATCATTTACTCCCGGGGTAATATAGGTCATCCAATCCAAGTTGTCGGATTACGCATAAAATACAGGTATGTATATATACTCAAAGTCTTGGCAAATTTTATATTTATACAAGTATTTTCAAATTGTGTGTTACAAATTCTGTTTATGCGTATATCACAAATATATATAGTACTCTAGAAAGAAAGGACTGGGATACATTATTACTAGAGACCATTTGGATGTGTAACATAAGTGTTCTTCTTATTCTTCTTTTGGAGATTTTCTTGTGATTTTTGGTTTTCGGGCTGTTTCTGTAAAAGAATAAAAATAGGTTTCGATACATACAGATCTTCTATCTCCTTTAGAAATTTGGGATGCACAGTAAGAAAATAAACAAGTAAATAAGAGAATCGAATTTTGATTTCTTGGTTTTTACAAATGCTTTTGCATGCGCCTCTGTTTCTTTATTAATACTATACTTTGTGGAGGAAGAAGTGGGCTTTGAATCTTAAATGAATGCTACGGATTTAAGGTGTCAAAATCCAATAAATAGGATTTCCATTCTTTTGATTTATTTTTTCTTAATACATATATGTACAATGCAATTTTTGCTGGTACAAAGGCTAATAATTGGAAGATTGTTTTCCTCTCATCTTCTTTTTAATTTTATGAAAGCTTACTAAGAAACTCTAGACTCTTAAAGCGGCCTTGATTGATCTCTTGAATAAAATCGGTGTATCGAAGCCGTTCTTTTTTTTTGTTTTTTTTTTTGGTTGTTACTTTTTTAACTGAGCAAAATTAGCGTGTTACACTATCTTGGGTAACACTTGGCTGGCTGTGAGATCAGTTGAATCTCACTCTTCAGTCCTGCTTTTTCTTTTCTTTTGTTTTATTATTATTATTATTATTATTATTATTATTATTATTATTATAAAAAGAAATTGGAGAAAAGCAAAGGTTTATTGAAACCATAAAAGACAGAAAATTATATATATATTATTGATTTTTCTTCTTTTGAATTGTTCAGTTTGACAAACCAAAAGTAAATGGCTCACAGCTTGTATAAATTAAATAAGTGCTTCTCTTTCTACCTTTCTATTGTGTATCTGTAGGGATAAATTGCACTGACAATCTCATTCAAAGATATTATCATATTTCACAATCTAATGTAAAGATGTATATATGCAAGATAGTTTATATTTTATTCGTTTTTAAGTTGACGAGTATAATTTATTGTTAACTAATATTACTGCTACTATTTATTCTTCTCGGTAGGACTTTGAAGTTAAAGTAACCATGGCAACTAATTATTATTTCGATTCATTTCAGGTAGAGTTTATTGAAACAATTTGAAATAGATAAATAAATTCTTGGCAATATATATTATATTAACATCTTATTGTTATTATACATATTTATGTTCTTTACCCGAGGTTAAATAAATAAATAGACTTTCGGATTCTGTAATTCTTTATATATTATTGTCGTCATTACAATTATCACTTTGACTAATTTTGGTTTATAAACGTGGTCTTTTTATATTTACTTATTGATTTCAACTACAGTAACTTTAGTTTTTTTTTTCGGACCATCTCTTTTTAATTTCAATTGAAATAAAAAAAAAGGTCAGTTTTATTTTCAGGCATTTTTCACTGAATTTAGACAAAATCTCTTATAAAGACTTCACCCTCCCCCTCTCCTCCAAAGTCCTAAGACGGTGGGCGCAATGTTTGGTGGTCGCCACCTCGCAGAGAGATAACGAAGAAGATGTGGAGGAGAAGGCGAGTAGTTGGCAGTAGGAGCCATTATCAGAGGAAGTTAGGTATAAAAGAATAAGGTAGCCTTTTTACCTCATTAAACTTGAGACAAGAAGATACACTTTGCATCATGCTCTTCAATGGAGCTCATAACAAACAATGATAGTATCAGTAAATATTTATGGATTTTTGATAGTTCGTTCTTCTTATAGTCTTGTTTGACTTTGACAAAACCAGAAGCTCCACCGATTTTTCCCTGTTAAAGAAAGCAGCCTGCATCAGTGTGTTTCTGATAACTTTTTAATACATTGCGGTTTAAGCTAAAGTTTGAGCGAATACTCGGTATCTTCAGTGCTAGTCGCTTATATTGTATTATCAGTGCTTCCTACGAGAAGAACAACCTGCTATGACTAGCGTCATGTAATAGGGAGCTTAATATTGAATCTACGAGATTTACTATGAGCTCTTGCTCTTTAATCTTATACTCCTTAATAATCTCATTTGGCGGTTTGTTTAATCTAGAAGTCAAAGGTTATTGGTTATTAGTAGCTGGCTGTACTTTTCTAAGCTTGTGCGTAGTAGGTACATATTTAACAGGACATATAGAATTCTTCTGTCCGGCTTGCGTGCTTTCTTGTAAAGGTCAAACAGCTAGATATTTACATCGTCTCTATCATTGATATTACCCTAATAAAAGGAGATGATATAAGATACTATCCCACAATTCTCTTCAACGTGTATCTTCTTTACCCTGAATATATTTACTAATTCCATGAAAATTGAGTCTGCAATTTTGTTATTGGAACAAAGCTCAAAATCTTTCAGTAAGTTATCAATTATTATCGAAAAGTTTATTCCAGGGTATACATAGCTCTTCTTAAGTGATATAATGTTAAGTAGCGAGACATATATGGAGAGTTAGTATTTAGTTTCTCGACTCACTTGAGTAAAAAGACTTACATAATCTCCAACAAGATCCCTTTGACAAATAAATCTTCCATTTTAGTTGTCTTAAAAGGCTCTCCTTGATACTGACAAGTGGTCGGCTGATTATGTGGTTTCAATGACCAACTCAGTGCCAATAAAATGAACCGGTAATATCAGAGGGACGACGTTTCCTGGTGGAGCGCAACATTTTGATTCTACCGGACCACAAATCGTGACCTTTTTGCTGGCATGGAATAGCTCTATTTGGTCCCTAAGAATCCGTTATTGCTGTAATAATTGACTAAGAACTTTAAAGGTATAGATACAATTCAGAAGACAAAACATTCATAAAGCTTTTCTTTTGTGCTTTGCAAAAAAAAAAGAGTGGATGGAGTTTGCTTACCAGTTGGTGTTGTCAAACTCTGGGAATACGAGTAGGTGAAAGAACGAGAAATGCATAGTATGCGAAATAAGGCTAATAAATAGTAAAAATAACAAGCAAGGCTGCGTCACACTTTAATGCCAACAACTTCTTATGATCTTCAGCACAACTGGCTATTGATATAGTGTATTTGTGACGAATTATTATTTATTTATTGCCAAGTTTAAATTTAGGACACGAACAGCTATTTTGATACGAATATATAGTATGAATTATTGGAAATATTATTTTGACCTGAAGGATTAGAAAAGGACACCGAGCCCAAGACAGGTGTTCGGAATTAATTAGTCGAGTGATAAAAATGTCGTGTCCCACAAGAAAATGTTGGCCTCGTAGGATTAGCGTTTATTTTTGAAACATTTAACAAATCTCAAAGTACTGCAGTTTTTTAATTTATGCCGTTTTATTTTTCTTTAAAACTCCGGTAATTATTTCTCAATTTGGATATTTTAATGCCTGGATTTTAACATCCAAAAAAAGAAAGAAAGAAAAAAGGTTTACCCTTTCAAAATAAAGATTCTTTTTTTAGAAAATATATTTGCGAGCCAAAGAAAAGAAAAGGAAAAGGAAATCCTATAGATATATATATTGAAAAACACATGTGCAAATATTATAGTATATTTGATATATTAAAGGTGTCATAATTAATTTTAGACGTTAAAAGAAGTAGAAAAGGGTGTTTGATAGCAGCAAAGAATCTGATTATATAGATAGATAATATGGATAATCAGCATATTATTTTATTTTTTATTTTTTATAATTTATAATTTATAATTTATAATTTGCCTGCTTAAATAGATTTTCAAGGTTTCTGTGGGTGAAATAAAAAAAAAGTTGAAGGAAATGATTGAGGGCTAAAGCTCTTTTCCTGTTTTTTTTTTTTCTTTTTTCTTTAGCAAGATATTCAATGGTTCTTGTTACCTTGAATATGATATGTAGATATAATTTGTGGATAATACAATGGCTATCTTTTGACAAAATATCAATTATTTTATATAAAATAAATTATTAGAGATGTAAATCTCTTTTGGTGTGTGCAACATACCCCATAAGCCTTACTTTTCGTATTACAAACCTAATTCAGTCACCAATTTTTATTTTTATTTTGTTACTCTTTTGGTCTGTGCAAGGATCACTATAGGCTCAGTTCCTTTTTATTTTATTATTGGTGTTAAGCCTATTTACGATTTGCTAGAATATACAAAAAAAAAGGCCGTTTGGAACATAAGAGTGATAATAAAAATATAAAGTAAGTGGAGCAGGAAAAGGTTGATAATATATATATTTGTTTCTGTTGACCCTTGTAGAATCAAAACCATAGTGGTATTCTACTTTCAAAAATATTGACATTTGATTTATTCATATACACCTTAATATTATTCTTTTTACCTGATTATATTTGGCCAAATTAGCAAAAGCTTAATTTTATCTCAATCAAGGGAAAAAGAAGAAGAAAATAACAAGGCTGTCTGAAGTTAAAGTAAATATATATAAATATATAGAATATAAAATATAAAAAATAAAAAATAAAAAATAAAAAATAAAAACGATGTTGTGCCTCAGCTTCTCACACGCTTTACCCCTCTCTCTCTCTCTCTTTTTTTATTTCTCTCTCTTTATATTACTACCTATCGCTCTCACTCACTCGCTGTCTATATACACATTCACGGAACAATGATGATCGTGCCTTTCGCCTTGGTAAACCTTGCCTTATTCACCCTAGTCAATGCTGGCCAGGCTTCGTTTAGTCTGGATCATTCGGGGCTATGCAGAGTTCCGGGAATTGGAGAAGATTGTGCGGACGCCTGCTCTCAACTCGACGACACGAACGGCATTTGCGTACAAGGACAGTGCCACTGCACCAGTGTTGGAGTTGGCAATTGTCAAGACTTCAATTTTGAAGGTTGCGATTCTATTTGTCTCGAAAAGGCATCCGATCTGGTTGGGATTTGTTTCAACGGCCAATGTGGATGCTTCTCTTAGACCATCGATTTCTTTCATTTCACCCAAGAACAAGTCCTTTCCTGATCCCAGTCATACTTTTGCTTTCATTTTTGCATTGCATTGCACCATTAATGGTCGAAATTAATCTGTAACCACCGTACAACCTTTTACTCTTTCTTGCTTAGTATTCAGATCCAAGTAGCCACATTCTTCTTCTCCCTATTATTTAGGAGAGCATTAATATTCAACATTTCATAGAGATTCTTCATTTATTTTACTTATTTTATTATCATCATTATACATTCACATTCATTATATGCATATATATGTATGTCATATATTTCATTTATATTTTTCCCTTTTATTTATTCTTAATAATATGCATTATATGTATACTCTTCTTCTTATTATTATTATTACTTTCCGCTTTGTATGGGTATATTTTCTTTAAATAAATATAAATCAACTGTATAATATATGTCGTATATGTGATGATGATTCAAAATGGCATAGCTTGCTCATAAATTTGTGCAACACAGCGGTAAATTTATTTATTTTTTGAACTATACAAGATTTCTCCAGTGTATATAAATATTAAGTCTTTGTGCTATAAATCGAGACAAGGCACGCAAATAAAGTCCAGAGATCAGTCATTGTATATCTAATTAATATGTTCAGGACAGAACTATCATGAAACTTAGAACACACACTTTATCTTTAATCTTTAAATACGGTATATTTCTACCACTATAGCTTTTTTTTCTCATTTTACAGACCCAATGAGCTATTATGCATTGTCAATGCATAATGATACTCGCACACATAATTTTAATACCAAAAACACACACACGCACATACAAAGGGGTTCAAATCTGAGCTTATTGATACCATACTCAAGAACATCAATGACAGCCCCTTCTGTGCCATTCATTTATCATGGCTGACTTGTGTGATGCTATGATACATTATTCGATATATACATATATACTCATTGCTCTTTTCTGATGAGGCTATCAAAGTATAACTTAAAGGGACTCTCTGTGACTTCAAAATACATCACATTCATGTTACCCTTGAACATAACAAAGGCTCCGACTCTTTCAATCACAATATATTAATCCACCCAACTTTACCCCTCCTCTTTCCTACCCATACAAAAATCTCCGTATCATTATACCTTATACTACTACTACTACTACTACTTTTATTCTTTGCCGGGGGGAAAGAGGGTAATAATTCATCCCATAATTTTCTTCACAAGTGGACATTCTCATTTACTCTGAAAAGAGAAGAACAAATTCGACTCATCACTTCAGATTACCGTCTTCTATTTTTTTATTTCAGTTTATTTTCTTTTTCACTTCGGCTATAGTATTGCAGTACATATCTTGATTGTGGAATTCTGTGTTAATATCATTTTTTTAAGTAATGTAGTAATGTAGTAACTAGTAAAGTCTATACTTCTTGTAAACTATAGTAAACTCTGATGTCAATCACTTTTCACAAGCTTCTCCAAGTAATATTTATCTTTAGGCTTAGACATTTCTTGGGCAAGGTTTATTCTATACTTCACTTTTATAGCACAAAATACTTTTAAATGTACATTCCTACATCGGGAGATTTTAGTAGCTGGTGTTTCAACTTTAAGTGTCTCAATCACCATCTATTTTTTTTAGAAACCGAATATATCTTGTACTTTGGTTACAAAGGCTGTTATTATCATAGCTTGAATTTTGAGAAAGGGTGATCGGTATTTGTAAGATTGATGAAAATGATAAAAGTTAAATTACATTATGTGTTAAGAAAATGGATTCATCAAAAGGGGAACCTTACGGACAGCCTGGCGGGACAGCCTGGAAGGATATTTAGAAGTATGTTACGTCACCTAGTCACGTGTTTGGGCAAATGTCATATTGGCGGGACAGCTTGGGCAGCCTGGACAGCCTGGAAATATTTTATGACACTTTAGTTCCGAGTTTAGACAAATAGTCATTTTTTTGGGCGGAGGAGGGAGGGGGGACTATATAAAGTGTTCTTTAGTTTGCCAATAAAATCACTGCCCTTTTTTTACTACAACATCAGCACATAATTTTTTTGACATCTAAGATGAGCAACATCAACAACACCAATGACCATGTCATTGTTAGTGAGACTTCTTCAAAGAAGTACAATGCTGCCCTGACCGAGTTCAACTCGATATTTCTTGTTGGAAGAGAATTCTCTTCAACTGTAGCTGTTTGTGAAGCTACCAAAGCATATGGTGCTAAGCATAATATTGTACTCATCACATATTCTTCTTCAAGCACCCATATAAGAAGGATTTGTAAACACTATAGTGAATACAGAGACACTCAAAAGGCCGAGAAAGTTGTTTTGGAAGCCTCTGTCAACCAAAAAACCCCTGTTCCTGGGTGGGAGAGCGAGCGCGTAAAGGATACCCAGAAGAGTGGTTGCCCTTGTTTTGTATATGCTTCGAAAAAGAAGGATGGAAAGGTTTTAGTCCATTCTTGTGAGGCAAATCATAACCATCCAATTGTGGAAGGTCGTAGAGCATATGCTATGCATCGAAAACTTTTCCCTGAAGCCATGATTCTTGTTACAAAGCACCTGAAAGACAATGATACTTTTTCACAATCTTCAACAATTTGAAGAAAAATAGATTTGTCAATATCATTCGCCAGGATATTGAGAATATTAAGCAGCATTTTGGAAAGGAAATGTTTAGTTTTATAATAACACTACAGGATCTTGACTTCCATGTCAGATATACTGTTGGCAATAGTGAAGCGAACAAGATAAGCATAATCTTCTTTGTTCATAAAGATGCGATTGACAAAGTCAGACAAATGTCCGAGACAGTTGTGATTGATGGAACATATAAGAATAATAGCCATCGAATGACTTATGTCAACATTGTTGGTACCAGCAAAGTCAGTGGAAATCTATGTACAACTTTGAGGACCTTCCCAATTGCTGGTGCTTTGGTTGAACACGAGACTGAAGAGAACTATTACTGGGTACTTTGCTGTCTACGAGATGCAATCTGACCAAAGAGTAAATACAATGACAACAACACTGCCACCACCACAAATCTTCTGCCAAGTGACTTTATCACCGACAACAAGAAAGCATTGAGAAATGCAATAACCAATGCTTTCCCTGAGTCCAAACAACTCTTGTGCTATAAGCACATTAAAGATAACTTTAAGAAGCAACTCCTACCAGTGATGAAGGAGGATGAGAATGGAGACAAGAGAAGCTTCTTGAATGAGTTGGCTGGTCATATCAACCGAATTGCTTTGAAGTGTATCACGTCTGAAGAAGAAAAGAAAGAAATAGATGCATTTCACAGTTTTGCCAAAGCTAACTGCAAAGACCAAGAAAAAATAGCACGGACTTTTCTTGAAAGGTATGCAAAGTGCTGTTATATTTGCTAGACAAAGTTTGATAACTATAAACAATAACATTTATTTTTTATATACGCTTTCAGAAAAATGAATGACAAAGAGAACTTGATGAATTCTTATGTTTTTAAGCATACTCACTTTGGAAATCGCACTTCCAACTGTGCAGAAAGTACACATGCTTCATTAAAGCATGCCCTTGGAACTTCATCTGGTAAACTGAAGACAGTCACCATAAAAGTTACCAAGTGGTATGAGGAGTTGATATGTGTATGCTTTATTATCTTAAACATTAATGGATTAAACTTTATAATAATGGTAATTAATGGTAACATTTTTGTAACTTTTAGAGATTGACAATAGAAAGCGTAGATTGACAATGGACTGTCTCGGAGAGAGCACTACCATTGTGTTTTATAAAATCAATTCTTCCCAGTTGAATAATATTTGCCATAAAATTCGTCTTTTTGCAATGGATCATATCAAACTTGAACTCGCCAAATCAATCATATCTGAAAAACTTCCAAAAGAGTGAGAATGTCTCATTAACTCGAACTATCTCTTGTCCTGCTACCATCAACTTGCGCAGTATAATAAAGTTCATATTTCTTGTATTCCTAGACAATGGAGAATAAACTACTTTGAAGAAGAAGGTAATGTATAGATATAGATATATAATTGATATTAAACTATCTCCTTATTTTATATACTCTTTTATACAGACCACTCGATTATCAACAACACGTTACCTGTATCTAAAAATATTAACAAGATTACAACCATAACACTCCAACTTGATTATAAGCTTGAAAGAATTACCCAAATACTCAACAGCGCCCAAAGCAAAAAACAGCAAGTAAATTTTGAAGAATATATTGACAAAATAATAGAATTAGATGCTAAGCAGAAACTTGAGAACATTAATAGTTCAACAATAGTGAAAGCTATCTCACATGTGGTATTTCAGGTACGAAACAATAAAAAAAAAAAAATTTGATAATAGAGACGTATAGAAATACTTTGAGACTGTATATAAGTTGTCTTTATTCATAAATAAAAAGTGTCCCTTTTTATAAGAAAACACAATCTGCTCTTGTCATTACGTCTTAGTTTCTTAAGGCTTTCTTCCTTTACTATATTTGGTTATTAGAGTGTATTTACTGCTTAACTAGTGTCGGTGTTACAATTATGACATCAAGTCATAAATTGTACTTCTTTAGCTCTTAGCTATTCTTTTCTCTTTTACACTAGAGCTTTAGGACTTCCTACTAAATTAGCTCCATATCGATCTGACACAGTTTACCCGGCAGTATGATATAATTATCTTAACAATCTTTAAGATATTATCTACAGTACTAACTGTAATAATTATTGGGCTGATTACTTAATCGTTTATATATATTTTATACTGACAAGATGATAGCTACTACGCTATCCCAATATGAATATGTTCTTATATGTGATAAATCCAACATCCGAGTGTCTGGATCACCACATCACAAAGTCATAGTAAAAAAAGCATAACCTAGAGGACTTTTCTATTCTATATTAACTACCAAAATATGAACTTCATAATGGAATTACATTCAATAATATTAATATTTATCTTATTTTGTAGATCTTTTTATTTTCTTTTTCTTTTTTATCCCATTTTCTTGTTTTCATATTTATCTCTTTATCTTGTTATCTCTTTATTCTCTTATCAAGTTTTATTATTATTATTCATATTATTCTTTGTAGCAAAAAACTTTAATTAACAATCGAATTTAAAATTCTTCCGGAATTTGATAATACCATCAAACAGGAAGACAAGACCCAAGTGCTATTAATCATCTTTTATTTAAACAGCAAAAAACTATATAAAGTAATTTTTTATTCTTTGTGTATCTAATTGATCATCTTTTTCACTTGTCATTACCACTACCTGATTTTCCTTGTCATGTCTGAATCTCTTGACCTCGCACAACTCACTTAAATCATTGCTGCTTTGCAGGCTCGCTTGACATCACTGGAGAATAGATCCTCCTCTACACTACACATGATTCCTGTTCGTGTGACCTATGATTAGACTCTACCTGAGCTTTTGAAGGCTACCACTGGCATGTCAGTGGATCTCTTTACCTCCACATTGGATACCAAGGCCTGCAAGAAAATTATTGACACTTACCCACCAATTCAGGATATGGTTTACCCCCCTCTTGCCACTCTTTCTGTTTCTCTGGCTCAATTCAAGCTACATCAAGTAAAGGAAGACACTCTTCTGCATAACTTACAGTATAATTTGTCTGGTTCTTTCTGGCCATTGGACATCTTGGCCTACTAAATTCTTCTCAGTGTTCCTGAATTGCAAGCATCACATTTTCTTGCTATGATTAAGGACTTGTGTTCCTTACTTGTTTACACTTCTGCATTTATTACACAATCTTGCAATAAACTGGCAATGCAGTCGTTTAATTCTAAATTCCAAGTGACTGACAGTGGTTCCACCAAGAACTACACTATGGATCCTTCCAAATTCCAACAATCTCTTTTGGAATAAGTGAACTCTCAGAAGCCTGTGCACAAGGCTGTTTCTTCATTCTGCAAGTCACGTCCATCTGCCCCTGTCTCCTCTGCTCCCAGAGATTTGTTTTTTCAATCCAGCCCATTGCACACTGCAGGCAGGCATTCCAATCAGCACCTCTCAACCCATGAACGTCAAGCTCATTCTCAGTCCTCTTGTTCTCCACGATCAAAGTCCCCCCACCCCAAGCAGTCACGATCCCAATAGATTTGTCTTCTGTGGGTGGGTGGCTCAGTCAGTTATGGCTCTTCCCGCTACCCAACAGGAAACGACCCCACAAGGGTCACCACACTATGGAGACAACAACTTCCCTCCTCTATTACCTAACATACATCCATCAACCCAACCAAACGCCCCCACACATGCTTTACCTACTACCACTCCCATCACCTTTGCCTCCTTGGTCGACCCTGAAAAACAACACTCCCTCACGCGCATAGAACGCGTACTTGGTTCAGATGACCCATATGCCATTCCTACGGAATGTCGGTTTGGTACTTCCCCCCACTCTGTTTTTTACGATCTGCCCCAATCTGATGACTCGTTCATGGCCGCCTTCTGGACAGCAATTCACGCCGCTTTCTCTGAGGAGGAAGCTTTTGCTGAAGTTACCTCTGTGTGCAATAACACACACATCGTCGAACTTTACCTTGAATCTGACACCCTTTGCAATCATGCATGTGCCAAACCCATTGTCGTCCAAGATTCCGTTATTCTCGCCCACCGTGCCATTTCGTCTTCTGTTATGATGATGAAACTCAACATCACTGGTCTTCCTCGCCTCTCCCGCCCCTGCCTTAACGAACTTATCCGTTCTTCCCTCTACTCTTTCAGCATCATCAAGGAGGTCGTTATTTACCTGGAGAACAGGTTCTTTACTGGATCTGGCTACGTGTACCTGGAACGCCCACCTAACCAGGATCGTGTTTACTCTCCCCTGGTTCACAAGATTCCCTGCGAAGGTTATGGTCATGTTTTCGGCACTTGGGCCAAGATGGGTCCCCATTGCAGATACTGTAAGGCCATGGGCCACGTTCTGGCTGACTGTCCCACCCGCCCAATCAAATCTCGCACTTGTCACGCCTGTCAAGCCATCGGCCACCTTCAGGCAACCTGTCCCCGTATCAACAACCCTCATCCCAACAACAACACCAGTAACAAACGCATCCGTAAACAGCCCCGTCGTGAATCCCAGTCCACCCCCGCCCGTACACAAACTCTTCCCCCTGTCCTTCCCGCACTACCCAAGCGAAAGAAAAAGTCTGCTCCTCATACACCGCCTGCTAATCAGTTTGACATCTTGGGCAAGTCTGCAGCCAAGATTGAGGCCGAACTTGCACAGCTATCCACTCATGACCCTTACCAACGAGTCCTCCGCGCAGCATTGAAAAACATTACCGACAAATCAAACCGTGACATTCCATACCAAGAATATGATCCTAACAAGGACGACTTGGCTATGGATACTCAAGACAGCGAAAACGGTGCTGAATCCGAATCCTCTAGTGACAGCAATAATGCTGACAACGACCAACATGGCTCACTTATGACAGGTATTGTCGTTCACCAAAATATTAACCCCTCTCAATGATCAATATAGGAACACTAAACTGTAGAGGGCTTGCAAAATTGCAAGACCCCCAAAGACGATCCTTATTTATTCAATACCTCCGCTCCCAACATCTCGACATACTCGCCCTCCAAGAAACCCATGCCACCACAGAAGCTCTTCAACAGACCTTCCAACATCAATTCCATTCCTCATCTACATTATGGTCGCCCCATTGCGGCCTAGTCTCTCTTTCCCCCTTTCTAATGTTTACTGACCCCTTATTCACCATGTGTGGTCGCAGCATTACAGCTACTGTCACTCACTCCAACAATCTCTTCCCCCCCATCCGTATCTGCGTTGTATATGCCCCATCCACCCCAAGCCATAGACATAATTTTCTTACATCACTTCTCAACAACCCTCACTTTATCCCACTTCTCCCCTCCCGATTTATTCTTTTGGGTGACCTTAACTATAACTCTCTGCCCTCTATAACCACACCCACAACTCGCACCCCAAAGGCCCCACATGAATGGCTTCAGTTTGTGCGATCTAATCTACATGACTGTGTCACTCCAACAGGTACGTCCCCCCTCCCTACATTTCAAAGAGGATCTTTCTCTTCATGCCTAGACTATATTTATGCTTCCCCGATATCGCCCCATCTATAATGTCTTCCTCTGTAACATACATCCAACCTTTATGGTCGGATCACTATCTTGTGAAGGTGACATTTCGCTTTACTATGACCCAACAAATTGGCAAGGGACTTTGGCGTGCCAACCCACGCCTTGCTCTCAACCCTTCCTTTTGTGAGGAACTCAATAATCTTCTTTCATCTCTCTCTCCCCAGCTTCCCCACATAGGCTCTATACAAGACCAGTGGGACTGGATCAAATCCAAAATCGCCCAATTCGCCCTCGCTTTTTCTCGTCATCCTTGCTGCACCCTTGCTGACCAAGAACGCAAACTACATGCCAAACGCAACCATCTCCTCCGCCAACATCCTGACCCTTCGACCATTCCGCAACTTCCTCACCTCGAACGTCAAATACAGTCTCTCCAAACCGAACAAGTCGAGATACTAGCTCTTCGTGCCGGTAAACACTGGCAAGAACAAGGTGAATATTCTGCTGGTTATTTGAAACGAACTGTCACTACCCGTCAATCCCGTACCATCATCACCTCTCTTCGCCACCCTACCACCGACCACGTCTGCACTGACGCAACGGACATGACTGATGCTGCTGCAGCCTTTTATGAGGTTTTGTACACAGCTGATCCCATCCAACCACCTGCAGTTTCAGATTTGCTAGACAACCTTCCCCCTGACCTTCGCCTCTCTGACTCCATCCATGATCAACTCACTGCCCCTTTCACAATAACCAACATCCACGCTGGCACCACTCGCTCCCCTAAGTCCAGTAGCCCCAGCCCAGACGGCATACCCTATGAAATCCTCCGACTCCTCATCAACCATCCCATGTACACCAACCTCACTTCCGCCGTTTACAATAATGCCCTCCATCTTGGGGTATTCCCTACTTCCTGGCAATCGACATGTGTTATCCTTCTTCCCAAGAAAGGAGACCTGTCCTCTCTCAAGAACTGGAGGCCCATAGCTCTCATTAATGCCGATGCCAAAGTATTCACCCGCCTTGTCAACGACCGCATGATTCCTGCAGCCAGCTCTCTTGTTTCCGCATACCAAACTGGATTTGTCCGTGGACGGTTTATTGCAGACAATGGAATCCTGACCAAAGCCATCATGGAAAATGCTCGACTCACCAATGCCTCTGACATAGGACTGTTACTTGATCAGGAGAAGGCCTATGATAGAGTTCATCCAGATTACCTGCGACAGGTTCTCACTCACTTTCACTTCCCCCAATCTCTCATCTCATCCATATACTCCCTTTTTTTTTCCACTAACATTACCGTCAATGTCAATGGCCATATTTCTTGCTCTCTCTCTCAATCTCGTGGTTTGCGTCAAGGGGACCCTCTCTCTCCAGTCCTTTTCAACCTTGCCTTCGAACCACTCCTTCGCCGTCTCCTTCATGATCCTGAATTCCCTGGCTACACACCGTCCATCTCACCACGCACCGTTCCTTCCCCCACAGACCCTAACCCACAAATTCCGTCACCACTCCTCCCACCACAGGCCATCAAGTTCCTTGCCTACGCCGACGACCTCCTTGTGTTCCTCCCCAATCCTCCTAGTCTTTCCCGCCTCCAAGTCCACTTAAACACTTATGTCAATGCATCCAATGCCCGTATCAACATGCACAAAACACAAGCCCTGTCCCTGTCCGGTTACCCTCTGTCGTCCTGGCAAGACATCCTACAACAGTTTCAAATTGTGGACTGTCATGATAAACACTCTCCACTTCCACTCATTTACCTTGGCTTCCCACTTTACACATCCATCATACAACGCAACTCCTTCTGTTCCTCTCTTCTCACCAAAATCCAATCCGCCTGTCATATTCATCTCTCACGCTCTCTCTCAATCCGTGGCCGTGACACCGTTCTAAACACTCTCATCCTCTCCAAACTATGGCATGTTCTTCGAGTGATATCTGTCCCTGTTGCCTTCATGTCCAAGATACAATCGGCCATGGGACAATTTCTTCAACATCGTATGTTCCCTCCAATCAAGCTTGCCACATTATGCCTCCCATCCATATCTGGTGGACTTGGGGTTCTCGATCCAATTATACAGCAATCTGCTCTACAACTTCGTTGGCTTCTCCCTCTTGTCCGTTCCCCATTTGGTCGATCCGGTCTGGTCCTTCCTTGGTTGTCCTTCCTTCTTTGGTCCTTTTCTGGGATCCCGGATCCTCGTCTACCTTTACTTTTCCCTGATCTTCGTCCTCTACCTTTCCGCCATATTGACAGTGTTTTCAGAAACATATTTGCTGCCATTGATCTCCTGCCACACTCCTTTGACTCCGTTTCTATTAACCACCCCACATGCCTCTCCTTGCCTCTCCCCTCTATCTGCCTACCCTCCTCTCTCATACCACGGACTTGGCGGCATCTTCTTGTCACTGACGCTTTTGTCGTAGATGATTCATTGCAAGTACTTCGTCGTCAAACAAGACCCAAGCGTCCCCAATCCCCTCACATCATCACCAAGTTCTTCCGTCAAGTCGACAACCATTCCGTTCTTTTACAACCTTTCTTCTTCCGCTCTCTTCTCCCACATTCCTTGCTTGATGGTCTCCTTCCTCCACCTTCCTCTCCCATTGTGTCGCATGTGGACCCCAACCCCTTCCTCACCAGTATGTTTCCCATAATACCTCGCAAACCATTCTCACCCAAAACGTTCCGCACCCTTTGCACCCCGTCCCCAGACAACCCTGTCCCTCCTCTCCACACCCACCAATGGCGCACTTTCTGGTCCGCTCCCATCCACCATTCTGTCCGTTCTTTATGGTTCCGCGCTCTTCACAACAAGCTGTCGTGTCGCTCCGTTCTACACCAAACTGTCCCTACCATCTTTCCTGACGGGTCCTGCCCCATATGCGGTGACATCAAGGAATCTACATCTCACTTTCTGTTCACTTGTCCCCCAAAGTTCTCCGCCTGGACTATTTTTTGGTCAACCCATTTTGGCAACGTGCCCTCCATGCAAGACATTCATTCTGCTCTTTTTTCCTTCCGTCTCCCGCCATCCCTCACTCCAGACATTCCCACCGTTTCTCTTGTCAGCTGTATCCTCCTCGCAATCTGGCACCATCACTGGTCCTTTGTGTTTGACGATGCTCCTTTCCTGAGTACATCAGTCCTTGTCACTGCTGCTTCTCTTGTCACCCGTTTTCATGCAGAACTATCCCTGACTCTTTCAGACTAGCTACTCACTCATTTTACATATAATTTAAAAACCCAAAAACACATAGAAAATATAAAACCCAAAAACAGGATTGTGACTTCCTCTTCCTCTTAGAATTGTTAAGCTCAATAAAATTTCTGAGACCTAGCCTCCTTACAAAAAAAAATGTCTCAGTCAGTTCTCTTGGGCATTACAGAGACTGTCCAACAGCAAGTGGTTGAATGGCATCATCTCTAATGAATTTCGGATTCACTTCAATTGGCTACCTCCTCTGTTGACCTATGGCCGCCCAACCATTCCAATGCATGACTCTCAAAGGCATCTTCTTTGTTAAGAGATAGCCAAACTGTTGCCTAAGAAAGCAATAGAATCTGCTCCTTCCAACTCTCCTGACTTCACAAGTCCAAGATTTGTTATCCCCAAGAAGAATGGTGGGTATTACCCTGTGTTCCATCTCAAACACCTCAAGAAACACTTAACTGCCTCTCACTTCAAGATAGAAACTTTACAAGCTGTGTGCAAGTTGATTTGATCTGGCAACTTCTTGACCTCTTTCGATCTCTCCAATGCTTTTCTCCACCTTCTTGTTCACCATGCATCCCACAAATGTCTTTGTTTTCAGTGGGAAAATTGTACTTACCAATTTTGAACGACTCCATTTGGTCTTTCTATCATTTCTTGGCTCTTCACCAAGATTATGCGGCCAGTTCTGGAATAGGCATGACAACATGAAATACACATAATCACTTATTTAGACAATTGGATTATCATTACAGATTCTCCTCAACAGTCCTTGGCTCACACGTAGCTATTGATAGCCAAGCTAGAATCCTTGGGGTGGCTTCTGAACCTGAAGAAGTTGTCTTTCTAACCATCTCAGCAACTAGAGTACCTTGGTTACTTATTGCATACCCAAACTATGACAACAAAGCTTTCTGGAACAAAGCTTTGCAACCTTTGCCAATCGGTTTGTCAATGTGTCTCCCTCTCCCCATCTGGACCACAGCCTCACCATGAGGATTCAGGCTGTAACAATTGCTTTCTTTCTGGCCCACCTATACACAAAGCATTTGATGTGATTCAAGAACAAACACGTTCACAAGAACCGTGGTTGGGATATGGGTCATCCTCTTTCCCCTCATTGTCTTCACGAACTGCGATGGTAGAAACAGAATCTCTTGTAGTGGAATGACCTCTCTCTCTTGTCTCAACAACATCAACATGTTTTGTTTGTGAATGCAAGCAATACTAGATGGGATTGTACTCTGGGCATCCACACAGCTCATGGATACTGGACACATGAGGAAGCCAAGATGTAGATCAACTGGCACAAAATGAAAGCAGTTCAACTGACTCTCCTCACCTTTCCCTCCCTTTGGGACACCTTAGTTCTTATCCACACCAACAACACTACATCAATGGCGTACCTCAACAAGCAAGGCAGCTCACATGCCTTCCATCTGATACAACTGGTCACAAAGATTTGAAGATAGTGTCTCTACCATGGTCTCTGATTGGCTGCACAGCATATTGCAGGGAAGGACAATGTCACTGCCAATCTGAAATCTTGCCAGACTTTTACAAAGAACCTCTGGAAAATCTTCAAGGCAACGTTCAGTACAGTACAGTTAACATGGAAACCATACAATGTGAATCTCTTTGCAGATCGGATCACTCATCTTCTTCCCACATACATATCCTGGCTTCCCAACCCAAAGGCAATAGCTTTGGATGCGATGTCTATCTTCTGGAGCTGATAGAACAATTGTTACTTCAACCCCCTATGGAATCTGATTGGCTGGTGTCTGCATAAGATATGGCAGGAGAACTTGACGGTGATCTTGGTGGCTCTGACTTGGCCGAGTGCCATATGGTATCCCCTTCTCCTGAAGATGTTAGTGGCTTCTCCCCTAATTCTGAACAATCAGTCTATAGTTTTCGCCTCTCCCAAGACCCCATGGTCATTGAAGAACTCGACGTGGAAGCTCATCACATACAGACTATCAAGCGCAAGTTTGATAATACAGACTTGACTGATGAATCCGTTCTTCTTCTTATAGATTCTGCCCTCACCAATACTCCTACCAACCACATCTATCAATGGGGCCAGCACTTGTTCATTGCGTGGGCCCTTCAACAAGCTGTTTCTCTCACAGAATTTATCTTACAAGATCTGATCAATTTCTTGGTTTACCAACACAATGAAGGATTTGGCATGAGTACTATTAAGAATCATTATACTGCTGCTCTCAAATTACATACCAACCCCGAATCTCTTCGATTCCATGAAGATGTCTGGACTGTCTTTTCTTGTCTTGCACTCCAAGCTTCTCCTTTGCGACAGAGCAGGCCCTCTATTGATCTTGCTCCTACTCTCAATCATGTTGCCTCCATTGTTTCCATCACTTCCACTTCTCTTGCTCCCCTCTTGCGCAAGACAGTCTTTCTTATTGTAATGGCTGCTTTTATCCACCCATCCAATCTTGCTTGCCTCCAACTCTTGTCTGCTTGAGTTGCTCTCTCTTCTGGTGCATTGACTTTTGATATTCTGGGTCCCAAAGAACAAAGAAATAGTTGCCAAATTATAAAGTTTATTGCAATCCAGTCCAATTTTATCTTGGCTCTTTGTCCTGTCCTTGCTTTCTGTGCACTTAGGGATCATCCCCAGGCTTCCACTGCTCACCCTCCTGAATGCTTGTTTGTTAATGCACATCAATCTACGAATTCTGTACAGGTTTCTATCATCTCCTCTTGGCTTTGTAGTCTTCTGCAGCTCTCTATGCATGAACCAGTTTTGGTTCAGTCTATTGCCTCCACTCTTGCTCTCAAACGTGATATGTCTTTGGACAACATAGTTACTCTTGGTAATTGGTCTAGTCATAAAGTCTTCCAGCAACATTACAACCGCAACCACATTTTGTCTGCTGATTTTACTAATGTTGTATTACGTCCCTTGGCTTCTATTCTGGTCTTGGGTTTGGTGGTCCTCACTGTGGTTCATAGTGACTTAGAAAATATACTCTGAATTAGTACTTGGACCTTGTATTCCTGTTTGACGGTCTCATCAAATTCCGAGAGAATTTAAAATTTGATTGTTAATTCACTGGATAGATCAGAGAACAAGAAATACAAGATCTAAGTCTTTCTCCTACTCACACCTGTAATGATCAGTCAATGATCAATTAGATAGACAAAGAATAAGAAATTACTTTATATAGTTTTTCTCTGTTTAAATAAAAAATGATTAATAGCGCTTAGGCCTTGTCTTCCTTGTTCTCTGGTCTATTCAGTGAAAACACAAGAAGTCAATTTTATTTATTATTTTTGTTTCAAAGTAAAGACAAAAACCAAACTCTGCCAAAATTATTTTCTTGTTCATTAAATAACAAATTGAATACAAATGTGATGACCAATAATTATTCTACTGAGCCTCTCATAAGTTGGATAAATAATGATTATAATTAGTTGTTACTTGATATTATCTATATGATAGTATTTTACCACACTTTTCCTAGCCAGATTCAACTATGGTTGAGACGACTACAAGGCAGTGCTATGGTAATTGACTATTTAGACAAAAAAAATTAAACTTGAAACTACGCTCTTGATATGAAACACAGAACTTTACAAGGACACTCTCATTTCCTAACAGACTGGGCTGGCTTCATTGTCACTGTTGTCACTGTTGTCTGACGTTTTGCTCCTGATGATTTGTTCAACAATGATGTGTCAGTCTTGGCTGTCAATTTTCTAGGACGAGCTCTCCTACACTTGCTTTGGGTGATTGCTAAAGACAATCCATTAGATTGGTATTGTCTTTCATTGTCTATTCTTTTCCAGTATTTATGTATTGGTTCCAATAAACGAAACTCATAAGCAGATATCTATGAATTTTCTTTTTCATCTAGATCTTTCCACTTAACTAAAAACAATCTAGATTTATCAGTACAGTGAGGGAAAAAAGTGTTGCAACATTTTTTAAAACCTAATTATATTCTTTGAGTAACAGGTTCTTTCTTTCACTTTTACATTACAATTCTAAATAGAAATGCAACAATTTAAATGCGTAGAAAAGTCCAAAAAATTGTTAACTAAAGGACACAAACAAACCAATGATATAACTCGTGCAATAATTGTGTATGAGAGCATTAATAACGGCACTAATCAAGCTAACATTGCCAGAAAAGTTGGTGTAAGCAAATACATAGTCCATTGCATTTTCAAAGCCTACAAAGAAAGCAACTTGTACAAAGCTGGTATATAATATGGTAGACCAAAAAAGCTGAATGAGAGAGACAAGAGAGAAATCCTTCATGAGATTAACCATGATGCAACAATCCCAATGACCATCATTTGCAAAAGATTAACTACATCTGTGTCAGTAAAAACTCTGCAAACCTTTTTGCATGGTGTTGGAATACACTCTCATAAAATGATCTCAAAGCCAAAGATTTCTGAAATAAATTAGAAAAAGTGATTGCAATGGGCAAAAGAACATTTGCATTGAAAATTGACAGATTGGAATATCATCATCTGGTCTGATAAGTCGAAATTCCGACTCCATGATAGTGATAGATGCCGAAGAGCTCTCAGACATAACACCACCAGAGATTTTTGTTATCATTTTGGGTGAAAATTGGCACCTAAGCAATATGATTGGCTTAGAGGCCAAAATATTGTAATTTGTTTTCGTACTCAATTTTTTTCATCCAAATAAAGGATAAAATTAAGTTCAGTACTACTTGTGGGCTTTTAAAGTAAGAAAAAAAACTGTTAGGGAAGTCAGAAAGTGTTCAAGTGAGACAAAGGATTTATTAAGGAAAGTTGGGGGTTGGTTTGAGTAACCAAAAAATGACTTCACAGAAATTACGCAAAAAAATTGATGTTGAGAAGAAGAAAACAGAAGGTTCAAATAATAATTATAATAATAATAAAGAAGTAGCATCATTTTATTCATCAAAAAGAATATTATTGAAAATGAACCAGTAGGAACCGAACTTGCTCAAATTTACAATGTAAAATGGGTTGCGGAAAATGTGCAAATCTAACTTACAAACGAGATTCATGTTAGCAACATCAGAATGCTCACCTGTCATTACAGCCTTGGCATAGTTATTGTTTCTGTCATTATCCGTACGAGGAACAATGCTAAGAAACTTAACAACAGAGCCTGAGACAAGTCCTATACGAGGGCGAGAGATCGGATCATCTTTAAAAACAAACACGCCAAAACTGTTGTTTTGGACGGCGTCATCTTCAATATCTCCAGTGTCGTTGTTGTCCTTTAGCTCTCTCGAGCCGCCAAAGAAGGTGTAATAGAACAAAGATTCATTGTTGTCCTTAATGAACCTCTCTATTCCAGTTCCAGACTTCTCTCGGTTGCCAGAGCTATTAATCCACGACCCGCCATCAATTACATGTTGCAATGCTACCTGCTTTGCAAACTTTAGGCAAACATCCCTGGAAGTGTTTTGGCGATTCGTATGAAACAGATGTTCGCGAATGTGCTTATTGAACTGTTCGCCCTTTTCTGTTTCATAATTGAGGGCTGGGCCAAAACGAATTATATCTTCCTTGAGATGTGTCAAGTAATGAACTTTCGGCTTGGTGCAATATGCCTTGTGGAGCTCGTTCTTGGTTCCTTTATCGTAGTCAAATAATGCTCTGATCAAGCGCTTCACTGCATTATCTACTCTGATAATATAGTTATCAAAGTCTGATGTCACCTGACGAACGAATACCAGAGAACACAATCGGCCAAGTTCAACAAAGCATGGTATTACAAGGTCTAGCTCATGATTTCCAGAGAATTCTGTAATCAGAATTACAGAAAGTATTTGAAGCAGAACCTTGAAATCTCTACCGAGGAATGAACCACTATGTCTCAAGTTTCGGGTGAACTTTCTTGATAGACCAGTTGATCGCATGTAATCTGTCAAGAATTCTGAAAGTCTTGCTATTGTGGCTGTGTCATTCTTAAGCACGACCTTAACCAAGTCAATTACCATATACTTTGCAACACCAAGAAGTATCGTGTGGAGGATTTCCACTGGTGTATCCTTTTCTGGATCAAACGACTGCAATTCTAATAAGCGGCCAGTCGAACGATCTCTAAAGCTTATCTCGTTTGCAGGCGTGTTCATTCCAATTTTCGGAGCATTTGGGATCTCAGTGTCTCTGCCAGGTGACGAGTTTGCAAGAACATAGTGCTCTCGAGTTCGTCTCTCATGGCACTCACAGAAGTAAAACAAGTCCTTCACAAAGTCTTTTGCACGTCTAAGTTCGATGTAACATCTTCTGCAAGGAAATGTGGTGGCCGGCCCAAGCAATCCGCAAAGTTCCGAATGACATGGCGTGTCAGCCTCAATCCAAAGGATGGGAGCAACAACCAGAACATACTCATTGTCTTCAGTGGAGAACATTTTTACACCTTTCTCGAGTTTCTTAAAGTCATCAACGATTGCTGGCAGAAGAGACATACCATTTGCACCATCTTTCTTAGGGATTGTAGAAAGAAACTGGATGTTTGCTATCGAATTTCGATCCTTAAAAGGCAAGGCAGTGCATCTCATTAACCAGCTTTCAAACGGATTGTACTGCTTTGAACGATTGCCGGAAGTGTCGTCTGTAAAAAGGATGATTGAAACAATCCTAACTTTGTAAAACACTGCATCGCGATCTACATTACCGGGCAAAACAGAAAGAGGCATAGGCTTCTTCATTGGATGAACTCCAAAAAGAAGAAAGTCATGAGCAGGACTCAATCTGGTAAGGCTACTTGAGATACTGTAGTAGTGATCTCTTTCAACAGGAGTGGTGTCAACGTGAGAGATCTGCTCTACTCTAAGATCGGTAACAGCAACCTCAACGCCATAGCATACAATCGAAATCGCTCTGACCAGATACCCTCTCGCAAAAATGTTTTTATTTGCCGTGTGGAACGATTTAACCAAAAAGCGGATGCTGCAATCGTTTGTCTTCAAGTAAACGATGTTTCCAAACCAGACATCTATACCATTTACAGTGTGCATAGGCTGCTGAAAGAGATGGTGGGTTCTCCACTTTTCACCTTGTTCCAAACAGATCGATTGGTTTGGGGTACGATCGGGCATGGACGAGATCAACTTGGATTTCTTTGGGTTTGCCATAAGAAATCTCAAGTGGTCGGACGGAAGGTTAATATGGGCGAATGCGTTCCCGTTTGATCCAGGTACTGATATTCTTTGTGAAGGAAAGACAGGCATCTTGGACTTCTTTCTTGCCTGATAATTTAAAAGAGCATCCAAACGAGGTAACTTAAATGTTCTTCCTATGGGAGTTTCTTGCTGGATCTTAATGATCAAGTTCATCGCAAGCAGTATCTTCTTCAACATTTGCTGGGAGATCATGTCATTATCCCCATCGATAAAAGCGAAAAGGATCATGGTTTGAAGATCGCGAAAAGGATAACAGCTTGTAGGGTCATTTACAGCGCCAATTGTCTCAAAGACTTCTTCCAGGATCTCAGAGTCATCATCGGTCATTGATACCTCATCAGCAGCAGCAGCAGAAGAAAACATGTCAGAGAACGCATTGAAAACTGGATTACTGTTCATTTCAATATCAAAGAAATTATCGACAATATCGTTTTCCTCGTCTACAATGTTGTCTTCTTCATCCCCGATACTGGAGGAGTCATCTTCGTCACTCGAGTAATCAAATGCATTAGCATCCGGAATAGTGTTCTCGACTATCAATTCGGCCTGCTCGGGTTCGTCGAGTACAGTATTGGTTGCCATTTGATTACTTATATGGTGAACCTTCGAATGCCTTTTCAGTAACCAAGGCTTTTCGAACTCTTTTTCGCATTCGGAGCAGGTAAAAACACCTGAATTGATGCTAAAGTTAAGTTCGCCTTGCCTTTTAGGGGGGCAAGTCTTAACGATTTTATATGTTTCTTGTCTTGTATTCTTTTGCATAATAGTAAATTGATTGTAAAAACAAAGGGGGGAAAATGACTTTGCGAAAATAATTGAATTTATAAAATGTGGAAAGATCGATATTTAATGTCAGCGGACCAATTAGAATTTTTTTTACTTCTTTTCTTTTAAGAAAATATCGCGTGTTTTTGTCTTCTTTTTCATTTTACTTTTCCACAAAATATTTATTATTTGCATGAGCTTCCATTTGTAAGATATTCCAGTATGCTTATAGTATTTATAGAAGCAGAATTTTGCTTAAAGACTATAAGCTCAAAGGTATTTATGCTATCAAAGTTTTTTATGTCATTGTGTTTATTAATCATACAATTCTAGTTTATAAATTAGTTTTTCATCATCTCGGTAAATCAATAAAGAGGTAATAACTACATGTTCCTCTTACAAAGCAACAGAAGACTAACTATTTACTCCTCACTTGCAGAGATTTGGCTGCCTTTTATTGCAAATGCCTTAATAGAGTCAAAGGTAAAATTCTGTTAAATATATATAACTAAGTTTAATTACTAATTATTAGTTCTTCTGCTTTAGCTTTTCTCGAAATTCAAATCTTTATGCTCTTTGGGTTTATTGGAATTTCTGGCACCAGGTCTCTTGGATTAGCTAGACATAGTAGTTTGCAGCAAACCGATCGCGTAATTTACAGGCATAAGTACAAACAGTTATACTACTAGTGTTTCTAGTGGTATGGATATACTGGTGTGCTACTGCCTGTGGATTTTATGGTCCAGTCTAGCTTTTTTTTAGCCTAATTTTTTTCGAAAATAAAAAATAAATTTTTTACAACCCAAAATTATTTGAAACAAATTAAAAATTTGAACCATTTTTGAAATTGTGCAGTACATTTTTTAATCGAAATCTATTGGCCGAGAGTAGTCCCCCCATCCCCCCACTTTTCAGTCCCCCAAAAAAATGAATTTCCTGTTATGGGCAAAATTCGCCCCGTATACAAGAATCCTTTTAAGGAACAAGATTACACAAAAAAATCTGCTGTGGTGAACAAGATACGTCTGCAGCCTGACTTTGTCTCAGCAACAGTGAAGTTTGGGGGTGGCTCCATTATGATCTAGGGGTGCTTCTTTGGAAAGAGTGTCAGAGATTTAAATGTTGTAAAGGGGAATATCAATTCCAAGAAGTACATTGACATCTTGGAAAAGTCATATCTTTCTTCTTTGAAAACTTTTAAAAAAACAGCTGGAGGAGATTTAAACTATAAGAGGACAATGTCAGCTGCCATATAAGTGCAACAAGCAAGGCTTGGAAAAAGAAGAATCGTCTTCAACTTTTAGGTAGTTGGCTACCACAAAGTCCAGACCTCAACTCTATTGAGCATATCTGAGCTTATCTGAAGTATAGAATTAGAATGAACAGATATAGACTATATAATGTTCATTATTTGCATCACGCTGTAGAAAGAGAATGGCACACAATCCCAAAAAAATATTTATAGCAATTAGTTTTCAGCATGCCCAGAAGATGTCAGGCAGTGATCAATGTCAAGGGCAACTGCACAAAATACTAAAAATATATTTTTTCTCATATATTATAAAACAAATGACTTTTATCTATGGTTTAGTAGTTTGAGAATGTTAAAGGGCGTTTTGGATACATTTTTTTGGATATGAAAAGTATATATATTTCTGTAGAGATACAGAAATTGAAAAACATTACAGCACTTTTTCCCTCCCCTTGTATCTTTATGATTGCAAACTTCATCCACTTTGATGGGTTCATCTTCTATGACTATTTTATCAATATTCATGATTTTTAGTTCCAAAGATATATAGTCTCAAAACAACAACTCATTGGTTTCATCTTGTAAGACATAATTGTTGCTTTCTGTTTTGTGGATTACAACAAATGAACCTTCAAATAATGGAGACAGCTTAGTATCACTGGATGATAAATGCACTATCATAGTATGTTCTATGGAAATATCAATCAAGAAATGTTTTTGATTATACTTTCAATCATATTCCTCTATCAATTGCATTGAACGTTCTTTGATAGCTGGGAACACAATGGATGACATTCTCAATGCGTGCTGAATAATTTTCTCTTTGCTAATCTCTCAACACACTGTTTTATCCGTTACTCCTTCTTGAGAGTAGTCTCCAATCCAATTCATCTTGCGTGCAAACATCAAGAAAAAAGAACTAGACTCTGATCTGGGTCGCACTTTCATGTTGCAACACAATTGTATAGTAGGTAATATTTCATCCCAATTTCTAAAATCCTGACCAGATAACTTCCGAAGAGTGTTGGTAATCAACCTTACACTTGCGTCAGTAATGTCATTACCTTACAGATAATATGCAGAAGAAAACTTATGTTTCATATCCAGCACCTCTGTAATAGATTGTATTAGGCTGTTACAAAATTGGTGGCTATTATCAGACTGTATAAAATGCCCAACAATCACAATCCCATAATCTCTAAATATACTCATCAGTGTCTTTGTGACACTATCACTCTGTTTGTTTAGTAGTGGTTGTGCAATAATGTAACATGTTGCGACATCCACAACCACAAAAATATATAGATTCTGGTTCTCTGTTATGACAAATGGTTCAGCTAGGTCCATGGCAATATGGTCAAATACATTCCAAACAATAATGCTCTTTTTTTGGTTTATAACCTCTCTTAACTATGGTATGCTGTACATATGAAATGCATTTTGCTATGACATCTTTACAATCTTTGTATATTAATATCCAATACACGCTATCACTCAACAGTAACTTGACCACTCCTTCTATTTCAAAATATCCCATTCTGTGAGCATCTTCCATCATTTTTGTGCGATTCAGTAAAGGTGGAATCAGATAACCCAGCATAGCATTCTTAAATTGCTTGCTATTTAGTTTAACAGCCAAAATATGAATATATTCATCTTTATTGTATATCACTCATTACTTGGCAACTTTATTGCCTTTTGTTGTTGTTATCCTGTCATTATGTACATGAGTGTCCAAATTTTATCTCTTAATTCTGATATACTTAAGCATTTTTCTTATCACTTTATCTTCTTCCTATTTTTGTTGAATATCCTCTTCTATTAGAGAATACAATCAGCTAAATACAACTGGAAGTGTGTTTTTTGCTCCTTTTACATATGTAGTTCTCAGTCTCCTATATTTGTTAAGAGTGTCCACATAATTTTATAAATTGCTGAACAAATAACTACTGGAATATAGATATATCAATGCCAAATAATCTGTGTAGATTTCTAAGTTTGGGTTGCCCAACAGCAGGGGTCAAAATTTTTCTAATCCAAATATGATTACATATATTTCACATCTGTTAGTGGACCACAATTGCTGATGCTTATTCAATGACTTAGAAATGAACGCTATGTGTTTGGTATGCTCATCATCTGCCTTTTGATACAAAATAGCTGACATGTCATAGAGAGATGCGTCAGTTTGCAAATAAAACTTCTTGTTTATGTCTGGTGCATGCAATACTGCGCTAGATAATAATATCTTTTTTATAGAATTAAGGCATTCTGTGTGTTTTTTATTCTATTTTTCTTTAACATTTGACTCATATTGTAATTTATCAAGTGGTACTGTTAATTTTGAGCTCATAAGTATGTAATCTCTCATGAAAGTGATAGTTCTCATGAGTTTTCTCACTTGCTCAGCTGATTTATAGATAGGTCATTCATTAATATCAGATAATTTTTGAAAATCAATCTTAGTGATATCAGATCTGACTATAAATCTCAACATAAATATTGTTGATTTAAACAATTTACATTTTTGTATATTGAGTTTCAAATTTGCTTTAGACAGTTTGTTTACAACTTGGTTAACCAAAACAGCATGTTGTGCAGGGGTACTGAATAAAACATAATTGTTTACATAAGATTCTACTTCATTGATATCACCTAAAATTATCTTAATAACTTGGCAGAAAAGGCTAGTAGTCATTTTCAAACCAAAACAACATGTCTGCCACTTGTATGTTTTGTTTTCAAAAGTGAAAAATAATATCTCTTGATCAACTTCTTTGACTTTGAATGAGTGATACACATTTTCAGGTCCAATTTCAAAAACACTGTTCCCAGCTGGGACACCTTTCAAAAAATATCATAGATGGAGCTTACAACATAATCTTTCTTATATTTATCAGAAATATTGAAGTTAATTCAGCGCAGATCTTGTACAATACAAAGTTTTGTCATCGATTCATCCTCATCTTTCTTTGAGATCAGTAATAAAGATGAATTATAACAAGTGCTGGGTTCTGCTGGAACAACCAGTCCATTGGCCAATCATTCTTCCAATTGTTTTTGTATTTCATGAATATATTTTTATGGTAATGCATACTGTCAAATATAACAGTTAGGGTGCATCTTTTTTTATAATAGACAATTTTTGAAGAGAACAATTTTTGGAATTTAAGTACCGATTCCAAAATAGTATTTTTAAAGTCAGAAGTGTAATATATATTGATTTAATCTCAGCCTACAATGAGATTTGTGAAGCTTTGTGAATTGTTTCACGATTTCAAATGCATGTTCAGCATCATGATCAAGACTGTAGGTATTGATATAGGCAAAACTTTTGTGGAAGTATCTTTGAATCTTTTCAGAAACATCATCTTCTGGTGGGCAAACACTATCCAGAAATGAATTGATTTTCCTATTCAATAATTGAAAAGAATAATCACATTCATATCATATTTCTTTCTTGACTGCTCCCCAGTATCTTTTAATCCAATTACATTCACAGTGGTATTTTGGATACAGTTCAAATTTGGGTCCACTGTCTTCAACTATTTTTTCAAGTGTTAATTTTTGGTTGGCAAAGTCTGGTTGTCTCTTCATAATATGAATTGCACAACATTTAGAATCAGCTGTCACAACATTATTGCAAGAACGTTTTAAAGAGTATCTTTCTGCTTTGTTTCTATACATAGAACGTTGCTGTAATATGCTGCAAAGGCCAATAAAATATTTTTTGTATTTTTTATTCTAAGTATAAATAGTTTATAGACATGTCTTTTAGCATAGAGTGATTGCTTAGTGTAATTATATAAATTATGTTTCTATTTGGATAGTATTGTATATAAATCACTTACTTTATAGAGCTGAGACTTGAGTACTTCATATTCTTTAAGGTTTTCTTCATTACTCTTTTTTTGAAAAAAAAACTTTTTGCTGTTCTGCATATTTGTATTGCTTTCTGATATAAAATGAGCTGTCACAAAATTTTCCCTGGCCTGAGTCACTGTCTCTTACTTCAATTGCACACAGATTCATGTTTTGTGTCAAAAGAGCGTCTTCAGAATATGCTTTATGATTGCTGCTTTGATCAAAAAGAAAGACAGCTACTGCATTTGGGTGTATGGCATTGAAAAGAGGTATTATATCTGTAAGCTGGGCACACATATGACTACTCTTCCAATAGCCTTCATATTGAGCTTCAAGATAAAATACCACTTGTGAAGTTTTGTACTGGTTTTCTACATATTCTCTCATTGTTTCATGACAAGAGCATTGGAACTCAGAGATCATTATTGATCTACCCTCAGACTTTGGCAAACAATAGCTTTCACTATTTTTCACCCAGGCATACTTTTGATAGTCATTAGCATAGAATATACTTTCGTCATGTGTGACAAATATATGTTGTTTGACATCTTCTGGCAATTGAGGATATGACATAGGAGAAGGTATAATATTGTCATATTTCTTAGAGTATTGATAGTATTTCATCATGCATTTGCTCCATGCATTTCTATAAGTAAGCACATTTTTGTACTCATGCTTATCAAAGTATACAACTTTTTCTGTAAAATAAACATAAGTTATATTAATGTAACATTCTATTTTTATAGAGAAAACTGTATTCTGGTTTTCCATATTTGCCTAACTAAATGCTTAAAATAAAATCCCCAAGATATCAGCTTTCGTCTTAGATAATCTGTATTTAACGGCTTAATTGCATTACCTTTGATCTCTAACTCATCTAATAGTAAGCTGCTATCAATGGCCTTAGACAGAATGACTTTGTTCAAGTGGACTAAATGTTCAGCAATACTCCTTTTAACTCTTGGCTGACTTCTAAACCATTCGAGTATTTGCTGCTTGATGTCTTCAGCATCAAGAACAGAGACACATTTGGCATGCTTGCCTTGTGCACCAAGACTGATTCATCTAGTCTCCAAATACTCCTTTGCATGTTGGCGAATCTTATGGGCTCTGTACCAAGTAGATTTTTGCTTGTATACAATATCACTTGCAAACTTAGAAGCTGACATTTTCTTCATGTCCGTATTGATCAAAACATATAAGTAATAGTATGCTCTTTTATACTTTCTCATCTCTGCTACACCAAGTTTTTGCTGCTCTGAAGTTGAACTGATGACAAGTACTACAAACATTGACAAGTCAATAATTGCGTCTTTTACTCTGCTTTTGAACTCTTTCTTTGACTTGACTTCATCTGCAGTATCACTTTCTTCATTCAATTCAATTTCTGTCTCAGCAGAAGAAGAGTTTGCAATAGGCAAGAAAAAGGAGTCAACTCTAGCACTTTCTTTTGCTGCTTTTCTTTCTGTCTTTTTCAGTCTACAAACATGTCAAGATGAGTATAATAAATGATTGCAACTGTATTTTCCATTGAGAGCATCTTCAGCTTTTTTGTTCCAAGAAAGTCTGAGATTTTTGATATCACTGCCAGAAGATTCTAAAATCTTGGGGGTAAAATCAACATCCTTTCTAACTAATTCTACACTTTTGCTGTGGGAGTAAGACAGTCTTTTAGCAGCAGCTTTTTGAGATAAAGCTCTCATTTTAGAATTGATTTTTGGCATTGTTGATTGTGTTTTTATTAGGAGCAAATTGTTTTTTTAAATAAGCTTGTGGTATTTCAGGTACAAAACAATAGAAAAATAATAAATTTGATTATAGAGGCGTATAGAAATACTTTGAGACTGTATATAAGTTGTTTTTATTCATAAATAAAAAGTGTCTCTTTTTATAAGAAAACATCATCTGCTCTTGTCATTACGTCTTAGTTTCTTAAGGCTTTTTTTCTTTACTATATTTGGTTATTAGAGTGTATTTACTGCTTAACCAGTGTCGGTGTTACAATTATAACATCAAGTCATAAACCGTACTTCTTTAGCTCTTAGCTATTCTTTTCTTTTTTATACTAGAGCTTTAGGACTTCCTACTAAATTAGCTCCATATCGATCTGACACAGTTTACCCAGCAGTATGATATAATTATCTTAACAATCTTTAAGATATTATCTACAGTACTAACTGTAATAATTATTGATTGAAAAATGAAGCCATCATTTTGGCCACACTGCTTAAATACTGAGATGTTATCTTGTTTAAAAAATATTTTTGTAGAAAAGTAGTAGATGTCTCATTGTAGAGAGTTTCTAAATAGTATTAAGAGCATATTAAAGTAAACAGAACCCAAAAATATTAAGATCCCAGAAAGCCTTTTGGCTTTCTAGTTTTATTAATAAAAAATACACACTATAAGAAGATATGTTATACGTTACACAAATATCGAATTAAAACCCAGTGAGCATTGTTATTGGCCAGAAAATGAGAAATTTTTTTGAGCCTTCCTGCTTAAATATCAAAACTTCATTTTGCTTAAAGTATTTTTTTTTGTAGAGAAGTAAAAGTCTCACTGCAGAGATCTTGTAAATAGTAAAGCAAATGACTCAGCAGTAACAAAATTTAAAAAAATTAAGATCCTATAAAGTCTTATAGTTTTCTAATTTTATATATAAAAATTGTCAATTATAAAAAAGATACATCCTAGATCCATTTGTTTTTATTGGTATGTGTACTTCTGATGAGAGCACATTGCAGAATATTTCTGGTTTGATGGCCTCATTGTTTTTTATGACTTGGCTAATTTCTATGAAAAAATGTTCTCTTTTCTCTAATGATTCATAATCGCTATTTTCTGGGTTATAAAAATTATCACTATCAAAGTTCAAGTCCTTTGGCTCTTCACTGTTGTCTCTGAATTCCAGAGAATATTGATATGCAATTCCTGTCATTCGAATATTTAATTTCTCAAAGATATTGGTTTCTAACAGTATGTCCACTTAAGCAGCAATATGATTAGAAAATTATATAACTTCAAATTTATGTCTACAATGATATGGTGCATCCCCATATACAACGGCTAATGGATTTGTATATTTTAACCTTTGTGCATAGCTACTGCTATCTGCAGCAAAATATTTTATAACTCCTTGTATTTTATTGATGGTTATATTTTTAAAGAATTTTTTGAATGTATATAAATTTAAACAGCTTGTGTCTATCCTAGAATCACACATGACCATGAGTTTTATTCCTTCTATAATAATTGATGTGAGTATAATCTTGTGATTAACATTTTTATTACCCCCTTTAGTCTCAGACTTACAATTATCATTCTCAAAAGGGTCAACAAAATTTCCCATGCTCATTGCCTTCTCTAATTATTGTTGTTGCAGTTGTTGGTGCCCCTGCTGATTGCTTTTGGTTTGAGAAGCCCATTTGTTGGCATTTAAGCCACTCTTAGCAAAGACTGTATTTACTAATACATTGTTGTTATCACTTCTGTTGTTTGATTCATTAGGCTTGTAATTGTTGTTTTTGTTGCTGTTGTTGTTTCTCTTGTCCAGGAAGGCCAAGTAATATTACTTACACTTGTGATCCCAAGGGAAGTTTCTCTCACAGTAACAATACAGATAGTGATTACATAAGAATTCTGAATGATTGTTGTTGCCATTGTTGTTGATTACTCTAAATGAGTAGTTTTTGGCCCCAAGATTTCTGGACCAGATCATTGCTTCGTTTTCAATCTCTTCATAGAAATCTTGTGTCTTACAGAACACATACTTTTAACATAATTAGTTTGCAGCATCCCAAATTCTGCATTCTGCATCATTAAAAACTTACTGGTCAACACTCTCTTCTCAGAATTGTCTCTTGCAATTGCAATGCACTTTGCCACCTTGGCAACTTGCTCGACAGTTTTCAGATGGCTGTTCTTATAGTTTTTTGAATTCAAGCTGGTAAAAATGGCATCATATCAGTTTGTTGGCAGGCTTTTCATAAAAATCTCACCCAACAGATGATTGTCACTACTAATTCCAGCCAGAGAAGCTGCCTTTAGGAACCTCATCAAATATTTCTCAACACTCTCATTATCTTCAATCATCAAGACAAGCATGTTCAGATGTGTCTTTTCTCTGGTAATTGAAGAATTGAATTTCTCTTCCATCAACTTCTTGGCCTCAGATCATGAAGCTGTCATGCTTAGTTTTTCCTTGACCCAGTAAGTAAATGACAAAGGAAAAGCAACATTAGAGAAGTTTGTGGAATAATTTTTTCAAAGTTGTACAGAGCACAAAGCCAAATAGGGTAACTCTTCCAAAAATTTAAACTTTTTCAGAAAATTTATAAATGGGTTGCTTATTATAGTACACTTAGAAAACCGGACTCCACTAAGAAAAAATTCATTCTTTTTCATGTATCTTCTGCAATTCTTATTATTTTAAGATACTTTTTGAACACACTAAGGCGTCTGTTAAAGAAGTACAATATACTATAATTTTAGCTATAAATATGATGTTAATAAAAAGTTATACCAAGTTATTCTGAAAAATTGAGAGTCCATTTTTCTTCAGTAGGGGGCAAAAAATTAAAGAAGTTGTTTTTCTTTTCTTTATGCATATGTTATTTATTTCAACTATATGTATATGTAATATCTTTTGGTACTGTGTTATATCTGTGTGACTTATATAGATATCAGGCAAGTATATTCTGATCTTTGCTTTGTTTTTCTCTTTAATTTTCAAATCAACATGGCTCAAATTTTGCAAGCAAAATCTCTTTCTATCGAAGCTCACCTTAGACAAGGCATGTCTGCAGCCAAAGTGGCAGCAATTGTTGGGTTGTCTGATACCACAATCAAAAGACATAGACAAAAATTAGGGATTCCTGCCTTTGAGGGCAAGGGTAGACCCACCCAAATCAATACAATGCTTCCCTGCCATATTGTCCACGTCTTTAAGAACAAAAAATTCTTGACGACAACATAGGTAGCAAGACAACTGTGCAGTGAGGGATCCACTGTACAGCCTCCAGCAATAAGAACATTGTTAAAGGCATCTGGCTTCACCTGTGAACAGGAGCAACCTCTGAAGATGAAATCAAACCCCACCATTCATAAGAAGTGCATGGAATTTGCCAGAAACTACATAAATTATACAGTAGAAGACTGGAAGTTGGTAATCTTCTCAGATGAATCTAAGGTCGATTGCTTTGGATCTGATGGAAAGAGGTGGAAGTAGAGACTTAAGAAGGTAGTCACCAAAAAAACTAAGGATGCTTCTCCACCTGTCCATGCTGGAGGACACATCATGGTATGGGGATGTTTTTCATCCAAAGGGCACGACAAAATAGTGAAGATCGTGGAGAACATGGACAGCCCAAAATACGTGGCTGTTCTTCAGCAGGGCCTTCTGGAAACATTGGAGGAGCAAAATCTGAGCAAGTCAGAAATCAAGTTTTTGCACGGTAATGCAAAATCCCACACAGTAGCCAATACAAAGAAGTAGTTGAAGGAAGAGAAAATTGAGGTCATTAACTTTCTACTATATTTGCCTGACCACAATCTCATTGAAAACCTTTGAGCATACAGTAAGAACAAGCTGTACAAGCATAAGAAGGCTGCCAAGTCTATGAGAGAGCTGTAGGTCCGCTTCCAAAAAGAGTAGAATAGTATTCCGGAGGAGGTTTGCTAGAATCTTGTGGCATCAATGCAAAGCAGAATACATCAATGCATTTTGAAGAAAGGGCACCTTATAAATAAAAAATAAAAAAATTACCCCCTACTGAAGAAAATCGGACTCTCAATTTTTCAGAATAACTTGATATAACTTTTTATCAACATCATATTTATAGCTAAGATTATAGTATATTGTACTTCTTTAACAGACGTCTTAGTGTGTTTAAGAATTATCTTAAAATAATAAGAATTGCAGAAGATACATGGAAAAGAATGAATTTTTTCTTAGTGGAGTCTGGTTTTCTAAGTGCACTATACTTCATTTATTCATTGGATTTTATATTTACTAAAGTTCCAAATACAACATTCAATAAATTCAACCAGAAAAAATTGTTTCTTTTGATGATAAAATAGCTTTATATTAAATTTCTTATTAAATCTTCTATAGCTAGCTTTGCTTAGATAAATTTTATTAAATAGATAAGCTGATAAACATAAACAAAAATATGTAAAATAATCTTGTCTATATTGTTACTGATTTATATTCCAAACTTTACATTGTTCTGTATATTTCTACTATTTTCATAACGTTAGTTTAGAATAAAAAATAGAAAGATATTAGAGGTTGAAAAAGTTCTCTCACTTTTTCAGAAAATCTGAAAATTTCAAAAAACTTTTTCAAAATTATTTTTGTATTGTTACATTATTTTCTTATTTAAATCACTGAGTTTGGTTTAAAAAGAAAAGTTCCTTTGAAAAAGTGACTCCACAAACTTCTCTATTGATAAAGCTTTTCCATCTGGATTTGCAGTCGAGACCTGCTGTAGACATAAAAAACTCATAGGCAGAGTTAAAAGCATTCACATTATCATAAACTACTTTTGAAAGAAAATACAGTTTGTTCATATTACTCAACTGAAACCTGGGAATGTCTTCCAATGAGAACGTGTAGTTTATAAAACTGCTTGTTCTACGAGAGCTCATTCTATCACTCTCAGAAGTTCTATTGACTCCTTCTGTCTGGCTGCTATATTAGGCTTGCAACAAGAATAGTCTCTTATTCAACTTGTTAATTTTCGCAACCAGTTGTTCTTCTCTGAGATCATCATCAAGAGCAATGTCATTCAACTCCTTACAGAGTAAGACAAATTTTCTCTGGGTAACTTGGATTGACCTTTGGATGCAAATTTCTTTGCTCTCACTGGTACTATCCTCGTTGAACCTAATCTCAAGTATCTCCCTGTTAAGGGTAGGAACCTTCCTCATATCAATATCCTCTGTTACAGATAGCTGAGCTACCTGGATATCGAGATTGTGTTCATCAATTGAGTTGCTTACTTCATTGTTTTGTTTTAACTTTAGCAATGTAATAATGGAAATTGAAAAAGTATAGTAAAAAACCTTTAAACACAAGAAGTCAATTTTATTTATTATTTATTTTAAAGAAAAAAATCAAACTCTGCCAAAATTATTTTCTTGTTCATTAAATAACAAATTGAGTACCAATGTGATAACTAATAATTATTTTAATAAGCCTCTTATAAGTTGGATGAATAATGGTTATGATTAGTCATTACTAGATATTACAGCAATCTTAGAGGACTGGGGGTAATGGCACCACACAATTTAAGGTGACTGCGAGTCTGAGGCCTGGCTATAAAGTGTCTTGAAGAACCCCCTGTCCCCATTCTTTATAAGCACACCTTGCTCCATTGCTATAAGCACATTCCTGTCCCCATCTCTAGATCATTCCAATTTCCTGACAAAAATAAAAACACCTCCTTACTTAAAGTCATTAACATTTAGTTGTAAGAATAAAAAATAATATTTCCAAATAACAAGATATGATGTCTTTTTTACATTATGTACATTGCATACATTGCATACACTGTATACATTTTGTATATGAATCAATAAAAATACTTATATAGCTACAGTGCTCTTTTATTAAATATGAACACCAACTTCAATACCCCTATTAAGAAGATGTACTTGCTTAAAACAACTCTCTCATTCCCCAAAAATGGTTATTCTGACAAGCAGAGTGTTCTTCAAGCTGTAAAAAATTATGTCCTTTTTCATAACTTCATTGTTAAGGTTAAGAACAGAAAATTCCCTATCCTTCACATTGCTTGTTCAAAGGCTGATGTTTATTGTGACAAGCGCAATATAAGTAATGAGAAAAGAAAGAAGACACCCAACTCTTCTCTTACTGGATGCCTCTATCTCTTAAGATTTTCTTATAAGAAGAAGAGCAAAAGATATCTTCCTTTGCCCGCCTATGGGGAAAACGAACATTGCCACAACCACCCTGTCACCCCTGAGAATTTGGCTTCTTCTCACCAAGGAAGAATGTATCTTTTGACTGCTGAAGATGCTACTATTGCAAAGACAATGTTGGAGAATCACGCCAAGTCCCATGATGTTCAGAAGGCAACAGTTGACATGGTGACTGGAATGAGAAAGCTGAGAATCAGTGATATCAACAATCTCAAGTACAGTGCTACTCATAGTGATGAGAAGTCTGCCCATGGCACTACTGAGCTCATCAGAACTGTTGTAAATGAGTATTGACTACTGCTGTAATTGAGAATAAGTCTGAAGGAAATAATATAAGGCCTCAGCTATTCCAGTCAAAGGTGTCTACCAATTACTTTATTATTTAAAACACAGGTTTAGCATGCATGATAGTAATTATATTTCATATGATGATATCACTATAATATGGGATACATCAGTGGATTATTATAAGCATAATTATAACTCATAAACACATTTACTTTCGATGTTAATACTTCATTGGAACTACACACATTTATATCACACCCAAAGACTTTTGACCTGTTTATGGTAATTTTTTCCCCAAATTTCAAATAAAGAGTGCTAATTGGCTATAATAAGGTTCAAGTTCAAAAATAAAAAAAATATGTAGAGGTTTTGAATTTCAGGCGATTGCACAAACGAAAATATGTATTTCAATTGGCTAATTACTTGTAAATAAATAAATAAAAATAAGAAAAGCAGAAGAAAAAATGATCCTAGACTATTTTGGGTGGATTTTGTGCAAAAATATTGTTTTTTCGACTGAGAAAAAGAAAGAAAACGCTTTTGCAACAGAAAAAAAGAAAAAGAAGAAGTTTTGTGACAGAGAGAAAGAAAAAAAAATATATTTTGTGACAAAGCAAATGCAAAAAATAAAAGTGAGAGATTTTATTGGTCAAGGATATCCAGAATTGACCAAAAACTTTTGTACTTGTAAATGCTAGCAGCCAAGGAACTTGTTGTGATAAAACGTTTCTTGGAAATAGCTTCTTATTCCTTTATTTTATGTTTTTTTTCCTCTCATATTTATTGTAATGCCAAGTGCCCAGTAATTTGTATCGTAGCTGACCTATACATACAAAAAAGTACTTGCAAAGACTGTGATTATGCGAACATTTTAAAATTTGTTGTGTTGTAAAAAAAAATGCTAAGTAAAAAACCAAGAAAAAAATTGCTAAGTTGCCAAAAAAAAATAACAACAGATGTCACGCACTTGGCATTTTTTAGTGAAGGGCTACCATTTTCCTTTTGTTCCCTTTTTCTTTCTATTCATTTTTAGTTCAAGTGAGTACTAGTAAATATAATATGCACTTTGTTTTTAGAAGCTATTTTGCTTTGATATAAGGTATTTCTCTCAACAGACTACATTTATAAGTTTATAAAGACTTTACTAATACTTTTTTTTCTAGATTACAGTTATTTTGAGGAACTTCATCATGTTCTGTAGCAAAGATAAATATCTTTATCTTGATAGTTTGAGTTTTATTATATTATTGACTCTTTTCTTCCTTTTGTTTTAGGTAAGTCATAGTGGAATCTAATCTACTACTTTCAAGAGATAACTTTCAATGATTGAACATGTCATGCTTTATCATGAATACTAATCTTTGTCATTTCAATATTTTTTTTTATATTCTTCATCTGCTGTTGTTTCTTTACTTCCTCTGTTCCCATCACAGTATACTGCTGCTACTACTACACTTTCTGGCCTATTATTACATAGTTTTTTTTACAATGTTTACATTATTATTTATTATTGCAAGGGTATTTTTGCTCCCATTATACTGCTGCATTTTTTTGCACTTTTTTATTTCCCATTTATTTCTCAAAAATAAAAATTTCAAAGTTTTCAGACCAGATTTTACATAATACAGATTCTACAAATAAGGAACCTTTTTTGTACATTTTTCAGAATGGGGGTGGAGATTGGGGGGTTCTTACGGTTGCTATGTGTTCTATATTAGGAAGGTAAACTCTCAAGATAAATTACTGATTATAGAATAGTACGCTATTCCAAAAACAATGTTAAGGTTTACAAGAAAAATCTTTGGGTGTGATAATTAATCATACACTGTAGGATATGGCAGCATTTGTAATTCCGCCAATGCAGATTATTATGTAAAAAATGAATACTTGCAGATATGGATTCAGCCAATAAAAACAAGGTGATATAATGTTAGTGTTACTACTCTTTATTAATCGGATTTGTAGAATTCTATAGCGTTAAACTTGATTGAGTGCTGTTCAGTATCCTCAAGCTAATTAGACTTGTGTATTACTTTTAACTAACCCTTTTTTGTTAAATTTGTTGGATCTCTAATTGGTCAAATAATATGTATTGCATCACATAAAAATAGGTTTTTATTTTTATTTTTGTTTTATTTTTTGGTCCCTGGAATATACAAAAAAATAAAAAATAAAAAAAATAAAAAAAATAGAAAACATAGAAAAAATAAATAAAAAATAAAAAATAAAAAAAATAGAAAAAAAATAAAAATAAAAAAAATAGAAAAAAAATAAAAAATAAAAAACAAAAAGAAACAAAACAAAACAAACAAACAAACAAACAAATGACAGTAGAAGAAGTATACAAGGCATATACCAAATTACTTTCTACTTGATAACAATTTTTTTAAAAAAGTATTTTTATTATGTTTTTTATAAATGTCACTTATAAAGTTCAGTATTGTCTACTATAATAAAATAAAAAACAAACAAACAAAGCAAAACAATTGATTTGTATTAGTTATGATCTTATAAATAGCTTTATATTTAAAAGTAACTTATATTTTATTACTGTCTTTCACTGGAGACAGCAGTTCTCCATCTCTGAGAAAGCACAAAGATAGACACCCAGGAATTCTCAAACCTATCAAGAGCAATATTTCTTCTGGCTGCTCTCTCCTCAAGGTTTCTAACCAGGATGTTTCTCTGGTTAGGTGCAAGACTACCCCACGATGGTATAGCTATACCATTTGTATGGTAGTATGACATTGTTATCTGTACAAGCCGGTGAGCAAGTCTGTCAATGGCACTGTAAAGAAGCCGAGCTTCTTTGATGTTACCCCTGGTAAAATGTAATACCAGGGCTACAGTAACACTTCCGGCTGAGAGTACCCAACTGTTAGGTTGTCCTTGGGGGGAAGGGCGTGGGATGGTGTTGCCACCAATGACCGGCTGCAAACAGTTCACATCAGGAAGGTTACCTTGGACGGGCTGTTCAGTGGCGGCCTCACTGCCCTCAAACCTGGCCTCAATCCTGGCCTCAAGCCGGGCATATGCTGTCTCCAGCATCACCAGTTGAAGGTTTAATTGCCTAATGTCGAGCGATGACATTTTTAGAACTGTAAAGAAGATGTAAAATATAAAAAAAAACATAGTTAAACAAAAGCAACAAGAAAAACTGAAAAATAAAAAACAAAAACAAAAAGCCAGAATCCCTTTAAAAAAAATTTCATGATAATTAGTACACTTGTAATTTTTCACTGTCAACTGATGGAATAAAAATTAATATCACATCCCAAGTGGTTTTTTCGATCTTACACCCCTATTTTTTTAAAATACAAAACAACAATTCAAAATGAACATTAACGACTTACTTAACCCTGTTACCAAAAATGAAACAAGCAGTTATATGCTTGACAATTCGTTTTTTGAGCAACAACCCATGTGGTGATCCAGACACTTGGTTGTTGGATTTATTACATCTAAGAACATATTCCTATTATTATAGTAAAACAGCTATCATTACAAGAACAAATGAATAATTTATTTATTTTACTTATGGTAAATCAATAAAACCAATAATTAATTACAGTAAGTACTGTAATTATGACAGCTCAGTAAGCACTGAGTTAATATGAGGACACTGCAATTAGATTAAATTATAAACATAGCAGTATCAGCTCTCTAATATCTAAATGAACTCAGACTTAAGAAATTAAGATGTGACTGACAAAGCAGATCGTGTTTTGATATAAAAAGGACAACTTTGTATTCTTTAATAAAGACAACCTATATACAGTCTCAAAGTATTCTTATATATGTCTCAATCTTTTTACTGTTGATTTTATTCTATAAAACTTCACAACCCACTCAAATGGATATCAATGTCACTTATTCAGCTTACGACATGATGGATATCAATGATAAAGCCTCTGTCAATGATTCAATTGACTTTGATGGTTTCTTGGCTGCTGCCACTAACAACATTGAGGCTGATGAAGAGGACGCTTCTCTTATTGAAGCCAAATCCAGCAATATTGAGGTGGAGTACACCTCTGATAAGAACAATTAAAAGAAAATGTTAATAATAACATTATTACATATGATTATGTTTATGTTAAATATTAACTGTGTAAATATATTAGAGAATGGTCCTGGATTCACACATGTCTGAAACCAAGGAATGGTCCAAGCTGAACCAGAGCAGGCTGACATTGAGTACAACCAGTTTGTACCAATGTACACTCCCAACAGCAGTGCTGAGGCCGTTAGTCTGGAGTTGTTCTCCTTGTTTTTCAAGAACAGTGTTTCTCATGAAATCTACAATCAGTCTGTCAAGATCGTAAACAAGTACATGACAGAACATGGATCGCATAAGTTTATTACTATCACATATCTACTATATTACATATACTTACTATTGTATTAGCTAAAATGGATTCACTTCTGTCATATTACAAGGTGGATATCTTGCTCAAGCAAGAATACACAGTCAAGGCACAGGTGTATGACATGTGTGCCAGTGGGTGCTTTCATTTCCCCGATGTCAAGCCTGGAAACTCAATCGTTGAGAATGAGGTGTGCCCTCACTGCAATGGACCATGGTACCAGAGTGAGAGAGGCACTATATCACCTGTACAGACATATCAGGTAGTGCCTCTCTCGGAGCAATTACACTTCAAGTTAGCTCACCCTAAAGAACAGGCAAAGATCGCCTATGGCACGGAGGTTTTGGCTGGTGGCTGATCGAATGTCCATAAGGATATCCTTGATGGAGATGGTATCCATAGACTGCTCGCAGGTGGGATTGTTGGCCAGAGTGACATGGTGGTGTCTATGTTTGTTGACCAGTTCAACCCCTTCAAGGACGCCGCCATATCAGCTAGCATCATTCATGTTATTAACATGAATATCAACCCTGCTGAAAGGTAAATAAAACACATTGATTTAGATGTATATTTATATATACTAATATAATATATTTAGGTACAAGAAGGGTAACATGACGCAGCTGGCCATCATCCCAGGGCCTAAGCACCCAAAGAACATTGCTTCGTTTTTGGAGCCCATCCTTGCCGACCTGTGAGCCTTGCAGACAAGTGGAGTGAAGTGCTGAGACGGAGACCAGTATGTGGTGCATAAGGTTCATCAAGTCATGTCAACTGGAGATACTCCAGCTGTCTCTGACTTGATGAACCTTATGCATCACAATGCACAATATGGCTGCCGCCATTGTTTTGTGCATGGTGAAAGCATTGCCAGGACCATGTGCTTCCTGGAGAGTGAGGGTCCTGCCCCCATGAGGGACATAGGGAGTATTCGCAGAGCCGAAGGAAGTGTAAGTTATGAAATATCAAAAAAAAAACCACTAACATCATTTTAGAGACCTGGTGGTGGGAGATACAATGTCTTTGCAGAGTTACCTATACTCACCAGTTCTGCTTTCTTTGGCCAGAACGAGATGCACCTCCTAGATCATGGAACAGGACATCAGCTCTATCAAGCCCTTGGTGGCAAATTCTGCTCTGGGACTGTGGGCCTGGGCAGAAAATCCCATGGAATGCACCTCTAAGAACGCCTGCAACGACTTGAGTACCCCTTTGCCCTGGATGTTAGCCTAGATTACATTGAAAAAGCAGTCAGCACATCCAGGGCAGATATACCAACGACATTTACTGGTACGTGAAGGTCAATGAAGGAATCGAACGGCAAGAGGAAGGCCATCAATTGATGGACTTCCTCTTGTTTGTTGTACCAACTGTGATAATCGACCACCTCTGCTTTGCAGATGCAAAGCAGGCCGTGAGAGATCTGGTGCTGGCATGCTCCATTGTCCAACAATGGAGCATCACTGCCAGTGACATTGTTGCCGTGGAGCAGTAAGTTGCTTAGATATATATTTATATCCGGTTTTTAATGAGTTTTATAGGGCAATCAGCTGCTAGCACTCCTTCCTGAGGTGCAAGATTTCGGATGGTAAGCTGAAATCCAACATATTCGTGATGAACCAGCACATGCTGGTTCATCTTGGTTTCATGTTGTGGAAAATGGGCCCTTTGCAGGCTTACAGCTGCCGTCCAATAGAACGCACAATCGGTGCCTATACATCTGCGATCAAGTCCAGGAAGGAGCCTGGAAAAAACATGGAAAATGTTTTTTTCCAGATGGTGGCCATCAGCTACTGCCACGGCAACCGTCCAGCCAGGACTGGACCAGCTGACAGAAGGACCAGTAACTTTGAGGTTGCAAGTGATGATGTTGCTGGTCCTCAGCTGTGGTCCAGTCCGACCAGGTATAGTATGGCCAAGTTGGCCAACACCATTGGCATGGAATGGGAGGACCTCGTCCAACAGTTGTTGCCTTTCTGGGCAGGAGAAGGAGTTTCCTCCTTTGAGAAACAAGACTTGGTGGTTTACAGAGTCCAGTCCTCCTTTGACAGTAGACATGTTCGAGCTAACAATCTTGTTGTGCTCAAACATATGTGGGAGTAAGTGTTGTTAGTTATATTCTACATTGTTAAAAGTTGATATTTATCATAATTTAATTATGTTTTTTGAAAGTTATGGATTTGTCTGCAAATTCTTTTCCCACACTGTCAAAGGAGTGACCAGGCTCTTTGCAGCCACCGAGAGTGTTTCCGACGTCAGGCCCTTGCCGGGCATGCTCTTCCCTGTGTCGAGCAACCGCTCACAGGGTGAGATGAGGATAGTGGACATGAAGTCCTTCAAGGAGATGGCTGGCCTCGTCCACAATACTAAGGATGGGGCCATTAGACATATTGTCTGGCCCTCGCCAACCCACAACTAGTAGTTTTTTCTTCTTCTTTTTTTTTCCCTCTTTCTTTTTAATAAATGTATATAAACCTTTTGTCTTATTCAGATATTACTCAACGAAGTTGATTGTTATTATCATTTTATTTAAAATTGCACATCACCAGAAAATCCGAATTAATGGTATATCTGATTGATTGGCTATATTTGTAATCTTGATCAAAATTGTAAACAAAAAAGAACAGTCGTCTTTTTTTCTCACTTAAAATAGACGTCTGAGTTTAACACATGAAAAAAAGATTAATCGCGGGTCCACAGCTTCTAAAAGGGGCTTAGAACACTCTAAATTTAGTAAGATTGATATGATTTTTACAAAGTTACACGGATTTTGCAGATATGCAATTATTTCTGTGAGTACTTGCACTTTTTTTTCTACAGTGATACATTAATTATCCCAAGATCACGTTGCTCTGATTAAGGCTCAGATAGGATCGATTACCTGACCCCAGTCATATAATTTTCCCAATCCAAAATAATATAAATAGCAGTAGTAGTTCAGTGTAGGAACCTGGTCAAACTTTGATACAAAATCCTTTCTCAATAAACAAAATCTACACAAGTTCTCACAAATCTTCGTTCCTAATCTCAAATCTTCAATTCTTCCTCTTAAAAACTTCTTCAACTTCAATCACCACAACAACATTAATGTCTGGACCATTGGATCCTGACACAGTTGCAGATTGTGCGCGCTTGCTCTGGCTGTTAGTGGATTGTGCTGTTCACTTCATTTTTATTGTACATGTTTTTTAAGAAAATAAGGGAAATGACCAAAAAATATTTGAGTGAAAAGAGAAATAAAGTAGAAAGTGTGTATGTAAGTATATCTTATATATATACTTGAAGTATTTTGCTTAATTATTGAAAATATATATAAAAAACTGCATGTTTATTTGTTTGTATTAGTAAAAATTGAATGCTATATGCATATGGTAACTATAAAAAATTGTGGCAAATTGGGCTCATTTTGCCACAATTCTATAGCAAAATGACCCTAATCTGCCACAATTTCCCTTCAATTTTTCAGTGTTTAAAATGCCTTGAAATTTTCATATCCCAATTTCCTTATTTGGGCGTTATGACTATTTGATTCGATTTTGCCACAACACAACACCCACTCTATTAAGAAAATATACTATACCCAACCATTATAAATGTCTGTTTTAGTTTCTATTCTACAGTCAAAGCTCAATATAGTGATATGGATGGTGGACAGAAATTTTATCACTATCACTATATTGAGCATGTTTTTTTCTTACTCTGTGCATTATTTAGTGATATTTCTAATGCCACTGTGAGTGACTACTGCTTTCTAATAGGATTCATAGTATTTTGTCTAAAAAAGTGGGCTTGCTTTAAAATGCTAAATAAAATATATACTACATTTATTTTTTATAGTATACAAATAAACTCAGAGCTTGATATAGTAATACTAGTGGATTCAAATTTTATCACTATCACTATATTAAAAAATAGTGATAATAAGCAGGCATGGGCCCAAATTTTCCAAAAAATTATCACTCTATTGAGCTTTGACTGTACTTTTGTTATACTATGTGCTTTCTAATTCTTTTTTAAGCAAAAGGAAATCACTTTGGTTGTTGTTCTCAAAAGAGAATTCTAATGTCAAGTCTCGATCTAGTATTTCTTTTCTGGCACTTGTAACTAAGTCGCAGAATCAATACCACTGGGGATTGTCAAGTTTATGAATAGTTTTTAGATAAGAATAAAGATGCTTTTTATTAAATATATTTCTTGACTATTTATACAAAATGATAATTGATTTCTGGCTAAAAGAATAGCTATGATAATATGTCTTAGATGCCTGTTGTCCAGTAATATCTTCTACAAGTATATTCACCATCTTAAACATCTAAAACATATATGAAAGACCAATCGGCAAAGTCAAGATCTTTTATCCTAAAAAGTCAACTCTTACTGGTTGCTTATAACTACCAATTTTGTTCACCGATATCAACTCTGACAGTAAAACAATCATCATTCTGTCATTCCCGATCTGGGTTGGTCTTCCTTTTACTATAACAAAGTCAAAAGGTCAAACCCACTGGGGATCAAGGAGTATACGTAAAATCAAAGAGAGGATAAAAGATACCTTTTTATTGATATGAATTGAATTGTCTTATATAGTTTTCTAAACTAATACTGCGCATTATCCGCAGTAGTTATTATTTATATTTAATTAAAGAAATAGTCATTATACTGCGGTTAATGCTCAGGAAGATATTACTGCGCATAAAGAAGTACTGTGGTTAACTATCTTCAGATTTTACGGATTCATCAAAATAATGTCCGACAATTCCGATTGGCTGAAAAGAATTCGGGCACAACAAAAAACTGAAGAGAGTGGGATTCGAACCCACGCCTCCGAAGAGATCACGGCCTTAACGTGACGCCTTAGACCAACTCGGCCATCTCTCCAACTGATATTTGTTACGTGTGTTGTAACAAACTATAAATTTGGCTAGTTTCTGGTGGGAGATACCAGATGGTGGATTTCTTTGGTGGTTTGGTCTGGCGGTGAGCCGTGACGGGTGGTACCAGACTCGTGGGCGTTGACGTCGACGGTGAGTCGACAGAGTGACGTGTCTCGAGGGACAAGAGTGGTCCCCCAGGTTTCTTGAGAAATCTTGCTCCTGATACCCTTATACTCAAACCCCCCAATATGATTCTGTTCCTTAAAATTAAACATTGTCACCTTAGAAACACCTGTCACCCACTAAAAACATTATACCTCTTTCCCCTAATTTATACACTTCTTTATTGCCGACATTTATTTTACACTATTTTTTATTACATTTTATTAGATTCCATTATTATACTATTATTATATTTTTTTACTTTACTTTACTATAGTTATTATATTATTACTTTACTTCTATTCTATCTTACTATATTTTTACTTTATCTTTATTCAATTATTATATTTTTACTATACTTTTATTTTACTCTCTCTATAATTTTCTGTTCTACTTCTACTATCAACACCAGTTATATATAGTAAAAATTTTCACTTAACTTTCTTTTCTTTTCCTCAAAAAATTATTTTAACCAAACATTTTTGTTTATAAAAGGAACAACTTTTTCAATCAACAAAATCATCATTCTATCCTTGATCTTATTTATTTTTGTTCATTATTATCATTATTCTTCATTCATACACAATATCCTTGTTCTTTGGAGTGTTGTCTGTCAATTTTGATATATTTCGTTTCTTTGTTTTCCCCTTTCTGTCTTTCTCAGACTTTGTCATTGTCACAATTTCTATTTTAATCTTCTCCCTATTTTTTCTACCTGTCTGTCACCAATTCTTATCTGTCAAATTACCTATTCTTTTCCATTCTTATTGTATTCTTCTTCTTGTATTTCGTAATTCATATTACATTTATTTGCCAAGTAATACTGTTACAATCCACAACAAACAAACACATTACACGTCATATTTGACGTGTTGCATTGTAGGTTTTATCGGCCACAGTACCAGTCCCTTTTTCAATCGATTTCAACCTTTTTAATCAGTCACAAAGTCTCAAACCCCCAATTATAATTTTATATTTTAATTTTAATTTTATTTATATTATTTTTATTTTTATTCTTCTCCAATTTTCTGAAGACAAATTTCCCTTCTCTTTATTCTTTTCTGAAATTAGTTTCTCCCTCTTTTATTTTTCTTACTTTTCTTACGCACTAAATGTGACGTTTTCCTCTCAACACTACTTTACCAAAATTGTTAACTGTAGTTTTTCTATTTCTTTATAACATACTCCACTGGAAAAATAGAGTAATTTTATCTATGGCATAGGGTACTATTATTTGTGGAGTAGTAGCCTAAATTTTCATCATTTTTATCTTTTTTATTTTTGATGGCAATGATAATGCTTGGTCTGTTTTATTAGATAAAAAAATGAGTTTACTCTTTTTTGTAAAAAATGTCTGCAAGATTTCTTTTTGGAACTTGTACCCATATCGCAGAGTCAATAGTTGTAGGGAACTTAAACCAAATGATATCTTTTGAGTGAGATAATAAAGCTTTTTATTGTTGTAATATTTATTTATAAGTATGATGAGGTTAATGGTCGTGATATTACTACAAATATTTTTGTTATATATGTTCTACAGCTAATAAAATATATATGACAACATGTTTTAACAAAAACATATATTATTGTATTTTAGAATGAGGCAATAAATTACTGTTTAGAGAACTGCCCATTTTAACAACCGGAATAAACTATGTAATTTTGGCAGCTGGTGTAATTTGGAAAGATATATATTAAATTGTGTTCCTGAACAATTTTCTATTCTTGTCAATTCTAAAGACTTAAAAAATAAAACATACACACACAATATGTCAAACAACAACAACAATTTCAAATGCAAGTGCTCTAAATGCTCTTCTAATAGCATGAGATTTGTTTTGGTGTCTACCCAAACACTCAGAAGACATACACAACAAGATATCGTGAGACAATATCAGTCAGGATCTTCTTGTAAGTTCAAATTTAAGAAAATTATTATTGAGACAATTTTAATTAAATATTTATTTTCATATAATATAGTCTCAGTTATAGAAGTAATGTCAAATGAAAATGACATAGAGATTGACTTTGACGACAATGTTGATACCAAAGATCAAGTTGAAGGTATGCATAGTATTTTTATTAAAGTTTTATAATCATTTATAATATCTAATAATTTGATTCTTTTTTACCTAACAAAACAGCCAAAGACTTACCTCTTTTTGATGTTGATTTCTTGTTTGATTCTGAAAGCAAAGATGAAGGTGTCATTGAAGCAACTATTTTGGATATTTCTGATGATGAATCTAATGATGTTAGAGGTTAGTACAAAAAGCACATATAAATTGTGGTATTTCAGATATGAAACAATAGAAAAATAATATATTTGATAATAGAGACATATAGAAATACTTTGAGACTGTATATCAGTTGTCTTTATTCATAAATAAAAAGTGTCTCTTTTTATAAGAAAACACAATCTGCTCTTATTATTACGTCTTAGTTTCTTAAGGCTTTCTTTCTTTACTATATTTGATTATTAGAGTGTATTTACTGCTTAACTAGTGTCGGTATTACAATTATGACATCAAGTAATAAATCGTACTCCTTTAGCTCTTAGCTATTCTTTTCTCTTTTATACTAGAGCTTTAGAACTTCCTACTAAATTAGCTCCATATCGATCTAACATAGTTTACCCGGCAGTATGATATAATTATCTTAACAATCTTTAAGATATTATCTACAGTACTAACTGTAATAATTATTGGACTGATTACTTAATCATTTATATATATTTTATACTGATAAGATGATAGCTATTACGCTATCCCAATATGAATATGTTCTTATATGTGATAAATCCAACATCCGAGTGTCTGAATCACCACATTATTCCCACCCAGGTATTAACTAAATACCGTTCAAGTACTCTATGCAATTCTTCTGATCAGCTTGTTCTTTTTTTTTTTTAAACGAGTACTGTGGTGCTCAAATAACTCTTTATTTAGACCTTACTGCGTTTCTTCTTTTGATAAGCTGTCTTTGCATAATTCTTCCTTTTAGTACTTGAATTTTCTTTAGGTGTGGAATATGCAACTTTCATATCCTTTAATAATTTCTTATTGGCCTTATTGATGTCTTTGATACCTTCTGGAGCTTCACTAATTCTTTGCCAGTATTCCTTTATGAACTTAGGATCGGTAAAATGATCCTCTGGCTCCCAAGTATCGTGAGACTCATCATAATCCAACCATTTGCATCTATACAAAAAATTGTTCTTGTCATCTTTTATGTGCCCAATAATTGCTTCGACTTCAAAAAAGTCATTCTTTTGCTCTAATACCTTGTCAGAAACTTTTTTCAATAAAGAAGGAGGATAATTCCTTGGTTCTAAAAATCCCTTTTCATTTTTCAATACATAAGTATTGGCAGCAGTCTTTCTAACAACAGTGTAGAATCCCTTATACTTTGGATCTAATTTATTCTGTTTTTCTGTCACCAAAATCATTACCGTGGTTCCTGGAACCAGATCTATCATTTTGTGACTTCCATCAAAGCGTTCCTTTTGCTTTTCTGTGACATGCTTTACGTGTTCAAACATGGCAGGGTAGACTATCTCAGTCATTCTTTTAATTTTTTTCTTGCAACTCTTTCTGAATCTGTTCAGCAGTTGCACTATCCTTTTCTTTACTAAAATCGACAAAGTCATTTGGATTCCTTCCAAATATTAACAAGAATGACGTACTCTTAGTCCTAGCATTATACTTGCTATTCAAAAACAACTGCGCAGATAGCACCTTCTGATCCCAATCAGCAACATTACCAACTATTTGTTTTTTAATAGTGTTCACTGCCGACTGGACAGCTCTTTCACTTGCACCATTAGCTCTAGGATGGTACTGCGAAATCAACGCATGTTCAAAACCAACATTCTCTTTTATACATGTCATCAGTGAGTTCACAAACTCCCATCCACAATCACTCTGCAACTTTCTCATCGGACCCCATGTACTAATGACGTCCAGTACTTGTAACGCAATCATAGCTGCCCTTTTATCAGTTATGGCACACAATACATAAAATTTGCTTGCGATGTCTATCATTACTAACAAGTACTCATTTCCTCTAGTTGACATTGTAAATGGCCCAGCCAGATCTATTCCCCAACTGTCACCAGGAAGTGTTGCAGTCACAGGTCTTAAAGGATTATAACCTTTTCTTGTGATATTATGACGTTGACACTGTATACACAATTGTATAAGATCATTTGCTTGACTCTTCAAGCTGGTCCAATAGATACCTTTTCTCTTTAAGGCATGTAGTATAGTTTCTACACCAAAATGACCTTTCAAATGTTCTTCAACTAATAACTTATTCCTTTCATTTTCTGTGGGAGGAGTAAAGTACTCACCACTCAAGATGTCTGGTAGCGGTTCCATAGTCACAGCACTATTTCTCATGATGGATCTAACCACACTATCCCCACCCAGTTCATTTGATAATGTTTCAGTCTCTTCAGACAAACGTGACAACGCATCAGGAAGCACATTCGAAACACCAGGCAAATGAACGATCTTAAAGTCATACTGTAAAATCGTGTCCATCCATGCAATCATCATCAGATTCGCAACACGTTGGGTGTGAAGATATGTCAATGCCTTGTGATCCGTGTACAAGGTAAAGTGAGAACCATAGACATACTTGTGAAAACGCTTGAGTGCAAATACTAACGCTAGTAATTCTCTTTTGGTTGCAGAATACTTTCTTTCACTTTGGGATAAGCTCTTAGCCACAAAAGAAATATATTTTTTCTTGCCATCCTTGACTTGATACAACACTGCACCAATACCAGTAAGAGATGCATCACAGCTGATACTAAAAGGAGAGTTCATATCTGGGTACGACAACACCAGATCACTCAAAAGTGCTTTTTTCAAGTTATTAAATGCAGTTTGATGCTTATCTGTCCTGTGGTATTTCAGGTACGAAACAATAGAAAAATAAAATATTTGATAATAGAGACGTATAGAAATACTTTGAGACTGTATATAAGTTGTTTTTATTCATAAATAAAAAGTGTCCCTTTTTATAAGAAAACACAATCTGCTCTTGTCATTACGTCTTAGTTTCTTAAGGCTTTCTTCCTTTACTATATTTGGTTATTAGAGTGTATTTACTGCTTAACTAGTGTTGGTGTTACAATTATGACATCAAGTCATAAATCGTACTTCTTTAGCTCTTAGCTATTCTTTTCTCTTTTATACTAGAGCTTTAGGACTTCCTACTAAATTAGCTCCATATCGATCTGACACAGTTTACCCAGCAGTATGATATAATTATCTTAACAATCTTTAAGATATTATCTACAGTACTAACTGTAATAATTATTGGGCTGATTACTTAATCATTTATATATATTTTATACTGACAAGATGATAGCTACTACGCTATCCCAATATGAATATGTTCTTATATGTGATAAATCCAACATCCGAGTGTCTGGATCACCACAACTCTTGTTTCCTTTTTTATTTTATAATTCAAAATATATTTAATATACGAATCTCTATTAATACTTCTTGTAATGACTGGAATGTAAATTGGTTTTCATATTGCTTTGGGACTTGATGAACTCATTTTAGTCTTTTGTTTTAAACATACTTTTTTCTTTTTTTTTAAGATTTTTTTTTACTTTTTTTATTCGTTTTTTGTTATTTTCCTCTTTTCTCTCTCTTTTCAATTCTTGTTATATTTGCAAATTTTTTTGGTAAGATTGTTTTTGGTTCAAAATACTTCTTTACAAAGAACAAAAGAATCAATTTTTTTATCTGTCATAGGTATTCTCTCTGTTTCTCTCTCTTCACTCTTTACACTCACAAGGTTTTATAGTAAGACACTTTCTTTGTTTTAAAAGAAATATATACTTCTTTATGTATAACTAAAAAATAATAATATATTTTAATGTTATAGAAACTCACTCTTCATCTCATTCTGATGCGCCATCTTCACAACAGTAATCCGGATTAGCCAGAGTTAGTAAATATACTTTATGCCATCATTCCATACAATTATTCTGACTTTTTTCTTTCTTTAATATAGGCCACATCGCCAAAAATACTCTCTACAATCAAACACGGATATTGACATGGTAATATTTTATTTTATTTTAATCTATTTCTTTTTAATATTTATCTAACTGAATATAATTTTTATTGTAGATGAACATCCCTCTTACAAACGTGCTATTCCTCAAGAACTTTCATCCCATGCTACCATCATTGCCATGGTAAGCCTTTTATTTACTTCTATACATACAATAATATTATTTATACTGTATATTAATGTATATTCTCTACTAGAGACAATATTACTGCTTTACAGATAATATCTTGGTCTGCAAAGAAATCCTTTGCCTTTGGTATGTAAATCAATTATTCTATCACGCAATTCACAAAAATTAATTCTTTCCTATTGTTTTATAGTCAAAGAAATCATAATCCCATGCTTTACTGTAAATATTTTATTTCTTTGTCTATTTGTACTGGGTACTTCCAATGTAAGTATTAATTAGTGCATAAAATTTGCAGTATAAAACATGCATGCACTCCCATCACTAATGTTTTATCTATTCTCAAAGAGTACTGTTCTTACCCCTAAAAAAGGTAATGAGCACCTCATTTTCTTCAGGTATTTGTTTTTTGTAGAAATTTTTTTATCCCAAATATAACAAGCCAGCCAAGCAAGAAGTAACTGAGGGTATAGAATAGCTTTATTAGATTTGAAACCTAGAAGCATTCTATTCTTTCCAATAAAAATAAAAGCGTAAGCCACTATTAACCTAATAAGAACGGGAAACCAAATAAATAAAGAACATATTACTGGTTGATAATTTTAAAGACGTGTTTTTTTGCTGTTGATGATTGGAGATTTTAAAGAACTGTCAGTATAGGTGATCAGTAAAGGTGAGGTGTAGTACAGATAAACCATTGGAGCAATATATATAATGTAATTCGTCTTTGACCTTTCCTGTTCTGTGTCAAGAATACTGAGATAAATCCGTAGTTTTAAATATTTTTATTTATTTATTAAGCATAACGAGTATATCAAAAGTGCTACCAAACCTTACTTGCGGAACCCCCCATTTACATATACTGTAGTGTTTGTAAGTCTCGCATATATAGTGCTAGATGACCTTAAAACCTAGTGGAAAAAATATCAACTATGCTATATCACGTTATTCCAGTACTGTTTGCCCATATATACACATCAGTATTTTCCTACTTTTTTCCAGTGTTTCTCCTTGCACAAAGGTTTTCTAACGATCTAACTACTCCACTCAATCAATTGACAATGGTTTGCAAGCTTGACATGCACACTCATTATGACAACAAGCTTGTAATTAATCTCAACAAGTTTGAATCATATTGTTTCTTTGCCTCCCAGATGTACAATGGGCAGTATTATTTAAAATTTATATCAATAAATATTTTCTTTAATAAAAATTCATGATTTTCACTAAGTCATTTTTTGTTTTTAGTAAAACCCTGAGAAAATCCATTTATGGATGCTTACATTTTTGAATTTATCTAATGCAGACATAATATCTTAGAAAATTGCTCTAAATTGATATTCCGAAAACTTCGAATTTTTTAAACCAATCAAAATGCTTGGAAGTAAATAAAATTCATATTTGATATCAAAAATCTTCTGTGGTGTTTCTACAGTGTACTGCTGTAACTTAGAGTGAGTCTGAAGGAAATAATATAAGTTCTCAGCTATTCCATTCAAAGATGTCTACCAACTACTTTATTATTTAACATACAGATTTATCATGCACACTAATGATTATATTTCATATGATTATATCACCATAATAAATTACGGGAAAAAAAGAGGTGGCCCTGGGGGTTCCCTGGGGGGCTGCCCAGGAAGCTGCCCAGGGGGAGCTTTTCATTCGCCTCCTTTCCCACTTCCTGCCTGTTATGGATTATTACATAACTCTGCTATCTAACAGATGTGAGATTTTATTCATTTACCAATACATCTTTTTGTAGCTTATATGTGCTTTCTTATTGGCACTTATATATGAGAGCTGTATTTTAAGATTTACTTTTATTGAGCCTTATAGACTTTTGCTTAAGATTATATTTCGAATCATTGGTCACTTAACAACTAGTGTTCACTTAATTGGTTTTTATTTATATATAATTTAGGTTCTTTATCTTTTTAATTGGATGGTGAATTTATTTTTAATTGAAATTTCGCTTATAAAATGATTTTATTGGGTGCTGCAACAGAAGTAAATCTTATAAAAATGTTTTATTGGCTGTTGTAACAGAAGTAAATTTTATAAAAAGTGTTTTATTAGTTGTTGTAACAGAGATATGTTTTATAGAGAATGTTTTATTGGTTGTTATACTAAAAATAGTTAATTATATACAAATTTTACTGGCCAGATATCTTTTATTTACTACATATTTTATTTATAATTAATATACTATTTTATAGTATCTATCAGGCATAGACTTATAATTTACTGTCGCTTTTTACGGTTTTTCCATAATTGACTAACTTTTGCAATGGATGCCCAGTTCTTGTGACATCTGGTAAAGTCTATGCCGTTTCTTTTGAGTAAAAGTGCATGCCTGGTGCACATGTAGTTCTTGTCTTCTTGGGATATTGAGCTCCAGCTTGGATTTGATCCTAGAGCTTGTACGGAATGCATTAGGGCCAATTCATCACAGACAAGATGGGTGCAAGTGTTGAGTGTTGCCTTGTTTTCTTTGCTTAGTTATACCCCAAGATCTTGGCCCATCATTTTGTATATATGTCTCAGAGTTATGGTTTTTATATTTGGAACTGGTCTTGTAGTTGGCCCACCAATATTCTGTATGATTTTATATTAGTTTGTATGCTTTATATTCTTTTATGTTTTCTTACATTATGGACTGGAGTTGACTTTGGAATTGTTTGGCCATTCATGTTTTTGTGTATATCGGAAATTTCTAGACGTATCTTTTCTTGCTCCTTCTGAAGTCCTTGTTGGCCTTTTTCCAAGGCAAGAAGTATTTCTTGCATATTCTGAAATAGCTAGAAAATTAAATAATCTATATTGCTTATAATTATAAAAAAAAAGTGAGGAATATGGGTTTGATATGAAAAAGGGGGGAAAGAGAAAGGAATGTTTTTTTTGTTATTTTTATTAAATTTATATTCTTTGTGCAAATATATTAGTTTAATGAGAATTATTATTTGTAAAGTAGCTGTAATAACAATATATCATATTTTATTACCCTTTTGGACTTTTGGATGATATTTGAATTATCTATGCCATCATTGTCTTCAAACAATTAAATACAGAGGTTTGCATACATAACTCAATTATCTCTATTCTTACTTATCTAAAGTGATCTATTCCACTTTTCTAAAAATGTTCTCTATTACAAACACCCTTCCCTATGAATATCAATTGTGCCATACATGTTACAGCAATAAAGCAATTGCTGTGGCATGTCAAAAGCTATGCCTGGGAAAGATGCTGAAAGCTATGATGAATAACGAAGTATCAGAAGATGACTCCTCTTCTGAGTCAAGCCAGTTTATGTTATCAGCAATTCCTAGCTTGATGCTTGAGTGAGTTTGAAAAAAATAGAAAATAAAAAAAAGATGGACTATGTATTAATGATATTAATGCTTTAAACAAACAGAGAGAACACAAACATGATTAGCAATGAAATCAGTGACATTAGCAACAACACTGACCTTGATAAGCCCATGGTAAGATATACATATATATATAAATACATAATACTAACTGCTCTTTTCTTAACTAAAGTATGATATTGAATATGAGAGCAACATGAGAGAATCAGTTGACATAGATGGAAGCAAAAGTGCCACCTCTCCCTTGGTTTTCGATTTCAGCCAACCTTCTCCTGTCCTAAGCAACAATGATGCAAAGAACCTGGAGTTTATTAAAATCATCAATGACTTTGGCATTTCCTGTCAAGCCCACAAGAAGCTTGCTGCACATCTCAACAACATTCTGGAGATGTCAACCAAGATAACGTACAGAGTGTGTACACCATACCTGGGCAAGGAGCTCTTGAAGCATTTCTCTGGTGTAGAAGAAACAGTGTATGACGTCTGCCAAAGCGGATTTATGATGTTTAACGTGGCAGAGAAGGTTGCTTGCAAACGTTGTGGCAAAGCTCGCTACAAAAGCAACAAAACGGATAAGGATGGTATGCCCATTGCTGAGAAAACCATGGTCCAGATTTCTTTGGCAAGGTAAATTGCCCTTTCTTTGGCCAACAGTGATACCAGACACGAGATGTTATACCACCACAATCATGAGCAAAAGGCAGATGGCAGCAAGGTAGAAATTTTTGCCAGGCACACATACCAGTCAATCAAGCACCTTTTCTCCGGTGAAAATGATGTTGCAATTTCTTTGTCTGTCAATGGATTTGCGCCTCATAACGTCCCCAGTTCGATTACTATTCTGCATGCCACAGTTCTTAATCTTTCTCTAATGGTCCATTATGAGAAAAGCCAGATGTTGCAAATTGCAATAATCTCAGGTCCTTCCGCACTACTTGACTTTTGGTCATTTTTGAAGCCAACCTTGGCAGACCTCAAGGTACTCCAGGAGGAAGGAATGATTGTTGTGACCCCAACTCTCACCATCCACACAAAGGTCCATGTCCTTGTGGTAACTGGTGATATTCTGGCAGTGGCGAAACTGGCATGTCACACTGGCCATATGAGCAAAAGTGGTTGTTGAATCTGTAATGTTGTGGGCCAAACTCCTGGCCATGGCCAATATTTTAGATCTTTGACAGACATCACTATGCGCACTTTGGAAAGCTTCTAAAACTTTGATCCAGCAAATTTGTCTAGCAAGAGTCTTGTAGGACAATCTCCTCTTTCTTCACTGGCATCATTCATGGGCCCATTCTTTTTTACCCTTGACGAGATTCATGGCCTTTGCCATAGAATAGGCAAACAGGTCTGGGGACTTATTGGTGGAAAGTATGGAATTAAACACTCTCTGTTTCTTCCTGCTAATGTACTTAAGGAAATCGGCGTGGCAATGGTAGCAACAAGAAAAACAGTTCCAACAGCATTTCATGGCTCTTGGAGAAACGTATCCAAGTACAGTAGGTACTTCAAGACTGTAGATTGTGCCGACTTCCTTCTCTTTGTTGTCCCTACACTGGTGGCTGAGCGTGTAAGAAATACAACTGCCAGAAAAGCATTGCTTGGACTTGTGCAAGCTTTTAACTTACTCATGAGCTGGGAGTTATCAGCAGAGAAACAAACCTCTATAAAAAGATATGTTTAATAAGATTCAGTGTTTTTTTTTCTTGCCACTTATAATTTTCTTCTAGAAAATTACAATCATGAAACATGTATCTCAAAGACCTTTATCAAAATAATAAAATAGAAATAACGGTCTTTACTATCAACCAGCACCTTCTACAACATTACCCCAATATGATTGGTGCCTTTGGTCCTCCACGCGCATACAGCACAAGATCAGTAGAGCATGCTATTGGCAAGTACTCTCATGCCATCAAAAGCAATTTGGCAATTGGCATGAATGCTGGAAACGTAATGGTCTGGCTGGCTCGTACATGGCAATTGTTGACTGATTCTGAAGGAGGCAAATGGAGAGATGTTGTATTACAGTATGAGGATATGTCTGCTGGTTGGCTAATTACTAGTGAGGGCAAGCATGTTAGTGCAGATTCCGATATCGAGTTCTGGGGACCTTTAGGATATAAAACAATTGATGACAGTTTTGAAGACATTTCTTGTCTTCTGATTCTTATTCGAGACTTTTATAGATCAAAGGGGGTGGAATGCGGGACGATTGAACCAGCTATAATAACTAGCCACAAAGCTTTTATTAAGGACTGTGTGGTTGACTTCTCATTTTCCCAAAAAACATTAAGAAAGGCACATCACATTTGTCTTCAGATGCAAGTCGATCTGTTCACAAATGTATGTCGCCAATACACTCCCATGGCAAAAGACTTCTTTGGAAAAGTAATTCTTTTCTTTGAACATGAGAATTCTAGTAAAAGGTGGCCCCTTGTTTTGGTGCTGATATATAGCACTGTATTATACAATGATATTCCAGTGGTAGTAAATGGTCAGCTCAAACCAAAGGTAGTCCACCTGGCAGACGTCAAGGAGTTGGTTGGTCTTGTGGTGTCAGATGCAATGGGCAGTACAACAACACCAACAACAACAAAATATATAGTGTGGCCAGAACTTAACCGCAGCCCAAAATTAAATCTTGGTTAATATAGAGACCTTTAATTTGTTTTTTATTGTAATACATTTTTTTTTCAAATTGTCTTAACAAATTTCATCTTTGCAGCAGAAAGTTTAGATATTTTCCTTGTCTTTTACCTCTGACTTTTAATAGTTCTTGATTTCAATCTATACATGCTAAAAATGTAAAATCTGTAGTTAAAATGTACTTTTGTCTCCTCTGAGATCTAATTCTAGGTAATCAATTTGCTTTTTATCAGCTATTTCAAAAAACAGAGATTTTCTTGTTTCATTCTGCATTTTTGGCTATTTTTAATAATTATAAGCCAAAAATGAAGTCACAATTACAAAAAACGTCCCTTTTTTCCCGTAGTTATATGAGATACATTAGTGAATTATTATAAGTATAATTATAGCTTATAAACACATTGACTTTCAATGTTAATACTTTGTTGGGACTACACACATTTATATAATTAATTATACATTAATTATTCGAAGATTGTATTGCTCTGATTAAGACTCAGATAGAATCGATTATCTGACCCCAGTCATATAATTTTCCCAATCCAAAACAATATAAATAGCAGTGATAGTTCAGTATAGGAACCTTGTCAAATTTTGATACCAAATCTTTTCACAATAAACAAAATCTACACAAGTTTTTACAAATCTTTATTCCTCACTTTCAAATCTTGAATTCTTAACAACTTCTTAAAACCTTCAAACCATCACAACAGATGCAAAGAAATAAATTGGTAAGGTTTATAAAGATTTCAAAAAATTGTCTAGCTAATAAAATATAAAAGTAAATAAGTAAATAAATAAGAAAAGTTCTAGCTAATAAAATATAAGTAATAAAGTATAATTAAAAGAGTAAAAAAATAGAAAAGAATATCAAAAAAAAATTATTTTGAAATAATATTAATTAGTTGATCTAGATCAGAATGAAGAGAGAGCATGATATTTTAGCAATCATGTTTGCTAAATTCTTTGAACTTATTTCAGTAAGTATCAAAGTTATCATCAATCTTATTTCTGACACAACCTAAAAAAAAAATTCAGGAATGGCTGACCATTTTCTAAAGATATTATAGGAAAGATCAACTGTTTTTCAGTGATTACTATTAATATGATTAAAAGTCAGAGGTTGTTATTGTTGTTTAGTTTTATTGTTGGGAAGGGCAAATAGAAGAAAGATTGTTGAGGGAGTGTTAAGATTGTCTGAGTAGACGCAGACTAGTTATGTATATGTGTCTGCAGCTAGTTGAGCACAGTCGAATATGTTAAATCACATATTAGTATCTGAACATACTGAGATGAAATTGGTGTTGGTATTGGTATTGGTATTGCTGATGTTGCTGGTGTTGCTGTGATCGAGTTGAGAACCATGCTGAATTATTTTTTTCTAGTTAGCTTATGTCAGTACTAAAGGTATTTATATATATTGTTTTGTATTTTGGCAGGGCAGCTAGCATATTCCTTTCACAAGTGGAAACTTATTTTGATCTTTGTAGATCAAGTGGGCAAGGACCCAAAAACCACACAACCTGTCAGCAGTAGAGCTAAATCCACTTTTGACATCATTGACCATCTCATGAGAGACATAAAAGTCGGGCTGATATTTAAAACTCTTGCCAACAGAGATATGATAGTCATACTAATAAACTTCTTGAGCTGTATCAGGTATTTTAAACCTTATTTCTTTTGTGGTATCAACTAAAAAGTGTATAAGTATAAGGCAATATTTCTCTTTCTGGATTAAATTACTATAAAATAAGAAAGCATATTATCTAGATTGAGAGGCTTTTGTTTTACTTGTTTTTGGTGGCATCGACTAAAACAAATATTAGTATTAGTATTAAATTACTTTTCATGAATTCAACCACACTGTAAAAGAATAGTGTATTTTATCTGGGTCAAGAGGCTTCTTTTCAATTTGTTTTATTTTGTTTTTGATAGCATTGACTAAGAAAGTTATATATATATATGACAAGAGTTCTTCTCATAAGCTCAATCAAACTTTAAATTAAAAACGTATCTTACCTGAGTTGAGAGATATGGTGATCCAGACACTCGGATGTTGGATTTATTATATATAAAAACATATTCATATTGGGATAGTATAGTAACTATCATTTTGTCAGTATAAAATATATATAAACGATTAAGTAATCAGCCCAATAATTATTACAGCTAGTACTGTAGATAATATCTTAAAGATTGTTAAGATAATTATATCATACTGCCGGATAAACTGTGTCAGAGCAATATGGAGCTAAATTAGTAGAAAGTTCTAAAGCTCTAGTGTAAAAGAGAAAAGAATAGCTAATAGCTAAAGAAGTACGATTTATGGCTTGATGTTATAATTGTAACACCAACACTAGTTAAGCAGTAAATACACTCTAATAATTAAATATAGTAAAGGAAGAAAGTCTTAAGAAACTAAGACGTAATGACAAGGGCAGATTATGTTTTCTTATAAAAAGAAACACTTTTTATTTATGAATAAAGGACAGCTGATATAAAGTCTCAAAGTATTTCTATACGTTTCTATTATCAAATTTATTATTTTCTATTGTTTTGTACTTGAAATACCACAAGAGACTCTTTTTCGATTTTTTTCATATTGTTGTTTTGTTTTTTTTGTGATCTTAAGGCTAGAAAAACTCTTTTCAACCATCTTTGTAATCTTTTGTTAGTATATTGCCTTAATCTCTGCCTATTATTCCATTAAGATCATTAGTTTTGTCCTATGTTTAATATAAGTAAATCATGAAACTTATAGTTTCAGCCAAGATACTTGTCTTTCTTCACATTGGGTGACCAAAGTCCTTTGGCAAGTATTTAGAACGGCTGTTGTCTTTGTGTTTTCTTGGATACTTGACATTTTCTAATGCCTGCAGTTTGATAGAAGAGTGACTATTTTTGTTATCAAAGTCATTTGCAACTTTTTTCATTTTTTTAAAAGATCAGCAATTTGCTGGTTGCCTTTGCAAAAGTGGAATAAAGCTTCAAGCTTAATTATTTCACTTATTCACTCCTCGGGTTTTTCAATGACAGAAACTTGCATATTTGGTTGATCGCATGCTTTGTCTTTCTTTCTAGCATCAATAACACATTTATCTGATAGATCAGAGATCTGAAGATTTCTTTCTACTGGTAGGGTATGATGACAAGATAGGCCATATTAAACTTTGTTCATATAATAGAGTTTCTCAGCATATTCTGGTAAACAGAGCCCCTGATTTAATATAAACAATGCTTGCTTTGATACCTTCATGAAGAGATGAAAGAGATGTTGGTTTTGTCCAATAAGAGCATTAATTGTATTTGATTCTCGTGTTCTTGTTGCTTGAAAATTTATTTCCAGCCTTTCAATGTATTTGGTCACACTCTTAAAGACTAATTCCAGAGAAGAAATAGCAGAGATGTCTCTCTTAAAGGTTTGATGAGCACTTTCTACTTGCTGAGTGATGGTACACCCAAAATGCATAAGCTTGCTAGTGATATATTCTGCCCACTTATCCTTGGAATTCAACCACTTTTTAGAGAAGTAGGTTTATGCCAGCGCTCTGGCCTTGTTATCATCTATTTCTAGTCTAGTACAAGCATTGTTGATCTTTAGGAGAGCCAAGTTGAACTTCATCTTAGTTCTACTATGGATCGTGCGGCTTACATAATTCATAAGCTCTTTTTTCTTGGCAATGAAGTTTGTTTTCTCAGAGAAAGCTTTTTTCACACTGTTCAGCATATGCGAGTAGCACAAAAGCTTCTTGTTTTCTGAGAAAATAGTGTCAAGTGCATTCATCAAAGCAGAACACTTGTATGTTACAAACAGAGTGATAAATTGCTTGTTCTCAAAAGCAAGTGTCTGGATTAGTTCCAAAAAAACAAATATAAGAACCATTTTGCTCATTGGAAACCAGGGCAAATACAATTGAAAAAGATTTTAAGATTTTCCTTCCAAAGTTGTGAACACCCTTTGTTGTGGTGGTTGAAGTTGAAGAAGTTTTTAAGAGGAAGAATTCAAGATTTGAAATTAGGAATGAAGATTCGTGAGAACTTGTGTAGGTTTTGTTTATTGAGAAAGATTTTGTATCAAAGTTTGACCAGGTTCCTACACTGAACTACTACTGCTATTTATATTGTTTTGGATTGGAGAAATTATATGACTGGGGTCAGGTAATCGATCCTATCTGAGCCTTAATCAGAGCAACGTGATCTTGGGATAATTAATGTATGATTAATTATATAAATGTGTGTAGTCCCAATGAAGTATTAACATTGAAAGTAAATGTGTTTATGAGTTCTAATTATGCTTATAATAATCCACTGATGTATCCCATATTATGGTGATATCATCATATGAAATATAATCACTATCATGCATGCTAAACCTGTGTGTTAAATAATAAAGTAATCGGTAGACACCTTTGACTGGAATAGCTGAGGCCTTATATTATTTCCTTCAGACTTATTCTCAATTACAGCAGTAGTCAATACTCATTTACAACATCTTTAATAAAAATTCATGATTTTCAACAAGTTATTTTTTGTTTTTGGTAAAACCCCAGAAAAATCCATTTATAAATGCTTACTTTTTTCAAGTTACCTAATATAGACATAATATCTTGAAAAATTGTTTTAATTTGATATTTCAAAAATCTTAAATTCTTTAAACCAATTAAAATGCTTGAGAGAAAATCAAACTCATATTTGATATCAAAAAACTCCCATAATATATAAAGCTGCCTTGTCAAACTGTCAGAAACAGCCATAAAACCTCATTTTTTCCTGTAGTATATATTAATTTTTTTATATAGAGCCATTGAAAAGCTCAAAATTTTATTGAAGATCTTTGATTGAATAGGAAAAGAGAATATTAAAATATTTGTTTGTAAGGTTTATTTCTGTTTTCTTTTGTTTTAAATACAGGATGCATACGGAGAGTCCAGCTCTAGTTCAGAGTGTTGTAAATGAGTATTGACTACTGCTGTAATTGAGAATAAGTCTGAAGGAAATAATATAAGGCCTCAGCTATTCCAGTCAAAGGTGTCTACCGATTACTTTATTATTTAACACACAGGTTTAGCATGCATGATAGTGATTATATTTCATATGATGATATCACCATAATATGGGATACATCAGTGGATTATTATAAGCATAATTATAACTCATAAACACATTTACTTTCGATGTTAATACTTCATTGGGACTACACACATTTATATAATTAATCATACATTAATTATCCCAAGATCACGTTGCTCTGATTAAGGCTCAGATAGGATCGATTACCTGACCCCAGTCATATAATTTTCCCAATCCAAAACAATATAAATAGCAGTAGTAGTTCAGTGTAGGAACCTGGTCAAACTTTGATACAAAATCTTTCTCAATAAACAAAACCTACACAAGTTCTCACGAATCTTCGTTCCTAATTTCAAATCTTGAATTCTTCCTCTTAAAAACTTCTTCAACTTCAACCACCACAACACAGAGCAGAGGCGAGAAATGGACTTGCATACAGTGTAGAGCACTGCAAAGAGAAGAAAATGGACATAGTTAAAGTGGAAAGACTAGTGGTAATCTCAAACAGAAAAGATGGGTAGTCCAGAGACAGAGTAAACTGATATAGCAGGGTTATACATGGGGTGGGGGGTCAAAGGATTGGAAAGTGCTTAAGAGGACAGAAGGTAAAGAAATAGTGCCAAATAACCGTAATACATATTAAGGGTAAACAACAGATTTTTTTTTAGAAAATTCGCTTCTTCTTTAGGTGCTCTCAGAGTGCTTTATTGACATAGCATTCCATATTGATATAGACACTAAACACTATATATAGTGATTTCCAAAATTCAAAAAAGGCTATTTCGCTTTAAAGTCCGTATATTTTACCCCTGCTAAAGAAGAGGGGTTAAATCTTTTTAAATACCCATATATGGTGATTTCGATAATTCCTATCAACACTGCCTGTAAGAATAATCTTGTTTTTACTATAGTATTCCATTTTCCAGGCTTTTATATACATCAAAGCTAATATTTTTTCAAGTAGGCAAGCAATATATTATTGTAAGCAAAAACCATTATCTCAAGCAGTATATTTTGTACTTTATTAACAAAAAATGAGAAAGACAATTAATTTTAATATGCTATATGTTCAAACAGGATCCTACCTCTTGAGTGTATATTGATTACAACATCAACTTGAAATTACGTAAATATCACCTATATTTGATAAATTGCGCTATCCTGAATATGGTGATTAGTATCTATATCAATATGCGATTTTATATCAATAAAGCACTCCGAAAGCACCTTTTGAGTAAATGTATTTGTTAAAAAAATAAAACTCAGAACTTTGGAATTTTTTAAAAGGATCTACTTTTTTGTGGGGTTTTTTTTTTAAAAAAAAAGAATTTTTTTTACCAAAAAGAGATGATGAAGTTCAAGGCATTGCCTCTCATAATTTTTTTTTTCAAAAATTCGGTAAAGATAACCACTTTTTTACCACTTTTTCATTTTTTTGACTTTTTTTTCTGCAATATTATTTGATTAGAAGAAATTGAAAAATGGATTTTTTTCGAGAAAAATTCCTGTTGACCACCCTTATTAAAGAACAGAGAGCGGATTTTTTTGTTTTGTTTAAACTCAGGGGTGATTTGTATATAGATTTTGCAAAAAGCCACCAGTCAAATCATTAGTCAAACCGCCAGTCAAAAACCCAAAAAACCCATTTTTCCAGTAGTGAATGGTAGAAAAGAAGGATATAAGAAAGGAAAAAGTAATAGATCACAATATTGCTGAGCGGGACTTAATGTGTAGCCTAGACTTTATAGTAATAAGAATAATAGTAGTAGTAGTAATAAATATAAAGTAATTCTTCATAAAATGATACTGTTCACACAATATTTCTTTGCTTAAATTGAAAAGCTCAGGCACTTGGACTTTAATAAACTTTCGGGTTAATAAAAAAAAGTAAGACAGTGCTATAAAAAAAGGCTAATTATCATTTACCCTCCGTCTTCAACTGCTGTTATGATATTTGTTTTACTTAGTTTGACCGTTGTCATCTCTCTGCTTACCTATAGTTACCATGTTCTTGCCAATTACCAACATCCAATTCCCATAGGAGGAAATATTCTTTTATTGACCGCTCATCCTGATGATGAATGCATGTTCTTTGGGCCAACACTCCGAGGACTAGGCAGACAGCATAAGAATCGCATTCATGTTTTGTGCTTATCAACAGGTTCGATTTTAACAGTATAAAATCAATCTGATATATTTATAAAGTTTATACAAATATTTATTAGGAAATGCTGATGGGCTTGGTCAGATTCGAAAACGAGAGCTGGTAAAGAGTAGCCAAGTATTGGGTATTCAGCCGTCTCATGTCAGAGTATCTGAGCATTCGTAAGAATTTACATTTTATACAAGTTCTGAAAACTTATGCTTGTAATATTTATGCCTTCAACTACTTTTTTTTAGTGAGCTTCAAGATGGAATGAAGTCTGTATGGCCCACAGATATAATCGCTCAATTAGTAAATAATTATGTCTCCAAACAAAGTATTGATACAGTGAGTAAGATTTTATATGATTAAAAACATCAGTAGAGTAGTTTGACTCAATTTGTTGAAATGTTAGATTATCACATTTGATGGTTATGGCGTGTCTGGACATCCAAATCACATAGCAGCTTATGAAGGTGCCAAGTAAGTGTATCTTAATTGAGATGGTTGTCGAGACACTTACACAATATCAGGCGATACATAGAAACACAAAAAGGATCGACTAAACTTTATACTCTGGATTCTATCCCTCTTGTGCGAAAGTATATTGGAATTGGGGATTTGATTACAAGCAGCTTTCAGCAGATTATGGCATTGATCAAGAAAGAGGAAAAAGGATCTGTTTTGATTGTGTCTTCACCAGGTGCTTATTTCGCTACCCACAAGGCAATGCGGGAACACACAAGTCAATTGGTCTGGTTTAGATGGCTATATGTAACATTTTCTCGTTACATGTATGTGAACGAGTTATCTTTGGCTAATTAAAGCAGTTTATCAGCACAGTAATATAATACCTTGAGCTAGCTATATTTATCTATATATATATTTTAAATGTACAGTAGAATGGCGGCTTTTATTTTAGCATTAAACTACAATAAAATGCATTAACAATATGTACACATAAATATCAGCCGAAAGAGAGAAAGAAACCCAGTAATAAAACAAGAAGAAAATATTAGATACGAGTGACATCAAGTAAGGTAGCCCTAGGAAACTTATTCAATCATTGCTCAGGATCAAACATTCCCAACTCGTTGTAATATCCCTTGTCTTAAACAATTCTTCAGATTCTTCCTTTCTTCTAATCTAATTTATCCTTCTAAAAATTCACGTATACTATGAATGGTAAAAACTAAAAAAAATTACAGCTTTTAGTATTTAATTATTATATGTATAATAGACGAATCACTTAAAAGAAAGTACAAGGCGCTCAAAAGACGTATTCGAGGAATAGAGACAGTGAGTATAATATTATTTAGTAATTCAAAAAAATTTACACAATATACGCAGAAAAATGCTCTTATTCAAACCGAACTTGATTCGGCAAAACAGCATGTCAAAAGATTACGCATAGAGAGATCGTAAGTAAGAACATATTTTGTATACAACTCTAGATTGAGATTTAATAGTATAATTGGCTAGAATTTTACTCGAAGAACTTGATGACAAACTCTCGACAAATCGATATCCAGACGACGATGATCTCAGTTGTGATTCATATGACTCCGAGTCTGCCTCAATTACGGTAAAAGTCATTTATATATGTTACAAATATATGCACATATCAACGAATATATTCAAAATTTTACATCTACATTTACAGAGTAGTAACAAACTACGAAGAGCCAAAGATTTATTGACACACGCCAACCTTGAAAAAAATACGGGAGAGCCAAATAGTGGTACATCTACACCTCGCAAAAAAAAAGATCCTTTTGCACCCAAAGGTCCTGGAAATGTGTTCTTTTTATTTTGCAGACTAGAAAGAGATAATATCAAAGACGAAATGCCCAATGAAAGCCTCGGAGATGTTACCCGTGCATTAGGTCAAAGATGGAAAGCACTTCCCAATAGTGAGAAGCAGGTATTTAATATAAAGATATATATACATATATATCGTTTTTTGTTAATTTTTTTGGACTAGAAATACTACGATTTGTACAAGAAAGAGCAGCTTGAGTACGAAATGGCGATGAAGACATACAATGAAGCTGGAGGTGGAAATGCCGGGGCTGCTGCTGTGGGTAATGCAGCAGATAAAAAACACACAATAATACAAGAAGAAGAAATAGGAGAAGCAATCGATGAGTATGGCGGAGAAGATGAAATTGAGCTGGATGAAGAAGTCGATATGCTTGAAGAAGAGGAAGACGAAGAAGATGACGAAGAAAAAGAACAACGACAAAAAGAAAATATTGGATCTCCAATATCTCCAGCCAATGTAGTTCAAAGCGTGCCCACGGATGTAAAACATATACAGGAAGTTGCGCCATCTCCACAATCGATATCTCAATATAATACACCCGCAGCCACTGATCCCGCAACTTGATTAAATACATTCCCCATTCTATTTTATTCTTTTAGATTAACCGATCCTCAAATTGATTGTTATTATTATTCATATCTTACGAGCACCCGTTCGCTTTATATTTTTACATTGTCAATAATATATCAGAAAAGGCGAATAAAAGACATTTAGGACAATGTCCACCAGAAAAATATACAATTTTGACTCCCTCTTATTTATTTTTTCTATTAGACTTTGCCCACCTTTTTATTTCTCCAGAAGACAAGATGTGTGAGCAAGCAAGGGATCGTGGTAGTGTAATGATACACTTTTGGGTCTTTATAATGTAGAAATTCTTTCCATTTCCTCCTTTCTTTTCTTTTTCGAGCTTTTTTTTAATTGATAGGCTTGATCTAAATACAAATTTAACTAGTTACAGAAACCATCGGCTAATAAAGTCTTATTATATATATAAATACCTTGAAGTTCAACGAAATCAGAGAGAATACGAATGCCTTCAAGTCTTGGACAATATAGTAGAAGATACGCAGACCATCTGGGTCCTTACTATCCTGTACTTCTGCCAGAGATCCCAGTTTGGAGGTCTAATAGCCAGTTGTTAATACTCACCTATTATTATGTAAAATATATTACCTCAAAAGAGATGTGCTCATTTCCTAGACGGACTTCGAGTTCTTGACTACCAACTACATTTCTGGTAGGCCATTGGCTATCATCTGTCCTAATGATTCCAATCAACATTAGTCATCCCATTATTTCTTATTTTATTATTTTTCTTTCTTTCTATTTTTGTTTTTAAGTCTTACTCCATCACTTTGCTTTCTGAAATGATACGTTTGAGTTCATCCAGAACAGCAGGGCTGATATAGACTAATCATTGTAATCAATACTCGAATTCCACCTTGTAATACGTTCTGATCGTTTTTATGCATACCCTCCTTCTTGATCAGTTCATCATTTCTGTAGTTGGAATTGTTGGCGTAACGACAGAGACCATCAGAGCGAAGTTCGAATTCGAGAAACTCATGACCATAACGTCCTTTGTGGCCTGAGCTATTGTTTTTAACATTTAATGGTGATCATTGGCTGGCAGATTCCATAACTTACTAATAACGAACGTAGAATTCTTCTTGACCGGCCATCGCGTGCTTACAGTAAAAGATAAAAAATAAAGTCGATTTTTTTAAACTTTCTTGTCATTTTTTCCCCGTCTACGCGTAAGTCTCTTAAGCCACCTACGTCATGAAATACAGCTCTTTGGTTTTAAACTACAAGAGATGAATCTATTTTGTTTACCATTATGGATAAAGGCCAATCCAATCAACCTCATCTTTGGATTGAGATTTACTCTTTATTATTTCATCAATATAATAAATTTGTATATACACAAGGGTATAATGAATTGCTAACATTGTATACATAGTAAACGAATAAAGATATTATAAAGATATTATATATATATATATTTTATTAGAACCATTATTTTCATGGAATTGTGATATGCATCTATGTACGGTTACATACACATTAATATAGAAATATCAATTGTTTTTTTTGTTTGTTTGAATGAATATATAAATATGAATAGTGGTGTATATTTATATAGAATAGGGTCCACAAGAGTGATAGGGGGGTATACATCATCATTGCGGTACATTTTTAATAGGAGACTTTACAATACCACAGTGGCCAAAGTTGGGGTCTTGTTCAATGCATGTCTCACCGTCTGGACAATCATGTAGACCTGGAAAACAGTTTCTTCCTGCACCTAAAATGGATCAAAATAAGTAGCTGGTATAAAAATGTCTTATATAGCCAAAAAGAAGAAGAAAAGGAAGTCTTACTAGCGACGGCTGCACTGTCTACACTCTGGCTACATGAAATAAAGACCACCAAGAGAAGTAGGACAAGGCTAGATAGTAGGCGAGGTTGAGTCAAAAGCATCGTAATGTTCCTATCGTTCTTTTCTGAAGAATGAAAGAATGAGAATAATGAGAATAGGATTTATTTATATAGCAACAACTACAAATAAATGACATTTCATTTTAATTCAAGAACGCAAAGGACAAATATCATTTGGGCTATTAACAGTCAATATATTTCATCCTGAACTACTAGAAAAGTAAATAAATAAAGGAATAAATCACTCAAAAAACAAAAATAAAACGGATAGGAACACTTCCTTGGATGGAAACGATGTTCTAACCATCCAACACGTGACGTAACAATCGCGTTAAAGGAGTATGTAGATGTGTTCAACTTGTAGCTTACTTTATATATATATAATTAAAGAAAAAATTCAGAAAATTAGATGCCTGTTTGTACACAATGATTGATGATTTCACAACACCAGTTAGACCAGATGGCATTCCTCGTATCAATAACATTGACACCCCAATGTCAGCCTATGTAGACTATACTCCTCGTCGGCACTTTGAATCAGAAAACAGCCAAAAAATTCTTTATAGCAATTTTAATCATCATAAAAGAGAACATGAATACCAACAAATTGCACATTCATCTGTGCGTGATCATGAGCAAAGGCTAAATTATATGGATTCTCCCGAAGTCCGGAGACATTTTGGTGTAAACAGTATGGTTATGCCCATCAGAGACGAAGTTATTAAAGAAAAAGATGCCAATAACACACAAACAGAACCTCTTTTAGTTGACCAGTGAGTAAAATCATAATAATTATATCCCCATATAATTGAATACTTTTCATCCGATTTTTTCTTAATATCCTCAGAAGCCGTACTTGGAAAGTTAGCGACTTTGAAGTAGGGAATACTATTGGCACAGGAAAACTTGGCAAAGTATACGTAGCCAGAGAAAAGAAAAGCCAGCATGTGGTTGCTCTTAAATCAATGTTAAAAAAAGACATGCTGGAGGCCAATGTGGTCCAGTTCCTAAAACGAGAAATTGAAATCCACAGTCATCTGAAGTAACATGTTTTTTGGTTGATTTGCCTTTATTTTGTTGCTGGTGAAAGATACATTTTCCAACAAAACAAGAATCGGCTAACATGATTTATAGTCATCCCAATATATTACCAATGTATGGTTACTTCCATGATCAGGAACATGTATATATTGTACTTGAGCATTGTACCCAAGGTGATCTTTACTTACACCTACAGAACGATGGACCGTTTGAAGAAGACACGGTAGCCAAGGTATGTACTTAAAATTATATATCACCCAATATATATATATATGCAGATATATTAATTAAATAATTAAATAATTAAATAAATAAAAATACATTGCATCACAAAGTACATTGGACAATTGGCCCGTGCATTGAAGTATCTTCATGGATTTCATATTATGCACCGAGATATTAAACCAGAGAATGGTGAGATTCTTTTATAGAATAGATATCGCATACACAAATGGAAAGAGGAAATAATAAGCAGTCTTTTATACACGCACCCACACCCACACCCACACCCACACCCACACCCACACAGTCCTTATAGACCACAACGGACAGCTTAAATTAGCAGATTTTGGCTGGGCTGTTCAAGACAAGGGACGGTAAGAAAATACAAACGCAAAAGAACAATACTTATATCCAATTCAATGCAGTCGAGCCACGTTCTGTGGAACTTTGGATTACCTCTCACCTGAGATGATCGAGACTCAAATACATAATGAAAAGGTTGATATATGGTCTCTTGGTGTGTTGTGCTATGAATTACTGGTAGGCACACCACCGTTTGAGGTCATTGACAGTGTGACATATACATACATGAGAATAAAGCAAGTCGATCTCAAATTTCCACCATATATCAGTTTAGAAGCAAGAAGGTTTATTACAAAGGCAAGTATTTTTTTTGAAGAACAAGATAATATCTTGCTAATGTCTATACTATAGATTCTCGTGCACGATCCTTCTAAACGACCATCAATTATGGAACTAGAAAATGATCCATGGCTAAAACGCACATCAGAATAAGCCTGATATTAGACATTTTTTTTATAAAAGAAGTTATTAAATATATATATGTATTTGTATTTGCATAGCTGTAATTATACATACGCACAAAATAACAATCAAGAAACGATAACTTGTTGGTTTAAAAGAAGCATCAAATTAAAGAGAAAATATAGGTGACTGTTGCACACAATTGTTTTTCTTCTTGATATGGACAAACAACAATCAGAGCAAGAGAGTCTTCAGAATACTCTCCTTCTTCTTCAAAACAGGCTTCATCAGACCCAGGCAGAGCTAAGGCAGACAAAGCGAACTGTAAGAATGTCATACACAGAGAGGTTTAATAAAAAAAGAATGAGATAGATCGAGTCCAAGAATGCTTTTCTTGACAAAGCCCATCATACAATTAAAACCGAGTTTATCGACACTTTTGAAATCAACACCCCAAAAAGAAGTACATTCCGACTCCATCCCCCACCAGGACTCGTTCCTCTCTTATCTCTCAAACGGACCTACGATGAATACATTAAAGATGAAAGTGAAGAAGAACTAATAGTTGAATCATGTGATGCATGGATCAAAGGACATGATCAAACCCAGGTTTGGGTACGCGTATCCGTACGCAACACATCAAGGCAAGAACATAAATAAAGAAATAACGAGAAAACATTATCAATATGTTATAGATTTGTACAAAATTAATATACTAATAAGACCCAATACTATACCATCTCTGTGTTTAATAGAAATGTATTGGCTCAGGCTTATCTTCATATGGACACCTTACCTAGTACATGGATGTCAGACACAGCTATGATGAATACCCAATGTACTCTGCCCTTAAATCAACCCACCGTTCTTTATGGGGCATTTACGATTGTCGCTGATGTTGCTGTATCCGATCTCAAGTCTGCTCTGCAAATAGGGTGTAGATATGCTACCGAACAAAGAGACATACGGGAATGGAAGTCGAGTAAATTTGTATTTCCTCAATGGCAAGAGCACAATGAACAGCATTGGCTGCCTACACAAGGTATGCTTTGAAAAACTAATATATATACTATAATTTTCACTATATATATATACTATAGATTCGCCATCGGAGACTTATACAATGGCCCGGATATTCTTTCCGTCTCATGTGTCTCTTCAAAGTATACATAGTATAGAGGATACTCTTGGGCTGAAACGCCATACATCCTCTGTATTTATCTCTGATGATCATTCATTGCTTCTTCTTAAATCCAAAAAAGTCTATCACTTATTTGGCTTGACAGATCGCTTGGTATCCAACGCCTGTCACCAATGTAAATCATTTATCCGAGTTCATACTCCAACTTTCCTGTCACCATCTATGGCAATGGAAGAGATGTTGATAGGGCTACTAAATGAAATAGAATATACAAGTGATAACTTTGAGGAAAAAGATTGGTGGAGTATGATTGCTGCACGAGAGAGCACATTATTATCCCTAGTTAGACTTTTACAATAGAGGCGTCTTCTAAAGACTATATTCTAGTAAATCGGTTTATTGATTTTTTTTTTCCAAAATTAACATTGTTGAAAAACAAGCCGAATAATTGCAATGGGTTTTTTGCTGGTATTCTCTTCTAATGTTTATCTTTATCCAATACTATTCGTTCACTGAGTTTCTTGTCGGAAGGCTTCCAAAACCTTTTTCGCTTGTCCGCTCTTAATAGAAGCGCGTGCTTTGGACACACCATCCTTGAAATTAGACGCTACACCAGCAACAACTAATAATGCAGAGGCATTGAGCAGGACAAAATCAAGGATAGGATTGTTCTCTGGAAGTTCTCCTGAAAGCAACTGTTTCAAGATCAAGACATTTTCATGACAATCACCTCCCTTGACATCAGACAAGGGATGCGTAGGAAGTCCAAAGTCACGGGTGGGATGAAGAGTGCCAGTTGTAATATCTCCTGTATTATGAATACGCCAGAACTGTCACAGGTTGTTAGTAGCCATTTAGTCCATATTTTTTGTATTTGCTTAACCAGGTCTTACAGTTGTTTCTCCTGCGGGGCTGATCTAAAAGAAAAGTAAAGTAAATAAAAGCCTTGTTTCACTTGATCTGTGTAATATTACTATTTACCTCATCTAGTTTCTCTGCTCCACACACAACCAATGCTTCCTTTACTCCTGTCAATTGCAGTGCATTTGCCATTAGATTGCCAATTTGCGGTGAATGTACACCGACGACTGTACGCATAGGAAGAGCAGGATTACTCATAGGTCCAAGCATGTTAAATACAGTGGGAATACCAATCTCTTTACGCAGTGCCGCTACATGCTTCATGGCTGGATGATAAGTCTGGGAGAAGAGGAAGCAAAAGTTTGTTCGGTCGATAATACCAGCCACATGATCTGGTTGAACACGGCTAATATGGCAGCCATGCGCTTCTACTAAATCAGCAGAACCTGATTTGGATGATGCAGCTCGGTTACCATGCTACAAAGCAAAAAGAAAGGGATCTTTGGTCAACATCAGGCTCTAATGTACATATATATATATATATATATATATATATATTGGTATAAGATTAGAAGCCTTGATGTGAAATCTTACCTTGGCTACTTTTGCACCTGCACCAGCAGCAACAATAGACGCTGTTGTAGATACATTATAGGTATCATGCCCATCACCACCTGTACCTACAATATCTACAACAGCTCCTTGAAGATGCTCATAGTCATTATAGGGGACGAGACGTGCAAATCCTCGCATACTTCTGGCACACGCAGCAACAATATTTGGGTCTGCGTCTTTCTGTTGCAGTTTTAACGCAACCAAGAAGGCAGAGATCTGACTTTCAGTAGCACGTCCGCCCATGACTTCTTGCATGGCATTCTCGGCATCTTCTGAAGTAAATTGAGTTGGATTTTGAACAAGTGTTTTGAGTATAGCTTTCATGGCGTGTGTTTCTGTCATGGTTGACTATATATGTATGATGTTGAGGTTAAAGAAGAAGAAAAAAATCGGTTATTGAGTGGGTGCGGGCTTATTAAGTGAGTCACTCAAGGAACCTTGCAACCAAGTTCAACATGCTAAAATCGTTGGGCTGTTTAAAGGACCGCTGTGCCTTATCTCCTTTCACCGATAGAAGAAGTAAAATGAAGTGCGATTGTATAATAATTCTTTGTTTTATATATATCGGGCTCTTCAAGAAATACGAGCTTAATACAATGAATCCATTTTATTGTTTGGTTAAGCTGTGAAATTTCTACTCACCAAAGATAAATTACATTGAAGATCTGTGTAATGGTTCCATTTGATTGACTCATGGTGACACACTTATTTTCATCTATTACAGCCTTGATCACTGACCCTTGTTTTGCTATTTTCTCTTAAAATATAGAGTACCTTGATTAGAGTCAAAGTCTCTCTACTTAAGGATATAGTTTATCTAACTATTCTTATGGGTATTCACAATATATTAGGGCTAGTCAGTATATAGTGCTGCTATTAGACGATTTTGAACATATATGATCTGAAACAGCCTTAACTTGAAAGTGATTCTTTTAAGTCTTACCAAGGCTTTGAGAAGAAGTATATCATATTGATAATATTAGTTCGCTTCTTAATAATTAAATCCGATCTGTATTTTAAAGATTTTGGGGTTTACATTCCTGCATACTAGACCCGTAATTTCAGTTTTGCTATACACATTATACTCTATCACATGATTTATTTGAGATTGATTAATCGTTTAAAAGGTAGAATTTGAAATGACAAATTGTAATATACGTACAAGAGCCACTAGAGAGAATAGCTATTTGATGGCTTGATGTAAAGTTTATTTGTAATTACATAATGTAGTACCATATATGGATACTTTAATATGTCGATAGATGATTGAGTAACACTATATATGCATATGATAAGAGAGAGAGAGAGAGAGAGAGAGAGAGAGAGAGAGAGAGAGAGAGAGAAGTACACTTATATATATATATATTACTTAAGAATTTATTCCGAGCCTAGTAGTAAGTTATCCATGTCTGGAGCACATACAAATTTTTGAACAATATGTCCAAGTTCGATAGCTTTTTTGGTTTGGTCTGTGTTGGCATCAACAACCATTACATTCTCCAGGAAAGTAGAACGTGTTCCTTGTGCGATATCCAAATATACATCACCGATTTTAAGCTTCATCTTTCCACTCTTGTAGATTACAAGCTTTCCGATTCTTCCTTCATTCAATTTATCGATGTCTAATCCACGACTCTCTTTCTCTAACCGTTCTTTCTTAGCATCTTCACTTTCGGGTTCCTCATCTTCTGCAGGAACAGGCTTTTCGGATTCAGGCTGTTTGAACCGAGGCAATAGTGAGGGTAGCTGGAAGAACAATAATTCATCATCTGCTACAGACACAAGATTTTTCTGGATTTTATAAAAATTAAACGTAATCAGAATTTTAAAATTGAAGCCGAATACACTGTTAAAAACTCACATCTTCATCCACAGCAAAAATGTGCTGAGCAGGTGCATCATCGTCCATAAATATCTTTGGAAATCCAGCTACCCTTGCAGTTTCTTCTTCTAATTTTATTTTGCGTTTTTCGGCTTTCTTAGCCTTTTCTTCTGCATTTACAATATCCATAGCTATATCCGATGCAGCCGCTAAGTGTGAAGGGTCGATCCCTGTCGTGGTATCAACATCCATATCATCCTTGACTGTTATAATATCCTATTAGTTTTCTTCGCTTAAGCTAGATATTCCCAATTTTAGATTATGTTACCTTTAACATCAGCATCAGTATCAGTATCGGCATCTTCGTCATTATTGCTGGATTCTGATTTACGAGACTTAACAGTCAGCCAAGCAATCTTTTTCCGGAGAACGGAAAGATCAATAGGATCAATATCTCCTGCTGTACGTGAGATATGAGGGAAGGTAACAGGGTTGGTACCAGTTCCCAAGTTATCAAACTTATTGTTGATATCTGTCTCTGGGCTACTCTCTTGTTCAACACGAGAGGTTGTATCTCCTGCATAACCAGCAAAACCACCACCGGCGTTACCACGTCCTCTAGAGGCTAGTATTGGAATATTATTAGGGTGTAAGTATAATATATACCCACATCAAGTCATATCGCTCCATGCTTAATACTTACACATTGACGATGGGCCGAGAGAAAAGATACCTGATGCACTAGCTTCTACTTGGATAATACCACGGCCACCACCACGGCCTCTAGATGCACCACGGCCTCTACCTCTACCACGTCCACGTTCACCAAATCCACCGCGCGAGCCTTCCTATCATGTAAAACTTTATTAATGTATTTTCCTTCATTTATTTATCTTTAGAAATTTTTCAGGGAATCACGTACCGATGAGTTGAGTGCATCATCAATCGCAGAAGTGGATCTACATTAAGTAAAAAAATAAAATGAATAAGGTCCCATATATTTTCACAAGGTTTTGCGCTTACACTTCTTTTTTGTTTCGTTTAGTAGGTACAGTAGGTTTGAATTTCATCTAAAGCAGATTCAGCAAAAAAAATACACCTAATGTGATGAATTCCAGTCAAAATGTTACCTTTGCGGCACCACCTCGAGTACGCTGACCATCATGAACACTTGGAAGACGTCCTTGTGATGGCTCGGGACGAATTGTACCAAGTATTTTATTAGGTGCATGTGCAGTTGCTGCTGTTGCTTCAGAAGACGTTGAAGCAATTTCTGCTGCAGCTCCTGTATCTTCTCGCTTAATACCAGCAGCACCTGCCCGAGCTCCTCTACCACGAACACTAGGAGCAAATCGTCTTGTTTGTTTATTGACTGAAGGGTTGGTAGTGGAAGATGGATCTGACATTCTACTTCTTTAACAAAAGCTAAGCAGCAAGAGGTTCCTTTTCTGGTTTTTTATGTATTCACAGTCACACATTTTTATCGGTAGTTAAACGTAGCGCTATGCCACTTCAGAAGTTATCTTTTATTGGATAGCCATGACTTTCTTGGTCACCATCTTGAACTTGAGATTAGTAGTGTCAGCATCTTGATCAATTTCATCTAAGAGCTGGTTTTGAAGAGAAAGCTCATCCCCAATAGCAAATGCAATTTGTTTTTGACGGGCAAGAACAGAAAGAAACTGTTCTATATTGTTATCTTGGTCTTTCATAGTTTGCTTCTGATAACCTATAAGGCCTTCATTATCTAGAACACGCGTCTTTGGAGTATCTTGCAAAATAACCTTCTTGGAAGATGGGCCAAAAACACGTCCTTTAGTTGGGATAGCTTGCACAGACACCATCTCGGGTGTTTCATCGGCTTGAGGAGTGGGTGTATCGGTATAACGACCGGCGTGAACAAGGTGGTGGAGACTATCTTTTTCCTCCCGCAAAGAATTCAGGAGATCTTGACGGCGACGTTGCTCCCCTTCCGAAAGACCACCTAGTAGATGTGACAGTGAGGCCATCCGAGTAGTGATTGTGTTGAGAAGTCTTTTGGCATGGACAGTACAATTGTGCGACGCAGATGTTTCATTACGGGCCAAGTGGGTAGCACGACGGTTAACAAGTGCCCTGATTTGATGAGTATAATTGTTCAGCTGTTCAAACTCTTCAAGCCAGCGCTCGGAAGGACATTCGTTTACTTGGCGACCGACTGGTACACCCATAAAGTCTCTCCATGCCTGGGTCTGCCTCCAACGAGCGTCTTGACTGGCAAGAATACCCCTCAAGTATGTTTCAAGTGCCCGACGCCGCTCGTCAACTTTTGTAGGGGAAGAAAAGGTAGACGGAAAGTATCGCTTGACCGGAAAGGGGCTTGGAAGCGAATGATGGGGAAATGCCTCTAAAAAATACTCATGGAGACGCACAAATTCAGAATACCGTCTCCATACTTGCCATGTACGCACTGCTGCATGCACATCAAGACAGTACACTGTATGAGCCTTGGGTTTTGATATATTGTCCACTTTGGGTACAAAAATAGCTTGGATCATTTGAGACATTTGGGGTGTAAGAGAAAGAGAAAGAGAGTTGATTTTGACGCGAAATAAAGGGGGGGAGGGTTAATATCAAACAAATAGTCTATAGTGCATCACCTGCAGTGTATTCAACGTCATTGAAACCAATCAACAAAAAAGCATGTATATCATATTTCTCGCCTTGTACAAGTCTGTTCTTAAACTGTCTATATCTGAACTTGTACCTGAATCTGTAATGATCATTACATTTATTGGAATGTAATTTTTACTACCATATTTTATTTAACATGTTTTACAAGTATAATCTTGGAATCAGCAATTTCTTTACTTTTAAAATTACATTTTATTTATAAAATTACAAAGCATTTGATGATTGACATTGCATGCGCAAGGGGAAGGGAAAAAGTCAAATTGTGTGTATGCGAGGGGGTGAGGAGGAGAAGGAAGGGGGTGGGGATGAAGAGGGTTTCGTGCTGAGGGTGGATTTCACATCTGACAATGATTGTTGATGTTTAATATCCGCCGTTTCCCCAGCCACCCATGGAAAGGTATAAATACAACCACCTGCCCTTCATCTTCATAGACGTACTTCTTGTCTTTGTCTTTTCGCCGTCATGTCTGGATTCAACATTGCCACTCCCGCTATGGCTACTCCTGCCGTCCAAACCCCTTCAGTTCCAACACCTCAATCAACACCATTTGCATTGCCCTCTACACCAGCACCATTGGACGCACCAACTCCAAGAGACCATAACCCCTATGCCGTCGCTGGAATAACACCCACTCTACAGTAAGTTATTACTCTCCGTTATATTCCCCTTTACCACTGGGATCCCTGGGCCGATTAGTATTCTGTATTAGAAACATTGTCGCCACGGTCAATCTCGATTGTCGTCTTGATCTAAAGACTATTGCCCTCCATGCCCGTAATGCTGAATACAATCCAAAGGTAATACAAGGGAAATAAAAGGCTTTTGTCTTGGCTTTCGCTCATCTGTCTGTGCCCGATCAAGCGCTTTGCAGCTGTGATCATGCGCATCCGCGATCCAAAAACGACCGCACTGATCTTTGCATCTGGAAAGATGGTCGTCACGGGTGCCAAGTCTGAGGATGACTCCAAGCTGGCTGCCCGCAAATATGCTCGCATCATTCAGAAACTGGGTTTCCAGGCCAAATTCACAGACTTCAAAATCCAGAATATTGTTGGCTCATGCGACATCAAGTTTCCCATTCGTCTGGAGGGTCTTGCTTATTCGCACGGTCATTTCAGTTCTGTAAGTTGCTGTTTGTGTTGGCTTGGTGGGCTGGCCCGAGTATTGGTATTGACAATCTCTTCAGTATGAACCTGAACTGTTTCCTGGTCTCATCTACCGCATGGTTAAGCCTAAGATTGTCTTGCTTATCTTTGTGTCTGGCAAGATTGTCTTGACGGGTGCAAAAGTGCGAGAGGAGATCTATCAAGCTTTCCAAGCTATTTATCCCGTACTCACTGAGTTCAGAAAGCCATAAAATCTCTCCTACATTCTTTTTATCCATTCTTTATCTCCCCCTCTTCTTCTGCTGGACTGAAGCGAAGACGGTAAGTGACACTTTACAACAACACCAACAACAAAAAAGAAGTCCCGAGCACATCACACGGCCACCACAAACCAACCAACAAATACACATTTCAAAAAGAGAAAAAGCCAAGTCCCTCTTCCTCCCGTCCAGTGTGGACTTAATTCTCTTCATCATCACACAATAAACATCGCAAATCACATTATACCCTTCTCTTGGTATTTATTGGTATTGGTATTGGTATTGGTATTGTACGTGAGTGAGTGAGTGAGTGAGTGAGTGTGCTTGTGTACGTATATTTGTGTATGTATATATACTAGTGCGTGTACGTGTACGTGTACGTGAATGTGTATTTCCGAAAATGTGTATAAGTGGGGTAAATCCACCCACAAGTAGTTTAAATCCTATAAAGCATTGGATGTCTAAATATATAGATATATAGATACATAGATGTTGTATATATATTTGATTTATTTTTATTGGACTTCAAAGATTTACTCGTACAAAGCCTTCTTGGCAAACTGAGGCAAAATGAATGCAGCCTTGTGAACCTCAGAGTTGTAGTAACGCAACATCTTATCTTCTTGTTCGGGAGTCCACTTTCTCAAGGGCTGTCTAAGGTTGGACTCAGCATCCTTGGAGCAGATGATGTGACCAATCTGACCACTGGGGTAAGTGGGGATTGAAGTATAGGCATACTCGACCTGGGGGTACAAAGCCTTGCAGAAGTCCTTGACCTTGCGGATCAAGGGCAAATGAAGCCACATGCACTCACCCTGGGTGCTGAAGACACCCTTTTCAGTCAAGGCAGCCTTGAGGAGGTGGAAGAAGTCGGCACCGAACAAAGACTCGGCAGGACCATCGGGATCAGAAGAATCAGTGATAATGACATCGTACTGGTTGATCTTGTCCTTCAAGAAAGCAAAACCATCGCCAATGTGAACCTTGACCTTAGGGTGTTGGAAACCAATGGCCATGTTTGGCAAATATTTCTTGGAGACACGGGGAACGGCCTCATCAATGTCAACCAGAGTAGCCTCCTCAAGACACTCGTGCTTGACAACCTCACGCAAGACACCACCATCACCACCACCAATAACAAGAACCTAAAAATCCAAAACGTCTTGGTATTAGAAATACTACCAGAGCTTCTTTTTTTGTTTTTAGAAAAAATCAATTACCTTCTTGGGGTTGGGGTGAGAGTTCATGGCAAGATGAGTGATCATCTCCTGGTATCTAGTGAAATACCCATGAATCAGCATTTGTTTATATGTTTATTCTCTAAACCCTCGCTTCACTCAATCCACTTCTCCTTACGAGAACTCATCACGTTCAGTGGCCTGGATAACACCATCGAGGACAAGGACGTTACCGTAGTTGGCAGACTGGAATACGAGGACGTCCTGGAACTGGGACTTCTCAATGTGGAGGATCTCCTCGACCTTAAGAGACATGGCTTTTTATTTTATTTGGAAAACCACGTCTTTTAGTAAACTATTTCGCTTTGATTTCTCTACAAAAAGTCTAATTATAGCTTACCCTGTCCGGGCCACATGGTGGACTTCTCCATGAACCAACCGTTTTCGATCTGGGGGTGCGAGAGTGGAGCTGCCATTGCGAATAAAAGTAAACAAGACGAGAAAGCAAGAAACTTGTTACGACAAAAATTATAGATAGACAAGAAGAAAAGTTTTGTACTGTGACGTACTCTGCAAAAAAAAAGTCCGAACCTCCGTGTGGACGGCAACAGTACATGATTTTAAGTGCAAAATAGTACACCACCAGAGAAATTTCTTGTGTAATCCTATTCCCAAAAGGGTGTCAGAGTAGACATGTTCATTTCTTTACCATATATGGATGAACAAATTTTTGCGATAGTTTCTGATCGAAATAAATCACGGATTTAAAAATGCGTTTTCCAAAATATCAAAAATGGTTCAAAATAAATTCTGTTTCAAATAAATAGTTTATATTTTTTATTTCAAAGTAGAAAAAATGCCAAGTTATTTTATATAACTTATAGGCAGAAATATACAATAAATTGAATCTAGTTGTTCTAAGCTAAATGAAAAGGCAGGAAATCCATATCACTCATGATTCTTGAATACAAAAACAACCTAATAAAATATAAATGTAATGAGTATTTCAAGCTTAAAAAAATAAGTTAAATAGAAGCTTACCTTTGACTTTACCGAGACGCATCTCATAAAAATTTGAATCTCTACAAGTGGAAATGAATAAAAGGTTATTAGTATTCAATTACTTTGTAAACTAGGCGTGCAGTTATTACCTCTTAACTCATTTTGACCAGATGATGAAAAAACTAATTGTCAACAAATGAGGCCCGAGATGAATAACTGCATCACATAGTAAAGTACTGCTCTTATATTATACATACCTCAAAAACAAGAGTACACAGACGTATTTCCTATAAAGATAATTACTAGATGTAAACGCACGTAATGAACAAACTTTTGTCAGTAAAGTAGAGTAAGAAACAACGCAAAGGACGTAATCCCACACTTATTCAAAATCGATTTAAAAAATTCTCATTGGTCTACTGGCTTTTAATACCAATATCGCATCTCACAGAAATATTTAAAAAAAAACGCTGTCATTCTCTCTCGGTTTGCCTTATTTTTATAAGTTAAAGAGGTATACTTTAATAATAAATAATTGAAGATACAGCTGTAACTTATTAATAAAAATATGTATATATCTTTATATCTTAATTGAGTTGAGTTTTGTCTTAGAAGATTGCTTGTGTTAGGCATTTTTTACTAGTATTATGTAAGAAACAAAAAAAAAATCATATATTTTTTCTTGTTTGAAATTTTGACAAAGTCGTTTTATATGCTGAAAATCGTTGCCTTGCCAAATTTTAACAGATTTTTTTTTCATTGCTCAATACAACCTCCGAATTTCCTTATTCAATGCTTTGTCTGAGCAGCTTTTTGTTGTGATCAGAAAGGTTTGAAGTAGGACCAAAGCTTTTTTCCTCCTTTATTTGGAAGAGAAAAGATTTAACTTACGAAATTACACAAAGAAAAAATTTCTAGGCCAATTATATTGCTTGGGTACCATACACTACCATATTTGGTTTCTAATTTCTGTGGTGGTGTAATTTTTCTTTTTGATTCAGGTAAACTCCCAAGTTGATTTGGTGGAATTCTTATTTTAATTATAGTGGATACTGCTTGTAATTTTTGTATATTGCTAAATGCAGTATGAATATTACAAGAGAGAACTTTGAAAGTTAGGTCTAACACAGCATTAGTCTCTTTAAAGATTGCTGTTCTTGTAAAAAGAGATCAAAATAAAGACAATTTTCATTGATGTTACAAGCAGTAGCCATTAAATTAAACTAGAAACCCAACTAAATCAACTCGGGAGTTTGCCTAAATCAAAAACAAAAATCACTATTTCGCACTTGAAAGCATGTAATTCGCCATAAAAAGGTAAGTCACGGTACTCAGGGTCACTCATTACATGGTCAGACTTTTATTAGAGGTATTGTCGAGCGAAAGTTGCAAACGTTTGTAATTTTTTATTTCCAGCGTCGAATTAATTTCCAGGGAGTTTTTTTTTTACTAATTTTATCATGGAAGCCATTTAATGTTCATCTGAAGCGAAAATTAGGGATTCCTTAAATTTTCGCTTCAAATACTCACTTAATTTCTAGTAAAAACCGACTTTATTTCTCTTCCCTCAAAACAAAAGATAAGATAGACTGGAGTCTCTTATATGTGCTTACTTAGCAGAGTATGTCTTGATAATCTAAGTTTATTAAGGTTTATCTTTACATTTCTCAGTATCGACGTTATCAACCTTGTAAATCTTCACAACTGTGACCGAGTTTTTTCTACTGGGTTTTGTTAATAATTATCCTTTTAGCAGACTTGATATTATCACAACTCGGCACCTTCTCTATTACACGTACTCCCTTAATAAAAGACTTCTTCCGTAAGCCAAATAGCATTGCTATTCAGGTTCATGTTCATCCTTATATTCACCCAATATTCGGCTTGAGGAAGAATTTATCAATTGATTGCTATTTGCGATTATATCAATCCCGTGAGCACCACATCTTGCATAGTTTTCTTTACCTCTTTGTCTTCTTTTTTTTCACCAACATTCTTGAAGTATTTTGGCAATCCATATATTCACTGAGTTGGCAAGATTAGCTGCACAAAGCTAGGAGGAATCCACATACTTAGTGGGCTGGTATATAATAAATGAAATGAATAGTACAAATAAACACCATAATTACAAATTTGGCAAATAATGATCGAATGTGTAAAAAAACGCAGCAAGAAGCTTCTTACCAAGGTGTGAACACCCCTCCATCATCTTTTCTACAAAGTAATACCAAACTAACCTTATCTAAAAGCTCTACCAAAAAAAGTGTCAACAAAATAAATCGTGTAAAAGGACCTTTGAAAGACTTGGAGAAAAGCTCTTGGCTTTACCCTCGCCAAAACACATTATCCAGCCATTGGGAAAAAAACTTAATTGACTCTAATAGGTTCAATACTGGCCTCAAGTATTTCTTCACAAACCAGCATTTACAAATTGTCCATAAGTATTTTTTTTTGTGTCTGTGGTGCTACAGAAGACGATTTTAATGTACACATTTTACAGGATAGCCTATTTTATTCTTTTAAGAATTCAGTCTTGATAAACAGAGCTTTTGTCTTGAAAGAATATAATCCTCAGCAATGGTTATGACTCTTGAAACGTACCCAGACAACTTCAAGAATGTGTGGGATAATTAAAATATAATCGGCAAACTTTTGGATAAAGTGGTACTAATGCTACTTAACCACCATTTTTCCCTTAATGGCGAATCAAAACGTATCTCGACCACAAACACACTGAATCCACTTGGCACGAAGGATATCAGAAACCACGCGTGTTATGTTTGCCTTTCAGAGAATAAAAGGCTGAAAAAGTCGATACATAAATAGGAAAAGGTAGACGGATCAGAAAGAGGAAAGTGGACCACAAATATAAACACAGCGAAGCAAAATTTAGCGAATTTAAAGCATATTTTTAAAAAGGTAAAGTGGAAACAGCATTTATTGGCTTGAAATTGCCAGCTAATGCTTCATTTAACTAAAGAAGATAGGCCAGACGCTAAATGTTAGTCAGAAAGCTTCCGCAGAAAACATTCACGTTTCTCAAGATCTGAACAGCGCGGAAAAACAGCAAGACTTTTTTGGAAGAGGATGTTGCGTCAACTCAAATTTATCCTCAAGCACTTGATTTTCAGTAACTATAAGCTCATATATCTAGAAGACGTCGAACATTAGTCTCCTAATGCCTCAATAGCTAAAAAACCAGTATGCTCGCTGGTCTGCAATACCTGGAAGAAGTTCTTGCCTACAAAAAACAATATCACAGAATTGCGTGTCAAATATATTTCTGTATCTTCGCAGATGACGTTCTTAAATATGTATGCTATATAAAGTTTACTCGTGCACTGTGTCCTTCGGCATCCTTTTCGTCACCGACTGCATTACACTTGGATAAAACTACATTATATATTATTGACCCAGAATTTAGATAAAGAGAAATCTGAAGAATCACCATCAAATAGCAATAAAAAGGAAGGAATTGTATGGTAGATTGATACTCTATGGATATAATAGGGGTGAGGTAATAGGGTCCTAAGACAAAGTGCGGTGAAGCAAATATGTCACATTTGATTCAGTATTACGCGTCTTCTCTCTCTCTCTATATATATATATATATATATATATACGATTACTTCTTCGAAATAAAGGTCCAGAATTCAAACCCTGTCCCTTTCAAAACAGAATAGTTAGCTTTAGTTGGAAGTTTCTTCAGTTCTTGATTATTGACGTGTCGATTTAATGGTACTGAGACGGGCTGTGCCGGCTTATATAAATAAGTGACCCAAACGGTTAACAAAAATAAAGAATATATATCGATCTTCTCTAACAAATCTTTAGCACAAATATCGGAAATTTTCAGTTTGATCTCTAGAGAAAGATAAAAGAAAATAAAAGTAATGTGTGAGGATAACTTTATTGCTTTCCTCTTTCGATGGTTACATAGGTATTTTGATAATTAATAAAAATAACATACTAGTAAGATATTACTACGCTATTACTAAGATGTTGGGATAAACTATGCTTCTTTGGGTAATTAATAATAAATAAGAGAGAGGAATATATATATATATATATTGTTGCGGTTTATTGTTAGAAGTCATATGATTTTCAATTGGTTGTTGCGCCAGTCGTAACAATCATGTTCTTCCCAAGGTCATGTCTTAACCTATTTGTTTATATATTTTGAGCAAAAATATTTAGAAAGATATGATACGTTTGGACCAACAGGAAATGTGAAGACACTCGCAAAGTGTCATTACTTTAATTACCATCCAATAATAGTCAATATAAAAAACCGCTATTTAGTGTCTTGAACTCTTTTGAGTAAAGTATATTTGGGTATAGCTTTTTTAAGCTATCCTTGAGTATAATACTCTTGACCAAAGTTTCCATGAATATGTTAGACGTTTGTAATTTGGTTTTATAATTCTCTTATGCAATTTGATTATGCTCTATATTTTTTTTATTTTGCTTCTATATAAGTTTAACTATCTATTGCACCTAAAACACATATTCATTCCTATTTAACTTTATAAAAATTCTTATATTCTGTAGACATGCAAGTATAAAGATAATAAATCTACAGTATATATTCGACACAATTTTGGAGATATCATGTAATTATTTGCTTATTCATTGATTGATTAAAAAAAGTCTTCAGTATATACATTATTTATGTCCATCGGTGCTCCACATCTTGTTCTTGTGCTTCAAAATCTGCTGCAATAAAAAAGAAAGAAATAAAGAAATATAAAAGTACGTACATGCAAAACCAAACACGCAAAAAAAAATGCGAGCTCAAAGAGGGAAATCTAACTAAAAACATAGTAAGAAGCATGGGACATCTCACTCACACGACACCCGGTGGATTAGCACACCAAAATGAAGGACGACTAGCTTCTCGTCAAAAAAAGAAGTTGAGCGCAATGCCCTGAAACCCTCGGCCTCGTACTCAAAATCCTGGACACCACCAGAGCTCAGTCAGGACCCAAAAGATAATCCTGTTGGCTTGAACCTCGTATATACAAAATAAGAACAAGATAAAGTGCTGAGATGTTTTGTTTTATTTTATGTTTTGGAACGATTACTTACCGAGTGAAAGAGTCCACCAAAATACTCGTGTATTTTAACGAACTCGTTCGCTGGACCATACTGTTTTTTTATCAAGTTATGCAGACAAAATACGTTAGCAACTTTTCATGTCAAGTCAGTAATTAGTAAACATGGCAATTAGCAGCATATTTTTCACACAAGAACAAGAACAGGAGTGTTTTTCTAGGCTTTTGGTTATGTTTGGCTGTCAGTCTATTGAAAAGAACAGAAAAAAGTTAGATGTTGCTAAAGATTAATGCGCATGAGCTTGGTAGAATTAGCCATGGGGTATTCGGGGTTGTTTATGGGTTAGTATCTCAATAATGGGAAAAGTAGATACTGTGAGAGTGTTATTTATTAAAGAGACAAAGTAATATTGTTTTTATATCTGCTACTATTCAAATCCCTGTAATTCAAATCCCTGTTGTGTAATGGTTGGTTTACACTGTATGAGTGTGTAGTGTACGTGTACCTGGTGTGTAACAGTCCCGGAGATTGTTAACTTGCCAGGTTCATTAGCAAGAAGGAACCAGTGTTTGGTTGTAAGGTCTGTTCTTCACTCAATTGTGGGGTGTATACCACAAGCCATTCTCTTATGTTCTTAAATCCATAAAAGTTAAAAATATAGAGCGCCTCTTTAAAAAAAGAAAAAGGCGAAAATATGTTCAGGTTAACTTATGACGCCGAAAGAGACATATTCGAGCTGGCTTTAACATGCTGGTGGTCTTTACATTCATTACTTACCTGGCGTAAACGTAAGCAGATCTAAAGGAAGGCATATACAAACAGACGGACGCGTATTCCCTTGAAATAATTTTTGCGCCAGTACAGATGGCATCACCATTTATTTGTGATGCAAACATTCTTAACCTCTTTGAGAAAAAAGGGGTGGTTAAGGGGGTGGTTTTGAAAATTATCATAAGCATTTTTCAAAATCGCCCTTTTAATCACCCCTTTGTTTTTACTAAAAGGATATTTTTTTGAGACTATCCTAGAAATACACATTTTTATAAGCCTTACAATTACTCTTTACTGACTTATACTCTTAATTATGTTATCCCTAGTTAAATTCTCTCTTAATAAGTTAGATTTCTGTAATTACGTTTTTGAAAGCTACACTTATACAAATTGATTGTGTTCCAGTTTTTACTTTGCTTTTATATATATGTAACTATTAGTTGTACATCTACTACAGATACTTGTATATTTCTGTCAAGTCTCAATATCTAAGTATCGAGAACTGATGAAACCATTTAATAAAATATAGATAAAACGATACCTGTATTGTTTCGCATCATAACCCAACATACCAGATTCCAATCAAGCATTTCTATGTCGAATCATTTTGACACTTCCAATTACCGATCTACCGTATTCAAATAGGACTAAAGTTTGGAGTTCGGCAATGAATCCTCTGTTTTGATGAGGTTAATATTATTGTTTCTATTATTTTATTAAGAGATGTGTGTGTATGTGTATGTGTATGTGTATTCTTACTTGCGAGTGGCCGCCTGTTTGATTATTTATGTACTTCTTTGAATATACACAAAATAATACTCCCTTTAAAGGTGTTCTTCAGCGCCGTCAGTGTATTACCTAAAAAAATCTAGGGTCGGTTCAATGGACAGATATAGGTGTTCCAGTTCTTATTAAGGCTTTGATGAAATTAGAAACGATAATTATAAGCCAATATTCTGGTGAAAGTTAATCATTTATCTAAGCAAGAACATGGTAATTACTGAGCTGGATCAATTTTCGGTGAAATAATAGAGTAATGTAAAGAACAAAAAAAATACTAAATTCAGCCTCTAAAATGATAAGATTTATTCTCATTGAGAGCCTTAAAGTACCTCCAGCCTATGGTTTCTCTCTTTATAACAACTTCTCATTATTTTCTAAGACATAATAAAAGATTTTCCACTCGAGTTTAAGTGTACAAAGACTAATAGGTATGAAAAAACAGGGTCTCATGAACCTCTTCGTGATGACATTACCATTTATATATATATTTTTCACTTTGGCACAACTATGTAGACGGTATATTAGTATTAAATTATTTCTTTACTAAGATACCATACCAAAAATACTTTAAATTAGCATGTAGCAATAGTCAACTACTCCTGGTTATTATAGAGGCTGAAGTTAGTATTTTTTTGTTCTTTACATTACTCTATTATTTCTCCGAAAATTGATCCAGCTCAGTAACTACCATGTTCTTGCTTAGATAAATGATTAACTTTCACCAGAATATTGGTTTATAATTATCGTTTCTAATTTCATTAAAGCCTTAATAAGAACTGTAACACTTATATTTGTCCATTGAACCGACCCTAGATTTTTTAGGTAATACACTGAGAGTGCTGAAGAACACCTTTATTACTTTCTATTGTAGTCGAATTTCGTACTTCAAAGGCAATCTCATAGTCTGTTTTTATTTTATAACGTAGACTTAACACTTTTACTTCTGTATATATATGCAATTTATGTAACAAAGTGTCTATTATGGAAAGAAAGCCCTACTTTACATAATGTTCTTGCTCGCATAAGTCGTGGAATTATATAGTAACGTGTTATCAATACTTCAAAGAAGATCATACCTTTCTCAAACCTGATAAGATCTTCAATAAAGTTCTCACCCAGTATCCAACATTTTGGTATCCCATACTTTCTATCCACTCTCCCAGATACCCTTTATAAGTTGGATATTCTCACCTTACTGTCCTACATTATTCCTATTTTAAATCTATTTGTACTTTATTGACTATCTGACTCATTATTTGATTAACCATTTTTGACACGCCCCCTCTCTCGTCCATTACCATTCTCGCCATTGCACCCCGCTCTGCCAATTTGCTATACTTACAGAAACCTTGTCTTCCCCACATTTCGTCCTGAATCCAACCCCTTATATCTACTTAATTAAAGCATTTCATTAGTCAGAGAACCCTAAAAGGGAACCCTTTGTGGCCAAAATTTTACACTCTTAATATTAAAAACCATAAAATATTTTGAACTTTAATGATCATGCAAAAAAAAACCAATAAGTATATACTACATTATACCCGCTTTTAATTAAATATCCACTCTCAATAAATTGATCAAAAGCATAAGTATAAAAAACTCCGGAAACAATCACAAGTGTTATCTATATGACACAGTGACATTTTATAGAGAATCTTCTAGATTCAAAAAAGTCTATATATGTTACTCGTGAACACTATAAAAAATGCTAACAACAATCGACTCAGTGTGTAAAACATTGTTAAGCACATCGAGTTTAATGCTGGTCGCTTTCCACAAGGTTTGGCTGACACAAAGCTGAATATATACACGTGAAAGATATATAGACCTATTCATGGCATGATTATCATAATTGTATGATTTGATCATATTGGACGTAGCAAGCATGAAATCCAATATCTCTAAAACCACCGTTGTTGGTTTTATTGGAAAAATTGTAAATACTTTCTACTACACGCAGTCTACGCTCAACAGAGCCATAAGAAGACCATGTATCATTGGGATACATAGCTTATAACCAAACAAAAAAAGATGTGTGTTAATCTAAAGGACAACGTTTTATAAGGTTATGATAATTTTATATGAATACTTAGAGCATTTGAATAGTAGTAGAAGGAAACGCACATCATCCCTAAGATAAAATGACACATTGATAATATCATTCTTTGAGTATGCTTTCTAGGGTTAATAAGTCAGAGTATTAAAGACAGTAAATATTGGAACTGTAAAACAGAAGAAATCTATCGATAGTCTGTTAATACGGGGTAGTAATTGAGATTCATAATAATACAAAAAATTCCAACAGCAATATTCTTATTATTTACATACTTTCGAAATAAATACATAATTGTTTACTTTTATAGAATACAGATTCATAAATTGATAGGTTCGTATATAGTCTTTTTTTTAATATAAAGGTTTATTTGAAATGCTAATTGCAGGTATATTAAAGATCAATTAATAGGAATACATATTTCAAATTATAACTGGTAACTTTTTCTATATCCCTTCAAAAGATTTATCACACTATCAGAGTTTAGACTTTTGTTTAATCGACTTAAGACCTGAGCCAAAGCTGGTCTGGGTAAATCAGGGTGGGCGAGTCTGGTAGGAAAAATGTTAAAAAACCCCAATTGAGACTGGGCTGGAACATATAATCTTGTGCTTCTAGACACGTTATTCCCGATCTTGTCTTTTGTTGATTGTTTTATCGGAAAATTTGAGATTTTGCTTATGAGGACATGAATTTGCACTTTTTTATAGACATAGACGATCTTTTTGTTGCATAATACTTAATGATTTTAGTTTTTTTTGCTCATTAAAAGAAATTTCAAAGCTTCCTTCTATAGTATTCATATTATTACCAAGTACTTTAATATACTCACTGTAATATTGCATTGTAGATGACCAATTTTCAACAAATTATCACTGTGGCATGTCTAGTTGCTGTTGAACATTTGGAACTAACGAGGAAGATATCCGAGTTGGCTTTCATAAAAATAAATACAATATTCTAGAATAGTTTTCTTTGTTACCGTACCTACGTCGAAGTAATAAATAACGATGACAACGAAGCTATTTACATCTCTAGACATAGCATACGTTTGAAAGTATATCAATTCTGGCTGAGCAACTAAAATTGAAACCAAAATTTGATTCGACAAATCTTGGCTTGATCGTGAAATAATCTAAGCTAGTGGTTTATTGCTTCATTCAACATTTTATTTGTAAACCATGTTGATCGTGATCTCAGGTATTATCTAAATATAGCTATTAACGTGAAAGAAAGCTATGAAAAGTAAAGCAAATGAATGAACATAGACGTACATTTCCTTTTGTCCCAATGACACAAGCCACATACTAGAATGATATTTTAATATTGTGTATGTAGTATTAAGAATGCATTTTTATATGATGTGGATTGAAAGCCAGCATGACGTTGTATGTCCATTGTCAATCAAGGAGAAAAGGATATTCATTGCATTTTTATATATAATATTCTGCAGTAGATGGCTGTGTATATAAGGTTTAGGGATGGTATAAAAGTAGAGAGTAAAGATTATCTATTTTGATAAAGTACATGTTATTTTTTTTATTTATTTTTATTTGAATCGCAAAAATGGCTCTCCTTTTGGCCTACTTTACACAAATTGTTTGTGTGCCTTTGAACTACAAGAAAAGCTTATTTTATCTTATTAAGCGTTTAAAAAATGTAAATAGCATATATAGATGTAGACATATATTATATCCATAGTAACAGACTAGTTTAATAAATGTTTTTTGTTGCTATGGTAATGCCCTGATGACTAGGTTTGTTTAAATGAATTGGTAATAATAAATATAAATCTTGATTATTCTGTGAGCTTTACAATAATAATAATATAAAAAGGTTTTTTATTTATATAGGTATTCTTAATTTTCTGGAAAAGTGACTTTCAAAAGCATAAAAGTAAAATTTGGTGATAAACGCCCTGGCAACGAAAACAGGTTTCTGGCATGATCAGTTACAGTTTCCTTCCAAAATTATCGCCTATTAAAAACAATCAACTCATTTGATACTCCTATATATAAATTTTACATGATTGCTTTCTGGTAACAAGAAAGAAAATAAAAGTTCTGATTTCATTTAAAATTCAAGTACTAATAAATACATGATGTACTTTACACTTGTTTCAAATAATCAAACAGTTGAATAAATACGCCTCGGTAAATATTATATACGGTCCAGAACATTTTGAGCCCTTGCATTACTCTTTTATTATTATTATCTTCAAAGGAAATATCTACAACTTTATAGATCAAATGTTGGATAAAGCAAATTGTTCTCTTTTTCTTCTTACAGATAATACTGACCACAGAAATAAAGTTTATTCGACCAGTAATTAATCGATCAACAAGAGTACAATACATACGAAATATGAGACAAAGAGCAATCGTTACAATCAAAATATATATTTAACAGCTCCTAAAGAATGTTATTAACCTGAGTTATTTCTTTCTATTCTATTATAATTATTATAATTAATATCGAAACGAAATATTTTAGACCAATCATAAAATTTATAATCTTTTTAATTGCTGCTTATAAGGACCAAGAAGATATATTGACGTGTATAAATCTTTTAGAAAAGTAAAACAACATAAAATGTAACATATTGTACTATTAAGGGAAATAGGTGGTCATTATAAAAATAATAAAATCTTCACACTTACAAAGCTAGTTCGAAATCCAGCTTCTCTGGCATATGTTTATTCTCTCGTACAGGAATCAATAAAAGTCTGAATTTAATTTAGGGTAAAAAAAGATGTGTGCGTATTGAAAATATTATTTACTTTTATTTTTTCACACAGATACTACTTGCTGTGTATTGATTAATTTTTATCCGAAAGCTTTTTCAATGTCTCCTTTATTTCACGTATAGTAATTTTGATAATTGATGGCTTGAACTGACAAAAACAACTTTACTTTTATTGGACGTATTCTTTATATAAATAATTTTATGTAAAGAATACCCTGCAAAACGAAACTTGACACCACCATTAATTTATAAAAATATTCAAGTTTATTTTCTTTCTTTTATAGTTATAAATTTCGGTTAAGCTTTTGATACGCTACTAGAATTGCGCCCTATTTATTGAAATATATATATATATATATGTTTGGATTGTTCAATCCGTTTAATTACTTTTACTCTAATGAAATACCTTCATTACAGACAGTTTATATTCTTATATTGGACCATATTCATTCAAATATATTTAAGTAGGCGAATAAATTAAGGATGTAGGGGTTGGAACACAACTTAATTAAGCGCACAAATTAAAGAAAAAAAGCACCTTTTTGGGTACTTTACGCAAGTTTCCTCTTGGGGTTAGATGCATTCGTAGCCAGGCAAAGGCTAAATATATTCTAGTGACCTTTGAGTTTTCTGGATACACATACGTCATAAGCATCTTTCCCCAAACAGCAAAGCCCTCAAAATTCATTTTACACAGGCGGACCATACACATCTATCACGCTTTGTCTAGTATTTGCTCGTGTGTGTGTGTGTGTGCTGTTGCTCACACCTTGTTCCTTGAGTTCTTTCTGAAGTTTTGCTTCATTGCAATCTTCGATTCAGCAGTTAATCAATCAGTCAATCATTCCGTCAGTCCCGATCTGTGTGACATCCATCTACCATCCCTCGCACTTGGATCCTTCATAAGTCTTACATCCTAAAGAGAAAGAGAAAAAAAGAAAGAGAAATATATCTTTGAGGATAATATACGGCATTTGCACTATATAATCCCACATACGGCAAACGCCGTAGAAACTAAAGCATCAAACAGAGAGCGTCCAATTTTATTCTTATAGTATTCTTTTGAGATTTGTGCATTGCGCAGGACGAGGTTGCTTGCTGCACGATCATGTCAGATTCTGCTACAATCTCTTCCCAAAGCCTCGCTGACTCGGGGCATTCCTCAAGCTCATTTTCTGTACCGAGAACCAGAAAAGACCCGGCGTCGTCTGCCACATCTCAATACCATGCCTCACTCTATTCTGGACAACAGCAACTTCAGCGACGGCAGCTGCATCACCCGCATGACGCACCTGTTGAACCATCAACACTACCTTCTTCTAACCAACTATTACACTTTGACCTTTTGGCCATTGACCCACCAAATATCTATCGTACTTCTCTCAGACTCACCACAGAAAATGAACTTCAGGGATGGTGGACAACCATGACAAATATCCTTGGTACTGCATTTCATGCAACAAAGGCTACTCTCAGTGTACCCCAAGATCCAAACGATCCCTGGACTGGTCCTTGGGGTCTAAAAGCAACTCACTGTACTACTAACACAGCAAACACAACCAAGGCCACAACTCCCTCTGAAACTACGAATCATCCTGATTATTTTTTATTTAACGACCCTATCGATCAACCTCGCAAAAATCCTCGATGTTTTGATCGTCTTCAATCTCTTGATGCTCAGCTGGAACCTCTCATTACAAATCCAAGTGTGCACCGAATTCTCAAAAGACAAGGGGCAGTTGTACTCTCAAGGGAATATCGACGTCGATCGAGTCAACCACATAGTGCAATCACAAGCCGGCGTCTATTGAAAGAATATCATGCCATAGAAGATAGTCAAGATATGTTCAAACGAGCTTTGCTCGAACAGACCGAGAAAAGTTCTCGGATGTTGCATCGCGCCACTCCTGTGCTTTCAATACCATGCTTACACAGAATGGAAGAGGGAGAAGTAGATGGGCTGACCGAATCAGAAATTTTGGTAGATTCCAAGGCAGAAGAAGAAATAATGGAAGATGAGATTGCTAGAGACCAAAATGAAATCGACCTGTCTGTTTACGACTTTGACGAATATGAACAGCAACAGCCATCCCCATGGTCACAATCGCCAGCACCATCCCCGGCAATGATGGACCCAGACGTGAACCCTTTTTTTCAGACAGTTCCGGACATTGACGATGAAGCATTTAATCCGGTATCACCAGAAACATACGGGACAACTGCTATTCCATTTCCGCCTCCTGCAGCTAATGTTCACTCTGTCGTACATTTGCCTATTGTTCATCCTTTTGAGACTGACAACCAATCTCCACAACACCCCGTCCAGCCCAGTCGATCGAATGCACAACCGCCGCCTTTTGCAATACTTTCATTTCTGTCGCCAGTTGTACCTTATCCTCCCGTCCTACAGGCCAGTCTGACGTCTATTGCACCATTTATTGCCACAAGTCTGGCAAACGCTTTAGAAAACTCGCGCCTCGCAAGAAAAGATCAAGTTTTACGACCTACCACCAGCCACACTCATGGCCACAGCCATCATAGATCACATCACAAAAGAGGCTCCGTAGATAGATCATCCAGCAATCGTACAAACTTAACTACGGATACAGAGTCGGCTATGTCTACACCAACTGCTTACACAAACACAGGTGCTAACCATCAAGCTATATTCCTTGAAAATATGATTCACAGTCGTAGTTCGCTCGAAACAGTTCGTGAGCACCACCCAATAGAGACGCTGCCTTTGCGAGACCTCGATATGTCTTCTGGCTCCGAAGCTTCATCTTATGCATCTACATTTTCTGCACCCGCTGCCCTTGCTGCACAAACTCACGATAGACACTTGAACAGCAGACAACACTACCACAACTCCATCTCACACGATCAGACAGTCTCAGAAGCAGATTTATTGGATACTGAACACGCTGCATCATATCCACGACGTTACTCGTTTACGCGACGTACCTCAATGCGATCACCTTCTTCAAACGCTATACTACACGGCTGGGAAGCCGTCTCTCCCACAAGCGGATTGCCTATCACACCATCAATTCCACCCCTTAATTTATGCGCAAATCGTAGCTGTTCTGAAATCGAGACTACTCCTACACATATAGACGAAATGACAGCTGTTGAATACGACATCCAGGCTGAACGCGAAGTTGCTGAGGGCCGATTACTAAGCAAAAACCCTAATATAGAACATGATCATTCTGTGATCAATGACATAGAAACAGGGCCTGAAGAAGGTGGTGTTTATCGCGGACGCTCCAAAAGCCCATGTAAACGACGACCACGAATTCGAAGAAAACAAAACAAACTCAAAACAAGACATAAAGTTCATCGTCGGCATGAACAGCGTCATGCCCAGGATGACGACGATTTTCACTATCATCATAAAATCTCTGGACGAAATAAAGATGGTGTTGAACAGTATGTTGTCGCACCAAAGTCTAGTCTACTACGCCTTGTAATAGACGGTATTCCGATCCATGTATTGTAAGTTTAAACGGAATTGTCTATTTCTCTCTTCACATTAATCGTAAATATGATACTTGTTTTCTTTTCCTTGATTAAAAAAAAACACCGTATACTAAAAGAAAAGAATGCCATAAAAAACAATTAGTACTTGCTCAACTACTACCGGCCAAGTAACGTGGGTTAACAACCGAACATTGCAGTATACTGGTCGCTCATTGCAGGATCATTTGGGTTCTAACTGGCTATCTCATATGCATCCTGACGATCAAGCTGATTGTTGTAAGGCATGGGAAGCAGCATTTGATCAAGGGAATGGATTTGCAGGTGAATTTCGGCTACGTCGTTTCGATGGAATATATCGATGCTTTCTATGGCGCATTGTTCCGCTCCGAGATCTAAAAGGACGTATAATTCATTGGTTCGGTAAGTGTTCTTTATATCTATATATAAAAATAGCATTATATTAAAGCAATACATTTTGTATCATCATTTTATATAGGCACATGGTATGTCAAATTAATTGAGGCCATGTAAAAATATACACTACTGACTGATACTTTCTATCTATTTTACAAAAGTACGGATGTCCATGATCAACATGTAGCAAAAGAGAGTACTTTACGGCAGATGGAGATTGAAAGCAGTGAAAGGAAATACAGAATGCTGGCAGAAGCAATTCCACAAATTGTTTTTACATTCTCACCTGGCATTGGTCTAACATATGCCAACGACAAATGGGAAAGTTACTCTAATCAACCATTTGAAAAAACCGTTGGTCTGGGGTTCATGTCGCAGGTCCATTCTGAAGATAGACATAAGTTACAACTTCCTGATTTAGTGCGACACAAGACAGCTGGGGTAGCATGGCAAAATGAGATCCGCCTCCAAAGTAGTGATGGAGACTATAGATGGTTTTTAGTAAAATGTATATCTGTTGATGAATTAGATACGGGTCAGGTACGATGGTTCGGGACATGGTAAGTCAATCATGCCTGTAGCTGTGTGGATAGATTTGTGCATAATCTTCTTTGAAAATATGGAAAAGAATGTAGAGATAATGTAGATTTTTTTGTCACAAATATAGTACAGATATCAACGATCACAAACTATTAGAACATAAACTTAAGGAAGCCCACGATGCAGCGCAGAAGTCTACAGAGAGTAAGACCCGATTCCTGTCAAATATGTCCCACGGTAAGTTATACAATCAATATTATTAAATAAAACACTGGAGAAAGGTTATCGCAATGATTTTTGACACTGTAGCCGAAATCCAGAAATTAGGACACCTTTGATAGGAATCACAGGAATGCTAAACTTCTTGTTGGATACCGAGCTCACACCTGAGCAAATGGATTACGTACACACTATACAACAGTCTGCTGAATCCTTATTAGTTGTAATCAATGATATCTTGGATCTGAGCAAGGTCGAAGCAGGGATGATGAAACTCGAATGGGAACCATTTAGCTTGGTGAGCATGATTGAAGATGCGAATGAGTTGCTTTCTACTCTTGCCGTACAAAAAGGTCTAGAACTTAGTTTCTGGGCTGATGACGATGTGCCTGATGTGGTGGTCGGTGATCGGATTCGATTAAGACAAGTCCTTTTGAATTTGATTGGAGTAAGTACAGTTTTTGGATCAAAATGAAAAAAAGTAAAACCTGTTTATTGATCCCACTATGAAACATATCGTTAGAATGCTATAAAATTTACGTCCAAAGGAGAGATATATACCCAATGTTCATTACAACATTTCGACAAGGAGGAATCGGAACTCACGCTGCTGTTCGAAGTAGTTGATACAGGTACAGGATTTGATGCTGATGGCGAGGCAGTCATGTTTAAGCCATTCTCCCAAGTGGATAGCTCAGTAAGTTCTTTTTTACTCATTATTACTGTGATGGGAAATTAATTTATGTAAACGTAGAGTACACGCAAGCACGGAGGTAGTGGACTTGGTCTTGTGATTTCTAGACAGTTAATTGAGCTACATGGTGGAACGATGAATTGTCGAAGCAAGAAAAACCAAGGATCTACATTCTTTTTTACTGCGAAGTTTGGCGTGCCTGCGTCACAGACACACCCACAACCTCAAACACCTCAAAATGAAGCAGCCGATCCTTTCAGTCGCTCTCATACATATTGCCCCCGTGAAGAAGGTTTGCCATTTCATAATGATAGTGTCAACAAACCCCAACCTTCCAAGGATTTTGGTACTTCGCAGCCTCTCTTAAACCAATTTTCCCAATCGCCGGAACTTCCGTGCTCGGTTGAATTAATGCACGATGCACTATTAAATAAAGCAGCTACAATGCGTCTCATGCCTCCGCCTGTACGAAGCGATCGACTGACATTACCAAAGATCGTTTTGTTGGAACAGATTGCAGACCAAATGACCCCGATGATATTAACATCTCCTGAACTAGAACCACTACGAAGCAAACTGAAAGAAACATATCTAATGTCAACATCAACATCAACGCCATTACCAAATTCAAAGCAGCAACAGCCGCAAAATCAAGAGCAACTACAAGCTCAAGAACAACCACAACCACAACCACAATCTCAATCACTACCACAACCGCAATCGCAATCACAGTCTCAATCTCAAGAACACCAACAAGAATTGTATAATGAGAATACGAATCAAGCAGAAAATGGAAAAGAGAAAGAAAAGGAAGAGCTATCTCAATCTACATCAACGAACCAACAACCACAGAATCCACTGAGTGATAGTCCGAATGAGATTGTATTAGACCGGCCCGATCATCGTATCATGAAAACTATCCGGAATAGTCCTGGGCTTATGTCTCCTAATGTGGGTTCTGTAAATCCACCTCGAACGCCTACACGAGGAGCACCGCTGAGGGTGTTGATCGTATGTGAATGGCCACGATCACGGTCTACAATGGTAAAACACTCCAAATCGATTCTTAGTACATTGGTTAAGTCCAATCAAGACCTTGAAATCGAGACAGCCACCAATCACTTAGAAGCTGTAGAGCAACTTGCCAGTCCTTTACGACCGGCATATGACTATACTCTTGTGAGTCTTGCATCTGAACAACAGATTCTAATGTTGATGCGAATGGTGTGCAGCTCATCTTTCCACCAAGGCACAAATTTACTTGTGGTCACGACTCCAATGCAACGTTCGTTAATTATGGAAGGCTCAAAGGGCCAAGAACAGTCGGTTTTGCCACGTAATTGTGGATTTGTGTTTAAACCACTCAAAAGAAGTAAGCTTAGCTGGTATTTTGGAGTACGACCTATTTCATCTGGTTCGGACGATCCTAAGAATATGAGTGCTCCTGATGCTCCGCAACAGCGTGTGGTTACACAGAAAGAAGTCTTTCAACAAATGGAGTCGGATGTTGGTGGAAAAGGTTTCAGGGTTCTGTTGGTTGAAGGTACGCAAACGATTTATTGCAAGTTTTGAAAAGAAGAAGAAGAAAGAAGCAAAAAACCAATTTCAAAGTTTACGTGCTGTGTTGAATTATTGAACGACCATGGATTTTGCTTTTTTTTATAGATAATCCTGTCAATCAAAAGGTATTGACGCGTTATCTGGTTCGGGTTGGATTGAATGTAGAAGTAGCATGTGATGGAGAGGTGTGTATAAATTTATTCAATAGCCACCCACACAGCTACTATTCATTGATCCTGTGCGATCTGTTTATGCCGGTTAAAGGTAAATTTTAGTTTAGTTAATGAGGCATCTTGCTTAGAAACATAAATTCTTATAATTTTGTTTATATCTGTAGATGGGTATGAGGCAACGCGTGAGATTCGAGAGTGGGAGACTGCGAACGGGATCTCACCGGAAAAACAAGTGCCAATCGTTGCTCTTTCAGCAAATGTGATGAGTGATGTGGCAGAAAAGTGCTTGGCAAGTGGGTTCTCTACATATATTTCAAAACCTGTTAATTTTGCCATGCTGAGTGATGTTATTCGAGGATATCTTCTTCCTTCCTTAGATTAATCTTGCATTTTCTCTTTCCTTTTCCCTTTCTCTTTTCCCTTTCTCTTTATACTTGTGTATGTATATACATCTTGCTCTTTATTTATTTATCTATTCACCCGTATATTTCATAAAGAACAATTTAATAAAGAGATATAACTGTAAGTAGATTTTATAGAAACAATAACATGCCCGTGTATTAAAAATATGAGTAATTAATCCAGTTTTTTCTTCCACTCTTAATTTAACTTTTTTTGCTTGATGGTTTGAAATTTTGACTCTTACACCAAGAACGACGAAAAATTAAAAAAAAATTAAAAAGAATACGATTACCATAACATATACCTTGCTCAAATGGTATAAATTTCGATATAGTCAATGTTATTTTGATAAATAAATTCTAGTGTGTATCAAGAAATAGACTTTGCTGGTAGATATTCGAGGAGAAATGTGTGCATGCTTTATTATTATTTATATTTAAATATGACAGTAGCAATATTATGCAAGGAATACAAGGTATAAAATGAAAAAGAAGAAAAAGGGTTTCAATGTCTTGGCAGAGTTATATTCCAATGAACTTCCAGCTTATTAAACTCATAGATTTCTTGATTATATAATAATACAGGCGACTGCGTTTGCCCATAAGATTATTTGAAGCCTCAACATATTTTTCAAATTCTTCCGGACTCATGGCGTTTACCGTAGTGCGTACATTTTCTATTAGTGTATCAACATTATCACCGATAACACCATCTAACCCCCATGCGACGCATTGATGCATTTGCTCAATATTGTTGATTGTCCAACAAAAAACTCGCTTTCCTAGTGAGTGGGCCTCCTTAATAAAGTCCTGTCCCTCTTGGTCGACTAAGGCTGCATATGGCAAACTGATATTATCGAGTTCGTGTAAAAAGTGTTTCCGGGCTGCACCCAAAGACAGACCGATAAAACATAGCTGGTAGCCAATAAAGAGTTGCTTGGCTCTCTCGAGAAAGCGGAGATCCCAAATGCCAAACACTAGTTGCTTCCTGAGACTTGTATGCGCTTTATACTCTTCTAGGAGAACTTGGACAGCGTCAAGAATTTCGAGTTGGTTGTCAAACTAAAATTTTAATTAATTGAATGTTACCAAAGAGAAGTTTCAGACCAGTAGACTCCTAGTAATAAATAAACTTTCTGCCTAGTAATATTCTTTACCTTGATATCAACAATCATATATGTATTTTTTGCAACAACATCGGGTCTAATCAGGATATCAAATACATCTTTCAGTCGAGGGATTGGTTGTGGTGGCTCTGTTTTTGTGAAAAGTCCATCGATATATCCAACCCAATTGTGATCAAATACTGCTCCATTTCCAGTCGAGGTACGTTGAAGGGTAAGGTCATGCATTATGACTACTTCACCATCCTTGCTTAGACGAATATCTAAAGAGGTTAAAAAATAGGATTAGAGGAAGGCTTTCTTATTGTGGTATATACATCATCCCTTTAAAGCTATTTACCTCCTTCTAAAGCAGTTGTATTTGCTCTTAGAGCCTCTTCATAGGAGATGAGAGTATTTTCAGGATACTTTCCGGAATATCCGCGATGAGCGATTACGTCTGGAACTATAATTAAAGATATATAAATAAGAAGCTGCTTCATTTTTTCTTTTCAAATGTTATATAATCTACTGTGTGTCAGTCAAAAAAAACAGATACTACTTTTAATCAACCTAAAAAAAGGCTACCTGAAAATTATACTATTTTTGGGACCTACTTTTCTTCTCCAATGTGCTTGTTGGTGCTAAGCCCATGACTTGATATTGATTGTTTCGGTAGAGTAAAGTCATCGATGGGAATGCGGAAGTATTAAAGTATTTTATAGTTTTCTGACCTGTAGATAAAGCACGTGATTAGCGGAGGTCCATGTATTAGATGTCACGACGAAAAAGAAAGATCGCCGTATGATGTTGAGGGAAAGCTAGCACATTTCAGGTGGTTTTTTTTTAGTAATCCGATAATTTGTTTCTGAACAGCAGTAGTTTGAAAGTGTTGGGTTACTGGCGTGGAACGCACCTGATGACGCATATAGGGTAGGTACCTGGCCAACAGAAAAAGGACAGAAACTCTAAATTCCACACAAATCACCAAGTTCAATAAATTACACTAGCAATCCCCAATGATAACCAAAGAATATGTATATATATATATGTATATAGCGTTTATTTACTTATAGGTTTGAAGATATTCTTGATAAACCCAGCAAGTCAACCAATAAGTACATACTAAATAAGCACACTTCATTATCATTATCGATATTACATATTTCTACTGGTATCATTAGATTAAAGCGATATCCTGGGAAGTCATATGCTGTGTAAGCCTAAAAACAAAAGTGGTGATGTCAGGTTCATTTAACCACCTAAAATATCTCAATTGCCGCGTAATGCTATTCCTAAAATGTTTTTCATTTTTCATTTTTTTTAGAGTTGCTCTTGGCAACAAATATTTTACTCTATAATTATAGACTTTTATTCCTATTTAAATTTCGATTCCTAATTTCAATTAATTATTAAAAATTCTACTGCCTACAGCAAACCCAAGCTGCTGGTACATATATAAAAAGTTACTGATGATAATAATGTCCTTTGAGGACCTGTTTTTATACATACATTTCTAAAAAGGAAACCGCCTACCTAACAAATATTCTAGGTTTCAAATGTCCGAAAAAAAGTGTAAGAAAATTGATTTTTTTCACAATTTGTGTAATTTTTTTCTCCCTCTACACTTTTTCTTCACTTTTATTCAACCAATCATTGCTATCTATATTTGATGTCTAAACCAACAATACCTTTATAAGTAAGATATACAAGTAAAATATAAATTTCGAGCATGCTTTTAAAGACGTATGTACTATATAGTTATAGTCTATTACTCCACATTTCTTATAATAAACTTGTCCAAATATAATATTTTACTTACTATACTGCATGTACTGCAATTTATGCTATTATAGAAGACCATATTTCGACCAAATGTTATGAATATATTTATTTAACCATTAATATTAACCAGTGTTCGTTAATTTAGTATTAATACACTTTCCGACAGTGGCTTTCACCTGATATGGTAGCAAAACCTCAGAAGTGTAAAAAAAAGTATTTCCATATTTGATATGGTGGATGAAAAGTGCAATTACACTTTTCTCAAATGTCGTTAAAGAAACAAACAAACTCTAATCCAATAATTCTGCTTAAATGTTTTGCCGTTTTTTTTTTGACCATGTTGATCTGTCTATACCAATTAATATGTTTCATAAAAAGAGAGATAATGGGAGGCTACAAAAATCCGTTTGTACCGTTTAATAGAATTCTTTATGTTTTTACTTTTTTTTAAACAAAAAAAAAGGGTATTAAATTATATAGGTAAAACCAGGTATAAAATAGAAATAATTAAACATTTTCACTAGTTCAAAGCGATATTTATATAACTAATTTATAAATTTTGTGGTTAGATACGCTTTTGCCCAAAAATGCGTGATTGGAGAGGTCAAGTTTCGATAACTTCATCAAAAGAATTTTTTTCTGTCAGCAAATTTTCCTGGAAAGGTAAAGGAATACCTAAAAATTTTTGAAGAGAAAAAAAAATTCAAATACCAAATGCTAAATGCTAAAATGACAGGTCTTCAATAGACATAATCAAACTGATATCACTTCCCAAGTCTATATTATTACAAATACATATTACAGATCTTTGTTGATCATTTAAATCCAAAACAATAAAACAATTCTTTCTTTCAGGAACCTTGTATAAAGAAAATAAGCAGAGCCATAATAAAACAAAGAAATAAAAGTAGCCACTAAAAGTATAATTTGATCCACATTGCTATTGCAGAACAAAATAGGTTTCCACTAAACTACAAGCTAAACCTTTTGAGTCCTGATAGATTTTTGAAGAAACAAATGTTAACAATTCATTTCATGTCATACATAAATAAATAAAATACTTCATCAGCAAAAAATTAGATTAAACTGCATGTAAGTCTTCCTAAAACATTACTATATATACATACATGAATATCTGGAACTGATACATAAATTATAAAGGTTTGTAGACGATAAATAATCACACGCTATGTTGAAATCATTTCTCTCTCGCACACATACATACTATCTTTACAAAATAACAAAGTATGAAACTATCAACGACAGTGACGTAGACTTGGACAATGGTTTGGTAAAATTGCGGTCACCATTGCTTGAGCTTAAAGAAAGAAAAGAAAAAGAAGTATAAAGATTGTTCTTGATATATATACACCCATATATATAGACATATATATATATATATGTATGTATGTATGTATGTACTTAGATATATTAGTATTACTGTTATAAAAAGAAAATAAAAGGAAAAGGAATAAATAAAATATAGTGGAGGTATTAAAAATAAGACAATAATCACAAAACTGAGAGAACTTCATCGCCATAGATCAAATGAATCTGACTGATGAATCTACAGAGACCAAGTTCATTTCTCCCAATCACACAAACAAAATGTCTCAATTAAAAGACATCTTTGACGATTATACATTGAAAGACAAATTGAAATTAGTGCAATTTCCATGGAATCATCCAGACGTTCTTCAATTCGACAAAACATATATTGTGCTTAGACAAAATGCTATTCCACCCTTGCTATTAGAAACTATCAACTCATGTGGTAAATAATAATAATAATAATGATAATAATAATAACATACCCATATACACATGCTGTTAAGATGTAAAGGGCAACTTTCAAACTTACTGCTCTTATGCAAAACAGACAGGCCTGAGGATGTTTTTGCCTATGCATCATGTAACGCACATTATGCCGTCATGGCAAGCAAAAGTCTTGTCTCTATTTACCTCAAAGTTGATCCCAAGGTACAAAATCACATCATCCAAACACACCATAAACACTGGGATTTCTAACATGATTTCAATCTCTATACACTCATTACCAGACATACGATGAAATTATTTTAAAGCCACCACCCAGCTGCCAATCTTCTCCTTTTGTTATTATGATCCCGGCGCACACAGATACGTCCTCAGCAAAGCTTTTTGTAATTGATATCAATGGAAATGCATCGCTTTGGTCGAATATCAAGTCGGCAGCGCCGTTTTCAAATCCCTGCTGTACTCATAAAATGCCTTTGGAAACCCAGAGTCATATAACCTCGATCTGTCTTCTGTCTCACAACCAAATTGTCGTCGGTACCTCTTCAGGAAGAGTGATATTGCTGGCTATCCAAAGTAACCAAAGCACAGTTGATTTTTCGATTAAATCTTCTCACAAAGGATCGGCCTTTTCAAACATCCTTGAAAATTGGCTTCCGTCTGCAATTACGCGGGTTAGAGGCACACATGGCTGTAAAGATAATCTTCCTGTACTTAGACTCGTCAAAACTGAAAGCATGTAAGGATATAATAAAGAGTAAAGTGATTTTATTTATCGAATGCTACTTACACGCAAGTTATAGGAATGCCGACACTTGCTTTATGACATTGAATGATGGAATGCTTCAAAAGTGGGCGGTCTCCGCGAATGGTGACCCAAAGGTGAGCTTTTTCTTTTTCTGACTACTATTATTGTAAAATAACCCAAAAACATGAAGATACACATACACAAATAGTAGATGGTTTCTTTTATTAATTTAGCCGTTGCTCTATACAGCTCTTATTCAAATTAGACGTTGTACCTGCTGTCAAGCAATACATATCAAAGAATATCTTGAAAAGACCATCGGATGAGGATGTGAAAATACATATAATTGACATGGACAGATACAAGTAAGCATTTTTTTCTTTCTTTCTTAACTGCTATGTATGTACAGTGTGGCTAAAGAGCTTTAAAGTCCGGGCACATCGGCACTTCTTGTATCATACCATGTTCCAGAGATGGATAACTGCACCCAATTTGCTGTTATTCTTTTGTATATCTCTACTATAAGCTCATTAGTAGAGGGATATCAACTTACTGAAAAAGAATACAAGATAAATCATATTGTCACCCTGCCATATTCAACGGTATACAAAGCTAAAACAATCATTGGGAGTGGAGGATTCTAGAGGTCCAAGAGTGTGCCACTGTCAAATCAACTAACATATTTGATTAAACAAAACATAAAAATAATAATAATTAGATAATGAGTAGCAAAAAACGAAAGCCGACCATTAGAGTCTCTGGAACTGGGCCTATTGCATTTGTAACCTTTGACGACAGCGTCATATCTATCTGTATCGACCAACATACCATATTTGAAAGCACAATTGGCTTAAAACCAGAACTGGGCGACATGTTTCTTTACACCACTGTTCAAGATACCAACAGAGAGAAGTCTGATGAAGATGACGCTTCGGTGGCAACAATTCTTACTGCCATGGGTAAAGTCTTGGAATTCAAGGTAGACCACAAAGCAATCAAAGATAAGAAATCAAATGAGTAAGTATTGTGATAAAAATATTAGCAATTATATCCATATGTTCTAAATATTGGGTATATATTTATTGAAATACCTTTTCTTTTTAAAAAAAATAGAGTATTTGATAATACAAAGTTTCTTGAAAAAAGGCTTTTGCAAGCTGCGGCATTCCAAGACAAGGCCAATGTATGGGAAAAGAGTCATAGAATACGTGTGAGAAACTAAATAAAAGGTTGTATTTATGTGTAAATAGAACCCATTATCTTTTCCCATATCTACCAGGCCAATGCGTGGCAATATAGGCAAAGCTGCACTATCTGCCACACACAGTGTCTTTGTTGGAGGTAAGCAATATTCCTGTAATTAAAACTTTGTATAGATAAAATATATATATAAGAAATTGTATGCTAATCCGATATTTGGATGGCAGATTGTTTCTTTACAGGACCAAAGATGAATTTTACACCCTTCTTTTCTTTGCGTTTACAATTCATTATGAACATTGCTGATGCCTTAAAGAAAGAAGATTTATTCAGCCAGGTAGGTTTCGGTGACATGATGTGTTTTATAATGGAACAGATCACAACATTCTAATAATACTACTGCTGCTGTTGCTACTGCTATAGATTGATCGGACAACCAGGAAAAAGCTACTCGCATATACAGAAGCTTCGATTGTAGCTGATGAGATATGGAAACAATATACTAATCAAAAGTAAGTACGCAAATAAAATAAACAAAAATGGCTGGCTATATGCTTTCTCAAAAGGTTATATAAAAAATATGTTACTAATACCCATATTTACATAACATCGATATAAATATAAAAAGAAAAAAGTCGGCACACTTCTTTGAATACACAGCTATTATTGAAAAGGTGTTTTTGGGTTTATCTCCATCTAAACACATGCTCACGCTTCAAGACAATGAGCGAATTTTGGCCGATTCTTTGTCAAAACATGTAAGGAATAGTAAATAATTAATGCTTGAGGCTCTATACAGTCAATAAACCCGGACTAAAACTGCTTCCTTTGTAACTGACTGACTTAAATTTGGTAAACTCCTATCCACAAACAAGTGTATTTTCCCCACTCAATTCTTCGAGGCCTTTGCCAATATACAAGAATCTCTTTATTTCACTTCTCCTATGAAAATGCAGGGATTTAGAATCAGAGCCAACGAACTTATCTTGGTAATATATATATATTGAAGTAAACAGATTTCTCCTTTTCCCTTGAAAATTAACTCTTTTGATTTATTTGTTTTTGGTATTGGTGGTATTTTAGAGTATACGCCACGCTTATAGAAAGTTTGAGACCCGCCTCAAGGATTATAATCTACCTGATGTTAATAAAGTCTGGACTCGTAAGTGTTTAAAGAATATTTAACAGGAAATAATGTGAGACTAGCTTCTGTAAATAATAATGATACTAATGATGATGATGATATATATGTACACATAGTCAAATGGCGAAAGTTATTAAAGAGTTCATTTGAAAAGACGTACGCTTTCCACTCCATAAACCAATCATATACAGATAATTTTGTCGACGAGAAAAACACTCTCAATGAACATATCACTCTAAATCTGCCGGTGAATATGGAGTCTGATCTTGGGAAACAGCTCTGTGATCTCGGTCAGGAACTGTTAAACTTGGATATTTCAGAAGAGGACAGGTAAGATTTTGGTACAAAATAAGAATTACTTTATCTTCCTTACTTTCTTTTTATTGATATATAAATGTATATAAATACCCAATTTCTAACGCGTAAAACAAAAACTAAACATAAAAAAATCAATTGTGTAAAAAAGCTCTGCTGTAGATAAAACAGTACACCAGATCCAAGGATTTGTAATCGAAACAATTTTCAAGACTGGGTACAAGCAATTGGCAATTGAAATGGCAGAGAAATCTAAACATTTTAGTGCACTCCTTGAAATTACTCAGAGTGAAGAAGGGACTGAAGCTGAAAAATTACGCGAAACATATCTCTGTCGATATGGAAATGAATTTGTATATTCTTTATGCAAATGGTATTGCGATCACAGTAAGTTTAATAATAATAGTAGTAGTAGTAGTAGTAGTAGTAGCAGTGATGATGCTGTCTGTAGTGCTATTGCCATTTTCTTTGTCATTGTCATTTTTTTATCTTAAAAGTAATGCTCTAATCAACATAAATTTGTAGATCAAGAAGGCAAGATTTTAAAGCTAAAGCCATCATATTTTCAGCCCATCACAGAGTTTTTTCAAGAAAATAAGGTTCCGATTGCATGGATACATTATATGCGTGTGTGTGATTATAAGAATATGTTCGGTGCTCTGCAAGAGGTACTAAGAACAGAGCACGAACCCTCAAAGAGAAAGGTAAGATTCCCTTTCTTTCTTTCTTTCTTTCTTCCGGTTAACATGTAGCCTATTGTTTTAATACATTCTTTGTAGGCACTTTTGGGCTATTCTCGATTGGCTTACATGTCTGCCAATGGCGAAGGTCCTGACTCTCTACCATTAAATAAATTATTAGGTAAGTATATAATTTAATTTAATAAAAAGTCATTTGTGTAATCTAATTCTTCTTTATTATTATTCTTCAAATAATAATAATAATAATAATAATAATAATAGAATCCAAAGAAATGAAGAGGATTACTAAAGAGCTCGAATCGATCAAAGAAGACGAGACCGATCTATATTCAAAATTTTTAAAAAATAAACAAATAAAATAAATACGATTGTTGATTATCTATTCAAATATAATAGATGAAGAATTCTTAAGCCAACAATTGATGTGCTCTAAAATAAAAGCGATGTAAAAGGAGATGTGTGCTCATAAAGTCCAATATACTTAAAGGGATCTTTCGATACTCTTTAACTTTATCTTCGTCTTTGTCTTTGTCTCTCTAACCTTTTTTTTTAAGGTCATGCTAATCTTTCTAAGCTCCAGAGACCTTTCAAAAAATAAAAATAAAATCATTTCAATCAAACCTACTTTATGGTATCGATCCCTTACATTGTAATAACAGGTAAAAGAATCATAAGAAGGATTTGGTTTTCTATCACACGCTCACAAAACAGAAATTAGCCCAAAAGGAGCCAACTGCCTAGGCTACATAAAGTTTTATATATATAAAAAGGAGACTCAAAAGGACAATATAGTTAATCTCCTTAAAAAGAAATAAAAAAAGAAAGAAAGAAAGAAAGAAAGAAAGAAAAAAGAGGTGCTTCTGTGCTTCTAGGTTTTCAGACATACGCCAAGGATTTTTTTTTGGAAGATGAGCCTATTGCTGCTCATAGATCATTTGTATTCTCCTAAGCTGTGTGTATGTAGGCATATGCTACATCACAAGAGACTATGGTTTATCTAATATTAGTCAATCAGAGAGAGAGAGAGAAAGGTAAAAGGAGTAAAAAGTAGAGAGAAGAAAGAGAAGAAATTTTATATACACATATATTTTTTTCATCTTCTTCTTTTAGTGTGTCTTGGGTTGAAGATGCACATATTAAAGAAAAATAGATTTCTTGGAAAATTCACCACCTTCTGAAATCATTGTACATCTTTGCGTAGTAAAAAATATATATAGAAATGAAAATATAGAGGAGAAGAAGGGAGGGGGGAAGTAAGTCCAGTCTGCTTTAGGAAAAAAAAACAAAAAATGTATTATCAAAATGGGTTTATTAGGAAAATGTATATAGATAGATAAAGAGGTATATACATATATTTATATGTAGAAAAATAAATAACATTCTATAGGTAGGCACATGTATAGCTATATAGATATATACAGGGCAAAGGATCAACTTTAAAAAGGTTAACAAGATATAAGAAAAGATATGGTGTCTATCCACAATGCTTAAGAACATTAACAAAGTCTCTATAGTTGAAATTTCCATGTTCATCTACAGGTGTTCCCTTGAACATGATGTCTACCTACATATACATAAAAGTGCATTCCATTAGCAAATATTCAACCAGTCAAGAATTCCAAAAAAGAATATTATAATTATAATTTATAATTTATAATTTATAATTCATAATCTCCAAAAATTATATTACCTCTTCATCAGTGAATCTATCTCCCATGGTGGTCATACACTCTCGAAGATACTCAGCATTTATGATGCCTTTTCCACTTTCATCAAATGCAGAAAATGCATCCATAATAACATTATCTTGGTCTATATCGGCACGCTTATCAGCCATCAATGTCAGGAACACCGTAAAGTTGATCGATCCAGGCGCCTCGCTCATCATGTTCTCTAGTTGTTCAACACTTGCTGGTTGACCTGATAGAAAACATATGAATAAATATCATTAGAATCCTGTTAACGTTTATATAAGTTGACTCACCCAGGCGTTGAAATGTAACTTCAAGGTCTTTGGCATCGACTATGCCATCGTCGTTTGTGTCCATGATACCGAACACTTGTTTATATTCCATGATCTCCTGTCCAGTAAATATGCCAAACGCATTTGAATTCTGGCGTGCGTTGCGTTGCTTACTCTTCCGTACAGCCTGAATAGAATATATTAACGCGTGTTTATATGTATATAGATATATTGATATATTGATTAATTTATATATATATATATATGTGTGTGTGTATGTGTGTTTGGCTACTTACAGGTCCAGTCATTTCTAAAGATATGGATAATGATAAGTAAAGAGCAAAAGAAAGAAAGAATTTAGGTAAAGAAGTATAATAATGGCGGTAATAATTTCAAGGGAATGAATGCTTTGATTATTCCTTATTTGTTAATATGGAGACCCAATCGGTGAAGTAAAAAAACAATCATTCAAAATGAACTGTACGACCTTTGTGTGTGGACGTGCTGTATTGTACTGTACTGTACTGTACTGTACTGTGCTGTACTGTGCGGTACTGTGCTGTGCTTTATTTTATTATAGTATATAAAAAAGAATAAAGTGACGTTGAACCTAATAATAATATATGTAACCAGGGAGATTTCCAAGGGTCTGGAGTAAGACAAGGAAGATCAAATTGGTCCAAGAAAAAGAAAATATTGAACTTTAGGATTATACTTTGTTTCTTTTTTTTTGTCGGAATGTTTCTTGATGATCTTTTATCTTTTGGGTGGGTTACTACTGTATAAATTGACCCTCTTATAATTCACTTTTTTTTGTATCCAATATTATCAAGGTCGTAGGAAGGATCGCAGGAAATGGGATGACTAGATACATTTGGGGTACATACATTTGAAAGTAAATAGAAAGGAAGAGAGGAAGATGTATGTAGTATGTATGTAGTATGTATGTATATATTGTAAGGCAGTGCAGTGCAGTATAGTGTATTTTAGTGCAGTGCAGTATAGTGTATTTTAGTGCAGTGTGTACTATAAACATTTGTTCATTTATTACACACTACACAGATATACATATGTGTGTAAAGAATTCCTAACCAAGCCTTTTTAAATAAATCTCCCCCCCCCCCCCCCCCTTTGGACTCCTTTAACATACAATAGCGAATAAATGAGCCATATCTCACGTCGTAATGGATTATCAGAAATAATAGAATACATATAAAAAATAAGAAGATGAAGAAGAAAAAAAGTTGCATGTTAATTTATTTATTTATTGTATATATATATATATATATTATATTCTTAATTCTTGTCTTGCAGATTTGGCCAAGACACATCCCTATTGGAAAACCAACTCAAAGTATATGTACAAAAAAATAAACTAAATATTTGGATTACAATCTAATATTATCTTTTCTGCTGTTCAACTGTCCTGCAACTCACCTAAAAAACCATTCAGCTTTATCTCACTCTATTTTATCGTTAATATTCACTCACTCACTCACTCACTCACTCATTCACCCATTCACCCCCCCTCTTTCCCTCATTGTTTCTCCCCCCTTTTTTTCTTCTTCTTTTCTTACTACTAAGAAGTAGACAAGGTGCTTCCGAAACAAGAGAATGCTTCTACCCAAGAAATTTATATTATCTTTTTATCGTCTTCATTAGAAACTTCCTTTATTTTAATTTTAATTTTTAATTTTTTAATTTTATTTATTTATTCAATAAATTCTATACCTCTTGATCGACTTTCTTTTTATTACTACTCTATAAAATTATAATTACTTTCATATTCATAATTACTACTATTGTTAATACTTCACTATTAGCATTAAATACCTATTAAAGTATAATAACCATAAATGTCCTCTAGAAACAATCTATCACTTACAATACCAGACTCTTCTCCAACCTCTGTCACAATTGACTTACGAGAACACCCTACGCCACACAATGACCCAAAAAATCCCTTCGCATTTACTCCTGATCAGCTCTCTGACCTCATGGACCCAAAGAATTTGCCTCTTCTCGCAAGTCTTGGGGGTCTATTGGGCATCGCAAGAGGTCTCCATGTCAACCTATCTACAGGCTTAATCCCAAACGCTGATATTCACTCCCCAATAACCATCGAACAAATCTTAAGCAAACCCGAAATCATTTCCAATCAGTCAAACGATATATCACCCAATATTGATCCACAATCGACCGAAACTGAAGGAAATCTAGAGTCCCAAAGTCCCTTTCCACAGAGACTACACATCTATGGTTCAAATGTCCTCCCAGAAGTCAAGACAAAATCAATATTCCATCTCATGTGGGTAGCCTTCCAAGACAAAACGTTGGTAGGCTTTTGTACTCCTTATCATAACCACACTTTCTCTAATCACAGCCCATAACCACAGATCCTTTTATCAATCGCGGCCGTTGTATCTCTCAGTGTTGGCCTCTATGAAGATATTGCCGTACCTGAATATGACTCTCTTGGTAACCGAATAGCAGGCGTAAAATGGGTTGAAGGTGTGGCAATCATCATTGCCATTCTACTTGTTGTTCTTATTGGCAGTGCAAATGATTATCAAAAAGAAAAGCAATTCCAAAAACTGAATGCAAAAAAGGAAGATCGGTCAGTCAAAGTATGTAACCTTAATCTCTGTAGAATTTGATCTATACAATCTCATCTTTCATTTCATTTCATTGCATTTCATTTATCATTATTAGGCAACACGAGGAGGTATTCCTTTACTAGTTCCAGTACGGGATATCCAAGTCGGCGATATTTTACATCTCGAGCCAGGAGACATTGCGGCTACAGATGGTATATTTATTCAAGGCCACAACTTACGATGTGATGAGTCTGCTGCTACAGGAGAATCAGATGCTGTTCGCAAACAAGACTGGCAGCTGTGCTATACTCTCTGGAAGGAAGACCAAGATAACCTATTATTAAAGGAAAAAACTTCCAACCCAACTCTCAAGCCCTCAAAATCCATGCCAGACCCTTTCATTATTTCCGGCTCAAAGGTTCTCGAGGGTTCGTGTACCTACCTTGTCACAGCCATCGGGCAAAATTCATATTACGGTCGGACTATGATGGCATTACGATCCGAGCCAGAAACAACACCTCTTCAAGAGAAGCTCAATGGCCTTGCAGATATGATTGCCAAACTTGGATCAGCTGCTGGAATATTGATGTTAATTGTACTTTTGATCCGCTACTTTGTGGGATGGAAAGAGGGAATTCCTAGCCAGGCAACTACAATTGTAATGGATATTATGAAGATCTTAATTGTTGTTGTCACAATTGTTGTCGTGGCTGTACCAGAAGGTCTTCCCTTAGCAGTTACGCTTGGTGAGTAAATGTCTGTTATATTTAAATCGAGCATTTGCTAATAGAATTTAGAATTTGCATTTATTATCTATTCATGTTCACATACATACATACTCATCATTTAATATTTTTGTTGTTTTTCTTTTTCTTCATTTTATTCTTTTCCTTTTGTATACATAGCCTTAGCATATGCAACTCAGCGCATGCTAAAAGACAACAATCTCGTCCGAGTGTTAGCAGCATGTGAAACTATGGGAAATGCTACAACCGTATGCTCTGACAAGACTGGTACACTCACACAAAATAAGATGACCGTCGTCGCGGGAACCCTCGGAGTCTCCTTTAGATTTGTAGAAAAAAGCACTGAACCAAGGGCAGACATTACCGAGATTGCCGCCCTACCGCAAAAGGTGCCTTTTGTTGTCCTAAATATACTCCATCAGTCAATTGCTCTCAATAGCTCGGCATTCGAGACTACAGACGATAAGGGCGAGACCCAATTTGTAGGTAACAAGACCGAAACAGCTCTGTTGGCATTCTCTCGTGCCACAGGTTCAAAGCCCTACGACGCACTACGCAACAGTTTGCCAGTTGAACAGATGTTTCCTTTTAGTTCCGAGCGTAAAGCCATGGCTGTAGTAATACGTATCCCGCACCCTACCGATCCACATCGTTGTCTATACCGTGCACACATCAAAGGGGCCTCTGAGCTATTCTTGGAACAGTGTTCTTTTATCGTCTCACTCAAAGCCGAAAATTACGACTCTTCCAACCTAGACCAAGAGGTTATCAAGACACGCCCATTGACAGCTGAAGACCGTAAGCGAGTAGAACATACCATTCAGACCTATGCACTGCGCAGTCTGCGGACTATAGGAATAGGATATCGTGACTTTGAGACTTGGCCACCACACATGCAAGATCCCGATGGCGAAGTAAACTTTGAAGATCTTGTGCATGGCAACAATATCACCCTCCTCGGTATCGTTGGTATCCAGGATCCGCTTCGACCGGGTGTCACAGAAGCCGTCAAGGCATGCCAGCAAGCAGGTGTGTTTGTAAGGATGGTGACCGGAGATAATCTAGTGACAGCCAAAAGTATTGCAAAAGAATGTGGTATATATACACAGGGCGGCATTGTGATGGAAGGCCCAGTATTTCGTGCCCTCCCGCAATCTGAAATGGACACTGTCCTCCCGCGCCTCCAGGTCTTGGCTAGATCGAGCCCGGAAGACAAAAGGATCCTCGTGAGCCGTCTCAGAGAACTAGGGGACATTGTGGCTGTCACTGGAGACGGTACAAACGATGGCCCGGCCCTGAAGATGGCCGATGTAGGATTCTCAATGGGAATTGCAGGTACCGAAGTAGCCAAGGAAGCCTCGAGCATTATCTTGATGGACGATAACTTTTCGAGTATTGTAAAGGCCATTATGTGGGGCAGGTGTGTAAACGATGCGGTTAAGAAGTTTCTCGAGTTCCAGATCACTGTCAACCTCACTGCAGTCATCCTTACTTTCATTTCTGCTGTCGTGAGTTCAAATCAGAAATCAGTGCTTACTGCTGTCCAGTTGCTGTGGGTCAACTTGATTATGGACACTTTTGCTGCTCTGGCCCTGGCTACAGACCCACCCACTCCTGAATTATTGTTGCGTGCGCCTGAATCGCGATCATCTCCACTAATTACTTTGAAAATGTGGAAAATGATTATCGGTCAAGCAATATTTCAGATCATTGTCACTCTTGTGTTGCTGTATGGAAATGTATTGGAGCATGATACTGAGGATGTAATTCTTCAGACCATCGTATTTAACACCTTTGTGTTTTGTCAGATATTTAACGAGCTCAAGTAAGTCTTCGTGTAACTTGTCAAGTTGAAATCTTTTATACTTATTTATATTTATCGATTGATTTATCGATTTACTAGTTGCCGAAGAATCGATAGTAAACTAAATGTGTTTTCCAATATCTGGGCAAACAAGTTCTTTATCGGTATTTTTGTAGTGTGTGTTGTTGGACAGTGCTTGATTGTACAATTCGGAGGAGAAGCCTTCCAGGTTATACCCTTGAATGGACCACACTGGGCAATTTCACTTGTAATTGGTGTATTGAGTCTTCCAATTGGTGTAGTAATCAGACTTATTCCCGATGACTTGTTCGCATTCGTTTTTCGTAATCCAGTAACTCGGCAGCGCTACATGGGTACCACCATGAAGCAACCAAGTCTACCACCTTCTGTGTACATGGCTGATAATGAGCGTGTGTCTTGGAGTAATGCCCCCAGCCATAGTGCTCAAGGAAACAATCCGATGAAGCAGCAGCAAATGTCACATCCAATCTCAAAATCAATCCAGCCTCCACAAACTCATTTAAGCTCAACAATCGTAGGCACCACTGATGAGACGCTTTCTATATAAATCATCACAAGAATTTCCAAAAGAGAAAAGAATATCATTGCTCTTTTTTCTTTTTTTTCATTTTCATTTACTTCTTTTTATAGTGAAAGAAGAGCTTTATTCATCATGTAAATTACAATATTTTCCCTTACTTCATTCACATACTACAACAAATAGATTCATATTTATTACATTCAAATATACAGTATAACTTATATTAACATTCATCCTAAAATATAATAAATAAAAATCATATACACACAATATAGAGAGAAATATATTGATTTGTCATTGATCTTTTACATTCCCAAAAAAAACGTCGCTATGGCAACAGTCTCGGATTTTTTTTTTAAAAAAAAAATAACTCTGGGTGTGTGTTTTGATTGGCCGACACCGGGAACTTACAAGTAAAATTTTTTCGTGTTTTCAGTTCCCTTTGTCCCTTTTTCTTCAACATGTCTATCACCCTTGAGCTCCCCACCGCCCTCCACATCCTCAACGGTTTCCTCGCTGAGAACAAGTTCATTACCTCGTACGTAAAAAACAATTGAAGATCATACTATCTACAAAACGCGTTTCTGTTTCTCTAATATATATATATATACATATAAATAATGTTTATTATTATTGTTATTTAATAGCGTCGAGGCTGATAACGAGGTTGCCAAGGCTCTCGGTGCCGCCCCTGCTGCCGAGTTCACCAACGTTGCCGCATGGTACACCCAGGTGAAGAAGTAAGTATTATCTTTTGTATACAAATTCCGTGAACTTGGGAAGAATAAAATATGTGAAAAAAAGGGGAAGAAGAACGTAAGAGCTGACAACTTAAACCTCCCCATCTTTTTCTTTTGTTTCTCTTTCATCAAGGGATGATGCTCCCGCTGCCGCTGCCGCTGCTGAGGAGGATGATGATGAGATCGACTTGTTCGGTTCCGACGATGAGGAGGTCGATGAGGAGGCTGAGAAGGTCAAGGCCCAGCGTCTTGCCGAGTACCAGGCCAAGAAGGCTAACAAGCCCAAGACCATTGCCAAGACCACCGTCACCCTCGATGTCAAGCCCTGGGATGATGAGACCGATATGGAGGTCCTCACCAAATCCGTCAAGGAGATTGCCATGGATGGTCTCTTGTGGGGTGGTTCCCAGTTGGTTGCCATTGGTTTCGGTATCAAGAAGCTCCAGATCAACTGTGTTGTTGAGGATGACAAGGTAAGATTTACATCATATCCCTTTTTATTACGTTGTTTTTCTTTAATACTGATGAATGTTTATATTTGATGTTTTTTTTAGGTCTCCATGGATGATCTCTCTGACAAGATCACCGAGTTGGAAGACTACGTCCAGTCTGTTGATGTTGCTGCCATGCAGAAGATCTAAGCAGATTTTTTTAGACCTAAAAACAATAATAAAATAAAAACGCCATAGTGCTAATTTGTCTCAAATATCATATCTCAATGAATACATTTATATGAACAAAAAAGTTTTTTTTTTTGAAATACAAGTTTTCTTTACATTTAATATTAAACCCTCATTTTTTGGTACACGAGGATTTGCTCATACTATATTATTTTTCCTTTTTTTTTAAAAAAAAAATCAAGGGCTTGATATTGTAAATTATACAAAGGGCTTATAAGTTTGTAGTAGTATGTATGTATGTATTGAATTTTAGCCAATACAGTTGCCATAGCTCTGTTCAGAATGTTTATCCCGATTAGATTCATGTTTTTGACGAAGCTCAGATTGCAGGCTTCATGACATAAGATCGGTCAAAGTTGTTCAGTACCCAAGTTTCTTATTATACCCTCATCTACATAGACTTGAAATTATATGGTAGGGTGTAAGAAATATCCAGCGATATACTCAATGTCTAGCTCAACGGCTACTTTTTGTTCCGTGAAAGATCTTAGTGCCCACCCCTCTGTTTTGAAGTTTACTATAGCAAGTCTTGTATACCTTATCCACGGATAGACAATTCTTCAATTCTGTAAAAAAAAAGCATTGGTGTACCTTATTATCCTCGGTTTTTCGTAGCCTTATAACTTCATTTTGTTTCCCCGTAGTAGTCGGTGGACTGGATTTGATTGATCCTCGATCTCAACAATGAATGCTTCAACTACGCTGGGTTGACCCCCTCCTACATCTATGTTCGCATGCTAAAATGACCGTCATTTTCTCTTATCTTCAGGTCATTCTAACTAAGGTATTTAGGATTGATATTAGGGTTAGTATCTGAATAATGGAAAAAGTAGATATTGTGAGAGTGTTATTTATTAAAGAGAGTTCAATAATATCGCTTATATTTATTACTATTCAAATCCCTTGTAATGGAAATCCTTGTTGTGTAATGGTTGGATTGCACTGTATAAGTCCATGATGTGATTTATGTGTATCTGGTTTGTAACAATTCTGGAAATTGTTGACTTGCTAGTCTCATTAGCAAAAAGAGACCATAGTTTGGCTGTGGGGTCCATATCTCACTCAATTGTAGTGTGTATACCAAAAAAGCCCCGGATCTCATGGCTGTCTTTCTACCATCTCAAATATGACTTAACATGACAGCTGGCGTTGTCTTCTTAGGACATGAGGTGCCTGTTATGTTCCCAAAAAAAAGCTTTTTGAAGCACGGTAGAAGTTTTGAGATAAGAAAAGATGTTCACTTATTGATCTTGGTTTACGTTGCCAGACAGGCACGCCAAAGGCCCCTGGAACTACTAGCCTAGAAACAACTCGAGATTATCACACTACCCTTCACCCCACTTGGTTCCCTCGACTATATCTTTTTCCATGTACCTTTCGCCAACTCTTCCGATAACTATGGCTCCTCTATCGTTACCTCTGACTATTGAGCGTGATTAATTGGACCAAGATTACACTCCTCTATTGATCATCTATCAAGTTTGGCTTATGAGCTGTACTATATGAACTAAAGCCCAAACGAGTGATACAGCTGATTGTTTTTTTTTTCTACCGACAAATACTTCAGTCATCTTTAAAGAGGATTTCAGCTTAGAATATGAGGCAAATAGGTACTTCCAGACCAATTGGACAGTAACTCTCTCTTCTCTAATAATTTTTTCTAGGTATTCTGGACCATTTTCTCGGGTTTAGAAATCTTGTTTTATTTACTCTCTTAATGATGTACTTGGCCGTGGACAAACTCATTCCAACAGCCGATGAAATCTGAATTACTTTGACATCTGCTTAATGCATGTACATAATGCATTCGTATCAGTAGGAATCGTTTTTCTCAAAAGAAACGCGCGTGTTTTCTGATGATGTGTCTTGCATGTTGGATTAGATTGTTAAAATGAGGAAGAAAACAATGCTCATGCTTTTATTTTTAGCGGGTGTCAAAACGCATTAGATTGTGAGTCTTTAATCTTTTGACAGAGTAATTCAAAACTAGAGTTGACTTTAATAAATAGATTTCAAAAACACGTATAATATTATATACTGTTTCACTTCATTTGTTTAAATAAAGTATATGTAACTTTGATTTTATTAAGGTCTTTTATATATTGATTAAAAAAAAAATTTAAAAAAAAATTAAAGTCGATGAACGCTCAAGCCTAAGAGCTTTGCTGAGCTGGTTCAAGGTGGTACCTTGGCTTTACTTTATCTAAATATTCAAAAAAGTTAAGATTAGTATATTGTCAATGAATGTTTTTATTTATTTATTTATTTATTTATTTATTTATTTATTTATTTATTACATACCTGCTATAAATAAAAAATATTGCTTATCTTGAGGTATGGTCGGCTCAAGATTCTCTCGCAAAAACGAGAGAGACTCGCGGTTGGAGATTATTATCACCTTACTAAGCCGCTAGGCAGATAGAGCCACTAGCTAGCACACAAAAGTGTAAGGTGTGTTCGCCACTACGTCCCACCGAGCGTTTAAGTCAGAAAACCCTCAGAGTTTCCCACGTTTTGTATAAGAGAAAAAAAGCAGCATCCGCCATCGACATTACAATCAGATTATGCAACAGGACCTCCTCCCCAACCGAGGTTGAGAAATTAAGGCCGCTTACAAATGCCACGTCATGCACAGAAGACTTGAGATGACTACAATCTAACATCGAACACGCATGGCAGGAAACCCTCAGATCCCTACGAAATACGCGAGGCATAGACTGACAAGCTCTATACCGCATCGATAATTAAGCATAATTACCGGGACCACAGCTTAGTATTGACTTGCATCTTTGTACAAGATAGAATGATAATATCTGATTTTACTGTATCAATTAAAATGGAGAAGATACAAACCGCGAGAAAGAAGAAAATTAAAAAATCCCACTCACTCCCCCGTTTTAAAAGTTTTTTCTTCAAAGCCATCTGGGCGTAAAAGTAAAAGTCACGGCGCATAAAATAAACATCGGGATCTGAACAAAATTGGGCCCATACTCTTTTATCAACATGTGATATATAAGCCTCCCAAAGGATTTATTTATTTATGAGTGAGAGATATCAAACTGTCTATATGTAAAGACTAATATTTACTTATATTACAACTTCTTCTTGCTAGAAATATACTTCAAAAAACGTATATGTACTTATTAAATCATGCAACTTGTAATTTCAATGTGAAATTCAAATAATTGATTTATTTAACAACTCCATTTAAAACAGTTCCACTATCCGAATATTTATGAAAATAAAAAGAATTAAAAGGTACTTTCAGTTGTCTAATTACAAATAAATCCATCAATATAATGACTGTGCTTGTCATTATGCTTGGTTAGATTGTATAGAATAATACTCTTTTACTAATATTAGCTACACCTTTTATTATTCTTTATAATTAGTATAAGTTTTAATATACGACTATAAAATATAATTGATGCTCCATAAACACAATCTTTTGTATGTGTATGTGTGCATCACTGTAAGAAAAAAAATGCCAGGTTTTCTTAAAAAACCTGGCAAACCTGGCAACTTTTTTAATCTCCTACAAACTTTACCATGTTTAGGTTGTTTGCAGCTTAATTAGGCATATGAATACTGATATTGAAATAAAAGTTTATCACAGAAGACTCTTAAAGCTATATTAAGAAGTCAAGAACTCATAATCTTTATTATTGGTCCGGTAAAACCATTGATAATTCAATATCATGCGGCCCTTTTTTTTTTTTAGAAAATAAAGCACCTTTATAAGGCATGCTGTGACGTATAAACATTCATAAATGAAATCAATGCAATCAATGCAATCCAAGTAGTAAAAAACGACTTTGCAGAATTTATTATGTTTATATACTGATATTCAGTTATTGTACTGAGGCTTAGATTTTTCTCTTTTCAAAAGTAAACAACAAGTGCTTTTTAACTACACTAACATTTTTTCCTTTTCTTTAATCAAGAGCATAAAATCAATGGTACATTTAGTAATTCTTATACTAAATAATATTGTTATAGAATAATGCTGCTATGTATATATGAATATTGGGGTAAATATATCAATGTTAATAGATTTTAATGGTAAATTACTAATCAAACTTCATTTTGATCATAATTAGGCTCGAATCTTCTAAACTATTAAAGGTATAAATGCCCAAAATGAAAGTATGAGTAAAGTGTAGAAACCATCAAATATAAAGGTTTGTATTATTTTATGCTCATTCAATACCAATTGTATGCTATTTGAAATAAATTCTTTCAGAATGCAAATACTAATTTTTTTCTTTCTTTCTTCTTTTTATTTATGTATAGGTTAAAAGCCTTTCAGTTATTGTTATAGTTTTTCGGCTTGCTTCATACAAAGTGTCTTTTAATTAGTTAGAAATACTGCTACAAGTTGTAGAAGTACTTGTATGCATATTGTACCTCGTTAGACCCGATATTTTCAATGTGAAAAATAAATAAAAATGAATTTTTTTTAATAAATTTGAGTGTTTGTAACATCCTAATAAGGATACTGATCCCTAGATATACATTAAAACCATTATAACAATAAAAAGCCATCTACCAACGTTATTGGTTAAAATAAGACCTGAACCTCATTATTCTACACATCTGATTTGCTTAAATAGGTGAAACTGATTACTATATACTGAAGCTCTATTAGCTCAGAAGAATGTTGCCAGGTGGCACTTTTTTAACGATTTTTGCCAGGTCGGTAGTTTAATACCTGCCATTTCTTACAGTGCATATTTATTTGTAAACTTGGTGGACTATACATTCACAGCCGAAAGCGTTTTGGCCCCCGAAAAAAAAAGCATAGTTATCCCCAAATTTTATTAATTAAATACAACATTTAAGATACATCTTCATCAGATAATACTTGCGATTCGTATAAGAGAAGTAAATTCTACAAATACGAATGCATCATGTGTATAAAGTTAGTAGATTTTGGTACAACTGGATTTCATCGGGGGTTGGTATGGGTCTGTTCCCTCTCAAGTACATTATTGAGTGGATAGAACAAGATCTCCAGAGCCAAGAAACTGGTCCGGAAGACCTAGTAATCTTGATGGGAAGACAGAAAACTATCTTGTCCAAGTGGCTTGAAAGAACCCATCTGCCTCTTATTCTAGGCTAAGAAGCCCTTTAAAGAATATAGAAGTATTCGTCTGTAGAAAGACAATAATTATTTGTCTCAAGCATTTTGGGCATTGACTCAGACATTGCAGCCCATAAGCCAGCTTTGACGGAAAGCCATAAGAAAAGATGGTTGGATTGGACTCTTGAGCATGCTAATCGGACCGATGACAAATTGAAAGGTGTTGTATGTTTCAATTAATCAAGTTTTACAGTCAGAGGTAATGGTGGAGGAGACAGAGCTGTCAGAATAGTTGCTAAAAGGTATAAAGAAAAAAATATATATCGAGGGAGCCAAGTAGAGAGAAGGGTAGTGTGATTAGCTCGAATTGTTTCTAGGTCTTTGGTGTTTATAGACGGCAACGTAAGCCAAGATCAATACGTGAACAATTTGGCTCAGAACATCCTTCCTTGGTTTCAAAGTCTTTTACGGGAACGGAACAGGTACCTCGTTTTTGAAAAAGTCAACACCAGCTCCCATACCAAGCCATTTTTGAGATGATAAAAAGGCAGCCATGATACCTTGGGGGTTTGGATACTGGTAAGCTCAAAGCCTGGATCTTAACTCCATTGAGAATTTCTGGTAGGCTCTTGAGAGGTGTATGAGTGATGAGAGGACCGTTATCAACAAGCTTAGCGATCTGAAGGTTGTAATGCAACAAGGATGGAAAGTAATATGTGTCGAACTTGGATCAAATATGGCAGGAAGTATGCACCATCCTTGTCAGACTCTGTAATTGATGCCAAGGGAGATCATATTAAATATAGATCTTCTTAATTTTTCTATATTCAAGAGCAAACATGCATATCATCTTGTATCTGAAGTTTGAATGTTTTAGATATTATTACCAATGAGCAGTTTCATGTTGAGGTTATATCTTTCTTTCTCTCATGAGTTTTTTGGGCTCAGAAGTCGAAGCATCTTTGATTGTTGCTGTACAAGAGAATTATGTTATGCTATTCAATATAGATGAATACCAGTAGTACCATATCCAAGAATTTATCTTTTCGTATCAATCTATTTTCCAAACAACCATTTTATTATATGAGCATAAATATATAAAGAAAGAAGTTTATTTTATATATTTCTTGTTATTGATCTGACACCTTTTTATATTTTGTTTCCAAATTTTCTCTAAATTCCTGCCTTACTTAAACCAACACAGTACATCATGTATTATATCTATAAAAGCCCTTCTATGTAACTTTTGGCTTGAGTTATATATCAAATTAACGATATCAAACGATACTCCAGAAAGGAGAGAAATTTGACAACTTGAAACATATACCCAGAGTTTTTGTTTCATTATTTTATACAGAGATAAAAGAAAACAAAAAGATTTATAAGCCTTTATTCTGAAAACTTATTGTCCACAAACTCTATTAATTAAAAGATATTTTTTAAACAAATGTGCAGCGACACATTTCTTGCTTATTTTTATTTTACATATTTATATATTAAAAGTAGGGCAATTGTACACGAGGTAATTTATTTAAAAGATCATTAGTAAAGATACGCAATGTTTCTTGCCAAAAAAAAAAAGGAACACACTCTGATTATTATCACGCTTCATTTATTAATAATGGGATGAAAGCATGCTATGGCACGTATAAATGGCATTGAAAGTTTGAAGAAAGAGATAAAAGAACATCTTTTTGAAAGCAAGCCACGCTTGACTAGTGACGTAACAAAATGAATACCGGGCAATGAATTATGGCTCTCTATTCATATACAAAACAATGTGTATACCCCCTCCCCTTTCCAATCATATCTAAAAAATAAAAGAAGACAACCACAATGCTTCGCAGCACCATCGCCGCTATCCGTCGTACCAGCATTAGATCCTACACCACCTCTTTGGAACAGACCACCAAGCAGGCTGGCATTCAGATTCAGCAGGCACCCAACTTTGTCGGAACCTGGTCTAAGTCTCAGCGTCCCAAGGAGGAGGCTATGTCTGGCCCCCGCTTTGAACAGATCGATCTTGCTACTCAGGTAACAAATAATAAGCACACACCAAATACGTGAAATATGAATAGACGCCTAAATTCAGTGATTATAGCCCAACGCCATGGCTGCCATTGAATTAATTGCAGAAGAACCTATTCAATTCGTGTCAGAGCGTGTTACTTCTTGCAACGGTGGTATGAAGAATAATATATATATATGATAAAGCAAAATGATTTTCAGAGTATTTTTAATCAAGAAAAAATATTGTTGCGAATTTTTAGGTGGAGGACCTTTAGGTCACCCCAAGGTCTATATTAACTTGGTAAGATTATATTATATTATTTTTGATCAGCAGAAAAGCAAGAGAAACGACAATAAGTATATTCTAACACTTTATTGGTTTATAGGATAAACCCGGAGCTCATGCATGTGGCTATTGTAAGTACAAATATAACTTAATACTATATTATTGTTATAATTATTATTATTACTACTATTATTATTATTATTATTATTATTATTATGCTTTAAGATTCGCTGACTTTTCTTTGGCTATGCTTTGTAGGTGGTATCCGATTTGAAATGAACCATCACCATCATTAAAAATGGTCGTAGAAAGGAAACAAAAAAAACACTCGAATAAACCACGGCATTTGTCTGGCCCACAAACCACTTTTTTTTCCTTTCTCTTTCTCTTTTAAGGCCACTCAATTCAACATACCATTAGCAATAGCACTCCAATTCTTGCACTAGCTTTCGAAGAACCCCTGCGACAATATCTGATTGACTCTGATCGAATTGAGACGACAATGCGACCAAATCCGATGAATTAAGAAAAGGCTGAACGGAACAGAGAATATCACCTGTGGAATTGCTCTCTACCAGTATGCGTTGTTCACGAGAAGAGAGACGCATATAGAGAGAGATAAGATCACCATGAATTGCATGATATTCTCCTCCAGAAAGACGGCTGTACCACTTGCAGAAATCACGCCAAGAACCAAGAAGAGGAGATGTGGGCCCATATCGAAGAAGTTGATTTTGAAGAGCGAATAGTAGAGCATAAAGGGAGGGACTGATACGATATATAGTGACAATTCCCCCTGCAATCGTACAGCCAAAAATAGGTTCTGTGTGGCATGGTTCGTTTGGGTCGAACCCTTCTGTCCAAGCCAATATATGACCAGCAAGCCTTTCTTGGCTATGATAGAAGAGTGATGTAGCTTTTAATGTTCCAAAGCTTGGTCGGATAATGATGTCGGGATAATGGAAAGAGAATAATTTGACAAGGCGCTGCTCGAAAGACTTGTCATCTAGAAATTATTAATTCGTAAACAAAATTGTTCTTCGTGCAATATTGCCTTTCGTATTTTATTTTAATTTTATTCTCTTACCTGGATCATCAAAGAGTGCGACCATTCCTCCAGAGTAATTCATACCAATTGCTATACGGCTATTAACCATAAGCAAGTGATGAATTGAACGAGAAATAGGATCGCTAAGAATACGTGTGTGTAAGAAGATTAGAATGAATACCAAAGGTATAAAGAGTATTGTGATTTACCTTTTGGAGAATTCAAGCTGGTTAGTTTGTCGGTTGAATATGTAGAACGATATGGACTCCGTGTGAGAAGTGACACATATACGATCCCCTATTACATTGATGGATGTAATAAAAGAACGCGAAGTCTTGCGTGTAATTTCGACCAATCTAATAAACTTAACTTTAATAATCTATGTATACAACATATTTCCTACTTTATTTTAATTTACTTATTCTTACCTTCCTTTGACAGGATCAAGGTGGTACAAATGAAGTACATTTCCTGTTGAAAACAAAAGCCTAATAATATTAGAAGATTAATATATATATCCTGCATTTAACTATTCTGTATATTACCCTTCCGAGTGAGGACATATAGCATATACACCCTCAGAGAGACCATCCTGGTTCCATACTGGATGTAGAGTATACATTGGCTGGTTTCCTAACGCACTTGTATCTGAGCGAAATGTTTCTTTAATGCGATAGAGGTGCAGGGATCCAGTAGTACTTGATCTTGGTTTATCTTCTGACGACTGGGCTCGGCTAAATGCGGGAGAGTCTCGGAGATGTCCCATACCAACACACAGATACTTGTACGCACGACCACGATGTGGCACTTTCCATTCTGCAGTAAGAGAGTGTGTTAGATACTCTATTGAAATATATAATGTACATTAGTTACCAGCTGTAGACAATACGATAGTGTCTCTATCATATGATTTATCAGATAACAACATATGCGTCTTTCCTAGTAGCTTTCCACTTTTAAATAAAAGCAATTGCCGTTAATAAAGTACTCTCAATTTTTAACTGTACATTAATAACTTACCTAGATGTGTCTACTAGTTGTAGCCCAGGTTTTCTATTACGTGCTGTTGTGATAACCATGGCATATTTCTTTGCGTCGTCATAAAGCACTTTACGAGGAGTCTATATAGTTTTTTAAGTAAATAAATAAATAAGCTAATTGCCTTTCTTTGTACGATTTTAATTCCTTACCTCGCCCAGAGATATACGTTGTACATTAGGTCGACTGGACTCAGCCAGTTTAAATATGTGAAACTGCTGGTCAGCTACTACTGCTATCATTTCTGCTTGTGATGACCACCCTAAAGCAAGACCAGCATCAAAGATGACAATTGAACTAATGAATTCAAAAGCTGGAAGTAACACTTTTTCAATAACAAATGAAAACAGTGATCCTGGGTTAATTTCAATTTTCCACAGTGCATTTGAGCGTGCGAATACATGGTCGCATGATCTTGTTGGTACAAGGTACACAGCGCTTAAGCCAAGTTTTCGAACAATAGGCGGTGAATTGATCAGTATCATGTCATATGGATTGAGCGTGTAACAAAGTAGTGTTCCCTGCCTCAGCCCAACTAATAAATGTTGTGTGTTGCTGGTATTATCAAAAGATCCTATTAAGCTTATTGATCCTGGAACCGCAAATTTTTCTGCTGGTGAGAGAGCTAAATAGATATCTAGATAATCAGATCACAAATAAACCATTATGTATACCTTCAAAAAATAACTTACCCAAGTTTTCACTGTGTAAAAGGTTAATTGCGGAATCTTTTACGATATAAAAATTTAATAGAGTTTCAAAAGTTCCCACAACAAGGACACGCCGTAGGTTTGTAGGATCTCTACCAAATGCACATAGTGTAAATACGTGCTGATATTGCTTCTGCAAAATATATTGGTAAGGAAAAGTCAAATTACCCAATTGTAATAAGCTCTAGACAACATGGCTCCATTTGTATCTCTATGTTTCCACAAGGCTGAATAAATATCCTAAGTAATATATATATATATTAGCATTTTTATTCTTGATTATAATAGGGTTTTGGCGGTTTACCTTTCATCTTGTTGTAAAATTAGTAAACTCTGAAGGAAATATTTCTCTCCATAGTCTAAGCATAGGGTTACAGTTATCTCCTCTCTCTCGTTTTTCCACAGGGTAGCAAATCGAATAGCATAGTTGTTGAGCAAGCCAAGTTCTTTGGGTGTCCATATTAAGCATTGATCTATAAGAATTGAACTGTAAGAATAAATTTATAGAATATTCGGCTTTTTGTTTTGATAATAATATATGCATATACCATAATCTATGTTATTTCCACATCTACTGATTAAAATAGCTTCGTCGTAAATCTGAATCATCATTGGAGCTTGGTTTATGATAAATGTATCTGAAAAAACAGTCTTTATGTCATCTTTGGCGCAAACTTGATTTGTTATTTCGACCAAATCACCATCTATAATATAAACGGTATTATATTAGAATTTCTATTAGGTATTCTATTGGTTTAACTGACTCACTTTGTGCAGCTAATACTTTTGTACATGACATAAACGAAACAGTCAGGCAATGTGTCTCTATGCCGTCAATATTTACAATTCCACTCCACATATTTGTGAATCTGTGCGTGGTTTTTTTGTTCCTGTTAGAGAACATATACTGAAATTTACAGCAACAGCAACAAAAAAACAAAAATGGCCTCACCTTTCCCACCCTGGACTCGGATCAGTAATACTAGTAGCTTGGTATCCTTGAGAGATAACATTTACTGCTCCATTTTTTCCTTGTCCTGCGCACGTTATTAGTTTGTCCTGCTTTGCTATTTCATCGTGCATAACGTGATAGTCCATAAGGGGTGCCCGGTTGGTAAATGTTTGAATAACCACAGAATTATCTTGATAAATGAAATCAGAAGAGACTATCTGATCAAGCTATATGTTCCATAACATGACCACACACACATATACATACATTATTATATCTTAGTTTTCTGTCAAGTTTTGAAATAAGATACATACCTTAAGATGATTTACTGCAATAGCTTGACTATCAACTCCTTCGCCACTGTACACAATAACATCGACAGGAAGTTCCGAGCCATCCTTTTGAGTCATCGTCATCGCAGATATGACACACATTGATTGTCCAATTGGATTTACTTGGGCTACTAGTGTCCACTTCATATCCTCTAGCGAGGATATATCAAGATGATAAATACGACCGTCTTCAGTACCAAGATATATGTATTTTTCAGTTGGGTCAGTAGGTAATGAGTATGCGGTAAAAAGCGGGTCTACGATATCAGTTAAGGGTAAGTAATAGATAAATAGAATATCAATATCAATTTACAAAATGTCTCGTTAGATTTTCGTGGTAAAGGGCTGCTGGGATACATAACATTGCCACATGCTATATCATCAGCGGTTAAGACGCACACATGCTGCTCCTGAAAAATATTCATAAAGTATTAGTATGCTAATCCAGAATAAATGACATTACTATGAGTCATACCGTAACAAGCATAAATGTTTCTGGCAGGCACTCCAAAGGAATCAAAAGAACAGGTAAAGGGGTATCTTTTTATTTACATAAAAGTAAAAATATGTAAGTTTGCTTTAACTTGTATTAATATACTAGAGAAAAAAACTCACTTCGATCGAGCGGGAGTCTTCCAATTCGCTCGATCCCAACACTGTGTGGGTTAGACGTATTTATGGCATATATTACCATACGACAAATTCTTTCTACATCACTTTGTACAGTACACAAATATTTAATAAAGCAGATTAATATTTCTTTTAAGTCTTACTTGTACACTACGAGTGCCAATAATATTCTGTCAGGCGAATCGGTGTGTGTATAGAGAAACTCCATATGCCAGATTATTCCTTCCTCTATTACAGTTCCCATCTAATAATACCCCAATTCAATAACGTGTTCAATATAATTGTTTGCCTACCCCTGCCACAGGATCAAAGCATGTTCTAGACATAGCTTCACTCATAATGAGAACATCTAGTCGATCTTGGTAAGAGGACACAGCAATCACACGGGAACTATTTTGACAATAGTTAAGAGCAATTATTTTAGCACTCTTCTCTTCTTTGCTTATAATTCTCTTTATCTAATATCTATATCCGTATATATACTTGTAAAAGATATATATGTAAAAGATATTTAAATGTATACACACACACACATATATATATATATATATATATATATATATGGGTATGTGTGTACGTGTTTCTTACAATGGATCAATCGCAAGACTTTTGCCCACTTTTGTGTACTCAAGGCCAGGGGTATCTAATGTCAACTAATACGAGTATTGCCCATTTTTTCTCTTTTAAAAAAATAGTCATAATAATCACGTATTCCTATAATGTACTGTCTTACTTCAGCCAGTGTTTCAAAGCGCCCTGTTTGGGATAAAGAGTTGGAGTCTTCAGCCGTTGTAAGAGTCCAGAATACTAATTTTCCATATTCTGAAACAGCTGCTACAACATCTTGGCCACGGATAGTTGGATGCCCAGGTCTTGTTTTGAGCACAAATGGCTCATCAGAGATACTATCAGAGTCATCCAACAAAATTTCATCTTGATTTTCCGTGGAAACGTCGCTGAATTGACAACGCATAAGTCGAGCATCACCAACAGTGCCAAAAACAGGTTGCTCAAATTCAGATGTCAGCAAATTTATGTCATTGGCGGTAGCACTTGGCGTTACAGTCAATACTTGAATAGAGCTCCCCTAAAGGTCATTATTCAATTATTTTCCCCCCATTGAGAGGTAAGTATTACAATAATAATAAATAAAGGCAATCAAACGTCCAAATGGATAACATGCGTTTTGTGTTTTATTTCATTTCATTTTCTTCTTTTGCATACTTTGATGAATATGATCTCGGTTGCATTCTGAGCAGATAAGGATCCACGTAGAATCTTTTGAATTGCAGTGCTGTGGCACGTCGATCGATAATAAGAATACATTTCAGTCATCTTTACACCCAACTTAATGGGATCCTGAGTTCAAGCGTGTAATCTTTGGAGAACCGACATTGTCAATGCGGATTTAAAAAAAATCCCCCCATGAGGAAGTGACTGTCTTTATCTTCATTTTTTCCCGTCTTTAACAGTGTGAAAGATATACCGCACTTTTAATGTTATTTCAGTTGGGCTTTTTGACCTTTTTATCCATATCCGTAACGTAATTTCACCAAAGCAAGAAACCCAATAAACATGCGTTGTCGATGTGGATCTAGCAAAGTTGAAAGTGATCCCTCCACCGGTACTGTCTACTGTGTTGGATGCGGTGAAGTAAGTATTAGATTGCAGACATATTATTATTGTTATTACTGCCGCTGTTGTTTTTATGATTCTCAGCATGTACTTTTTTTTCGAAATGTGTTTAACAAATGTGCATTTGATTAGGTATTAGAGGAGAATACAATGGTGTCTGAAGTGTCTTTCCACGAGATGTCGGGTGGAAAGACAGTTCTCTCCGGTTCTTATGCAGGCGAATCAGGTGAATAAAGTTTAGACTTGTTACCCCGTTAAACAATCAAACCTATTTCAATACTTGAAAACTTACCCTTGTCAATTTAATTACTAGGTCGTATCTCATCCGGCGGACCGTTTGGTGGTCGGGGTGGTAGAGCTGGACAAGAGCAAGCAATGGAAAATGGTACAGTATAAACACTTATGTACATAATATTATCCATTTAAAATATTTACGGTTAACTAATATCTCAGTCCAGGTCGTCAAAAGATTGCACGTCTTTCATTTGCTCTTCACCTATCAGAACGATTTCGAGAGGCTGCACAACGATATTACAATCTAGCAGTAGTAAATCGATTCACAAGAGGTCGTAAAAGTGATCATGTAGCAGCTGTGTGTCTCTACATTGTGTGCAGAAATGAACAAAGTTCTCAGATGTTGATCGATTTCTCAGATCTACTTCAAGTAAGAGCCGCATAAAGGTATAAACTCTTACCTTGCTTTTGACTAAATATCATATATATACATATTATTTAGGTAAATGTGTTTATGCTTGGTGCGACTTTTCTTAAGTTGGTCCGTGTACTTTGCCTTAAACTTCCGTTGGTGGATCCATCGATTTATATATCTCGCTTTGCTGCTGCCCTTGACTTTGGTGAATATACTCAACGTGTAGCACAGGATGCCGTGCGTCTTGTACAGCGTATGGACCGTGATTGGATTCGAACTGGTCGTCGTCCTGCTGGTATTTGTGGCGCATGTTTACTGATCGCTGCCCGAGTAAATGGCTTTAGACGTACCACACGCGAGATGATTTATATTGTAAAGGTTGCAGACGTTACTATTCAGAAAAGGTTAGTTTTTGAATACTTTAAATATATAGAGTAGAAATCATATATTACTAATATCATTATCATTATCTACAGCGTATTCTCTGATGTTTATTAACTTGCGTGCTTTTATATATCTATATCTATCACTCCTAAAGATTAAAAGAATTCAATACGACCGATTCTTCGAATCTTAGTGTGAGAGATTTCCGAACAATGTGGCTAGAAACAGAAGCCGACCCACCAGCATTTGTAAAGAATAAAAAAAAGGCAAATGCAGAAAAGGAAGCAGAAGAAAATGAAGCAGAGGAAGACGAGACGGAAGAAACAGGCGAACTCAACAAATGCAACGATGAAGATTTTGCATTTGTTTCAAACATGGGCACAGTCTCAACATCACAATCACAATCTGGTAAATCATTAGGGGGAGACCACAACACGATTAACACGCTCAAGCAGAAACCCAACCCAAACTCAAAATATGATGATCAAGTCGAGGATGAGGATGAGGATGAGGATGATGAAGTAGCAGTTGTCGATGCAAGAATTACGGATAGTATTATAGAAAGGATCAAACAAGAAGAAGACGAATTGGACTCATCTGAATACGCACAAACACCTAAGCCAATGCAAGAAGACTTCATTATCACAGCATCTGACTTTACACGTGAGCTTGATTCGACAAACTTGTTGAAACGGAAGTCTACCCCTATAAATGATGCGAATCTAGAAAAGGGAAGCGGTGAAGTGGCATCAATTAGAGCTGCTGATGACGAGGCTACCCAAGTTGCACAATCAGGCGAAGACGATGATGCCACCCAAGTCGAGAAACGAGTTGAGGATGAAGACGCTACTCAAGTAGAGATACCCGTTGAAGGAAGAGATGTCGTAAAAAGCAAAAAACCAGATAATGTAGACGCAAATTATGACATTCCTGAAACATCAGACGCTGTCAACCCAGATGTCGAAAATGATGCTGCAGAACTAGAGAAGGAGCTTGCTACCTGGATGAACGATAAATCTCTAATGGAAGCAACGGAAGCTCTAGGTAACCCAATATATATTTTGTGAAAGACAAAACTAACTTTATGAACGAAACTATAGAAAAAGAAGTAGGAAAACAAAATCAAGATGAAAGCCTTTCCGATGTTGACGATGAAGAGATTGAGGCTATGATTCTTACTAACGATGAAGTAAATGCAAAGACAATCGTATGGTACAACGCAAACAAGGAGTACCTTGAAGAAATGGCTGCAAAAGCAAGAAAGCAAGAAATGGATAGAAAGAATGGCATTTTTACAAAAAAAGGCGTAAGTAATTGTGGTGTCTTTTATCTTTTATGTCCATATTTATTCTGATATTTGCTTGGTTCCATATCTTATACATATATAGAAATCTGGTAAGCGGAAGAGACCCACTCAAGCAAACACCCCAGCGGAGGCAGCCAAACAGTTGGTTATCCAAAAGAAACTATCGAAGAAGATTAATCAGGCTGTGTTTGATGACATGTTTGAATCCCCGGAATCAATTGCTAAAATTAAGGCCCAAGACAAATTGAAGAGAACGCTTAAGGATGCAGTCGGTGACAAGGTAGCCGATACTTCTTCATGGGAGATCGTCGAAGAACCAGGAGAAGCTGGTCAGGCCAAACGGCGCAAGTCTAATAGCGGAGCACCAGGTGAAGAAGAACCAGATAAACCTGAAGTGGAAGATGAAGAAGATGATGAAGATATGGATTTGGATGACATGGCAGACGACGAACGTCTGTTGCGTGAGGCAAGATCTAAGATGGGCTGGGATGAAGCCGTTACTGAAGACAACTATTATGACTATGACGAGTATTAACGAGGATTCATTGGATCCACCAAACAAAAATCATGCATTCTTGTTTTATTCACCACGATCAAGGCAGTTTTTCTTATTAATCTTTACTTTTTTACTTTCTACTTTTTCTTCTGCTTTTGATTACCACTATATATTCTGTAAATTACGCATAATTCTATTTTCCTTTTCGACTTTTTAATTTTATATTATCCTTTTAATTGCTTTATTACAAACTTCATTCTAGCTTCTCACCACAGTCGATCCTTTTCCTGATTTTTGCTTGTACCAAATATCAACCTTCTCATCCTCCAGACCACCAAAGTATGCTACTTCAGCCATATTACAGAACAAACCAACATCCACAACACCCGTCAATAATTTGATATCTCTGTAGACATTCACAGGATCATCAATAGGTCCCATCTGACAATCAAGGATTAAATTTCCATTGTCAGTGACAACTGGTCCTGCTTTGTCTGTAGGTGTTGCCATTCGCAGTCTCACGGTTGCATTTTCCCACATATTCTGGATATTAAATAATACTGTTTGAAGAGCCATTGGAACAATTTCAATAGGAATACCGCGAAGATACTATAATAAAATATATTTGAATTCAATTTACCAATACTTTTGTGTGTGTATGTGTGTGTATATTACCTTTGATCCTAGTTTATCAGATTTTTTCCGCTCATCTATATTCTTGAATAAGCTATTCGTGATTCAAAATTTGTAAATATGCATACCTGCAATCAAGACAAATTTCTTGGATGCTTGAGCAACCAGTCTTTCTTGGAATAGACAGGCTCCACCTCCTTTGATGGCATTTAAATTTGCGTCAACCTCATCCGCGCCGTCAATAGTCAAGTCAACCGATGTATATCTACAAAATAGCCAATCTTTCAATTAAACTCCAAGATCTGATAACCAAAAAAAAAAATTGAACTTCACTGGTCAATATTTCCAAGCCTAAGGTTGTAGTGTAGTATGAGCCGTTTAGTCTGGAAACTGGTTGGTACATAAACGACCGAGTGAAGATCTTTACGCTGATGGATGCGCTCAATGGCATGTTCTATTGTTGAACCAGATCCGAGACCTATGATGCCCTTCTCGAGACTCGAATCTAGCATTTCATCAACTGCACGATACGCAGCAAGTTGCTTCCCTCTTTCAGCTTTTGAAAGACTGTGCGTAGCAAGGGATCGAAATGCTATAGCATGTCGTAATAAGGAGGATGATGGGCGTATGAGTAGCATCGGAACGGGAAGAACAAAGGAGCGGCCACTGAAAATATCCCGCCACCCCCAAGTCTAAAACCTGTGCCCTGAATGGATGAGCCATAACCATCCCAACCGTGCGTCAATTGCGGAGAGAAAAGGAGAGCGATTAGGGAAATAACAGTCACTAACCCCCTTTTTATAAAGTATGTGTCAAAACAATCTCGCCTAAAGCACTCTTTCTTCTTCCGCTCCTCAACATGTCTTTTCGCCCATTTTTTCGCCTTGCCGCACTCTCAAAAGGCCTTGGCCAACCTGCTGTCAGACCACATGTCCTCTTCCGAGCTGCCTTGAAGCCCTCTTCTTTTGTTAGAAAATACTCACAGCAGGACACAGCAGCAAAAATTAACGCCATGACTTCTTCTCCATTGGTCATTGAGCAAGCGAAGAATGCACCAAAGGGCGGAAAACTCAAAGAACTTGCCAGAAAGTATGGTGCCGCTGGTGTGCTGGTCTACCTCGGTGTCGGGTGTGTGGACCTCGGTGCTGCCCTGTTGGCTATTGAGTTCGCTGGACTGGATAGAGTAAAGCAGGTCGAAGCTGGTGCTGCTGATATCTTGAATAAAACCAAGGTGTATATTGGTATTACATCCGAGGAAGAACCTAAGAAGGTTGAGGAAGCGAAACAGGCGGATAGTGAAAATGATAATGAGAGACCTTCTTTTACATCCGTATTTTTGCTGGCGTATACTATCCACAAAACCCTGTTTTTGCCTCTTCGGTTAACTATTACTGCAGCAATCACTCCTGCTGTTGTGCGCAAGCTTCATGCTCTTGGCTGGGCACGCTATGCTCCTAGACTTTTGGGTGGAACTGCAGTAAAGAAAGTTTAATAAGGATAGGCAAAATTAACCAACCACCCAACCAGCCAACAAGACAACAAGACAACAAATTCACTCCCGGTTTAATTCAATCGATTTCTACCTTTACATCCACCGCCACCATCACCGCCACCTTTTTCTTCATCATCGTTACCCAATAGAAAGGCACATATACTTCCTTAAACGCCCATACGCATTACAACTCAAGACGCAATAGAATATATGTCTTGATATTATTACAATTACAATTAAAATTAAAATAACAATTAAAATTATCAATTACTTACAGTGAGTGTAAGTTATTCAAAAACATAAGTTAAACTGTTTACAACTTGTTCTTCTCCAATGATGTGCATACTTTCAAAAGAGCCTTTCCCACCACTTCGAAGTCATCCAAATCATTGTATACCTGTGCGCTCAAGCGTATCCACCAGCTCCCATTGTGGAAATAAGCAGCTGCCATACACTTGTACTCGTAAATTAGAGTATTAATAAAGTAATCCGGGATGTCTTTGGCTTCAAGACGGGGATTATAGAGAGGCAATTTGACATTAACCATTGCTGCTGTTAATGAGCCTTCTGAGTTCTCCATCACACTAGTACCAAGGATCTTGGCAACCAATTCACCTCCACGATTGGCCAAGTTGTTGCAGTAACTCATTATTGCTTCTTCTCCACCAATAGACGCACGGTATTCGAGTGCTAAAGTAAAGAAACGCTTAGTATCCCACAGTACTCATTCTAATTGTACGATTAAAGAATAACTTTAATCAATTGCATTTTTTTTGTTCGTTTACCCTTCTCAATACACATGTATGGACTAAAATCGCATGTGCCGGGCCATCCAAATTCACGTTGAAAGGTAGAAGTTGTGTCAGCAGGATCACTGTGATCCTGATAGTCTGCGTTGATGATAACCGGATGAATAATTCGTTGAAGTCGCTCAGCGACGTACAAAACGGCACATCCTCTGGGTGCAAAGAGCCACTTGTGACAATTGCTAAGGAAGAAATCGGGATCCGCATGACGAATGTTCAGAGGAATTTGACCTATTGTCATTATCATTACCATTATTATTCTTTTGATCAATACGTACTTGTTTTAGATATTCGATAAACCTTATATTTAAATTTTTTGATGGGTAATTACCAATACAATGGGCACCATCCACCAAGGACAGGATTTTATATTCTTTCAAGAGTTTTACCACTTTTTCAAAAGGAAAAACGACACCAGGAACAGAGCTAATTCCGTCCATAACACAAAGTCGAAAACGTTCCGGGTTGGCTTGCTTGGTAATAGTTTCTTTGATGACTTGTACGACTTGGGAGTCACTAAGTGGATAGTTAAGTTCTACTTTTACCAATTCCACTTTACGTGAATCTTTAATGTAGTCAGTTGTTTTTGCTACTGCGTTGTAGGCTGTGTTGAACTAAATATATATATATATATATATATTAGCTTATCTTTGTTAACAAACTATTCCCAATTTTCTTACACATAATATCTTATCTCCTTCTTCAAAAGGAAGACTTCTCAGGATACTGTTGACAGCATTTGAGGCATTGGTTACAAATACAATATCTTTTGCGTCGCAATTGATCAGTTTGGCCAGTATCTCTCTGTTTTTATCTAAGACCGGAAACATGTCGCGACGCAACCAACGATCTGGGTGTTGCTCGGCTTTCATTTGATATTCATGGAGGACAGGTAATAAAGACCGAGGATAGCAGCCAAAAGAGCCATGATTGAGTGGAGTGTAGTCTTCCTCAAAGAAGAAGTCTGACCGAAGATGTTTTCCAAATGATGTTGTTTTCGCCATTAGCAAACAAGTAAAGAACTCTTTGGGCAGCTTATTCCTTTAAACCTACAAAAAATGCAACTTTAAATATCCGTTGAAAACCCCGACATGATTGCTGCTTAATTTTCTCCAGTTGACCATGAATGAGTCAACTAAAGGCGTTATTTCCTTGATTTTACTTGTTATTTCTAATTAGATTATCTGTTTTATGCCACGACCAGATTTACCAGAAGGTTCTATCTCAAGAATACTTACTAAGGTGCTATATACGATGTATAGCTTTTGTAGTGATAGCTTCATTATGCGGTATTATTAAAGTGCACCAACTTTCGTTGTAAACAAGTTGCGCACATAAAGAAAAAAACATATTGGCTATACAATATAACATTTAAATAAATACAGAGTAGTTGAAAATAAAACAAAAGTACTTAATATTCTTGCTATAAAATCCATAGCATTACCTTTTAGCGTTCTGTACGAGGTCTATCTAGAGAGAAACCATGAGAAAAAGTCAAAGTCTATAAGCTTTTTACTATGTATTCTTTTTTCCAAGGTCTTGTGCTTTAAAATATTCTTTGTGATACAGTATTCTGTTTTATAATACGGTATACGCTGATCATAGACTTTCAGAACGAACAAGTCCAAAAGTGAACATGTAATAAACTCAAAGGAAAGAGCCCTGTACACTGAAAAGATTCTTTTATAGATTTTTTATTGTATATTAAAACTTGCCTTGTAAAGCTGAATATTTCTCAAATATCTCATTTTCTTAATATTGTATATTTTTGAAACCATAACTTGGTACACAACTTCTTTATCAAAAGCCAATAAGATAACTTGTGAGGTTTATATTTACAAATTTAATACCAAAAAAAAATCCCATGATGAATACAAGAAAAAAAGAAGATTCCTTTTATTTCTAATAATGAGCAATACTAGTAGAACCTTTCAAAAAAAATAGCTAGTCCTTTGAATATGTGTGCACAGCAGAAATAGGGGAGGCAAGGCAAAAACACACACAAAAACTAGGGGGAAGTAGAGTCATACTAAACGGGAGATATCCGACATAGTTATTGTACAGGAAATACAGTATTATTATTTCTTTTTTTTTCTTTTGGGTTGTATATATATATATTAACCAAGGCTCTGGCTTTTGAGACTACTATTGATGAAGATAATGTACTATAAGACGAAATACTATGAAAAATAAAAGTTAATCGTAAAAATTGACAAGGCATTAAATTTAGTGTGAAATGTCCTTGTTAGAATATAACATCGCGGCCTATGTCTTCCGCAACATAACCTGATGTTACGGAAAAAGGGAGTTGTCTAAATTTGAACACTAGGAAGTATATACAATAGCAAGTGTATATATAGCTGTACAACACTCTCCATGACATGTTTTCTGGGTCCTTTCAACGCCGTTTAAGACCGTTCGGATCAATACGAGGACCCGGCACGATCATCGCGATACTTCTTCTTTACTCCTCTTGATTTACTTCCATTACGTTTCTTCATTAATATTATTACTTTTTTTTTTTAAAAAAAAAAGAAAAAAGATATGCGTTGTCTTGCCTTAGTTCTTGGATTTACTACATCTTGGCTTGCCCTTGGTGCTGGTGGTGTCCCATTACACCCAGATTCTTCAGTAATTCGCTTCCCTCTCCGTCGACTCGAGAATAATTATCAGGGTAGCCATTATATTGCCAAAAGACAAAGTGATCTCAATACGACATCCAAGTCGATTACTAGCACTGAAAATACTCGCGTCACTCACAGTGTGCCTATACTGAACGATCTTGAACTTTTCGGATTTGGTATTGACATTGAGGTTGGGTCTCCTCCAAAGAAATACCTCTTGCTTTTTGACACCGGCAGCTCGGACACATGGATCCCATCTCACAACTGTACGAAAGCCCATGGCTGTCAGACTTCCAACGGCTACAATCCCGCCGAGTCATCGACCTACAAGTCCACTAATTTTCCACTCAATATCACTTATTCCATCGGAAGTGCTCTGGGCAAATATTTTACTGATAGGGTCAGCATTGGAGACTTTACTGTACCCAAACAACTAGTTGCCTACATAGACTCAAACAAAGGCCCCATTGCAACCCAAAACGCATCAAATGAATTCATTATGGACGGTATATTCGGTGCCGGGTATCCTGCTGGAAGCATAATCTATCAAAATTTCGGAAAGACCTTTTATCCCTTCCCCATGTCTTTGTGGTACAGCAAGCTTATCCCTGAACCTGTCTTTTCGATCTCTTTTGAAGATTCTAACAAAACAGACTGGTCAGGAGAAGTTGTATTTGGTGGAGTAGATCTTTCAAAGACGTCAGGAAAGATGGTCTACACCAATGTGCTTCCATACAACGGTACAAGTGTCAAGGATTTTATGTACACTCAGTGGGTAGTTGGTGTCCAGGGTTTCTCTTAAAAATTCCACGGGCACAAAGAAAGCGTCTTTTATCAATACCCAGCCATTCAGCATTGATACCGGCTCCACTTTTATATACCTCCCCGAGGTGGAAGCCGAAACTCTCGCAAGATATGTTGACCCAAACGCTACTCTTGCAAACGGCTTTTATTTCGTGGACTGCTCCTACTTGACCTCTAGTAATGTCTTTAGCGTCTACTTTCCTGCCGAACACGATCCGGCTAGCCCTGCCAGCAACAAGTCAATGTCTATTAACGTATCCATATCTGACCTGATCGGTACTATAAACAACGAATGTGTTCTGCTCATCGTACCCTGGAAGTACCGCATCATTGGTAATATCTTTTTACGCAAGTTTGTTACCTCTTTTGATTTTGGCCAGAACCGAATTGGGTTTGCTCCACTAAGAACACATACCAGCAATTAAAATTAGAAGAAATACTAAAGAGATACGACCATTACTATCCAATAAATATATACCTATATGTACAAAGACCAAAATTGAGTTTTTTTTTAGAAAATAAAAAAAGTATGTTGTTAGAAGTATCTATATACTTGTATCTAAATGTTGTGGATATTAGTACTTTATTACTCTGTATTTTCTTTTTCTTTTTTATTGTTAAATAATAGCAGTAATAATAATTGCCCTTATTTTTCTTGTAACACAAAAATCTTATTGAAAGCCATTACAAAACCAACTCTTCAAAGACATGTTTTTTTCTTTAAAGAAGAAAATCAAGTAAATAAATATAACTGTAGTACCAACACAAGATGCCCAATGTACAACTTGGTCTCTTAAGCCGAATGAAATGTATAGTCGGGTTCATGTTCATCCATATGCCTATCCAATGTTCAGCTCATTTCTTCCGAAGACAAAGATTTGTAGCCAAAAGATCAATCTGGACCAAGGATGAAGTTATCTGATTCCGGAAAGAACGTATGTCTGGTATAAATGACATGTGACTTCCCGGTACAAAGTCGTCTGCTCTAACTTTAATATCATTTACTTTTCGAACAAGACAAACTTGGTGTCCATTTCTTTTTTTTTTTTTTGTCCAAGTCAGATCATATTTTTCTACAGAATGAATATATGTATGCATGTATCTTTATCTAGAAATAAATTTCTGTATATACCTGTATGATAGTAACAAAATAAAATAAAGTTTTTGGTTCAAAAATATCAGTTTTTTTTAGGCGTTGTGCGTGTGTTTGTGTTTGTGTTTGATTCTTGTCGCGTTTTCAAATATGGTTCTGTGACCTTTGGATACAGACTTATAGAGTGGAGCCGCTCAATGCTAAAAAGCTGAAATATATATGAATATAAAAATACATATATGGGCAAACTAGTTTGATCAAAAGCTGTAGAACTGATAGATATGTAGTACCCGTGGGAAAAATTGATAAGATAATGGTCCATTACAACTCCTATACCAAATACAAATTCTTCGGAGAGAGTAAGAAAGTGTTTAAAAAGGGAGGTTTTCTTATTCATGATCCGAGGTATAGAGAAATTAGAGAACACGATCGTAAAAAGTTGTTCGTTTGTGGTGTATAAGCAATATTGTATCTTGTTGTTTCAAAAATAGGTCAATATGTACTGTTTGTTACCGATTATCCAATTACTTTTCATTGATTTTGATCTGAATATCTTTGGCGGATATTTTCTACAGTGCATGTTATTCTATCTCTGTATCTTTCTCCTTTTTTTTTTCACTGAGAACTGTCTAAAATAGACTATTTCGGATTCCACGCCAAAGAGAGAGAAAAGATGTATATATTTAGTATAAATTGATATAGAAGCAGCCTTTGTCAATGACGGTTATTACAAAATATAAACAGCGCGACTATCGGGGATGGTCTGTGATCAACCATTTGGTTGTTATGCATAGACATTTTTTGTTTTGTTTGGTCTTCTTTTATTTTTATATATATATTGATTACATTGCCGCAAATGGTAGTTTAAATACCAGACAATCGAGAAAAGAAGAGAATAGAAGAAGAAGAACAAAAGGAAAAGGAAAAGGAAAAATATAGGTAGATATTAGGAAATAAGGACATATATTTACTACTGGGTAAAATAAAATAAGATCAGTAGATAAAGAAGAAAATAAATCATACAAAGTTTGTCAATAATACTAATACTAATATCCGGAAGATTATCAAAGGTTACCTAACTCAAAAATAATATCAAACAATGAAACAGGTAACACTACAACCCTTTGTAACGAAAACCAAAAATAAAAATTATATAATATCCTTCCACGTTTTGAAAGAAGAAGAAGAAAAAATACATCTTTAAGAAGAGCGGATCCTACTTAGTCCCACCATTCACCTAAACAATTTAATATATATACTGTTTCGATATCGTACCTACCATTAAATATATATATATATATATATAATACAACGTATGGTCTTGACTGTAAACTGATCTTGAAATAATGGTGATATAAATGGAGTTCCTATAGTCAAAGAGGATTTGTATGTATGAGAGAGGTGTAGCGGCAGTTAATTTGATAGGTTGATTGCACTTCCGAGCCTTCTTTTGCATGTGTATATTTTTTTTACAAACGGACAATACATATTTGTCCTATATTTTTTTTTTCACTTTAGATATTTTTTTCTTTGAATTTGTTTTATATATAAGATGAGTTTGCAAAGAAACAAGACCAATGAGAATCAAACCATTTCCTTGAGTTATTCTTTTTGTCTTTTGTTTTGAAAGGTACAACTATGATTTATGATCCAAAGAGCAGAAGAGTACCATGAAGAAAAGTGCCTGGAAAATAATGATATTAATCTATACTATATTATAATATGTTAGATAGGGTAAAAATATTCCAGCTAGATACGATAAGCAAATGTCCCGTCCTATTAGACCGAGTAACTGGCTAACAAGTTGGACTGTAGTTCTGTGTAAAAAAAAAAAAAAAAGAAAAGAAAAAACAATATCGACTTTAATCTCAGGAATAATTTGACAGTAATTTGGACTGAGAAATAATTGGATAGCAAAAAATACGTTGAGATTCTGAATGAAAAATAAGAATATATTCTCGTGTTTCTGGTGGAAATATTTCTAATTAATTGGGAATTCTTAACAACTATATACACAGAAAGTAAATTGACTTTTTTTTTTCTCTTTTTAGCTATTGAATATGGTCCCAATTGAGTCTGTCCGCGAAACTCAATCAACTTGATTCTTGACTGGTAGGCAAATTCTCCTGTGATCCTGGGAAAATTTTACATGAGATCACCAAGGAACACACAAAAAATAAAGTATACTGTCTAGAATAAACTTAAAATAAATATAAAAATTGTAGTAATTTTCACCAATACAGCCAAATGACTATGGTCTAGATTTCTAGCCCTTCCAAAGAAAATAAAAGAAAAAAAAAGCCTATTATTAATACCAATAGAATAAATGAAGTAACTATGGCAGTTTTGTACAAAAAAGAAATATCTATATATTTAAATGGCCAATAAAGACTGACCTGGTGTGAAGTATCTATATTATCATTCTCCATTGTTGGTCATTCTTTCCTTATTGTAACCAAGAGCCAAGAAATCTCCTTTTTTTTTGTTGTTGTTGTTGTTGTATTTTTTGGGGTTGTTTCACTGATTGTAATGATTTCACTTTTTGTAATGATTTTATTTACATAGAGGCAAATCCGTTGATAATCTTGCGGGGATGGTCGGCGAGGACCCACTTAGTAAACAGACAAAAATATATTTCGGAAAGCCAATCAAGAGGCTTTAATTTTTATAATTGAGATTAAAATTGATATTGTCGCTAAATCAAAAAACTAACATGGCGCACTGACCATACTAGGTATCGTGTGTTCATCAAACAATTTTCCAACAAAAAAAAACAAGGTCAATATAAAGGTAAAATTGATTTATTTTTATTATTAATAATAATGAGAATTGTATGTATGTATTATGTATAGAATGACAAGGACCAACTTATAACCTGTAACAAACCATTTTAATTTCTTTACAAATATTGAACTTTTGATAAAGGAAAGAAAATTATTGTATGGTATGTAGTATTTTAGACATGGCAAAATTTTATCTATTAAAGAAAAACTACACTCTAACCATCTCAGGCAAAGCAAGTTTGAAAAAAAAGAATAATCAGTTAGAGGTAGAAAAAGGCACTTTGACAAACCATATAAACTCATTTTTTTTCTTTGTTTTTTTTTCTTTACAAATATTGTGAAATTTTGAGAAAAAAATGAAACTCGTAATGTTAGACATGGCAAAATTCATCTATGAAAAAGGTGACTATACTCTAACCATCTCAGGCAAAGCAAGTTGTAAAAAAAATCAGTTAGGAAGAGAAAGGAGAAAAGGAAAGGAAGAGATGAAGAGAGAGAGAGAGGGAAGGGAGACACTTTGACAAACCATAGAAACTCATCTTTTCTTTCTTTACAAGATCACTCTTTTGGGAAAAAAAATAAAGATATACCACTAAGACAAGACACACGGAAATCTATGTAAAAGAAAACTAGACTCTAGCCATCTCAGGCAAAGCAAGTTGCAGGTTAGATAAGAGAGGTATGTAAAATTGGGCTTGGACCATTACAAAGGGAGAATCAGACGGATATGTTGATAGCAAGATTTTTTTGTTTTTTCTTTGTTATCATGGCAGTTGTGATGTCTTTTCAATTGAAGTCAGGGAGGGGGTGTGGTGTTCATGAGTAGTGCATGTGCGGCCGCCAGTTGAGCTTCCAGTGCTTCCATTCGTTTTTTTCCTGCAGTCGCCCGTGCTGCTGAAAGATTGCGTTCCTGTTCGGATTCGGTGATGTGTTGCTGAAGCTGTCCATTGTTGGCCTCCAGGTCTCTTACTCGGCGTTCAAGGCTCTCCATTTTAAACAGTTTCCGTTGGCGCGACCGGCGTGCAGCGTCCGTGTTCTTTTGACGTTTGGAAATAATATGCGAAGGATTTGAGGACGAGAGTCGGTTGTCATCGTTGTTCCGTGCACGGGCTGTCTGCTGAGCTTTTGAGGTCTGGTTATTACTGGACAAAGAACCCAAGAGAGCGACGACCTTGAGAAAAGATGCAAGTTGTGGATTTGAGAGCGCAGGAGAGGTTTGTGTGGTAGTGGGCTTGATGGACTCCATTGCAGGTTCGGACGGTGTGGGAGGGGCTGTGGGCAGGGCAGGAGAGAGAGAGTCTTGTTTGGACGGGGTATCATTAGTCAACAGGCCGGCTTCAATCAGATCGTGTTCCAGCCATTCATCGACGGTATTTGGGTTTATTGCTTTCCAGAGCATAGTATCCATTTGCAATTCAGTAGGAGTGTGGATCATGTGTGTCATTATAAGAAAAGGTAAAAAGTAAAAGGTAAAAAGTAATAGGTAATAGGTAATTAGAATAGCAATGGCAATGGCAATAGCAATAGCAATAGCAATAGTGGAAATTGAAGTGGTAGAGAAATAAAGGTAAAGAGTAAAAGAAACGATCAATGCACAAAACGCGACGAGTTTAAATCCTTCAATTTTCCACTCTGGGTCCTGTATCTTACCATCAGGCCGAGGAGATGGGGGAACGATGGTGCGTGGACTAAATATTTTGCTTTCCGTTCCGAAGTCTCATAAGTTATTTAGTTTAAATAAGCGACCAGTCAAGCCAAAATAAATAAAAAAAAAAATCTAGATGACAGTCCCATGCATGTGGGTCATTAAAGAAGTCGCCATCAAAGGACCGTTTTTTTTTTTAATTTTTTTTTTTCCCTAAATAACTTGTTCGATATAATACAATAAGACGCGATGAATATTTTTCCAGCCTATTTTCTCTTCACTAGTCAAATCAGTCTGTTCATCATCTTCAAGTACCCCAGTACTATCTTTACTGGTCACCAGGAGATCAGTCTCTCGGTAATCCGAAAAGCCTAAATTGGTTTCCCATCGTTGCCTGTAGTAACCGTTTAAATAGTGACGAGATTCTTCCAATGCAGCAAGTGTATGACTCAGACCTGCCAATCTGAGCTGTGGATAAATTTCCTGTTATAAACAAGGGGGGGGGGGGGGGGGAGGAAAGTGGGGAGGAATGAATTAGGTGGGGGGTGTGCCTTACTTGATTTGAAGATATCGTTTAGGATCAGCATTCATTTGTCCGCTTGTCTCTGGTAGGTACACCTCGCCAGTCACTGTCGCAGTTCCCTGGTCCTTTGTACCAGACTGAGCAAGATCACTCGAGAGCTGGAGGTCAAGTAAATCCATTACTACCATCACACACGGAGGCTGTCCGTCTTTTTCGGATTCTATCCACTCCAGTAGATTGGGACTCTTATTGTGACTTTCAGAAGCCAGAGCGTGCAAGTGAAATCCGCTTAGAATGGCCCTTAATTCATGGATATTCTCGACATGACTTGTGAAAATGTACAAAGCAAATGTATATATATATATTTAAAGAAAAAACAGAAAATTAATGTAATTTCAATGATATAAGAAATAAAATAAAAATAAAGTATTCACTCGTGTATATTGTGCGAACAACAAGGTCAACAAGTGGGCTTTTATATAAGTGCAGGATATAATTCTCCAGAATTTAATATATATATATATATATAAATATAAATATATGTATATGCACACATTTAGATGTGCATGTGTGTGCAGAACAAGATTTGATATGTCATCAAGAAGTGACTCACCATAAGCGTATCGCATCAAGATATTTCCGTTCATTCCAGATATTCTGACCATCTCCGTGTGGCACCTGCGCCATCTTCTCATTCACAACATATTCAATATGTTCAAGATTTGAGACAAACACAAGTGCCCATGGTTCGACCGCTCCAGCAAACTCAGAGCCTAAATTTTCCACCTCTTCTCCTTCTAGTATCCACTTTTTCTTCAACTGAAGGACCACAAAGTCAATAATGGTTCTTTTTTTTTTGGTTGTTGTTTAGATCCAATTAACATGTCAGAAATAAAGAAAGTAGAAGAACATATAAAGACAAATATTCAATCCAACGATTGTATAGTTGGTGTCTAGTTTAATGTTACCTTGCATTCGCGATGGAGTCATTCTCCATGCAAAGAAAAAAACTACTTCCAACCATTAAAGAAAGAATATATGAAATGAGGGGTCAAGCGTGTTCCTAGTTTAGCATATGTGTACGACACAAAGTGATCACCGATGGAATTTGATAGGCTATTTCGATTTGTCTGCTTTAGCAATAAGCCAATCAAGAAGAAATATTCGTCAAGTTTATGTAGAAAATGGTCGATCTTAAGAAAGTATGAACTCAATAAGCAAACAAGCTTCAAAGGATGTCAAAGACCCTCCTCTTTTGGATAATCTCACCAAACCCCAAGAATAATAAACACAAGAGCAAGAAGAGCAAGAAATTCAAAGCAAAATAAATAAATACAACCCATCCACCCCCTTTTTATATTAACATTCATATATATATATATATATTATATAAAAAGGATTGAAAACTATCTATCACTTTGTGCTGACATCATGTCCGAGTTCAAAACCCGATTGCCTGAGTGCGATACACGTAGTAGGACAGAAAGTATCATAGTACCTGCTTTGTTGAGTTATTAGTCCTGTTGGTTCACCGAAATCATCCTCATCAGGTATCCCATCATTAATATATATATTTATATATTTATATACATAATTTCTCATCAGACCAAGTCATATTCACCTCTAAATATAAACCTACCCTGACAAAATATTAATCACATACATACACGCTCACAACGCTAGAACAACTACAACAGAGGCAAGGTTCGAACAATGGCCAAGAAACTAAACGAAATTCACAGAACCGCCACATTTGCATGGGGTCCTGGACAGCAACCACCCATCATCGCAGCCGGCACAGTATCTGGAGCACTTGATGACTCCTTTTCAAACGCGTCCGAACTCGAACTCTTTCAGCTTGACCTAACCAACACTCAAAGCGGACAAGGTCTTGCCTCGGCAGGAAAGGTCAGCACCAATTCAAGGTAAAAATAAAAAAAGAAACAAAATAGCATTACACATTATACAATTAAAAGAAAAAGAATTGATTACAGTTTAGGAATGATAAGCTAACCTAAATCTCATCATCCATCTTATAGATTCAACACACTTGCTTGGGGACATGCTACACCTGAAAAACCTTTTGGTGTGATTGTAGGTGGCATGGAAAGTGGTGAACTTGAACTCTGGGATCCATCTGCTATTCTGGATAACCAGAGGTAAAGAAACGAATACTTGTAGAAATAATGAGGGAACACAGTTGGGTGATTATATAAGCTATATTAGTTAAATGGAGACGAGAGCCAAAGAAGTCATGATCATTATATCAGGTTGCATTAATATCAAACTAATCTCAATGCTTAATTTCCAATTTTATTTTGATTTCCCAAGTTCCGACGCGTGTTTAATATCAAGAAACTCGACACACACTGGCACTTTGCGTGGCCTTGATTTCAGTCCTCTTCAGTCTAATTTATTGGCATCTGCTGGTAGTAATAACGAGGTATATAAATTGGGTTTCTAGACATGCGAACATGAATAATACATGTTGATTATGAATAGAAAGACATACACACACACACATATATATATATATATATATATTCTCACCAAAAAAAAATTGATCCACTTATTATTTAGGTTTATATCTGGGATTTGTCTACTCCTAACAAACCTTACACACCCGGAGCACGATCCAACAAACTCGACGATATTACTAGTGTAGCATGGAATAATCAGGTCGCTCACATCTTGGCTACTTCATCTACAACTGGATACACTGTTGTCTGGGATCTTAGAAGCCGCAAAGAAGTTATGTCATTAGCTTATGGTGGACAGAATTCTGGAAGTGGTGGAAGCAGAAGAGGCACAAGTTCTGTCTCATGGCACCCTGATGTTGTAAGTATTAGTGTATACAGATAAGTCCGTGTATTGGTGTGCTATAATCTACTTTCGGGAATTGCGAGTCTCATTTCGTTCTGGTTAGGCCACTCAATTGGTGGCAGCTTCTGAAGATGATAGTAGCCCAGTCATCACTTTATGGGATCTTCGTCACGCCCATTCACCAGAAAAGACATTGACTGGTCACCAAAAGGGAGTTATGGGTGTTTCCTGGTGTCGCCAGGATGCGGATCTGCTCATGTCGTGCAGTAAAGACTGCAAAACTCTCTGTTGGAACCCTCGCTCAGGAGAACTCCTTGGTGAGCTTTCCCAGAGCACAAACTGGACATTCCAGGCCGAGTGGTGCCCTAGAAACCCTGATCTTTTGGCTTCAGCATCATTTGATGGCAAGGTGTGATTTTTAAAAACTCGGAAACAAAAATCAAGAAATTGGTTGCCAAGTTCTTTTTTCTTCTTCTTCAGTTTGACTCACGCTTCCTCTCTATCTTTCATATATATATATATTACTAGATCAATGTATTTTCTCTTCAAGGCTCTAGCAACGACGAAACAGCAGCCTCGTCAGAAGAACAACAGCAACAACAAGCAACATCCGACGATCCTTTTGCTGGTATCTCTGCCGCAGCCACTCCTCAGACACCTTCGTTTGCTCTCAAGCAGCCTCCAAAGTGGCTTCGTAAGCCCGTAGGTGCTTCATTTGGCTTTGGTGGAAAGCTTGTTACATTCAACAATAAGGCTGGTCAGGCCAGCATCCAAGCCACAGCCAACCTTCCCCCAGGATCCGCTCCTGCTCATCAAGTCATTCCACGCAAGGTCAGCATTCGCCCAATTGTCACCGAGCCAGAAATCGTGAAGCGATCAGAAGAACTCGAAACCGCTCTCAAGGAGCAGACAGTCGACCAATTGATTGACGAACGTTGTGTCCAGTCTGAGTCTGAGAAGTCGGAAGACGATAAAGAGGCATGGGAAGTTTTGCGTACGTTGTTTGCAGACGATGCCAGAGAGCAGCTGATGAAGCATCTTGGATTTGAGAAGGGCGAAGTTATCACAGCTGTTGCTGCAGCCACTGCCAACAAAAAGGCATCCGATTCTGCTGCTGTAGAAAGCAAGGCATCTACACCATCAACTGAGAAATCTGACGAACAGGTCACAGAAGAAGAAGATGATAATGAGGAAAAAGAGGTGGAAAAGGAGACAGAGGCAGCCGAGGAAACTAAAGATACATCATCATCGCCAGTAGAAGATGACGAGGAAGACAAAAAGTCAACCTCAGAGGAGACACCCGATAAACTGTCAGGACTCTTCCAGTCTTCTGATGTTTCTTCTCCTGAAGAAGATTTCTTTGCCAAGGCCGAGAATGCACCTTTAGACGAGCCAGAATTCATCCCACAAACACCTCTTGTTCCTGCCATACCCCGCGAAGCACTCAGACTTTACCCCGTTGATAGCTCAGATACCGACAAGCTCATTACACGTTCTATTGTCCTTGGTGATTTCGAATCTGCTGTTCAACTCTGCTTGGATTCAGAGCGTCTTTCCGATGCTCTCTTATTGGCCATCTGTAGCGGCGGTGATTTGCTCGCCCGCACACAGAAGATATACTTTGAGCGCCAGGCCAAGAAGACTTCTTACTTGCGTCTTTTGGAAAGTATCATGAGTGAAGACCTTTCGTCTGTAGTCGAAACCGCATCTTTGGATGAGTGGACTTCGGTTGTGGTTGTACTCTGTACGTTTGCCAGAACCGAACAGTTTGGTGTCCTGTGTGAGGCTTTGGGTCTTCGTTTGGAAGACGCCTGGAAGGCAGAGAATGACGATATTGAGAAATCCAATGCATACAGACGTCATGCCACCCTCTGTTACCTTGCCTCTGGTAACCTTGAGAAGGTATCCAATATTTGGATTATTGAGCAGGAGCAAGAAGCCCAGGAAGAAAAGACCGAGGCTAGACTTGGCGCTAGTCTCCAAAAGCTGATAGAGAAGGTTACTGTCTTCCGCAAGGCTATTGGCTACGAAGATGATTCTCTGGCTGAGACCGCAGAAGAGAAGCAACCAGCTGAATACCCTCTCTCTAGTCTGTACGATAAGTATTGCGAGTATGCCGAGTTGTTGGCCACTCAAGGCAAATTGACTACTGCCCAAAAGTATATTGATCTTACACCCGCCATATACCGTAAATCTGTTTCTGACCGCTTGTCAGTAATCCGCGACCGCGTATACCGTGCATGTGCCTCTGAAGCAACCTCTGGTGTTTATGCACAGCCCTTGTTTCCCTTTGAAGCTCACCCCCTTTCGGGCGGAGATTCTGGTGCATTTGGTGCCAGTGCTCAGGAAACAGTCTCTCAATCCCAAGCACCAGTCCAATCGCAACTTTATGATGCCTATAAGCCATACCAGTCCTCGGATGCATCCGTCAACCTTCCTACCAACCATGCCGCACCACCTTATGCACCTACAGCAAACTCGCTGTCTAGAGGAAGTGCCCAGCAGCAGCCCCCAGCTCTTGCACAGCAAAACGCTTACAACCAGGGTTCTTACAATGCACCTACTACATATGGTGGATATGGCCAGCCTACCGTGAACCCTTACACCCAGCAAGCCACTAATGCATACACCCAGCAAGCCACTAATGCATACACTCCAGCTGCCACCACCAATGCTTATGCTCCAGTCGCTACCACAAGTTCTTATGCTCCTGCTGCCACCACCAGTGCTTACACCCCGGCTGCTACCACAAGTTCTTATGCTCCTGCGGCTACCACCAGCGCTTATACTCCAGCTGCTACTAACAATACTTACGCTCCAGCTAGCAATGCAAGCGGCTATAACCCATCTGCTGGAAATAATTCATATGGAAACTATGGTCAGACTGGTAATTTCTCATCTGGTTACGGAAGTTCGTATGGAGCCGCACAGCCCACTATCCCTCTTCCTCCCCCACCTATTGGAGCCGCACTTCCCAGAGCTGCTTCAACTGATAGACCTTCCGCACCTCCAAAGGCCCCAGCTGGTGCATGGAATGATCCACCAATGCTTGCTGCCCAAGCCGCAGTAAGAAGCCCCAAGGTTGCCCAGACAGGAGCCAACCGTGTTGTTTCGCCATTCCCCAACGCACCATCTTCCTCTGCTTTTGCTCCTCTTCCTCCAATTCAGCAGCAGCAGCAACAGCAGCAGCAGCAGCAACAACCTCAGTTTGGTCAACATAATGCACCCATGCAATCGCATGCTACTAACCCTCTGCCACCACCACCTAAAGGTGCCACTGCACCTACACCTATTTCCAGACAGCAGCACCAGCAACGACCTACTGGCCACTTTACTCCCCCACCTGGTGCTCGGTCTACACCAACACCTCCAATTTCTAACCAGTACGCCAGACCTCCTCCATCTGGTCCCCCAGTAGGCCCCCCAGTAGGCCCCCCTGGTTCTCACAATCAGCCTCCACCACAGCATATGATGTATCAGCAACAACAACAACAACAGCCACAACAACCACAGCAGCAGCAGCAGCAGCAACAACAACAACAACAATCACAGCAACATATGCATCAACAGGGTCCACCGACCTCTTATGGTCCCGGTCCTTATGCACCTCAACAGGGTGCTCCCGCAAATGTCGGACCTCCTCCCATGGGACAATACCAGCAGTGGGCTCGCCCACCACCATCAGGCCCTCCAAGACCCAACCAAGGACGTTAGTAATATAGACACTGTTTTTTTTACAAGAGGAAGAATGTTGATTCTAACTCTAAAAGAAGTAACTTGGTTTCTAAACATAAAATTAAACTGAATCACGATGAATAAATTCTTTTGTTTTATATTATATTATATTCGTTTTCGTTTTCTTTAAATGTATACAAATCTAAAATACACAATGCAAAATCCAAATACATATGCAACTACAAATACAAAAATACAAAATACAAATGCAAGTGCATATGCAAATACTGTTATGAATCTCTAAAATGCGTTATCTTTTTATACTATCATTTCTTCTTTTACGATCGATGCTGTATTGTCCTTTGGGCGAGTATTGAATAGACATGACAGTTATGACGCACCCTTTGTGAGACTAGAATGAGTTAATGAAGAAGCGATCCCTGCATTAGATTTGCGGGATTGATCCCACAAGCCCAATAAGAAAAGAAACATAGGAAAGATATGTTGAATTGGGGAGAGGGATAGAGAGAGAGAGGGGGGAATGAGTTCTGACATCCAAGGAGAGAAAGAAAGAAAGAAAGAGATCAAAGGTGTATGTATATAGATATTGGTTATCTACAAATACACACTAGGTATAAATGAATTGAAATGATATTAAACCAGCACTCGTGGACCACAAGAGCTTGCATGTTGTGTAATCTTACATCCCACTTGTACCAGACGTTCAATTTGACTGTCAGATAGCATAAAAGTCAAATGAAATCAAGGGGACTTACATAGGCACAGTTAGTGCAGGAGAAAGAAAGGAAGAAAAAGAGAGAGTCAATTATGCGTAGCTATAATAAAACCTTCTTTCGTTCTTTCTCTCTTTTTTTTTTGGTTGTTTTGCGCAGAAACTGCGCTAGTCACAGCTTTTACTTGCCATAAATGAGAGCATAGTAAAGGGATTTTATTGCTCCTAGAATGCATTTGAAGTATCCTCACAATTGTTTGGCTCCTTTGAAAGTGATACCTTAATATTCAAATACTACCAACAGAAGTTCAATGATATTTTGGGATAACTCGCACGCAAAGGACAAGGAAGCATGCTAATGTATATATGGACCTTTATTGACTATAAAAGTCTTTCATGTGAATATATAAATATATATTAAAAGTAAATAGCTCATAGTAAAAGCGAGAAGGAAAATAAAGAAGTAAATAAATAAATAAATAAATAAAAATATAGTTGTTGGTGCACATCATCAAAAATTAATAATATCAAGGTAAAGCTGTGGGTGTGGAAGGCTAGACTATAATCATCAATATATGCCCCCCTTTCTTTACAAAGATGCATTTTTTTATTTGCTTCTAATTTTGACTTTCGACGAATTGGACTTGACAAAAACTGCTGGATGCTTATTATGAAAAGCTATTATTAAAAAGAGAGAGAAAGAGAAACCAATTTTTTTTTAAGTACTTGCTTCTTGGATATAAATACCCACCGACTTATCTTGCTTCATTTTTTTTTGTATTGTTTTTATCTTATCTCTCCCTCCCCTCACGCCCCTCAATTTTAATCATGTCTGTAATATCAAATAACGATATTCTCAAGAAGTATCTTCAGCTGGATCAAAAAGGCCAAGTCCAAGTCGAGTATGTTTGGATCGATGGCTTCAATCAACTTCGAAGCAAGACCAAGACGGTAGACAAGGTGCCATTGTCAGCAGCCTGTCTCTCCGAATGGAATTATGATGGCTCTTCTACTGGCCAGTCCTCAGGCCGTGATTCAGATATCCTTATTCGTCCTGTTGCTTTATTCTCTGATCCTTTCCGTGGTGGTGATAACAAATTTGTCATTTGCGATACTTACAATCCTGGTAATAATTGATTAAGTTGTGTAATTGCAATACGGGTATCTTTAATGGTCATTAATCATCTGGTTTCTATACAACTACATCTACATACACATGTTCTCTTACATATAGACGGAACACCCCACGAGACTAATTATCGCTCGTCTTGCGAAAAAATCATGCTTGAACACGCTGATAAAAAGCCATGGTTTGGAATAGAACAAGAATATATGTTATTTGATCCTGAGACAAACAAACCCTATGGTTGGCCAAAACACGGTCTTCCTGAACCTCAGGTAAACATCTAATATATATTTGTCTATTTGTCTATTGGTCTTTATCTTTTATAAATATTTACCAAGACGTACTGTTTAGGGAAAGTACTATTGTGGCGTAGGATCTGGAAAGATCTTTGGTAGAGACATCATTGAGGCCCATTACCGTGCATGTCTATTTGCAGGCGTCAACATATCGGGTGTTAATGCCGAAGTTGCGCCTGGTCAGTTCGAGTTCCAGGTTGGCCCCTGTGAGGGAATTTCAATGGGTGATCATCTGTGGGCTGCTCGTTATCTACTTGATCGTGTTGCCGAAGACTTTGGAATCATTGTCTCTATTCACCCCAAGCCTGTAAAAGGAGAGTGGAACGGTGCAGGATGTCACACCAACTTCTCAAGCCTGGAAATGCGCGAAGAAGGTGGTCTGGTAGCTATCCAAGATGCCATCAAAAAGCTCGGTTTACGTCATTCAGAGCACATTGCTGTCTATGGCCAAGACAACGATCAGCGGTTGACCGGTAGACACGAAACAGGCCGGATAGATCAGTTCAGTGCTGGTGTTGCTAACCGTGGCGTATCTATTCGTATTCCTCGCCATGTGGAGAAGGAGGGAAAAGGTTATTTTGAGGACAGGCGCCCTGCAAGCAACATTGACCCTTACCGTGTAACAGATATTGTGATGAGGTCGATATATGCTACTAATCCTTAAGACAACATTGTATAAAGCTCATACCTATGTCTACGCAAAGTGTGCTTTTTTTTAAAAAAAAATTACAATACAAATATATCATTGACAGACCGGTATATGTATATATACATTATATGTGTGTATTTTCATCAGTCTTTTTTGAATAACAACAGTTTAATTACATTAATTTGTCCAAATGTATATTTTGAATTTGGTTTATTTAAAGAGATAATATGACCCCTTTGATCAACGTTTCCTATAATTACTTTGATACCAATTTGGTGGACTTTTATTATAGTCATTATATTCAAATGTAGCACAACCATACTATGTGTAGATAATCACAAGTGAAATAATACCGGCCTAGTCCCATGGTAATCGAATTTACAAGAAGTATACAAAAACAAACAAACAAACAAACAAACAAACAAAACCTGATGGGCAAGATAAATAAATCTAGTTTTCTAAAAAAAATTATCCAATTTCAAATAAAAAAAATCTCACTTTAATCATGATTTGGTTTAGTAATAGACATTGTACTATAATTCTATTGATAGGATAAAAGAAGAAAACAACGCTGTTCTGTCTCAATAGAGCATTACTTGTACTTTGAAAGTTTGAATAAAATAATGATTAATTTTATATAGGTATAAAATATGAATATTGAAGATTTTATAATATTTGACCAAGAAACCAAAGAAAGAAAGAAAGAGAGAGAGAGCGAAAAAAATAAAAAATAAAAGAATAAAGCCAGGTATTCTTTAATGCAGGTATTACAGTATCAAATTTATAGTAAAGCATTGCTTTTACTCTGTCTTTGAACCGTAAAATAAGCCTCCTTGTGGCTTTAGATTGACGTTATACCCCTTTTAGCGTAGATCTAACAGGTATGATTTTATCAAACGTACTAAAGAACATATCCGTGGATTTTAATCAGGGCGGAAAAGGTTAGTTACCCACAATAGGGTCTATCGAATAAACTCAGCCCGGAGACGAAGAGGAATCCAACTCCTGGTCCCTTTTGTTCTATTTGCTGTTTGGTGGTGTTGTCTTTATTATTAGTGTTGTTACTCTTTCCTTTCTACACTAATACTCCACAACCATGAAGCGACCTAACCGCCCGCTCTTTTATCTACTCATTCTAATCGCCTTCTCTGTTATTACGGTTGTCTTTATACCCAGCTTCAGCTCATCGTCTCTACCGCCAGATCAACCCGACATAATCCACACATCTAATGCCGAGACTTCAAATGAAAAATACTTGTCATATCTTCCTCATGGGTAAATAAAAACAAATTCAAAAACAAAACAATCAATTATTGAATCATAATTGTGAACATCTCTGCTATATTCTGTACATTCCTATTAATATTTCTTTTTTTTTGCTTGTAGAAATTTTGTAGAACAGCATGAATCGCTTCGAAATGCAATTCGAATTGCTTTTGAAACAAATCGCACCATAATTGCCCCCTCTCTTCGTCTCGGAAAAGTCCACGGCTGGGCTCCATTTTCTGTCTTGGCCAAACACTACGAGGCACAAGACAAAAAAGAGCTGCATCGTCTGTGCACAGCTGGAGAAGGTTCCACCCATTGGCGTACACTGTTGGAGCCTTGTGCCACCCTTAATGACTGGACGGAGATCAAGTGGTCTAGTTTATTTGACTTGGATGAACTCAACAAACGCCATGGAATACGCGTCATTGAGCGCGACGGGCATGGCTGGGGTACAGAGGAGTCTGCTCTGGGCGGACGCATTGATCCACTGGATGTAATGGTTGTGGATACCATGACATTCTTCAACAACGGAACAGAATGGGAAATCACAGACGAAGAAGACACGGCATCCAGCTGGCAGGCATTAAACTGGGCACAGTCTCATCTGAACAGCTTTCGAAATATTCTAAAGGGTAGCGAAGGCGTATCAACGACAGGGAAGCCTCTTTCTAGAATACTTCGTCATAACAAATTACGCGCTATCAATGAACGAGTCCTTCAATTTGGCTCACTGGCATTTGCTTTACGCTATGAGACATCCAGTGACAGCCGCCAGGCTACATTGCGTCTACAGATGTCAAAGGATCTCTTTGTGGTACCAAATAAAATGCCAGTTGTTACAGCGGCATCTGAAGAAATCGTCATGAAAATGGGAGGCAAAGGCGCGTTTAGTGTTTTACATGTAAATCTCTCGAGTCTTGTGCAGTCTGAGTCTCGTTATGCCGAAGACGTAAAAGCCAAAGGATCCGAAGCAGCAGTGGATGACGTGATTGAGAAGCCTTTGGAAGAAATTGTTGTCGAGAATGAGGAAGATTTAGAAAGACAAAACGATGTTAGAGCAGTCAGCAAGCTGGCTTTATTGAACGGATTGAATGCAGATGCACGAAAGAGCATGATGGAATCCGTTGTTCTCCAGGTTTCCGGTGACATTCCTATTAATCAGGCTATCTCCGCTGCCTTGCCATTCAAACCTTCTCGCCTACTTAACCTCACAAATGTCGATGTTATGGACCAAAGTGTCCGTGGAAGATCAGAGCTACTAGAAGCTTGTCTTGACTATAAGCAGAAGGTGGATCGATTATATCCCATATATTATCTGGTGAATGACTTGCTACCTACGCCGGAAGCTTATCCAGATATCTTTGGGGCTTTAATGAAGATGTTCCCCTGTACATTTTCAAAAAGTGATATGTTCCAGATGGGCGTCATTAATATCGAATGGACAGGAAGTCAAACAGAGTTGACAGACAATGTTGACTATGAAGAGCTACTTGGGCCAATTTTAGACGTACTTATAGCAGGATCAGGTATTTATTTATTTTTTTCTTAATTAATGCTACATATTCTGACAATATAATCAATGCTTCTTTAGCCTACTCTTTCTTTGAAATCCCTCAAACACCCCTCACCAGACTAATCGGCTGGCAGCGATAGGGCAACCATTGCCCATTAATTTCTTTCCCTTATCTCTATATCCTAATCACCTTGTCTGCATAATAAATAGAAAAAGAGGTACCATATTTCTATTTTCATATATACAAAATGCATTCCTACAATATAAAGTGTTTAAAAAAAAAGAAAGAAGAAGCGTCATTTGCCTGGCGATGTTGCCTGGTATGTTCCTTGACACCTCCGATCCAGTCCGTACTCGCCCCTTGGCCTACACCATCTCTCTTTCCCCTTTTAGTTCTTTCTAGGTATAACCCCTTGCATACTTTAACCTCCTTTGTTAGTCAATTATCACCAACTTTTGTCTCTACACAGCTCTTGTCTTGTTTTCTACTTATTGTTGTCCATCTTCTTTAAAAAAATCATTTTGAAACAATATTCCTTTCAGACCATCATATATATATATATATATATATATACACAAACGTACATATATAAAGGATGATTCCACATCCCTTGATCGTTTATCCTACAGGTTTAAACTTGTCTCACAACGAAGACCAAGCTTCTTCTATTCAACAGCAAACCGAAACTTGTTTAACTCTCAGTCCGTGCAACAATGCGATGAGACCAATATCGTTTGATTCTAATGTCGCGTCTCCATGTACCGATTCCCCTCAATCGATCTCTTGTGGAAGTAGCAGGAATAGCAGCGGAGTTTTTAGCTCAAGCAGTACTTACAACGATTGCACTCTACGCAATTGTCAGAGACAATCTAGTTGTCTACACAGCAATGACAGTCTTGAAAGTCTAGTCGGTCCAACAGCGGAGTCTTGCCCAGAATTTGAAACACAGGCCACTTTGTGTGAAAAGACACAAAAGTCGGTCAAGCAAGACTCGCCCTCTTTCATTCACTCTCAAGACAACGAAAGCAGGTCGGAAAACAAAATAGGAGAAGTTCAGACGAAACAAAGAACCGGGATTCCTAAAACAGTTTCGTCCTTACGACTTTTAACTGACCGTGCGTTGCCTCTGGATGACAACGAACAGGCAACAGAAGATCTATTTTGCCGATTACAAGTAAAGGACGAGAGTATATCCCCGCAGGTATTTTTCAAAAAGAAAGGAAATGCATGCTTGTTTATGTATGTTATCCTGCCCAGAAACAATTACTACCAATTGACATATTATTTATTTATTTAAATAAATTAATACATAAATAAATAAATAAAGGGTTCAATTAGCTTTATCTTGGCTCAGATCGAACGACAAAATACCCTATTGGAAGGAGACCCTAAATCCATATGTATCCAATCCAATCAACTTCGTGCTCATATCTCTACAGTTCAACGCCTTGTCACAGACAATCTTGGGCCCCAAAGCTCCTCACCTACAAGCTCCACGCCCACAAGTTCCACATCTACAAGTTCATCTGTTATCAATAATGCCGCGGACGCATCGGATACCATTAAAAAAGAAATCGATGCCGAGGAAGATAAACAGACAAAGGAAGAAATCGACTGTGATTTCTGGGAACCTATTATTCAATGTTTTGATTATTTTGCAAGCAAATTACCTCGTCTACTGTCAGTAAAGCTTGGAGCTGGAATTCCTGCAAAAGTAAGAGGATTGGTATGGCAAGCAATGTGCAAGTCAGGATCATTGCATCTTGAAACTGTCTATGGCCAGTTATGTTCCGAAAAATCTCCACAAGAACGTATCATTAAACGGGACCTGGCGCGCACTTTTCCTAGAATCGAGATGTTCAAACAAGAAGACGGTCCAGGTCAAATATCCATGAGACGCATTTTAGAAGCCTATAGTCTTTATGATGCCGATGTTGGATATTGCCAAGGCCTTGCCTTTTTGGTTGGACCTCTTTTAATGAATGCAAGTAGCCTACACACGTTAATAGCAATTATATCTCTAGTAATTAATATACAATACTTGTTGCCGTAGATGGAAGAAGAAAAGGCGTTTTGTGTCTTTGTAAGGTAAGAAAGGACAAAAAGAAAAGTTTGGATCTCTTTAAATCTATATAATTCTCACAATGGGTATACCAAACAAAAACAAAACAAAACAAAACAAAAATAAAGGCTTATGGAGACTTATGAAATGCGTACCATGTTTACACACAACATGGAAGGCCTTCAGTTAAGACTGTATCAATTCTCCAGCTTACTTTCAGAGCTGTTGCCTGAAGTAGCAGCTCACCTGGATACCCATGCCGTACATGCTGCTATGTATGCTTCACAATGGTTTCTTACACTATTTGCCTATGCATTTCCTATGGATCTTGTTACTCGTATATATGACATTGTATTTGCAGAAGGAGCAGCCGAGACAATAATGCGTGTAGCGATTGCAATGTTAAAACGATCTCAGGAAACCATTTTGGCTGAAGATGAGTTTGAGAATTTGTTGGATATTGTCACATCACGCAAGTTGTGCAAGCCATACGACGAAGATTTTCGTGCGGTTATTCAAGATGCAATGGCTCTGTCAAAGGAAATCACACGCGAGAAACTAGATGTACTGAGCAAGAAATATAATCAAGGGGATCAAGACAGAAAAATATCAGGCCAAGCTCTCGCAAAACGAACCGGGTTTTGGCGACGATTGAGTATAAAACCACCTCCTAAAAATAACACCAAGCATCCATCACTGCCACCACTTCCACCACCGCATTTGAATATGCAACGATCAATTAGTACTAGCAGCTACACCAAGAAACGATGGACATCTCATGGAAAGGAATCCGTATCTGGCCTCACATCCTCAATAACAATGTCGGCAATATCACGAAAAAGTGATGACGAATATATTGGTGACAGAAAGATGCGCAAGAGTTTTAGCTCGTTGCGTAAGTTTTCATCTACAGACACAGTGCCTACAGTTGATTCGTTTTCGGATGTAGTCTACAACAGTGTTCCTCCTGTGCCATCAAGAGTGAACTGTACACCTGATAATAATGGTGACATGACTTACTCAGATAGTAAGTCATTTGCAAAGTTAAAGGACGCATTTGAAAAGTTGGACAAAGAACACAAGGCTACGCTAGAAACCTTGTTGGAGCTTAAGATGGATAAGCAAGATGTGGAAAGTGAAAGGGATGCGCTCAAGATGACAATTATAGAGATGGAAAGGCGGTACAATTCTAGTAAACTCGAAAAGGTGTCTGATTGCAATACGAAAGCAGCCCATGATCGCACAATAAGTTCCTCTCGTAGCTTTCTTTCTAGTTCATCGCAGATAAAAACAAAGGAAGAGAGTATATCTCAATCGTACAGCACTACTTTGGGCGATGAAGAAAGTACTAGTACAATCAGCTACCTCAACGACGAAGATATGTTTTCATACGAAGCTCTACAGAACCACTCCTCCGTTCGTCCTGAAAGCATATGCTACTCTCCTGTGTCTTCTTGCTGGAAAAGTCCGATGAATGAGGTACCCTCAAATAAACAGGGTGTATTTCAAGTTGAATGTATGGATGAGAATGAAGCTGTGAGAAAGGAACTCGTTAGAATCAAGGTCGAAAACTTTGAGTTGAACCAGCAAGTCGAGAAAGTAACACACGAACTAGAAGATGTTCAGTCAAAACTCGAGATGGTCAATGAAAGTCAGATCGCACTTATGGAAAGGTTAATTACTCTCCAGTGCGATATGGACTCTCTCAGAGACGAGAAGCTTACAACAGATTATAAATTGCAAGCAGCCACACAAGAGAACGCGGCCCTGAGGGTGCACATCTCCTACCTACTGTTTGATAACAATAGCCAATCTCTGCTACAAAACCTTGGTGACTCTTCTCACATACACCCAACAAAGTTTACTAGCACACAAGACAAGACTGCCTCTAATCAAAATAGTCATCTTTCTGGTCAAAGTCTTTCTTTTGATGAATTTGGGAACAATGACTTTGATGAGAATGAATGCACAAAGAACAGCTTTTTCTTGGGTAGTCTACAAGCCTATGAGCTTGCTTCAGATGAGACTAGGGTCAAATGCCTTTCACAAGATATCCCAGCTTCAGTCGCAGAGGTTAAGCTTAGACGGATGACAACTTCGCCATCGGTTCCGGCAGCAACACTGATTCAACCGCCAAGTGAGATGGACTTTTCTAAAAGAAAATCGATATCTTCGATGTGTTTAACAGCCAATATGAATGTCGATGAAAAGGATCCAGGGACAGGAAAAGAACAGCAATCCATGAGTTCTCGTAAAACAAGCGCATCATTATCAGTATATGGCAAATTATGGAATGCTATTAATTCACGCCATAGTTAATAATATAATATAATATAATATAAAATAATAACAAAATACCCCACCCTATACTCCTTAACTCAACTTCAAGCGTATTATAGACTGAGCCAATTAAAAAGAAAAAAGAAATGCAAAGAAGAATGTTGTATTCTTTAATCACTACATTTGGTATCAAACTCCCTTTTTGATACATTAGTCAAGGTTGTGCATAAAGTTTATACAATCTTTCTACCCATTATCTTATTGGTATATACAAGATACTTTTTAAATACTTGTAGGATATGAAATAATATGCGTGATAACCAAAGACGAGTTAACGTATAAATGAGGCATTGGCGCTTTTTTTTTCTTCTCTTTTTAATTATTATTTTACTTTATCAATTTTGGCAATCTTCAAGCTATTGATTAATTAATTAATTTATATTTTTGAACATTTTGAACAAGAGTATTGTCACTATATATCTTTTTTTTTGATCAATTGTAAAACGGTTCATTTTACAATGTTCTATGCATACTGAACTTTGGCCGAATTCATATGATAACTCTACCCTATTTACCATAAAGCAACTTCCCACAGGCCATTATTGCAATTCTTTGTTACTTATCTTTCTTTTCTAGTACTCCAAAAGCCGCTTTGTTTTTAACAAAGCCACAATATTATTTAGTAACAGCGTTTTTTAATATAACAACAGTCGAATTTTATATATAAAGGAGAAGAAGAAGAAGATAATGGTCTCATATTGGTCTGTCTGTTTGCTTTACGAAATAAATGTTCGGTTCCTTTGTTAATAGATAACTCTTTTCTTCTTATTTTTTTTTTGCTTTTATTGGGGGAACGACAGTAAATCTTTCTTGTCATCACTTTTTATACTTTAAATTTATAATCAAGCTATAGTTTCAAAACGTGGTATCCAAACTACTGACTATTTCCAAAATATATTCACACAAATCAATATCCAAGCAGCTATTAATATAAGCCTTGCATAATTTAATAAATCAGATGGTAATAAGTGTGGAAAGAAAGATAGTTTGGACAAATACTTTAACATAATGAACATAGGTCTAACAATTCAATTATACATTTTCTTTTCTAGTAGCAAATATTGATGAAGAATCATAAGAAATAAACGTGAGCCGTGTTTTCTTCTTCTTCTTCTTCTTCTTCTGTTTGTCTTTTAGGACCTCAATTGTAAAATGATGATAATAATAATAAGGAGAACAAGGAGGTTCATCAAAGCGTTTGCTGGACCTGTTATTATAATCTCCTGGGCAAGAATACCATCTCCCGGCATAAACCATCCCTGTATCTATATTGATGATATTATGAGAAATCAACTAATATTAACTATACATTATTTCACAGACAAATACCGTATTTTTCATCTACAGAACAATTATGTTTTTCCATGAGGTGATTACCTAAATATATCAAACATTAATAAATAAATATATATATATGAAATAGCAAATATTCAAAGGAGGGGGGGGGGGGGGGAGGTCTCTGCATTTTCATTAATATAACCAATATCAGTGACCACCTTTCTGAAACCTTCCTTCAGATCTTGTTTATTTTTGATATCCAAGACCTGCTGTAAAGGCTACATTGCAGCGAATAAAACAGTCTTAATATTGACAGTAATCGTCCTCTATTAAGATCTCGGGACCTCAAAGAATAACCTACTAATTAGATTATGTACAAACCATCTTTCTATGCTTCAGACTAAATTGTGTGGCTAATTATATATATATATATAAATAATAATAAAAAAAAAGCCTAAATCATACAGTCATTTATCATATACATATAAAATTGTTGTGCAGAAATGTGCTTTACCTTAATCAATTCAAGTTCACATATTAACCCCAAGACAGCTTTTATGTAGTAAAATACGACCACAGTATATTCCAACTCATTGACAGCTAGAAACTGTTTGATATAGGTGGTTAATGAGATTTAGGGCATTAAGAACAATGTTCTTTTAAGAATGAATATACGCCTGTAAAATATAGATTTTACTTTCTATTAGGATCTCTTTAGAATAATATTTGCTTTAGTACATTTAGAAAAAACAAAATTTACTGAGATCAGTAAAAGATAAGATCTATAGAAAGTTCGCATACAGCCAAGACACACTGCACCAATATACACAAATTCTCACAAGTCTTTATGTAATTATACATATACCAACGAGAGAGAGAGAGAAAACAAATTAACTTAATCTTGTCAACGCCTTTAGACCTTACCCAAGAAAAAAGATACTCGTTCACAGTTACATGAGGATAACAAATGAATATTTATTTATATTTATATATAAAGAGTATAATTAATTATTATTTTTTAAGGCAGTATATTAAAAATAGAATATTAAGAGGGAAATTTCATTCTTGTACTTCTTTTTGTAGTATGGTTGGGTTGATAGATATGTCTAGAATCAGATCGATAGTTTATATATGGCTCCTCATTAAGATAGAGACTATAGATAAGTTACTGTTAGTAAATCCAACAACTTTGCTTGGCAGATCTGGATTGATCTATGTGAATAGAAAGCCTTTTGCTTCTCATTCATTCATTTATTTATGTATTGTCTAATGTTAATATTGATGCTACCTTTTTTCTTTGTTATACTATAGATACCTCAATTAAAGGCACAGACGCTGTATTCTCACAATTGCATTTTTAATAGCATGACAATATAATTATATGAAAGTAATAGACAATGAGACATTTGAAATCAAGTACTTAGTAGATTCACTTTGTTCTTTGACCAATTGTCTCCTAACTTTTACATCACAACTTTACTTTCTTTATAGACACATGTTAAAAAGAGAGTAACTCCTGTCACAAGATGAATGAGCGAACAGGTCACAGTCCTGTCATGTTGACCAAAAGCAAACTATAAATGCTTTAAAGATCAAAGTCTACCAGCCTTGACTTTTTTATTTATTTATTTTTTCTCTCCCTCACTTTCTTCCACGTTGAGGTCCTTGTTTTAAGTAAGCTGTAGTTCTAGGACTCTAGTACTTCTTTTACTCGTTTATCTTTAAGAATGAATCAATAGCAATAGCAATAGCAAGAATAATCTTCAAAGCTCATTTTACGTGATTTACTATTATTGTTATTGGATTTATTGGATTTATTTGTTTCTTAATATGTGCGCGTATTTCTACTGACTATGCTTTATATCAAGATCCCTAAAATGAAATACTAAAAACATAAAGTGGGTCTTTCCTTTAGAATATATATATATATATATACATATATATACATATCAATCAATCATGCACCCTCACAGAAAGGCCACACTCATTGCAAGGCTACCCATGTCCTTGAAAGGAAATGTTTCCTTTGATGTTAATCCTACCAAAGGCGATTTAAACAGTACACCAATCATTGATAGTGATTCAAAGCTCATCGTGCATCTTTTGAAACCCTCTCAGCAAAATACTAATACTCCATCATCCAAAGTCGATAACCCTACTTGTCACACTTTGGTTCAAATCCTGTCTGCCTCAGAAAGCACAAAAACCTGTAACATGGCCCCTCGTTGCGTTTCTTTAGGAGAAAGTACAATCCAGAAAACGAGATTCAAGCCAAAAAAGGATGTTAGATTTGTTGACAAGTCCAACTCTACATCACCCAGAGTACTTCGAAGTCGAACAAAGGCAATAGCAATAGCAAGAGCAATGGCCGTTTCCAAGGACAAAGTCTGAAATATCGAGAATATTTTTTTAACAAAAAAAAAGAAACTTACCAAATCTACACTCCAAATCATAAATCACAAATCACAAATGGCTATATATACATATATTTCTCTATAGTTTTAATTTATACATAAGTTCGAATATATGGGTGAATATAATAATTAAGCCCTAGTAAACCTGGTCTCCCTAAACATATCGATCTTTTGTGGTTTTATGCACACCAAAGAAAATTTTGTATTGGACTTTACACACAATAAGAAAGAAAACCCTGGTCTAATATCTTATATATTCAAATAAAGTCTCAACTTACATACAAACTGCGTAAAGATATTAAGTAGCAATTGAACAATATTTATATTAAAAAAAAAACCTTTTTGTTTTGTATTCATGAATTACATCTACATCTAAAGATCCACTGGACATATCAAGACAGTCAATAGAACCGATTTCACATTACTAAAAAAAATCTTATCATAGTGGGCTTGACTTCTTTATTTCCATTTTCTTGTTTGTTAAAGTTTCGATAGAATGTTAGTGCCAAGGATTTAGTCAGGCCAAATTATGATTAATAAAATAATGGGAAAAAAAAGAAAGAAAGAAAGAAAGAATTTGCTGTAAAGATAATGAAATCAGCATTTCTTTTACGCACACACACACACACACACACATATATATATATATATATATATACATAGGCATATAGATAGACACAGACATAGGCTTGTAAATTAGCTCAATAATAGTAAAAATAATAGTAATAGTAATAATAGGAGATTGAGATTTGGGGGATTAAAAAAAAATAAAAAAAATAACTGTATTTGTTCTGGTGGGGAAGGGGAGGTAGGAGGGGAGGAAATCTTTATATATGGTTCTCACAAGGTTGGATTGATTATCTTGTTAACTTGAGTTTTCTTGATGTTTTATCCACGAATAAAGATACCACGCTCGAATGGAACACCAAAGCGACTTGATTTTGATGACTTGTCAATATGGTCAAGTCCTAAGGCATCCTCGTCTCCAAACTTTGATGTTCGTAACACAATATCATCTTCAAAGTTCATCTGTCAATACAACCAAGCTCTATATATATATATACATATGTATATATATATATGTATATAACCCTTAACAAAAAAAACATGGTTTATATATTACCTTTATCGATATTCTCCATGGTATAGCCTGGCGTCTTGAGGTCCCTGATGAGCGTGACCTTGACCTTTTGCCATTCTTTATCACTCATGCCAATACGCTTTTGCAGCCGTTTCTTTGTATCTGAAAACAACTCGCCCTATTATTGTACAAACAGACAATGGCATTAAAAATAACATCAAAAGATAAGCAACCCAAGTCTATTGTTATTAGTTTAGAATAAAACCTGCCTTTTTCACAACGAATCTAAATGGAACACCGTGAAGAGCGGTCGGGGACTTGTGATAATGAACTACTTGAATTAATCGATCACTGTCCATATCCATAGTACGCTCATCTTCTGGAATTTGCTATAGTTTTTTTTTTTTTTGAAAAAAAAGGCTATCAATGAACAACTCCTTTTCCCCTTTCATTGAAAATTCAATGCTTATCATCATCATTATATATATATATATATATATATATATATATATATTTATATAGAAAAATACACATTACCTCTGCATACAATACAGAACCCTTTTCTGTGATTTCACCCACAGGCTGGTCCATAGAAAACTCTTTTGTAATCGCACCATCCACGGCCTCATACACACGAAGATTTCCGACGTCCTTTTTCTCTGTCTTACTTTTCTGGTACATGGCTTCTGAAAGGCTTTTTATGGTACTGTTTCGAGGCACAAGAACAGTGATCGGGGACTCGTCGCGCAAGGTAGGACCTAGCAAGACAATATTGACCGACTTCTTGGTTTCCATGTCGGCTACACTGACATCAAGGATCTCATAGTATACTGTAGGGACCGGAAGCGACTCTAGACTGACACTGTGAGCATATTCAGTCGCACTCAACATCATTGGCGCTATGGCTTCCAAAGAGAGCTGTGGAGAATACGGCAAGACGTCCTTTGGTAAGCCTGTGCCTTGGCTGGCAGTCGTGAACCGGATTCTTGATGCATCTGCAGAAATTGCCTTTGCCAATTCACGGGTCACATAGGTATAAGTAGACCGACGATCCATAATCAAATTGACCTCCTGGCCACGCTTGTCCACTTTCGGCTTGAATTGAACCATAGTTCGATGATAGATCTTTGAGAAGTATTCACGCACCGTGGCACATTCTCCACGTGCCTGTATATTCTTGGCCCTAAAACAATAAAGATAAGTTGTTCATTCATATTGATTTGGCTAATTATTATCATTTTCTTCTACACTACCAAAAAGAAAATGCTATAAAATCGATTGACTCACTCTGTATCGCTGACAGTCATCTGGAAGCATATGATATCTCCGTGTTGGATCTCTGCTTGTTTAAATGTCTGTTTTACAGCTATATATTCGACCATTGTTGGTTTGATTTCCTAATGTTTCAATCATTTAGATAAATGCAGCATATATATACATATAATGTATTTCTATCTAAATTACTGATTGACTAACCTCATATAATGTAATAGCAGACTCTTTGGGTAGTCCTGCACGTTCAATTAAAGATGGAATTATCTCCCCTACTTTTTCATCTGCCTTTACAAAAATATGGCCCAGACCACTGACCGAAAGAAAAGGTATTGTTAGAATTAGTACCGATTCATGGGATTGATTGGCTGTTTCGCTGTCTTTCTCTTGTTTTCTGTGTATATATATTCTTACCGCATTTTCTGTTCCCAGATGTCAAAATACTTTATAAAGACAATAGAAGTGTCTGCCTTTATGGTTGGGAGTTTGGGGTAGTGCTGATCAGTAGTCTCTAAATAAATCTTTGCAAATCCACCCATTTGTTTATTGAAACAGGTGGTTTCTCGTAACTTTTCAATGGCTACAAAATATATAAGTATAGATATAGATATAGATATAGCTATAGCTATAATGCATGTGTATATATCTATACAAGCACTCTATTGTATTTGATTGTACTCTAGCTTATATTATCACAATTCTCGATTAATGCATTCATGCATTCATTAATCGAAACTTACTCATCCTTTCCTCTGTTGAACTTAATGCCTGATCTACTCTGACAGTTTTATTGGATCGGAAGAGAATTGACCAAAGTCTGATTTTATCCAAATCAAGTTTGAAATGCTCGGCCAATTGTTGCTTAAAGGTCAAAATCTTTTCGTTCTTTGGTACTTTGAACACTTCTACCCCACCAACTGTCTTGAAAACTCTGTCATCAAATGCAGCCAAGTCAAACTCTTGTCTTGTTAGAAAAGTTGAGTCCGTTACGACCTACAAGACACACACGCAAGTAAGTCTGAATAAGCCTCGTTTATTCTCTTTACACACACATATATATATATATAATCGGGAACCAAGACTTACGGCTACTTTTGTGAAGAGAAGCATATCTTCTCTATCCTTTTTACGTTTTTCCAGAGCAGCTTGCTCTTCACTTAGACGCCTCTCTACAAAGGCAAGTTAATATGACTTGATATAATGCTCAAATATGTTTATATATTGTATTGTCGACAATCTCAAGGTATTGATGTCTCTCAAAAAAAATATACACTTACTAAGATGACGTGGTATGTCGTCTTCTAATACAGGAGCCAATATTTCGTCAAGTTTGTTCTTTCGAATATATACAAGCATGTAGGCGTTTGTAAATCGCTTGATTAATTTTGTGCTGTTTACTCGCATAGGTGTACTAGGATAATGTAGTGTCTCGATTTCTTTGGGAGCTTCTTCACCGAAATTCTCGTCAAATACTTCTTTTTTGGTTACAGGAATGACACGATCATCATCAAACTTTAGCCTAGAGAAGAAAGATAAATAAAAACCTACGCTTAGTCAAGTACAAAAAATGTATATATATATATATATCTTGCTTTATTACCATTTTCCATCCTTTTCTGGCTTTATCAGAGCAAAATAATGACCTGCGTGAAGATCACCACTGTGAACCAGTACACTACAATACACAATTACAAAATAAGTAAAAAAAAAAAAAAGTTAGATAGCCAACCAATTGACCCAATTCTATATATATATTTATATACAGAATCCAATAAGCTTTCTCTTGATCCCACTTTACCCATGAAGTACATAGTCAAATGGTTCGTCAGGGTTACTAATAGAGCAAAACTCATCCAAGTTGATTTCTTCTGGAAACTCGTGTCTGTCATTGATCTATCATAAGCCTTCCATCAGTTCATCTACAGTTACCAAAAAAATAAACACGATCCCAACCCCCCGCCATTTTCTCGTATTTTGTTTTTCTTCTTCTTCTTCTTCTTTCTGGTTCACAAACACAATACCTTGACCATAGTATCTCTCATAAAATCATACTCGAATCGTTTGAGTTGGAGATGTAGTACAGGCGGAAAACTCTCAAAAACCACACCCTTATGTGCATCTTGAAGACCATGTCCTTCAGCCATGTATTTGTTCTCTCCTTCTAAAGTCTCGACTGTAACGTAATCCTTGAATGAATCATGGAGTGTCTTGCACCCCTTGACATTCAACTGTATATCTATTTTATGTAAATATATATATATATACATTTGTTATAATCCTTTCTTTTTATCATCATTGACTTCATTGTTCTTATCAGCATACCATAATAATCTTCCACTCTAGACGATTCATAGTCAACATTGATACACTTGATGTAGCTTTTCATTTTCCCAACAAATAGATTAGATATCGCACCATCTGCAGGAGTACCCTGATAATAGAATATATATATATATATATAATATATAAAATATATTTATTTATTTAAAGATTAATCCAATTAAAGTTATCTTATTAAAATTAAATATATAACCAAAGTCAATATTACCTTCATCTTGATTTCCATATTGTTTTGAAGAACTCGATTGAACTCCTGTACATCGTGCTGCATAAAAGCCTCCAGTGAATCCCACCCAAATGACTTTGTGAGCTCAGTTGTACCTAATTTATACATAAGATTTTTTGATTTTTTTTTTTAAAAAAAAATTAATTTAATTTAATTTGCTTTACCGATTGGCGTGTTTGAATTTTGGAGGTTGTAAAAACATCTTTGCAATGCCAGAGCAACACTCTTGGTAGGTTCTTCATTTTCGGTAGGGATTTGATATACCGCTTTGCGGAATGCATTAGTACAGTACAAGGACTGCAAGAGAGAGTTCATGTAACATGTCGCGCCTTGATTCTTGATACCAACATAACCTGTTTCCTTTCGAGAATCATAACTTGCAAAATAGTAATAATGGTATTATTTAGATATATTTTAGATAACAATAAAGAAAAAGAAATTGTCTTATAAAAATTCCTTACTTTACAAAACTATGCCACAAGACACCTGTTGGGTCATTGACTATACGTAAGAGAACCGTAATTGTGGTTTGGTTATTTACAACAAAAGGCCCTTTCCCGTTTAAGGCTTTTGCCAGGAATTTGATGTCATAAAAACGAGTGAATCCCCAATCGACTTCTTCAGCTGAAAACCTATGGTTTGCATCTAATTATATTTATAATAGAAAAAAAAAAATTAAATTAAATCCCTTGAGTAAAAAAAAAAAATAAAAAATAAAATAAATGTCTTTAATCTTTTATCTCTCTCTTTATTTTACTTTATTTTTATACTTACTGCTGTGATAATAGACTGTAGGATCGTTTGGGTTGGAGATTATGAGTGAGAACTGGGCACACACATGCCACCCTGGAGTAAGATTATTTGCTGCTGGATCTGCTACCTCTAGATAGACAGACGTAAAGTCGTGTTGGCTGTTGCCCTTTGGAAACAATAAGATTCTCCTAAAAACAACCAACCAACCAAGAAAAGATTACATTAATAATCCCTTTCTCTCTAGTTTTATTTGATTATCAATATTCAATTATATATGTATATAATTGAATGAAATTGAATGAAATCAAATAATATACACAATTCACTTTTCTGTTGTTTTGTTTTACCAGGGGAATTCACCTGCATGAAATACAGGACTATGGCTCTTGGGCTCAAGGCTTCTCCAGTCGGTAATATTCCAATGGAAAACATGGGTATACTTTGTCTCGAACTCGTTGGTGCTCGGTAATATCTGTGAAAGAATCGCATCATCTATACATAATATACATATTACATGTATAAAAATAAACAACCATTTTTATGTATATACATTTATGTATTTATAGTTACAGGCTTAGCTTAGCTTAGCTTAGCTTGGTTTGGTATGGCTTTGGTCCAATAACTTTATAGTCTATTTATTCTACACTGACATAGATAAACATAGGTATGTATGTATCTATTTATGTGCTTGTATTTATGCATGTACAAAATTTGAATATTGCATAACATTATGTATGTATGTTTATCTATATTATATATATATATATATGTACACCAAGGTTTGGCACATTATCCAACTTACGGTTCAATACACTGCATTTCGTTTCGCGTCCGTCTTCAGGATTGGACTTTGGAATGGTCTGGTTCAATTCAGGTGTGGTGCTAACACTGGAATCAGTTCCATCGCAAGGAGATGTCGGAGGTGACGGTGTTGTAAGAGCTTCGTTGGCTGGCATAGTCGACTTTTGTAAAATATATTAGAGATATATATTATTTATTTATGTAGATGTGTGTGTGTGTGTGTTAAAAAGAGAGAGAGTGAAAGAAAGAAAGAAAGAAAAAGATAAAGAAGTAGATAATAAGAATAATAAAGAGAGAGAGAGAGAGAGAGAGAGAGAGAGAGATTTGGAATGAGCAAGATTAATGAAACGGTTTAAGGAACAAAGAGAAAGAGGAAAAAGAAGAAGCAAGAAAGTAAGGAAGCAAAGAGAGAAAAGAGAGAAACGTATATGTTTACGGGTTAGTGTGTATGAGTGTATGAGTATGTGTGTCTAGATAGGATTATAGTTTGAATATATATAAAGGGTAATATGAATGTGTGTGGTGGTTAGACCTGACTGCCAAAATGTGTAATTGATGACGCCTTTGTACTAGACGAAAAAAAAAATGGGGGTGAAAAATAGACCAAGAAATATACACATACATGTCTGTGTATGTATATATAAATGTAAAGAAGGGGATAGCAATATCTTGGGATTTAATAGAGCCAAAAGAATTATGGATTGGTCAAGTATAGATACTTGAATAAAAGAAGTGTCAAATATAGTAATGTGCAAAGATATTCTTCAGTCTAGTTATTAAAATTAATATGTACCATTTTCCTAAACCAAAAAAAAAAGGTGAGCGCAAGAGTAAAGAGTAAAAGAATCCCTTGGTGTTAAAGGGGAAGAATTTCTTTGGCTGTTGTTGGTTTATGCATCTTATGTATATACTTCTTTTAGTGAAATAATAATAGAATAATAGCATATCCATACTTATTTAAGAAGAAGAAAATAAAATAAAAAAAAGGTAGGAAAATCTGTAACAAATGTGTATATTTTCGATTCTTGTGAACTCCTGGAAACATCAAGAGTACCCGTTCTTTGGTAGTCATAATGGACCCCCACGACCCAGAATGTCACTTGTCCAACAACAGACATGTCCACAAACTTGCCTTGGTGTCACAGCTAATGTCAATTATAATTTTTTTTTAAAAATCAGACAGAGTCGAATTAAAACACGTGACTGTGATAGCGACAGTAGCTGGCCAAAAGGCTTAATAAATATATGCTTTGTATTGAAACTTAGAGCAAAAGATATTCAGGTCTTACATAGCTCTAATTCATACACATCCTTTAGCCGAATGAATAGTGTTTTTTATAACTGCGAGAAAACATATTATTAGTATGAAATAGTATATATATTTTTTTTAAAAAAAAAAGAAGTTCATAATACCATCTCTTCCATCAAAAAACACAGCCATTTGTTCAATCCAATTGGCCAGTAAAGCAATACTTACTGGTTAGCTTAGATATACATAATTTGCCATTCAATATGGCGACGGAAGTACTGAATGTATAGAATAACCCCTTGGTAAAAATAAATATAAGAAAAAATTGCGATTGGACTGAACTAAACTGGATTTTTTGCACAATCCAGAGTGGAAAGACAACAACAGCAAGAATTAGATAGACTGCATTAACCGCAATTTTTACAAAGATAATAACGAGATAGGTGAATGAACTAAATATCAGGCATTACATACCACGGATGTATACATAAACAAATATATACATATTAGTGGATATTCACCTACAACCTAGGTAATTTTGTCTTTTGTGTATTTATGGATAGCTGAACTGTTTTCTTCACAGTATATTAGGCTAGTGATATTGAATAATTATTTAAAGCGTATATATATATATATACACAACAGGGCAAGACAAGACAATCATTAAACGTAAATGGGGGTTTTTTGTATCCGATGTATACTCAGCCTATACTAACGCGATTATGTTTCTCCGACCGCAATATTTTTAAGACGCGACGAGGTAACTAGGGGGATTAATTTTTTTTTATATAAGCTCGTTGTATTGGACAATTACTTACTAATTTGCTTTAGAAAGAAAGAAAAAAAAAAGAGAGAGGAATAAATAATATGAGGTGCCTTGTATTAAACCAGTTTGGTATTTAAACTTGCTATTAATTTATTTACTCTTTTTTTTGTTTTTCTAAGCTGTGGGTTATGTACACAAAAAGTGTAGTTTATGGGGTTGTAATATATGTGTGTGTGTGTGTGTGTGTATATTAATGTTACATAATCAATACTATTCTATCTAGGTCCAACGAGTGCTTGTAATTCACCAACAAAGCAAGTATACAAGACGTTCAAAGATGGTCGATTGATAGTGATAGTAATAATAGTAAGGCTAGGTTTAAAGAGAAAAGAAGATTACACGTATAAGAATAAGAACGATGCGTAACATAACAAAAAAAACAAGGGGTGGGTGATCAATGGGACAGATCAAATAAGTAAATATAAGAAGCAAGTAAATAAGATATGGCTGATTAGAAGAGGAAGTGGAAGAAGGGGGGGGGACTGAATACGATAAGCAAGTAAGCAAGTAAGCAAGTAAGCAAGCAAGCAAGGTAAAGTGTAAAGGTAAAAATAAGAAATAAAGGGTGATGTTGAGGCGATTTTGCCCTTGGTGAATTGTGTTTTCATATATAAATACAAGAATGCATTCAAGCTGTCTGCATCTGACTTTTTATATAATAATTATAATTATAATTATAATTTTATTTTATTAATTATAATAATTAAATAATTAAATATATATATATATATATATATATATGTAATTATTTATTATCTGGGCCTCTCATATTAAATATAATAATATAATACAAAGAAAAAGAAAAAGAAAAATCTTTGGCGCAAAATAAGAAATAAAATACTAATAAAATCGGCTATGAATGTTAGCTATTTCCGCAACCCAAATCAAATCATATCAAATCAAATAAATCAAATAAATCAAATAAATCTACCACCAACCGCCACTTTCCTTTGCTTTTTCTGCTGCCAACCTCTCTTTCTCTTTATTTTCATTTTCCCTCTATTTTACCTGTATCAAGTACTGTACTTCTTCCTTATCGTCCTGGCCTGGTAAGTTAACTATAGCTTTAGTATTTCAATTAATGATAATATATAAATTGACTAATCTTGGTATATATATATAATGTATATAATGTATATAATGTGTATATATCTATATCTATATATTCATTATGTAATTCTTATAATCATACTCATATTTCTATTCTTAATTGCATATTCACATTTGTATTTTGTATATTTATTCATCTCAAATAATAAATTGGAATTTTGGTAGACGTTTATTATCACTACATCTTCAGCTACAGCCTTTATCACCACTGCTACGAATAATACTACGAATAATATTTTTACGAATAATACTACGAACATTACTACGAACATTACTACGACTATTTCTGCGAACATTGCTGCCTTTCTCTATACAAGCCAAGACTCGAATATTTCCTTTCTATTGAAAACCGAAAAAGAAAACCCCCAAAATACGTTCACACTATATATTTTTTTTTAAATTTTTTTTTTTCTTCTGCATACTAAATAATCGCCTGAATTTTTCTTTCTTATTATATGTATATTTTTTAACAACTCGGCCCCACATTAATTACCGTTATTATTATTACTATTATCAATAGTAATAGAAATAGCAATAGCAATAGCAATAGCAATAGCAATAATAATAGTAATATTGACATTATTATCATTTTTCCTTTCCCGCCCCTTCCATCATGGCCATTAACTTGCTTGAGAGCCTTCCTCGTGTTTCTGGAGTATCCGAAAAGTTGCAAACCAAGTTAGCCCGGTTGACTCGATGGCCTACCCGACGTCAGCACAGCCCTCACCAAAAGCATGGGACTCACAATTCGGTCACTGCAAAGGCTGCTGCAAACGAAAAATATCTCCGAAGATCACCATCAAGAACCTCTTATTACAATTATTATCATTATTGCCAGAACAGTAACGAGAACAACAACAGTAACAAACCCGAGAACTGTAGCAGAATCAGCAACAGCAGCGGTGGCAGCGGTGGCAGTGGAACTAGCACCAAGAATAGAAACATCAGAAATGAAAAGGGCAACAATATGAACCTCAATGTCAGTGATGTTTACTTTCACAACGGCTGCCAGACGATTTGCTCAGAAGATTTGACCGCAAGTCAGTTCGCGGACATTACAGGCATCAGGATCCACCAGTCCGGAAGATGCCCAGAATTCTCCCCGTCTGACCAGAAAATCTACCTTGCAACACAAGATCCATCCCAGGAAGATTCAACACACGCGCCTCGGTTTGGTCCGACTCGATCCAGGAACCTGTCTATCTGGGATTCGGACTTTTGGAACCAAAAGCAGCACAAGCATAAGGAACACCAGGAGAACCACCAGCACCACAACCACCACAACCACCACAACCATAAGCAGCACTATCAGGAACACAAACCGGAGCACAAGCAAAAGCATAAACAGAAGCATCATCAAAGCCAGAATAATAAGGACTCGGATTCGGGCTCGGATCAACAGAGACTCAAATTGCAAGACAAGTGCCACGTTGAATCCAAACCTCATTACCACCATCATTCCAATACTTCCTGTCAGTCGCACCAGTCCTTAAACCAGCTGAACCCTAATTCTGGTATCTCTCTACAGAGAACAATCTCCTCCGGTGGCCAGACTACATACTCTAGCATTCGGTCTAGCAATTATACCCTCCCTGTCGATGAGACACCCTTTATCTCCTCTCTACGCCTCCAGTCAAACTACGAACGTCGTCCAAGTGTAGTTCAAAAAGGACGGTTCAAGATTGAATTAGAAATCGGAAACGGAAACGAAAACGGGACTACCAATGGCAATGGCAATGGCGATGGCGATGGACTCGATAATCCAGCTGCTACAACTACAGCTATCAGTACAAGCGATAACGATTCAATGGCTAGCCTTGCCACTACCGAATGCAATGTCGTTGAATGGAAACGAAAAAGGGCCTGTACTTCATGACTTATATGCATATATGCTTGCCATTTATATAAAAAAAAACCAAAGAAAAAAAATACTCAAAAAAAAACCAAAAAAAAAATACTAAAAAAAAACCAAAAAAAAAACTAAAAAAAAACACACACAATGACAACGGCAATGGCAATAAAGCCTCTACCCTTCAACTACATCTACTCTTTTTATTTATATATATATTTATTCTACCTATTCATTCGCCAATTCATTCGTCCATTCATACGACCATTCATTCGTCCATTCGTCCTGTCATTTTTGCCCATTCATTCGCCCATTTATTCATACATTTATTTATACATTCATTTGCCCGTTTGCCCGTCCTTTCTTTACAACAATTGCTTCATCAAGCACACTCAATCAAATCAACCAAACCAAACGAACCAATCAAACCGACTTTATGTCAAGCAGCCCGATATATACATACATACATATACATATACATATATATATATATATATATTCGATTAAGAACGATATATTCGTCTTGTACATATTTTTCAACCACCATTTACTTTATTACTTCAAAAGATTCTCTATGTACTGCAAAGGTAAAAAAAAAAAAATGAAAAAAATTAAAAAAAAAAAAGAAACGAAAAAAACGAAAGAGAGAAGTAGAGAAACCTTCTCCTATTCAAACCTTGCAAATTTTTTTATTATTTTATTATTTTACACTGTACTTTTCTTTATTTCTTTATTTCACTTCACATATTCTTGCTTTAATTCTCATATGTACAATTCTTTCTTATTCTTCATTCATTCTATTTATTTCAAACTTTCAAACTTTATGATTTTATTCTATTCTATTTTTTTTTCTTCATCTTCATATGTATATATACGTGCTTATATACATTTTATAATAAAAACGTGCGCTTTATGACAGTCTGTTCTACCTATCATTATTTTCTGTCACCAAAAAAAAAATTATTGAAATTACAGAAATTGCCTTTTTTAAAAAATAAATAAATAAATAGTCAAAATCAATTAATGAACTGAATGACTTTTGATCAATTAAACAATTAAACAATTAGGCGCCTAATTTAAACTACTTTATATTATCAGGCAATACTATTATTGTATACATTTCTTCTTCTTAGATATTAAGAGTAATACAATTATAGACAATTAGCCATATATGATCTACGAAGAACGTTTTTTTTTTTGTATATAATAAATAAGTTTAAAATGTGCACAAAAATTATACTATTGAAACAAACCTTTCTTACGGTCATATACACATATTATATAGATACATAGATCATCATTGCATATACATAATGTAGCTTACAAATAAGATTCCATGACAGTCAATAGCACTCACACACATATGCATTCTCCTATTAAAAAAAAAGCTAAAAAAACTAAAGATCTTATCATTTATTTCTTATATTGATAATAATAATAATTAGATGTTTCAATAATGAAAAATCAATAGTTCTTTTTATTTTTTATTTTTATGGTTGAATATATAGTATTTAATAAATCAATATAGAAAGAAAGAACAATTGAATGCAATGTGGATAAAGAAAATAGAGTGAATGTAAAGAAATAATAATAATAATAATAATAATAATAACATTTTGTATATATATATATATATATTTTTGTCTAGAAAAGAGAAGCTGAAGAAATAGGCTTGTCCTTTGTACTGATCTTCTTGCCATCCTTGTTGATGACAGTAACATTCTAAATAAATAAATAAATAAATAAATAAAAAGAAAAGGTGTGAGTAACCACCACCAGCTATCTTTGTGCCATTGCTATTGCCGTTGCCGTTGTCTTTGATATTCCAGTACAAGACACACACACACACACACACAAAAACCTTAATCTTATTACTATTCTTATTTTCTTGCTTACCTTTTGTCCCAACAATTCCTTGACAGCCTTTGTCTTGGCTTGTCTGCTTCCAACATTGGGGTTGTTCTTTTGGATAAGTTTCAACTCGCGCTCCTTGATATCCTTCTCCTTCTTGGCCAACTTCTTCTTCATTGCTCTTGCGCGTCTGCGTTCGTCCTGCTCCATTTCTGTTGAGCTCTTGATCACATTGCGCTTCTTGTCGTACACTTCCTCGGGAGCAAACAGGGTAGCATCCGACACATTGACGGGTGTCACATCCTCCATAGAAATAGCTGCAGCATTGCTGACCACAGTGATCTCTGGCTTTGGCTATAATTATTATAATTTTAAAATTTAATATATATATATATATATATATAAATAGGTAAAACTTACTGCCTTTGGTGTATAGTGGAAGTTGCTAAGCGCATCCAACTTCTCGCACAGGGTCTGGAACATGGTCGAAATCTCTTCGTGTTCCTTATTCAACGCTTCGTCCTTTTCGTTTGTCTGGTCATTTGTGGTCTTCTTTACATAGTCGTCTTCGTAAAGTTCAGCAAGCGATTTCTTGGATCTTTGGTCGTTGAGTTCTACTCGCTTTGAGGGCAAGAAAGGTCGTGCAGAAGGATCGGATTTTCGCTCAACATCATCAAACATATTCTACAAAACAAAAGCGTAGTACATAGTAGATGTTAAGCAAAAAAATTAGCACTATGAATAATATACCTTTCTCATTCATATCTATCTATATATGAATATTGACTTTATCACATGTAAAAAAAAAACAAAAACAAAAACAAAAACCGGAAAGATACGTTACATCGACAATACGCTTCTTAATGAGATCCTCAAGTGCAGTTGTAGATTCTTGTGTAATGACAGGTACAGGCTACAAATGGCGATAATTACGGTAAGAATGATGATGTTTTTTTTTTCAATTCAAATTAAGACAAGACGAAACAGGGCAGTATAGTATAGTATAGTATAGTATAGTATATCACAAGAAAGTTTTCTTTGGGGGGGCAGTTGATTTACCTTTACAGAGTGATCAAACTCCATATCTTCTTCCAAAAGACTGTTCACAGGTCGCGCCTTTGCTGAACTCTCACCCTTGAGTGTCCAGTGACGCTCTCCGATGTTTTCTTGTTCAAACTGGTCAATCTGTGCCTGAACAGCAGACATACGCTTCTGGTAAGCTGTCTTTTCATCTCCAGATCCCTCTTCCTCATCAGCATCAAAAAGGTTTTTGATCTTGACTGCTGACTTTTGATCCTCTTCCTCTTCCTCTTCGTCATCATCATCATCTTCTTCTTCGTCTTCTTCGTCGTCCTTTAATTCCTCTTCGAAATCTTCAGTAGCAAACTTTACTTTGTGTTCACCAGCCTTGGTACGACGGGGTTTTTCTGGTGCTTCAAAAAAGTCCTTGTATGTAATATCTGCAAATTATTATTTTATTTTATTTTATTTTTTGAAAAAACACACACACACACACACAGAAAAACAATTAGTACATATATTATTTAATCACAATGATAAATATTTAGATATATCAAAGCTTGGATCATAAAACTCACCTCCCACATCTTCATCATCACCCTCTTCATCGTCGTCATCTTCAAGAGCGTCCAGATCATTGTCGAAATCAATAGCGTCCTCGTCATCCTCATCCTCTTCACGGTCTGATTGCATATCAAGCTCTTCCTGTTTTTCTGTCCAATCATTGAATTCTTTGAGGTTGAAGAAGTCATCGTCGACTTCAGAGATCTTTTTAGGACTAATCCACAAAGAATTATTATTATTATTATTATTTTCAAGTATATATATATTAATAAATGTATATTTGTGCATACAAGTATAAGCTTTGTATCTTTCTTTCTTTCTTTTTTTTTTTAGAAAAAAAAAAGGTCCTTACCGCTTAGCAGATTTCTCTTCTACAATTTTCTCTTCTTCTTCTTCTTCTTCTTCGTCGTCTTGTTCACCTTCCAACTCTTCCATTTCTTCGTCTTCGTCTTCGTCTTCTAATTGAGCCATATCTTCGTCTTCAGAAAGTAGATCTTCGTCATTATCGTCATGATGTTCGTCGAGTTCGACCGATTCGCCCGAGACACTCTCTTGGTCACTACTGTTTTCTTCAAATGACACTTCTTTTACTTTTTGTTGGTCACGCTTTCCTTTTTTGTTGATCTTTGAAAACTCCTTGAGGGTTGACTTGGAATAGTCTAAGAATGGCTCGTTTTGGGTAGCGATCTCTTCCCAGATCTGATCATTGTCGAATCCCTCGGTCAATAATTCGGTAAAAGGTGAAAACTGGATTTCTTCATATTGTTTTGCTATTTTTTTTAAAAAATAAATAAGATAAAGCAAGAGAGTAATTAGACAAAAGGATGCATTATATTTGCATATAGATCTTGTTAAAATAATAATATGATGATCTTTACAAACATACTTCTTTTTATTGTTAATCTAATCAAGTTTATTATAACTATTTTATTTCTTATTACCAGTGTCATAAAAGTATTTTGATGTCTGTAATGCCTCGGTAGTAATCTTTTGATCCGGTACAAAAAACACCTGAGGCTTCTCGACAGTTGACTTTAGGAATCGAGCATAAGGAATGGTTTGTTTCTTCTTCGTTGCAACCATTGTGATTTTTTCTTTTAAAAAAAAAAAGAAAAAGAAAATGTATATATATATATATATAAAAAAAAAAAGAAAGTCTGCAGTCCCGACGTACAGTCTTTTTTTCTTTCTTTTTTTTTTTTTTTGGTTTTTCTATCTCTTTTCCTTTTCCATTTCTCCTTTCCTTTTTTTTTTTTTTCAATAGGAAAAAAAAGTGACGGGACATAATATTTAACAGTCACGTATTCAATTGCCTAATAAATATGTCTAAAATTGAGTGATTGAGGAGTGAAGAGTCTAGGGACACGATGTTTATACAAATGGAATGTATTGCGTTTCATTTGTCTTTGAATTCATAGATTACTATTTATTTATTTATTTTGTTTTTTTTTGGTCAAAGGCAAAAAGGCATTAGCTTATTTTTATTATCTGAGCAAGAGAAAGAATGCCTCTTGGTAGACTAGCTTATATTATCTATACCTTGGAATTAGGACATGTGAAAGGATATTCAAGATAAATTTCCTGCCTAAAATGTCGCAACAACAATGAAAAGAAAGCGTCGTATCAAGCTCTCCATAAAACATCGTGTCCTTATAATTAATGTTTCTCAATTAAATCAATACAATACAATACAAGCCAGGCCAGGCCAAGGCAGACCAATAACATTGGCCTATTGTAATTTGTGCTTTCAATGAAAAAAAAAAGTTTAAATGATATGATAGTAAACCTATGGGTCAGAAGGGCCTACTCAATGTTGGACTCATTCCGTTTTCCGAGTACCCTTTCTTTTTGTTTGTGACACCTTTTATATATATATATATATATCACATTGAATTGTTCACCGGCCCGGCGACAGGAAATCATCACATCTAGAGAGATCTAAAGTGTATGTATGTATTATATAATTCCAAATATTTAATTTGATTTTTGAAACAAATGAAATATAGAGTATATTATGATCTGACTTCTTTTATGCTATTCAGTCAGTTGCAAGCAGCAAAATGGGCCAGTTGTTAATGTTCTCTCTCTCTCTCTTTCTTTCTTTAATGTACCTTGTACAAATTCACATACAAATAAATCAAGAAATAAATTTGAAATACGCCAAAAAGATTTTTTTTTGTTTCTTTTTTGTATGTTGGGTACTTTGTTTGTATTTAAATTTATAATATTTGTTTATCCTTCCCCTTTGCTGCGACTCTACAGACAGACATACATAATATACACTTGGGGAATTGTCAATAAGAAATACTATGTTTAACTCTCTTTCTCTTTCTCGTTTGCTTTTATTCTTCACACAAGACCTCCTTAATCGAAACCAGCTGCTTCTAAGGCCGATCTTCTCACCTCCCTTCCCCTCCCCTTTCAGCCCCTACCCCCCCTTCCTTTGCGCGCAAGTTCCGTTCTCTATACCGCTCATTTCTCCTCCTCCATTTTTGGTTTGTGTCTTTCTTTGTTATTGTTATCATTATTATTATTATTATTATTATTATTATTCTAATAACCACTGCTCTGGCTTGAGAATGTAAAAAGAGGAAGATCACGACTGACAATTATATCATCATCAAGTACGATAAATTGTCTGTGTATTATAATCTGGCTTATAAGCCTTTAAAAATAAAATTGAAACAAAATTGCATTAACCTCTTTCATTATTCTATTTATTTATTTATTTATTTATTTTTGTGAAGTTTGAATACTAATATTAATATTACCTACAATATCACAGAAAAAGTTTGTGTATTTGTATGTGATACATGTAGATTAAATAGTACTTGATACTTTGACAGTTGACAAAATCAAAAGGAAATATAGGTTAATTTAACTACCAAACATCTTACCAACTCCCCCCCCCCCCCCCCCCTCTCCTCTCCTCTTTTCTCTCTCTCTCTCTCTCTCTACTTTGCCTAGTACAAAAAGAAATCAAATCAAATCAAATCAAATCAAATCAAATCAAAAGGAAGGAAAGAAGAACTTTCTTGAGGTTTGGGTGCTTTGTACTTTGTACTTGAAACTTTATTCTCATAATTTACATGATGTTCATTGTTGTATTACTGTTATTACTACTATGACCATTTATGATTATTTGTTACCAATAGTCAATGAAATATTTGCTTTGTTAATAAATAAATAAATAAATAAAAAAAAGAAAAGACATTTATTGGGAGATCTACGGATCAATTGTAATATTATGTGCGTACATGTATGTATAATATTTATGCATGATACTTCTTTGTGCTTTTGTGCCATTATTAAATTTCATTGTGTAGATAAATCTAGTAATCACAGTTGGTTTGTATAAATTAATGTACATGCATGTTTTGTATATTATCGCAAGGTTAAATATGAAATGCACTCTTTAATGTTCTATATGTACTCTAGCCCGTCTGTCTACCTAAACCAATCGATTGGTTGACCAAAAAAAATAAAATAATTAATAAATTGAGAGGGAGAAAATGGGGATAGGAAATGAGTATATGATGAGACAGACATAGAAAGAGACTAGGAAATGTGACTTGTGGTCCATGACATCATTAATGAAATAAACAATATCTTTATATGTTTATTTTTCGTAAACTTGGATATATAAGATCATTCATTCACCAAAATAATAATATCTATATCTATATAAAAGCATGTCATTCTTTGGTGGAAATTCTCAGCCTCAGCAGGCAATCAACCCTCAAAATATGATGATGGCCGAACAAGAACTTGAGATGGTGACTGATCTGTTCAATCGGTAAGGTATTTGAATAACAATAGGAATAAGAAATATATATATATATATATATATACACTACACTACACTATACGAACACGAACACGCACACGCACACGCACACGAACACGCACACGAACACACGGACACACATATAACATATAACATATAACATATATACATATATACATATATACATATATACATACATACACAAAAAAAAATATTGTATTTTTGGGTACGTATATTGAATTTTTTTTTGGGTACGTTTGTGTGTGTTTGTGTGTTCAAGTGTTTGTGTGTGTGTGTGTGTGTGTAATTTAGGCGTAGTTTTGCGTAGTGTATGCGTAGTGTGTATATATTTAGTGATGATGGTGGTGGTGGTGATATATGTTATGTGTTATATTAACGTCAAGATAGTATCACCGAGTCGTGCTACTCCAAGTGCATCGTTACAAAGTACGAACAAGGAGAATTGAACCAGCCAGAGGGAGCATGCATTGATACCTGTGTGGCCAAGTTCTTCCAGGTCAACAGCATGGTTGGCGAGAAGATGCAAAAGATTGGACAATCCTAGACGATTTATATACATGACTGACAAAAGACAACAAAATTAGATTTGATTTTCTTTTTACTTTACTTTATTATATTATATATGTATATACTTCTTGTATGTATATACTTCTTGTATGTAATTAAGCATATACTATATAATATTCTTTCTCTCTCTCTCTCTCTGTGTGTATAGTGTTTATGCTGGAAATCATTATATTGATTCTTGTATATCAACAAATAAGCAAACAAATAAGCAAACAAACAAACAAACAAACAATCAATCAAATAGATAGTTAGATAAATAAATAATAAGCTGACGTCTCTATCTACAAAAGTCATGCTGTTTAGAATAGGCTTTATTTATGTGTTAGATAATAGTAATAATAATAATAATAGTAAATTGAAGAGGGGGGGTGATATTTATTGGTTAGTGAATGGAGCAAAGGCAAAATAAAATAAAATAAAATTTATAATATAGATTTGTATGATGTTATGGTTGTGATTCTCCTCATCTTTATAGATATCCATATTTGTATGAATATTGGTCACAGACTTCTTTGGATCCAAACTCACATTTCGGGCCATGCGGATTGAATTTCTTTTCTTTTTCTTGTGTTCATATTCAAGATGGATAAAAGTCAAAGAAGATGAATAGTGTATATATATAAGAATTGAATTGAATTAAATCATCAGTCTTGAAGGCTTTGATGATGTGTTATGCAATTCAATGCACTCTACTGCAAGTAAAAACACTCACAAGAAGTAAAGAAATTATAAATATAAATTTATATAAACAGTTGCTATGATCCGGCTTTGTGTTTATTGTGTTTATAGTCTATCCGCTTCTCCTTATTTCTCCTCCCCCCTTCTTTCTATATTTTTTTTTTCATCCCTTCTTAGTTTCCCCTTTATGGCTTCAACTTCTTCTATTTTAATTCAACTATCTCTATCTCTTTCTCTCTTCCTTCTCTTTCTCTCTTCCCTCTTTTTCTTACTTTGCTATCATTTACTATCATTTTCTTAAAAGTCCCTAAAGAGATATTCCTTTTCATACACAACAACCACAATAAAGAAGAACAACAAAAAACAATATGACTGTGTCTCCTTTAGCCCTCGACATAACAGACATTATTCGGGTCCTTGAAATCCAAATCCCAAAGATACAGCATGACACCATGACTGCAAGTAACAGAGTACATATATACATATAAATTTTAGCTTATATGCACTCTATGCATCATATAAATACATACATACATAATGTACATGTATTAACTATTATTATTATTATTATTGTTCTTGTTCTTTGTTTGTGTCTTATAGGAACATCGAGCGCAAATGCAGGATAATCAAGACGAGTTTCGCGCACTTGGAATCGAAGCTGATTATCTACGAAAAGTAAATTATAAATCCTCTTTTTCTTTATTTCTATCTTTCTCCTTATCCTTAATACACACTACACCAACAACAAAAACTAAAACTAAAACTAAAATTCAAATAGACAATGATGATCATGAAGGAAGAAATTTCAAATAGCAGAAAAATTCAGGAACGATTGGAATCACAACTTTACGCACAAGAACAGGAAACTGCCCACGCCCATAAAGAAATGCAAACCATGACGCGACTAAAAAAGGAAGCTGAAAAAAGATTGGAAAGTGAGGTAAGAAAGAATAACACAAACAAACACATTAAGATTTGACTTTCTTTCTTTCTTTAGTTGCGTAACCATGAGAATGATAGAACCCTGTGGCAACAGCGTGAAGCCGAACTACGGGGTGAAATCAAAAGATGGGCCATTCAGAAACAGAATCCAAGGCGAACCCGGAGTGCAACAGCCTCCAATATCTGGGACACACCCGAAACAGCCAAAAGTAAGTAAAATTACAATACAATACAAACTTTTTTTTTTTTTTAAAAAAAAAATTATTATGTATGTAACTATCATTTTAACTTCCAGATTGGGGAACTTGTGCAGGCATGAGTCCCATCTTTGAGGACCGCCGTGCCCTTACTACAGACACCGTGTCGTGCCGAGACGCCAAGATCCGCGCCCAAGAAAAGGTTATTTTGGATGTAAAGACCGAATTGCAGCAGCAAAAGAGACTGGCTCATGAGGCTATCATGACCACAAAAGCACAAGCCCATCGTGTCGCATGGCTTGAAGACGAACTCAAGGGGATCAAAAGACTCAATGCATCTCTGATGGAAGACAATGAAGGATACCAACTATTGCTTCACGAAAAGACCATGACTGAAATATTCAACAAGGTAACCCACAAAAAAAAACATAGGAATTCAAAAATAAACCTACCTAATTGATAATTGATATTTTCAATAGGGCGTAGAACCAGAAGAACCGTCACAGACAGCTAATCCTACAAGTCTAGCAGCCGAATTGCAGTTGGTCGTAAGTCAGGATACAGATGCAAATCAAGCCCAAGTAAATAGTAAGTTACATATCAATATCAATATTATTATTATTATTTAATAAATATTTTAATATCTCTTTTTTTTTGTTATTTAGAATTGACTGAAGAAGTCAAGACACTCCAAGAGGCCAACAAGGCATTGACACTGTACATGAATAAGATTTTGCTCAAGATTGTCGACAATAACCAATTGGTCGATGTCTTGAATATCGACGACACACCAACAAGTGAGCCAGAACCACAAAGTATGGTTCCTAAATATGAAGAAAAAGAGAATCATGAAGAAAAGTCTGTAATACGACAATCGACAACACCAACACCAACAACGACGACAACAACAGTAAAGGCAGATTCGGCTGTACCGGTAGTTAATAGTAACAGACCAAGAAGAAGTACCATTTCATCCTGGATGTCTTCTCCAAAGCCAGAAACACCCTCACCACCGGTTAACAATAGTGATAATGGGTGGGCAAGAGCCCTTCGACGAATGACTGTCATGAGCTGGGTTCAGTCCTCAAAACCAGAACCTCCAAAGGAAGATGAAGCAATCTGTCTTGGCCATGATTCAGCAATATCATCAAGGGCTAGTGAGAGCACTGAAGCTGAGACTGAAGCTGAAACTGAAGACGAAGAACAGGAACAGGAACAGGAACGAAAAGAATAAATAAACCAATAAATAAATAAACAAAAAATGTATATAAACAAATATAAATAAATAAACATCTCTCTCTCTTTCTTTCTTTCTTTTATTCAGTGTAGTTGGTCACTTTCATACTGTCTTTCTAATTAGATAAAGCAAATGTCGGGTATTTAACGTTTATTCTCCTATTTAATTATATGTGTCGTAATTTGAAATCGAATTGTTGCTTTTGAAGAATGTCAATTGTATATGCCCTGTCTTTAACATAACCTTTCCCCCCCCCCGCGCGCTCCATGCAATTTTCAGACAAGTTATAACGTGGCGTTTGTGGCGTGGTTAGATTTAGTGCCTTTTATTTGCTGTATTATGTGCCAAATTTATACTTTTTTTTTCTATTACTATTAAACTCCTTGTTTAATTGTAATAATAATAAGAAGAATAAGAAAAGGTGCCTAGGATTCTTTCATAACTTGGTCAAGAAATATACTACGGCATAAGTTGACGTAAGCTTGGTAAAGTATGCGTCATTTGACTTTAATTTTTAATTTTAATTTTAAAAACAAAAAATATAAAAATCTCCAACAGTTTGAGACTTGGGGTTTTCAAATAGCTAAACAAAGCTTTACATTAATTTCTTCAAGTTTGTTATTTTAAGCATAGTTACTAAGAGTGAACTGTTTCTTTTTTGTTTTTGTTTTTGGTTTGGATAGACAACGATTATTTATGATGTAAGCAAAATATACCGAGGATGAAGAACTGATAGTAAATTGATCTTGTATCTATAGAAATAAAGAAAGACAATTGTATTTCATTAGAGTAGAGAGTTCTTGGAGATGTTGACTTGCAAAGTATTGATGATCTTTGTGTATTTTGGAAATCGACAATATCGTCCAAATTTACAAGTTCTTCAAAAGCGATAATTTGATTTCAAAGGGCGCCATTTGTGATTAAATGACCGCCAATTCCTTTTTTTTTTATTTTTATTATTGTCATTAGTATTTTGGGCAAAAAATCAAGTTGAAAATGGAAATGGAAATGGAAACGACCAACAGGCAGTGTAGAGTAAGTAAAAGAGAAAGAAAGAACAACATCAGTTTATTGGTTAAGCTCTTTTTTATTTTTCAACACAGCAAATGAGAAAAAAAAAGAAAAGAAAAAAAAAAAAAAGGCAAGGAAATCGTTCTTTGCCCTTCTTTTTTTCTTTGTTACCTGTATATGTGTATTATAAAAAGTGTTTTACAATACAATACATAAATGTATGTATCTATCTATCTATTTGTCCCTTTATTTTTATTACATACACACATTTATATATAAAATTATAATACAATATATATATATATATATATATATATATAAAAATAACATTCTCTTTTTTTTTTATTTTAATATTTTTTTTCTTTTTTATTTTATTTTATTTTACGTTTCTTTCTTTTCTTCTCACTTTATTTCTATTGCCTTTTTATTATTATTTACTTTCTGTTATACTTCTTTTTCATACACTTTATATACTTCTTTAACATCCTCTTCTTATTGTTGAGATTCAAAATATTTTTTTTTTCAAAAAGATATTTTTTTTTCCAAAGACACAAAATATTCTATTCTATACTCAATTCATTTATTACTTTATTTTATATATATAACTATATTACATACATACAACACAATCAAAAGAAAAAGAAAAAGAAGAAAAAGAAGTAGAAGCAGTAGAAGATTCACAATCAAAAAGTAAAGAAATGTATACACGAATTCCAAGTAATTCCACGGCGAATTCACCATCACAAACCATCAGTCCTCATCCACGGCAACGTAGTCATCCACGCTCTGACGCTAGTGCTTCTTCTAGACTTTCTTTTAATGACCGTGCCTTTATTGAGTTTACACGCTGTCTTCACCAAGCCAAGGCTATCGTAAAAGAACTAGAGTCCTTTAGTGCATCGATTTGTCCGGCTGTTAGGATATCTGTATACGAACCCACGGCATTACATCATGACCCTCGTCTAGGCTCAGAAGTATTTATCCAGCAAGTAAACACATACCTCGGAGACACTTTCCAGAAATTTTCCAGGCTTTGCAAGATTTTACTCATGGTCCTCACAAAGATGCAGAACAGCCAGCAGGTCAAGCCAGAGCGGATAGAGTCCTTTAGATCTGAAGTCTGGGAAGAGTGGAGAATAGCCACAGAGATCAAGCAAAATCTGGTCTCATACATCCAACAGCATGTCAACCAATTCTCACAACCACAACCACAACCACAACCACAAATACAACCATCCAGATCTAATACTACCACCACCACCACTACCACCACAACTACATCAACAACTACAAGTACAAGTACGAACACAAACACTAGCACAAATACGAATACGAATACGAATACGAACACAAATACCAATACCAATACAAATATGAATATGAATATGAACATGAATACAAGTACAAGTACAAGTACAAGTACAAACACACATACAAACACACACACAAGTTCAAATCCAAATCCAAATCCAAATCCAAATACAATCAATCAAACCTATTTACCACAGCAACAACAACATCATCATCATCAACAACATCATCAGCAGCAGCAGCAACATCATCAACAGCAACATCAACAATATCAACAGTACCAACAGTATCATCATCAACAGTATCAACAACAACAATCATCCCATTTACCTCTGTTACCATCATATCCACCAGCTATAACAAGAGGGGAAGAAGGCGGAGGGATCGGAGGGGGCTCAGTAAGAGGAGGAGACGGTGGAAATGAAGATGGAAGCACAAGTACAAGTGGTATAGGTGTAAATGATGGCAATGATGGTGCAGGAGCAAGAGTAGGAGGAGTAGGAGGAGTAGGAGGAGGAGGAGGAGGAGCATTATCAGCAGAGTCAATAGCCGAATATCCACAAAACACATTTATCAACAATACTCCTTTCATCTAATCGTAACCTCTTCTACGATACAGACGGGTCTGGTATAAAATACCAATAGAAGTTTACCGTTCAATCCTTTTTTGTAAATATCTATCTATCTATCTACTTCTTGCTCTCTATTGGTCCCTTTCTCTTTCTCTTTCCTTTTTATTGTACCATACATCCTTTCTTTTTCTTTTTTTTTATTTCTACTTGTTCTCTACCTCTTTACCTATCTTATTATTTCTGTTATTTTCCTTGTCTTGTATTGTCACAACTAATAGTGAATATATAATATATATATATAATATTATTATTTTCCCCTTTTTTCCATTTTTCCATTTTTGCACTCTTTGCACTTTTTGCACTCTTTGCACTTTTTGCACTTTTTACCTCTTTGAACCTTTTTTTTTTTTTTTAACATAAAGATGCTTTATTTATTTATTTATTTATTTTTTTAAAAAAAAAAGAATGAATGAATGAATGAATGAATGAATGAATAATATTTTTATATACAAATTATGTACCTATTTTCATTATTTCTTTCTATATTGTGTTTTATATATATACATATATTTTACTCCCTTTTTTTTTTTCCTTTTCTTTTCTTCCATTTTATCTTGTTGGATTTTTTTTTTGATTTTTTTTTTTTGGTTGATCTAAAATATTCTATACTTGTTTCAAAACCCCATTTTTTCCCTTTTTGGACTTTATCGATTTATTTAATTTGTTCCATCTGATTCTTTTAATTTCTCCTCCTTCTATCGCAAATAAATAAAAACAAAACAAACAATACACTATATCACAAGTAATACAAAGTGTAATACGTAACATAACATAACATGGCATTACTTGCTTACTTGCTTACTTGCTTACTTGCTTGCTTGCTTATTCAATTATTTATTATAAAAGACATACAAGACATTAAGTGGATAGGTGTATAAAGAAAAATACACTATATCATTCTTTCTCTATTCGGCTGTTGTTCATTTTGCTTGTTTCTTTTTGCACTACCGATAAAATTATTGGAAAAGATTTATGAAATTGCATGGGATGCATTCAAAATAAAAATGCAGATTCTTCTAAAATTTATCTTTACAAAAAAAAAAAAAAGAAGAAGAATATTATATACGTTATTTACACATCAGAAATTAGGTGCATTTATAGTTACAATTCTAGCTAAATAAATATTATTGTTCTACTAAACATCACTTGTTCAATTATTCACTATATGATAATCACCCCAAAAAAGAAGGAACAATGTGCAAAAAATGTAAAATGGAAATGAAGAGTTGAGTTGTATTAGAATGGGAAAATCAATCAATAAATCCCCCATTTTCCTTATTCTTGTTGCTTTATTTAAATGTGAAATATTTGATACAATATAGTAAATAACGATAATAATAAAAACCAAGGATTATCTAATATCTGTACGTTTGTTTCAAAATTGCTGGATACACGAGAAAATATATACAAGATAAAAATCGATAATCTTTATTTCTTGTTATTAAAATCAAAAATAGTAATAATAGTAATAATGCCATCAGAATAATTTATGGTCCCTTCTCAGCTTTTATTGAAATTTATCGATCAATATAATCAAACAGATATATAATAACATTTGATAATAATAATAAAATAAAATAAAATAAAATAATATAATATATATATGGTTGTCATGATTTGTATATCACCAATATAAAACTCACAATATTCAAAAAACAAAAACAAAAAAAGACAATACAAATCTTTATATGTCTTGAACAAGGGTTATATAATAAGTATTGATTACAGCATATAACAACCAATATATATATATATATATATATATTATATTATATTATATTTAAAATTGTTACAAGATATTAAATCTGTTTGATCATGTCAGATTTGGCTAAGTTGAATTCATCATCTGGCAAGAAATAGTAATAGTAATAGTAATAATAATAATAATAATAATAATAAAGAAGATTTAAGATGAGTTTTATAGAGAAATCAAAATGGTAATAAAGTTTGTAATGTTTATTGAATGAATGAACAAAAGTATATATACATTCTCAAAGAAAGGATTTTTCATTCATTTATTTATTTATTTATTTATTTATTTATTTATTTATTTAAATGTGACTATTTATTATTATGGTGATGATGCTGATGCTAGTGCTGACACTGGATAAGAAAAAAAATAAAGTCAATAAATATTGATTCTCTTATCCCAGAACACTGTCTACATCATTCAATAGAATTTATTACACCCGTATGTTTCTAGACTAAACAAGGAAAACTTATATTTCTGATATCATTGGCTACTGGTTACTTGGTTATTAATTTTAATACTACAGACACAGATTTGCATATAGCACCACCTTATTCCTTCTGATATGCCAAATCACCCTGTATATTATCTAACAATATATATATATATATATATATATATATATATACTAGATAAAATGATAAACAAGGTAATTTGGTAATCCCCATACTTCATACCCAAGCGCCTTTGCCATCTTTGCCAACCCTTCAGTCTCGACCTGGTGTTTGAATGAGAATGGTGGAAACACAGCCCCGTTCCGATGAACCTCTGCCTTTACTAACGTACACGTCCCCCCAACACCATCAAGTGGTACTGCATAAAATATATCGGTGCGATCATCAGCACCCTTCATATCAATCATCAGTCTACGATGAGTAGTCAATTCTTTATAGCCTGTAATCAATTTATGCAAATACATTAAGTATACATCAAATCAATCAATCTAATTTACCTTCGACCAGCACATCTTCGGGCTCAAGCGTTTTCTGAAGTGCCCAACTCTCAGGCGTCTCTTGCCAGTTGTTCTTGTCATACCCGCCTTCTTCATTGTACGAGTGCCAGTAACAGTTGGGCACAACAATATCCTTGTCCAGACTAATCAACTCCTCTAGCAACGTCGCAGGATACTCAATCACATCCCCGTCCAGCCACAGCACCCACGAGATCTCTTCGGTCAAGGCGGCTGACAAGAGCGTGTTGCGGCTCTTGGCCATAATCTGCCGCCGCTTGACCTGAACCTCAAACGCATGACGATCCTCATTGCCAGCCAATTCAAATGAGAAATCCCGCTGAAAGATAGATATCCGCCGGAACCTCTGCCAGGCTTCCTGTTGGAATCTAAATCGGCCGGCATACTCCTGCAGTTTCTCAACCGTCCCATCGTTGGAATCACTCACAAGAAAGGCAAGCGAAATAAGATTGTGAGGGTAAGTCAACCGATTGACATTCTCAAAGTAACGTTCGATGTGGCGTGCGGATTCTTTGAATGGCGTCAGAATCAGGACGTGTTCTAAATTGTTCTCATGGTGCACCTGGTTGGTTGTATTCAAACCATCCATGTCATAATAATCGAATTTTGTTTGGGTATTGCTGGACGTCCTCAAGGGCAGAGTTCGTCTGTCTTGATGATCACAGACAGATGATGACCATTCGCCCCACCAAGGAAATGAGAATGAGATTGTGGATAAGATTAACCAGCAAGTCAGACAAGAGCCGATTAGTGCGACAGTGGTAAGCTGAATGCGTGAATTGAAAATCATAACCAATAATATATATATATGTACAGCACACACACACACACACACTCCTAAATATATATCTATATATACAAATAAATAAACAAATTTACAAACAAACAAACAAACAAAAACAAATAAATAAACTTGAAGAAGAAGAAGAAGAAGAGCAAGAAGAAGAGCAAGAAGAAGAGCAAGAAGGAAGAGAGTATAAAGAAAGATATATATATATATATAATTACTTAACAGGGGGTAGGGAAGGAGAAGGGGAGGAAATAAAGGACTTGATGTACATATACATATAAGCGCACACACACACGCACACGCACACGCATACACACACGCATACGCATACGCATACGCGTACGCATACGCACATATATATGCTTGTATATGTATGCTTAAATAGATAGATGGATAAAATAAAGAATTGGACAGCTTAAATTCTATCAAGATACTAACAAGCTTTAAACATCGCACAATAATTTTCTTCTTCTTCTTCTTCTTTTTTCTTTTTCTTTACATACATATTTATATACTAGTACCTCTTTACTCTTGCTTGCTTTCTTGCTTTAATTCCTGCTTTTTTTCTGTTCTGTTCATATTTCTCTTGTCGTTCTTAATCCAGGAAAGGAGACTTACCAGTGTAACAATCGAAGATATGTCGGTACATTTCAATCGTCGATACTAATTTATGAGACAAAAAAAGTAAAATAGATAAATATATAATTACCGCTTATATCTCCGGTTATGGGCACACACACATGTACGAAATTACAATATTGATATATATATATATATAAACTTCAAGTGAGGAAAGGAAGTGGAGAGGGGGGTTTTCATGGTTTGTTTGATTTGAATTGAATTATATGGTTAGTTAAATGTCTTTCTTACTTGCTTTTTTTTGGTCTAAAATTTATTTATTTATTTATTTTATGTTAAAAACATTAGTGAAAATACAGTATAAAATAAATGTACACCTTTGTATAAATCTTTTCTTTTCTTTTCTTTTAGCCTTTCTTTTGGAATAATACTGATAATATTATATATGAATTCTGTGGAATGAAATAGAGCGTTTGAAAGAACAAGAACAAGGACAAGAACAAGAATAAAAATACGAATAATAAAAGTATGATCTAATGGATTTTGTTTCTGGGTTTCCTTTGGAGTGAGTTTTGATTCATTTTTCTTCTTCTTTTGATGAAGGAGGTTTGGGGTTGCAAAATGACAAAATGACAAAAAGAAAGAAAATAAATGATAAATAGGAATTTTTAGGGTTAGAAATAGTAATAAAAAGAACGATGAGAAAGAGAGAGAGAGAATTTGACATGTGCAAATTATACACGTATACACACACCCATATATCTATATATATATATATATATATATATGTATGTGTGTGTGTGTATAGTGAGTGAGTGAGTGAGTGGGTGAGTGAATGTACTGTGTGTATGAGTTGTGTATATATGCGTGTGCGTGTACGTTTTGTGTTATATTTTAGCTTGTCGTGTCGGTGGTCGAGGACACTGGTTTGTGTTGCGCTTCGGCCATCACAACGAATCGTTCTAATACTTTACAGAAACCCTCTCTACCAACTGCCGCATTGTCCTTGAATCGCTTGAGAGACAATTCTTCTACAATTCCAGACCAACGTGATACCAGGCTACCAGCAGAAATGGCTGCTTGTTGAGTGAACTGAGTTCTATAGAAAGTAAAATAAAATGGATTAAGATTTTATACATAGATTTAGGTTTATCCAAGCTTCAAATATACATATATATATATATATATATTGTGGGTTACTTGCTACCACTTCTTACTACTTCTTACTACTGCTATTACTGCCCCTAATGCTATTACTACTATCCCTGAGAAATATATATATATATAAAAAAAGGTTTCTAATGCTTACTGTTGGGGATCTTCGGGATGTTCAGTGTATTCAATAGTCTCTTCAATCGTCAACAGGTTGGAAAGTGTCAGGTTTTTACTCTTCATACTCAATGTTTTGGTTTTTGGATCGATTGTTGATGTTTCATGAACGTATTGTGTAGTGTCTGCACCAAGAATCTATAATTTATGTATTTGATTAATTAAAACACTTTATCGTTTTGGTTCGCGATTACTTGTTTTTATATATATGTATGTATTTCCAAGACTCCCCCCCTCCCCCAAAAAAAATAAAAATAAAATAAAATAATAATAATTAATATTAGCAATACTTACTCTACGTAAAAGAGAAGGTACTTTCTGGTCTACAGTAATAATACGCTCTGTTGTGAGAGTTCCGGTTTCAGGGTCAACGAATCGATTGAGGACATCGACATGCTGGACATGAGGACAGTTTTCATTTGGGTATTTTTGCCAATTGGCTGCAGAGACCAGACTCCATTCGTAGTTGAAGTTGTGAATGGACTTGAACAACTTCATATCTTTTATATATATATATAAAAATCTATCTATCTATCTATCTATTTTTATTTAATTATTTATTTGATTAATAAATAAATAAATATATATATAAACAAAAAATAGCGAATGTGCCTGGTCAAAGAGCAAAAGGAGAGAGAGAGAGAGAAACAGATTTTCTCTAATCACAATTTACCTTAAAAAAATATATATATATACATATAAAAAAAAAAAACAATAGCAGGTACTGTTTTTTTTTATGAGTTATTTGCGTTACTTCAAGTAAGAATATCGTACCTTGAATTATTATATGTCCGATTAGCGTAATAAAACCCAGATGTACTCAACTAGAAATAAAATACATTTTCAGTTTCTTAATTTTTTTTTGGCTTCTTCTTTAAAGTACAAGGAGAAAAAGAAGAATGTGTAAACAAAAAAGCCACAGATTGAGTATTAAGCTACTTTATACACCTATTTCAAAAAAGAACAAGATTTCTCTATACAGCAAAAATATTAATTTACATGGATATTATTTGCGTTAAATTTACACAAAAAATACAAATACGATTTATTACTATCGCCGTTTAAATGAGTATATACTTATTTATCGCCTACTTAATTTTATTTTACAAAAATTCGGATTTTTAGTTACACAGATTCTTCTCTTTCATCTTTTTTTTTTTTTTTTAGTTTCTTGGACTGAAAATCTTTAATATATATTTAGATATATATATATATATGAAGCTCTTGTAAAGAAGCCTTTGAAGTAATTGTATTATCAGTCCAGAAAATTTAACATGAAAAAATTGCTTGTAATGTAGTATATTGAAGTAAAGGCAAAACCCTTTTTTTTCTTTTTTTATTCTTATTATTATTTTGAAAGATATTCGAATTTCTACATCTTTGTGTCACAGACCCCGCGCCAGGACCATCTAAAAATTTACAAACAGATCTCCTTTCTTTAGGCATTACATATATTATATATGTTTTTTTTTATTATAATTATTATTATTTGACTTGAAGATATAAACATGAATATAGATCCTTAGACAGTAATTACACTTGCCCGCCTTGACTTCTTTGAAGGACGTTCCTCATCTTCACTGTCTGATGAATCATGATTTGCAATAGTGTCACTGGTTTTGGAGATTGAGATATTAACATCTGCAAAGTACTCTCCGCCACACAGTACCAATCTATCGCTGTCTTGGTATTTCATCAATGCTCTCTTCATAGCGTAATCAATGTAGAGTTCCTACATATATACATATATTAAGAATTACCCAGTTCCTCTTTTAATCTCTTTCTTTACATACATATCTATTTCTATTGTCACTTACCTGAATTCCTTTAATTTGAATAAAACAGTGGGGACATTTCCAGGCCTTCATTCTAGCCACCAGACTATAGAAGATGCTGGCATCGAAGCAGGCCGCATGGGTACAATATATACCTCGAGCAGGATGTTCCATACGTGAAAGTAAAATTGGATCCATGGCAGATACAAACTCATCTCCAACAACAATATCATCATCTTCATCCTCACCTCCACCGCCTGATCTATGTTCTAACCAATATATATATATATGTATCAGTCAATTTGATTCATTATTATTATTATTAATAAAAAGAAGTACTTACGAGTCCATGATCCGGAAAAAATATCTGCACATGACATGTAGATATCTTGTGCCTTGGCCACCTCACTTCGCTCTTTTATTGGATATCTGGACAAAATCTCGACGGCTTTTTCTTGCGTTTTGTCAATAGCTTTACTGGTTTCCATTGCCCTGGATATGAGTCCAGTGGCACTATTCAAATATGTCTGGCTCAGCAGCTAATAAGCCAATAGATCCCAAAGAAAATAGATATAAAGAATAAGGACTCACTTTAGAACACACACACACACATACACATACATATATATAGATAGATAGATCTAACCTCTAAAACATAGTACCTCTTCAGGGGTCTTTCTCCATGTTGTGCAGACAGTAATGTGTTTCAACGGAGGCACTCGGCCTAAAAATTCAAGGTCCACCACAATATTTTCTGGAATTTTGTCTTCTAGAAATGCATCCCAATCCAACTTTTCAGTAATATCGACGTGCTGAAATCCTTCATATATTGATTTCTTTAAAATAAAAATAAGTATATGTGTGTGTACATTAAACAAATTTACTTTCTTTTATTTGACTTACTTTGTCTTCGTCTGTCCAAGAAGATTCTCCATTGATACTAAATGACTCCAGTTCTGGCTTGAGCACCAACCGAGCCGACAACCAAAAATACATGTGAAGTCTAAAATCTTTTTTGGCTTTCTTGTGCAAAACCCCAACCTTGACCAGCTTCTCGGCAGAAAGGCTTGCGGTTGCAGTGGTTCCGATCTCTTTCCAATTCACATTCACTCGCAATACTTCCTCTTGGCGTTCAAAGAGGTCATTTGTAAATAGATGATCGTATGCAACCGATTCTTGTTCTCTGGATCTTCTTGACCTATTGTATTATATATATATAAGTTTTTGTTTTTGTTTGTGGGGGAAGAGAGAGAGAGGGGAGGGGGGAGGGGGAATTTAACCCTTATATATATACGGTTTCCTTGATTTTTTTACTTCTTTTATATACATATATAAAACAAACATACCCTTGGCGTTCTTCTTTAAATCCAATCTCCCTTGCTCTTCCAGCAGGATATCCAGGATAAATTATCTCAATCAACTTTCGAGCATGATCAGCAATTAGTGTATTTCTACCTGGTATTCTCTCATTAGTCAATCCTTGCTGAATCAGATATGTTTGGATTGTGGCAAGTACTGGTTTTTTTAACAAGAAAAGTTTTGAAGGTGTCTACAAATCCATGTACATTTATTAATTTATTTAATACATTTGTACAATTGTACATTTGTACATTTATACATTAGCCGAGAAATAAATAAATAAACTCATTTAATATCTTAAAAAGGAAAAAATGAAATGTAGATATAAAATACTAAAGACAAAAAAAAACAAACAAAAGGGAAATCTTAATACCATGAGCAATTCAACAGCATTTCTTGTCGAAAGGTTAATGAGTTTTCCAATCTCCTTGATCTGATTCATTGTCAGAATGTGTTGAGTAGATCTCAACTTTCGTTTTTGGTACAATGGCGTATTCATTCTTGTAATATTATTATTATTATTATTATTATTTTCTCTCTCTTTCTTTCTCTCTGTTCTTCTACTTGGTCTTCTTCGACTTCTTTGTCTTTATTAACAATCAACAAAGAGTCTTATTTACTGCTCGACTTGATACAAGATAATAATGAGTTGTAATTAAAAAAATAAAACAAAATATTAATTAAGGTCAGAAATAAAGTATATGAGTGAGACTTTGAGTCACAGACACACAGACACACGCACATTTTTTTTTTGAAGAGTAGGAGCAAGATGAAGAAAGGGACCTGTGGCTTTTCATTAGCATTTGGGATCAAATATGAGCACACAATTTTATGTAGGCATGATTTTTGATACTTGTGATAGTAACACTTTATATCTGCCTGTATAAATATGCAGTAAAGGTGGAAGAACTCTATTTTTCTTGTAATTTACAAGACAAGTGCTACTACAAACGCACATGTACGAATCCACACTTGCATTTACAGACAGGTACATTTATCTTTGGTGCTCATTTTGGTATTAAACTGAGCATTCTATTCACACTGCATTATGCTGGGATTCTTCTTCTTCTTTCTTCTTTCTTCTTTTTGTATTAGAGAATATATTGATATATTTATATTGCTTCTTTCATAACAATGGATTCCCTGAACTAGTAAAAATTATATGAATTTATAAATATAAATATATATAATAAATAAATAGATAAAAGGGGGAAAAAATAAAATATATATAAAAAAAGCTTATATATATATATATATATATATATACATAAAGATAAAGATAAAGAAGAAGAAGAAGAAGAAGAAGAATAACCCTCAATGACTTTGGTTACATTCTCTTTACCTTTCTCTTAGAGTTGATTTTACTTTAATTTTTATTTCTATCCGGTTATTTTTTTTTTTTGGTTAATATCATCAAAGAATAAAGACTAACTATCTCCATGGTTACTTATCAATGAGACAAAGCCTATAGAGTATTGTGGTTTGGTTTATTGGCCAAAGGAAACATTAAGCTCTTGAGATTGGTTCCAAATATAAGTATATATATTTATAAATATATGTAAATATCTTTCATTGTTCCCAGAAAATAAAATATAAAATATAATATAATATAATATAGTACTTCTTTATAGTAATAAACCAAGATCGCTCACAATCCATCGAATGCTTCTTTTGGTAAAAAGACAACAATGCGATTATAATCGATGTCCTCTATACACTTTACACACCCACTTACCAACACATACAGCTACACCTATAGCTACAGCTACAGCTACATACACACATATAAATATATGAATGTATATATATATAGATTCCCCGGGATATTGTTCTTTGTCAATTAAATGAGATCCTTATTTTGTCATTTTTACGCTTCTGAATTATTCAATTCATTTCCACATACATACACACACACACATTTAAATATATATATATATATATCTTGAATAAATAGCCTCATAATATTTTTTATCTTTAACCTCCCATCTTCCTTAGTATCCTTGTCCTTGTTACCACCCTTATCCCTTCCTTTATCTCTTTCTCTCTTTTACTCTCTCTCTCTCTTCCTCTTTCTCATTCTTATTCTCTCCGTTTTTATCTCATATCTCTCCAAGTCTTTATTTCTCTGTAAAATACAAATAGAACCATACGCATCTACCAACCAAACCAAACCAAACCAAGCAGTCTGTCAATCTAGATTATATATCTATCTATCTGTTTATCTATATATTTATATTTATATTTATATTTATATACTTATAATTGTATAATTGTATATTAAAAGAAATGAAACAGGAAGCCTTGAACATGCCATTCCCAGCACCATCAATTGAATTCAGATCGGATTCAGTTACCAACGATCCAGAAAAAGTCAAGGACATGATCGACCTTGCCCAGTTGTCCCGCCCAGTCGGTCGCTCCAGACCTTCGCGTATCCGTAAGCGCAAGCCACACCACATCCCAAGACCGATGAACTGCTTCCTAGCCTACCGTCTTGCAAAACAAAAAGAAGTCGCGGCGTATTGTCCTGGCGCCAATCACCGTGACATCTCCAAGGTTATTGCCAAGTGGTGGCATAATGAAACTCAAGAAGAAAAAAAGCTCTACAAGCGATTAGCCGCCGATGCAAAACACGAGCATTCTTTATTGTGAGTACACAATAAATATATATTTCGATATATCTATATATCTATACATGCTTGTGCGTGTATAAAAATAAATTAAAAACCAAGAAGAAGTACAATTGGATATTCTATAGCTTATATTAACAAGAACAAGAACAAAAAGAAATATTATCATATACATGTATATTAACTATTATTCTTTGTTTATTAATCATTACAACAACGTCAATAATACTAATACTAATACTAATAATAAATACTTAGATATCCAGATTACAAGTACAAGCCTCGCAAAAAGTCAGCAAATTCTGCTGTCAAGAAATCAGAAATCGGTCGAGAATCATCCGAAGAACTTGCTATGCAATCTGCTTACAATACCTTGAAGAACTCCCGTAACTGTAACGGAGGCGGTAGCAATGGCAGTGGCAGTGGCAGTGGCAGTTGTGGTCCAAGCACCAGTGCAAACTCTATCAATACAATGAACCATGGTTTAATCGACACGGGTTCATACGAAAGAATTGGCTACCCTCCTCAGAACAATATCAGCTTTGGGCTCTATCCGAACATAGAGGTTCCTTTGATTGATAGTAGCCAGTCCAACACATGGCAAGCCCCCTTTTTTCCTTACCAATCTTCTTATTTGCAAGCGAATATGAATGAGCCTCTTGGATCTCAGCAGCAGTACATACTTCAAACCCAAGCCCAAGCCCAAAACCAAAACCAAAACCAAAACCAAAACCAAAACCAAAACCAAAACCAAAACCAAAACCAGACCCAAAACCAGAGTCAGAGTCAGTATCAGAGTCCAATCCTGAGCCAAAACCAGCAACACTCTCAAATCCGGAGTCATCATCAGAATCAGACCCTAAGTTCAATTAAGCAAAATTCTCAACAACATCACTACCACCAACACCACCAGCAGCAGCAGCAGAGTAATAGTAACAGTAATACTGGCTATTGTCAGCAAGTGTATCAGCAACAAAACGCACTGCCTTCTCTTTTTTACGGGACTTCTTTACCTCAAATTGATCCTCAGTCGTGTTTTCCCTTGCCTTCTGTTCCATCACCGACTGATTTTAGCTACCTTGGACACGAAACGCCCGCTCAACTGAGTGACACCCATCAATCGCCAGGTTCGGCTTCGTCATTGAGCTCAGTTTATCAGAATGGCACAAATGAGTCAATGGCCTTTGGTTCATTGCTTCGTGAGAACAAAGAGTTTGATGAATTATCACAGCCTCATTGGTCTGGTCAAACCGGATGGCGCCTTGGTTTTCCTGTGGATGAGCCTTTGCCATATTACTTTAAATAACCAATAGAGAATATCAAAAGAAATATATATATATATTCGGATAGATAGATAGATAGATAGATAAATAGGTGTATAGGTATATGGATATATGGGCGGGTGAATAGATAAAAAAAAACAAGAGAAAATGATAAGTAACATCTTTACCCAGTTCCATTATCATCACTATTACTATCCCTATTCTTTTCATTTGTTTCATTATTTGCTTGCTTACTTGTATCTTCTTCTTCTTCTTCTTTGTCATATTTCATTTTATAACTTATCGAACCTTTCTTTTCCAGTTTTTTTTTTTAAAAAAAATTCCTTCAAGGAAACCCCCCAAAAAAAACAAGGGTGTCTTCTTAAAGTTACTGTAGTTTATCCAATTCCAAACACATTGTACATTTCAAACAACTTCTTTATTGAATAAAGAGATAAATGAAACGTATTAACCCATCTGGGTGCCATAAATAAAATAAAATAAAAACACATACACACACATTATGATAAACTTTTGCTTATTTAAAATCTAGAATATTAATCATAATATTAATGCTAATTTTAATTCATGCCATGTGAATTGGATTTAACTGGCATTTGTTAATAGTCATTTTGTAGTGGTAGTGGTAGTGGTAGTGGTAGAAGTAACAGTAGAAGTAGTAGTTTTGGCTTTAATATTTTTTTTATTAAATAAATAAATAAATAAATCAATTAATCAAAAATAATGTAATTAATTACAAAGGTTGATAGAATATGTACTCAATTATTATTATTATCATAAGAAAAAAATATTATGAAAAATGCAGCCAAATTAACAAGGTACATTCAAGACATTTCTTATCCTCTTTCGCGTTTATCTCTTATGTGTATCTATGCTTTAGTAGTCTATCATACTTTGATAGAATACTAATGTAGTACTGTACTATAGTATAATATAATATATTGCACTGCTAATTGTATCAATAGCAATAGCAATAGTAATAGTAATACTATCATGTATATACAAGTAAATTTACTCTTCTTTATACATAAAAAAAAAAGATAAAGAGGTAATGATAGATAGAAAGCAACAACAACAAGTATTTTCTTACTTGTAAGATTGATCAAAAACCTCATAGAAACAAGGTGAGAGTCATGAAATGACAAGAGTATAAATTCACCAAAGAAAAGCCAAGGATTCAATTCATCTGCCCATTGTTCTTCTCTTGACTCTTGTTTCCTGATGAAGCGTTTCTTAATTACTTCCCTATGCATCTTCTTGGGGACTTTGCAAATCCTTGCTCTTCCGGTTAAAAGACAAGAGGGCTCCGAAGAATTTATTACGGGCGCAACTCTTTTACCTCCTCTCAAGATTGGGGTTCCCAGTCCCTTCCCGTAAGATACACTTTGACAGAATCTAAATAACAATTTGTGGGGTTGAAATGCATGTTTGATCTCCTTTTTTCTTACTTTTATTTTGCATCGACTGTACGTCTGGGTATATATATTTATGTAGTGCTAGGGCAGAACTCAGTAACAATGTATTCCAGCCACTCCAAGGCAGCGCTCCTCTGCCTCCATTCCCGGCTAACCCTCCTCTGCCTCCATTCCCCAGTCCCGGTGGTGGAGCTCCTCCTTTGCCTCCGTTCCCTGCCAACCCTCCTCTGCCTCCGTTCCCAAGTCCCGGTGGTGGAACTGCTCCTCTTCCTCCGTTCCCTGCCAACCCTCCTCTGCCTCCATTCCCTAGCCCTGGTGGTGGAACTGCTCCTCTTCCCCCGTTCCCTGCCAACCCTCCTCTGCCTCCATTCCCCAGTGCTATTGAGGATACTGGCTAGGTGATATCGACCTTGCTTCTAAATCACAGAGAGATGGTTACAGAAAAAAATTGTTCTTGCGTTTTGTCATTTTGTGTAATCCAATCTTCCTTTTCTTTTTTTTTTTACTCTGTGAATTAAATTTCTAGCTATCCCATTTCTTCTCTTACTCATTCAAATTGAACTCTTAATAAAAAAAATCTTTTTTTTTTTTTAAAAAAAAAGGGGGGTTTGAAATATCAATTATTATTTCTATAACCACATACACGTATAGATCTATATTCAAATACATCTTGTATATGTGTGTGCGTATGTAAATATTTCTTTGGAAGCACAGGCATTGTCTTGACCCGGAGTTGGGTTTCAATGGCATTTTATTTTTATTTTTATTTGCTTCAGGCGGACAAACACGCATAAAATATAAATTAATATAAAATAAAGAAAATTTTGTCTGTGCATTTGTGTCTTGATAAAATGTTGTCATTTAAGCTGTACCTGATTTTGACTTGCAGAATTTAAATTCCACTTTTTTTTTCTTTCTTTTTCTCTTTAACATGACGTACCATGAGAACTGCATTTATTCTTCTTTTTTTTAATAAAAAAAAAGTCGACTCGCTTCATTTAATATAATTATCGCTTTATTATTATTTCATATCTCTTCTTCTTCTCTCTTATATATACACACACTTTACTATCCAACTTCTTTTATACAATGTCTGCTAGTCAGTGCCTAACAACACTGCCAAGCCCGACACAAGTACTTGGCCTTATAGAACAGCACTATCATGTAGAACCTTCTCCTGGCTGGTTAGCCCGACTGGCGGGCTTCTTACCTTCACTGATCGTCAAAGTGTTCAGCTTCGCCACAATGTCCATTCCACTCTTCTTCTACAGAATCCTCACATGGTCATTCACCCTCCATCTCAACTTCACCTCTCTCTTAGTGATCCTGTTCTGTATGGCCCTGGCTGCCTACTGGGTCGTACGTTACCGTTTCCTGACAACATACTCGAGACTGAAACCAATCGAACCCCCCAAAGTAACCTCTTCATTCGATCTCCATCCAGATACCCCCGAAGACGCCCACGATTCAAAAACCAACTTCAAAAACTATCCAGACGAGTTCTTGTCTGCCTTTCTGTCCTCGATCAAGCTGTTCGGCTATCTCGAAAAACCAGTGTTTCACGAACTCGCGCGCCACCTACAAACCAAGAAGATGCTGGCAGGAGACACACTGTTTAGAAACCCAGACCAGGAACGTTCGTTTTATATCGTCGTCGACGGCCATGTGCAGATGTTCCTCAAGCCAGAAAACGAAGAAGACAACCAGAGTGATTATTATGATGACGACGAAACCAACGAACCAGACGATGGCTGGTCCGGGAACCAGAGCTCGAGAAGCGATCCGTTTGATAGTTACACTCTTATTAATGAAGTAGGTGCCGGCGGGACCCTATCGAGTCTCTTCACAATCCTGTCCGTCTTCCGTGAAAGCTTCAGCATATCAGAACAGAAGGACAAGCAAAAGCAGCGGGTGCAGCAGCAACAGCAACAGCAACAGGAAGCAGCAGCCGCAATCGCAGCAGAGTTGGCTGGGCAAGACAGTGCTAGAGATGGCTGGAGACAAGTGTTTCCAAACATCGAGACCCAGGCAGATACCAGCTTTAATAATTTGTCGATCGATTCAGATCCATTTGTCCTTCGTCGTCCCTCAGCAAGCAGTAGCACAAGCACTTCAAGAAGAAGAAGAAGTCGAACAGGTGGACTTGGTAGCCCGCTCTCGGGTGGTTCGAATTCTCAGGATCTTTTTCTGGGAGTACCAGCTGGAGCAACTGGTGGAGTAGGAGGTGGTGGTGGAGTAGGAGGAGGAGGAAGCTTGTTGTCCCAATCAGGGCGTTCTGTCCACACCACCAAAGATTACTTTGGCGCTCCTTCTCCACGTGCTTACCGCTCTGTACATCCCAATATCATTGCTCGTGCTACAGTCGACACGACCCTGGCCGTCATCCCCGAAGAAGCCTTTCATAAACTCACCCAAAAGTTCCCCAAGGCAGCAGCCCACATCGTCCAAGTGATTGTGACCAGGTTCCAACGAGTGACCTTGATGACCAGTCATCGTTATTTAGGTCTAACTAGGGAGTTGATGCAATTGGAAAAACAGATCAATGAGTCCGTCAGTGTACACAGTCTTCCAGAAGACTTTTTTATGGATGGTAGTATGGACAGGCTGAGACAAAAGTTTGCACACGATGAAGAAGACGATGATGATGAAGGTGAAGAAGACGAAAACAATCAAAAAAGTGGAAAGGAGAATAAATCGAATATCAACAGAACCAAGAACGATAATAATGCCTCAACATCTACTTCAACATCGACCAGTGCTACTACTACTAATAATAATAACAATCGCCGTCAACTGCCAAATAAACCAGCCCAAATTAGTCGGACAGATAGTACTCGACATATTGAGGCCATTGACATTGTCGATCGTCCCTTGACTCCTCGTGCACCAAACCCTCGCCACAACTCTCCGCTGTCCTCAGGTCCTCGTCAGAGCTCTAACCATTCGCCATCACCAGATATCAAGCGCCAGCGTAACGCAGGGACAGATGAAGAGTACAGTGTCGAGGACGACGCTCATCTACGACTGTCTATAATGCACTGCCTGGCAAACTCGCTCGGAATAAAGGCCACCAACCACTCAGCCGAAGACGTATCACGCAACACCCTATCGCCCCTATCGTCTCGACGGAATATGATTACACCTGACACGGGCCGACAGCGCCTGGGAAGTACGGGAAGTGGGAGCATAAACGCAAACCTCTACTATCCGATGGATCTCTTTTCCCATGCAGGAACAGTCGACTCGAGTGCGTCTCCTTCGCTCGACCCTCATATAATTCCCTACGATGATGATGTCGACGCTCTGTCTACTATATCGTCAGTCCATTCGGGAAGTGATATATGGAGCTCTGCAGAGAATGGAAAACGCAATGAAGAATTGTCGGCTGATGATATTCAGATCCTTTACTTTCCCAAGGATGCCGTGTTGGTCAAGGAAGGCGAGCACATGCACGGCATTTACTTTGTAATTGATGGTTTACTTGATGCCTCGATGTCTCATCCTCATGGAGGATCTATTTTGTCCAGTGGTAGCAATAGTACCAGGAACAAATCAAACATTGTCAGGAATAATAACAACAGCAACAGCAATTCTAGAAGCAGCACTACTACCAGCTCTGCCGGTAATAATAAGAGTAGAACAAGCACTCATTCTCCTCGAAAGCCCAACAATTCTCGAACTCAGCCTTCCGTAAGGCCCAACAAGAACTCACGTTTTGAATTGCGGGAATCCTCGTCTTCGACCTCCTTGTCATCCATAGCCTCGTCCTCGAGCCACAATTTACTGTCTGGTCCAGATGTCCATGGAAAGTCAGCCACAGGCCCGTTTTCGTCAGCCGACATGAGATCTTCGGACAATAACAAGATCACGGCCTCCGACTATCCGGCCGGACGACCTCCAGTCGACCAAGAGAATGACAACAATGCCCAGAATGTCAAGCGTGCCATGTTTGTGGTCAAGGCAGGTGGTGTGGTAGGATACCTGGATGCCCTGACAGGTTACCCTAGTTTTACGGAAGTTAGAGCCAATACAGACACCTATGTTGGATTTTTGTCCAAGAAAAGGTTGGATCGTATTATTGACAAGCAACCTTCTGTTATGCTCAAGCTTGCCAAACAATTGGTGGGTCTCTTAAGTCCTCTTGGTAATACTATTTTTTTTCCTTGTGCGGATTTAATATAGTGATACTAATGAGCAAAAAAAATTGCACACACACACATATATATATATATATAATACAATATTCTAGTATTACACATCGACTTGTCTTTGGAGTGGATGCAAGTTCATGCTGGACAGGTCATTTATCAAGAAGGACAACCTAGTGAATCAATTTATATGGTTCTTCATGGTCGACTGAGAACAATTAAAGAGCATAACGAAGGAGACCTTGAGATTCTTGGTGAATTTGGTCATGGTGATAGTGTTGGAGAACTTGAAGTGATGAGTAAGTTTATAATCATTCCTTTCTTTATTTCTCTCACATACACACGCGTGTCTTGCTTTGCTTATAAAACAGTAATAACATCAAGATGAACGACAATAATGATCATAAATTCTTTTTTTTTTTACTAATTTTCTTTTGGTTATTCTGTAGCTGATACCCCAACACCATCTACACTTCATGCTATCCGTGACTCTGAGCTGACAAGAATGCCAAAGACGCTTTTTAATGCGCTCGCTCTGCGCCATCCTGAAATTACTCTCCAGATCTCTCGAATGGTTGCTCTTCGTTCTCTTCAACTTGTCATGCAGCGCAATACTCCTGGTCGTATACAAGGACAACACCGCTTCAATCTTTCGAGCAGTGGCGGTAATGGAACAAATTACAACATTAACAGCAACAGTATCAGCAACAACAACAATAACAATAGCAGCAGTATCAACAGCAACAATATCAACAGCAATAGAAACAATAGCAGCAATAGTAGTATGTCTGCTGCTGCTGCCATTTCATCCATTTCATCGGGCTTTTCGAGCGGTGGTAGCCACGCTCCCGAGCTCTACGGTCGAAACAACGTGAATCTCAAGACGATCGGCATCTTACCCGTTAATGGCGCTGTTCCTGTAACAGAGTTTGCCGAGAGTCTAAAGAACGCATTGATGGAGTCGGTCGGCGCCACCTGTGTGCTACTCAACGCAGCCACTCTGACAACAGTCATGGGCCGCCACGCATTCTCGCGCATGGGTAAGCTAAAGATGGCCTCCTGGCTGGCCGAGCAAGAGGAACGGGTCCGGATCGTGCTGTACTTGGCCGACAGTGGCGTAACGTCTCAATGGACCCGAACCTGTATTCGACAGGCCGATTGTATTCTGTTGGTCGGGCTTGGAGACGGAGACCCATCAGTCGGTGAGTATGAGCGGTTCTTGATCAACATGAAAACCACTGCACGCAAGGAACTTGTTTTGCTACATCGTGAACGGTCCTGTCCTTCTGGTACAACCCAAAACTGGCTCAAGGTAAATCAGAATCAACAAATATATATATAAGAACAAAACCAAAAAAAGAAAAAAAATAGAGAGGAGGAGAAAAATGAATGATTTATTAATTAATGTAATCCTATTATTATTTTGGTAATGTAGAATCGTCTTTGGATTCAGGCCCACCATCACATATTTATGCCAATGCGTCAACACCATGGCACTTGTCCTGATGACCGATTCAGACCACCTTGGTTAGCTGAGCAAGGCCGTAAGATGACGGCCGGGTCGATTAGTATGTTGAACAATGTCAAAGGACAACTGGAAAAGTATTATCTGGCTGTACCTACATTTGGGCGCCTGTTGGTTGTCAAGAAAAAGGGCGGAGAAGGTTTGAATAGTGTAAGTTCCACAGCCCGGAACGACTTTGCCAGGTAAGATATTATGATTATAATTAGTACTATTGTTATATCTATTATGATGTATGTATGTTTAAAGTACACACACACATACACATACACATGCACATTTATATTTATATATACAAAATACTTAATTGATTTGTCATAGATTGGCTCGGCGAATCTGCGGAAAATCTGTGGCGTTGGTATTAGGCGGTGGTGGCGCAAGAGGTATCAGTCACATTGGTCTTATTCATGCCTTGGAGGAAGCAGGTATCCCGATTGATATTGTTGGTGGTACGAGTATCGGCAGTTTCGTGGGTGGGCTATATGCAAGAAACATGGATCTTGTGACGACAATTGCACGCACCAAGATGTTTGCTGGTCGGGTTTCGAGTATCTGGCGTCAGATTATGGATCTTACTTATCCGGTAACTGCTTGGTTTACAGGTAACCAAAAGAAAGAGAGAGAGAGAGAGAAAAGCAACAATACAGATGAAGATATAGGCTATTAACAATATATATATGGAATGTTTAATTAATACAGGTCATGAATTTAACCGTGCTATTTGGAAATGCTTGGGTGATAGCCAAATCGAGGACTTTTGGTTGCCGTACTTTGCTGTAACAACCAACATCACCTTTTCTCGTATGGAGGTGCACACAACAGGTTATGCCTGGCGCTACATTCGCGCATCGATGTCATTGTCAGGATACATGCCTCCGATCTGCGACAACGGAAACATGTTAGTCGACGGTGGCTACATGGACAATTTGCCTGTATCGGTAGCCAAGAATATGGGAGCCGACATCATCATTGCTGTCGACGTGGCTTCCGAGGATGACACGAGCCCTGTTCACTATGGCGACTCGATCAGTGGCTGGTGGGCGCTTGTGCACAGTTTCAATCCTTTCCGAACCTACAACATTCCAAGCATTGCCGATATCCAGAGCCGCCTGGCCTATGTCAGCAGTGTGTCCAAACTTGAAGAAGCAAAGATGATCGATGGCACGCTGTATGTCAAGCTGCCTGTCCAGCGTTGGGGTACTCTGGAGTTCAACAAATTCACAGATGTAATGCAAACCGGGTATGATGTCGGACGCGAGGTCGTTGGTCGCTGGCGTAAAGCTGGATATGCAACCGGACGTCTGACCCACACTGATGGTGAATCTATCTTGCGTGGTAAAGAAGTCAAAGGAAAGCGTGGAAGACGTAATAGTGTTTAGAATATTATCACACACACAAAATGCACACACACACACTCACTCACTCACTCACATACACATATATTTTTTTAAAAAAAGAAACTCATTCAAATATACTTTTATATATATAGTAAGAGAAAGATTCATAGAAAAATAAAACATTTGAAAAGTAAAATAAAATAAAAAGTTTCATTATTAAACACTGATTATTTTAAATGTCTTGCAATTTTGATACCCATTGTTGTCCTTGTTTCTTAACCTTGGCAAGAAGATCAAGGTCAACTGGTTGCTTTGATTTGACATGAGCCATAATCATTGCATGGGCGTCGTTCAACAACTTTGCTTCCTTTGACTGGTCTTTGGCCTCCAATTGAGGTGTGCAGTGTCTAATGATCAACGGCACGTATTTTCCAGACACCGAAAAGGGTGTGTTATGATAAATATATTCGAAACAAATCAGGCTGGTAATGTGCAAGATTGAAGGACCAGTCGATTCACTCAAGCTGCAAGTGTTCAATAAACGACCTAAAGAATTCACCATGTCTTTCCAAGCCTGTCTGATAGTTTATATTGTATAAATTGATGTGTATGTGAGTAAAGTAAGCAAAGTCTTTTTTTTATCAAGCCTTACTTTTTCACATTCTCTGTCAAAGGCTTGAAGAAATTGGGAGGGCTGCTTTCAAAATAGCTCAAGAATAGATCTGGTTTCTATCAGAATAAGTTTGATCAATTGAATGTTTTCTAGCTGTATATCTCTATGTGTCTCTGATACTTACTTTGCCTGCGAGTGCTGCTTGATGCAAATCCTTTAGTTGGACATCTGATGAATGGACCTCTAACATGCGCTGGATGGCCATCTTCTGGTGATCTTCACTGATCTTTTTCTGATTTTCTAAATCCTTTTCAGATACCCCAACAGCATCTTCAACGCCTGCAATGTCATAGGCTTCTGAGAGTGTTTGGAGAACCAAAAAATTGTACAGCCATTCCAGACATAGTACTCGAACAACATATTTCTCAAGGCTTTTATTTCCTGACTCATCTACCAAAAACAGATAGACATATATAAAATAGCAAATAATAACAATACACAAGAAAAAAAAACAAGATTTGTTAATTATTATTTTTTGTATTACACCATGTTGTTATTGTTGTTGTATATGCCTTTATTACCTTTAAATATTTGGATCGCTTGTGTGGTATAGACAATGGTCTGGTGCAGGGTAGACAATAGGGTCTGTTGACGTTTTTTTAAAGCCTCGATCCATTGACTTTCTGGAGACAGCAAAGTACCACTGCCATTATTACTACTAGGCAAATACACTGTTTGAATAGCACGTTGAAAGGCGTCTGTCATTGGTCTGCGAAGGGTTGTTGATACACTCCTGGCAAAAGATTTTTCCAATCCACACTCTTCTATCAAATATTTACATATCTAATATTTTTTGGTTTTTTTTGGGGGGTTAAAATTATATTGTTATTATATTTTGTTGTAAGTATATATATATATATATATGTATGTATCTGTGGTTGTTGTACCTCTTGTTCGGTCAACACTAATCCCTTGTCATCAGCACGATGCTTTTTTCCTTTTGAACTGTGCGTTTTCTTTTGCTGTTGGATTTCCGAGAGAGCTCTTTTGTTCAAAAAGTCTGTAGAAGATTTGATCAATTCTTCAAGGTAACGAGTAGAGGTAACGAATCGAGATTCCAATACTATCAATCTATTTTCAGGGTCTGCCAAAGAACCCAGACTGCGCCGAGAAGTGGTAGGTGAGGTCAAGTGAGTTAGTCGGGTCATTGTGTGTTCCAGAAGTCCAGTGGCATCTGCAGGAGTGAATACAAATGGTGCCCATGCCTAGAAAACAAAATTGTGTGTGTAATGTAAAATTAAAATTAAAATTAAAATTAAAATTAAAATAAATATGAAACTTGATAAAAATTTTTTTGGAATAGAATAGAAACTTTACGGATGCATCTAGCCAAGTGCTGGTGTCATAGGTTTCTTGGATCTTTGCTTCTAATTTCTTGACAAGGTCTTCTGTGGCAGCACAGCCATCAAGGAGTAGAATATTCGGATAATTCTTTTTCAGGAGATCTGTTGGGTTCATGTAAGGATAATGGCGTACGACTGTTTCATATTCTAAAGACAAAGAGATAAATAAATAAATATTTATTTATTCATTTGGTGTTTTCCAAAAGAGTTAAAAGGGCTATTTACATGTGTTAATTACGTACCAATGTAGCCAGCTGCTTCCAATAAAGAGAATATCAATTCCACTTGACGGTCTCGATAAACAGTAGGTTCAAAAACTGCTCTTTCACGTCTTCCTCGGAAATGTCCTTTGAGTACGTTTTCTTTGGCCAAACCATCTACCATGACTATATGGATAGGTTTGCTTTGTGCATAAGTTGCTTGAATTCATATGCTTCTTTCTGGTTTTGGTTTTTGCAAAACTTGCCATAGAATAAGGGTTCTTGTATAACAAGACTCTTTTGTAGCTTAAACATAGATAACGGTCTAATTTCCAAATAAAAATAAAAATAAAAACAATGAATAATCAAGCGATACAAGGATCAAAGGCCAAAGACAATTCAAGCTAATCTTGTGTGTATTTGTGCAATTCTATTCTTCCCAAGATAAACTTACTCGGACGCCTCTTCCAATGCTCCCTTGATAGTTTCTATACTTTTGTTGTAATATTCTTCTGAAAGAATCAAGTCTGGAAGAGTCGAATACTTTATGTAGTCCTCATTACACAAGAGTTTTTCATCCAATATCTTTTTTATATATATAAATGAAAATGATAAGTTATGTATCTCTAAACCTTCATACTCCTTTATCTCTTTATATCTTTGTGTCTTGTTTAACTAATCAGAATACACTTACTGTCTGTAGAAATGCATATGGAAGGCTAATTGATTGTGCTTGGGCCAATACAGAAACCCAGCCAGTTTGATCAACACGATCTTTGATTTGATTTATAAACCCATCGATATATTTACTTGAATATGTAATATATAGAGATGTACATTGATAGATATGTATTTATTAATTTATTAATTGATTGATTAATTAATTAATTAATTAAAATTCAATTCAATTCAATTCAATTAATCAAATAAGTATATATGAATCACTTATTTTATTTACCTGGTAAATACAAGATCATCTACTTTGATAAACTCATTAATGTCATTCAATGCTTGAATGATGCAACTCTGTTCGAGATTAAGCAAGTCTGCCAATTCAGCAATAGATGCTCTTCCTAATCTCAAGAAAATAAAAACTGATGTCAAGAATACAAAATTTCTTATATTCTGTATATAAAAGAGCTTCAAAGTTATCTACCGTGTTTCATAACATGGTTTTGGATTGAAAGTTGAATGTGCTGTTTGGTAAGGTAGGATTCGCCATCGAGGGTTGGTAAAAAGTCATTGAGATAACCTCGTTGAATGCCTTGGTCAATCAGTTTTTTAAACAGAGTTGAAGTAAGAAGTACACTATTAACCATTATTAACAATACTAATAATGATAGTAATAACCTATAATAACTAATATAATATAATATAATATAATATATTAAACTTGTCTATCTTTTCTAGGTACCATTTTATTTTATTTTTAATATATATATAAAAAGGTAGGAAAGCTCTTGTTTGTGACGTTTGATTAAAGAGAGAAAGAGAGCAAAATTGTACCAAGTCTAAAGTTCATTTCTCTTTTTGTAATACTAAACCAAAGAAAATGGTTCAAGAATGCTAGGCTTTATTATTGACCATTGATCAGCTTAGGTTTCTTACCCCCTTTTTTATTCTATTTTACTATTTAAACCGACACTATGATTGATAGCATTTTCAATCTAAATGTAAATGTAAATTAATTGATTGATTGATTGATTGATTGATTGATTCGGTTGTCATTTTATCAATCATATGTATATATACATTATTGAATAAATTAAAGAAAGCAAGAGAGAATATCAGTGCATTTGTTAACCATGATTGACGCGCCTTTCTACTATCATTCTTCTTCTTCTTCTTCTCCTTATTTTTATTATCATTTCTGATGTTCAACGAAACAACTAACCCACTGGCAAGAAACAAATTCTTACTATCGACAATCATATTAGGCTGGGTAAAATAAACGAAATTGAATTGCATTGAATATAAAATATACACTTTTTTCTTCATAACGTCTTACTCAAACTCAAACGCACGCATAGTCTGGTTGGAGTACTGCATTAAGTGGGGCATGTTTACTAGGTGTTATCAATGGGGCTTGGTGGATAGTTGTATATGAATTCGGTATATTGGCAGCCATAAGTTGGACGTTCTGGTCCAATACGATTGATGTCTATCGATTAGCAGTAAGTTGCTTATTTATTTATGTACATATTTCTTTCTTTCTTTCTTTCTTTTGAAACAGGTTAATAAAGAAGTGTTAAATGATATATAAATATATATATAAAAATAAATAAATAAAAAAAAAAGATATTGACATTTTTAGCTGCAAGTATCCCTCTTTTGACTATCCAGGTTGACTTTGTACTCCATGCACATATTTCTTTTGATAATGTGTCTGTGGGTGCATACAGTATTGGTTATATAGTTCTGCTTGTAACTCAAGTAAGTGTCTGTACATACATATATTTTGCGTTGATTTTTAGATTTAGATAACGTGTATTACATGGGAAAAAAATATGAAAAGAAGTGTATGTGTTTTATAAATTAAGTAACCTTTATTTATTTACCAAAAACAAAACAAAAAAAAAGTACGTTCTGGTGATTGTACTTGGCAGTGGATCGAATAGTTATCTTGGTCGGTTGGGTTCAATTGATTCAAATGATTCTGGTTCTGGTTCTGGTTCTGGTTTTGGTCCTGGCTCTGGCTCTGGTGTTTTTGAGCCTAGATCAGAAAAGCAAATGGAACCATCTGTACAAGACAAAAGAATCTCGATGCCTAATCGGGTCAGAATCCCGGAAAGTGACACAACGCTTGTCCACAAGTCCCACTCCAGCCCATCTCTGGCTGCCAATCTAGATCGAGATATTTACACCCTTTCAATAGATTAAAATCACCTATACATATCTATCTATATCTATATATCCATACGCTTACAAACATACTTACACAAACACAAACACAAACACAAACATAAACACTCAGTCAGATATATATATATAAATAATAATATAATAATAAACGGAATTGATGCCTTCAAAGTCAAGAATTCCCATATATATATATATATATATATATAATTTATTTTATTTTATCTAATATAAAAAAAAAAGACTAGAAATAAAAAGTACTTATACCAAGGGGGTGGTCAGACATGGTAGCCTAATTTTTGTACAATTTGTCTTTATTTATTTATATATATATAAATAAATAAAGTAAAATCTAAATAGGTTAAAAGGAGGTAGGTATGATGAAGGATGAAAAGAAGGTGTATATTAGGGGGATGGGGGAATAGGAATGGATTAATAAGAATATTTTACACACGATAAATTTTTCTTTTGACATTGACATAATTATTAAACCCAATGACTTTTATCCAAGCTAGACACTTTACACACTTTATATACTTAACACACGCACAGTGACAGAATGATCTTGTTGCTATATATATATTTAAAAGAAGCTTTACAAATCAAAGGGTTTCGAGTAATGCGATCATAGTGCAATAAATTTAAAAATACCAACCTATCATCATTTTCACCTTTTGCATGATAATCGAGTGAATTGTCATATATATTTGATTGGGAAAATATTGCATAATAATAATTATTATTAATAAATGGCAATAACCATGGTAACGACAATGCATAAAATGTTTCTTGATTTTGTTTGCACCAAAAAAGAAATAAGGACAGACAGACAGACATATATATATATAAGATGGATTTTATGTAGTAGGTATATTTTGTATGGCATCATTTTTCTTTTTATGCTTTTAGGTTTCAAGCCAAGCCTGTAGAACTTGAGACTCATGTTCTTTGTTTTCTAGTGGTGTATATAATTTTATTTATTTATTGATTAGTTCATTTTACATCAATCAATTGATCAATAAGCTATCTATATATCCGTCTGTCTCTGAGCATGTGAGAATACATATATCTTTTGTTTGTTTGTTTCAAGGACCCTCAGATACTGTTCTTAATCTTAAGCTTATATTTTATGGTTATAGATACATGTGGGTTTATACTTATTTATAAAAATTAGTAAAGCTCTATCTATTGTAACAGATCCTTGTGGCTGTGAAAAACTAGACTAAATAAAAACAAATGTCTTGATGCATTAAGATCCCTTTATTAGAAAGAAATAAGAAGAAGAAGAAAAAAAAAACGCCAAGCACACAAGGAAAACGGCATGGCTGGTGTCATTCCACCCCCTTTTTTCTTTCTTTCTTTCGTCCTCCTTACTATCAAAAAGAAAGACATTATTACAAGCCAATATTTTTTATCAGACTGCTTGTTACCAATATACTGTGAGTGAGTAATTAGAACAAATGATTAAAGAAATAAAGGAATTTGGATCAGAATGTCTATTTACAACTCAGATTAATTCCACTGCCAAACGAGATATATAAAAACCATTTTTATTTTACATGCCATTGCAAATATGATTTGGGCGTTTGGACATTCTACATATCATATCTATGTGGATCAAAAGATCACGTGATATACTCGGAGGTTTAATTGATAAGGGGGAGAAAGGGAAAGGAAGATTTAATATTGAAAAAAGGAGAATGTAAAAATTGATAGATTTGATAGATATGATAGATATGATAGATATGATATAAAACCAGAGTCATAAGTGAATATTGTATTATACACAAAATAATAATAATGATAATTCAATTGACGGTAAGAACGAACGGGACTTTTTTTTTCGATTTAACTTATGCCATATTTTTTCTTTTCATTATTATTATTATTACTATTATGCGCTATAACATATGGTGATAGTAGATAATACTAAATGATAATATCTAATAGTAATTCAAAAGACAGACAATGTAAAATATATAGATTTTTTTTCTTTTATTTGAAAATTATAAGAAGAGAATAAATACACTGTACAAAATATCCTCCCTCCCATTTGTGTGTGTGTGTGTTTTTTTTAAATACAATATATATATAAAAAGGGAAAAAATGATAATTATTAGTTTAGGAGGGAGGGGGGGCTGTTTTGGGGGCTTTTTTTTTTGTTGGTTAACAAAAAAAAGAAGAAAGGAGGTCGGTTACTATACACATTATTTGATTTGGTTTGGCTTGGTTTGTTTGTTTGGTAGGATAGGATAGGATAGGATAAGTTAAGGTAGGGTAAGCTAAGCTAAGCTAAGCTAAGCTAAGGCAAGGTAAGGCAAAGTAGATCGGCTAACAGATAGGTCCGGTAGATAGATAGGTAAAATTGGTTGGTTGACTGAATTGAATTGAATTGATTCAGTTGGACTGAAATGTAAATTAAAGAAAGAAAGGGGGCTTTTTCTTTCTTTTTTTTTTTCTTTTGCTGGCTGTATTGTTGCTGAGGGGTATTTGATTGTGGAATATTATGTGTGTATATCTGTTGTCTGCCTGTGTCTGTGTGTGTGCTGATGTATGTACGAATGTATGAATGTATGTATGTATGAATGTGTATATATATATATATATATGTGTGTGTGTGTGTGTTGATGTTTGTATGTATATTGCTTGGTTTGGTTTGGTTTGGTTTGGTTGATATTTAGCATTGCCATTGTGGACGTGGGGTATAGTGATACTGGTCTTCAGCAGGGTCAACAAAATCTGGGAAAGACACATAGGTTTTCTCGAATTGGGTCAATGCGGCATTGGCTGTTTCTGTCAAGGCCTGGGTACTGCATGATTTTTTGGCATCAAAGGGATGAATGAGAGCAGAGACCAGCTGTTGGATAAAGTCACGAAGAGTTGGTTGCATCATCATAATAATTATTGTATAGTGTAGATAGACAGATTAAAATAAGCAAGTGAGAAATAAAGCAATGAATGAAAGAAAGAAAGGAACAAAAAATAAATAAAATAATAAAAAGGTCAATATATATATATATTTATGTATTGATTACTTTTATTTATTTTTTAATTTTCGGACCTAACCATTTTTATTTTTTATTTTTTTTTGCAGTGTACAAGTGGCTCCGGTACCAATCTGCGCAAGTTCAATTTTGATTTTCTTTTTTTTTTCTTTTTCTTTTTGGATTTTTGTACAGTTCAATTTTCGTTTTTGTTCAGTTCAATTTTAGCTTTTGTAACAAACTGTGTATATCTAATCCACTCAGCTCAGCACTTGATATATATATATATATATATTCAAAAGTTCATTAATAGACAGCCTCTTTAATAAATGCCAAGTTATAATTCTAGCTTGTCACAAAAGCATAATCTGTATAGTATGACGATAATGTCTTGGAAATCCTTAATCTATACCTTTGATATAATAACAATAATGTTAAAAAAAAAAGAATTGTCATCATTACATTATGTTACATCTACATTATATCAAATCAAGCCAAGTCAATTTATTCACGCACACACTTTAGACTCACAGGTGTCAAAGTAATAGTAGTAACATTAGGATACTGTAAAGTCAAAAGGAATATTATACAATCAGCAGCAGTGACCTTTTTTGTTTTATTATGGACCCAAAGAACAATAAGCCTGTGTCTTGTTGTCTACAGGCTAACTAGAAGGATTCCATTTTCGTTATTAAAGAAACCTTAAATACATAAATAAAGGACCAGCATTGTTCGTTGTATATAGCAAGTATTATGATACTCTCACATGTATATGTGTCGTCCTATTAAGAGAAAAAAATGTTCTGGAATTTGATATAGCCACCGTAATTCTTGTATAAATGATAATATTGATCAAAATCTCAAATAGGTTTTCTTTTCTTTTTTTTTTTTTTTAAGAAAAAAAAATCTAGTGAAACCTATAATCATTTATCTTTTGACTCAATTCTTACTATCAATACCACCTATTGTATGTAATTATGTGTATATTAACTGACAGGCATATTTCAAAGTAGTATACAAGATATAGATGAGGCTGGTAGCTAAAATGTGTATATATATAACCCACCAACAGAATAGCAGAGATTTCTACCTATTTTTGGTTAAATTTAGTGGGTTTGAGCTATAGATTTAAGGTTTGGCTAAACTATAAAAGTTAATTCTGGCTTCAGAATCATCAGTTTTTTGTATGTGGAACAAATAATTAAAAAAATTGTTATTCTTCAGCAGACCTGGCTAATCTTTTTTATTATTATTAGTATTATTATAATTCAGAGACCATTGGGGGGGTACTCAACTTTTCGGTCAAGAAAATAAAAAATAATTGTATCCAATCATATATATATATAAATGTAACTGCTTTTCTTTTTAGATAGAAAGAGTATTGCTTACTTGTTTATATAAAGAGGATATACAACACGATTAATTTATGGAGTAATGGGTGACCCTTTTATGGAAATATGAACAAAAAGGTTAAAGGATTTGAAGTTTAACCCTTGATTCGGCTAGTAAGTTGTACAGCTCTAAAAGGATACCGTTGTAAATAGATATCTATAGTGTATTTTCGTTTAAGGTTCATGATCCCCTATACCTTTCTATTGCGTGGCCATGTTCTTTCAGTCCAAAACCTAGAGCCACCATCTTCTTGTTCTCGGGCCAAAATAACAATAACATTAACAGTATACAAGCAAGAGGGTTTGGCCACAATGAAGCCAATATTTTATTTTTATTTTTATTTTTATTATTTGATGTCAAGCTTCATTATCAAATTTACAGTGTAAGGTGTGGTTATATAAATCTGTTTATAATATATTCAGAGCCTTCTTTGCTTTCTCTTGGGATTTGTAAAGAAGCCTGCAATAGTTTCACTTGGATTGCCATTTGTTTTGGAACCACCCTTGACCAGAGAATGTTTCTTCCATGCGTCGACAATGATTATTGGCTTTGGATAATCTTTTCCGATAACACAGCCAGATCTCCTTTGCTCTTCTTCGGTCATAATCCAAGGCGCATGGATCTTTTGAGTAGGAACATTCTTGAGTTCTGGACACCAAAGCTTGACATAATTGCCTTTTGGATCATAATCTTTTGCTTGCTTGATGATATTAAAGTGTCTAATTGACTCACGCGGGTCACACCCAACTCCAGATACTTGTTTAAAACATAAAAATTAAAATTAATTTCTCTTTTCTTTTGTGAGGTACAACTCTTACCGTATTGCCAATTTCCATAGTTTGAATAGACATCATGATCTGTGAGATAAGATTCAAACCACTCTGCACCCATTCTCCAGTCGATATAAAGATCCCTTGCTAGAAAACTAGCTACATTTTGTCGACCACGATTACTAGCAAATCTACAAAGCAATAAAGATCAGTACAACTTTTCTTTATTTTTATTTTTCTTTTCTTTTGTCCTACATACCCTGTGAGTTTCATTTCTCGCATAACTGCATCTATAAAAGGCACGCCCGTGGTACCTTGACACCACTTTTGAAACGTTTCTCTGTCTTTGAGCCAGACCCCAGTGTACTTTTTTGACGCTGGGTTTGGTGTTTCTTTGGGGCTCTTTTTAAGGAGTTCTAGTTTTTCCACGCTTTGGAACCCATGTAGATAGAAGATCTGATTTCCAAACCCGGCTGACAAGTACCTCCAGTAATCACGCCACAGTAGTTCAAACTTGACCCAATAGGTACCCAGGCTGTTGTCATCATTTGTCGTATTTCCATTGGATGTCGTTTCTGACTCTGGCTTTTTAGATATGGACTCGTACCGGTCGATTTCGTGCCAAATCAGCCGTGGGGAGATGCAGCCGTGTGCCAAAAAGGCCGAAAATTTGGTAGAGTAGTCAGTACCAATCAACCCATTCCGGGTCTGCTTGTATTCTGCAATCCTATCCGTGCCAAACAGATAGTAATCAAGCCGGCTCAAGGCTGTCGTCTCCCCTCCAGAAAATGGATACGCCGACCGACTATCAGCCTCGAACGGAGGACATATCTTATTCAAAATACTCTCAAGGTCACTATTGTCAGCAGGTGTCGACCTTGACCTTGAGCTTGAGCTTGACCTTGATGTCAATGTAGATGGTGATTTGAATTCGTGTCCACTGCTGGGGAACTGCGGGAGCTCTTTAGGAATCTCAAGTAAGGCTCGGACAGGCCTTGGCATGGCTTCAATCCGTTTCCGAAAGGGTGTAAAGACGCGTGGGGTCTTATCAAATGTGAAATTGACATCTCCAGGGTGGATCATGGTAGTATCTGAGTGGAATGTGATATTGAAATCCTTGGATAGAGCGAGTTCGGTCTGCAGTTCTTCATACGCATACTAGTGTGTGAATTTTAACCAATAAATCAATGTGCACAATCAGTCAAAGGTAATTATGATAATGATGGTCAAGCAATCACAGCAATAAAGAAAAGAAAAGAAAAGAACGAAAAAATAAAATAAATGACATTTGATCCCCTTTCCCTCGCCTCTTTGATTAAAGCATACTAATCTCCATGTGAACAAATTCTTATGTCTATTATGTGTGGATATGGTATACCTCTTTGTGCGTGTGAATATGGCCAAGTGTGAGCCCTTTTTTGGCCAAAAAGTCTCTGAGCTCTGGTAAAAGTTTCTCTGGCTCGCCATAAAGTACCAGTAAATCACTTTTCCTTTTTAGCAAATTATTCTTGAGATCCAGGATACTTTCGATTATGAACCTTGTTCTAAACCGCGAACATCGATCGATACCGTAGTGCCATGTGGTAGGGGGCTTAAAGTCGGTCTTGAGTAGCCCGTTGAGCGCAGAAAGGTCCATCATTCGTGGATCCAGGCACACCAAAGGCAATAGGGTGTCTGGCTTGGACTGGATTGCATGATACAACGACATGTTGTCGTGAACACGGAATATATTTCTAAAGAAACAGATATTGACAGACTTCATTTTCTTCTTCGCTTGTTGTTGTTGTTGTTGTTGCTGTCCTTGTTGTCCTTGTTGTAAATCTTGATACGTGTTTCTTTATTTCTTAATTTGTTTTATATATAAAGTGAATAAGGTTAAAAAAAGGATAATAAATTAATACTTTTGCTGAGAACCTTTGACTTTTTTTTTTTCTTTTTTGCTTTATGTTAAAGAATATATGTGACTGCTGGGATCGCGAATTGGATCGATCGGTTTTAGCATCGATGAATGATGAATGATAGATTTACCGTCTTTGATCTCAGATATAGACTTACACAAACAACAACAACAACAAGAAGAAGAAGGTAGCTTATGAATTAAGGCGTCTTATTTATTTATTTATATTAATATTATAGTAAGATACTAGGGGGAGAATGTTGTTTGCTTTTTTGCCTCCTCTTCTTTTGTTTTTAAAATAGAAAACAGCATAGCACTTGGAAAGCACTATAATGTAGAATTGTATTCACAATATATATATATATATATAGACGTATCATAGCAATGAAGATATTTAGAAAGATTAGTAGATATCTGTTGGGTCCCAACACATTCGGTGTGCTTCTTGCTTGTGATAGTCATCAAGAAACGCCATATCCTAATAGTGTACAGTATAAGACAGTAAGTAAACCACAAGATGTGTCAATTATTCATGTATAGTATTAAAAGCAAAACAAAATAAAGGGGGAGAGGTGAGAAGAAGTTTAAACTTTATCCTCCCCTCCCCCTTTTCTATTTCTTCCCAAAACAAAACAACAAACACACACACACGTACTTGTCCTGACAGTTCAAAAGAAAACAAATCTCCATTGGTCTTTACTCTATCTGGCTTTGTAGACTTTGGTATGACTGCCCAATCGTGCTGAATAGCCCAGCGCAACAAGACCTGGGCTGGAGAAACCTGCAGCCGCTCGGAAATTGGATCGAGTTCTTTGATGGCATATTTGCCTTTCAAGAGCTTTCCTTCGCCGAGACTCGAGTAGGCCTGTATCTGGATTCGGTTCTCTCGACAGATCGACAGGATCTCGGGTTGATAGAGTGCCGGGTGAAGTTCGAATTGGTGCACATGTGGTAGGACGGTGCAGGTGTCGATCAAGTGCCTCAAGTGCTTTTCGGTATAGTTGGATACTCCAATGTGCCTCAGTTTGCCTTCTTTCAAAAGCTGTTCGAGTGCTCTGTAGCTCTCTGATCGGTTCTCCTTGTTCTTTGGATCATCCAATTTGTGTTTCGATGTCCTATTATTACAATCATCATTTAGAATGTTTTTTTTTAATTAATTTATTTATTTAAGATAAGAATACAAGAAGCCCGCAAGACCAAGAAGTATTAATTAAAATCTTAAAATCTTCGATAAATCATATTCAAATTATAGATATATTGATGTCTTGATTGAATTTGTTAAAGTACTATCATACATATATATATATATAAATGTTTTTACCCTGGCCAGTGAATCAAATAAAGATCAATATAGTCCAGCTTGAGTTTCTTGAGAGATGCAAGGACAGCTAATAATGCATTTTGTATTCTCGTATTATTATTTTGAAAATTGGCAGAAATATCGAAACAAGTATTCATTTTACACCTTTACATTTTTATAAGATAAAAATTTAGATGTTCTTTTCTTTATACCTTTGTAGCATTCTTCATATCCTTGGTTTCTTGGAGCTTAATTTAAACATGAGTTCACAATCATTAGAATTAATCAAGTGCAAACAAGACAAATTATATAGATAGATATATAGATAGCGTGTGCATAGAAAAGTCGAGATTTGCCTGTTGTGATTCTTACATAGCTTGGATGTGACAAAGAGGTCTTTTCGCTCAACGCCAAATGTCTCGTCATTGATTATTTCATTAATAATTTTACCAATTGCTTCTTCGTTTCTATAGACAGTAGCCGAATCTAATGATATTAATCATAACGACAATACAGTAGTGATAGAAAAACACTAGGATATTAAAATACTGTTCTTATTCAATGTCAATATCAATATTACCAATAAGTCTATATCCATTACGAACAGCTTCCTTAACTACAGGTCTGAGTTCCCCCAAGGTCTTCATTCTGTAGGTACCCACTGTCAAGTATCAAGAAGAATAATATATATATATGTGTGTGTGTGTGTGTGTAAACAAGTTTTAAAAAAAAAAACAAATAATAAGAATATTGTTTTGTTATTATGCGTCTTCTTCTTTAGTCGTTTGATTGGTTTGTTGGTTTGTCGGTTTGTTGGTTGTTTAATTTATTTTTCTTTGGTTCTTACAGCCAATCTTTGGCATGGTGGTTCCGTCATGGAGTATGAATGATGCTTGGTTGTCTGTCATTTCTTATTTGTTTGACAATGCACAAGATTTCAGTTGAAATGAGTAGTCAGGCAGTAATTGTTGAATATTATTATTTATTTTATTTTTTAAAAAAAATGTCTAAATTTTAACAAACACACACACACATAGACAGACACAAATTTTATTGGTCAAAACAAGATCAAGACAAAAATAAAATAAAAATAAAAGGTCTACATGTCTTTGGCCTTTAACTCTGCTTATACATACACACACATACACATGTACATATTTACCTTTATTGCATTAAGTTTCTGTTTGATTAATAAAATGAAATACGTGTTACAGACAGACATAAGAATAGGTGAGCAATTAACTATAGGCTTTAGATACATTTGTTTAATAAATTGTAACAAGGAAGCCATGTATAATTATTATTATTATTATTATTATTATTATTATTAGGAATAGTTAAAATAGTTGTATTGCAGGGAACAGGGTGTATGTGAAGATAAAGAAAGATATGCTTGAATGAGTATGAATATGAGTATTGCTTGTAGGGGTTGCTGCTGTTGCATCGGTATAAATGAAACAAGGAAATAAATTTACATGAAGAAAATGAAGAAAATGAAATGAAATGAAATCTATCAATTAACTAATTAATTAATTAATTTAATAAATAAATCAAAATATATTATTATTATTCTTCTCTTTTTTTTTAGAGAGTTGGTAGGTATGTAATGTTTGTATTAAGATTCTTTAATCTGTTCCATATTATGCTTGTTTTTCGAAGAGACTTTGTACTTGTGGCCGTGCTTGCAATACTGTGGCAACTTGAGCTACTAGTCAGACGCGGAGAATTGGTTTTGTTGGTCTTGTTTTTGTTGGAATTGTGGGAGTTATGGGGGTTATTGGGGTCGTCAAATTGATTAAGAGACGAGACTGAGGGAGAGGCCGAGAGGGGGCTTGACTTGTAAGGAGTCGAAGAAGACGATCGTTTGTGAGATGGCAAGGGAGGTAGTGGAGAGCACGGAGGAGCAGTTGGAGGAGCAGTCCAAGGATGTGTGGCGCCAGCAGCATGTAAGGATAGGCGGGACGGAGGTGAGGCTACAAGGAAGGCGTCTGACATTGACATCCGCGTCAGGATGTCAATCGACGACCGTGGTGCAGAATGGGAGCGCATTCGATTAGGCTTGTTGGGCTCCATCTGGTCCATCCAGGCCTCTCGTTCGTTGAGCAGGCTGTCGAGAATCAATCGCTTGTTCTCCAACTCATCGGACTGCAGCGACATCTGGGCTTCCAAAAGCTCTTCGACGGCCAAGTTTTCCTGGACGGGTTGGATCAAATCCTCGATTTTGCTGTCCAGCTGTTCGATGAGCTCATTTTGCTTGAGAACAACTTTGTGCAGCCGGTTGCGCTCCAGTATCTGTCTTGTCAGATCATTTGTGTACATCTGAACCATCTTGTTGGCCCAATCCTGGCATGCAGCCAAGTTTTGCTCAAGTTCAACTTCAAGGCTATTCACATCTGGAAGTGAGAATAATAATGTTTTCTGTGGTTGTGAAACATTCTGTGGAGCCTTTTCCTCAGTAGATTGCAGCTGGTTACACAATAACATCTTTTCAAGATCATTGCACTTCTTTGAGACTTGCTCGAGTTTATCTTTTAGACATTCCACCTGCAGCTCATAGTATTTGATAATCCTGTCGTCGCCTTTAGATTTCTTTTCAAGTTCTGTGATTCTAATCTGTGCTGTGGGGTAATCATAAACTGGGCTTTGTATTGGTTCATGCAGTCCACCCCTTGCCCTTTTCGACAAGTATGAGTTTGCAGAAGGTAAAAGGGATTCTGGTACTGTTGGTATTTGTACTGATGATGGAGAGAGAATAGAAATGGGCGATTGAGGTTGAGGTTGAGATTGTTTCTGTGGCTGTGGCTGTTTCTGTGGCTGTGGCTGTGGCTGTGATCGAGGTCGTGGCTGTAGCGGTAGAGTTATTGGTAGAGGGGGGGTAGATTTGTATGGCTGTGATTGTGGTCGTGAGTTTAGTGTAACTGGAGATGGGGATGGGGATAGTGGTGATTGTGATTGTGCTTGAGCTTGAGGTTGTATTTGTGATTGTCGTGATAGTCGTGACAGTCGTGATTGTTGCGATTGTTGCGGTTGTTGCGATTGTCGATTAAAAGACCTCTTTTCAGTGTCATCATGAGCAGGCAAGGAGAATGAGGACGATGAAGAGGACGATGAAAAAGATGTGATAGATTCTCGGCTGGTGTTGGTGCTGGTGCTGGACATTGTTTGACGTTTGGCAGAATCAAATCGGCAAAGGATATTGGCCACGTTTCCGGTACTGCCACCCAGGCTCGATGCACTCGTTCGGGTGGAGCGGGACCATCCACCGACCGGTTTTTTTTCTATTTCGGCTCGCCACGGGGCAGTTTTTGCAAGACCATCCTCAGATTGGTTAAATTGGGTTGCAGGTTCAAAGATTGAGCGCACATGCATTCTGTGGATAGTTGAATTCTTTTCTTATAAAAATAGATATTTGAATATAGATATTAAAGAAGTTTAGACAGAGCTTGGACTATAAAGAACGAAAGAGAAAAGTGAAGAAGAGCAAATAAAGAAAGAAAGAAAGAAAGAAAGAAAGAAAGGAAGGAAGGAAGGAAGGAAGAAAGAAGGGAAAGAAAGAGGGGCAAGTTCACGTTCAGGTTCAAGTTGAAGTTCAAGGCAAGTCAAGTCAAGTCAAGTCAAGGCAAGTCAAGGCAAGTCAAGTCAGACATCCTTCCTACATAAACTTAAGGAGGTGATTGATGACACAATCTCACAAAAAGGACAAGGCATCTGCACATCTGTATAGAAAGAATATAATTACATATGAGTCTGTATATCTTTGTATACCTTTGGGTGTGTTAGTGTATGAATTTCTTTGGAACACTGATAATCAATCATAATCCCAAGGTTACTTTTGCGTTATTTTTGCTTTGCTTTGTTCATCTCTCTACTACTTGTATTTTCTAAAATGAGCATTTGTGCGCATTCAAAAGAAAAATTCTTTCCTTGGGATCCGATCCATGCTCCAGTTTTTTTTTGTGGTTTGGTTTCTTTTTCTTGTTCTTCTTCTCCCTCGTTATCATCCCACTTCAGTGGCTATGATGTCATCTACACCCACACCCACACCCATACCCATATTCATACCCAAATCAACCCACCTGTACACCAACCAACCCTACCTACATACATACCTACCTACCTATATAAATATCTATACACGGACCCCCTTATTTCTACCGATCATTCCTATAATTGTATACAGACAAAAGCCAAAAGAATAATATAGAAAAAGAAGAAGAAAATACTAAATAACAAACTCATTATATGTGCTTTATTGGATTTTATTACAAAAAGGAGTTTGTCTGTCTTTTTGTGTGAGGACGTTGTATATCTAAGCATGTAGCAAATATTACAATGATTGTTTAACCAAAGTATAAAAAGACCATAAAGGCAGAAATCCATAATTATCTTCTCCTATATATAATTAGACAAATAAAATAATAATTTATGAAAACTCAAATAGGGATATTCAAATCTATAATCCCTGATTTAAATGTGTATTTATTTAAGAAATAATAATAATCTGCTTTTATTACTAGTCAAACCAACTAGTTCTCATTTGTTCTTTACATTCACCGTATTCCTTCCTCTCAAATAAAACATAAAGAAAGCTTTATTCCCCCTCCTCCTCCTCTTCAACTCCTCTTCAACTCCTTCCTCCTCATCTTTATCTTTATCTTTATCTTTATCTTTATCTTTACCTTTATCTCCATTCACCCTTCTTCTATCTACCTATCTACCTATATCTCCCAAGTTACTATAAAGACTACCTTTATATCGATTTATTTTACTTTTGTCTTGGTTCTCCTCGTCGTAATTCATAAAATATAATATAAATATACTCAACAAGATAAGTAAAAAAATAAATAAAAAAATAAAACAAAAGCACAAAACAATAAAATAAAATAAAATAACCAAAGGAGGAAAAAAGGGAGACCTACAGAAAATATTATATTTCATTGGGTTATTTTCACCTCAATTTCTATATCAAAAAAAATGATACTTTGTAAGGTTGGATATCTTAAGATTCAATGGAGCCAATATACATAAATCAATTGGACACAATAAGCATATCATAATAAAATAAATATGTCTAGGCAGACTATATAAATAAATAAGATCATAAAAATCTCAGGTACACACAGGCGGGAGAAAGAGAGGCAGAGAAAAAAGAAAAGGGGGGGAAGAGGATTGGAGGAATTTTGTAAAGGTGCGTGCGCAACATTCCCAGGTTTATTGAAATGGACCGGAACCCTGCACGTGAATTTAAAAATAATAATAATAAAAATAAAAATAAAAAATGTCGGACTTTTGAGGTTGCCACGTACAATCTCACCCGCACCTTTGGGATCTCACACTTCTTCCTCAATACCATAAAGGTAGGCATCACCAATCCAAATTTCAGATTTTATTTTATTTTCAATAGAACCCATCCATCCATCAAATACATCAACATATCCATCCATCCATCCATCCATACATTTATCTATTCAACACCAACACCAACATCAAACTATATTACGACACAATACGTTCATTATGCCACGCAACACACGACCTTTAGTTCAACCTACCAAACAACAATACATTACACACACCCACACCTAAATATATATATATATATATTTGAAATACATTTATATATTATGATATATACTAGATCTCAATCTATCATATTTTAAATCAGCCCTGAAATAAAATACATGCACAAACCTTCATCATCCTCATCCTCATCATGATTTAGATCAAAGATGGGTCGCCGTCCTGCTCGCTGCTACAGATACTGTAAGAACAAGCCTTACCCCAAGAGCAGATACTGCCGTGGTGTCCCCGATGCCAAGCTCAGAATCTACGACTTGGGTCGCAAGAAGGCACACGTCGACGACTTCCCCCTCTGCATCCACTTGGTTTCCAACGAGTACGAGCAGTTGTCTGCTGAGGCTCTTGAAGCTGGTCGTATTTGCTGCAACAAGTACATGGCCAAGACTTCCGGCAAGGATTCCTTCCACATGCGTATCCGTGTCCACCCTTACCATGTCACCCGTATCAACAAGATGTTGTCCTGTGCCGGTGCCGATAGATTGCAAACCGGTATGCGTGGTGCTTTCGGTAAGCCCAACGGTCTCGTTGCCCGTGTCAACATTGGCCAGATCATCTTCTCTGTCCGCTCCAAGGACAGCATGAAGCCCGTTGTTATCGAGGCCTTGAGACGTTGCAAGTACAAGTTCCCCGGTCAGCAGAAGATTATCATCTCCAAGAAGTGGGGTTTCACTCCTCTTTCCCGCGCCGACTACGTCGAGGCTCGTGCTGCCGGCAAGTTCAGACCCGATGGCTGTTACGTCAAGTTCTTGCCCAACAAGGGTACCCTTGAGAACTACTTCCGTGAGGTCAGCAGATCTTAAATAATGAATAATAATAAAAAAAGGATGAAAAGGTAATAGTAATAATAACGAATCGTTATTATTATTATTGTCTTGCTATTATTATTATTATTATTATTATTGCTGTTATTTTATATTATCTGTATTTCTATTATCCCCCATATATGAAAATATAAATATAAATATATATATATATGTATGTGTATGCGTGTGTGTGTGCATGTGTGTATGTATGTATGTATGTATGTATGTATGTATGTGTGTGTGTATGTGCGTATGTGCTTGTATAAATACATTGTTCTTTTTGTTAGTATTTATTTTTTGTGATCTATATTCATGTGACCTGCACTCTTTTGATGTCATATAAGTGAATATCATATATCTACTATATATGTCTCTCTGTGCGTGTGTGTGTGTATGTACAAGTTGAAGAATGAAAATAATGAGATTATTTTATGGTTTGTAAAGTAACCAATAAAACTTACATATAGTCTCCCTTATATATATTTATATATATAAATATGTCTATTTTGTATGTGGTTCAATTGTAAGAAAAGTAAAGGGAAAAGGATCTTTATTGAAAATGAAAATGAAAAGAAAAGGTGAACAAGATTAAAGAGTGTGATAAGCTTGGTGTGGAGATCCCCTGGTCTCCTTCCCTGTTTGTGCGTAGTGCGTAGTGCTTAGTGCTTAGAGTGTAATGTGTAGGGTTCAGGTTTTCATCCTCATCTTGATCTTTTTTATTTTCAATTCTTTTTTTTTAGGGTTTTTCTTCTTCTTTTGATCGATGACACGCACACATACAAAATGCTGTCTGACCACTCTAAATTTGTACAATAAAAAGAAGAAGGAAAAGGAGGATATCAAGGAGTTGAATGAGTCAGTTGGTATGAATATATGTGTGAATTGAATATGTATATATGTATATATGTATATATGTATATATATTTATTCACCTCCATTTAAATATCTTTCTGACTTTTATATACATAATATACATAATATACATATATAAAATTGGCTCCTTGAATCGTAATATTATATATATCTAATTTTTTCTTTCTTTCAAAGAACCATCTTCATTGTCAAACCTCTTTTTACTTCATTAGCTTTCTTTTATATATCTTACTTTATTGGCGGTGTTCATCTCAATATACACTCTATGGGCAGTATTGTCCGGTTTGTTAATTTACTTCGTCTATCGACATTTATCACTAGTCTTGTAGCCCTTGGCTTCCATACTAGCCAATGCATGCTACTCTCCATGTATCAAGAAAAGGTAGTCTTCTAATCCAAAACCAATAAGAATCAAATCAAATCAAATCAAATTGATTAAAATGATAATAATAATTAGGCAAATATACCTAGTTGGCTAGAATCCGGTCATTGGCAGGTAAAATATACATATAGTGATTTACTGATTTACACACACACAATCTTATTTACTTTTTCTTTTTAGTATTTGACTTGGTTTATTTTCTTAAGTTTCTCTTTCTTGAGCGCCACAGCTGTGTGCATGCACGCCTTTTGCTGCGGAAGAGCTGATATATTTCGAGGCGACAGAACCCTTGGCTTGACCAACGGTGTCCCACTGGTGGGCATGATCATGGCCGCCACATTCGTCGACACTCAGGAGCCATGGACAAACAATACAATTGAATTCAAGTACCCTTCTAGGGGGTTCATTACTTATTGCTATACACTCGATGCAGAACACGATATGTATTATCCTCTTTTGTACCAAAGGTAATATATAGACATGCACACACACACACACACATATATATATATCCTCGTTACTTTATTATCATTTTTATTATTCTTGTAATTATTCTTACTCTTATTACTTAGATGTTTACTTTTGAATGGAACGTATGTAGCCGGTGCGTTTCTTAGTGTATTGTGGATCACACTATCGCTCACTAGTGTGTTGGCTCGAACCAAACGCCCACAACAAATTGCAAGTCTTCCAATGTCCAGGCGTCATATTTCTGATTCCATTTATTCGCACACTACTGAAGCCACGACTGCCTGTTCAAAACCAAACACACAATATTTACAATCCCACTATTCCACACTCTCCCAGCAACAGCAACAACAACAGCGACAGCAAGATATATACAACAATTCTCATCCCATAGCAGCATACGAAAATTATCAATCAAACCAAATTCACGAAGACATTTCTTCACATTCGACTTCACCTTCTTACTATTATCCACATCATCCACCTTTGGCCGCTCACGGTGAAAAGATCGAATTGTCATCTCATCACAATTATCACTATGACGAATATTACGAGCCGAATTATCAGTCAAGTTCTCATCCTCAACACCAGCAACAGCAACAACAACAGCAACAATATACTAATCATAATCATAATCATTATAATGAAAATAATCAATCCACTTCTGTTGCCACTGAACAGCAATGGAATAATCTATCTGGCATTAGAACTATTGAACCCAACGAAGAATGCTATCAATATGGACAGCGTGCATCTGATGGGTATCGTTACTCAAGAGGGCAGGACCCTTCTCACCGTGGATCCTATTACCATCCATAAAATAAAATAAAATAAAATCATCGAATTTTATTATTATTCTTTATATACATAATTTGACATTCAATCAATAATAGATTACAGTAAGACACAACAAGACCCACAGACAAAAATATTATTCAACCTTATAAAATAATCGTTTCCTTACTTATTTACCTTAATTTATATTTGCCCTTGAAACAAAAAAAGATAAAAAAAAAAGTTGGATTTGAACATTGACTTTTTAGTATTGCTAGTATTACGGAATCGTCTCTTAAAGCATTAGAAGGGAAACAAAAAGAGAAGGAAAGAGGAAGAAAGGGGAGGGGGTGAAGTGGTTTGGTTTTGAAAAGAAAAAGAAAAGTAATCGATGTATTGGCTGACTATACTCGATATTTCCATTAAGGGGGGTTTCACCAGCTCTGGATACTTGACTGTTGGATGTAGCGGTAGTTTAATTTGAAAAATGATTGGCTGTCACGAATCTTCAGAAAATAAAAACTGAGCATCCAGGCATCTAAAAAAAAAAACAAATTGTTCGATACTCTAGATGTCGTGACTTGGCCATCAATTGTACATAAAGTACACACTTTTGTAAATTTTGGCCAAGTTCATAGAAAAGCAAAGTCAGACATAAAACATAATCGATATATATAAAATTAGTTATCTTGATACAAAGATATAGAAGTCCAACTTACTTGTGGGAAATTTGGGCATAGGAACTATATTTATGAGTATTTTAATCAAGCGTATTGTATATATCAATTTTGACGCTATGAAAGAAAACATATAAACCAAGGGTCATTAATGGTACTCAATAGTCTTTTACAGTATTAGCTAGTTAGATGGTGCTTAAACTACCAATACATCCAGCAGTCAAGCATCCAGAACTGGCGAAATTCCCTACAAAGTAAATCTCTTTGGATTGAAAATTTAATGCGTTATCATCTAATGCTATAATAGTACAAACATTATGAGAAAAAGCATAGTTTTACAATCTAGAAGTATTTCACATAATTTTTGAACCATTATTCTTTAAATTTGAAAAGCTGAGACGGGCAGTATTGAATTATATGATGAAGTGACCGAAACGGTTTTCTTTTAAAAAAAAGAGATTATATATCGGTTTTTCTTACCAGCTCCTTAGCCCAAATATTGGAAACTGGCAGCTTGTTCTTTCAAGAAAGATAAAAAAGAAAATAAAAGTGCTGTCAAAAGATGGTTTTTATTGCTTTCATCTTTCGGTGCTTATATGGATATTATGATAATTAATAAAGAAAAACAAGATAATCAGTAAGATATTGCTAAGTTATTACGAAGATGCTGGGGTAAACTATGCTTCTTTGGATAATTAATAATAAATAAGAGAGAAGTAGAAATAGCTAAATATTTCTGTGGTTGATTGTTACAATTCTTGTGCCTTTCAATTGATTTATTTACCAGCTATAAGAATTATGTTCTACTTTAGGCCACGACTTGAGCAATTTGTTTACATAATTGATACAAAGAAAGATTTAGAAAGATAGGATATGTTTGGGTCATATGGAAGTTCAAAGACACGCAATGAGCTAATGAAAATGAGATATCTTTTATTTATCGAAGCTCTCAATGAAGATAAAGATAGCAAATAGATCTACCAAGAAGATAATGCTCTCTGCCATGGTTTTATAGTAATAGTAAGGCGGCCAAGTAACCCAGATTTTAACTCTATAGAGATCTCATAAAAATATTCCACCAAAAGAGTGAAAAAGAAAAAAGAGTTTAATCTTCAAAAAACTTTTAAGGGGGTGGTGGTAATTACCTATACGGAATAAAGCAACACTCGGGTTGGTGTTTGTAATAGTAAGTGTATGTTAATGCCTGACTGCGTGACAATACCTGATTGCGTGACAATGCCTAATTGAATGACAATGCTTAATTGCATATATGAGATGAAGAGAGTTAATGGAGGATCATCAAACTATTGATTTTTTTTAAAAGAAAAACTATACCTTTGGAGTTATATGTTTTCATGGATGAGTTGTCAAGTGTAATAAGATCGGCTAAGCCAAGATAGCTAAAGAAGTTGTATTATTGATATATTAGAACTTAATAAGTATAATGACCATTGTTGCTACGAGTCTATATATACATATACATACCTTGGTTGTAAGAAAAAATAAAAATAAAATTCTAACAGATCTCAGTACTGAATATTGTATTACAATATTCATTTATCTGTTTTTCAAGTGTATCCGATTTATCCCAAAAAGTAAAAAAACAAAGATTTTTTTGTCAAGACCTGCGCTTGAAGGCCGATCCACTCAAGTTTACACCCAAGCTTCTCAACAACCCTCATTCCTGCCTACTCGGCATGGCATCAAATTTACCATGACGGCAAAGTATCGGTGAAATGCTTTAATGCCAAACTGCTCGGGACAGGTGTCTGAGACACCCAAGTGAACAGCATAGCATTTACTTAGGCACCTTAACTTTGCTTCGGGTTCGTCCCTCATGTCCAGTTCTGTTTACCAGAGCGTGGGTTACAAGTATCAAAGTCTAAGCAATGAGGGACTTGAAAAGCACAGGGATCATTTCAACAGGAAGCAGTAAAATACAGGCGATTGTACTGGGTAATCTGTCGATTCTGCTGGGAATCTACCTGTATTACCTCACGTCCAGGTGCTCAACGAATTTAAAAAACTCTACGCATCCAGGTGATACACCCTTATACTTGCACCTTTCTGTGACAATCTTGACATGCCCCAAAGGACAAAATCTGGAGAGCCAATATCCAACGTCCTAAGAAAATAGCATGAAGCTACCTCTGCGTTCCTCAGTCTTCTCCATGTTATGTGCCGCACAACACAGAAAAAACTGACGTGGATTTCATCCGGCTTTCGCCTTCATATGAGTGGCTCAGGAAGGTCTTTAACGTCCAGTATGCTCTACACTAAGAGCTACTTTCCCTTACGGTACTTGTGTTCAGTTGGTTTTTTATAAGTATATTTAGCCTTCGATGAAACTTTTCACCAGGATTAGGGAGTTTGTAAAACAACCCGACTCATCGGAAGCTACTTAACACAAAGACAAGAACTCAAGACAAGGTGAGGGGATTGCACCCTCCAATAACCTTTTCCAGGGAGTGAAGGCTACTGACTTGTTGGTATGCCTGGAAAAGCAGTTCACTAGTTCACAATCCAGAGCAGTCAAAAGACTACTCCGGTTCAAACATTGGAGCTTCTCCATCTCAAACAATAAAGTCCAAGACGGAATCCCTTTTGGTTTCTTTTCCACTGCAGTAAATGCAGGTAGAATCGCTCAAAGTACGGACCAATTTTAGGCCATGGTACCTTGAGCGAACTCAATGACTAGACGCCAAAGAGTGCAGTGCGTTCAATAAAAAAACCAGGATCTCATATTAAGACAAGCCTTATAAATAAGGCGTCTACAATGAGCGAGTTGGAAAAGAGCCCGGAGACTCACTGTTAAAGACCATGATATACACATTTTGCATGAAAATGTTTACGTATATTCCTTTTGATATATCGTGACCGATAGAATACGAGGTACTCAGTGACCACTCCAAGAGTAGAGATATAAATAAAAATCGAGTATAAGGTTAATATACTTGTCATGTTAAAGTATGTGTGTGTGTGTACGCATTTACTTACCTAACCGATAATCGCAAAAAGATTAAAAAGTACTGGTGCTCAAAAGCAAAACGGAACTGGAAACTGAACATTGGGCAAAGTGATAATAAAAAAGAAAACACAGAATCAAAGTTAGTGTATCGATCTATGAAAGTGTATGTATTCGCGTTTACTTACCTCGCAGATAAACTGCGAATGGTTTAACCAGTACTACTGTTCCTTGCACATGAAATCGTCCTTGTGTCCTTGTACATGAAATCGACCTTGTGTCCTGGTACATGAAATCGACCTTGTGTCCTTGAACATGAAATCCCCCTTGTGTCCTGGTACATGAAATCGACCTTGTGTCCTTGAACATGAAATCCCCCTTGTGTCCTGGTACATGAAATCGACCTTGTGTCCTTGAACATGAAATCGACCTTGTGTCCTTGAACATGAAATCGTCCTTGTGTCCTGGTACATGAAATCGACCTTGTGTCCTTGAACATGAAATCGTCCTTGTGTCCTTGTACATGAAATCGTTTGGGAATCCTTGTACATGAAATCCCGTTTGTGTTCTTCTGCAAGAAATCTCCCTGGTGTTCCTAGTACATGGAATCGCCCAAGTGTTCCTTGCGCAGGAAAACACCCTGGTGTTCCTTGTACATGGAATCGCCCAAGTGTTCCTTGCGCAGGAAATCGTCCTGGTGTTCCTTGTACATGGAATCGCCCAAGTGTTCCTTGCGCAGGAAAACACCCTGGTGTTCCTAGTACATGGAATCGCCCAAGTGTTCCTTGCGCAGGAAAACACCCTGGTGTTCCTTGTACATGGAATCGCCCAAGTGTTCCTTGCGCAGGAAATCTCCCTGGTGTTCCTAGTACATGGAATCGCCCAAGTGTTCCTTGCGCAGGAAAACACCCTGGTGTTCCTAGTACATGTAATCGCCCAAGTGTTCCTTGCGCAGGAAATCGCCCTGGTGTTCCTTGTACATGGAATCGCCCAAGTGTTCCTTGCGCAGGAAATCGCCCTGGTGTTCCTTGTACATGGAATCGCCCAAGTGTTCCTTGCGCAGGAAATCTCCCTGGTGTTCCTAGTACATGGAATCGCCCAAGTGTTCCTTGCGCAGGAAATCGCCCTGGTGTTCCTTGTACATGGAATCGCCCAAGTGTTCCTTGCGCAGGAAATCTCCCTGGTGTTCCTAGTACATGGAATCGCCCAAGTGTTCCTTGCGCAGGAAAACACCCTGGTGTTCCTTGTACATGGAATCGCCCAAGTGTTCCTTGCGCAGGAAATCTCCCTGGTGTTCCTAGTACATGGAATCGCCCAAGTGTTCCTTGCGCAGGAAAACACCCTGGTGTTCCTAGTACATGTAATCGCCCAAGTGTTCCTTGCGCAGGAAAACACCCTGGTGTTCCTTGTACATGGAATCGCCCAAGTGTTCCTTGCGCAGGAAAACACCTTGGTGTTCCTAGTACATGGAATCGCCCAAGTGTTCCTTGCGCAGGAAATCTCCCTGGTGTTCCTAGTACATGGAATCGCCCAAGTGTTCCTTGCGCAGGAAAACTCCCTGGTGTTCCTAGTACATGGAATCGCCCAAGTGTTCCTTGCGCAGGAAAACACCCTGGTGTTCCTTGTACATGGAATCGCCCAAGTGTTCCTTGCGCAGGAAAACACCCTGGTGTTCCTAGTACATGGAATCGCCCAAGTGTTCCTTGCACAGGAAAACACCTTGGTGTTCCTAGTACATGGAATCGCCCAAGTGTTCCTTGCGCAGGAAATCGCCCTGGTGTTCCTTGTACATGGAATCGCCCAAGTGTTCCTTGCGCAGGAAATCTCCCTGGTGTTCCTAGTACATGGAATCGCCCAAGTGTTCCTTGCGCAGGAAAACACCCTGGTGTTCCTTGTACATGGAATCGCCCAAGTGTTCCTTGCGCAGGAAATCTCCCTGGTGTTCCTAGTACATGGAATCGCCCAAGTGTTCCTTGCGCAGGAAAACACCCTGGTGTTCCTAGTACATGTAATCGCCCAAGTGTTCCTTGCGCAGGAAAACACCCTGGTGTTCCTTGTACATGGAATCGCCCAAGTGTTCCTTGCGCAGGAAAACACCTTGGTGTTCCTAGTACATGGAATCGCCCAAGTGTTCCTTGCGCAGGAAATCTCCCTGGTGTTCCTAGTACATGGAATCGCCCAAGTGTTCCTTGCGCAGGAAAACTCCCTGGTGTTCCTAGTACATGGAATCGCCCAAGTGTTCCTTGCGCAGGAAAACACCTTGGTGTTCCTAGTACATGGAACCGCCCAAGTGTTCCTTGCGCAGGAAATCTCCCTGGTGTTCCTTGTACATGGAATCGCCCAAGTGTTCCTTGCGCAGGAAATCTCCCTGGTGTTCCTTGTACATGGAATCGCCCAAGTGTTCCTTGCGCAGGAAAACACCCTGGTGTTCCTTGTACATGGAATCGCCCAAGTGTTCCTTGCGCAGGAAAACACCCTGGTGTTTCTTGTACAGGGAATCGCCCTGGTGTTTCTTGTTTAGGGGATCGCCTTGATGGTTCTTGTGCTGGAAATTGCCCAGGTGTTCCTTGCGCAGGAAATCGCACTGGTGTTCCTTGTACATGAAATCGCCCAGGTGTTCCCTGTGCTGGAAATCGACCTAGTTTTTCTTGTACATGAACTCGACATGAAAGACTTTTTCGTGAACCACAGTGGAATGGATTTTGGACATATGATCAAAAAGAAAACAGATGCAAAAAACATTGTGCTGTAGTTAGTAGTTGACCATGTCAAAGTTTGATTGTGTCTGTATAATACTTTACCTGCTATTAGACTGGACATCATTTTTGGAGCTTAGCTAGAAACTGCGTCTGGGGTACGTTTTCATAATAAATATCAGTATGCACCTTATACGGATAGAAGGATATAGGCATTTAAAGACAATTTTCTTACCGTGTCGGAAACCAAGGACCACTGAAAGGAAACCAGGAGGAAGAGGAGGGATAACAGGAAATTGAGAATTGTATCGATTCTTATATGAAAAAAAATGGGGATAGCGCAGCACGGAAGGCGTAAAATGCCTATTTTGGATAAATCAAAACAAATTCATATGAAAATTAAATAGTTTCATGTTTTCAGTAAAAGCTTCATGTTTTTTATCGCATATTTTTATTGTGTATTTTTATCGCATATTTCTATCAAGGACCTATTGGTATTATCTAATAAATACATTGAATATTACCAACACTGAATACATTTGAGTATTACCTTGTTTTAGATAACATTTATATTCCTTTAGGGAATATATTTCTATATCTTTATGTTCACACTACTGATAATCATTATTATTATTATTATTATTTTAAAAAAAAATACCAAGTAAATAAAGAAATCCTTCTTAATATTATAATCACACTTTGTTTTCTTTCGCTTCACAAAGTATCCTGAAAGTCATATACGTAGATAAGAACTACTACTAAGAAAATAATAGTATGTATTTATTAAGCTATTTTTTTTATTTAGGCTATTCAGTTTTACATATATATGCAATATCTCTTGTGAACTACAAACATAGTACTCTTTCTTACTCTTGATCAATAAAAATATTGTTATTATAATGTATATTCACATATCTTAGCTAGCATGACTTATTCTTTACATAATTATGTCTAGAGGCAAAATTTTAATTATATAAATGTATTAGTAAAGCTATAGATAAATAATAAAGCTGTTAAACTTTTCTTTTGGACACTGTAGTATATATACTGTTACAGTTTATATTGCTTTGAAATCATATTAAAATCATTAAAAAAATTATTTACAAGAGTATTGTAGATATTTTACAGCTACTGTAGATCTCTAATAGTATGTATTCATACTTTTTCTTTTCTCTTTTTCTCTGATAAAGATATTACTCTTTGATACAGAGTCTAGTCAGGGAGTTTTTTTTTCTTTACTCGACCCTTCTGCTTTTACATTATTTTCAATATACAATATCTATAACTATTTTAACAAAAAAATGTAACGTTGCTTATACCCTATCAAACTAGCTACATATTTTGAATTATATGTAATGCTGATATAGCCCATCTAATAAAACCAGAACAATAATATGTTTTCTAAGATCAAAGCACAGAATATAACAGGTAAGAATCCCTCCATATCTCCATATGTATATACTTTTATTATTCTTCTCTTGTCTTTTACTTTCTGTTTTACTTTTGTGCACTTTTCTTGATAAATCATCAAGACTGAGCATATCATATCAATAGAAGCAGCAGCAGCAGCAGCAACTAAATCATCAATATCAACAAGTCTTCTGATTAGTTTCCAATATTTTCTTAATATTTTTTTTTCTGAAATGCATATATTCAATTAAACGAGTTTAAGTTAAATGAGAACAAAAGAGAAAAAAAAATAGTAGACAATTGGAACCTTGATTTAAATCTTTGACTCATGATAAACAGTAAATGAGAAGAATCAAAATAAAAACGTAAAATAGAGTAAGAAAGAAAAATATAATTTCTAGCCAAAATTTTACATGAATTCAATATATTAAGTACTCCTGCGAAATAAAGACAGAACTGTATATCTTTTAACTACTACCTTATCTTTTCTTATAATCTGTACTTCTTGTATAGTGCAAGTTTCGATAAGTATTAATTTTTTCCAATCATTTCAATATTCAAAATCGAAAACTCCGCAACTTTTAGTATTAAAACACCGATCAATTAATGTAAAAAAAAGGATAGAGAGAAGTTTTTTTATTATAATAATTATTTAATAGAGAGATAAAGATAAAATATAGTAATATTCATTTTTTTAGAGATTTAAAATTTTAGTCATTTTTTAGAACTTTTCTATGTGAAGCATAAACTCTGGCAGAGTATTGTTTTACTTTTTCATATGCAGCATCACCAGTGCAGTTTTGACTGTAGGCTTCAATGAAGCGCCAGGACTTGTTGTAAAAGCAGCGAACCTTTGCAAGTTCACCAGCTCTGTCCAGATAAGAGTCGACATTAACCTTTAGTGATTTAAAGGTATAGTCGGACTCCTTTCTGGCCAAATCCTTGGCAGCTCCCCAGTACCTCTCTATCCAGTTGCACTTGCAGTGAAACTTCGGATACATCTCAAAGATGTGGTCATTTGCCTCCACAACCTCACAGATGACAGTCTTTTGTTCCTTGAAATCGGGCTGGGCAGCAAGAAAGTGGCGGGCGCAGCATCTAGAATCCGGCTCTTCATCTTTGCAACAATCAGCAAGCCACTTGCTACCAGGCTTGTATGGATTTGTATCCAACCAAAGAAGACGCTCCTCCAAAATACTTCTGATTCCTTTTACATATTTTACAGGAATATTTACAGATCTTTTCTTCTTCGTTATGGTTTCCATTTTCGTGTAATACATAGCCTGAGGACAAGGCTCACCATCCAAAAGAAATGTTGTGTTCTTAAAATCGAACTCTTCGTCTTCTTTGACTGGCTTGTCGTTCAAGGTAAACCTTTTGGCAAGTAAGGCATTATTTGCAAATGCTCGGTGATTGCTGCTTTGGTCGAATATGAATACAGCTTGACTGTCTGGGTGCAGCAACTCAAAGAGGGGAATTGCATCTTTTATAAGCTGCTCGATCATATCGTCACTTGTCCAGTATCCATCTCTTCCTTCACCAGCAAAAAACAGCTTTCGGGAACTCCACTTCTGTCTTCGCATTGTACCATGACAAGCACATTGAAACTCACTGACCATTATACTTTGCCCTTGATCTTTTTTGGGCAAAGGGTTTTCTTTGTCATCCAGCCAGTTTTTCTCTCATCTGTCATATGCATAAAAGGTTGATTCGTCATGTGTAACCAAGACAAGTTTCTTTTCACCATGCAAGACTTTTGGCTCTTCAACAACTTCCATGTTATCTCTCGAATATTCTTCCATTCTTCTTTTATATGTCATCATTCGCTGTGACCATTCTTCTCTATACTTGATAACGTCTTCTCTTTCGTGACCATCAACATAAACTGTGCTAGTGAATTTTCTGAATGAGAATCCCCAAGTTTTCATATATTTATTGATAATAGATAAAGATATATCTCTCACAACTCCAAATTTTACTGGATACAAAATTTGATCAATATATCTCTTAACGTTGCTAGCTGTTCTTTTCTCAATTTTTTGCTGACGGATCCAGTTTGACGTTGCGTTTGCAATAGCTTCATCTGCAAGTACAAAAGGTGGTCGAATGAATCTTCCCTGTTGACGCTGAGAAATATATCCGGTGGCAATATACTCCTTTCCCCACTTTCGGATGGCGAGTGGGAGATACGTGTTGGTTTGGTTATACACATTCTCCATTGCTTGAATTGATGCTTCCATTTTTCTAAAGCCTTGAATTCTATTGAAAAAGTATGTTTTCACAGCCTGGTGCTTCATCATCTCATATACACTGATAAATTTGTCAGAAGGAAGACTGATTTGTTGCTTAATATATTCACAAAGGTTCTCATAAGAAAGCTAAATTTTCTCATTCTCACTCTCAGTCTCAGCATCAAATAATCCTTCTTGAGAGGTCTCACTGATTGTATTCTCTACAAGTGCTGTATTTGATTGAGTCAATCGAAAGAATCCCAAATCTTCAAGTTTATAGTTGCTCTTAGCATTCTCAATTAATGTTTCTTCAGTCTTGCGCTTTCTCCACATTGTTGTTGACAAGTCTTTTCTATATACTCCAGGAATCTCTTTTCCAGCACCTTCTCTCCACTGAAGAATAGGGCTTGATGAATTTATTTTGGTCTCTTCAAGTTCAGTATTCAAATCTTCGATATCTAAATTACAGACAAGTAATTCTTTATTCTTTCTGGCAGCGTTTTCCATTCTATTTTGAACCATGCGCTTAATATGCTGTTGGCGGCGACTAGGGAAAGGCATGTTGTATAAAGACTTGGATTAAATATGTGAAAATATTTGGTAGATTTTTTGTATATGATGTTTATTTCCAAAGGAAGAAAAGAATAAAAATTCGATGTACTTTTCTCTTAGCAAAATCTATTGGTACTAAAACTCGGATAATGTTTTTGGAAGAAGATAATCAATTGGGTATAAGGTCTATGTTTTAGGCAATGAGACAAAGGCAGATCCATTCTACCTGCATTACATCAGAAAAAATTATTTAATAATCAGTCTCATCTTGTGTTTCAGCAGTCGTCTTTTTTTCTCTTAGTTTCAGCAATCATTTTATAATATTTAGTGTCCGATGTATAATTTTTTTTTGGTTTTGAAACTAATGACTGTTCAAAGTAATGACAAATAATAAACTTTTTATCTTACTTTAAAGGTCTCTAAATAAATATTTTACATAAAGAAATAAAAAACTATTGACATGAGTCGATAGAAAATTCTATTCTGTATAACTACATATAGGTTGTTTTTTACAAATGGTATTTCACAAAATGTTCAGCCCATTTAAAGATTTTTATAATTTTTCGGTACCTCTTTAGGCGCTCATTGCACTAATAATTTATCTGTTTTTATGTTGAAGGTTATATTTTCTTAACTTTTTTTTAAATTTGTTGAATTAAATATTTTACATAAAGAAATAAAAAACTGTTGACATGAGTTGATAGAGAATTCTATTCTCCATAACTACATCTAATTTGTTTTTTACAAATATTATTTCACAAAATGTTCAGCCCATTTAAAGATTTTTATAATTTTTCTGTACCTCTTTAAGTGCACATTACATTCAGAATTTATATACTTTTAACCTCACTACAACGATTTTGAAAATACATACTTTGTACAAAATAATAACAACAGTTGAGATATATTATTAAAGATATATCTTATACATAATTATAGAAAGATATATTATAGTAAAAGTTATAAAGCAAAGTATTCAAGCTGCCTATAACAACTGAACTGGAGAAAGATGTTTAAAGACATATTCACGTAATATATTACCATAAATAGATATCGGTAATGTAAAATCCCACTTTTTACAAGGTTTGTACCATTTCAATATTGTAAATTTTCTTTAAAATACCGCTAAAATTCATTTTTTTCACCTAACTTTGAAGAGAGATTAAAAAAATATTTTTTTATCAAGAGAAGACAAGGTAGCAATCTACATCGATAGAGAAAAGTCTTGCAAATCTTGTTATATTTGAACTGTTTAATAGAAATGATTTCCGATTTTTTTTAACCAGCTTAAAAAAAATCTAATTTTATTAACACATATGCCAAATTGCACTATATATAAATAATATCTTTGTTGCTGTAAATATATTGAATATTGCAGATACACTTAATACTACTGCCCTATTTATATGCTATTCTTAATATATTTTACATATTGTCAAAAACAAACAAAAAATTGCCGGAAATTGTTCTCCAGTAAGACTTTTGAGCAGAAGAAAGAACGCCATTAAAAACATGATAGTAGTCAATATTTGGCGAGAAACGGAGGTCACAGAAATATAATGTCGAATGATTCCAGATAAATTAGTAGGAGAGTGGTGAGACGTGCTGTGTATGTTGGTGTGGTGTAAGAAGTTTGTAAAAAAACATTTAGAAAAGGAAAAACGGGATTATCAGATAAATATTCATAGTCTTTGTAACAAATAAAAGTGTTCTTCAGATAAATACCCAGAGAAAAGAAAGAAAAAGAAAATATGTGTGCAAAAGTTGTTTTTTATTGAGTTGATTTATTTGGGAATATATAGTTTTTCTGAGTTAAGCTGATAGCATTTTATTGAGAAAATTGGATAGTTTGAATAATACTAATTGTGCTGGTAATTGAATATGGGTACTTGTCCGAAACCAACAGTGCCACCAGCTTGTCTATAAATATTTAGGCTCTACCAGTATAAGATATTAAATTGATTTAAAGTACATAATCTATACAAGCCTTGAAATATTGTTAAGATGTAAATAATATACTCCAAGTCTTAATATCTTAAGATAACTTTAAATGTAAATATTTCAGTAAACTGCTGAAGTTGATCTTACTGACTGTATTATTATATTATCTGTTAATGTATATATATTTAACCATCAAAAAATAAAAGTAATATAGACTATCCTAACACATCTCTCTATTTATTTTCTTATTATTTTCAAGAGAATAGACTGATATCCACAATATATAGGCTAAAATGATATTATAGTAGATCAGTATCTATTATCTTTTCTTACGCATTTGGGCAATCTATCATACAAACCACTAAAGTTTCAATTGCCATGAAATTTATATAATTAAAATTTTGCCTCTAGACATAATTATGTAAAGAATAAGTCATGCTAGCTAAGATATGTGAATATACATTATAATAACAATATTTTTATTGATCAAGAGTAAGAAAGAGTACTATGTTTGTAGTTCACAAGAGATATTGCATATATATGTAAAACTGAATAGCCTAAATAAAAAAAATAGCTTAATAAATACATACTATTATTTTCTTAGTAGTAGTTCTTATCTACGTATATGACTTTCAGGATACTTTGTGAAGCGAAAGAAAACAAAGTGTGGTTATAATATTAAGAAGGATTTCTTTATTTACTTGGTATTTTTTTTTAAAATAATAATAATAATAATAATGATTATCAGTAGTGTGAACATAAAGATATAGAAATATATTCCCTAAAGGAATATAAATGTTATCTAAAACAAGGTAATACTCAAATGTATTCAGTGTTGGTAATATTCAATGTATTTATTAGATAATACCAATAGGTCCTTGATAGAAATATGCGATAAAAATACACAATAAAAATATGCGATAAAAAACATGAAGCTTTTACTGAAAACATGAAACTATTTAATTTTCATATGAATTTGTTTTGATTTATCCAAAATAGGCATTTTACGCCTTCCGTGCTGCGCTATCCCCATTTTTTTTCATATAAGAATCGATACAATTCTCAATTTCCTGTTATCCCTCCTCTTCCTCCTGGTTTCCTTTCAGTGGTCCTTGGTTTCCGACACGGTAAGAAAATTGTCTTTAAATGCCTATATCCTTCTATCCGTATAAGGTGCATACTGATATTTATTATGAAAACGTACCCCAGACGCAGTTTCTAGCTAAGCTCCAAAAATGATGTCCAGTCTAATAGCAGGTAAAGTATTATACAGACACAATCAAACTTTGACATGGTCAACTACTAACTACAGCACAATGTTTTTTGCATCTGTTTTCTTTTTGATCATATGTCCAAAATCCATTCCACTGTGGTTCACGAAAAAGTCTTTCATGTCGAGTTCATGTACAAGAAAAACTAGGTCGATTTCCAGCACAGGGAACACCTGGGCGATTTCATGTACAAGGAACACCAGTGCGATTTCCTGCGCAAGGAACACCTGGGCAATTTCCAGCACAAGAACCATCAAGGCGATCCCCTAAACAAGAAACACCAGGGCGATTCCCTGTACAAGAAACACCAGGGTGTTTTCCTGCGCAAGGAACACTTGGGCGATTCCATGTACAAGGAACACCAGGGTGTTTTCCTGCGCAAGGAACACTTGGGCGATTCCATGTACAAGGAACACCAGGGAGATTTCCTGCGCAAGGAACACTTGGGCGATTCCATGTACAAGGAACACCAGGGAGATTTCCTGCGCAAGGAACACTTGGGCGATTCCATGTACTAGGAACACCAAGGTGTTTTCCTGCGCAAGGAACACTTGGGCGATTCCATGTACTAGGAACACCAGGGAGTTTTCCTGCGCAAGGAACACTTGGGCGATTCCATGTACTAGGAACACCAGGGAGATTTCCTGCGCAAGGAACACTTGGGCGATTCCATGTACTAGGAACACCAAGGTGTTTTCCTGCGCAAGGAACACTTGGGCGATTCCATGTACAAGGAACACCAGGGTGTTTTCCTGCGCAAGGAACACTTGGGCGATTACATGTACTAGGAACACCAGGGTGTTTTCCTGCGCAAGGAACACTTGGGCGATTCCATGTACTAGGAACACCAGGGAGATTTCCTGCGCAAGGAACACTTGGGCGATTCCATGTACAAGGAACACCAGGGTGTTTTCCTGCGCAAGGAACACTTGGGCGATTCCATGTACTAGGAACACCAGGGAGATTTCCTGCGCAAGGAACACTTGGGCGATTCCATGTACAAGGAACACCAGGGCGATTTCCTGCGCAAGGAACACTTGGGCGATTACATGTACTAGGAACACCAAGGTGTTTTCCTGTGCAAGGAACACTTGGGCGATTCCATGTACTAGGAACACCAGGGTGTTTTCCTGCGCAAGGAACACTTGGGCGATTCCATGTACAAGGAACACCAGGGTGTTTTCCTGCGCAAGGAACACTTGGGCGATTCCATGTACTAGGAACACCAGGGAGTTTTCCTGCGCAAGGAACACTTGGGCGATTCCATGTACTAGGAACACCAGGGAGATTTCCTGCGCAAGGAACACTTGGGCGATTCCATGTACTAGGAACACCAAGGTGTTTTCCTGCGCAAGGAACACTTGGGCGATTCCATGTACTAGGAACACCAGGGTGTTTTCCTGCGCAAGGAACACTTGGGCGATTACATGTACTAGGAACACCAGGGTGTTTTCCTGCGCAAGGAACACTTGGGCGATTCCATGTACTAGGAACACCAGGGAGATTTCCTGCGCAAGGAACACTTGGGCGATTCCATGTACAAGGAACACCAGGGTGTTTTCCTGCGCAAGGAACACTTGGGCGATTCCATGTACAAGGAACACCAGGGCGATTTCCTGCGCAAGGAACACTTGGGCGATTCCATGTACTAGGAACACCAGGGAGATTTCCTGCGCAAGGAACACTTGGGCGATTCCATGTACAAGGAACACCAGGGCGATTTCCTGCGCAAGGAACACTTGGGCGATTCCATGTACAAGGAACACCAGGGCGATTTCCTGTGCAAGGAACACTTGGGCGATTACATGTACTAGGAACACCAGGGTGTTTTCCTGCGCAAGGAACACTTGGGCGATTCCATGTACTAGGAACACCAGGGAGATTTCCTGCGCAAGGAACACTTGGGCGATTCCATGTACAAGGAACACCAGGGTGTTTTCCTGCGCAAGGAACACTTGGGCGATTCCATGTACTAGGAACACCAGGGTGTTTTCCTGCGCAAGGAACACTTGGGCGATTCCATGTACAAGGAACACCAGGACGATTTCCTGCGCAAGGAACACTTGGGCGATTCCATGTACAAGGAACACCAGGGTGTTTTCCTGCGCAAGGAACACTTGGGCGATTCCATGTACTAGGAACACCAGGGAGATTTCTTGCAGAAGAACACAAACGGGATTTCATGTACAAGGATTCCCAAACGATTTCATGTACAAGGACACAAGGACGATTTCATGTTCAAGGACACAAGGTCGATTTCATGTACCAGGACACAAGGACGATTTCATGTTCAAGGACACAAGGTCGATTTCATGTTCAAGGACACAAGGTCGATTTCATGTACCAGGACACAAGGGGGATTTCATGTTCAAGGACACAAGGTCGATTTCATGTACCAGGACACAAGGGGGATTTCATGTTCAAGGACACAAGGTCGATTTCATGTACCAGGACACAAGGTCGATTTCATGTACAAGGACACAAGGACGATTTCATGTGCAAGGAACAGTAGTACTGGTTAAACCATTCGCAGTTTATCTGCGAGGTAAGTAAACGCGAATACATACACTTTCATAGATCGATACACTAACTTTGATTCTGTGTTTTCTTTTTTATTATCACTTTGCCCAATGTTCAGTTTCCAGTTCCGTTTTGCTTTTGAGCACCAGTACTTTTTAATCTTTTTGCGATTATCGGTTAGGTAAGTAAATGCGTACACACACACACATACTTTAACATGACAAGTATATTAACCTTATACTCGATTTTTATTTATATCTCTACTCTTGGAGTGGTCACTGAGTACCTCGTATTCTATCGGTCACGATATATCAAAAGGAATATACGTAAACATTTTCATGCAAAATGTGTATATCATGGTCTTTAACAGTGAGTCTCCGGGCTCTTTTCCAACTCGCTCATTGTAGACGCCTTATTTATAAGGCTTGTCTTAATATGAGATCCTGGTTTTTTTATTGAACGCACTGCACTCTTTGGCGTCTAGTCATTGAGTTCGCTCAAGGTACCATGGCCTAAAATTGGTCCGTACTTTGAGCGATTCTACCTGCATTTACTGCAGTGGAAAAGAAACCAAAAGGGATTCCGTCTTGGACTTTATTGTTTGAGATGGAGAAGCTCCAATGTTTGAACCGGAGTAGTCTTTTGACTGCTCTGGATTGTGAACTAGTGAACTGCTTTTCCAGGCATACCAACAAGTCAGTAGCCTTCACTCCCTGGAAAAGGTTATTGGAGGGTGCAATCCCCTCACCTTGTCTTGAGTTCTTGTCTTTGTGTTAAGTAGCTTCCGATGAGTCGGGTTGTTTTACAAACTCCCTAATCCTGGTGAAAAGTTTCATCGAAGGCTAAATATACTTATAAAAAACCAACTGAACACAAGTACCGTAAGGGAAAGTAGCTCTTAGTGTAGAGCATACTGGACGTTAAAGACCTTCCTGAGCCACTCATATGAAGGCGAAAGCCGGATGAAATCCACGTCAGTTTTTTCTGTGTTGTGCGGCACATAACATGGAGAAGACTGAGGAACGCAGAGGTAGCTTCATGCTATTTTCTTAGGACGTTGGATATTGGCTCTCCAGATTTTGTCCTTTGGGGCATGTCAAGATTGTCACAGAAAGGTGCAAGTATAAGGGTGTATCACCTGGATGCGTAGAGTTTTTTAAATTCGTTGAGCACCTGGACGTGAGGTAATACAGGTAGATTCCCAGCAGAATCGACAGATTACCCAGTACAATCGCCTGTATTTTACTGCTTCCTGTTGAAATGATCCCTGTGCTTTTCAAGTCCCTCATTGCTTAGACTTTGATACTTGTAACCCACGCTCTGGTAAACAGAACTGGACATGAGGGACGAACCCGAAGCAAAGTTAAGGTGCCTAAGTAAATGCTATGCTGTTCACTTGGGTGTCTCAGACACCTGTCCCGAGCAGTTTGGCATTAAAGCATTTCACCGATACTTTGCCGTCATGGTAAATTTGATGCCATGCCGAGTAGGCAGGAATGAGGGTTGTTGAGAAGCTTGGGTGTAAACTTGAGTGGATCGGCCTTCAAGCGCAGGTCTTGACAAAAAAATCTTTGTTTTTTTACTTTTTGGGATAAATCGGATACACTTGAAAAACAGATAAATGAATATTGTAATACAATATTCAGTACTGAGATCTGTTAGAATTTTATTTTTATTTTTTCTTACAACCAAGGTATGTATATGTATATATAGACTCGTAGCAACAATGGTCATTATACTTATTAAGTTCTAATATATCAATAATACAACTTCTTTAGCTATCTTGGCTTAGCCGATCTTATTACACTTGACAACTCATCCATGAAAACATATAACTCCAAAGGTATAGTTTTTCTTTTAAAAAAAATCAATAGTTTGATGATCCTCCATTAACTCTCTTCATCTCATATATGCAATTAAGCATTGTCATTCAATTAGGCATTGTCACGCAATCAGGTATTGTCACGCAGTCAGGCATTAACATACACTTACTATTACAAACACCAACCCGAGTGTTGCTTTATTCCGTATAGGTAATTACCACCACCCCCTTAAAAGTTTTTTGAAGATTAAACTCTTTTTTCTTTTTCACTCTTTTGGTGGAATATTTTTATGAGATCTCTATAGAGTTAAAATCTGGGTTACTTGGCCGCCTTACTATTACTATAAAACCATGGCAGAGAGCATTATCTTCTTGGTAGATCTATTTGCTATCTTTATCTTCATTGAGAGCTTCGATAAATAAAAGATATCTCATTTTCATTAGCTCATTGCGTGTCTTTGAACTTCCATATGACCCAAACATATCCTATCTTTCTAAATCTTTCTTTGTATCAATTATGTAAACAAATTGCTCAAGTCGTGGCCTAAAGTAGAACATAATTCTTATAGCTGGTAAATAAATCAATTGAAAGGCACAAGAATTGTAACAATCAACCACAGAAATATTTAGCTATTTCTACTTCTCTCTTATTTATTATTAATTATCCAAAGAAGCATAGTTTACCCCAGCATCTTCGTAATAACTTAGCAATATCTTACTGATTATCTTGTTTTTCTTTATTAATTATCATAATATCCATATAAGCACCGAAAGATGAAAGCAATAAAAACCATCTTTTGACAGCACTTTTATTTTCTTTTTTATCTTTCTTGAAAGAACAAGCTGCCAGTTTCCAATATTTGGGCTAAGGAGCTGGTAAGAAAAACCGATATATAATCTCTTTTTTTTAAAAGAAAACCGTTTCGGTCACTTCATCATATAATTCAATACTGCCCGTCTCAACATCATAAACCACTATCTGGCTCAGGCGCACAGCACATGAGCGTAGATACAGCCTTTGTTATTTGCTTGTAGATACTTTTTCAGAACATTGACTATAAAATATCACTCTTTTAACCATACGAAGTAACATACATTTTTTATCCATACATCCTTTTACCAGCCATGTATGATAAAAAAGACAAGACTCTTTAATGTTGAAATGTATCTCACCGATACAATGATATCTGTCTGTTGCAACTTTTGGTTACACATTCTAAATTGATGTTACGAACCCCTTTCATAAATTACCCATTCTTTACTATTTACAATTTGTCTTTCCCTCTTTCGTATCCAAACAGTTATACTATAGCTTTCATATACCAACGAATACACTTTTCGTATAGTTTTTCAATCATTATATCTTATCATCAATTAACATCTCTGTAGTTGGGTTTTATTATTTTATAAATAAATTGTATTTCCGTAACAGTGTTACAAAAACTAGAATGCACAAGCGCTTAAAAACTATTAGGTTAATGATCCTGATTATTGTACATATAAAGAGAAGATATATAGCTGATTTCTTAAAAATATAACAAGATTCTGATTATTCGAAAGGGAACATCTAAATTTTTTGTATGACACTGACAATTGTGTGTAGTTCTTAATATTGAACAATATATGGTACAGAAAAATGCAAAGAAAAGGTATTTTCAGGACAGTGCTTTTATTTTCAATAGTTAATGAAGGCTTCCGGAAGTAATTACTATTTAACAGCATATTTTTCACATTCATGATAGTTTTTTCTTTTCTTTGACTCCCAATATTTACATAATAGATGCAAATGTAAGTATACTTTATTCTTCAGAAAAACAATTTCGCTTAATACTACAGCTAGAATTGGTATTTGGATAGCTATATGTATATAAGAGATTTCTCGTGCATAAATAAAAAGGGTGATGTTAATATAGTCATGTCCAGAACTGAGTCTTTATTTACCGATACCGTTGACCATCAATATTCCAAACCTTATCCACATCGTCTTGTATTCGTTTCGTACCGTTATCTTCATACTCGTCTTAATGGTCGGAATCGTCTGAATCGTTGTAAGCGTTTTGATCGTCGTAGTGGTCGTAATAATAGTAATAGTCGTATCGCCAAAATCGTTGTAATCGTCTTGAAATTCTACATCTAATAAATAATACAGAAAATTAATGATCTCAATCGTATAGATCGTCGTACTAGTTGTAGTAGTCGTAATAGTCGTAGTAGTCATAATCGTTGTAATCGTCTTAAAAATTTACATCTAATAAACAATACAAAAAAGTAATGATCTCAATCGTCTCACACGCCATACTAATTGTAGTGGTCGTAGTGGTCGTAGTAGTCGTAATCGTCGTAATCGTCGTAATCGTCTTAAAATTCTACATCTAATAAGCAATACAAAAAGTAATGGTCTCAATCGTCTCAATCGTCGTAATAGTCGTATCGTCGTAATAATCGTAATAGGCGAAAGGTTCGTAATGTTCGTAATGTTCGTAGTGGGCGTAATGGGCGTAGTCGTCGTAGTCGTTGTATCATCTTAATAGTCGTAGCTGCGGTAGCTGTGGTAATCATATACTAAGACTTGCTGTTTGTATAGCTATACTCATATCAGATATTTCTAGCGTAGAAATAAAAACTGTTGCTATTATAACCATAGCTAATTCTCACTCTTCACTTACCCATATGTCTTACAATAAATATCCGTAGTGTCTTTGGTGTATTGTCATACTTAACTGTACGGATATGCTGTTTGAATTACTATACATGTATTAGAGCGATAACATTTTTTCTAATAAATTGGCGGGGTCAGTATCTCTCATATTAATATTTTATTCTGCTATTATATTTTTTGCATGTATTTACCCTTTACTATTTTTTTTTACGAGTGAGTTACTTTGAAATTAAGTTTATAGTGGTTAAAATTTGGCTGCAAGGTAAGCATAGCTTTTGGTATTTCAATAATAATACTAGTATTGAGGTTATCGTTTGGGCGGTAGGTATATTGTACCCATATTGTGTTTTGCCTACGTGTTATAATACTGGCTACTATATATGTGCTGCTAGTTCTTTTGAGAACGGATTAATACTGGTACCAGAAACTTGCGCCCTTTATATGCCTTATACTCGTATTGTAGATGGAATAATAATATATAAAATTAAAGAATATCGGATTTTTCTGGTGGTCTTCAATTTTTTTTTACTAAAGCTGTTTCTGGAAGCTAAGTGTAAAGTATAAAGGCACAGAGAAGATTTTTGGTGTCAAAAATATAACAAGTTTTAATGGGTGAAGAATATAAAACGTGTAAAAATTCTTTGAGGTGTAAAGTACTTACGTTGCTGTAATAGTTTATAGAAAATACCCAATATATAGACAGCTATATTAAAGGGTATATAAAGATGTAACTTACCTTTGAGAGCAGAGTTTCAAGCTTACCGTGTAAAAAGTGAAAAAAGAGAGAGAAAGAAAGAAAAATGAAAACAGAAAAAAAAGAGTGAATTTATAGAAAATGGCAAGGGAATGTGGGCTGAGTAGTGGTAGAAACGTAAATACCCTTGTATTTGTTTTTTTTCCAATCAAATTTCTTGCTGATTATGCGGATATGCATATAATTGTCATGCTTTCTTTTGTTTTATTTTCTGTACTTACTACTTTTAGTATGAGTGACATACATATTAAATATACTCTTAAATACTTGGTAGACTTACTATATCTTTTCTTTTTAATATGGCTAGAACTACCACTACTTATTTGATGTTGAAAGTATGCACTAACTATTTGGTTTTTATATTTTCCTTTCACTTAGACATTTATAATTATCTTTAGACTTCAAATGGGGATTATATAGGGCTTATTATGGGTCATGCATTTGATGATATGCGGTGTAACTTTAGGAGCAGGAAACTTGGCTTTTTTTTATTACATATGAAGCATATGATGCATAAAGTCTTTGATAAGCCGCCTACAATTTATGACTTCTCTTTTAGTGAAAGACAATGTATATTTATGGGTGAGTGTGTATGTGAGCATAAAAAACTAATAAATATAGTGACATAGTATACATATGTTTCAACTATCTCAACCATAATACACTAAAAGAAGTATAGCTGCATTTTTGCAGGATTGTTTTTATTCTTGGGCGTAATTATGTTCTCATGCTTTCTATTCTATTTCATCACTACCCTGTCTGCAAATTTATTGGATAGATTTGCTTTTATAATAATACCCCAGTCTAACGTAGGTAGAGAATAATGAGTAAATCAAATCATTAAAATCAAATAAGTCATCTTTATTTTAGTATACCTATTTTCTTTACAGCTTCTAACCTTTTGCATAGTTATTAGTATTGATTTTGAAGAAACTTATTTAGGATCATACCATACACGTATTACTTGCAGCCTTTTTTTTTCTGTTACTAGAAAAACTTACATTTAATAAAAACACTTGGCCCATTGTATTACTGAAAGTCATGCAGTGAATTTTTATCACTTGTTGATATAAAATAAGAACAAAAAAAAACAATCACAGAGTTTTAGTTGAATTTGTACTTCCACTTTTTATTTCTTTGTTTTCTTCTTCTATAAACTTTCCCTTATAAATCGGCTTAGTATTATTTAATATTAAAGCTTCCCAGCTTATATTAATTGGCTCATTGTAGCCGACTTTAATTTGATTTATTTCTTCTACCGGAAAAGTTATAGTAAGTTTAAATGTCTAAGAGCATATCCATCAGTTCCATTTTCTATTTTTTCTTTAATAAATCGACTTAAGTTGTGTTGGCCCTAAAACAGTCAAAAAAATAAAGGGTCAAATTTCAACTACAATTTGACAGAACTATTTTACTATTTAATAGTATTCTTCACTAGTAAATGCACTCATTTTTTTTCTAAAAGTATTTTATTAGATGCTTGATTTTTATTTATAATATAAAAACAATTGAGTTAAATATTTCCAAGATTATCAGCTTTGTAGTAGGCATAATTTCTTGGCGTTTTTGTGATCATCGCTGTATACTATTGAGACGGGATGTGTTGGTTTATGTAAAGAAGTGGTCCAAACGGTTAACAGAAAAGGAGAATATATATATCGATCTCCTATAACAAATACTTGGGCCAAACATTGGAAATTAGAAGCTTGTGCTCTCAAGAAAGATAAAAAATAAAATAAAAGTGCTGTGTAAAGATAGTCTTTATTGCTTTCTTCTTTTGATGCTTATATAGATATTCCAATAATTAATAGAAAATAATAATAAGATAATCAGTAATATATTGCTAAGCTATTACAAAGACGTTGTGGTAAATTATGCTTCTTTGAATAATTAATAATGAATAAGAGAAAGAAATGAAAATAGGTCAATATTTTTGTGGTTGGTTGTTACAATCCTTATGATTTTCAATCAATTGCTGTGTTAGTTGAAACAATTATGCTCTTCCTAAGGTCATGCCTTAACCAATTGGTTTACATAATTGATACAAAACGATTTAGAGATATATGATATGTTTGGGCCAACCGTAAGCGCAAAGACACACGCATCGTGTCCCTACCATTTGATTTAAAGTCAAATTAAAGAAAAAAGTTCGAATGCAAAGCCAATATTTTTTTCAAATGTATATCGGAAGCCATGGAGCAGGTGGTAAAATGACCAAATTTTATTAAGTATTTTTGGGAATGTAACTTCCGGCGATTCTTTAATGATATATATATATATTGCTTTTCTGCCATAACATATACGAACAAGTCTGTAAAGTTGTTAGGGCATTTTTTCTTTATTTATTATTATTTAATTTTGATTCACATTGCGTATTTCCTTTAACGTCTACCATTTTTTTCAAAATCTTTGAATCCTTGGCAGTATCTCTTTCACAAAACAATTAGGAGGCCTTGGAGCTCGCTGAGACAAACACTATGCTTGTAGACGATCTCTCCTTCAGCTTCTACACCTTGTTTTGTAAGAGTCTGACTTGGGTGTCTGCATCCTTAGAACCCACAGGCTTCCTTATATAGCTGGCGATTTCATAGCGTTCTTTAGCCTCTCAACATATTTCTGATATGTTGGCAAATAGTTTTTTTGCCATCTCACCAACAAAAACCTTTATTAAAATACAGCGCATCCTAAAAATTATTACTCTTTTACTTATCAAGATATTCTTCTTTTATTACATACAATTATCAATATCTGTTGATACCGTCCCTCGATGATCTTGCGTTTCTTCTAAAGAAAACTTGTACTACAGGAAGAAAATTGCGTGTATAGGGGTGTTCTCAGAGGTATATTTTCTGCTTTAAAACATATCTTAAATGTCCAAACATTTTACAAAAAAAATTTACGGCAATCATACTTTGTTTCTATCATAATTTACATACTTACCAACAACATGACCTTGGCTATCTTCGTAGAAACATCGCAAATTAATTATAAATTTCTGTGAAATAAAGTAAGGAAGAAGGAATCATTCAAGATTCAACCAGAAATATTGTAGTTAAAAGGCATTTAACTATACATTCAATATATATATATATATAAAAGTTCCGGTTAAGTATGTTTTATAACTAAATTATATTTTATATTTACATCATGTTTTCTCAGCTTATAATAAATTACTTTACTCGTCTCAACGCAGCAAGTTTATTAGTTTCAACGATCTGGGCTTTCTTTTTTGCTTTCTCAAGAGCAGCTTTCTTCCAACACTGCAAAAGACCTAGCTTCATACGTGAAATTAAATCCATAGCCTGTCCTTTACTAATAGGATCTTTTGGAACAATCTTGGATTTCTTAAGGATATCAAGCTGTGCCTTGGTGGCAGGATCGTTACGATACCGTGCATTGCGTTGAATAGTTGTAAGAAGATGCGATTGGCCCTCCTTTTGAAGCTTTTTATGAATCCATGTATCTGCAGCACGAATAGCAGAAAATCGTGAATCAGCAGAAAGAGATATATCTCTGGGATGTGCACGCAATCTGGTCCCATTTTTGTTCGTTATTTCGTGAGAGAAACTTCCGTGCCAGATGCCATCAGAATCACGCCTGACAAATATGGTACCTACGCCAATAACAGATAAAGCACAGGTGTTATCGCCCACAGCAACCCATGTATATCTAGATGCAGATCTAAGTTCGTGTCCACCAGAACAGTCGGATACAATCTCAAAAAGACTGTCATATTCAGTCACTTTTAAGCTCACAGCAGATGTCATAATTCCGGAATCAAACCCTTCCTGAAGATCTAGTTTAATAACATAATTATTAAAAATTTAAACAGAATGACTTGCCGGTTTATCTTACTCTCTTCCTCTGTTTCCAATGACCGGGCTTCTTCTGCTTTTATTGCCCGTCTTTCGATACTCAGAATATCCTCGCATTCTATCAATTCATTCCTGTCTAAGCCAAGCAAAGTAGGTATTGTAACCAGTCCGTTCTTTCCAATCCTATCAAAGCTGTCCACAAAATCAACTACTAGACAGTCCTTCTTGTTCGGATAGAGGCGCATTCCGCGACCAAACATTTGCTGAAATAGTCCACTAGATCTTGTGGGTCTAGTCATCAAAACACAATCAATACGTGGGATATCAGTTCCTTCTGTAAGAATGCCACAATTGACAAGGATAGGAAAGTCTCCATTCTTGAATCTCGCTATAATATCCTGTCGCTCAATAGAAGAAGATTTGCTTGTAATATATTCTGCATCGATTCCATTTTTCCGGAAGAGATTACACATATCCACAGTATGTGCAATATCTACAGCAAATACAATCGTGGCTAGACGGTCTTGCTGTGCATACTTTTGCCAGCTCTTAATAATTGTTTCATTGCGCGCTGCAGTGTTGACAGCTTTGGATAATTCTGCTGGACTAAAGTCATCATACCGGGTTGCTACTTTGGTGAGATCAACGCTAGTCTCTACAGTAGTCACTCTCATAGGTGATAACCTGTACAGAATATGAGCGTATGTAGCAAGATATTAATATATATATATATATATATATATATATATATTACCATTTCATTTCTACCATGTGCAATAAATCCATATGAAAAGTTATTTCGTCGAATGAGCTTGATAAGCTAATTCCATCATGTCTTCTAACTGTGGCAGAGCATCCCCATACGAATATCTGAGAGTCTTCTTGTGTAGCGCCAAAATGGTCCATAATTTTGACATAGGTCGAAGCAGAGGCATGGTGGGCCTTTATTCAATTATATTGAGCCTATGAATCTTTCTAGATGATCGCCTTATATTCTAAGAAAAGAGCGATTGCTTACCTCATCAATAATGATGGCTTTGAACATAGCTGGATCATATCTTTCCAGTCTTGTCAAATTTCCTTTCCCGAGTGTTTGTACAGAAGCAACAATCACATCTGCGTTTTCGATATCTGGTTTTCTTTTGCCTTGTTCAATTGCTACACTCTATATCATATGCCTTGTTAGATACTAGACTCACAAATTAAACATCTTACCAAGGTAGGGTTAAAACGTTGGATTTGTGATCTGGCTTGTTCCAAAAGCTCTACACGATGAGCAAGAATAAGAGTCTTTGTGGCAATTGGAGTAGGAGCAGGTAGTTTTGGGATAAGATTTGCCATCACTACCTAATAAGTACATGTAAACCCAAAGCAATACTGTATTAGTACTATATCAACACAGAAATGCGATCATATGTGGATACGACTTGTTTGTCAGTATAGTCATGTTATAATAAGTTACCGTCTTTCCACTGCCTTGTATTAGAATATTTATTAATAATTTGATTGCAGACCTTTTATGATTGTACTAACCAACTGGTAATGAGACAACTTGTCTGCGTACTCCTTCTGAAAGTTTCTGAAGACACGAATCAATACATTCTTGCTGATATTTTCTCAGGGCAGGTGTGATGGGTTTTATGGGTGCCTGAGTAGAGAATAATGTAGATCGTAATGATTTGATTGTTAATGCCGACAAGTGCAATGTTGAACGGAATCCCAATGCTCTTGATTTATAAAGGTTGGATCTCGGTAGAGTACTGAGATTGAAGAATCTTGAATTCATGACATCAATTTTAAAATGATAATGACAAAAAAAAAGAATAAAAATAAAGTCGATAGAGAGATAGAGTGAAATAGAGTTTGACAGGGCCATAAACTTATTTTGATAAAAAGCTGTATCGGCGGGTGAATTCGACGGATACGGGCTTATTTTTGTGTAGGTTGTATTGTTTTTAAAAAGAAATAAATAAAATAATGTAGAGCAGTAGGTATTTGTAAAGATCATTGGGATAGCCCTCGAATAGCGAGACGAGTCTTGTCAATGCGATCTAGATACTGTTGTGTCAACCGCACTCCTTCGCGTCTACGTTGCCGTGCGGTATCGAATTCAGAAGGACATTCAACCCCATCGAGCGTAATAAGAGCCTGAAGAAGTTTTTCGGACAGGTAGTTACCCATGTCGTGAAGCTTCTTGATGCCTTCCTCATCAGGCTTTTCAGTGGCAGCTGTAGCAACATTCTCTTCCCAGGAACTTATTTGGTCGTCAGAGCCCTTTACCAACTTGTCCAAAACACTTGATATGCGCACAATCAAACCATACTCCTCAGCATTACCAGAAGCTACCTGCTGAACATCCTCTTCCTAAATCACAATTAAATATTAGCACTAGATCCTACCATTACATCAATCCAGACCAATTTGGTACTTACACTAGCTTCTTCACCATTGAGCATAACTACTGCATTTGCATGGATACCCACACTAGTCAAACTTGATGTGTTGTCTTTGATATTGGCTAAAAGAACCTTTATAAATACCTTGTTATTATTCATACAAGCTCTAAGTTATCCTTACCTCCTGAGACTTGAAGGCGCATGGTGGCAATGGGAACATTGGTCATCATCTTGCACTTTTCCTTCAGGTCCTTAACAGTTGCTTCATGTAAGCCTCCCGGAAATTCCTTAAAGTTCATGTCATAACGATGATTCTTCCATGAGAGTACGACCCATGTCTGGCGTTCTTTTTCAGATATCTTGCGATACCCGACAATAGACGCCAAAGTGGCAGTAAAGGCTCTCCAGAGGAAGAGAACTAGTAATACGAGTTGTTGAATTGTGACAGTTATAAGTCTCTTGGACTTTTTTCTCAATTGAAAGAAAATGTGACAAACGGCGTCGATAATGTGCTAAGACGAAAGTGATGAGGAAGCAGAACAGGAAAAGAGGTCTGTCTAAAGAAGGCGGGACTATACACTGAGTTTGAAAACGACGACAGTCCATCTTGGTAAGACCAGTACTTCTTTGACAAGTGTTTTATATCGATTTTTTTGTTGTCACAACCATCGACTTACGTTGGTTATGCAATTAAATTTTTTGTTATAAAAATACTATTTTTTTTCTTTTGCTAGTTCTGTATTGGTGGTGGTGTTGAAATACCGAGTTGAGCACGGAGCGCATCAAGTGGAACATCAAAATGATCTTCAAAGTAAACTGTCATCAAAGGCGTAGCAGAAGCACCTGTTTGAAGAGCCCAGGGCACGTATGTACCAAAGAGTCTCTGTTTCTCTGCCAATGATAGTCGGAGAGGTCCCACTAATGACGATAACATGGTCATCGGAAGCCCAGTTTGTGCCCATTCAAACCATTTTAATGCAATTTCTTCTTCTACTGTTACTCCCAGCCCGGTTAATGTATGAAAGAAATCATGTATTTCCCGGTAGCGCTTCATTACATATGCCAGTTCTTCGTCATCCACAAAGCGTACCTTTTTTTTTGGAAAAAATTCCCCCAATTAAGTTATTAATATTTAGTATTCTTAGGCGTATACGCAAACCTTCAGTTCAATGGATTACATACAGGTGATCTTGTATCGGGTGTTACTCCCTCAGCATCCAGCCAGGACACATAGGCTGCACCAAAGGTGTTTGGTGCACACTCTTTACGCAGTTTATCAAAGTCAATAGTAGAAGTATGTATAGAAGGTCTTTCTCGGAGGATTCTTCTTCCAGAAGAGCTTGATAGCATTTGGTCTCGCATACTGGTCAAGAATCGTCTTCCTGTTGTTTCTCCGAGAGTAGCTACCATGTCTGTGCTCAATTGCAGTTAGCATGAGATTCCTAATAAAATTTTAACAAGAATAACCTACCGCCTCGCAATGGGTTAATCAAGGCCGTAAAGGCTGATCCTACAGCCAGGACTACCTTTTCTGGCGTAGACACAGGTACATGTGTTTCGTAAAGTTTAGTTATTTGTCGATGAGTTGGTGGTGCTGCCGCTAAATAACAGTGAAAAATAAATAAATATAATTAGCAAAAGAAATATAAATAAAACATAAAAATATATTATAAGAAGTGTACCACGCGAATATGCTCTCGCATGAAGTAAGGTACTTGATAGGTGGCGATTCATGGTAAAGAGGGTACGTGGTGCAAATAACACATTAGTATATACTGTTTTTTGAATATGAGTTTGCGTTGAGATGAAAATTAATTTGCGCTGATTTTAAAAGAATATTTACGTCAAGGTAAAAATAGTTATGGGTTGCTTAGTAATAAATTTTTGCGCCAAGAGATTAGAACAAAAAATATAAAATGGGGGTACTCAGCCAGATTGTTTCATCAAATTCTTGTTGAATATTAGCCAATGATATAAATTTGTAGTTGAAAACACCAAAAGATAAAAGTACAAAATTCGTACAAAATTCATAGATTTTTATAGCATTCATAGAATAAGCTTTTGCACATTCTGACTTCTTCTTTGGACCTTTATGCACCTAGACTCTCGAAGAAGTCAAGTGTTCTTTCCTTTGACTCAAGATCTGGCAATACATTGTCGACCTTGTGTAAGTATCTGTTGGCTTGAAGGTTCTGCTCAAGATCCTCCACAGCAGCTATCTTCTCCAACTCTGCATCAACTTCCTCTTCAAGGACTTCTGAAATATTTTTCAACAGCTCATCTGCGCTTGTTGATAAAGATTGTACCAGACTTTTTTTTTCCTTCGCTACAAATTTTCTGATTTTACGCGATTTCTTTAAGGCAGCAACTGTTTGTTGCTTTGCACTGTATTTTGGCATGTTATACGGAGTGAAAGAAGTGTTACATGACTTTGTTGACAGTAAATTCTATGATTTATTAAGGAGAAAGATAAAAACAGTATCGTATTGCATATAAAAAAGTAAGAATTCAGCCAATCAGAGAGCCGTACGTTTTTCGATCAAATTTCGATCAAATTTTGATCGTCGCTATTACAATTTTAGTCCAATAATATTGCGTTCTGAATTTAAAATTTGAGCGATCAACCTGGCTGAGTACCCCCTATTATTATTGTGTAGTGAAGCAAATATAAGTGTAGCCAGACCACATAACATTCAAATCCCGTGACTCAACTAGGCTGTATAAAAATATGAAATTGCAAAATTAATAAAGAAGATAGTCTTTTTCTACAATAACATAGTGCGCTTTATTATCTGGAAGCTTGATGAGAGTTAGCTGTGGTTAACTGGAAGATTCACAGACACATATCAGCCCTACATCCTTTGTAAATCGACCCCTAACATAAGCAACGCAAAACTATTTTTACCTTGACGTAAATATTCTTTTAAAATCAGCGCAAATTAATTTTTGTCTCAACGCAAACTCATATTCAAAAAATAGTAAATGGCAGGAAAGTGAGTGTGAACAGCGGAACGTGATGTCATTGGGTGACTTGCTGTACCCCGGGGGGAGGGTTTCCTTATTATTTTTTGGCTCTTTTCTTTTGGATACCAGTCTCTTAGTTTTTCAACCCCTTTGTAACTCCAGTATGAACGCCATCTTCCGTCGCGCCTACACCACAAAGAGCCTCATTCCCCCTAACTTGGCTGCCTCCACCAAGACAACTGGTGCTGGTCAGGATGCTCAGATTTCCCAGTTGGTCAACTTCTACAAGGTAAAATAATTAACCAGGCTAGCAATAACAACAACAAACAAAAAAGAGGAAGAAGAGGAAGGAGAAAAGTAATTGTCAACTACAATACTTGTCTCAAAATCACAAATTTCTCACTTTACTTTCGATGTTTGTACATTTAGAAATTGCCCAAGGGTGCTGCCCAGGTTGCCAAGCCCTCCGGCCCCTGGGGCCACTACAAGGCTCGTTACATCGATGGTGACAACGCGTCCATGACCCCCATGTTCCATGCTCTCTTTGGTATCTTCGTCATTGGTTACTCCATCGACTATCACTTCCACTTGAGTATGTATTTAAATTCGCGTTGGAGTTTGTTTTGTTTCCACATGTATATTGATGGTATTCCCTTATATAGAGCACCACAAGAACGTGGAGCACCACTAGACGTATTATGCTGGTTTTCTAGCTCTTTTAACAAGTACAATATTGAAGGAGCACTTTTCGAAGTGACTTCTTGTTTCAATCATCCATCGAGACTGCGTTCTTATGATAATGTGAATATTCGATTTTGTGGGAATAAGGAAGGGGAGGGGAAAAGGTGTTGATGATGAAAGTGCTAGTGCTATTTAATGCTATGTACAAATAAAATAATATAGAGAAGTGTAGAGTGAATGAAGCTCAGTCATCAGATTCAGAGAGAACAATTACGGAATTAGAAGAGGATATAGATTCTACATCTGAACCTGAACTCATACCAATATTGGGCTCAATGAATGGATGAACCATACTACCATAATTACTGCTTTCTTCCATTCTTTGCTTGGCAATTTCGCTTAAGTTTCGTTTTGGCTTTGAGACAAGTTTGCCAAATGATTTTTTTTGGCTTTGCCAAGCAATCCACAAATCCTCTCGAATAAGACGAAACCCAGTCTCTGGGATAAGCACCTGCTGTAAGTATTCTAGCGGTGCCTGAGGAGCTGTTAATTCCGCTGTAAGATGCCCAGTGTGTAAATACATTCGACTTAGTACATCCAACATTATTGCAGAACCCCTTGATCCGTAATATCCAGGCTATATATAGCAAGTTTAGTATATTTTGTATATGTATATGTATATATATATATGTCTTGATGTAGTTTTAAATACTTACCAATGTAGCTTCAAACCGTGCCATGACAGCCATAGTACTTCTTGCTTTGTTCATTCCCAAATCCTCGTATGCTTTCAAAGCAGTATCGCGGTACGAACTTTGGGCGGTTCCAAATATAACATCATCCAATTCGTCTTTGAAATCAAGAATACGCTGCTCAAGATTATCAAAGTTGATATTCTCTGGGTAATTTTCTTTTCGACCTTGGGGCTTGATCACTAGTTCAATTTCATGTAAGCGACAGAAGGCATACTGTTCTCTAGTTGATGGCTTCCTCGTCTTTTGTGTCATTGTCCATTGTATAGTTGAATTATCTGATGAATCAGTGAGACATTTTGACTTTCTAAGATTCCTGGAGTTTTGTTCTATTATTTTCAGGGCATCAGCAACTGACTCGGGCAACGGGGACTCAAATGGTTCATGACAATACGGACATTTGAGTACTTTTAGTTGGGTAACAGGTGAATTACTCAAAGCTTTTTTCTGTATTGAGTAACTGACAGAGGAGGAGAATGACCCAGTAGATCTATTACGGCGAAGTTTAGAAGGCTTAGGCATATGAAGCTCAGGGCGAGTATTCTCATTTCTTGATTCATTGGCTGTTGGTGTGGATGGCTCTTCTTCAGCTTTGTTTTCGTCTTCGTCTTCGCTTTCAGATTCCATTATCAGTTTACGTTTGTGTGTACTCTCAAATTGTGGTTTCTTAGAGAAATATTTGCTTGTTAAGTGTTTATCATGATTAGTGTGTCTTTTAGGTACAAGTAGTGATACATGATCCATATTATTATCGTAATCTTCCCGGGAGATACTCTTAAGTTCTTTTGGAGCCTTTTGAGATGAGAACCCTTTTCCTTTTTTGGTAAAGAGTGTTCGCTTTAACTTTGGATTTTGCTGGTATAACTGGGTAGATTCTTCATTATCGAGGTAATGTGTGTCTAGACCATGTTTGGATGAATCCTCTAAAGTAACACTCTGACTTATAAAGTCCTGAAGATATTCCGGTATATCATTCTCTGATGATGCATATGTTTTCCAAATATCCTCCTCATTATCAAGTTCCTCTTTTAAATGCTTGCTTCCCGATCTTCTTCTGCAGTACTTGCTAAAATATGGAGAAGACTGGTCATCCGTGGTGTAAGTATTGTCTGTATTTATATTTCGGGACGTTCTATAAGGCTGATCGATTATCTGAACGTCATCGTCACTGACATCTTGCAATTCAGTACGTCCATATGTTCCTAGATATGGGCTATAGTCTTTGTTACTGGTTCGACCATCCACACTAAATCTTTCAGTTTTGGAGGTTTTGACGGCTTGGCCATCGTTAGAATGACACTTTTTTTGATTGGAGTCTTCAGAGATATTAAATAAAATTGATGAATTTTTTCTTTTATAAAATTCTTCATCGGATGTATCTCTGGATAGAGATTGTCCTTTGGGACGAGTTTCTTTGTACGTACTGTTGTATTTACCCAGAGAAAGCATCTCCTTGGGTTTCTTCATCAAAGACGACTGCAAATCGCAGTAGCTGCCAGTAGCAGCTGCCTTGCTAAAGAGGTCGAAAACCTTGGTACTACTATTGGCCTTCGTTCTTGACACTTGAGGTAATTTCTCACTAGATCTAACTTTGTTTTGAGAGGAATCATGATCCTGTTTGTTTACAGGATCATTACTATTGATTGGAAAATGATGTGTAGTGGATCGGGTAGTATTCGGATTTTTCTTTGGCTTCAATGAGTTTACATTAGGGCCTCTTTTTGCTATAGAGGGCATAAAGTCCTCATCCTCAATATATATAGATGAGAGATCATGCGGTCCAGATCGATGTTTCCCTTGTCTGTTGGTAAATGGGTTTCTAGTACTCATGAGAAGACAGAGAGGACAAGCCACTTTTTGCTGCGAGACTATTTGAACTATGCGTGGTTTTAATGAATAATTATGCTCCTTGAAAAAAGAGTCTAAAGCCGATGATTATTGTTAAGGGTTATTTGTATAAAGAAAGAAAAAAGCATGCCAAATGTATAAATTCATTGAGAATTTTGACAAATTTGTTTCGTTTTTTTTATTGATAAGAATCCGATGGACTGAGGAAGTATATTCAGGATACTAGATTTTATCACCCATCAAAAGGTACACTAATAGGCATGAACTGGAGAAAGTTAAGAGATCTAGTCAGATAAAAACATCTTTTTTTTTGTATAATAAAAGACTATTATTTAAAGCATAATCACCTTCTTGGTCTCTCTCCATGTATTCAACATAGTCTTTGTTGTCCAAAGCACTGACATGCTCATCGGGTAAGGACACAATCAGGCCTCTCGAGCCAGTCTTGATCTCGTAAATGATTTTACCGCCGGCTGCTTTGACATCAGCCCGGGCCTTCTTAATCTTTTCATCGGTCACTGGCTTTGTGATAGCGACAATGTAGTCTGTGAAACCCTCTATAGTAATGGTGAGATAGGGCTGATGGTAGATGAGGTGTGATTACCTTCGGCAGACACTACGAATGCAAACAAAGAGAGGATAACAATAAGGGTAGTGAATAAGCGTGCGAAATGCATAATGGTGTTGAATAAAAGCCAAGAGAAATGGCCGTCTGACTGGAAACTTGTTTTGTCTGTCTAGTCACGAGACTGCCGCACGTTTTTGTACAAAGAACTTGCATTTAATTGTCTTTGGTATTAATTATATATATATATTGACTTTATCTTATTGAAAATGGTTGTAAAACTTTTATTAAAAGAGTATATTTTGTAACTAATATTGATTTTCCAAAGCCAAAAAAAAACATAAGCTGATAAGGAGGTTTTCTGTATATATGATGAAAATGAGGTATAGGAGATATGCAACAAACACTAGATAATTTAAAGTGGAGCTATCAAACATACAACAGATTACTGGGTAAATTTTAACACCTGCAAAAAAATGGAACTGGAAAGATAAATAATAAGACGTATTTGGTTGAATGTCCTGGTAATATTGCTTCATCTGGTATCATAGGAGAGAGTAATAATAAAATAAATATAATTACGGTAAAAATGAGTATATTCCAGCTGTCAAAACTGTTGCAGAAAATCCCATTATGCTTTTCGATGGCCCAAAAAAAACCAAATAGAAAAATCAAAGGTTCATACAGGTAACAATAGTTAAACTACAAATATATTTTTCAGAACTATTTTTTTAAAAGCTAGGATTTAAAGCTGGAGGACCTTGATTTACATACAAAACTGTCATATATTTTCTGATTTCATATCCTCTATTCCAAAGGAAGAGGGTGGACTCAAGCCTCACTGGTTTACAAATAGAGTAAAAATAAATAAATAAAAAATATTTAGGTGCTTGTCGCAGAGGGTGTCCATCGGCCCATTTTTATATCTCCATCTTAACAACACACCCCATGTTAGCCAACATATTAGTGGTGATCTTTTTTTAACACTCAGAAATAAATCCATTCTTCTCTAGGTGGAAGTAGCTTGGACCACCGAATATACTCATAATCATCGATGAAGACAGTTATATCTTATATCTTCAACATATAGTCGATTGTATATCAATACATGTCTTTGACCCCAATAATAGTAATATATATCCCACTTTTATAAAGTTTGATGATTTTTATCATCAGCCTAAACATCTTAAATCTTAGACAGTATTCCAAAGCTGTTAATTACGCTCAAACGATCAAGAGAAATAGAAAAATGGATGTAGCCGCTTAATAATTACTTGAGACCTTTTAAATGTTAGAAACATTACTAGCAGCACCATTCGTTAAGTAATACAATATTTAATATGGAGGGGTCGAGGGAATTCTTCAAAGGATTTAGGAACAATATTCTCACTGAAAAATAAAATAAAAATTAGCCATATCAACTTGTACATAGACATGGATAATCTTACTAGAATGTACCATATCCACTCGGAAAGGATAATAAAGTCTTTGATCTAGTCTTCTAGCTAAAATGTTGTAGAATAATATCTACAATAAAAATCAAGTGAAATATACGTGCAAGAAATAAACGACTAGGTAGTCAAGGCTATTGAACGTTTGGCTAACAAAAAATCATTTAGAGTTGGAACCTTGAAAGTATATACTTCTCTTGTCAAATAGATATTATGAGCCCAGTATTCTGCAGGGGCACAGTAATTAAGTAAACCTTTTTTTTTTACCATAAATAGTTAAGAATAGACAAAGCTTATAAAATCATAGAGGTTGAGATGTGTTAAGAGTAAATCTTGTGAATAAACTCATCAATTCTATTCAATGTGTTCGAGTAATTGTGATTGGCAAGAGAAAGAAAAAAGAGGGCTCAGTAGTATACCAAAAGATTTGAAAATGAATAGCCATTTCGGAAAATACGCCACCATTACTATACTGTATTTTCACACATTTGAATTTTATTTTCACATAAAATTATTTTTAGAATATTGAAAGAAGTGGTTTTTCAACATTACTGTGAGGGGGAAAAGTCATATAACGATAGATCAACCTTAATTACTAGACTTCTTTACCTTTTCTTTTACAGAGTTTTAATATATTTGGTGAGATTATCCTTATAACTTTGTGTGAATAATTTGTGAAAATAAAGTAGATTACGACACACATTCCGGAGAGTGGAGTATGACTTCTAGAAACAGATGGCAATGATTTTGGTTCGTTGAAACCTTATTTCAAGAAATACTCTTATTTTGGTTATTTGACCCTTTACTATGCATATATTTAAGCATAAAAGTATATCTGTAGAACTGTATCCGAGATTCTGAAACGAAATACATTTAATGGTGTGTAATGGCAATGATAATTTGATTATGATTTACTATTTTCAATATTCCATACAGATACATGTTTTTTTTTGGTTTTTTGAAATGATTTGTTCATATTTGACCTGTCTTCTTTACATTTCAATGTCATTGACGTTTTGAAAGTAAGAGAGAGGTTGATTATATTACAGGAGAATGTATGTTTTCATACTCCAGAAGGAAATGTAAGCCATGAGTTCAATAAGTAAGAGATCAGAGGGTAAAGAAATAAGATCAAGAGATAAGAGATCAAAGGGTAAATAAGAAAGTGTAAAGACAAATGATAAAAAGAGAGGAAGAGAAAAGTAAAGGTAAAGGTAAAGGTAAAGGTAAAGGAGGAATCTATACAGAATAATAATAGAAAATCATAATTTTTTGTTTTGCTTTATAGCAAACCCATATTTCTTAGACTGGTTTGGAGCACAATATCATTAACGGCAGACATGACAAACTTGATCTGCTCAGTATCAGTCGCGCATGTAAAGTGGGAATAGATCTGCTTGTCGGGAGATGTGTTTAGCAGAGTAAAGCGAGACATAAGGTATTGACTGGCTTGATTATAGTCAGCACCGCCTATATAAGGAATATTGAGAGAGAGATATATAAAAGTAAAAGATGTTAATTGACACCAAAAATAAATGAGATACAGTATTAGTAAATTACCCTTGTAATCAGGGAAATAGTGTTCGAGAGGGCTTAGTGGAAGCTTTTGTTTAAAGAGATCAGTCTTGTTGAGGAACAATATTGTTGATGTCTTGGAGAACCACCGAGAGTTGCAGATTGATTCAAATAGTGTCAAGGCTTCTTGCATACGGTTAACAGTTTCATCTTCAAGCAAGACTTGGTCATATTCGCTGATAGCCACCAAGAAGATAATAGAAGTTACATTCTCAAAGCAATGGATCCATTTCTTACGCTCAGATCTCTGTCCTCCCACATCAAACATTCTATAGGTCAGGTCGCCCAAAACAAACTTTGTTTCTGTGATACCCGTTGTCTTTACACGAGATCGGAGGACGTCTTGGTCGCTCGGGAGGTATTGCGGGTCACCAATACGGTCCATGCATTCAAAGTAACTAGATAATTATTTCTGTTTTAAAAAAAGTGTATCAAGGGATCAGGATCGGGTAACCTACTAAGATGCAGAATCGTTGAGCTGATATTCATTGCTTCTATTGAATGTCTCCTGGATGCCGCCATCTGTCCACAGAGCAACAATTGCCCTGGCAATATCATCTGGCATCACGTACAAATCCATTTGGCTTGGCTGAACTTTGATGTTTTCTTTGTGGCCACGATTGGCTGGGTTCTCGAGTTGAATTCCAAGTGTCTCCATTGCCTCGACAATTACACTCATAGATTGAATTGTATTACTGTATATGATCTCACGATAATTCATACGTTCGTCAGGAGAGAAGCCACCATCGTGGATCAGTTTCATCTGTTTTAAGATGGTTGATTTTCCAGATTCACCAGCACCTAAAGAAGAAAAAATGTAACCAATCAATCAATCAACTCAACTCAACTTTTTTTTCTGTTGTATTGGCCGTCAAGTTTCTGCTACAGATATGTATTGAGACTGATTGCTTACCGAGTAAGAGAAGCTTGACTTCGTTTTGTTGATTCATTTTCTCCATTCGAAGCTGGTCCTCAATCTGATCGTTACGCAATTTTCCAGTACCGTCCTGGGCCTCGACAGACGCACAGCAACCCATGGTGATGATACTTGGTATTTCTGAGAGAAAGGAATCAAAATATCAAATACAAAGGTTTAGAAATATATACACAATTATTGATAGATACATATAATTAAAAATGTATAAAAAAGGCATATGAAATTTACAAAATAAATATTAAAATAAAAAAAAGGGGGGGAAGTGAGGGTGGGGAGTTTTTAAAGATAGTCTTTTTTTTTGAAGGCAGTCAAGGTTTTTGGTCATCTCAGAAGTTTGGTGATGAGAGTTTGGTCGAATGAATTTCTTTTTTTACTTACAAGAAGAGAAGAAAGAGAAAGGAAAAGAAGACGTGTGAGTACGAGCAGAAGAGAAAGAGAAAGAAAGAGAAAAGAAAGAAGAGGCCAGGAATGGATAGGGAAATAGTAGACAGCGGATAGCTAATATAAATTGAAGAAAGAAGCTTGCATGCGGGCATCAAAACACAGGCAACACAAGCAAATAAAAACTGACTGTAAAGAAGCCTTGAGCCTCGCTGGAATATTTGGCACAAGATAAGATTGAGACACTGTAAAAAAATGTGCTTTGTGAGAATATTATAGTTCACTTCACTAAATCTGTCATTGTTTTTTTTTGGTACGATAAATACGATAGATCCAAATGTTTGAACCTCTTTAAGCTTGATACATGTATTTTGTAGTAGATGCAATGTAGAAAGTACACATATATGCGTATCTAATCAAACCTTGTAAGAAGGTGTGTAGCCATCGCAATTTACCATATTTTATTTGCTGTACTTTTTAGAAATAATTAATATACTTATACTTCTTTGACCAGGACAGCACGTTGTTCGAGTGCCGAACCCCCCAATAATAATAAGTCAAATACAAATGCTAGTATCAGACGATTAAAATGATTTTTACTTTACAGCTTGTTAAGCATGAGTGCTTCCTTTGACGTCATATAAAGCACGTTTTTAAGAACTAGAATAAGAGCTTTGTGCGAAACAGAGGGGTTAAATTGGAAAGCCAGTGTATGATAATATGGCTAATAGAGAATAAATATTCATCTGGTCTCTTTATAGAAAACCAGGCTGATTTATTTAGATTTCACGTCTGCCCACCGACTTTGTTCAACTTGGAAAATAAGAAGCAAAGATTGGTTTCAACCCAAACGTCGTGTTACATTCAACAGAACATATATATATATATTTATTTATTTATATAAAAGCCAGACATCTTGGTCTCCACCAGCGATCCCCATCGGTTGCACTAGCAGTCAAATTTATTCCAAGTTTTCGCTTGTGCCCATCCTCGGTAAGCCACCACCAAACTACTTTAGCAGACAAATTTATATGTATGTATATACTTTTCAAGCGGGGTATTCTTTTTTTCTTTTTTTCTTTAAATAAATAAATGCATATATTTATATGTAGGTATTAATCATTACAGGCTACACCGCCTTGTCCAAGTCCTACTGCTTTCTCTACCACTTCCCGCATAAGATCAACAAGCGTAGAGCATGTCAAAATTAACAATGCCTCAAATAACTCAGATCCATCTACTGCTGCCACTATCTTCCGATCAACTAGCAGACGGCCTAACTGGATAAAGTATCCCATTCCATGGCTCTTAAACTCTGCAACCCGACGCCATCCTCTTCCTTCGTCTTCTTCGCTATCCAGGTAAAGAGGTCTTATGTCACACACCATGTCGTGAGATATAAGACTGGGTCTTTTCCAGCGTACACGATTACCCTCATACCGGGTTTCATAAACAAACAGAAAGTTGGATTTGGTCTTGTTTTCTAGTCCGTCGCTTTTGAGACTAGCTTCGTTTCCTTCACTATAATCTCCCCATTCGAGCGTAATCTCCTTTTGGTGCGCTCGCCGTCGGGCCTCTACAATCTTGGTCGCTTCACTTGGAGCCTTCTTGTCGCTAGCACGATAAAGAATATTCTCAAATCCCCATGCATAAGAGTATTGCTGTACCTTGAGGTACACAAGTCTTTTGGTATAATGGTTATAAATATCATGGAGGTGTGGTCGGACTAGGGAGTGCTTCCGCATATCGAATACCAAAACCTCTGTTTTAGGGCGTTTCTTTAGACTCAAACGGCTACCTAAAGGTAAATTACTGGAACTTGTGTTTGTGGTACTGCTAGTAGTGGAGCTTGCAAGACTGGCCGAACTCTCATTCCAAGAGAGTGATTCATTAGGCTGCATGACAAATCCAGGTTGGCTGGAGTGTGTAGCAGGCCTAGGGTGTTGTTTTTCGGCGTAGGGTGGGGGAGGGGTATTTGGTTCATGATCCTTGGTCTCATTTAATGTCTCCATAATAATGTTGGGTCGATCGGTAATGGTAATGACCGGAGGTGAAATTGTCACGGAATCTTCAAGTTGGTTTGGGATTTCGGTTGGGCTTGGAGGATTATGTTGATCTGGCTCTTCATACGCGTTTGGTTTTTCATAGATTGGGGAATCCAAGGCATTAGGTTTTTGGAGTGTGTTTTTGGTATTTTGCATGATACAAGAAAGATAAAGGTGGAGAAAGAGGAGTGAGTACGAATTAGTTGGTGTGACCAATAGAAAACAGTATCTCAGCAATCAAGGGGGGAGGAGGGGGAGGAGAAGAAAAAAAAAGAAGAGGGAGGGAAGAATAGTTTAGTAACCATATCTTCTTTTTTTGGTTTATCCAATACTTTTATCTTTTTCTTTTTCTTTTACAATTACCATTACCATTACCATTACCATTACCATTATTGTTATTACACTCAGGTGGGATAGTAGCATTTGGGATATCTTTTTTATCTTTTGCTTTATAGAGTGATCGTGATCATGATTGTCGCTTTAAAATTGGTAAGAACTGTAAGCATAGGGCTTATAATCAATTGTGAGCAATATGATATATGATATATCAGGATGATATTGTGCGCGTAAATACAGGTCCGAGTATTGTATTATGCTTATTTTAGAACAATAAGAATCAGTCAATGTCACGAAAGATATATTTATATTTATATTTGTATTTGTATATGATAGGAATTGTAGCCAATATCAATTGTTATATTCATATTTATCTTTTCGGCTTATTATATATCTTGTACCATCAATTTTTAATCATCCAAGTACAAAAACCTTGTAAGCTCTTTTGTTTATTTTATTTTTCTATTTTGGAGAACCGAATTCTGGACACCATAAAGATGTTGTATAAATATAATATATATTCTAGCTTGTGCTATCATAATGTCAACATTTGACAAGCTTAAAAATAAAATAAAGATATAAAATAAAGTAAGGTGAACACCAAGGGTCTTTGGTATATTTTTTGTGCTTTTTGAATACAACCCGCGTACAAAATAATAATGTACTTGAATTGTGTTAATGGTTGTGTTCAAACCATCTCAATTTGGTCATACTTGAGTTGCCCTACTATGTATGTACATGCTTATTGCTCTAGTCCTACGCACACTCTATTCAATGAAAGTAAAATCTATCAGACGATTGTTTTTTTTTTATTTACTTTTATTTTAAAGCACATTTTTGTATAAAGCAAAATAAAATAATAGAACCAACCGTTTACAGATTCATATGGTTTTCACAGTATAGACACAGCATTTTCTCTGGACAGTCAGTCATTGGACCCAGGTGGGTTTATAGCATTATATGCATAACTATCATTATAATATAGAGCTCAGTAGATATGCTTGGGCTTATACGTATTATTTTCTCTTCTTTAATACAGTCAAAAACTAAATATACTACTTTACAAGCTCTTTAAAGCTCAATACTAGCAAGCAATATAACTCATTTTTGGATTTGCCTTGTGCAAATCTTTAACAGTGGAATAATATTTAGTGTCCGACAATGTAAAAAAAAACTTTACCGAATTTTGAAAAGCAATGAGCGCCGTTTTAAATTGATATATGTCCACCAATAGATTATATTTATCGTAGCTGATGATGAATTTTGCGTTTGGCACAATCAGAGTTTTTGCGTCGTACAAACTCTGTTTGCCAATAACCAATCTGCCCTGTGATGAAAAGGTCATTCTGGGTTCGGTAGCTAACTCACTTTTTTTTTTTCATTTGATTATGAATGTCCTATACGACCATATAGGAGCTGAAGATACTCCATTAAATATAGGTGGCATTAACTCACCTGGTATTGATATTCTTGAGGATGAAGAACTGAATGAATAGACTGGGTTACCTCATTCATATGCATCCATTTTGAGTGAAGGATGACAGGAAAGAAGTAGCAATATAAACAATAATTTTATGCATATGTGTAAATTGGTAAATTATGCATTATCTGTTGATGGTTCCAGAGGGAAGAGTGTACCAGCTCCAGTCTATCTTTCAAACAAATCATGTGCGCACTGTAAGCATGTACAAGTCGCTAAAATTAAAGCGAGAGGTTCATAAAGAAAATGCACTCCACAACAGATATAAAAGCTGTTCGATTTAGTGATTGAAAAAAAACAAAGAACAGCAAAGGAAACAGCACTCATCACGAGTATAGATGTTTGAATTTCTCAAAATTATGTCAAAACATAAAATTGGGATAAAGAAAGACACATATTTTGTTCTCAGAGGAAGCTTTGTACTAGATGTTATGGTAAACTGACTGAGACCCACCTTCAGTTTCGTGTAGATTACATCGATAAAAGCCCAGCATCTATCCTGATTGGTATAAAAAAAAGACTTTTTGAAGTATTTGAAAAAGTTAGAAAAACCTTCCACTGTAAGGAATTCTGACTGAGTGGTAGCTTTACGAAAGGAGAAAGTTGAAAATTTGGAGAAGAAACACTTGGATTGTTACTAAGGCTTGTATCTTTATCGATCAAGCTAAATTTAACTTTATATTTAAAGAAGTTTTGTTGTTTTTTAGAGGAACACTAGCCAAAGGCATTGCACGCACTAGAAAATGAGTTAAGATTACTATATTATGTGCCACATATTGAGGCACTTGTAATGCTTTCATGGTCTTCAAGTTCTATTTAAAAAGGTTTACTAATTAATTGCATATTTAGGGCGCTTTTAAGATCTTGATGGTCTCAATTGGATTAACGATGTCATCCAAAGGTAGCCACAGGCTCAATGGAGGGGTAACATAGTAACTTTTGTATTTAAAAGGATTTTTTTTGGATCGATCTTTTTGTCATGAAAAAATCAAGGAATATTGTGAAAAAGCCATAGCCATTTTTTGAACACTCATCATTTGGGGTCACATATCTCCATGACAAAAATCCTTTAGATCTGGCTGGAATGGTAAAACGTTTGATCCAGAGAATCCCCTTTAAGTAAAAACCCTACCAGATAACCCCTCTATCGAATTCGTAATCACCTTTGGATGACAGAAATATATTAAGAGAAAGAAGAAGAAGAAATAATGATAAAAAAATAAAATAAAAAGGAAAAGAAGTACCACTATTGAACAGTGTAAAATCACCCAAAAAAAACAGAAAAGTAGAAGCCACAACAGGATCGGTTTAATACCAAAAAAGTACCTTTAGTAGACTTTGGGACCAGGATGTCTAATAAAGTGTTGATGAAGCTAAAAAGGAATAAAGCTGATGTGGCCAGTGTTTTCTACCATAAGGTAAAGAGAAGGAAGATCATCTGTGCCTTTTCAGTGTTGAATAAAAGTGAACATGAAATACCCAAGATTTGCAGCAAATATGGCGCTGATTTTAGGAAGTATTGAACATGTAGAAGGGGACAGTTTACTTGTTTAAGCTGTGAAGCAGTGTCATTAAGAACAAGGGTGTCAAGACCCATACGGTTGCGCTGTAGCTAGTATGCTTTATTAGCATACCATTTTATTGAATTTTTATTATGCCTGCACAAGAAAGACAGCGCAAAATATCGCGAGTTGAACAAGATTATATGCTTAAGGTTTGACTCAAGAGTTGTAGAATATGTAATTAAGTACTAAGATAATAAATCTTATTGCGCAAAGTAATACAAAAAGCCATATATTTATACAAGAGTTCAAATCTCAGGCAGTAGCAAGTAATACTATTAATTAAAAGATAGCATATATTGGATGGCTGTTTAATACATGCAAAAGTATAAAGTATATCTGATTCGTACTCTTTAATCTTCTGGTTTCTTCATTAAGTTGGTGTTAATAAGTCGTAAGATTGTACTAATAAACGTAAATTCAAGTATACGAGTAACACTAGGATTCTCATATAATTTCAAGCTATCAATTTTCTAATATGATTCAAGGCAAAGATCATCTGACAAAGCATTCATATTGGAATTTATAACAATATACTTTTATTATTACTATTAAAGCTTGCGCTCAGAAATATCTCCACTTTTTGGCAAAACCATTTGTAATACAATTGTTAAAAATTCCAATATGATATAGTAAACGAGGACTAAGCATCTGGCTTTAGATTCACTAATCTCCAAATTCAACATGTCAAATGACTCTAATTTTTTTGAAACAAGTAATTTATAGCTCTTTTTCAAATCCTGCAATGTTTTATGAGATACTTCTTGTGATTGATACATATGTAGTCTTGCATTTGAACTAATACACATTTTTTTACTAATAGTACTGTATTAATACACACTATAAAACACATAATCATGGTAGGATTTATGCAAATACACCAAAAAAAAAAACACACGGCTTATATCATCAAGATAATGTTTTATCTTTGTTTTACTTGTGCATAAAATTTTTTCTGGTATCTTAATGGGGCATGGATCAACAGTTTGAATGGATATATTCAAGTAATAAAAAAAAATGCGATGAATGTAGAGCCTTCAACCATTTACTTCTTGAGCCGAGCTTATATTAAGTAGGCGTTGAAGTTTAAACGTCGTTAGTGTTTATTTGTAATGTTCAGAAACCTACTCACTTTTTTTTGGCAGGATACTGCAAAAAATGGTAATATCATAAGATTGATGTAATGGTAAAAATGTGTGACATTATAAAACACTTTAATTTCAACAATTTTCTATATAAACTACATAAATTTTCAACTATTGCTCTTTCCGCATTCTTATACCCTTCATACTTGCATACTGCATACATTTCATACTCGCATTCAACATACATTTCATACTTTCATCCATCATACACTTCATACTTGCATCCAGCATACATTTCACACTTGCATCAAATATACCCTAATCATCAACCTTTCATCCTACTTTTTTATACTTGTAAATATCATTTTTCATTCTTTTATTTCGTACATATTGCATTTTTATCATACCCATTTATTCATTTATCAATATACCGCCCTCAACACCTTTTAAGTAAATCCAAGCAGATCCAAGACAAGCCATGTCAACCTAAAGCCACTCAAAATTCAGACCAAGTTCAAGCCAGTGGCGTACCAAAGATGGGTCAAAGGCAAATTAAAACCAAGTCAAAAAGTATTATCAAACATTCAAGGAGAGGCAGTATATTACTGTTGGAAAACAGCCAAAAGCAGATCCAAAAGGAACACCGTAATTCTACCCAGTTAGAAACAGAAAAAGACCAAGATAGCCGAAAATATGTTGACAATATTTGTCTCATTTATATTTTATACCGTTACATTTTATAATCTTCCTTGATCCATAAATTTAATTTTTAGTATATAATTTAATCTTTAACCCAAAAACAGGCAATTAGCCATGTTTTGTAGTCTGTAATGATAGCAGTAATAGCAACAATTAATCATAATAAATGCCTATCTTACAGATAATACCTTTTGATTCTTATACTGCTTTAGCATATATAATTTTAAATGATTAGATAAGAAAAAACGATGCAACTTTAATGTTGCTGTAGATCCCACAAATTGCTATTTTCCAACTGTAGAGTGAAGAGTTCAATTGCTTATGTAAGCTTTCAATTGCTCAACCTCTCTAGAAAGTATATTTAAATATTACATACAATATATTGAAACGTTACATAATCTCAACCTCATGTTTAAGCATTGCACATCAGCTATTTTATCAATTGAAATTGATTTATTAAGAAAGGTTGGATTTTTTAGACCAATGAAAATTCGGTTTTAGACGAATAGAAAATTAAATACATCCCTAAACACACCCCTAAACACGCACTTTTTCCGTCGTATTAGAGATGACAGAATTCTGATTATTAATCAATGTCTTTGAACAAAAAAGAAGAAGAAGAAAGGGGGGTACCGGTAACATGTAAGATACAACCTGTTAGCTTTGAGAAATTAAACAGACTTGTACATGGATATATCTTATGTCCTTTACTTTGTGTCCTATAGTACAATTCATCCGAGCATGTTTTGTATACTCGTAGTAAGCTCCTATGTACGCGCAGCAAGTTCTTGTACTCCAGAACTTTAAAAATGTCTTAAAAAATTATAGTTTATGAGATGAGGTCAACTTGTTCTTTTCCAATGACCTCAAAATTACCACACGAAATACTCTCAATCATTGCAAAATTTCTCCCTCCAGATACCCGGAGTATTTGTTCAATAGTCTGCAAACAATGGCAACAGCCATTCCAAGATGCAATTCCGAGTGAATTGAGCATCACTAACCATAATCTAAAGGACATTTGCGATCAATTAGATTCAAACATCTACTTTAAAAGACATCTCGTGCAGCATTTAAATTTATATTGCATATCAACACGTAACCGAGAGTATCTTCCAGTATTGCAGAGCCTTTTCCCAGCTATACAATCTTTTCACTATGTAGAGCAAACCAATAGAGATATATCGATCGAATCTTTACTTGATTTTGGTCTCTGGAAGTCTCTCACGCATCTCGATATATATATACAGCAAAGGTCCAATTTTGAAACGAAGAACGTACTCGAAAAATTATCTAGTCTACCGCATATTGTCCATTTTACGTTCATGCGTATGCACCCTTATCTAGCACCAAGTTTCGTTACATGGCAAGATATTGATTGCCTACATAATAATCTACCGCTATTGAGGGTTTTGAAACTTGGAGTACGACTTTTTCCAATATCATCAGACGACATCAGTACCATAAGACAGACCGTCCCTGCCAATAGAATGGCATATGCAAAGTACACGGATTCATATATCGATTCTACGTGGCTATTTTACTTTGCTTTAAAATATCCCTTTCTACGCACAATCGATTTTTCAGATTACTTTCATAAAAGGGAGCCATACGCCGACTACAACAAAGAACGTGAAATGAAATTGCTCTCAACACACCCTAGTTTTTTTCTTCACTTGAAAAATGTGTATGTGTACGAAAACTCTCGCAACGGATGGCCAATGACCACTTTCTACGATACTCTTTCCCACTTCTCTGCTCCACTTAAACATATGGATATTAATATCGCGAACGGTAACGATGGCTATGCTTTAACGCACAATATAAATACATGGGCGAATTTATTCTCGAAAACAATGGAAACACTAGATATCACCGTATCATTTGCCCGACACACCTCAATGTCAAATCCAATTACTCTTTCTATATATCCCAGACTGACAAAACTGGTTATATCTGCCGAATACAAATCTATTGAAATAGATCACATTCTGGATCAATGCCCTGGGTTACTAATGCTCAAGTTATCTAAAAACGCAATTAGTCTCAGAAATCCCTCATCAGCTTTTCAGTCAACACATGGTCTACGAAAACTATATGTAGATATATCAGACACCAATATACGTGTTATAAACTACGTCTCCTCCCGTTGCAGGCAGTTAAAATATCTAACTTTGGATAAAATAGCACCCAAGGATACCGATTTTGACAAAACAGGCTATTTACTTTTTGACATGTCCTTTTCTCAGTTGAATGAGCTTAGAATGTGGGACTTGAAGCTTGAGGGCGGATTCAAGTTTTTTGTTATTGAGCAAGCAGAAACTGTTTTACAGTACACCGAAAATAGTCCAATGGGACACTCATCAGAACAAAGCTCTTCGACACAAGGCTATAGGTCAGAGTGGTATCACACAGGGAAGGATGGACCACTCGGTAGAGAAAAGAAAATCGTGTGGAAGCTTAAAGAAGACGACGTTGAATTTGTCAAGACATATTATCAAAAAGCCAAAGACAAAAATTCATATTCATATAAGCCCAGTAAGCCGCAAAGTGATTACTTGGAGGATTTGACATCAAAAGCATCCTGGAAAGAGGATGTTTATGGAGGTTATGTAGTATTTAGATGTAAACATGTCAAAAAATACAACGTCGGCTTGTAGAAGTTATTCTTTTTAAGAAAAAGCTCTAATAAATTATCTTGTTTTGGTTGTCTATGTATTTAAATCTCATTTGAATATAGCTGTGTTTCAATGTAAGATATACGTACAAAGTATAGAATAGAATAAACCTTTATAATGTCCTAAGGAAATATCCACTATACTTTGATAAGCCTTATTTAAATCAATAGAGCTAAGCAAATCAAACTAAAATTCAATACAGAAAAAGAAAAGAGCAATAATCTATTGGAAATATTAAAGGTGCATGGATATTGACATACAATGTTGAGGATGTGCTTTTTTTTTATACATGAAAGTCGAAGAAATAAATACAAAAAGGGAAATGCCTTGTTTGAGTAAAGAGAAATAGAGAAAGAAAGAAAATAAAGAAGTAAAAAAAATAGAGTATAGCAAAATGTCTAAAACGATGTAATATTATTATGATTTCTAACGCTTTCCCTTGTAACCACCCTTCTTGGGCGAGCGGTTCGACTTCTCCTTTCTTTTGTCTTTTTCAACACGACCCTTACGGATCTGACTTGCGTTCTTCAATTCACTGCGTACGTTACGACCGCCAACACGTTTCTGACCCATAGGTGCTTTACCACCAGCCTTGTTTCCGGCCTTGTTTTCACCGCGTTGAGGTTGATCTGGCTGACCACTCTGGCGCTTCTTCATCTTACGGTCGTAATCCAGAGCAAGAGGATCAAGGGGTTTAGCTTCGTCGTTACGTTGATGACGGAACTTCTTCTGGTTCATGTTGCGTGCAGATGCCAGCTCTTGCTCACCAGCACGGGGCAGATCAATATGTGTCTTCTTACTCCATTCGTTGAATCGTCCGCTCTTAAACGAAGCCGAAATCAAAGCACCACTTTCGGTACGGATCATCTTCTTGTTGTCTGAACCAATACCCATACCCTTGACGAAGTTCTTCTTCTTGGCATCCCATCTCAATTGGTTCTTGTTGGAGGTCATGGTATCGTTTTCATCACCAATCAAGTCAAGTTGGGCCTTGGCAGCTTGTTCCATAAAGTTACCGGTGGTGTTCATGGAGTAACCACGTTCAGTGTTAGCATCCTTCTGAGTATAGTCAATATAGAATTGCTCATCACGGTAAGATGTTTTGGTTTCTGGAGAAGTAAAATTGAGTAAGTATCTATTTTGTTTTCAGTAAGAGAAAAAAATACTAGCTTACTTTTCTCTTTCTTGCTGGGAATGTGAAATGCTGATGCAAGTTCTTCTTCGTCGACATCTTCACCCAAATCTTCTTTATCTGCCTCAGCCTTCTCCTTGGTCTGCTCTGCTGCTTTAGCGGCAGCTTTTTGTGTACGCTGTGCATTAATAATGCTGCCGACAGTCTCTCTACGCTGACGCATTACAAGAGTACCAGCAGTAGCCTTCTTGATACCACGCTGACCAACCTCAAAGATGGTCTATATTTTTATACCATCACATCATATATCAATACTTGTGCTCTATAAACATTTTTTATTCTTCCTTTTGTATCTTACCTCAGCAGGACGGAACCCGGAAATCTGGTTAATCAAAGCCAGGCGCTCCTGTTCTGGTGCACTGCTGTTTTCCTCATTAACTTTTTTTTTGTTAGAAGAAGGAAAAATACAGGACATTAATATATTATATTTTAATTATTCGCATTCTTTTTTTTTCTGCGCAAAACTTACTTAATAAGGGGTGCATTTCCAAATAAGCTTCACTCTTCATCACCTTTTTGGCACGGGTGTAACTCTCGGGAGCAGCACGGGGTTTAGTACGGTTATAAAGTCCAAATGCATTAATGGCGGTCTTTTGGAGACCCTGGAGACCAGCATCCTCCTCAACACGTTGGAACACCCACGAGATATCATCGTTCAAAGAGTCCTTGGGCAAAGAACCAATCACCAACTCAGTAGTGTAATCAGGCTTCTTTTTAGTCGAGCTTCCGACCACCAAAGGACGGGTCAAGAAGAGTTCAAGATCAACTAGGTAAGGCAACTCCTCGGATGTGACCAAAGAATAAGCCCAACCGCGACGACCGGCACGAGCAGCACGACCGACACGATGCACGAAAACCTTGGATGAGCCGCTGAAATCGTAGTTGATGACGTTCTCAAGAATGGGAATATCAATACCACGAGCAGCAACATCTGTTACGACCAAAAGGTTGGTAATACCAGTACGGAAACGAGTGATTTGGATGTTACGTGCGGTTTGATCAAGAGAACCATAGACATAAGACACATTGTAGCCTGACATGGTCAGAATAGTAGAAAGGTATTCGACGTGATGCTTTGTAGACACAAAGAGAATTGTCTGGTGGTCATCAACGGTGGCAACTTGGCGCTTTTTCTTGTGCTTCTTGTCAAATAACACGCTATCATCTACCATAGGTTTCTTAGGGAGCTTAATCACAGAGCGCAACAGGTACAAAAGAGCAGCTTCCTTCTCGACTTCCTTGACTGCAAAGAAGGCCATTTCAAGATCTCTACTGATCTTGGTATCCACATCCAAACGGACGAGAGTAGGTTCTTGGAGACCAGCCTTGGCAAAGTCTACCAACATCTTGGGAAGAGTGGCAGAAAAAAGGAGAGTCTGGCGACTGGGAGGCAAGCGAGAAAGAATTTCGTGTAATTGGACAGCAAAACCCATCTCGAAAAGACGATCAGCTTCATCAAAAACAACATACTCGATAGTGCGCAAATCCAGTTCCATTTCAACAGCCAAATGGAGCAAACGACCAGGAGTAGCGATCAGAATATCGGGGTTGCTTGCAATCATATTGAACTGATCATCCAAACTGTCACCACCAACAAGCGAGCAACTGCGGATATCAGTGTACTTTCCGAGTTCCTTGCAGACCTTTTGGGTCTGGAGGGCCAGTTCACGGGAGGGTGAAAGTACCAAACCTCTAGCACCAACCTTGGCCGAGTGAGTCTTGAGGCGCTCCAACATAGGGATCAGGAAAGCAGCGGTCTTTCCGGAACCTGTACGAGCCATACCCACAACATCGTCACCCTGCATCACAAGAGGAATACATCTACGCTGAATGGGAGTAGGAACCTTAAATCCCTTGTGAAGAATAGCTTTGTAAATAGGATGGCTAAGACCCATGGATTGGAAGCCACCTGATTTTTTGTTTTTACGGTTTGCAGCCAAAGTCTCGGTGGCAATAAACTTGGCTTCATCACCACTATCGTCACTATCTTCCATGGTAATAGGTGCTGGCTTAGGAGTAGAAGCAGCTACACGAACGGCAGGTTGAGCGGCGGGGGCAGTTGTCAAGCTACTAAACATATCCATCTCGAGATCCGAATCTTCATCGTCAATATCATTGTTGTTAGTGGTTTGTGCGGTGGGTTTGCGAGGAACGATCTCGAAATCAGAATCTTCTTCTTCTTCCTTTGTTTTAGAAAACTTTTTCTTTTGGTATTCTTGACGTCTCTGCTTCGTCTTGGATCGCTCAACCGGGGCTTTTGTTACTGGTTCTTCTGTCTTGGGTTTTGATTCGCGTTTGATGGCTCGGTTGATCTTGTTGGTTTTGTTGGTCTTTCCGATCTTATTGATCTTCTTGTTAGCCACCTTGATAGAGGTTGTAGGCTTTTTTGCCGTCTTGTTTGTAGGTTTTTTGGGTGCCATGATCGTTTCTGCGATGACTTCAAAAAAAAAACTCCCCCTTTTTTCTTTTCGATAAATTATGCTCGGTTTTGCGCACACATACATATTTGTGGTGGCTTGGCTTCTCCCTTTTTGGACGGGCGGTGGTTGAGCAGTCTGCATTTTGGTACACTCCAAATATGGATATATATTCTTTCCCCTATTCTTGGTGGATCTGTCTTTTTTTTTATTATCTCATCTTTCTCTTTCCTCTAAAGCTTTTTTTTTTAAAAGAAAACTATCTTGATTTAATTCTTTAGTTTTACTATGACAATTGAGGAACCTAAGCTCAATGGCCATGTTTCAACCAAGGAGGCTGCTAAGTCGACCACTAATACAAATGATCGATTTGAAAACAGCTTAGAGAGTTCAGACGCGGTCTCCCAATTGATAGATATGGAGGTAATAGGTTTTTGCTGTACTGTTCACAAGCTAAATAGATCGAGTAATGAAGACAGACAAAGAATACATGTGTGTACACACAAGAAAGGAGAATATAATAATTAATTTCTTTCTTGTGTTGTGGCAGCTTGGAAATGCGTGCTTGTTGGACAAGGTCAAGCAAGATATGCAGACGGTCAAAGTAAAGTAAAAATACATACATAACTGCCCATCAAGAATTAAGATCTTTTAAATAACCAGAGAGTCTAATACTTCTACCTTATGCTCAACAAATATTTAAGGACATATCATTCTTCCTGAAGAAACGCGCTTTGATTGAAGAGGAATATGGAAGACAAATGATAAAACTTACGCAAACAATGTCAGAGACAGTTGATAAAGCACCACTTCGCACAGGGTGAGGTCGAATATCGGATGTTCTTATTTTTTGCCTAAATAATACGCCATGTACATATCTACATATACATATATGACAAACTTACTTTAGTTATTGTGTGCAAAGAACCTTGTCAGATTCATGGTCTTCCTATCTCAAGGTACATGAAAAAGTGGGAGAAAATCGAGTTAGATTTTCTCAGGACATTGTCGATATTTCGGATGACCTCTTATTTCTACACCGAGACACAGAAAAGGAACGAAAGCAGGTAAGTCGAAAAGCACATTTCTGAAATATATTCCCTTATAACATAGACTTTATTATAAATTGAATTTAGATCAAAGACTTGGGAATCAAGCACGAGAAATTGCTAGGAGACGCAGATATAGCTCTTGAAAAGGTAAAAGGAAAAAAAAAGTCAGGAGGAAAGGAGAATATGCTGATCTAGATGCAATAGGTCAAACAAAGGTATGACCAAATGAGCGAGGAGTGGGAAAAGGCTATATTGCAAAAGAATGGCGAGACTGTAGCCGTTACCAAGAAGGCGATCTTCAAATCAAACAAAACTCAAGCACAGGTATGTTTGAATAAATTGTTGTAGCAGTTTAAATTTAACCCATGTGTATTGTGTTTTATTTTGTTACATATGTATATACAGTTGGGTAAAATAGAAGAAGAGGCACGTACAAAGGCTGGAATAGCAGATCAAGCTTACCGTCACCAGTTAAAGCTTACCAACCAAAGTCGAAATGAATACTATACCGTTCACCTTCCAAAGATCATTACCGTAAAGTAGTTTGTATATTCACGTTGTGACAACTATGTGCGTATGCATATATGTATCAATATGTATTTGCTGTGTATTTTTTTTAGGATCTCAAGGCAGTAGGGGACGAGTGTTGTGTTGCGATGAGGTATCAGCTTGCTCGATATGCCTATCGATTTGAGCAAGCACTGGTATCGGATGGTATGGAGATCGACCCTGAAGACGGTAAATTTCTTTCCTTGTATTATTGACACTGTTCTACACACACATACACAACCTATCAAAGAAGCTAACAGTCAGCTTTAATAAATATTTTCTAGGAGATGGACTGCGATCGCTGGCCGAAAAAATTGACCATGTTGGCGATCTTAATGGATATATTCAATCTTGTCAAGCACGCGTGGCAAAGGTTCAAAAACTTGATATTCCATTTAGGGAATACAGTATGGTAAAATAATAAATATTACAAGCCTAACTAATATTAGCAAATTTAGTCTAATATATACACACACACTTATATGTTTACTAGTCTGCCTCTGCACTTCAAGTATTGAATCCAAACCCTGTGTTTGGTGTATCTCTGGATGAGCTGATGGAACGTACAGGCGCAGAAGTGCCCTTAATTGTTCTTAAGTGTACAGCAGCGGTTGAATTGTATGGTCTCCACAGTACTGGTATATACCGTCTATCCGGAACAAACAGTCAGATTCTCAAGCTTAAAACAGCATTTGATCGAGGCAAGTGCATCATTTATTACATTATCTTGAGAAACATTGTTTTGATATTCTAGCTTAGACGCCAATGCCGTTGATTTCAATTCTGAGGAGTATATGTGCGATGTAAACAATATAACCAGTGTGTTAAAGCTGTGGTTTCGTGAATTACCTGACCCTTTATTGCCTCGGCACATGTACAATGATTTTATCAGTAAAGCAAGTAAGAAGCGGCTAATTTTGTCCTACAAATACATTCATACACAAATAAGATGCTCACAAAAATTGGCTTGGTTGTTCTTGGATAAGTTGAGATTGGAGATGAACGAAAAAGAGTATTGGCATTCCACACCCTAATTAATGAACTATCGGATGCGCATTATTCTACGCTGAAACATCTCATGTGCCATTTAAACAAGTAAGCCCAATATATCATTTTAATAAAGCTAGATTAATTAACATAAACAAAGGATACAAGCAAACGAGGAACACAATCGAATGGGAATAAGTAATCTAGCGACTATATTTGGTCTCACTCTTATGGGAAATGATACAGACGACCCAAGACAAGGATCACCCACTGAACAGGATAATAGGCGACTGGCTGAGATGCAATACAATGTTTGTGTAGTTCACACAATTCTTGAATACTATGATTTGATCTTCGAATAACAGTTGCGCAATATACCAGCATCCTTAATATATCATTAAAGAAAACGCAATTCAACCTGACAATAAAAACATTTTTTCTAAGGCAGTTCATATATATATTTTATTCATATTCGTCCATAGCATCATCATCCTCTTCTTGACGCTTTGCTTGTCTTTCCAGAGCACGCAAGAATGACTCGATGTCTATGGAAAAACAAAAACAAAATTAGTCATGAAAGACGCGTGTAGATGATTATTTTATAATACTAACTGTGATCTTCTGCCTCCAATCGAGTGGCAAGATGGTCAAGATCTCCATTGGCTAATGCAGCATTTAATGTATAAAGAGCATGATAGAAATCTGTGCTTTGTGAAATTTGACGAACTTCTTCTGTCGAACTAGGGCTCTGGCGAACAAAGGGGAACAAGGCCAATCGCATAGCATCGTATTTTAAGAGAGGAAAAAGAGCTTCAGGGGATACTGCATCGCTAGTAGTCAATCGGAGTGCCTGAGGCTCGCCCTCTATAGATTGTGCATTTTTTTTAAAAAAAAGAGAGACTCGTCAATAAATCATTAATAGTAGTAAGGTATATATATATGCTTAATAAAATATCCTATAGTAAGCGGTTTACCTGCTTCTCTGGTTTGCTCCATAACTCGACGCAGCTCTGCAAGGTTAGCTTCAGAAAGAGTTCCGTTTTCTCCACGGAGACCGGACATCAAGGCATCCGGAAGACCGTCAGCCTGGAGAGGGGATGATAGACTACCCCTTTCACCCCGAGAAAAAGAAGACAATAATAATGATAATAATAATGATAATAATAATAATAATAATGTGAGCGCCATAATGATATTTTTGCACACCACCTGTTTAACCCTTGTTTCTTATTACCCCAGGTTTCCAGCCGACTGAAGGAATTGCAACAAGTTTTCTTGTGTCATATTGATATCTAGAAAAAAAAACAATTGATTTATCCCGAGAAATATAAAATACCAATTAGCTTTTCATTCATTCCTTCATTCTTAGAGAAGAAGTACTAATGTTATCTACACATATGTAGGTATGTAGGTATACTAACTTATATTACCATGACCATCACCGAGAATCTGCAGGAGGTCTGAAGGAGATTCACCTCCAAAGTCTAAATCACCTGCAGAATCCATATAACTTTGTGGATCGTTGATCAACTGGTTCACACGTTCAACAAGTTCCTTGTCCTTGTCTTCGTTTTTGTCCTGCATCCAAAAGAACAGCTTTTGGTTCGAGGATCTAAACTTGAGCAGATACACACGACCAGTAGTACATTCCTCGACTTTAACCAATTCTGCTTCTTCAGGGAAAATGATGAGATCCTTTTATGTGTATGTAACCAAGAGAACAAGACAAGACAAGACAAGACAAGACAAGACAAGACAAGGCAGATATACGTATAACACATAATATAATACATAATATAATTAAATTAAATTAAATCAAAGCAAATCAAATCAAATAGAATATAATATAATAAAAAATATAGAGAGAGTCTTCTTAGATTAAACGCGCACATATATACACACACACACATTTTGTACCATGTAAAACTATAATATTTTAATGGTTGATCTTTACTTCTTCAGCGGTACTGGCTTTGCGCTCTTTCCAGTAGAAATGCATCAACTGGTCGTCGCTCTGTTGGGTAGATAAAGGAAAATGTATTAGAGTGAGCATGTTTTAATTCAAGTGGTGGGATCTCAATTTACTTGATCCATATAAATGGTGCTACACAAAGTTCAATGAGATGAGTCTAGAATATAGTCTTTGTAAAGAACGTACCCCTTACGGACATCGGGTGCAAGCATATTATCTCGGCGGATACACTTTCCAGCATTAAACTGGACAAGATGACTGACTGGTTGAGCTGTTGAAAAAAAGCTCATTATTACAAACTAAATAGAGATGATCAAAAAGAATAAGACCAAAAAAAGTAAAAGAACCATATCAAATAAAAGCAAGTAAAAAGCATGTCTGGGTGACGCGTCTGCGGTAATTGAATACAACCTGATGGTGGTTTGTGCCAAAAAGCATAAAAAGAAATAAGAAATAAGAAAGGGCATTATGACTTTAACCAATTGGATCATAAATAAGAAAACCATTTTTTTTGGGAAATGCACAGTTTAATGGCTGTATTTTTTTGTCTCTTTCTTTATGTATACACATATACATATATATATACATGAGAGAGAGAGAGAGAGGAAGATAAAACTAGACTTTATGACTGGGGCTAATTAATGCTTCTTTATCCGAATAAAAAGGCTGTAACTGATAAGATTGATATTCAGCATAATTTCAGGTCAATCTCAGAGTGTGCGTTTCTTTAGACTATAGATCAGATATGTGCTCATATACTTAGTAAATAAAGACAAAACAGAGGTAGACAGGGGAGGGTTAAATAGACTTGCTTGGCCATCAAGGGCAACCAAAGTGACGTACGAATATTTTAATATTAATATTTTATTTTATTTCATTTTAAACTTTTCTCTCTCTCTTTCTTTCTTTCTTTTTCACTCTTCTTTCTCTATCTCTTTCTATAACTCCGGCTTTATATTTCTCTTTTTCAACTACATTTATTTCTATCTTTTTTCTTTCTTTAATATCAAGTTTTTGGAAACTCATTTTTCTGTCATCAATGTCCGAACGTCAAGCGAATGAAGTTCTACTCCAAGCTGAAAAAAAGTTGAATGGCTGGTCATGGTTTGCAAGCAGCACCAGCAAACAGGAAGAAGCAGCCGAATTATATGAAAAAGCCGGTAATACATTCAGGCTGGCACAGGGATGTAAGTATTCAAATGGCATTAGAAGTTACGGAATCTTACTTGTAATTATCAGGGTCCGAGGCCGGCAAGTGTTTTCTAAAGGCAGCTGAACTTTACCGAAAAACTCCAGATCTACTATACGAGGCTTCAAAAGCATATGAACATGCTGCAAAGTGCTTCAAAAAGAACGATAGCCAAGGTACACATAAAAATATTTATAGACACAAATACACGCACATATATATATATATATATGTGTGTGTATACGTATGTATTTCTGTCTGTAAATAAATATTTACTTATCTTTTGTATATCCACACCCACAATACTGTATATATGTATGTATATAATAAGCTGCTATCGATGCTCTCCAAGAGGCAACTGTGATCGATAAGAACGGGGCACATTTTAGAAATGCCGCTAAACATCATCAGGAAATGGCAGAAATTTATGAGTCTGATATTGTTGATCTTGAAAGAGCAATGGAGCACTGGGAAGAGGCTGCTCAAATGTATATTGCTGATGATTCCCAGGCGTAAGTACACCAATATATATATATATATATATCAAATGCATTCGAATATTTTATTTTTGAAGGAAAACTAACAGATAATGGAAACCGTGATCCTTTGATTTTACTTTTTTTGTGTTTTATAGAATGGTTAATAAGTGCTTGTTAAAAGTAGCTCATTTTGCTGCACAACTAGAACAGTATAAAGCGGCTATAGAAAAGTTTGAGACTGTTGCAACAGCTTCTATGGACAATCCACTGACCAAATGGTCCCTCAAAGAATATTTCCTAAAGGCTGGTCTTTGTCATTTCTGTATTGGGGTAAAGTTATTCATATATATATATATATATCTTAAAGGGAAACATATATATGGAGTGTATGTTTGTGGAGGGGTACTTGTCACAATTATGCTTAAATTCATTTTTAGGATATGGTCAGTTCTCATCAGGCGCTTGAAAAGTATTGCAACCTGGATGTTACCTTTGAAAGTACACGTGAATACCAGTTTTTACAGGTAAAGCAGTACACAAAACCAATGTATTTGTACATACACATATGTATCTGGATATTGCTAAATAAATCAATAAATAAATTTACAATGTTCTCTTTCTTTTTTCTCTTTCTTTTTTCCTTTATCTTTGTGTATGAATGTTTGTTATTTCAGGGTATTCTGGAATGTATTGAAGAAGACGATACCCAATTGTTCACTCAAAAAGTCTATGAATTCGATCAAATGACAAAACTCGATAATTGGAAGACCAGCATTCTACTCAAGATCAAGAAATCTATAGATGAGCCTTCTTTACTCTAGTAGAGAAAGAGACAGAAAGAGAGAAAGAGAGAGAGAAAAGATAGAAATAGAAATAGAAAAAGAAAGTAATATTAGTTTGTTTCACTACTTTACCTTTTTCAATTTCTTTAGCATTTACCTTATTCCCTCCCTTTAACCATTTTACCCACAACAAACCTACACACACACGCACAACATACAGACAACATACAAACACACACAAACCAACCCAGAAACTATACATCAAAAAACAATCACTCGAATATGCTTTACAAACACATATGTATATGTATATATTGTATCATTTACACATCTTTTTTCTCTTAATACATTATGTATTTAAGCAGGACAATAATAATCAAGAAAAGAAACTATACTCTGCCTCCATATCTGAGTTATGAGGTTTTAATATTGAGGGCAGCTCCTCAAACAATCAAATGTTGGATTTGAAATCTCGATTAACAGATTTTAACATTTTAAGAATGCACAAATACCATGATGTGTTAAAGCGTCTTCTTTACAAGTAATAGAAAAGTGTAGAACGGTATAAACGATAATATTACAGGTGCTGTATTTATTATAAGTTTCCCATTATTCCTCCATACAATGTCAGACATGTCAACATTTTCTTTTCGCTTCTGCTGCTATTTTTACAACCACAGTCAAAAACGTTTCGATCTCTGAGCCCACCCAAACAAGAACTCATTGGAAAGCAAAGTATATATTCAACATGAAGCGACTCGTCAGTAGTAATAGCTAAAGCATGCAAAATTCAAATTCAAGATAATATACACGTGTACCATTAAAGAATAAAAATAAGTAAAAGTATCAATGCTTAGTATGACCTCCCTTGGCTTCAATTACAGAGCCCAACATCGATATTGCATACTTCCTACCAAAGTTTATGCCAGTTTGGCGCCTATTCTTTGCCACTCTCGTTGAATGGCAGATTTAAAATGATTAATTTTGTTGATGTGACCCCTCTAATCACTCATACCTCTCTCAAAGCCCCATCAGAGATGCTCATTACTGTATTTATACCATTTCAAATAAGAGCTAATATGATATCTGGAAGTGACTTCTTGGAACACAAAATACCAGCTTTGTTTCCTTAAAGGATTGTGAAACAAAGTGAGGAATGTTCGAAGCCAAAGTGCTCGCATAGTTGGTTTTTCTTACGTTGCCATATAGGAACATCAAAAGCCCAAGACCACTGGGCCAAAAACAGCTAAGAATAATCAAATTACTATTCTCTCACTTGGTTCTCTCGATGATATTTTTTTTTTTACTTTATACCTTTCGTCAACTCTTCTAATAGCTATTTTCTTTATCATTACCTTTGACTATAAATCTTAATTCATCGGACTATACTACAACTTTCTACTGGTTATTTATCTAATTGATGTTCTCACAAACCCAATACAACTGTATTTTCTTCTAGCTTTCTATTAAAACTGGGTTATGGGCTGCGATATATGATTCAAGGCCCAAATGCCTGAGACAGCTAATTGTTGTTTTTGTACAGACGAATATTTTCACCTTCTTAAAGGAGCCTCCCAGCCTAGAATATGAGACAAGGAGTCCTTTTGAGTTACTTGCACAAAGTGTCTTTCTGTTCTTTCATCAATCTCTTAAGTCTCCCAGACCCTCTTCTTGGATCTGAAGATGCTGTTTTATCTACTCTCTTTATAGAATTGGGAGAAAACCGCTTTTTTTGCAGGGTTTGGAACGTTTTTGACCATAAATATATGTATATACATCTGGGTGTAATAAATATTTGTCCAGAATACTACTTCGAAATGTTATACTCTAACTGGAAATACTCAATCCCATCTTGGAAACGTCGTGACCGTAAGATCGCTGTTCCCGTACATCATGGGTTTGGGTAATTATTTATGACTTCATTAGCCATTTTTAACAAAAGCTCTGCTGTCAGTGGGTCAGTTAAATGGAATTAGACATAGTATCCGATCTTCAAGTCTTGGAAATATATACTCAAAGCACAATAATATCTAGCATTACTAATAATATTGGCATTTGTTTGTAAACCAAAATATAGCAAGAAAGTTAACCACAGTTACTTTTCTGCAAGCCACAATTCTTAAAGCAAATTGGATCATTTTCTATTTTATGGAATTACAGCACGTATCAAGTTACTACAACTTAATAGAGTAATTATTGAGCGCAAACTCGATATCTACGATAAAAAAAAATAAAGCTTTTTAAGTGGGTTTGCCCAGAAATCATACTTTTACATTTTCTCTTTCTTTCTTTTTTTGTAGATTATACATTTTATTGGCTGAATTGGCTGTGACTTACAGAAAACCATTTGAGATTAACGTTGTTCCTTAAGTTTGGAGGCACTGTATATTTGTAATTAACCTCAGCCAAAAAAAAACACTATTGGTGTGTGTGTGTGTGTGCCTGTGTGTTCAAATTCACTCAAATTTATTATGTCGTCTGGATCTTTACGTCGCATTTCTCACCAATGGCGCTACCTTCAAAAGGCTCACCACAGCACATTTCAGGCTGGTGATTTTTGCATGCTTCGTGATGTCAGAAACAGCAAAAAATTCTTTGTTGGACCCCTGGAGGTAGATTCCAAGCGTGACATCAAGGGTGCAATTATTTCCCATGCAGATGTGATCGACAAACCTGCACGTACAATTATACGAGCACACAAGGGAAACACCGGATACATGTTGCATTTCCCAACTTTAGAAGAGTATGTTCTCAATGTACCCAGAGCATGTACACCTATTTATCCAAAGGACGCTTCTGCAATTGTAAGATTCTCAAATATAATATATATATACATGTGTGTACGTATACATGGATACATATATATTTTTCTTTTCTTTCCTTGTAATAATAGGTCCAAATGTTGGATATTGAACCGGGCCATCGTGTTCTTGAAGCTGGCACCGGAAATGGGGCGCTTACCTTACACTTAGCCAGAGCTGTTGGACAAGAAGGCAAGGTTGATACATTTGAAATAAGAGAACCTCACGCGCGCACAGCCGAAAAGCATGTTGCCCGGTTCAACCGTGGACGGTACTTGCCAACAATTGCGTTCCACCACGGATCAGTTATGGAAAAAGTATCTGAAGTTGGCACAAAAGAGTGTTATGATGGGCTTATCCTTGACATGCCAGAACCCAATCTGGCATGGCCTGTGCTGCTACCATACTTGCGCAATGACCGTTTTTTGGTGTGCTATCTTCCCAATATGACCCAGGTTCTCCAGCTGGCAGGCCAACTGCGAGGACAGCATCTGGTAATGGAAGATTGTATAGAAGTGGAATGGAAATCGTGGGAGATCCGTGCAACGCAGATTCGAAGTCGTGTTGCAGCTGCAGCTGCAGTATCTGCTACAAATTCTGCAAATCCTGTACAAAACACTCTAGATGATGCACAAGTCGCCGGGGAAAATACTGAGAATCCAGTTGAAGCTGAAGCTGAATCTACTGTCGTTGATACAGGTGCAAGCGAAGCACTTGCCTGGGTGTGTCGACCAAAGAATTTTGATGTGCGAGGCCACACGGCCTTTCTTGTAAAATTACGTAAATGTGAACCTGTACCATAATTCGAGCATAATAATTTAGATAGAACTCTTAATGTTTAATAAAATAAAATGCATTTTATTATTATACAGAGAGTGCCAAACGTTAAAATAAATAAATAAATAAATAAATAAATAATAGTAAAAATTGGCGATCAAAAATGAGTTTTGTTATCCTGTCTAGGTTGACTGAAAATCGTACTTGAATTTCGTTTTTGTTCGTATTCTATGTGCAGTGGACAGGTTATGATAAATGAATAATAAAAACAGCGGTAATAATATCAATATCAATATCAATAATATTTACATACAGTTCTACATATGCATATACAAAATTCCGAGGATCATTTTTCTTTCTCTTTCTCTTTCTCCCTCTCTATTGATATTAACTGACTATATTATAATAAACATAAAACATGTACCAAGGCAGAGCAAGAGCAGCTTCCGTATCTACCAATACACCCAGTGCTCCTCCTCCTTCTCATAACCACATTGGACGCAACGCAATTCCAATTTCACGTGCAGGTGATCATACCTCAACCTCTTTTGTACCAGCACCATCATTATCCACTAGCGCACCTTCCGTCGGTCCCTCGTTAATATCATTTTTTCATGGGAATTCACACGATAGTCGCAGCAAAGAATCTGTTCATCTCCCTATAGATGTACCGCCTTCGACGATTGGTATAGAGTTTGAAGGTGGAACACATGTAATTATACGTCCGGACCGTATAATAAGAGGTTAGAATGGATTCAGCATTGATATCACTTTTATGAGAGCCATGGGCTTTGCAAATTCATTGACTATAATATGAGGCACCATATATATATATATATAACATTTCATTCTTTTATGCATTCATTGATTAATTATTTATTCCTTGGCAGGTAGAGTGGTATTGGATTTACAAGAACGAATTTTGGCTACACGGATTCGGGTCAAGGCAGGTTACCCCACCATAATTTTGGTTACAGCTATATCATAACAGCCTATATATATATACCTATAGTTTAAAGGGGTAGAATCGGCTATGGTGAGAGTAGATGATACGAATGGAGATGGCAAGGGAGAATGGATTAATCATGCGATTACTACATACTTTGAGACCGAATGGAAGTTGTGGGGGAATGATGGATCAGGTAAAGCAATCACGTTTAAATATAAGAAAAATAAATAGGAAGTGTGATTGGGCTCAGAGGTATTATTCTAAAGTAACATACTTCACGCAGCATTTTCGCAGTGTGGATGGGATGAGATGGATGCAGGTCGATATACATACCCTTTTGCATTAAAGGTAATTCCAAGAATATATCGATATACTTTTTTTTATAATATTTCATTCCTTGCTCACAACGTAATATCAAATGCGACCTTCAAAAAAAACAAGTTCCCAAATTGTAATTATCCACCTAGTATTGAAGAACCAGCAGGGTTCCATATACGATTCATTTGGTCTACTCAGATTGATGGTCCTGGCCTAGAATCAAGCCTCAAGAGCAAAGATTATGTAACACCATACAGACCAGTACTAATATCAACCCCTGGTAAGAGAAAAAAAATGAAAGGAATATCAGGGTTCTTCATATTATCACCTCAATACATACCCCCAACCCCCAATGAATCATAATTTGTAACAGATAAGGAATGGATTTTCAAATCCACACTGGTCAAGGACAGGCGTACACCTCTGGCCGAAGTACAAGCTAAATTGGATCGTCAATCTTACTGCCCAGGTAAAGATAAAATCAAGAATGTCTCTGTGCTTTTAATATTTAATTTTTCCATTATGTTTCTATATATTTATTCACTGTAAATATTGACAACAGATGAAGCCTGCGGATTGCAGCTCACTATTGCTATTCTTCACGCTGACACCAAATGCGTGGGAATTCAATATAAATTCCGCAAGCATCACGAAGGAAAGATGCTGGTTCAACAGGGAACCGCTTTTCGAGACCATGTGCGCGTTGTTCTTCAAGGCACGGTTCCTTTCAAGGACACACATATATCTGAGCACGTCGCCTTTAAGATCCCCACTCGTCTCGTATCGCCATCATTCTTAACTCGCCACACACGCGTTCGCTACGACATCTTATTTCAAGTTACTACTGCTCACGGACATCTCTTCAAAACCAACCATGTATCCGAGTTTGCAATTCCCATCACAATCGCAAACCTACCGTATGATCAGTTACTTCGTGTTCCACGAGCAACAATGGTCGAGCACTATCAAAACTCTGTAGCTAGTCCTTTCTTTTTTGAACCTTCATTGGAAGAACCTCCAGAAGATACAGATGGAGATATTGAAGCTATGGCAGCCATTACAGATGACTTGACTCGTACACCCGGAGAAGAGCCTCCGAGTTACTTTAGTCTTGAGCAACAGCCTTCTCAATTTCGTAACAAAAGAGAGCGAAAAGAACGAACGGTGTATTTGTCCAGATCAGCAAAAGGCGTTCATTTTGGTGTAGATATGGTAGATGCCAAGGTGGTTAGTGGTATATATGACGAAGATTGGTAGAAAAACAAAGGGAGACGATTGCTCTTTGGGTATATACTTCTTTTAGTATTACTCTTACTATTATTATAACTCATTATTACCATCTTTATCACTATTACTATTACCATTTTACTTGTTATCTCTTATACAGGCTTAGACAGAAACCAATCCATTTTATTTTTCATCTTATTTTTCTTTTAACTTTAATCCCATCCCCATACTTCCTTTACCCAGGAGCCTAAGTCCATTTCCACATTCTCCCACAGAGCAATAAAGGGATGTTCGAGCATTCTATTGGGTCCTGGTCGATATTGAGGATCCTTTGTTAAACTATTATATATTTTTACAGAAAAAAAATGGTTTTAGTTTTTCTTTCTTTTCCAGTTATATCACCTAATAAACAGACACACACACACACACACACGTGTACGAGCACAGAAAGAGGAAGTAATAATAATATTGATTTACCAAACTGCTACAAAGTTTCTACATTCTTCCGAAATGTGTGCGCCTTCAATTACAGGAACAGGTTGGCGTACGATAAAATCAAGGAGTTCAAAGATTGACAGATGAGGCTGTCCAGGGGGCGGTAAGGCGGGGCAGTTTTGTGAGACTTCGATAAGAGTAAGACCAAGAGACCAGATATCAGACTGGACTTGATAAGCATTTCCTTGAATACGCTCAGGCTGTAGATATATAAAATATGTTTTTCAAGGTTTAGGCATTTTGAAGTACAAAAATATATGCGTGCATGCATTCATGCATGTATAGAGGATTGAATTAATAAACAAATGAATAAATAAATATAAACTTACTGCCATGTAATATTGGGTTCCCGTGAAGGTTTGGGCAACAGAGTTGATCAATTCTCCTGATACTCCAAAATCGCACAACTTAATTTCACCCGATCGAGTAACAAGGATATTGGATGGCTTGATATCTTTAAGGGAAATTGTCAGCTGTATTATAATTACGGGCACCTTGTACAATATTACCTCTATGAATAACTCGCTTTGAATGCAGGTACACAAGACCTTTACACACCTGAAAGAAAAATAGTAGTAAAACGGTATGTTATATATGTATACATAATACCAGCAAGTCTTTTTATATCCAAATTGACACACATCTTTCCCCTACTTACTGATTCAGCAATCCGAGCCAAGAAAGGCTCTCCGATAACACCTCCAAGTAAACTTGCTCTTTTGTAGATATCTTCCAAGCTTCCAGCCTCACAAAACTCCATGCAGAGTGAGACAGTAGTATCACCGTCATCCAAGAATGCGCCGTAGAATGAAACGATGTGGGGTGAGTTACAGGTTCTCAAGAAAGCAAGTTCTCGGAGAATCTGGCGCTGAACGGCCGGATCCGGATCTGTCGAGATTGACTAATGAATATAAGCTTTATTTTTTAGTATTTAATTCAAAACACCCACTCACATACACACAAAAATAGCAAGGACGCGACTTTGTCCTTCTTATTCTTATCTCTGTTTTCTTTCTCTTTTCCGTATCCGTAATGCTTTTAAGTATACCTTTTTGGCCATAATACGATTCGTGGGTCGATGGAGTACTTTTCGTACTGTACCTGCCGCACCCTCACCCAGGCGCTCCATTGTGTCTAACTCACTAGCTTTGACTTCCATATGGTGAGTAGGGTCTGAGGAAGACGAAGAGGAGGATGAAGAAACGGGAGGGGGTAACGGAGGTTCACGGAGTACTGGAAGGATTGGGCGAGTTTGGTGCGACTGTAAATAACTTGCTGCAAGAGATACTTCTTCTTCTGGCGCAGGCGGTGCAATTGGTGAGAGGCGATTGTTGACAATGTTGCCTAGTTGTTCGCGAAATGAAGACGGTGATGTGCCATTTGGTGAAGGTGAAGTGGATGATGCGGCAGGATTAAGAGGTGGAAGACGTAGGCCAGGATTACGCTTTCCTTTGCGAGCAAACTGAGGGCGTTCTTCAAGTTGGTCCATTTAACAAACGAATAACGGTATAAAGAGAGAAAGGGGGGAAAAAAGGACCCCAAAACAAAAACAAAAAAACAAGAAACAAAGTATTGAAATAGGGGATTTCAACACTTTTTTTTATATATACACACTTTTAGATTTAAACTTTTGTGTTTAAATTAGTGCCCAATAATGGTTGGTATTTTATATGGTTGCTGATAAATTAATAAAATGAAAGTCTTTAAGCCCTGGCTCAAAGACTTTTTTTGTATAGGCTTTCATGTTCTTAAATTAATTTAAGCCAATAATTTCTGTAATTCAAACTCAAAAGTATAAATATAAAAGTCTATAAGTCTGTTGAATTCCCCTTAATACACTAGCCCCAATGCCAACGAGCGGGGATTAACCACTTTAGTTCGGAATACATTTATTAAATAGGCGCTTTTTTAATTTTTCAAAACGGTGGGTTTCCGGTTTCAGACATAATTAGTTTCGAATTTTTGAAAAGACAACTTACATGTTTCCAAAGGACGGTTTTTATTTTTATTTTATTGACCAACTTTATTGCATTATGGCTGATGATCAATACGCTTATACTTTAGATGTGCTATCTGAGGTAAATTTCCTCTCCTTTCATAGGTATTACTCATTGTATTATTGATAAAAATGGCTTTCTAAGTTCTATAAAGAGAAAGACACCAACTTCTGCGTATTTTAGATCATTCTTTGTTTGTCAGAGGCTTTGACTGCAAACTTCTTGTCTCATTATTTCGACAACATTTTTAAAATAAATTGTCTGCTAATTGTGTTCACTACTATTTATCACATTTTCTTTCGCTTTTGTTATTTAACGGCTCGACTTCATCGAAAATCAATTATGCCTAATGACCTCAACGCTACTCTCCAAAATCTTCTTACTTGGCCGGGTACTTTGGAAGTTTGTACTGCTGCTACTCTTACTCGCATTTTGTAGGAGTTGGATGACGATTAGTACGTACCAGAGCACATTGTCGGTCGACCTGCTATCAATTATCTTACTCCTTTTTCTGTCTTGCTTGGAGCTATATCAGGCAAGAAAAAAACTGCTTCCATCGATCCATGTATGAGGCTAGTCGGTGACATCTCTTGTTCCACTATTCAGGCAACAACTTTCGACACCATAAATCTTCCCTCCTCAACTATTGTGGTGTCAAACCACTCCCAAAACTTGAAGAGAATCACCTTGCAAAAAGCCAGTGTCATTTGTCGGGTTCCACGTACTCCATTGTCATTTAGATACATGACGTCTCCATTTCTGACTCTGACAACAACAAACAAACACTGCAACTTGACAACACAATTCATAAAATTCTCTCAAATCGTACGTCAGCTAGCACATAAATCTGCAGTTGATCAATACAATTAACCTTTCATTTCCGATGCACTGAGAACTTGTGTATTGGATTGAGAAGTTAAGCACATAGAGTCAACGAGAGTATGGCGTGTGTTTCGTTCCTGAGATGTTTCCCTGCCAGCTTAATTTGCTAATTAAGCTGGACTCTGGTGATAAAGTTTGAATTTAACTTAATTGTGGTGCATTTTCCGTAAGTGACCTTACATCAAAATGAATAAAAAATGATAAAAAGAACAACACCGACGTGCTAACTTATCCTTTTCACCGATAATTTAGGAAGTTTAAAGCGATTATTTCACATCATGCCTCAAGGAGACAATTTTCTCGCCTGCCTCATTGATGGGTGTGTTTAATCTACTTTCAACAAAGCAACATTAAAAAGACACCAGTACGATCTACATACAATGGAAGTGCTCATTCGTATTAAGGAAGGTAAGCAAAAAAATCGAGTATGTGCTTTACGTCTCTAATTATAATAACTGAATTCTAGTCAAACACGCCATAAAAAGAGAACAGCGAGGTTTTGCTTGCCCTGTGTGCCTTAAAACTTTGAAAACAACTTCAACATTCAAAATTCACGTAAACGATCTTCATGAAGGAACAATGCAAATCTTTAATGCAAAAAGCTTGAATGTAAAACGAAAGTCTGAGTTCAGTTCTCCAACTCTCAAATTGCCCAAAGTGTGCAGCAAGGATGAAATCAAAACTGCTATTGATACCTTAAAGGAGAATGATATTTTAACAAATGACCTGGCTACTATTGCAGCAATGAGTGCCATGGGATCCGATACAATAGACCAGCAAAGACTACTTCTTATGACAGAGATGATGAATGCTCACCCTATAGCATTGACATCGACGGATAAACGACAATATTATTTATTGGGAAGTAGCTCAACTATAAAAGAGTTAGCATCAAGCCAACCTTCTGTCAACTTTATTATACCGCTATTGCAGCAAAATACCATTACTGAAAATGTTATCGGGAAAAAAAACCTATTAGACTATATTATATCAAATTCACCATTATCACGTTTACTAAAAAACGAAATATATTGGGAGATAAATCAAGAAACCTTGGAAATGGCAAATCATGACTGGAGAACCAATCCTCAATCACGATACGGTGTTTCACAGCTTTTTGCTGGCTGTATTTTACTGGATGGAACCAACGCTTTGCTAGTAAACTGTATAGAGACATATGGAAGGAAAAAAGACGTTGATCCACATGCAGAGAGGTACTCAAAGGGCGAACAATACAATTCTTTGCCAGCTTGTGACGATATTTATGAGAGTGTTTGCACTCGATCAATTTACAATGATGAAAGCAACAAGTTGATCATTGGCACTTTTAGCTGCAATATGTTGATAACCTCAAGCTGCACTATAGAGGAAAACCCGAAAATCAGTGTTGGACCATCCACTAATTCGTTTCAACCTTCGAAACAAACAAGAATATATCTGCACGAAAAATCTATTAAAAAGGCACGTTTGTTACTTAAGGAAGATAAATGCGACAGGCTGTACACCTACGACCTTTTAGAACAAGTAAAACAAATCAGATCGAAGTTTTATCGGACTGAGACATATTCAAGGTGTAGGTGCTCTTCAGAATACACCAAGGGACACATTTACCAGCCTTATACAGTATTCACTTTATTCTTTTATGACTCGAATCAAACCGAAGACTCGGCAGCAAAACGTGCATCTGAAATATTCAATCGAATTGCCACAGAGGTCCATACTTCTACAAAACATGATAGAAGGCCTGTTCTCAATAAAAATACGTTGGAATGGTTTATTGGCAAAAGTGGAGATATTGCAGACATCGTTAATTGTATTGCAAGATTGTTTGAAACTAGTGATGAAATTGAAATTATTGGAAATATGAAGTTGGACGAGCAATTGAAATTATTGGCAAAGCTGTGCTCGACTCCAATAAAAACAGCCAACGATACAGTAATTGGAAGATTGGTTCAAAAACTTATTCTCAATTGTGATTAGGCTTGCAACATACACTTGTTAAACATTTTTATTTAAACATTTAATTTTAAATAAATTGAATTCTTGCAGGCACTTGTAGTTACTAATAGAAGGTAAAACAGGTCAAGAGTATTGAATATTGTCTTCTTGTCTTTTACAGTTACTTTAGTTTTGGCTCTTTATTACATCTACTGGTCTGTTCATTATAAATTGAAACATGCCATTGAGAATATTGCTTTTGTATATTATTTTGAGTTTTTGGTTTTTTGGTTTATTCTTTTTTTGGGTGGATGTGGAACATTCAGGAGCCGAGGAAATTCATTGGGTCGGACTGCGAGAAGCACGCAGGAAGAAGAGTGCAACCCATTTTTATTTATTTGTTAAGTTACTAAAGAGTGTCAAAGAAACCACGGTTTCTCTTGTAATGCACGGGTCGATTCACGCACAAAACCAGCCAAATAGACCAACTGAGTCACCCCATGCCTCAAGTAAGCTTGGTCGTCCAGCTGAGACCAAGGCAGATGGTCACGATGCCTTTGCCAATCTCCTACCGAGCCTCCAACCACAGCAATCTCCTACACTTGCTAGCCTTGCACAGCAGCAGCAATCGCCCCATCGCGCTTCACCGTACATTCCGCACGGCTCCCCATCATATACTCATCGATCCGCACAATCCTTGGATGCTAATGCACCATCAAATGCCAATGGGTCCAATCGGAACACTTCACCGGGAATTCCAGCAATATCGCCCCTCACAGGTGTAGAACTACCTGTATTTACGACTCCTAAAGATATGTATATATATCCTCCAAATCGTACACCTCCTGTTCGACCTACTTCTTTGCCAGGAAGAAATGACTAGTAAGTAATAATACTACATCTATATTTAGCATAATGAAATATTTACATTATTCTTTACTTTTATAATAATCTTAATAATCATTTTTCTTTTGGTCAGTCGTCAAAGTCCTTCTCGCCCTGATGGATATTTTAGTCCAAAAGGTGGGCAAGGAGAGTTCGATCCTTTTGAAAAACGATCATCACCACATCAACAAAAAACGGTATGTTGTTAACATTGCTACTGTTAATGAGGATGAATTATATAATATATCTTATTTTGGTATCTTCTATCAGACACCTATCCAGACTCCACGCAAGTCCTCTTTATCACAGCCTCAATCCCCCTCTTACACTAAACCACAGTCTCAACAATATGCTCAACCACAACCACAATCGTATACTCAATCACCTCTGAAATCCCAATCCCAGCCACAACCTCAACCTCAACCTCAACCCCAACCCCAACCCCAACCTCACGCCCACGCCCACGCCCACGCCCACGCCCACATAAAAGACGAAAGACTTAAACGGCTGGTAGAAATGGGATTTGGATTGGAAGAGTCCAAGGTTGCATTGGTTGCCACGGCCGGAAAGGACCTACAGGAAGCTGTCAATCTTTTAGTTCAAAGTAAAGAGCTAGAAGATGATATTGCGGAGAACATCAAAGAGGGTGAAAATACCAATGGGCAAAGAAAGCAATCTTTTGAGCCACCTTCTCGTCGTCTCTCTGAGCCATTGAAAGCGCAAGCAGCCGAGTGGGGAAGTTATATCTACAAGAATGCAGAACAATTTGTCAAGGCTGGGCAATCTTGGGGATCTAAGCGTAAGACCAATGAACAACAGAAATATTATAAAAATGAAAATGAAAATTCTTCAAACGACGATGAAGAGGAAGAGGAATTTAGACAGCTTCAGGAAGAAAGGAAAAGAGAATATATTGCCGAGCAGCAAAAGCAAAAACAAAGGCAACAACAACAGCAACAGCAGCAGCAACAACAACATAATTCATTTGGCGATCTTGACCCAAGCGATCCATTTTATGCTCATCCGAAGGTTTTTGATCCAATTGCACAGGCAGAGAAAGACCGCACAAGAGGAAATGAGTACTTTAATCGTGGACTATACCAAGAGGCAGAATCGCTGTACACCCGCGCTCTACATGCTCTTCCTATCAACCACGACCATCGTATTTTGCTGAGTAATAACCGAGCGGCCGCAAGGTTAAAGGCCGGAAACTATGAGGCTTCCTTGAGAGATTGTAATGTTGCTATAGAAATGGCGGAGAGAAGAGGTGAAGGTCACGTTTTATCTGGTGATAAAGAGATATCTTGGCAAGAACAGGTTGTCAAAGCATTGTTACGAAAGGCCGAGGCTCTAGAGGCTTTGCTGAGATACAAAGATGCCATTCAGGTCTATGAAACATTGATCGCATATCAAGGAAACTCGAGTCCACGTATCAGCCAAGGGATCAGTAAGTGTAGAACGGCTCTAGAGAATGAGACAGCTTCTTTCTCTTCTCCCGGAAATGTTCATGCTACCACTCGACCCACTTCTGCATCTGCATCTGCCTCTAAACCCACGTCCGCATCCACGTCTACGTCTACATCCGCACCCGCACCCGCACCCGCACCTTCCTCTACCTCTGCCTCTGCCACTTCTAAACCACCGGTACAGACAGCTTTCCCAGATATTGACTACTCCATATTTGAAAATTTCAAGCCTGCGCCTGCTACCCAACCCAGTAAAGGAGTGGCTGCTATGCGCGAGAGGGCCGCACAGAAGGAGGCAGAGGGATTCGAAAAGTTGGCTAAAACAGACCGCGTTGAAGCACGATTAAAGATGTGGAAGGATACGAGGGAACTTAATTTGCGTGCTTTGTTGGCTAGTCTTGACATGGTGGTTTGGGAAGAATTAGGTTGGCAGCAGGTGGGAATGGGCGAGCTGATTGATCCAAAACAATGCAAGACATATTATCGAAAGGCAATTGCAAAGGTTCATCCAGACAAGGTATAAACTTTTCTTTTTATATTTTATTTTTTGGACTAAACGTTTTTTCTTTCTTTTTAACAAAAAAAAAGTTGCCTATCAATGCCTCAGTGGAGCAGCAAATGCTTGCGAGCGGGATTTTCACTGTGCTCAACGAAGCTTGGGATTCGTTCAAAACACAAAATCAACTCTAAACAAGTCACATTTTTCTTCAGTATATAATTTTTTTCCTTCACCCCCTTTTTTTTTTATTCTTTCAACTTACACAACAGTCCGCTCGCCATGGTAAACGATTGACTTGATTAACTAGAGATCCAACTCGATTATAATAAATAAATATTACTATAAAATAAAAAATAAAAGAGAGGAAATCAATAAGTTAATAACACTTCATTTCTTTCTTTCTTGTATTTGAATCGGATTCAAATCAATAGCCCCAGAACGAGCATATCGAAGAGCACATTAAGCGTCATGGAAGACGTCTTGATTATGAAGAGCGCAAGTAAGGATTTTTCTTTGTGCTCGTTAAATAGCCCAAATCGATCCGCTCGGTTCTAACAAAAAAGCATCATTTAGGCGTAAGAGAGAAGCTCGTAAGGTCCACAAGGATTCTCAGTATGCTCAGAAGGTACATGGTCTCAAGGCCAAGTTGCACAACCAGAAGCGTCGTGCCGAGAAGATTCAGATGAAGAAGACCATCAAGAAGCACGAAGAACGAAACGCAAAGACCAAGACCGCCGACGCTGTTCCCGAAGGTGCTGTTCCTGCCTACCTTTTGGATCGTGAAGGCCAAGATCGTGCCAAGATTTTGAGTAACATGGTTAAGCAAAAGAGAAAGGAGAAGGCAGGCAAGTGGTCTGTTCCTTTGCCCGCTGTTCGCGGTATGGCAGAAGATGAGATGTTCAAAGTCGTTAAGAGTGGAAAGAGTAAGACCAAGTCGTGGAAGCGTATGGTCACAAAGGCTACCTTTGTTGGAGATGGCTTCACTCGTAAGCCCCCGAAGTACGAGCGTTTCATCCGTCCTATGGGTCTTCGTTTCAAGAAGGCACATGTTACCCACCCAGAACTCAAGGCAACCTTCCAGCTGCCAATTATCGGTGTCAAGAAGAACCCTCAGTCACCTCTTTTCACACATCTTGGTGTTATCACCAAGGGTACCGTATTGGAAGTCAACGTATCAGAACTTGGTTTGGTAACCACTGGTGGTAAGGTTGTCTGGGGTAAATATGCCCAGGTCACCAACAATCCTGGTAGGTTTCTTTTTCTTTTTGCTATGGTTATTTACATTAGAAATATATGCGTGGGTGTATGGGTATGCACATTAGCCATTTAGTGCCATTGTGGTGCAGTATATTATATTTTAGCTTATAATAATGAAGATCAATAAATACTAAAAATTAGTTCTTTTATTTCTTTAACAGAAAACGATGGTTGTATTAACGCCGTTCTCCTTGTCTAAAGAAAGAGACATATGAGAATTAAAACACCTTTTGTTTTTACTCCACACACTCGCACTCTCTCACGCACACACATTTGTATTCACTTCTTTTTTTTTGTTTTTGCACGCATGTTACATTTCCATCCTTTCTACTATCTTTCTTCCCTTTTTTTTGTTTGGCCTCTTGTACACAATAAAATATCACTTCGAATTCCACACAAATTGCGCTCAGACTAAAAACCATTACCATATAATATAAAATAAAATAAAATAAAAACAATCTACACTAATTCAATTTACTGGGTATCAGTTATGAGCTATATATGTATATATTATTGACTTGCTATGTGTGTGAGTGATAGAGAGAGTCCTTGGGAAAGTTGAGTAAAATAACATATTATTGAAAATAATGTGCGAGTATTCTATATCTTAATAAAAGTTGCTCTTTTCTTCTTCTATTAATTATTTTATGTAGACTATGGATATAAGAAACGACTTTGAGATATTTAAGCTGATTGGTATTTTCTATACATGCATACATACATATCTATATGACAATATTAATCTCCCTGAGTGGCTACACTGTTACTCAGATGTAATTGATACGTCTCTCCTTGGTAAAAGGTTGAAGTTGATGAATAGTTATAAAAAGAATAAGAAGAAGAAGAGGAAGGAAAGACTTGTTTCAAATATGACTATGGGTTGATATTTATGGTTTTAGTCTTTAGTACTCTTTTACCAATAACTACACCTTGAAACTTAATCTATTTTTGTATACATACAAACATATATACATATAAGATGGTGCAGTTATGGTTGTGTATGTGTTCATGCAAAGAAAATAAATGTATACGTTCTGTTTTTAAATTGTGCTCATTAGACTCTTTGGATCGAATATTACTTACCACAACTACAAAATCTGTATGGGTGGGTGCAGGCGGGTGTTTAGATGAGACTAATATTCTGCACCTTTTAAACAAATTGGGTCTTGTAAATAAATGAAAGGAGCTGCTGGTATTTATTGTTAGCTTCAATGACCATTTTTTTAATGTGTGTATAGACACGAAGAATAGTGGAATAATTCGTATGTATATATATATATATGTGTGTGTGTGCATATATCTATAAAATCCTGATTTTATTTTTTTTATTTTGATCTTTCAGGTACACTCTTTTGAAACAAGTACGGTGTACCAGATCATAGTAAAGCAAGAATGTGAAATTTGAAGCTTTTGGAGACGTTTATCTCCGAGATATTTCAAAAATGTCAATTCACAAATGTACCCTTCCAATAGTATGAATATCATTATAATTATCATTACCATTACTTTTACTTTTACTTTTACTATATAATTTATTCAACCAGATCAGTCGGGTATAGTCAAGCAAATTTTGACATTCTGTACAACCTATCATATATAGAAAAAAAAGATACTCTTCTTTGATTCATTGCTATTATATATATAGCCATTTCTTCCAGAGTAATTATACTAATATACCTTTGATTATATCATTAATATAGGCTTTTAATACCTATGCTTCTGTACTAAAATTATTATAAGTGATTCTTCATGCATATACAATTACCAACTTGTGTCAAATATATATATACATTTATATACATATATAAAATAAATAAATAAATAAATAAAAAGGTTATTGTCGTTCAGCAGTCACGATGGATAAATATTGGCCTTGTTCTTTTTTATTTTTTATGAAAAAGGTGGGGGTGGGAGGTCGAAAGTTGAGGTTTTGGGGGTTTGATAAGGTTCCATTGCTTGCGTTTCTATTCTTTAATATCATTGTTATTTTGATTCCATTGACATGGTAATTATTCTGTTGTATAATAAGCATTTTAATTGAAGCAAGTAAAAAAAGAAGGAGAAGAAGCAACAACAACAACAACAACAAAGATTGTTGGTTATCATTATCATTATTACCATTATGAAGTGTGTATACTTATTCTATTATTATCGTTATCCTTATGTGTATATAGTCCACCACCATTGTTATTGGTTTTGCAGTAGCAGGTGCTGCCACTGCTGGTCGTCTTGGCCTGCGTGCTTACCAAGAATGGCAAAAGATGCCTAGAGCTCCTCGCATGTCCAAGTTCTACAAGGGTGGATTCGATGCTAAAATGAACAAGCGTGAGGCTGCTCTTATTCTCGGCATTAGGTAAAAAAGAGAAACAACTGAAAATATTTATAAATTACATTTACTCGTAATTGCATTCCGGAGTAGAGTAACTAATATATCTATATAAATGTGTTTATGTAATTTTATTTTCTAGAGAGGCACAGGCTACTAAGCAGAAAGTAAAAGAGGCCCACCGAAGAATCATGTTGCTCAACCATCCTGATCGCGGAGGATCACCTTACTTAGCACTCAAGATTAACGAGGCAAAGGAGTTTTTGGAGTCAAAGACCAAGAAATAGATTACTCCAATACACATACACAAACAAGCATACACCAACACACCAACACACCAAAACCCTCAACACACACATGTATATGTATAGAGAGAGAGACAAATAGAGAACCATAAAAAAAAAGCGAGAAAGAGAAAGACGAAATTGAGATCAGTACATACGTAGATGTACTTCTTTTCCTTTCACCTTTTTTTGGTATGCGTGCTTGGCCCGTGTGCCTGTATATATATATACTTATTGTTGTTATATAATCGTTTGCTCTCCCTTCCCCCCTTTTCCTTCATTATACACATCTGTACTACTGCTTTATATTATCCCATTGTCAAGTTTGGCTAGGAGAAGAGTATAACTGGGTGTATAAGAGAGAAATATGGTAATGTATAAGGAGTAGAACAATATTAAATATACATTGTTAGTTTGTGTGAATTCTACAGAAAATAATTAGAAGGAGATTAGGGGGCTTGGTTCAATTGTGGACATCCGAACAAGAGGTTCAAATGCATTCTTCTTTTAGAGAGAGATGACGTCTAAAGAAGATGAGTTGTTTGGCCATTTGTGAGTTATTAGCAAACAAGCCAGAGCACCGGTCTGCTTCAACATTTATACGATTACTGTTTTTGTTTTTTGTTTTTTTAACAAACTTTGGCACTTCATACCAATCCCTTTTATTTCTTTATCCTTTCTTTTCTACCTACCTATATATACATACTCTGTTCTTTATTCTTTATACTTTATCTTGTATATCTCATTCTTTAACTATATGCCAGACGTAAATCACTTGGACAGTAGGTCTATGGAAATATCTCGCCACGGATCTGAAGATCTTGCTTCACCAACCTATTCCACTGCTGCCTGCATATCATCCAACATAGAAAAACATGTCAGTATACCCAAATGGTCACAGCTCATCCACCGCTGGTTACTACTTTCCCAAACCGTTTCACCCAAACTGGAGTGTATCAATTGTACTACCAATACCTGTCATGTACACCAAGAAACACTCTATCATCTACAGCAGCACCAGCAACAATTCCAAAATACAACAACAGTAACAGCCACAGAAACAACAGAAACAAATATAATCCAGATCGATGAAGAATCAGCTGTCGGACCTGCACTCACAAAACCTCAAGATTTTCAAAAGAGCAAGCAGATCATTATTCTTTTGTGCCAATGTCTTATGCTCTATGGAGCACCTTGTCACCGCATAGTAGGTGTGAAGAAAAGGGAGATATAAAAAAAATCCTCGAGCTTTTTCTTATTTTATTCTTATTTTTTTACTTTTACTTTTTTGTTTTTATGATTAATTTAATTTAATTTAATTTAATCGAATTAAATCATATCGAATTGAATTGAATTGAATTGAATTTATTTATTACTATCATCACTATCACTATTGTTATCACTATCATTATCAAGGAACAATCATTGAATGTCACTGCAGAATGTCTTGGAATGAATGCAATATTTGTCTTTATTCCGGGAGTAATGATGATCTGCTTTGATGGCCAGCCATCTCAGACAATTCTCGTCAAATGTACTCAAGGATTCGACATGGGAAAACTTGCAAATGTCGATCGGATTGCCAACCAGATCCACAAGGGACAAATAAGCTCGGAGGAATGCCTTGAAAAACTCGCGGTGGTTCTACAAGCACCCCCAACCTGGAGCTCGTGGATCATGCTACTGGCCTACGCGTTCAGCAGCCTATTGACCGTCCCAGTCATGTTTAACGGGAGACCTGTGGATACTGCTGTCAGCGGTGCCTTGGGTTTGATGGTCGGGTTGTTGAATTTGTTGGCAGACAGATATCAATCCTATCGCAATATATTTGAAATTTCCACTGCTATTTTGGTAGGGTTTGTGGCAAAGGCATTAGGTCCGTGGATATGTTTCACCGGGGTAGCTTTGTCCGCAATGGCTATTCTGCTACCTGGGTATGCGCTGACAATGGCGATTGTAAGTTAGTACGTTTCTTCTATTCCTTTTTTCTTCTATATATTACACTCCATTCGTTTAAGAAAGAAAAATAAAGAGGTGTCTAAACTAATCTTCTTTGATACTTCTTCTGTTACTTTTACTCTTGCTGTTGTTTTTGTGGATCGTGTGTAAATATACAATAGATGGAATTATCTGCCAAGCATATCATCACTGGTACTGTTCGCTTTGTCTACTCTCTCATTTACGCACTGTTTATTGGCTATGGACTTGAGATCGGAACCAGCCTGTACGATGCTTTGGATCTATCAGCCCCACCCGCGACTTTTGACACATGTACCGGATGTGTTCCACACTGGCTCAACCTGGCCCTGTTTCCACTGGTGGCGATCTGTATGGCCACAACCCTGGGTGCCACCTTCCGACAGTGGCCGTGCATGGTTTTTAGTGCTGCGGTTGGATTTGGGGTATCTCTGATGACAAGCAAGGTGATATCTAATTACCAAGTTGTAGGCACCATCAGTGCTTTTAGTGTCGGGATCTTTGGCAACCTGTACCTCAAGGTGACTGGGGATCTTGCATTGGTACCCCTCTCGTGCGGAATCATTTCTTTGGTTCCTGGAAGCGTTGGAATTCAGGGCGCATATTTTTTGATTCGACAAGACGATCAAGGTACCTCTTTTGCGATCCAGATGGTAGTTGCTTCCCTTGGAATAGCCGTTGGTCTTTTTGCAGCCACGCTGGTAGTCTATCCAAAAGGACCCAAACGCTCTGTCTATGCAACGTACTAGCCAACAACAAGAGCCAAGACTATAAAGCTATAAAACTAAAACAAGGAGAGGTACACATCTTTTCTATTGTACAACTAAAACACAAAACAAAATACCATTGTGGAAATATCCCCTTTTCTTCTTTTCCTTCTTTTTCTTTAATACATATTACTCCTTGAAGTCTCTTTTCCCCTTTAATTTTCAAATGCATTGGATTTGAATCATTATATTATATTATATTGTTTTGTTTTGTTTTGTTTTATCAAGGAGAGTATATATAATAGTATCGCCTGTATCTTGTAATTTCTGTTTTATATATATTTACATGGTTGTTGTGTGAGTATTTTGTTTGATTGTTGTAAAGTGAAGTGAGGTGTGGTAAGGTACGATAGGGATGATGAATGCTTGGAAAGCACAAAGTCTATATAAATATAAATATATAATAAAATGAAATGAAATGAAATAAAAATAAAATAAAATAAAATTAAAAAAATTAAATTAAATTAAATTATGCAGTGCTTTCGGTATTGGTCATCTTCTTCTTCTTGCGAGCATTTCGTTTCTCTCCAAAGTGCGCATCGTGGAGATGCTATTGTTGTTGTTGTTTTTATTGGTTGTGTTAGAAACTTGGTATCAAACTCATACACCCACGCCCCATATACATATTTACAAAACGCAAATCAAAGGAAAATACACCGTATTATTAGTATTATTACTTACCATGCTTGCAGACCGTTTTGCTGCTGTGACTTCGTTAAGCTCTTCAACGATATCATTGTCTTCAATCTTGTACTCCTCCATCTTTTTGTTGATTCTTTCTTCGATGCTCTGGATAAGCTGGACATCTTTTTCGGACACAATCGACAGTGCTTTACCGCCACGACCGGCTCTTGCGGTACGACCGACACGATGAATATAGTCTGTTGGGTCTCGGGGAATATCGTAATTCAACACCAGCTCTACAGATGGGATATCCAGACCACGACTTCCTACATCGGTAGACACCAGCACCTTGATAACCTCTGCTCTGAATTTACCGAGCGAATCTAATCTCTGCTGCTGTGTCATTTCGGAGTGTAGGGCCGTGCATCTGATCCCGAGTTCTTTGAGCATGACTGTGATCAACTCTGCAGTTGAGCATCGACCGCAGAAGATGATTACCGATTTTTCGGCAAAATCTGGGGATCGCAGAATGTGGGCCAAGTAGACCGTCTTGACCTGTGAAGGCACAAACACATAGAGCTGTTCTAGGGTTGAAACAGTCGAGACATCCATTGAGCACATGTGGACAAATGGCTTCTTTTTTTCGTCTTCTTCAGCGTCTCTGAGAGCTAGGATCGACTCAGTCATTGTGGCGGTAAACAAGAGGGTCTGACGGTTCTTGGGAAGGTGAGGTAAGATGTGACCCAGATCGGGTGCAAAGGTTGGTGAAAGCAAGCGATCGGCTTCATCCATCACAAGGAATTTGACACGAGACAAGTTGACTGCTCCAGAGCTGCTTCGGATATGGTCTCTCAATCGACCGGGTGTAGCGATAATAATGTGAGGACGTCTTGCTAATTCCAAAGACTGCTTCATCATATCTAAAATATATTAATATTAATATGACTATTAATTATTACTACTACCATTATTCTTAATGAACTTACCCAATCCACCTACAACTACACACTCTTTTAATCCAATGTTCTTTCCAAGAACTCTAAATTGTTCTGCAATCTGGAAGGCTAACTCTCTAATTTCAATATTAATTAATATAAAAAAAAATAGAATTCATTATATTTTTACTTTTCAAAACAATCGAATTAATAAAACAATTTCTGTATATATATGCTACCTTGTGGGTGTCAACACAAGGCCGAATACACCATATGGATCCTCTGATAATTTTTGCAACATTGGTAAAGCAAATGCAGCAGTTTTTCCTGAACCAGTCTTTGCGCCACCAATAACATCCTTGCCTAATAAAAAAAAGTTACAGTGCATAAATAGCTATATATAGAAGCTTGTATATATGTCTATATGTATGTAGAAAATTTGTTTATTTTACCTGCAAGAATAGGAGGAATACAAGCTCTTTGAATCTCGGTAGGTAACTTGATCTGCATAGATTTCAAGGTGTCTGTAAGCCAGTCATCAACACCCAATTCGCCAAATGTTGTGTTTGGAGGTGCAATGACATGTTCTTTAGGTGCTAATCTCTTTGTGGAATTAGCCACTCTACCACCACCGAGTGTCCTGGATTCAGTCATAATGATAATAAAGAGTAATAATAATCTATTTATTTATTTTTTAAAAAAAAAATGAAATATATATTTTATATATGTAATCTGTGTATGTATTTGAATTATATATTTAAAACTTAAACTCCGTCTTCAACTCTTTTTCAATAACCTTTTTTTCATTTTTTTTTCTTTAAAAAAAAGTGAAGGTGGCTTGTGACAGGCCAACGTCACATTTGACGGTTTTGGCTACTCGAAAAAATTTCGCGTATACCTCTTCCGCAGTTACAAAGGCGCAAGACCCCTTTTTACTCGTTTGAACCTCTTCTCTCTTTTTTTTTTGGAAAGACAAACATAATGGCCGACAAAGCTCCCGAAGTTGATAACACCACCATTGCCGACTCCAACGTCGTTGCCAAGTACAAGGATGCTGCCATCATTGCCAACGGTAACTATTATTAACATATAACGTATATGCAGTGAATACTATATTATCATTATTAAAATAAGAATAAGAACAATAAAATACAAATTTTATAATATTAAACGCGATATATACCATAAGAAAAAAAACAGCAGTAATAATAATGAATAATTTAAATAATCAAATATTTGTTCTTTGTGTACGTTACGTGTGTGCATATATTTATTAATATTACGTATTTTTTTTAATTTTCTTTAGCTGTCTTGGAAAAGGTTATCAAGCTGTGTGTTCCTGGTGCCAAGATCCTCGATATCTGCGTCCAGGGTGACAAGGAAATCGTTGAGGCTGTCAAGGGTATCTACAACAAGGGAAAAATGACCAAGGGTATTGGATTCCCCACTGCCATCTCCCTCAACAACTGCATTGCCCACTTCTCTCCTCTTGCCAGTGATCCCGAGGCTGAACTCACCTTGAAGGAAGGTGATATCGCCAAGATGTAAGTTTCATTTTTTCAGACACCCACAAATCTAATTAGCTAGTTAGCTGGCTAGTAAGACAAAGAAAGAATAAAAGAATGAGAGTGATATATGCATATATTATCTTTTGTCCGTTTTTAAAATCGACATGAAATTATCAATTTACGTGTCAAAAAGAATGAAGTACTTATTTCTTTGTTATACGTAAATTTCTATTCTATATAGCCAATTGGGTGCCCAGATCGACGGTTACTGCTCTTCCGTTGCCCACACTCTCGTTGTCGGTGCTACTGCTCAGAAGCCCGCCACCGGTGTCAAGGCCGATGTCATCCAGGCCGCCCACACCGCTCTTGAGGCTGTTGTCCGCATGATCCGCCCCGGTAACAAGGTAAATATTTTGCTTCAAAGTGAAAAAGGGAGATATAAAAAGAAAAAGAAGCAAGAAAACCTGCTGTGCGTGTGTGTGTCTAGAATACGCTGTGTAAACGCTCGTGTTTTTTTTTGCATATACGCATATCTATATACGTATATATATTCATGCTTGCTTGGTTTTATTGAGTGTGGGAAATAATTGAGATTTTAATTAAAAATTGTGTGTGTGAATTTTGAAACGCGTAACTTGTATAGAACATGGAAGTTACCAAGGTTGTTGACAAGATTGCTGAGGCTTACAACACCAAGGCTGTCGAGGGTATGCTTACCCACCAGCAACTCAAGAACGTCACTGATGGCAAGAAGCAGGTAAATTCAAATTTTATTATATAAAAAAGGGGAAATAAGAGAAATGCAATGTATATGTATATGCAAGCATGAGCATAAGCATGTATTGTGTGTGTGTGTGTGTGTGCGTGTGTATGGTAGTAATGGAATCAAAAGATGCGAGTTTAATGATCTTGGCACTCATATATATATTTATCTTTTATTTTGATTTTTTTAAATAAAAAGATCATCCTCAACCCCAGCGAGAACCACTTGCGCGACTTCCAGCGCATTGAGTTCGCTGAGAACGAGGTCTACGCTGTCGACATCTTGATCTCCAGCGGTGAGGGTAAGGTCCGCCAGTTGGACTCTCGCACCACCATCTACAAGAAGACCGATGTCCGTTACTCGCTCAAGATGGCTGCCTCCCGCCACGTCCTTTCCGAGATCCAGACCAAGGCTGGTTCTTTCCCCTTCTCTCTCCGCGATCTCGAGGATGAGCGCAAGGCTCGCATGGGTATTGTCGAGTGCGCCAAGCACCAGACCGTCCTCCCTTACGACATCATGTACGAGCGTGAGGGTGCCGTCGTTGCCCAGTTCTTGACCACTCTCTTGGTCACCAAGAACGGTAACATCATGGTCACCGATCCCCACTTCAACCCTGCTCTTGTCAAGTCCGAGAAGGCTGTCAAGGACGAGGAGATCCTCAAGTTGCTCCAGACTTCCTTCGAGGTTCCCGCCAAGAAGGCCAAGAAGAACAAGAAGAAGGCCACTGATGTCGCTGCTCCTGCTGCCGCTGCTTCCGCCCCTGCTGCTGCCGCCCCTGCTGCTGCCAAGAAGTAAAAAGAATACTAATAATAATAAAAAAAGAAGTAAAAAGAAGAAGAGATTTGTTACTTGATTTTCTTTTTCTTTTTTGTATATCTTTTGTTTATCCATAAAATAACAAATTCCATTTTTGTATCTAAAACAACAACAAAATAAATACATAAAACAAAAAGTATATATATATATACATCATATACATAAGCAAGAAGTGAAATATTGTAACGTGCTCTTTTATTGAATTGAATTGAATTGAACTATTCAAGTTTCCCTTCGAGAGAACGCCATTGACCTTTTACAAATATATATATATATAAGGTAAAACGAAAGGTAAAGAGTAAGTAAAAGAATATGTACAAATCAACTGTTAAATGACAAAAGAAAGACATCGCTGATATTATTTTGTATTGTATCTTAAATATATGTACGGATAATAGTAATAAATAGATCATTTCATTAGCTTACATTTTTGAACCATTGAAATTGGACAAGAAGGCATCTTCAAGGGCAGATTGTGTTACAGAATCTGTGGGGAAAATAAAATAAATCATTTAGTGACACACACATATCCAAACGGATAATTACTTATATATATATATATATATATATATATACGAATATCATTCCAATTGATTATCTAATATCTAACACCCACACATTTTAAACGGGTGATTTTATATATATGTATCTATGTATCTATGTATGTCCATCTAATGGATTATCTAATATCAATACACATGCACACATACACACATAAGCATGTATCTATCTATGTGCGTAAGTGGTGTATGGAATACAAATTACTATTCTGTTTACCTGATAAATCACTGTATGAAGAGCCAACTGAATCGAGTGCACTTTCATTCTCTTTCCAATCATCAGGCGTGGTTGGAGAAGTAGCTGGGACTGTAGTTTTAGTAATGGTTGGAGTTGCAGCAGTGGCAGTGGCAATAGTAGTAGTAGCTGCTGTTGTTGTGGTGGTGGTATTACTATTATTTCTAATTCTATTGGTATTGGTATTCGTACTGCTATTAGTAGCATTAACGGAATTATTGGTGTGTGAAACGTTTCCCAGAATACGAGACTGCCTATTCAATGATGATAAGAATAGCGAAGATCGTTCCGCCGTTCTGGGTGAGGTTGTACTGGCTGAACGCTTTGCCGAAGAAGCCGGAAAAGAAGAGAAGGAAGCCGGAGAAAGAGGAGAAGAAACAGAAAATGGTGATAATGAAGAAGGAGAAGGAGAAGAAGACGAAGGAGACGATGACGAAGAAGATGAAGAGTCAGCTGTAGCAGCCGCAGGTCGCTCGACAAGAATACTTTTAGAAAGTGGGAGTAAGAAACTATTGCTGTTTTGTTTACGGGCAGGTAAGAATGCTGGCTCGAGTTGTCGTCTCATGTTTGTAAAGTGTTGTCCAATACTATTACTACTACCACTACTACTACCACTACTACTACTGCCGCTACCGCCACCATTACTACTCTTGTTCTTTTTTTGCGCTTTGTTTTTATCATTATCATTATCGTTATCGTTATCGTTATCATTACTATCATCTTCCTCATCGCCGTTACTTTCACTTTCGCTATTATCATCTTCTAGAGATTTACTTTCATTTTGTTCTTGCTCTTCCCTATCATCTTCGTCTCTTTCTTCTTCATCATCATCATCATCATCATTATCACCTTGGTTATCTTGGTTATCTTCATCTGTGTCACTGATATTCCGTAACGGAATAGGAGTTTCTGGAGATTTTGTTTCAAGTGGGGGCTTTCTTGATTGAGTTTGCTGTTCTGGCTGTGATGATTGGGTAAGCGAATAAAATGGTCTACTGCCCTGGCTCGTGAAGCTCTTGTAAACTGACTCATCCCCAATACGTTTTCCACTATCCCCCAAAATACTACTACTGTTGCTATTGCCATTGCTGTTATTGCTATTGCTATTTTCGTATTCTCCAAACTGTGCATTTCCTACTCCATTAGTAGTAGTGGTAGTATTGGTTGCCATTCCTCTACGTGGTAGAATGTTTGACAGCGTGGATAGTACCATTGAATCAGCTGCTCCTAGGTTTACTATTAATAATAGTCATTACTATCATTTGAAATAACTCACTTGTTCCATCAGCCGCCTGCTGGTCAACGGATCTATCGAGACCATTCAATCCATATTCTCCAAAGGGTCTCTTTGGTTCTTTTTCAGAAAACAATACTCTTCTTGGCGGCTCATCATTTTCTGCTAGGCTCTTTCTTGACAGTAATGATGATGCTGAAGACGATGATGATGTTACTGGAACTACGCGTACGCATTAATAAAAGCGAAATGAAATAATAATAATAATAATAATAATAATAATAATAATAAGCTATATGTTACAGTCTTTGATTATCATTTAATTAATGTCATCTAATATACAAAGACCATCTCTAAATATATATTTAGTACCTATTGAATGTCTTTTTGTGGATCTACTGCTACTACTTGCTGAAGTAGGAATAATGGTTGTTGTTGTATTGGTACTAGCCTTGACTTCCCCAAGTCGAAGCTGTTGATGAATTCCACGTAACTGGGTTTCATAGATGAATGCAGCCTGACGAACCACGTATGCGGTTGGCACACCAAGTTGACCAGCAATAAAGCTCCCTTTAAATACATTTATATGTGTTGTTTACAGTAAAGATCGTTATAAAATATAATAGGACTCGTAGTAATAATGATAGTTATCAAGATAAACAGTACAAAACTAGACTAAACTGTGCAAATTTCGCGATTCTGCTTACAATCAGTTTGTTTCTGGCTCATGTACTTCCACAATTTATGCTCCATCTCATCTGTCCAGACCACCTAAATCAGGTTTATTGTTCATCACTAAATGAGCTTCGCTTTCTGTTTATACATACATACATACATACATACACACACAAAAATATACTATATAAAGAAAGAGGTGTACATACCGAGGGAGGTTCTTTGAATCCTGGAGGTCTCTTGCATGCTAGTCGAATAACGACATGTAATGGTGATGTTTCTTTATCTTGCATAAGCTTTTATTTCTTTTGCTTCAAGTTGAGCAAATAAATAAAAAATGAAAGTATTATAAATATATTATATGCCTGTATAATTATGTGTATGCCGTATGCTTTGTACTAAAAAAATAAATAATGCAAGCTGTAATATATATAATATAATATAAAAATGCCGCCAATTGGACCGTAGATTTGGTTTTCGGTTTTTGCACTCAACAAAAAGATAAATTCCATTCAATCACCCCCCAATAAAAGCCAAAACACGTGACCCACAAAGGTACAATTAATCAAATTACACAAGAACAAAGCACATAAGCTTATTTTGGTTTTTGGTTTTTGGGTTTTTTTTTTTTGGCTTTTCCAATTTGAAGAATTTTTTGTATTGAAAAGTTAGGAAAAATTTACAGCGGGAGAATATATGGTTCTATAGAATTCTTTTTTGTTGTTGGGGATTTAAGATGAGGGCTAATTTTTTTGATTTTTTTTGTTCAAAGAATAAAAGAAACAAAAAATAGTCTAAATCTTTTCAATTGAATTGAATTGAATTGAATTAAAAAGGGAATTGGACAATATTATTTAGTTCTTGGCGAACATCTTCTTGAGGTAGGCAGTGCTGTAAGACTTGGGGCGCTCGAGGGGCATACCAAGGGCACGATCCCAGATCAACTGGGAGGTGACACCGAGGGCGCGGGAGACACCGAACAAGACGGTGTAGTAGTCCTGCTCCTTGAGACCGTAGTACTGCAAGAGGACACCGGAGTGGGCATCGACGTTGGGCCAGGGGTTCTTGGTCTTACCGTGCTCGGTCAAGACTCCGGGAATGATGTGGTAGAGCTTGGAGACGAGGCCGAAGAGAGGGTCATCGGGCAAGTGCTTGAGAGCGAACTCACGCTGGGCAGTGTAGCGGGGATCGGTCTTGCGCAAGACGGCGTGACCGTAACCGGGAACAACCTGGCCACCGTTGAGGGTCTTCCACAAGTACTTCTTGATCTCCTCCTCAGAGGCGTCGACACCGACGGCCTCCTTGAGGTTCAAGGTCCAGCGGAGGACTTCCTGGTTGGCGAGACCGTGGAGGGGACCAGCCAAACCGTTGAGACCAGCGGCGAAGGAGAGGTAAGGATCAGACAAAGCGGAACCGACCAAGTGAGTGCTAAACAATTGTTATGAGTATTAGTTATGTATTTTTTTTTAAAAAATAAATAAAATAAAATATAAAATGAATTTTGAAAATTTGAAAATTTGAAATTTTTTGGTGATTATGTAATTTTAGCATGTGTTTCCCTTTTGGAAAAAGTGGAGGGGGGGTGGGGTGGGGTGGGGTTTGTTTATGTTTATAATTTTTTTTTGGATTTTTTTTGGAAAAAAAAATTGTAAAGACTTACGTGTGGGCAGAGACGTTACCACCTTCGTGATCAGAGTGGATGGTGAGGTAGAGACGCATCAATTCAACAAAGTCCTTGTTACCCTCGAAGCCGAGGAGCTTGGAGAAGTTGTAAGAGTAATCCTTGTCGGCATCGATGGAGGCCATCTTTCCGTCAGCGTAGACGTTGCGGTAGATGCGGGCGGCAACCTTGGGGAGCTTGGCGATCAAATCCATGGTGTCCTCGAAGGTGGTATCCCAGTACTTGGACTTGTGGATACCCTGGGAGTAGGCCTTGGCGAACTGGGAGTCGTGCTGGAGAGCGTTGACGGCAACAGAGAACTGAGACATGGGGTGGAGGGTCTTGGGGCAACGATCGATGATCTCCTCGACGAACTCGGGCAAGTCAGAGCGGGCGGCCCACTCGGCAGAGAGACCCTTGACCTGCTCGGCAGTAGGGACCTCACCGGTAACGAGCAACCAGAAGAGAGACTCGGGAAGAGGCTCAGCACCACCCTCGGCGGCAGGGAGAACCTGCTGGCACTCGGGGATGGTCAAGCCACGGAAACGGATACCCTCCTCAGCATCGAGGACGGAACCTTCCCAGACGAGACCCTTGATGCCGCGCATACCACCGTAAGCCTGGTCAACAGTGACCTCACCGAGGACCTTGTTACCATACTCCTTCTTGAAGGCCTTGACTTCCTCCTGCTTCTGGGGGATAAGCTCGGCAAGACGCTCCTTCAAGGTCTATTGTACAAAATAATGTCACATAGATTGCTTTATAAGTAAAATGATCTTTTTTTCCCAAAAAAGTGTGTCCATCTTTGGTTCTTTATCCTCTTTATCCTTTGTCCTCCTGTCCTCTTATTTTTCTGTGTTTAAGTTAATTCTGTACCTGAGCCTTGGAGGCATAGGTGCGGGTGGCACCGATGGCAGCGGCGGGAGCAAAACGGAAGGCAGCAGGGCGAGCAGCCTGAATAGAGCGTGTAGATGGTTTATGATTTGTGATTTGATTTGTGGTTGTGATTGTGATTGTGGTTGAAATACAACAGTTGGATTGTTTAGATGAAAGAGATTGTTAGTGCATACGGACATCATAATAATTGACGCGACATGACGTGTAAACTAGATGATAGTATTGAAGTCTTGATGGGGTTGCTACATTACCTTGGAGAGCGAGGCAAAAGCGCGAACGGAAGACATTGTGATAATGGAGTCGAACAAGAGAAAAAGAAAAGGAAGGGGATGGAGGATGAATTAAGGATTATATAAGAAAATTAAAAAAATAAAAAAATAAAAAATATAATGGGTACATAAATTAAAGTGAATTAAAATTAATTATATAAAAAAAATTATTATTATATTATAAGTATAGTAATATATCAGCCGTGTCCGGTTAAACGATTCTTCTGTACTTTAAAATATATATATATATATATATATAAATATATACACAAGCAATATTCGGATATTATAAATGGAAACTTAATCATCATCATCATCATCATCATTATCAGTATCATCGTGGCCCTTTTCCTCTATATAATTTATATATATTTGTATGTATGTGTGGAGAACTTGTAATATATATATATGTATATATTAACTACCTAAAATATGATTGGCTGGGAATATCACTTTTTATATCAAATTACAATATATATATACATCTTTATTATCTGATTTTCCCTGTCTGTCTGTCTGTCTGTCTGTCTTTCTTTTTTTCCCCCATTGTATTTGGCACAGGGGTGCGGGAAACAAGGGGCTGGTTTTCATTACTTTAATAAATAAAAATACATTTTATACAGCCAAGGAACTAAATAACTAAATAACTAAAATAGATAATACAAGTCAATACAAGACAAAAAAAAAAGGTACACTTCTTTATGTCAATTTTGGTCTTTATTTCTATTAGATATTTTAGATATTTTAGATATATACAATCTCATTTACTAATCTATCAACTTCATAATCTAACCCATGTCACAAAACCACAGTCAGGCAACCTGTCTTCCCCACCTTTTTTTGGGGGGGATTACTGATGTCACATCAATGGATTAAAAAGAAATAAACAATATATTATGATTATTATCCTTTAGTTTGTGTCTATACATTATTATTATATTCTTATAGAAAATAAAATAAGCATATAATATATCGAAATCTCTACCTACAAATAAGATTACTCAGGCAAAAATGTTCAAATCGCACATATATAAAATAAAAATAAAATAAAATCAATTCAGATATATATTAAACACATGTGAAAAGATATAAAAGAAAAATTGTACACTTCTTGAAATTAGCTCAATTGTGTTAAGCTCAGGAGAATACGGTAAAAGATACTAAAAGCCATAAGATTGTTGTAGTCGAATTAAAATTACTTTGCGGTTTGGAGTAGAAATATTTGCCCAACTTCTTGAGCTCTCTTTTTTTTAGTTTTTTTTTTTTAAAAAAATTCCGGTCAACCATCAATTCATTTCTCTTTAATAGAAAATCGTTGACAATCTTTAAGACTTGTATATGTGTAGTAACATTTGATAACACTTCTGGGTTTAATTATCTGTATTGGTTGAAAAGTGCTATATATCCGATAAAGCCTTTTAGAATGTTTGGCTGTCAGGATATTCAAGAACTTAATCGATTATCTACCTTTTGGCAGAAATAAGCAAACAAATGAACAAAAAAAAATCAAAAAGAACTATAAACCAACAAGGTCCAATGGTTCCGTAAGGAAGAAGTCGTCGATGCCTTAAATAGCAAAATATGATCCATTCTGATGTTCACGCATAGTGGATAGAAAGTAATACGTCTTATACACGACTTCGTTTGGTCCAATCAATTGGACACTATCAAATGGCAAAGAATTAATGACAAACAAACAAACAAACCAATACACAATTCCCTTCACCTTGCCATCAAAAGGCGTTTCATCTAGAGTATTTTCTTATCTCAGGTTCAGGTATAGCCCCCGCTTGGTCGCTGGCTGAAAATGAGTCAATACCCTTTCTACCGTATTTAAATATCTTCGCATCTCCAAACACACAAGCTCTAGTCACGGCGTCCACAGTGTATAACATATGGACAGCCATTTTCCCGAAACATAAAGCAGCCAAGGCAATTATAGGTGCCACCTCATTTTGTAGAGTAAACCGTTTTATTTATTTTTCTTAATGTATTATAGCTAACAGAATTTTCTCTCTTTCATGAATACTGATCCAATCAATCGTTTGCATAGTGCATTGTAATAAAGCCGGCAAATAAATAAAAAGAACAACAGCAACAACAATAGTAAAATATACAATATCCACACACTTTCTACATATATATATATATATTTGATGCTTAGATACAATACACAATAGTACTGCATGAATGCCTTTATATATGCTATTGGAAACTCTACAATGAGTGAAGACAAACTACTTTGGTTCTAAAACCGAGTCCGGATCTGGTTCCATTAACCCACTCATTTTCGACAACAATGTAATCATTTTCTTTGTTGGTCAATGGCCTTGTTATAATTTTGGTGTTCAAGGTTGCGAATTACGGATTTTACACATCGTCTCTATCGATTTAAGGCATTGGAAGAGAAAAAAGACATTTGCCCAAGATAAAACAATATATATATATGGAAACTCTTTATCGGACACTTGCCCACACAAACAAGAAAAGTCAATTGATTTTACTCCGCATAATTATGTGACATCACTAACAAAATATGATAAAAAGAAAATATAGAGATAAAACAAAAAAAAATATACAGACTTAAATCTATATATAAGAATTAAAGATACCTGTGCTACTTGAGAATGAATAGAATTATATTGATAAGATAGATATACATTTTCTCTCTCTCTCTCTCTTTCTTTCACTTTCTCTCTCTCTCTCCTTTTTAAGAAATACAAAACACAAAACACAATATATAATGAGCTTATTACCTATTGAAAAGATTAATACAGCATCGCCAAAAGTGTTTGTTGAGGCTGTCAACACCTTATTCGAAGTTGCCCCACCATTGGCTCAGAAACTGTTATCAGCCCGACCCTTTGAAAGCTATAGTCAGTTGATCGACTATGCAGAGTCGCTCTGTCTTGGCTCGACGTTTAGCGAACAAGAAAAGCTTGACATTATTAATGCACACCCTCGTATTGGAGAAAACAAAACAAACCTATCGGCCATGTCACTCAAAGAGCAAGGCTACAGCCCTCAGTCAACTCTATCTGCTGAAGATCAACAAGTAAACGACACTCTTGCCAAACTCAACAAGGTAAAAAATTAATATATGCGTGCATACTTACATACACATATATTCTCACGATGACCAACAAATTAAATCTATCCCATTCAAAAATAATAATAAAAATAATAAATATATATATATATATACACATATACATATAATATATATATATAAAGGCGTATGAAGATAAATACGGTTTCAAATTTGTGGTGTTTGTTGCCGGTCGTCCTCGCTCTCAGATCATTCCAGTAGTTCAGGAACGTATTGCAGCCAATGATCGATCCAAGGAACTGGAGACTGGTTTGACAGACATGATGCTTATTGCACGCGATCGTCTCAAGAAATCTACAAATGAAAACAAGCTCTAAAAATCATATGAAATTAAATTAAACTAAATTAAGCTATTATTTTATTTTATTTTGAAACAAATAAATAAAATGCCAAGTGGCTTTTCAAGCACCCACCAACGTCCTAAATATTGGCGATGATTTCCGTATTTAATCAATCCCACAATACCTTTATCTAAAGTTCTCTAACAAATTTTGTCACTAACATTTCATTTCCGATTTTCACTGCCAAACTGCTATAATTCAAACGGTCCAAAAAAAAAAAAGCAAAAACAAAGAATTGGAGATGGGTTATACAATGAAATAATTGAATTTTATCAAAATTGTAATAGTTTCTTCTTCCACTTCCAATAATAGCAACATCAACAAGTTTTAAGAATCAACTGATTATGAATTAGTTCTTTTTGCATTCAAAGCTCTAGAACAAGCAAATCAAGAAAAACTGCTGACTAATTAAAGCTTTGCTTCATTTTCAATGCGTATCGCAATTGTATAGCACTGATCTGTAACTGCTGTCTCTGATAAGTTTGGACAACAAAAGAAATCAACAGACTTTTATTGAGCTTTGAAGATGAAACCGAGTTGTTCCTCCAATTTACTATCCCCATAAATTTATCTGCGCGACAAGTTTATGACATACTACCAAAAACAAAATCTATTCTGGGAAACTTGGCACCCAAATTTGCTTGACGACGATGCCTGCAATACTCGTCCAACCATGACATTTCGATATCACTATCGTATGAACCGAACATCTTTCAATAAACTGTGTTCGCTCTTAAAACAACACCCTGCCTTTCAGCATACGGCTCACAATGATACGCTTATTGAGCAGCAAGTAGGGCGTGCTCTGTGGAGATCTTCTGGCTGTCATCTTGGACATATGATGCAGAAGAGCTTTCTTGGTTTTGGACAAGGCTTATACGCCAACTTTACCAACAGATTTCTTGAGGCAATCACGGGGATAACGAGCCAGGTCATCCATTGGCCAACAACAATTGAAGAAGTTCGGCAAGCTTCGTATGATTTCGAGTATCCAGAAGGAGAGTTTACCGAACCTGGAAAAAAGAAGATGCCAGGTTGTATTGGTATTGTGGATGGCAAGCTGATCAACATCCACAGACCAGCCAGCAACCCGGAATCGTACCGAGATCGTAAGGGAAACATTTCCCTGAACATCATGGCTGTATGTGATGCCTTCCGGAGGTTCACATACGTGTACATTGGAGAGTCAGGTAATATTAATCTTAGAAATAGTTTTTGATTATTTATTAAATGTAAACATAGGGCGATCCAACGACAAGAGGGTATTTAACCGTAGTGAATTGCTTAACTACTGTGAAAATCCCAACATATATTTTAAGAATGATACTTACATGTTGGGAGGTATGTTATTTCACTTATATTTTAATTCATTAAATTAACGTTTCATAATAGATTCAGGGTTCCAGTTGAGAAACAACTGCTTGATCCCATACAGTGCAAGAGATCTGAGCAATGTTGATAGCGAGGTTCATAGCGACAGAACAAAATACAATACTTCCCAATCTACTGTGAGAACTGGAATTGAGAGAAGCTTTGGTGCACTCACAACACGTTGGCATTTTCTCTTCAAATACGTCTACATAAAAGATCCTGAAAGACTAGTGAAGGTCATCAATGCTTGCTTTGTTCTCCATAACATATGCAAAGAGAACAATGACGACGACAACTTTGAAAACCATGTCTTCGTTTTGGGAGGTCGTCTGATCGATGTTAATGACGACATTGCTGTTGATATTGGAGAAGAGCATATTGAAAGAGATAGACTAGACACTATTGAGGAGCAAAGAAGTCAGATTGGAGGGTATCAGAAGAGGGAGAGAATTCTTGCAGATGCCAAACAATATTCTGACGAATTCAAATAATAATAAATATATGTATTTTACAAAATTTTATTCATTATCATTATTGTTATTATTTCTAGAATCAAAACGTCTCTTGAGTATATCAAATATGGAATTCATTTTAGTATCACTCGCACTAATATACCAGGTGACCTCTCTAATATCATTACTGGCATTGGCAGTCTCCCTTCCTGCCAGGTCAATACACCCAAGCAAAGCTTCATCTTATGCCCGAAAAACAGAAAAGCTCTCCTGTCTTTGCTCCACATTTCTAGCATTGATTTCCTCGGTGCAATCCATGCTCTCACCCCCTCTTTAATCAATTCTAGATCTGGTTTGGTGGTGGGGGATCTCTCGACTGTTTTTTTTCAATCATGTCGTTATAATGGCATCTTACTGCACCACCAACCGAGGTCCTAATGTCATTCATAAACTCCTCCCTTTCCTCCAACAGGTTATTTCAGCTTTCTTCTCCAGAAGGTATATCCTCCGTCAGTACCTCGGTTGGTACCTCAGTAGGTTGCTGCTGGGTTTCTGGAACAAGAGTCAATATCTGGCTTTCAGAAGAGAATGTTGCTGTAGACATTACCTGGGGGCCACCCTTCAGGATATCCCACATATCCTTGTAATCCATGAAGTTGGTGTTTGGTGCCACTCCATTCTTTCCAGTTGACAGAAATCTGTCAAATTGCTTCTGGAATTTTCCCTTCAGGCCCTTCCACTTCTTCTTAAGGGCATTGAACTGCCTTTAAACAGCATCCCATGTATTTGCCTCAATATGCATTCTTCTGTCACTGTTCTGGATGCTTCGCATTCTTGATAGCTCGAGTGCTTTATCGTAGCAGTTGATAAGCCTCTGCTCATCCAGTAAAGCCTAGTTTCTTCCTCTTGGTCTTGTCAAAGATCGGGCTACAGCAGAAACAGATGGCTCAATTTCATCTTCGTTCTGGGTTTCCACTTCATCCATATCATACTCATCATGAATATAAGATACATTGCGATCAGGAGACAGGGATTAGGGCTAGGGGTTGAGCAATTCAGCTCACTTTCATCCTTCGTAGATCATCCCAAATACTAGTAGAACTTGTAGTTCTATTGGCATTGGAGGTGTTGGTGTTTGCGTTGTAGAAGTTGATGTTACCCTTTTTTTAATTAAGTAGATAAAGAAGTGTTTTACGTCTCGGTACCTCATTTTTATTACATTAAAACCATACATTAATATGACATCTTTTTTTGTAATTTTAGTAGTGAAAAACTAAACTGCTTTTGTGCTTTTTGTGTTTTATCTAAACCGCTTTTGGAATTGAAAAGTTTGGCAGAACTTTGGCGAGGGCAAAAGTCGAACAGCGATCTTAGGGGACGGGGGGTTTTTGGCTATGGGGACGGGGGGTAACGGCACCGCACAATTTAAGGTGACTGCGAGTCCGAGGCCCGGCTATAAAGTGTCTTGAAGAACCCCCCGTCCCCATTCTTTATAAGCACACCCTTGTCCCCATCATTCATAAGCACACCTTGCTCCATCGTTATAAGCACACCCCTGTCCCCATCTTTAGATCATTCCAATTTCCCGGGAAAAATAAAAACACCCCCTTTCTTAAAGTCATTAACATTTAGTTGTAAGAATAAAAAATAATATTTTCAAATAACAAGATATGATGCCTTTTTTACGTTATGTACATTGCATACATTGCATACATTGCGTACATGAATCAATAAAAATACTTATATAACTATAGTGCTCTTTTATTAAATATGAACACCAACTTCAATACCCCTATTGAGAAGATGTACTCGCTTAAAACAACTCTCTCATTCCCCGAGAATGATTATCCTGACAAGCAGAGTGTTCTTCAAGCCATAAACGATTACGCCCTTTCTAATAACTTCACCGTTAAGATTAAGGACGGAAAATTCCCTATTCTTCACATTGCTTGTTCAAAGGCTGGTGTTTATCGTGACAAGCGCAATATAAGTGATGAGAAAAGAAAGAAGACGCCCAACTCTTCTCTTACTGGATGCCCCTATCTCTTAAGATTTTCTTATAAGAAGAAGAGCGAAAGATATCTTCCTTTGCCCGCCTATGGGGAAAACGAACATTGCCACAACCACCCTGTCACCCCTGAGAATTTGGCTTCTTCTCACCAAGGAAGAATGTCTCTTTTGACTGCTGAAGATGCCACTATTGCAAAGACAATGTTGGAGAATCACGCCAAGTCCCGTGATGTTCAGAAGGCAACAAGTGACAAGGTGACAGGAATGAGAAAGCTGAGGATCAGCGATATCAACAATCTCAAGTACAGTGCTACTCGTGGTGATGAGGAGTCTGCCCATGGCGCTACTGAGCTCATCAGAACAATGGAAGCAAAGGGATTTTCCGTTCTCTACGAGTTTAATGAGAGAAATAGACTCACTCATATATTTTTTACGAACGATATAATGATCAAGAGAGCTCGACGTTTCCCCGATGTCTTTATTGTGGATGCTACATACAAGACAAACTGCGCGAAGATGCCATTGGTTTGCGTAGAGGGTGTCAGTAACCTAGGTGGAGAAAGGTTGAAGAGCTTTCCTGTGGCCTTTGCATGGGTAGCCGATGAGACAGAGAAGAGCTATGTTTGGTTTGTAAAGTCTCTGAAAGCAATTGTTTTGGTGGGGGTTGATAAAGCCCCTATATTTGTTACAGACAAATGTAAAACATTGATGAATGTGCTCGATTCCGAGTTCCCCTTGGCCAAGAAGCTTCTGTGTGGTTGGCATATGATCAACAACATTGCCAAAATGGCAAAAAAAAACAATGAAGCCAGGAAAAGAAAAAGAGTTGTGCACACATTTAGTCAACAAAATGATCTTCGGAGATAAACGCGATGTCTATGATGAAAATCTTGAGCTTTTCAAATTGCTGTCATCTCGGAAAGATTTCCAAAGTAAAGAGCAGCTGGAAGACAATAATGATGATTCTACGAAGGTTGTAGAAAAAAGAACTCTGGAAAAGTACTTTGAAGATGAGTGGATGCCATGCAAGGAAAAGTGGGCTGGCTACCTCACTAGTCAATTAAAACATTTTGACTGTGTGACAACACAACGTGTTGAGAGTGGCCATAATGCTCTGAAAAGAAAAATCTCAGCTCTTCAGTCATTGAACTCTTCATTTGAGCAAATTTGCTCCTATCTTCTCCAGTTCGAGGGCGACTATCAGGACCTTGAGTTGAATGAGGCAACTATCACAGATGCCAGAATATACCATGAACCTCGCCTCTGTGGATTGATTCACCACGTCTCCAGAATTGGTTTGATCACCATCCGTGCTGAGCTTCTAGAAGAGGGTGTACCTGGTGAGCTTTGCAATTGCAGAGTAAAAGTGGTGTTTGGTCTTCCTTGTTGCCATGATCTGCCAAGAGATCGTATGTTGCTATTATCAGACATTCCTGAAAGATGGATTCTGTCTTCTTCTTTGGGTGAACGTTTGAAGCAACTGGAATGTGACGTTTCTCTACAGAAAATCGACGTTAAAAAGCCTGCCCTGTGGGTGAAATGTATAACAAAGCTTGAACAATTGTTTCGTCAGTGTGAAGGGAATCAACAAGTCCAGAATCTTATGGCAATGGTTGATGAACTTGTTGACAATGCTGGTGAAATAATTGACCATCCAAATGTTGTATTTCCTTTGGCAAGTGAGGTCAAAGCTCCTGGAAGACCTAAGCATGTCAAAAGGAAAACTGCTCTCCCAAAGGACTTTGTCCGTCACAAGCACAGACATCTCCTTGTGCAAAAGAACAAAGTAAGCATGCAACATACACAAACATGATTTCACAATCTAATACATATTTATTCTTTATTTCTTTAGAATGATATCAGAAGTATTTTGAAAGAAGGACTTAAAGAAGTGATGAAGGAGTTCTTAGAGGAGGAGCCTCTCAAAAAAAGTAATTTATAATTGTTTTTTTGTGAAATTACAATGTAATATCTAATGCTTACTATTTCTAGTCATAAAAGAAATAAAAAAAGAAACCCAATTCGCTGAAAAACAAGAGCATCTCGAAGAAGGTAATTTTTGATAACTTATAAATGAATCACAAAATATTTTGTATGGTTTGCTCACACATTGCATGTTTTCTCTATAGCTAAAACAACCAATTTCACTAAAAAGCAAGAGCCTCTCAAAGAAGGTAACCGATAAGATATTTTACTAAAATTAAATGCTAAATGTTACATTGTTTTTTGTTTCTTCTTAGCTGAAAAATATTCCTCTGGAATTAAAAGACCTAAACATCTCCAAGACGACTACTGGTACGATTTGCCTAGTCCAAAAAAACAAAACAAAAATGTGCATGACTTTGCTCTGCCTGCTCAAATCGACCAAGCCGCCATTTCGTTGACGTTTAACCCCAAGTCCGATGGTTGGTGTGGTTTCCGTGTATTTGCACACCTGAAAGAGGGTGGAGAGGATCAGTTTCCTTTGGTGAAGAAGAAGATGTTGGCCACGATGGCAACCCACAGTAAACTTTACAAGCACAACTTTGGCATGTATGTTGCCAAAGTGACAGAGGTCATTGCCTTTGGCTCTGAGATTGACCCTGCTCTTGGGGAAAATATCCCATCTTGCCCTTCCTCTATGTGGTTCTCTGCACCAGACTGTGCTCAGATAATAGCTGACACCTATAACAAGCCTGTTTGTGTGTACTCGGACGATCGAAGCATCTTGGCTGTAACTTTCCTTCCCCTCCATGATTGGAAGCCTCTCAAAAGAAAGCCATTGCCGATGGTCTTGCACCATGTACATGGGTGCCACTGGACAATAATTAAAGTGAAGCCTCATGTACATTGGTTCTGGCCTGAGGTAAATGCGCTGTATTTTGATGCTATCCATAGAGGGAGTATCATTGACTGCTTTTCCACAAGTTGGAATCATTGGGGTCAGTTCCCAAAGAACAAGTCTTATCTTTTACCCTCCACTACTACAACTACTACAATTACTACTACTGCCACTAACTCTCCTACAAATTCTCCCATAAATTCTTCCAATATTATTGACCTCACACATATATAACTTATCTATCATGGCTCTTTCCACTAACACTCCGGAACCACCAGGGGTCAAAAACCCCTCCACCACTGGCTCATCTCCACCATTGCCAACCTCATTCACACCAATCTCACCCTCTTTGACACCTCTTTACTCGGAAGTAACTACTCAGAACGCACTTCCACTTCTCGAAAAGCAACCTCATGTTATCTTCAGCTCTATGAATAACACGACCTCACGTACCTGGCGTGTAGGGTCCTCTAAGTTTTCAGTTTTTTTCACCGTCCCACCCAAATCCTCACCCAAGTTTGACCCTTTCTGGAGAGCTCTTCTCTCAGCCTATCCTCGCGAGGTTAACATGGGCATCACTCTTGGCTCACGCTCTTCCCCTGATACATGTGAACTCCATCTACCTACCAGTGCTGACTGCAAGCGAGTGTGCTCTCAACCTTTGGTAGTCGGCGATTTGTCTTTCCCCGTTCAACCTGCTGTTCCCATTGGCACAATTGTTTGCCATGTTTTCCTAACCAAGCTTCCTTGTGTTCCTTATCATGACCTGGCTACACAACTCGCCAAATGTATGTCTCCTTTTGGCAAAGTGTGGGAGATCGCCATTCATGAATCATATGGGTTTTTTGATGGTTCTGGCTATGTTGTCCTCGCCAATACACCTACCGACAATGTGCCATCAGATTATCTGACGTACCAAATTGCATACAACAATACGCAAAAGATTCTTGGTAAGTGGCCTTCCATGGGCTCCCACTGCACCTACTGTAAGAAAATGGGGCACGACGTTGCAAAATGCACCAAATGCCCAGCCGAAACCCAAATGTGTTTTGGATGCAACAAGACTGGTCACTTACAAGCCAATTGTCCATACATTACCGATCCTTCCAAGACATCCAAGACGTCCAACAAGTGCTCCTGCCACCCCAACCGCAATTCGAAGCTCGATCGCCCCATCATTGTGCCCAAGCCTTTGATTCCCACTGAGCTCTCACTCATCTATGGAGGATCGGAGGCCTCCAAGCACAACCCTCGTCAACCTGCTTTACGTGAGTTGTCTAAGCTGTCTCCCACAAAGACCACCTTTACTCTACTGACACCAACTGAGACGCCCACGTCCTCCGGCCCTCGTCCTCAAAGCCATTCTGTTGACACCCCCATGCGTGGCTGGGACAAAGAGATAGACGACAGAATGATACCTAATCTCATGGATAGAGATGAGGCTCAGGCTCTCTGACTCTAGTCTGCCTCTCGGCACACTCATCTCCGTTTTTCCTGGCTGGCACGTCCAACAGGCCGCAATACATCTCTCTCTCCTCCTCGCTTTACTCACCCACAAACCACAAAAGCCCTTGGCACTGAGGCCAACATTAACCAATGATTAAAATAGGCACTATGAACTGTAGGGGTCTACCCAAAGTTGGGCACCCTGAATCACGCTCCTTTTTCATACGCCATTTACGCTTGCAGGGAATCAATATTTTAGCCCTGCAAGAAACTTATGCCTCATCATCTATGCTTCAATCTACCTTTGACCAACAATTTCGGTCCTCTTCATCATTATGGTCTCCACACTGCAGTGTTGTATGCCTTTCCCCTCACATTATCTTCACTGACCCTCTATTTAGCCCATGTGGCAGGTGTATCACGACAACTATCACGCATGTGGATAATAATTTTTCGCCCTTCAGGATAGGCGTCATCTATGCGCCTGCTTCCCAAACTCCATGTTATTGTTTTCTTGCCTCTTTACTGTCCACTCCTGACCTCATCCCTCCCAATCCTTCAAACTTTATTCTATTGGGCGATTTTAACCATGCAATTCACTCACACTATGCTCTCAGACGTCGTGCTCCAGCTGACTGACTACAGTTTATAGATACCAATATGACTGACTGTATCACTTCTCATGGCCAGCACCCGCAGCCTACGTTCCACCAAGTCCTGTCTTCCACCACCATTGACTACATCCTTGTGTCCTCAGACCTTCACCCTCACACTACAGACCCACAAGTGAGCTATATTCATCAGAAATGGTCTGATCATTGTCTGGTTGCAGTCAGTCTGTCCCTCCCTTCAACCAAGTCTTCTGGTAAGGGACTTTGGCGTGCTAACCCTTGCCTAGCACAATCACTTTCGTTTCATACCAATCTCAACACTCTTCTCTCCACCCTCGTTCCTGCCCTTCGTGCTGATCTTTCTCCTCAAGCCCAATGGGATGCGATTAAGCTCGAAGTCATTCATTTTGTTAAATGTTTCTCTCGCCACCTTCGCCCCTCTCTGAACGACCTGGAAACACGCCTACAAAAATGACGGGACTGACTCATTCACCGTTTCCGCCACCAACCTGCCCAGAACTTCCAACTCCCAATTGTGGAACGATTGTTGCAGCAAGTCCAACTTGAATGGGTCGAGATTATGGCTCTCAAGGCCGGGAAACACTGGCAGGAAAAGGGTGAGACTTCTGCAGGATACCTCAAACGCACTATTGCCATTCGCCAATTCCGCAAAGCCATTGCAAGCCTCTGTCACCCTGTTACAAATGACATTTGCACCACACCTGACGCCATGACTGAGGCCGCAGCAGTCTTATATGAAGGCTTGTACACCCCTGATCCTATAGACCACTCTGCTGTGGATGAGCTGCTCTCTCATTTGCCTTCATATCTCCATTTGCCAGAACTTGCACAGAACTATATGACTCGGCCATTCGCTCTCAACACAATTTGGTCAGGCGCTGCCCACTCTCCCAGCTCTAGTAGCCCGGGCCCAGATGGTTTGCCATATGAGATTCTCTGCCTCATTCTTGCCCATCCCGTGTGTGGCGACCTCGTTTCCCAGATATATAACAATGCCTTGTCAAAGGGAATCTTTCCTCCTTCTTGGCAGTCCACTTGTGTCTGCTTGTTGCCAAAAAAAAGCGATCTCAGTTCTCTGAAGAACTGGCGTCCCATCACCTTGATTAATACCGATGCAAAAGTGTTTACCTGTCTCATGAATGCTCGTATGATTTCTGCTGTTACCACACTTATCACTCCATATCAAACTGGTTTTATTCAGGGTAGATTTATAGCTGATAATGGAATGCTGACTCGTTTGGTCATGGCACAAGCCGCGAAGGATGGATCCTCAGGGATTGGCTTGCTCTTGGACCAGGAAAAGGCTTATGACCGAGTACACCCAGAGTATTTTTGTTGAGTGCTCGCTCATTTCAACTTCCCTCCTTCCATCATTAATTCTGTCTCTTCTCTATTTTTCTCTACGCAGCTACAGATTAATGTCAATGGCTTTCTCTTGCGCCCTCTTATGCAAGCCTGTGATCTTCAACAAGGGGATCCTCTCTCACCAATTTTCTTCAACCTAGCTTTTGAGCCTTTGCTTCACCACGTGATACACGATCCTCTGTTCCTCGGTGTCCTCCCTTCTGTCCCTCCCACTCTTCCCTCTTTACCTCCTGTCAAACTGCTGGCTTATGCCGATAACCTTTTGGTGTTTCTTCTGGACACGGATCACATGTCTTGACTTCACCACCATCTCAACACATATGCTGCCACATCTAACGCTCACATAAACATGCACAAGACTCAAGTCTTCTCCCTTTCAGGATCGCCACTCCCCGACTGGAATACTTTCCTTCGTGCATACAATGTTACTGATTGGCATGATCGTACATCACCTACTTCTCTCCAATATCTTGGTTTTCCATTATTTTCCTCTATCACTCAACGAGACTCCTACGGGACCACCCTCCTGTCAAAAATTGAGACCTTTTGCAGTATTCATGGATCACGATCTCTTTCCTTTTGTGGGCAGGCAACCATCATGAACTCTCTTGTACTTTCTCAACTATGGCACGTCCTTCATGTGGTTTCGTTCCCTTCCGCCTTCCTTGACTGAGTTCGCTCCATTGTGCACAGGTTCTTCCGTGTCAACTCTTTTCCTCCCATTGCTTTTGAAACTCTCTGCTTGCCCCGACTACAGGGTGGTCTTGGTATCTTGGATCCTGGTATACAGCAATGTGCTCTCCAACTTCGCTGGCTGAAGCCCCTTATCCGTAATCCTCTACTGCCTCACGGTCTTGTTCCCCAATGGTTCTCCACTCTTCTTTGCTCCGACGTCCCTACCATTGATCCTCTTCTTCTCTTACTCTTTCTGGACTGTCATCCTTGCAACCATCGCACCCTTGACTCCCCACTGCACCTGGTTCTGAAGGCTATGGATACTCTTCCCTGAAACTCTGACAGAGTGGTGCTCAACCTTTCCAGTTGTCTCATCCTGCTGTTGTCTTCTATGATATCCAGTATGCCCTCTCACCCTCCGTATCGACCTGCTTGGCGTGATTTGCAAGTCCACCATCTATACCAAATCGAGTCCAACTTGGATATACTCACACCCATCACTCCCTCTCATCCTTTACCCCGTTCTGTCACACTTAACCGCATCCTCAACAGAATTCGCGATCATACAATGGTCTTGCATCCCATTCTCTTTCGAGCATGCATTCCTTCTTTTGTACTGGCATTCCAACAGCCAGATCTTCCTATTCGCAACGGGTCGTCCATTGACCTCCAGCCACTTCTGTCAGCCCAACTTCATGGTCAGACCTGATCCCGGCTCACCATGTGCTCTTACCGTTCTGCCTGCTCCCATCAACTGTCTGATGCTCATCCCATCCACCCTCCTCTCATCCCACAACAACTTCGCTCCTTCTGGTCTTTTGCCCTCCCTCACCGGGCTTGGAATGTCTGGTTTCGCAGGTTGCACAATAAGCTTTTGTGCCAAGCACTTCTGTACTGCATCATGCCATCCACCATCTCTTCTCCTCTCTGCACTATGTGCCAGGTGTCCATCAAGATGCAAGAACATTTTCTTCTTGCTTGCCCATTGAAATCTGCTGTGTGGACAGGCATTTGGTTGGAATTCTTCAGCACCGTCCCTCTGCCCTCTGTCCTCTCAAACGCTTTCCAATCCTTTGTCTTCCCCCCCACGCTTAACCCTGCGATCCCTGCTTCCTCCGTCTTTGGCCTAACTATCCTGGCTATTTGGGATCACCACTGGTCTTTCCACTTTAACTCTGTCCCTTTCCTTTCCTCTGTGGTGCTCCACACTGCGTGCAAGTCAATTTCTTGTCTCTGCTCTGAACTAGAGCTGGACTCTCCATAACTCCTCCATTTTTTTAAAACAAAACAAAACAAAAACAAAAATAACCATAAAATTTAAAAGCCAAAAACATCATATAATCTACAAAACCTTACAAACAAATATTTTAATTTTCTCTTTTCCTATTCAATCAGAGATGTGGTGATCCAGACACTCGGATGTTGGATTTATCACATATAAGAACATATTCATATTGGGATAGCGTAGTAGCTATCATCTTGTCAGTATAAAATATATATAAACGATTAAGTAATCAGCCCAATAATTATTACAGTTAGTACTGTAGATAATATCTTAAAGATTGTTAAGATAATTATATCATACTGCCGGGTAAACTGTGTCAGATCGATATGGAGCTAATTTAGTAGGAAGTCCTAAAGCTCTAGTATAAAAGAGAAAAGAATAGCTAAGAGCTAAAGAAGTACAATTTATGACTTGATGTCATAATTGTAACACCAACACTAGTTAAGCAGTAAATACACTCTAATAACCAAATATAATAAAGGAAGAAAGCCTTAAGAAACTAAGACGTAATGACAAGAGCAGATTGTGTTTTCTTATAAAAAGGGACACTTTTTATTTATGAATAAAAAAAACTTATATACAGTCTCAAAGTATTTCTATACGTCTCTATTATCAAATATTTTATTTTTCTATTGTTTCGTACCTGAAATACCACAAGAGACCTTTAATAAAATCCTGAGCTTTTTCTTCCTGGCTTCATACAAAAAAAAATAACTTATCTATCTTTCTATCTTTTAATATACTTTACTCCTATTTTTTCTTTAATTTTTTAACAAACACAATTGCACCCAGTCTGTCTTTAATTTTAATGTTACATGTAAAACCCAGATACAAATATTATTGGTATCCAACTAATTGGAAGACTATATAATTGGCTTTTATTTTTTGGAGTACAAAGTCTGTGCTTTTATAAGCAATCTGATTAAGATCTTCATCCAATCACAGACGTGAATTTTACCATAAAAGATATAAAACAGAAACGATGCATAGCTTTTGATAGATTTCTGTCTTAATTCGAACGCTAAAGCTTGGATATTTTGCTGTATTGCTGAAAAAATATGTACATCTCTATATCCAAAATTTGAAGTTAATTTATTATGTTTTGGTTGAATAAACAAGCAAAATATACACTTTTTTTCACGTTTTTAACCATTCGTGTGGTGATCCAGACACTTGGTTGTTGGATTTATTACATCTAAGAACATATTCCTATTATTATAGTAAAACAGCTATCATTACAAGAACAAATGAATAATTTATTTATTTTACTTATGGTAAATCAATAAGACCAATAATTAATTACAGTAAGTACTGTAATTATGACAGCTCAGTAAGCACTGAGTTAATATGAGGACACTGCAATTAGATTAAATTATAAACATAGTAGTACCAGCTCTCTAATATCTAAATGAACTCAGACTTAAGAAATTAAGATGTGACTGACAAAGCAGATCGTGTTTTGATATAAAAAGGACAACTTTATATTCTTTAATAAAGACAACCTATATACAGTCTCAAAGTATTCTTATATACGTCTCAATCTTTTTTACTGTTGATTTTCTTCTATAAAACTTCACACCACATACAGAGAACTTGTATGCACCATTTGCCCAAAGCCAAAGACATACGAGACGTTGAATAGCCTCAGAAGACATTTTAATAAATGTCATCCAAAGGAAACCAAGGAATATGAAAGAATTCTTTTGAGAAAAAAGTTAGTAATCTTTCATATTATAGAAACCCTAAAAAAATGCAGCCAGTTTTGAACTTACTCTAATATTAGCAGTGTAAACTTGGGAGAACTGTCTTCATCTGCAGCCATCACCCCAGAAACTGATAACATGTCTATGCAAATGGAGTTCATCTTAGAGTCACCTCAGGATTTCTATAGCGAGTGTACTTCTGATGATAGTGAAGATGATATACCAAAGTGAGCTTTCTTAGTTAATACTGTAAAATACAAATGCTTACCACTTATTTAATTGTTTATAGTGACCAACCTTGTGATGACTTACTTGGCCAGTACTTTTGTGATGATGAAGAAGTCATGTCAAGTGATGGGGAAAGTGCAGACTTTAATGTTGAAAGTGATGTCCTGGTCCTTGATGCTGAAATGGAAGCAGTTTTTATGGGTGCTAACCCTATAGCTGCGATCATGAATGTCTATTCGGATGGAGATAGCAACACACAAACAGTCTACCATCAAGAGAACAATGCTGAGGGTTTTTCTGGATATATCAGTCCTTTCAAATCCAAGGCAGCGTTTATCTTACATGCCTTGTTCCATGGCAATAAAGATCTTTCTTCTGAAAGATCTATCAAGAAAATCATGTTTGTGATGAAGAAGTTGTTGGAGGCTCGTGAGGAAGCTGGGGAGAAATTGGATTTTCCGAAGCCTGATGCAGTGATAAACTATCACTTGCGAAAGAAGAATGAGATCCTGGTATTTCTGACAACAACATGCACTGCCGTAAATCAAAAAGGCCAACGCCATGAATTTTTGATAAACAAACTGTCTGAGTATCTCAGGCATACTCTGGCATGTCCAGGAAAAACGGCACAGATGTCATCACTTTCTGATTTCACTGAAAATCAATGGTTGAATCTCAACCAAGGCACCAAGTGGAAGGAAAATCCCATGTTCCAAATCCCAATGATTACATCTGAAGGTTTGGATTATTGGGTAGGTAGTGTTGTTGAAGTACAAGGGTGGTCAAATTGGTTCCTCTTGGAGAAGTTTTATACAAAAAACAGATCTACATATGCCGATGCCTTCCAAGTGTATGGTGGCCATGATACTATGCTAAGTCATTGTGACGATGCTTACTTCTGGTCGTGTGGTGGATCCACAAATTTTGCTGTCTCCCTCCTTAAGTATACTATTGAAGTCGATAAGATTTTGTCTATTATTCAGAAAGACAGCAATCTTTTTCTCAGATGTGGTTTATCTGTTTCTTCCTGCCCTTCTGAGATTGTTTATGACACTCTTGTTGGTATTCAGTCTCAATTGTGGCTCAACACGTCCTTTGTTGAAAGATTCAAGATAAGACTTCCCAGAGGCGGGTTAATGAAAGTGGTTATTTGCCCACTGAATTTGTATTCTGATGACACTTCCGGAAACTCTTCAAAGCAATACAACAAGTACAACAGCTATCTTATGTATTTTGCTGCGATGCCTCTTGAGGTGAGAAATAATTGAGAGAATGCGATATTTATTTCCACCTCGAATCATGTGCTGAATGCTGTCGAGATGCTGCTCCCAATTGTTGATGATTTTGTGGAATTGGAGAAAGGAATTGTGATGTACTCCAAAGATCATAGTGAAGATGTTCTGGGTGTTGCTTCTCTGTTATTGTTCATGGGTGATAATCCTTGGCAATCGCAACTTGCTATGCACAGTGGAACATCAGGAAAGCATTTCTGCAGGAAATGCCATTTAGAAGCACCCCAAAGCACTCAAAAAGACAGCACGCCAGAGATACCTTATCTTCCAGTCGACCATAATGGCGCTGAAAAAAGAACAAAGGAATTCTTAAATGCTTTCGCCACTGCCAATACAGATTCAGAATTGTATAAGCATGGGTGTAACCTAAACTATAGCAAGAATGGCAGCAAAGAATTTCTCAGACTTGAAGCATTTGATGCAACAAAAGACGTGCCCATTGAAATTCTTCACACCATCCCACTTGGCTAATCACAGTATCTGGTCACTTACCTTCTTAAGTTCTCGAAAATGTCAACAGCAGAAATGGCAAGACTTGAGTCAGCTCTGAGTTCTTACAGAGTCTGCAAGAGTTATAGCAGAGGATTCAGAAACCAGCTTTGTCATAATGGTTTGTTTGTTGGGTGCGACTACAAACAGCTGATGCAAGTTCTCCCAAACGTTATGACAGTGCTTTTTTCTGGAAATAGCAAATTCGAACTTCTTACTAAGACTCTCTATGTAGTTGCTAAATTGTTATCTTTGTTGTACATGTATGGAATAAGCGAAGGCTTTGATTATTACATTGTCCTGATAAAACATGCTGTAAATGAAGTGACAAACCTGCTCCTTGCATTGGACATACATATTAAAAAGAGCAAGCACTCCAAGCAGGATCTCACCTTTAAGCCCAAAGTTCACCTCCTCCATCACATAGCTGAAGACATTGTTTGTTTCGGATCAGTTCTCCAATACGAGACAGAGAACAGCAAACAATTTAATAAGTTCATCTGCAAGCATCTTTTCCAAACTAACAGATAATCAACTTCTCGAGATGTTGCTCTCAGATTTGGAAAGCAATTCATTTGCCATTATTTGTGTAATGGCGGATATTACAATGTGATGAGGGACGTGAATGGAACAAGTCAGCAAGTGAGATGCACTGCTGGAAAATACATACAGGAACTATCTGCATCTCCTGAATTCAGAAGGCACTTCTTTGGGTCACAGCCTAATAGTGACAATTCTGGTTTGCTGACTCCCACTTTGTGCAATACACTTGCAGGTGTTTTTCAAGCAAATGGTCAAATCTTTCTTGGTCAGGTCAAAGCAATTTCCACGCGAGACATTATGAATAATTTTGTTAAAAAATACTACATGCAAAAGTATCAAATGATACCTAGCAATAGTATTGAATGCATATACACTCCTCCTGTAATAACTGCTAATGTGCATAACATTGTTGTTGTTTCTTTTGGTCATCTCCTGGAGATTCGTGAAGAAGAAGTTGAAGTTGTCCAAGCTATAGACATTCACTTGCAGCATGGCAACAATAGCAGAGAAAAACTGCTTAACGTTGAGAAGTTTGGTGTGTTTTGGTGGATGTTAATGAACATTGCTAAAATTGCATACTAAACAAAATGACTTAACAAAAAAAAATGAATTTTTTCCCAATGGGTTTTGACCAATAAAATCTTTTCTTTTTCAGACCTCTTCATTTCTCCCCCCATTTTAAAATTCTGTATTATCTGAAATTAAAATAATTTTCTGAAAAAATACAGCCATTCCTTTTTTGTTATAATTCTAGTCATTTCATGCAGCTACTTCTGAATTTAAACATTTTAAGCTAAAGATTCACTCTCTAAGCCAATAAAATCATTCGGCACCCTTGAAATTACCATAAATGAAAAAAAATCAGTGGGTGTGTTTACATTTTTAGTAAATGTAGATTGCAATTGATGACTATTAAAAGTCAGAGGTAAAAGAGAAGAAAACATAACTTTTTGCTGAGAGAATAAAATATGTTAAGACAATTTGAAAAAAAATATATTACAAAAAAAAACAAATTATAGGTCTGCAAGAGAACCAAGTAACAATTTTGGGCTGCAGTTAAGCTCTGGCCACACTATGTATGTTGTTGTTGTTGTTGTTGTTATTGTATTTATAGTCGTGTCCGACTTCACCAAACCAACCAATTCTTTGACATCTGCCAGATGAACTACCTTTGGCTTCATTTGCCCATGATTAACAACTGGTATACCATTTACCAAATGGACTGCCGCAATCTCTACAAGAGCAAGCAGCCACCTCTTGTTGTTGAGCTTGTGCTCAAAGAAGACAACAACTTTCCCAAAGAAATTCTTGTAAACCGGAGAGTATGCAGAATGTATATTGTGGTTTTCATCAATCTGAATCTGTAATCTGATGTTATGTGCCTCCCTTACACAATTTTGGTGGAGTGCAGAGTCAATCACACAACCATTGACAAATGCCTTGCGGCTAGTTTGTATAGCTGCTTCAATCATACTACACTCTTCCCCCTTTGATTTGTAGAAGTCTTCAAGAAGTTTTGAAAGACAAGAAATGCCTTCAAAACTATCTCGGATTGTTCTATTCCTCAAAGGCCCCCAGAACTCAATATCAGACCCAGCACCAACATGCTTACCCTCATCTGCCAATGGCCAACCAGCAGTGGAATCTTCATATTGTAAGTGTCGTGCTGTTCTTGCTTCTGTAATCATAACAGTAGCTCTGGCCTCTGCTTGTCGTATTTGTGCTAAGCCAAGCATGATATTGCCAGTGTTAACATTTATAGCAGAATTACTCTTGATAGCCCTTGAGTATTCACCAATTGCCCGTTCCATGGATCTGGCGCTATATGCACGAGGTGGGCCGTATGCGTCAATCATGAGAGGATAGTGCTGAAGAAGATGCTGGTTTATAGTGAAAATATTGATTTTGATTTTTCCACTTGTAAGCAGCGATTCCAGATACATGTTCCATATTTCAAGTTTACTGAAGAAAAATAGTTAGAATAAATAATAGAATAACACATAGCTTTTACTAAAATATACCTTTTGATAGAGGTTTGTTCCTCTGCTGATAACTCTCAGCTCATGAGTAGGTTACATGCTTGAACCAAGCCAAGTAACGCATTCTGGGCAGTTGCATCTCCAATACACTCTGCCACCAGCATAGGGACGACAAACAGAAGAAAGTCTGCCCAATTGATGGCCTTGAACAACCCAGGGTTCTTGTATACATCCCTCCAATTACCATGGAAGGATGTAGAGATGATATTTCTTGTTTTGTACATTGCTGTACCGATCTCCTTCCAAACACCAGAAGAAAGAGCAAAACAATGATCTGTTCCATAGATACCAGAAACCAAACCCCAGACCTGCTTGCTTATTCCATGGCAAAGTCCATGCATCTCATCAAGGGCAAAAAACAATGATCCAGAGAATACCTTCAATGTTGCCAAGGGGGATTGTCCGTTTAATCCTTTGCGGCTGGATGCACTGGCCTGGGAAAAATTCTGGAAACTTTCCAGCATATAGATATTGATGCTGGGCAAAGTTCTGAAGTATTGTCCATGCTTGGGACATTGGCCGACAACATGACAGATCTGGCAACTGTCTTTGCTTATATGTCCAGAATGACATGCCAACTTTGCTAAGGTGGGAATGTCACCAGTGACCATTAAGACATGTACCTTGGCACGAATGGTCTCATTTGGTGTCTTGACGACCATCCCTTTGCTCTCCAACATCAGGAGCTCTTTCATCATTGGTTCCATGAACGACCAGAAATTGGCAGGTGTGCCTGGACCTGGGATCATTGCGATCTGGAGCATTCTGCTTCTCTCATACCGGACCATGGGATTCAGGTTAAGAATGGTGGCATGGAGGATCGTTACAGAACCAGAAATATTGTGTGGTGTGAATCCATCAACAGACAACGAAATTGCAATGTCATCTTTTTTGGAAAACAGATGTTTCACTTGCTGGTAAACCTGGCCACCAAACACATCGGTTTTACTTTCATCTGAACTTGACTTATGATTATGGCAGTAATGCATATCTGCTCTTGTATTCTCATTGGCTAATGCAATAGCCAGTTGTCTTGCCAATGGAAGCTGTATCATCATGGCAGCAGCAACCAGATCACCACCCTCAGTTTCTCCACGTCTTGTTTTGTACTGGCTTTGTCCACAGTTGGAGCACTCAGTCTGGGATGGACTGGTAAAGAGCATACATCCCCTCTGACAGATATCATGGACTATCTCTTCAACATCAGAGAATCGCTTCAAAAGCTTTTTGCCAAGATGAGGAGTACATGCTCTGTATGTAATACATGTCGACGTTTCCAAAATGCTGTTGAAATGCTTGACTATCATTTCATAGGCATTGCGGGAGATACTAAAATCCTTAATGATATTGAGAAACTCAAGGTTCTTTGTGGCATCTTTGTCAAGGGTAGGTGCAGGCTGACTGAAGTCAAAAACCAAAGGAGATGTTTCGTTTTCAATGATATCCATGTTGTTGCCAAGTTCCGCATCATACTTTAACAAGGTAGATAATAATTAGCATTATATAATAAGACATGTATATATATATATATATATATATATATATATATATATCTTACCATAGACTTATCATTATCATCATTACTAAAGATATTCATAATTGGATCATCGTTATCTTTGCTGTTGAGTGTATCCATGATCTGATCTTTGATTGCATCAGCATGTTCTCTGCTTGTTTATGAAAATAACAATATAATTAATTACACTTTCTAATAGTATGTATGTGATTTGTAGATTTACTCGATAGTGTCATTCGAGACAGTGTTCAAAACAACACTGACTTGTCCAGGAACAAGCGTGGTCTGTGAAGTCTGGATATCATTATGTCTTCTATGACGGTTCTTAAAACATTGAGCTCTACAACTCTTGACTTTTTTTAAATTGGTGTGGCGCTTTTTGCATTGATTGTATTGGTAACTATCAAAGATTGAATTTGAAGACATTTTTTAGGTTGGAAATAAACACAAGAATAAAGGTATGAATATTGATAATTTCTTTTAAATACAGTACCAAAAAGAAATGTTTTGCCCATTTTAACATTCGCCATGAATGGTAAAGAAGATATCACAACTTCAAATCCCTTTCTAAAGATGTACAATACGTATTGAAATATAATACTTGAAACAATAAAAGTAAAAGACATATATATTAATAATATAAAAAAAAAGATACAGTTTTAATAGCGGATTTGCTTAAATTTCTTTTTCTTAAGTAAGGCCAATCGATTTGGCATATTCAAGCAGCATCTTCTACAAGTTTTTGCTGATATTTTGTTCCACTCTTCCAACAAAGTAGCCTTCAGCTCATGCAGAGAATTTGGTCTGAGGTGTCTTGCTCTGATTCTGTGATCAATGATTCCCCATATATTCTCAATGGGGCTAAGGTCAGAGCTGTTGGGTGGCCATTGCAAAACATTAATACCATGTTCTTTCTTGAACTTTCCTGCAACTTTTGATTTATGCGCCTTGGCATTATCTTTCTGGAACTTGTAGCTACCGCTGCTAGATACAGGAAGAGCATGCAAGAATGGAAGAAAATGATCTCAAAGAACTTCTATATATCTTGGACCATCCATGTTTTCATCTACAAAAACAAGTAGACTAAGTCCTCCTGACCAGATACACCCCCAGACCATAACCGATCCACCATTTTCTTGCACCTTTGGGACAAAGTGATCCGTATCAAACCTCTCACCAGTTTTGCGCCAGAGTTTTCTCCTTGAATTTTTCTTATACAGCACAAATGATGACTCGTCACTCCAGATAACTGTTTCCCACTGTTTATTCCAGTCTTTCACGGTTTTGTACCAAGCTCAGCATTTGGCAATGTGTGTCTTGGTAAGAAAAGGCTTTGACACAGGTTTACGGCAAAAATAGTCCATGCTGTGCAAAGCTTTACACATGGTAACCTTGCTGACATTCTTTCCCGTGTCAGCACTAGCACCATCAACAAGATCATCCAACATTGACCATCTGTCTTTTTTGAGATTTGAGACAATACGTCTTTTGTCTCTAGGTGTGAGGATCTGTGGTCTTCCAGAAGACTTTCTATTATCGGCAGTTCCTCTTTCTTTATATCTCTTTAAAAAATATTGAACTGTTGATTTGGGTACATTCAGCTTGGCGAAATGCTGGCAACATTATTTCTATCAAGTTGAAGACCAAGGATCTTTCCTTTCGTCAAATCTGAAAGCACATTATAGGGCCCACAAGAGTTATTCTTTTGTTCGTTTGGCATTATGATAGATTTGTTAATTAGTTTTTTAAGACGTTGAAAAATATAAAATATAGGTTATAAAGCAAAGGTGCAAATAGCGCGCCAGGGTGTGAAATATTTCTTTCTCAGACTGTAATATGCCTTTATACTTAATAGCGCTGAGATTTGTATAGACTTAATGATTACAAGTAGGCAATGACATAGATGATACAAATATAAACTCAGGAACAGAAGCTAAAACATTGCATAATAGCTGTTATTAGAACTACAGTAGTCCAATAATAATATTGGCTGGACCAATAGGTTAAACTCATTTATATGAAACTAATAATAGACAATAGAAAAATTTTTTGGCCTTTATATTTCTTTCACAAAAATCCTTTTTCTCAGGTAAACCAAACTCTCAATATGAATAACACAGATAACAGTTCCATCTCTTTGCTACACGTCATGTACAATGAGATACTATTTTTGAAGGCAGGTCAAGAAAAGACCAAACTTGAAATGAAGGCACAGATCAAAGAGTTGAAGCTTGAAATGAAGACGAGCATCAAAGATTTGAATTTAGAGATTACTGCTCTTCAGAGCCAACTGGATAATAGAAACATTTCTAACCAACACACTTCGTCTTCTGTCTCTGTCATTGTAAGACAAAAAATAAAACGAGTTGAATATATATTAATATGTTATTTAATAGTCTAGTGCTAATACCATCCACAAACTGGTGAGCGTATTCTGTGAAATAACTTTAAAGCATATCTTCAAGATGATAAGTGAAGACCTTGGCATTGAAGTAACAAGTAACGAAAAGGCCACACTCAATATGTGTACAAAGCTTATATGTGATGATATGGCTGCCTATCCTTTGGTGATTGCTCTTGGTCCTAATCCTAGCTGGGGGTCTATACCCGTAGCACTTAAGAAAGAAATGTGTGCCAGGCACGCAAATATAATGAAGGATTCTGGTATAGACATCACTAGATGTCTCGGAAACTGGGCATCAACTGCAAGAGTTGCACATCTCTGGAGGGATCGCCATAAAAGATTACAGTCTTGTAAGTAATCCAGTGTAGTGGAATTGAATAGGATATTTTACTATAAAAACCTAGAATATTAAATAGTTTATAGCCAATAAAATATATCTGTTGTGAGGAGAAAATAAAGCAAAATATAATATAGATGAAAGAATTCGTGAGAACTTGTGTAGGTTGTTTATTTCAAAAGAAAAGTAAAGAATGATAAAATTCGATTGTCTTTCTACACAGAACTATCTACTGATATTTATATATTTTTCTAATTTGTAATTCAGTATGTGCTTAAGTAATCTTTATCACAATGAGTCATCTTCCAGGAGTATTGTTCTTCTGGAAAGATCTGGAAAGACCAATTGATATGATACTTCTCCAGTCAGATCAGTCCAAGAGTTTTGGTAAAGAAGAGCATTTATGCTATTGGTAATATTTTAGTATTCCGACCCAGATACTTGGGTAATGTTTCATAATATTAGATAGTTGTAGTTGTAGTCTCTCAATTAAGTATTTGTATAATAAAAGAAATATGTAGATGAAATATAATGATGCCATATATATAATGTATATGTATTTGTATATCCCATGTCATAGTGATAATAATAAATAATCAATTATGTGTATGATGATCTGTGTATTAGATAATATCATAAAGGGAGATCCGTTTGACTGGAATAGCTGAGGATATTATTTTATCCTTCAGTCTTACTCTCAGATTCAGCAGTAATCAATACTCATTCACAACAATGCCATAAAAGCTCAAAAGCGCAAAGTTCTTTTGACTCTCAACAATTTCTCTGGTCATATAGTTGATTATACACCTACAAATGTTGAGCTTCTTTTTTTGTCACCAAACACCACTTCCCACCTTCAGCCATTGGATGGTGGTATTATTCGGGCATTCAAGGCTTATTTCAAGCGTAAGAAGTATGGCAAGACATATCAATACATTGGCATGATTCAAAATGGCGATCAAGATAAAATCAGGCCAATTGATAAAATCTTTGAAATTGTTCATGTTGTAAATGAGTATTTACTACTGCTGTAATTGAGAATAAGTCTGAAGGAAATAATATAAGGCCTCAGCTATTCCAGTCAAAGGTGTCTACCGATTACTTATTATTTAACACACAGGTTTAGCATGCATGATAGTGATTATATTTCATATGATGATATCACCATAATATGGGATACATCAGTGGATTATTATAAGCATAATTATAACTCATAAACACATTTACTTTCGATGTTAATACTTCATTGGGATTACACACATTTATATAATTAATCATACATTAATTATCCCAAGATCATGTTGCTCTGATTAAGGCTCAAATAGGATCGATTACCTGACCCCAGTCATATAATTTTCCCAATCCAAAACAATATAAATAGCAGTAGTAGTTCAGTGTAGGAACCTGATCAAACTTTGATACAAAATCTTTCTCAATAAACAAAACCTACACAAGTTCTCACAAATCTTTGTTCTTAATTTCAAATCTTCAATTCTTCCTCTTAAAAACTTCTTCAACTTCAACCACCACAACAAATGTCACTACGGCGGAGAAAATGGTAACATGTTACCACTTTGGTAACATAACTGCCATTTTTTACTTAATAAAAAATGGCAGTTATGACTCTGTATAAGGCCAAAACAGGCACTGTTACCATTTTTTACTATGTAAAAAATGGCAGTTATTTATTATGTAAAAAGCCAAAACAAGCACTGTTACCATTTTTTTCATAATAAAAAATAGCAGTTATTTATTATGTAAAAAGCCAAAACAGGCACTGTTACCATTTTTCAAAAAAAAAATCAAGCGTCCTTCCTTTCCTCTATTACATTCTTTCTTTTGTTCTATTGCTTTCAATTCTAGCACAACCTCTTGTTTTTCCTTTGCAGCTTTAACAGAATGGTCTGTTTTTTATTATACAATATTGAATCGGGTTTAATTGAATTGAATCTTTATTTCAATGCATGTTTTATTAAATGAAAATGATAATAATAATAGTAATAATGAAAAAACAATTCCATCGGCCACTCGCAATAAAAAATGGTTCTGTTTAGCTACTGCAAAACGTATGCAGTAAAACACTACTATTCAAATTGTATTTCATATACTTTGGGTATTCTAATATATCTTAGATAGCACTTATTATTTTTTACTGATTTCTACAAATATACTAATATTAGAGAAAAAACTTAAAATAAATAAATAGATATAATATTATTATAAATAAATAGATATAATATTATTATAATGCTTACCTTTATATAATATGCTTACTTGTTCAGTAAAATAAGCATTTACTCTAAGAATATATATATATATTAAAGAATGTATTAATATTTAAGATCTATATATAAGAAAAGCAATAAAACATAAGCACTATAGAAAGTCGTTATCATAGAAGAAGAAAAACTTGAGCAAAGATTCAAGTCATGTAACATGAAGCTAATTCGAATCTGATTCATACAACTGAAATGAGCATCTTGTTAGAAAGCTTAACGTGTTTATTCTACTCAATATACTTACATATAATAGAATGACTCCCAAGTATAATATATCAGTACAAAAATATTACTATTAATTTTTTTCCCAAAAAAAAGGCTATATACTATTTCCTTTTATATTTGAATGTAGCGGAATTGTAGATGCTGTACATTAGCTTCAAATTCTTGTAATCACAACATTATCAATCATATGAAAGAGGTCAATAAATTTTTTATATGAAAGAAAAAAGGAATAAAAAACATAAAAAGAAAAATGACGAGATAAGAAAAAAAATGCACTAAAGACAGACTAAAAAAATCAAACTCGGCCAATCACAGCAGCCAAACTACAATCTTCGGCTTCTCTTGCGAGCAGGCTCAACACTTGCTGTGGGTGGAGGAGACCTACATAAAAGAGTAAGAAGTTTATATTAGTTTTGTATTAACAGTGCATGAGAAAAAGCAACAATGGTAACTTACAGCACATCTGCCATTATGGGCGACTCAACATCACCAGTTTCTGACATATCAGGAGAAGAAAGCGAAGAATCACTTATGTCTCACTGTGTCTATAGCATAATAAAAGGAAACGATGTTAATTAAAGTTTACAATATATAGATTTGTTAATTGATAAACTTACTTTGTTCTTCTCTGCCATTCTTCTCTTGTGCGTCTGGTTGTCGCTCTTGAAGCTTTCCCGAAGAAGGCTTCTTGCACACCACATTCTTTTACATTGGTAGATGTGCAATCCACCATTCTTCGCCAACCTCTCCAAATGCATCATGTAGTATTCCCTGTTTTTCTCTGGGATATTCTTCCATTCTTTTGAGGCCGCAGGATAGTCTTTGTCAATGATATCATGCTTTACCGTACGGCCTAATGTTTTGAGATGCAGTCTTTTTACTGTCAAATCATGGTCTGAAAGAGGGACTAATGGGGGCAAAGGCTGCCCTTGTGGAACTTCTTTGCAGCGCGCCTTCCAGTCCTGCTCGTGAAGAATCTGAAGCAACAGATTGTATTTTTGCGCTTCGTTTTTTCCTTTGAACTCACCACCAGTATTGATTACTCGCTTACCGAGCTGATCAGGGTACTCTGTGAGCTGGGCTCTTTTCACAGACTCGGCAATGCGCTCAAGAGCTACAAAAAATGTATGACAATATTAATAAAGTAAATAAACATCTAAGCACAGAATATATATGACTTACAACTCTGCTCAATAATGCTTTGTTGCATTGTAGTTAGATCTTCCGCACTGACTGCTGGCGCAAATTGATTGCTGAATTGCCTTTGAAGCTCGCGCAATGCTTGCTTGATTTCAGCAAGATCAACCTCAATCTTTTGAATTGAGTTGAGGAGAGTTGTGTTAATATCGGACATGTTTAAGTTTTTTTTTAGCTATAAGCAGTGAGTTGAAAAGAAAAGGTGATAGTTTAGACAAGTAGAATAAGAGCGATTTGAGTTTGAGAAAGGCAACGATTTATTACAAGCAATTGATAGCTATTTATATGAAAAAGATACAGACAGATGTACAAACAAAACATATAAAAGAAGGGATGCTTATGCACTTGTATGCACCTGTCTGCACCTGTCTGCAGTAGCTCATGTGAACATGATACAGTCTTTCCGTGTCGACACAACAAAACTGTAAGAAATATAAAGATAAAATGAATTAGACTTTAAATCAATATTATATGTATAAATGTTCATACTTTGCACCGTCTACATATTAAACGTTTTAAAGTATATGATATAATAATATAACTCTATACATATTGCAGATATAGCATGAAATTTGGTTAAAGTTCTCGATGACAAAACCCTGTACCAGTTAAAATTATAACTTTAAATATACTCTACAGTAGCTATATAACATCTGGACATCATATAGTTAATTAGCCCCTTTTTATCAACATTAAAGTAAATGTTATGATACTCAAGTTCATATCATACTTATTATCATTATCGACTAAAACTTTTGATTGATGATGTCATCAAAGATAAAAATAATTTTAACTGTCATTACTATTATTTACCAAGGGGCATTTTTGACTGAAACCGTACATTTTTGAAAAAGGTGTGCTTTAACTCACATCGGCACTTTCAATTAACATCCCTTTCGATCAGTAGTGCTTATCTTGATGATGTCAGTAAAAGAGTATCAGACTATAGCCCTCATTATCTATATCTATTTATTTAAGTTTTATACATAAACAAGAAAATAATGCTATTAGCTAAATATATATTCACTATCTCAAAAATATTATTAGTACAACACAGATAATATAAATATGTCTTTTCTACCAATGTGTTTAGACAGTACTACTTTTTTTTAACTGTTAATTATTAGAAGGCTGTTTTTCTTTGCCTTTGGTATTAGAGAGTAATTGATAATTTATTTAAAAAAAAAACATAAATTATTTGGTCATTAATTATCCTAAGTATACATATACCTCTTTATAAAGCCCAAAGAATATCTAATTGCTCACAAGTAAAGAGTACGTGTCTGTTTCACCGGTGCTCTTTTAATGGTACCCCCTTGTCAACCAAGAAGTATTTTAACTTACATCATAATTATTAATGAAGAAGAATCTTTCCAACCACGGGAATTATTTACTGACAGGTGTTTCACCTAGCATTGACATTACTGTAATCATTGCTATATCATCATTATGAGAGAGAAAAAGAAAAAGAGCCGCAAGCATTTTGGTTAAAAAATAAAGAGTATATAAAGATGTCTTTTACATTTAATAAATAGCACCAAAATCCTCTTCGCAGCTTTATTTTATATATTACATACGTACCAACCCAACCAATATGTCTTCTTCCAATGCCAGCCAGCAGAGAGATAGAATATCTACACAGCAATACCAATGTGATCAATGTGTCTTGTTTTTTGATAACTACCAGAAGCTGCAAAACCACAAGAGAATTCACAGAGGAGATTCAGCAACAATGACTGAAATTGACCAGTCTATTCTGGATGATGTTGACATGTACCATGACGAAAATGATACTAGTAATGAAGATGAATCTGTTAGCAATTCAGGTAATGAAAAGAGCTGTAATTGTATTATTTATTTTCCAATTACTAAATAATGTATTACAGAATATACTATGGAGTCTATGGAGCTTGATAATACTATTTCATATAAGTGTGCATGTAATTTTGAGGACAGTGAGGGTGAAGCTCACATTTACGACAGCAGCCGAATCAGTACAAATACTTTTACCAAGGCCGAGTTGATGAGTATTCATCTGTCTCAATTGATGCTACAGCATAGAATTGCTAGAGCAGCATATAGAGACATTGTTCAATTTATAAACACTGTCATCCGAGACCATGACAATATAATGATGGGTAAAATATTATATTTTCTGTTACCTTGTACTTTAATTCCAGATCACTAACATGTAGTGATATCGTTTTTTTTAGAACCTGGGGCTAAGATCAGTCATGGCGAAACTGTTGATGCTTTGCTCAAGTCAAAGTCAAGTGTCAAGGGCCATGAGTATGATGTCTGCTCTAGTGGTTGTCGATTGTATGGCATTAATGACGACCAGGAATCTTGTGTTGACTGTGGCAAACCGCGATACAAGACTGATCCCTATCAAAGTCAGACACCAGCCGCCAGTATGAAACTTATGTCAGTTGGGGATATGCTTTCTCAAATGTTGGCAGATCCAGCCACAAGAGAACTCCTCTGTTACAGAGCAAACCGGGAATCTGTAGCTGGTCAGCTAACCAACATTTTTGATGGTGACAATTACAAGCAGTTGGTGCAGCAGGGCCTGTTCTCCAATCCCGATGATATTGCCATTGGGCTTTATACCGATGGGTTTGTCAATCAAAAGAAAGGCAAAAACTCATATACCATCATCCATTGCATAATATTCAACCTAGACCCATCCATCAGATAATTAATTAATTTATTACTATTTATTATTATTATTACATTTTTTTTTAAAAAAAATTACTAATAAAATACTTAGATATACCAACAAATACCTTTTGCAACTGGCAATCTTGCCTGGCCCCAAGAAGCCAACTCATTTGGACTCCTTTCTTATACCCATCATCAATGAATTGCGAGATCTTGAGGCACATGGCTTGGTTGTCAAGCACAATGGAGTGGAGCTTTGCAGATCCAAGGTCTATCTTCTGCTTGCTTCTGGCGATATTCCAGCTGTAGCTGATATGGCCCACATTGGTTCCCATACAAGTTTATTTGGTTGCCGTTTTTGTGAGACCAAAGGCAAATGCCCTACTAACAGATGGCATGGCATGTACTTTGATGACATTTCCGCCCGGTTAAGACCTTTGGAAGACTTCAAAGTAGGCAACCCTGTAAGTATACAAATGTTCAATTAGCCATCTTTTTTTCATACTAAATAACTGCTTGTAATAGTCGAAGAACATATACCAGCCGAGCATATATACCCAACTCTCAACCTTCTCTGGATCATCATTTTTTGCATTAGATGAACTTCATTTAATTGCAAGAGGGATTGGAAAGCTTGTGTATGACCTGATTACCGTCACCCTCACAAAGGAAACCAAATTTTATTATACCCATCCAGACAATACCCTCAATACCACCAAAAACCCTTTTCATATACCAAGAGCAGACCTTGTAACAATCGGAAACTGTATTACCAGCTCACGAAAATATATACCCACCTCATTTCAAGGCAGTTTCGACAACGTATTTGCCAAGATCGATGGTACTCATGCAGTGGACTGGCTTGACTTTCTCTTATACCTTGTCCCCACTTTAGTCGTGCCTTATTTACCAAATAGGGCTGTCAAAACAGCTCTATTATCTCTCGTGAAAGGTTGCGCACTTGCCTTGCAATGGATGTTGACATCAGAATTGCTTGATGAGATGGAGTCGTAAGTTATTATACGTCTCATATATTATCATTACAAATAGCTGATTGTTACCATTTTTTAAATATTAATAATAGATACTTCAAGCACTGGCACTCGTTTTTATACCAACAAGTCCAGAATAATACCCTGTCTCGTAGTGTTTTCCGACCAGTGCAACATTACCTGGTCCATATACCCTATATCATCAAGCAGCAAGGCCCCCTGCGATGCTACTCCACTTGCTCAATGGAGAGAGTAATTGGCGTCTTCTCGAAATTGATAAAGTCCAAATCAAAGGGTGGCCGAAACGCCAGTTTTCTCGTCGAGCGATTTGCAATTCACAATTATACCAGCACGGCAATCAGCATCTGTGATGAAATCAACCTCATTCAGCCAAAGCCATATGGAAGAGAGAGCTATATGGACCTTCCTAATGATCCTAGTGGTGCGCAGTTGTGGGAGCCGTTTCATCAGTTTGTTAATTTGAACAATGATTCGGTGGAAGGTGTAGGCAGCCCTAGTGTGAAGGAAGCTTTATTGAAATACTACCAGAGAACAACAGGCTTGACTGGCCACGAGTTTGGTGACTCTGTTGTTGTTGTAGCTGCACGTCTGTGGATGGACTCGACTGTATATTCCTCATGCATGTACCGAAGAAAGAAAAACGAGACCAGCCGTGGCAACCATTACGTGATGTTTACTTGCCCCTATAGAAAGTAAGTATAATATTTTTCGATATACAATCAAAAGTTGCTTACATTCTATTTATTTATTTATTTTAGCAACCGTAATGTAATTGTTCACAGCTGGCTCGTCGGTACAGTACAGTTCTACTTTCAGCATGTAGATTTCTATGGCTTCCCACACTTTCTTGCTTTCGTGGAGGTCATGAAGGAACATGACGCGGCTGGTCATGACTCATCAGTACCTATCGTCAAACAACGGTCACAAAGCACCCGTACACTAGGCCACCAAACGCAACCAACTTATGCAGTTATAAGTGTAAATGACATTTGTTATCAAGTTGGTCTGGTTCAATACCCACCGAATGGAAACCAGTTTTATGTAATTGCGCTCTATTATATCTTTAACAACAACATGTGCATTACTAAAGGCAATCTTTCCATTCTGTAATTCTTTTTATTTTTATCTTATTTTTCTATATGCTCTATATCCTTATATCTTTTATATTTTTTATATCATTCTTGTATCTTATATTCTTTTTTTAATTTTCTCTATTTCTTATGTTTTTTTTAATCTCTATATGCCCCGTCTTTCTTTTCTTCTTTATATACTCCGGTTTTTTTTCTATTCTCTATACACCTTATGCTTTTCTCTTCATTCCCTATATGCTCTATACGCCATTACGCGATTTAAATAAAATCAAATTGCCAATTCATCAAGATAAAAAGAATATCTAAAAAAAAAGAACGTAGTTTAAAAAATAAAAAAATGGCAGTTATGTTACTATTTCGTTCACACATTCCAAAAATTATTAATCTTAATAATTGTTGACATCTTTGATATTCAATAAAACATATATTTCAATACTCAAAGTGGTCATTACAACTTACAAACATTTTTTACAGTATTGAAAATATTGTACAGCAACAAAAAAAGTGTTTTCATGTTACTTTTTTAAATTGCTACGAATGACATTACCATCTTATAACAAACGGCGGAGATTTTATTGGGTTTCGACCAAAAAAATGGCAGTTATGTGCCTACTTTCGGCCCAACTGTCATTCATCCCGCCGTAGTGTATATTGTGTGTCGAAGGAACAGGGAATGGAAACGAGATTTTTCCTGTGCACGGAAAAATTCTCCTCTTACCACCGAGGGCACAGCACCACATCAACAAACCGTTGACGTCAGCCTCTCATATCCAGGACGATACATCACAACAAACCACCAGACAAACCCACCAAGCAGACTGACCTTCCAGTACCAGACACCACGATATAGCCAAACGCGAAATTTACTTACAACACACGTGACTATATCAAATGCCCGTTTAGCTCAGTGGTAGTAGCGCTTGTCTTGTAAACAAGAGGTCGGTTGTTCAATCCAGCCATCGGGCACTTTTTGTTGTTTGTCGTTCCTGATCTGGGATGGTCTTCCTTTTACTATAGCAAAGTCAAAAGGTCAAACCCACTGGGGATCGGAGAGTATATGTAAAATCGAAGAGAGGATAAAAGGTACTTTTTATTGATAGGAATTGAATTGTCTTATATAGTTTTCTAAACTAATACTGTGCATTATCCGCAGTAAACTATTATACTATATTTAATTACAAGAGAAGTCCTTTTACTGCGGTTGATGCTCAGAAGATGTTACTGTGGTTAATCTTTACAAGACATTACTGCGGTTCGTTATCTATGAGGTATCTTTGACATACAGAACTGCTGCGGTCAATTATCCCGATTTCTCGGATTTATCAAAATAATGTCCGACACGTTTTTACTGTTGTTAGACATTGTCGGACTGTTGGACATTATTTTGATGAATCCATAAAATCTGAAGATAGTTAACCGCAGTACTTCTTTATGTGCAGTAATATCTTCCTGAGCATTAACCGCAGTATAATGACTATTTCTTTAATTAAATATAAATAATAACTACTGCGGATAATGCGCAGTATTAGTTTAGAAAACTATATAAGACAATTCAATTCATATCAATAAAAAGTATCTTTTATTCTCTCTTTGATTTTACGTATACTCCTTGATCCCCAGTGGGTTTGACCTTTTGACTTTGTTATAGTAAAAGGAAGACCAACTCAGATCAGGAACGACAGGACATTATTTTGATGAATCCAAGAAATCGGGATAATTGGCCGCAGCAGTTCTGTGTGTCAAAGATACCTCATAGATAACGAACTGCAGTAATGTCTTGTAAAGATTAATCACAGTAATATCTTCTGAGCATCAACTGTAGTAAAAGAACTTCTCTTGTAATTAAATAGAGTATAATAGTTTACTGCGGATAATGTGCAGTATTAGTTTAGAAAACTATATAAGACAATTCAATTCCTATCAATAAAAAAGACCTTTTATCATCTCTTTGATTTTACATATATTCTCCAATCCCCAGTGGGTTTGACCTTTTGACTTTGCTATAGTAAAAGGAAGACCATCCCAGATCAGAAACAACAAAATCTGAAGATGATTAACCATAGTACCTCTTTGTCAGAGTTGACATCATAGATAGAAATCCTTAAGTCAGATATCCAATTGGTTATTCCTTTTAACATATACTCTCAATGTTATATTGATTGGTTCCTCCCTTTGTTAACCAAGACATATTATATAGCCTTCCATAAATGTAAAACCAATATGTCTTGAGTAAAATAATTGGATTAGATAGTTTCACTTTTAAGAAATCTGTATAAATACTCCAAGATTTATATCAATAAAAAGCATTCAATTCTCTATATTCCTATCTGTTTCTATTTATTCACAACGTTCTAGTTGGTAGTAATCTATTATCAAAACTTATACAAGTTAAAATAATAGAAAGATACACCCAGTCAAGACTTGACAGTAACATCTTCCTGAGAATTATCCGCAGTATAATAACTCTTCTTTTATTTAAATATACAGCGATCTTAGGGGACGGGGGGTTTTTGGCTATGGGGACGGGGGGTAACGGCACCGCACAATTTAAGGTGACTGCGAGTCCGAGGCCCGGCTATAAAGTGTCTTGAAGAACCCCCTGTCCCCATTCTTTATAAGCACACCCCTGTCCCCATCTTTAGATCATTCCAATTTCCCGGGAAAAATAAAAACACCCCCTTTCTTAAAGTCATTAACATTTAGTTGTAAGAATAAAAAATAATATTTCCAAATAACAAGATATGATGCCTTTTTTATGTTATGTACATTGCATACATTGCATACATTGCGTACATTGCATACATGAATCAATAAAAATACTTATATAACTACAGTGCTCTTTTATTAAATATGAACACCAACTTCAATACCCCTATTGAGAAGATGTACTCGCTTAAAACAACTCTCTCATTCCCCGAGAATGGTTATCCTGACAAGCAGAGTGTTCTTCAAGCCGTAAACGATTATGCCCTTTCTAATAACTTCACCGTTAAGATTAAGGACGGAAAATTCCCTATTCTTCACATTGCTTGTTCAAAGGCTGGTGTTTATCGTGACAAGCGCAATATAAGTGATGAGAAAAGAAAGAAGACGCCCAACTCTTCTCTTACTGGATGCCCCTATCTCTTAAGATTTTCTTATAAGAAGAAGAGCGAAAGATATCTTCCTTTGCCCGCCTATGGGGAAAACGAACATTGCCACAACCACCCTGTCACCCCTGAGAATTTGGCTTCTTCTCACCAAGGAAGAATGTCTCTTTTGACTGCTGAAGATGCCACTATTGCAAAGAAAATGTTGGAGAATCACGCCAAGTCCCGTGATGTTCAGAAGGCAACAAGTGACAAGGTGACAGGAATGAGAAAGCTGAGGATCAGCGATATCAACAATCTCAAGTACAGTGCTACTCGTGGTGATGAGGAGTCTGCCCATGGCGCTACTGAGCTCATCAGAACAATGGAAGCAAAGGGATTTTCCGTTCTCTACGAGTTTAATGAGAGAAATAGACTCACTCATATATTTTTTACGAATGATATAATGATCAAGAGAGCTCGACGTTTCCCCGATGTCTTTATTGTGGATGCTACATACAAGACAAACTGCGCGAAGATGCCATTGGTTTGCGTAGAGGGTGTCAGTAACCTAGGTGGAGAAAGGTTGAAGAGCTTTCCTGTGGCCTTTGCATGGGTAGCCGATGAGACAGAGAAGAGCTATGTTTGGTTTGTGAAGTCTCTGAAAGCAATTGTTTTGGAGGGGGTTGATAAAGCCCCTATATTTGTTACAGACAAATGTAAAGCATTGATGAATGCGCTTGATTCCGAGTTCCCCTTGGCCAAGAAGCTTCTGTGTGGTTGGCATATGATCAACAACATTGCCAAAATGGCAAAAAAAAACAATGAAGCCAGGAAAAGAAAAAGAGTTGTGCACACATTTAGTCAACAAAATGATCTTCGGAGATAAACGCGATGTCTTTGATGAAAATCTTGAGCTTTTCAAATCGCTGGCATCTCGGAAAGATTTCCAAAGTAAAGAGCAGCTAGAAGACAATGATGATGATTCTACGAAGGTTGTAGAAAAAAGAACTCTAGAAAAGTACTTTGAAGATGAGTGGATGCCGTGCAAGGAAAAGTGGGCTGGCTACCTCACTAGTCAATTAAAACATTTTGACTGTGTGACAACACAACGTGTCGAGAGTGGCCATAATGCTCTGAAAAGAAAAATCTCGGCTCTTCAGTCATTGAACTCTTCATTTGAGCAAATTTGCTCCTATCTTCTCCAGTTCGAGGGCGACTATCAGGACCTTGAGTTGAATGAGGCAACTATCACAGATGCCAGAATATACCATGAACCTCGCCTCCGTGGATTGATTCACCACGTCTCCAGAATTGGTTTGATCACCATCCGTGCTGAGCTTCTAGAAGAGGTTGTACCTGGTGAGCTTTGCAATTGCAGAGTAAAAGTGGTGTTTGGTCTTCCTTGTCGCCATGATCTGCCAAGAGATCGTATGTTGCTATTATCAGACATTCCTGAAAGATGGATTCTGTCTTCTTCTTTGGGTGAACGTTTGAAGCAACTGGAATGTGACGTTTCTCTACAGAAAATCGACGTTGAAAAGCCTGCCCCGTGGGTGAAATGTATAACAAAGCTTGAACAATTGTTTCGTCAGTGTGAAGGGAATTAACAAGTCCAGAATCTTATGGCAATGGTTGATGAACTTGTTGACAATGCTGGTGAAATAATTGACCATCCAAATGTTGTATTTCCTTTGGCAAGTGAGGTCAAAGCTCCTGGAAGACCTAAGCACGTCAAAAGGAAAACTGCTCTCCCAAAGGACTTTGTCCGTCACAAGCACAGACATCTCCTTGTGCAAAAGAACAAAGTAAACATGCAACATACACAAACATGATTTCACAATCTAATACATATTTATTCTTTATTTCTTTAGAATGATATCAGAAGTATTTTGAAAGAAGGACTTAAAGAAGTGATGAAGGAGTTCTTAGAGGAAGAGCCTCTCAAAAAAAGTAATTTATAATTGTTTTTTTTGTGAAATTACAATGTAATATCTAATGCTTACTATTTCTAGTCATAAAAGAAATAAAAAAAGAAACCCAATTCGCTGAAAAACAAGAGCCTCTCGAAGAAGGTAATTTTTGATAACTTATAAATGAATCACAAAATATTTTGTATGGTTTGCTCACACATTGCATGTTTTCTCTATAGCTAAAACAACCAATTTCGCTAAAAAGCAAGAGCCTCTCGAAGAAGGTAACCGATAAGATATTTTACTAAAATTAAATGCTAAATGTTACATTGTTTTTTGTTTCTTCTTAGCTGAAAAATATTCCTCTGGAATTAAAAAACCTAAACATCTCCAAGACAACTACTGATACGATTTGCCTAGTCCGAAAAAAACAAAACAAAAATGTGCATGACTTTGCTCTGCCTGCTCAAATCGACTAAGCCACCATTTTGTTGACGTTTAACCCCAAGTCCAATGGTTGGTGCGGTTTCCGTGTATTTTCACACCTGAAAGAGGGTGGAGAGGATCAGTTTCCTTTGGTGAAGAAGATGTTGGCCACGATGGCAACCCACGGTAAACTTTACGAGCACAACTTTGGCATGGATGTTGCTGAAGTGACAGAGGTCATTGCCTTTGGCTCCGAGATTGACCCTGCTCTTGGGGAAAATATCCCATCTTGCCCTTCCTCTATGTGGTTCTCTGCACCAGACTGTGCTCAGATAATAGCTGACACCTATAACGAGCCTGTTTGTGTGTACTCGGACGATCGGAGCGTCTTGCCTGTAACTTTCCTTCCCCTCCATGATCGGAAGCCTCTCAAAAGAAAGCCATTGCCGATGGTCTTGCACCATGTACATGGGTGCCACTGGACAACAATTAAAGTGAAGCCTCATGTACATCGGTCCTGGCCTAAGGTAAATGCGCTGTATTTTGATGCTATCCGTAGAGGGAGTATCATTGACTGCTTTTCCACAAGTTGGAATCATTGGGGTCAGTTCCCAAAGAACAAGTCTTATCTTTTACCCTCCACTACTACAACTACTACAATTACTACTACTGCCACTAAATCTCCTACAAATTCTCCCGTAAATTCTTCCGATATTATTGACCTCACACATATATAACTTATCTATCTTTCTATCTTTTAATATACTTTACTCCTATTTTTTTCTTTAATTTTTTAACAAACACAATTGCACCCAGTCTGTCTTTAATTTTAATGTTACATGTAAAACCCAGATACGAATATTATTGGCATCCAACTAATTGGAAGACTATATAATTGGCTTTTATTTTTTGGAGTACAAAGTCTGTGCATTTATAAGCAATCTGATTAAGATCTTCATCCAATCACAGACGTGAATTTTACCATAAAAGATGTAAAACAGAAACGACGCATAGCTTTTGATAGATTTCTGTCTTAATTCGAACGCTAAAGCTTGGATATTTTGCCGTATTGCTGAAAAAATACGTACATCTCTATATCCAAAATTTGAAGTTAATTTATTATGTTTTGGTTGAATAAACAAGCAAAATATACACTTTTTTTCACGTTTTTAACCATTTGAGATAGATTGTTTTTGCTAATAAATATCTTTTCTACATAATAATATGGTCTAAAACTTTTACTGAAACGATTTTTTACTATTTTCTATTGATATAAAGCATTTGCAAGTGATTTTTACTAATATTTTCAAATTGTTGTTTTTTTGTTCAATCTTTCACAAATGAAATGTACAGAACTTTTGTAATTCACTCATTAAACGTGATTCAAAAAATATTACAAAACAAACAAATACTCACTTTATGCAAAAAAAATCAACGAAACCAACTATCTTACTCTCATATTTCTATCTATTTTTTTGAACGAGTTATGAATTTTTTAAAAATAAATAAAAATGAAAATGAAAAGTTACGGACAAATGTTCTTCCACTTTTGCATGATTTTTCTTAGTGAATAAAGACAAGTGATTATACTGGATGGGGACAGGGTGTTACACACAGAAACGATGGATGTCTGCCGGACAAGTTAAAAGTAGTCACGCCTCTAATTATCTGCCGGACTACTCACTATAAGCTTGTGTAACACCCTGTCCCCATCATCCAAAAACCCCCTGTCCCCTAAGATTTACGTTAAATATAATATAATAACTACTGTGGATAATGCACAGTATTAGTTTAGAAACTATATAAGACAATTCACTTTCTATCAATAAACAGCAGTCATTTACTTAAAGTCTAGGACTGTACAGGCGTTCTATATTCCGAGATCACTGGTTTATATTTTCTGGTTTGACCATTTATTTTGATACATAAGAAATAAAATAGGTTTAAAGAAAAAACAGAATCACGTGACAAGTCCTTTACACTTTTACTAGTAAAATTATTACATCTTTAAGCAGTGAAAATTGTAACAAACTCTGCATATAAAAATTGTTATGATCTCGTCTTTTACTTAGGCTTTCTAACTCCATAAACTCTATATAGAACACCAAAAAGCATCTTTTATCCTCTCTTTGATTTTACATACACTTCTTGATCACCAGTAGGTTTGACCTTTTGACTTTGTTATAATAAAAGGAAGACCAATCCAAATTGCGAACAACACTGTCTCAGATCTGGGTTTGTTCTATTGTTTCTGATCTGGATTGTTCTTCCTTTTATTTTAACAAAGTCAAAATGTCAAGTCTTAATCTTATATTTCTTTTCTGGCACTTGTAACTAAGTCGTAGAATCAAGACCACTTGGGATTGTCAAGTTTATGAATAGTTTTTAGATAGAATCAAAGATGCTTTTTATTAAATACGAGCTTCACTTGCTGTCTGAAAGTTCTCCATTAAAAAGAATAGTGGCATAATTTATAAAGAAAGAATAACCAAGATGCTTATATCTATATCAATTTTCTATATTAAATAAGTCTATTTATAAGACTTATATTTATATTTTACATTGTACTTGTTGTATCCAACATAATTGTAAAATATAAATAGAGTGCACAGACAATAAGACAAAGACATATTAAATAAGCAACTAGTATCAATTATATATTATTTCTCATACTATCATTAAATAAAGAATATACTGTTAACAAGGTCACACATCTTAGTCAACATCACTAATCACTCAAACAAGAGCGTGGGTAATAACTTAACAATATACTATCTATGATATAAGAAAACAGATATCACATGATATGCTCATATCATTATTCTAAATACATACGCAATGTCTATATAAACTCACATAGCAAATAGCAATAGAGAATGATATTTCTTTTTATCAATAAACAAAGTCTCACTATACTTCTCATCTGGACTTTGTTTTTTTTTCTTTTCTAAAAATATAATAGTCTTTATTAAGAAAGATAAATATGTAAATACATTCAATATACTAACTATTATTTACTTTATTTAAGTATGACTTTCATCAGAAAGTTGCTACAGACAACAATTTAATATATATAGAAATTGTCAAAAATATTAAAAATACTCTTTCTAAATTAATCTATGCTGTTGTGGTGGTTGAAGTTGAAGAAGTTTTTAAGAGGAAGAATTCAAGATTTGAAATTAGGAACGAAGATTCGTGAGAACTTGTGTAGGTTTTGTTTATTGAGAAAGGATTTTGTATCAAAGTTTGACGAGGTTCCTATACTGAACTACTACTGCTATTTATATTGTTTTGGATTGGGAAAATTATATGACTGAGGTCAGGTAATCGATCCTATCTGAGCCTTAATCAGAGCAACGTGATCTTGGGATAATTAATGTATGATTAATTATATAAATGTGTGTAGTCCCAATGAAGTATTAACATCGAAAGTAAATGTGTTTATGAGTTATAATTATGCTTATAATAATCCACTGATGTATCCCATATTATGGTGATATCATCATATGAAATATAATCACTATCATGCATGCTAAACCTGTGTGTTAAATAATAAAGTAATCGGTAGACACCTTTGACTGGAATAGCTGAGGCCTTATATTATTTCCTTCAGACTTATTCTCAATTACAGCAGTAGTCAATACTCATTTACAACATATGCCTTCAGTGCTTCTGCTTCTGTTGCTGACTATGAAAATGCCAAAAATCTCAAGTTTATAAAAATTATCAAGAAGTTTGTCATTTTCCAGAAGGCCTATAATTCTTCAAAAAAAAGTCTTCATAACTTTAAAATCTGCTTACTCCTCTTTATCTGCAATCTCATTCCACACTTATATTAATCTATAATCTTATAATCATGACACTTGCAAATTCAAACCAAAATAAAGGCAACTGCTCCCATAAGCTTAAGAGGTTTTCAACTACTGAGAAGTTTATTATGATTGAGATGTATAAAGCTGGAATGTTCATTCCAGAAATCTTCAGCTCCAAAGACATACCTGTAGAATCTCTTTGCAATATAATAAAAAAGTATAAGAAAACTGGCTTTGTTAAAGAAGACCAAAGTGTTTTAATTCTAAAGGCAAGTGTCATTTAAATAGGGTTATAAGAAGTGATAAGCACTAGTATTTATTGAATATTGCAAGAGGTGTTAGAAATTTAACTAGTCATTACATCTCTGAAAATACAGACAGTAAAGAACTGCATAATCTGTGCATATTCTTTTGTGCTGCAGCAAAAAAGTCTTAACTAACTGAAAAAGACATGGCCATTTGTCACAAATGGGCAAAAGAAAGAATCAACTGAAAAAAAGAGTGGAAGACAGTTGTATAGAGTGATGAATCAAATTTTTCTCTTTTTATAGTAAATGGAAAAGCTTTTTCATAAAGAAAGCCTGATGAGAGACTTTGCACAGACTGTGTTTAATAAAAAGTATAAGAAAATAAAGGATCTGTGATTATACAAGACTGTATTATCACTGAAGGAGTTGAACTACTTGCAGTTGTTAAGATCATCATAAATACAAAAGTTTATGTAGAGATTATAGAAACTGTCTTTAAGCTATACTATCATGCCCTATCAAACAATGATATAAAAACATATATGTTTCAAGAAGATAACATGCCATCACATACTGCAAACATATCAAAGAAATACAGAAAAGAGCTTAGTCTGAATGTTCTTGACTGACCATTAAGAAGTTCAGATTGAAGTGCAATTGAAAATATCTGGAATATTTTGAATGTCTGTGTTTGCAAAAGGGCTTGCCCGCCTATGAATCTGAGAGAGTTGGATGTAGCTCAGCAAAAAGAGTGACAAAAAATAGGTAGAAAAACATATGCAGATCTATGTCTCAAAATGCATAACAGATTAATAGCTATCAAAGAGAACAAAGGTGAGTCTAGTTCATATTAAATAAATTATCATATTTATACCAGACAAACATCCTTAATTAAGCTTCATTATAGTTATGCTCTGGCTGTCTCTATTACATATGTAAAGAATAAGAGAAATATAAAGATAGATCTTTGGACTTCTATTATCTTCGGAGTTTAAAATCATAACAACTTTTTAGAAAGAATATATATTAGCTTTATAAAATAATTTAATAATATTCTTAGTATATCAAATGTGATTTTGTGTATAGCTTGCTTTCTTCATTTTAATATCAAGCTTCTTTTCCACTTTCTCAGTATTAAAGAAGACACATATTATGTCTGTTGCAAGGGATGCATGCTGTATAATATCAATCAGCAAATAGAATGTTTTCATTGTGATGAAGTCTGTTACAAGATCAGCAAGAGAAGCTAAGATGCTAGTGACAATTTGGTTCCTGTAAGCATAATGATACAACTTCCTCTGAGTAGACAGCTTGTAGTTGCTTTGGCCAATGATCATATCAAAAAAGAAATACTATATTACCATCATCATACACAAAAACACTGATGACAGCATTTCTAATATCTTTGATAGACAGATATACTAGTCAAAGAAACATCTTTTCTCAGGTGAAAATGTCATTGTCATTTTGTTATCTGTCCATGTGTTTGCTCCCCATAGTGTCCAAATTTGATAATCATTGTCTACCTTACCAACTTCAACCTTCCCGTAATGATCCAATACAAGCACAGCAATATGATCCAAGTTGCAATTATTTCTGATCCCCAAAGCATCTGCTGACTTCTGGTCATTTCTGGAGCCAATCATGAAAGAACTTTTAGTTCTTCTAGCCAGTGAAACAGTTATGAGAATAACATCTGAAGATATTAGTGCAAAAGTTTATATATTAATGACAACTGGAAACGTCCCAGCTCTGAAAAAGATGATTTGTCATATAGGTCATATGAGTAAGGATGACTGTCACATCTGTCATGTTGTGGGTCAATCTCCTGGCCATGGCCAATATTTCTGAATATTATTTACTATCACTGTGTGCACACTGAAAAGCTTCAAGTACTTCGATGAGATGTTATTATCAAGCAAAAAAAGATTAACTGATCAATCTTCCTTCTTATTAATTAATTCCTTCTCTGGTCTGTTCTTTTTTGCATTGGATGAAATACATTGAAATTGTTATGGCATTGCCAAACAGATTTTGGAGGTTCATGTGTGACAAATATAGAAAAGCTCCTTCTCTCTCTCTCTTGCTGCTCAAAAAGAAATTAGTACTCTAATGGTGTCAATTAGAAAAAACATTCCAATATCTTTCCACAGTGCACAGATCAATATTATAATGGATCAGAATACTTTCAGACTGTGGACTAAGCTGACTTTATCATGTTTGTTATCCTCACACTTGTGACAGAGTGTGACTATGACCAAGCTACCTACAAAACATTGCTTGATCTGATGCAGATATGCAACCTACTCATGAGCTGAGAGTTATCAGCAGAGGAACAAACCTTAATCAAAACGTAAGCTTTAATAATAATTAATATTATTGTTTTATAACTTGTGTTAACTTATCTTTTTTTTAATAATCTTGTCACATGGAATATGTATCTGGAAGCCTTGCTAGCTAAAGGAGAGGTCCAGCTCAAGCTCTTTACAATCAACTAGCACCTCCTGCAGCACTATCCCATGATTATAGAAGGGTATGGCCCCCTCATAGCATATAGTACACGATCTGTCAAGAGGGCAATTAGGGAATACTCACAAGTAATGAAGAGTAATTCAGCAACTGGAATCAACACTGGCAGCATCATGCTTGACTTGACACATATTTGACAGATGAGAGTAGAAAATTTAACAACAACAACAGCAACAGCAACAGCAACAACTCTCATTCAGTATATCAATCTCTCTGCTGGTTAACCAATTGACTGAGAAAATAGTAACGTTGGTACTGATTCTGATATTGAGTTCTGTGAGTCTTTAAAAAACAGAACAATTTTTGATAGTTTTGCAACCATTTATTATCTTTCAGAACTTTTTCAAAAGTTCTACAATTCAAAAGGAGAAGAGTATAGTATAATTGAAACAGTTATTAAAACAAGTTGTAAGGCATTTGTAAATGATTGTCTTATTGACTCTGCACTCAACCATAATTGTATAAGAGAGAGATATTACATCAGACTTCAGATTTATATAAGTAAGAATTGCAACATTGGGCCAAGCTACTTTTCAGTCTACAACAATTTCTTTGGAAAATTTGTAGTTTTCTTTGAGAACAAGCTTGCCAACAAGAGATGACTGCTTGCCCTTATCAATATTTATGCAATTTGTTTGATAAATAATATATTAGTCATGAACAATGGGCAAATGAAGCCAATAGTAGTTTATCTAGCAGATGTCAAAGAATTAGCTGGTTTAGTAAAATTGGATAAAACTATAAATATAATAACAATAATAACAACAATATATACACTCGTACAAGAAAAGTCTTCAAAAATTTATAGTATTTAATTATCCCAATATTATATATATCATACTCTTTTATAAATATCTCTTGCACTATTCATCGTAAAGATCTAAAATTTTATATTCCAATAAAGCATAGCATATATATTATAAAAACAAAAGAAAAATTTAAGTTTAATATCTGGTGTTTCCATCACGAGCAGCAATTACAGCCTTAATTCTATCAGGCATGCTGGCAACAAGATCAGTGCCAAACTTTGGGTCTATCTGTTCTCATTCCTTTGAAATGCAGACCTTAAAATCTTTAGTATTATTAATATATGCTTTTCTCTTTGTAATTTGGTTTTTTATAGCCATGTGGTATTTCAGGTACAAAACAATAGAAAAATAAAATATTTGATAATAGAGACGTAGAAATACTTTGAGACTATATATAAGTTGTCTTTATTCATAAATAAAAAGTGTCCCTTTTTATAAGAAAACACAATCTGCTCTTGTCATTACGTCTTAGTTTCTTAAGGCTTTCTTCCTTTACTATATTTGGTTATTAGAGTGTATTTACTGCTTAGCTAGTGTTGGTGTTACAATTATGACATCAAGTCATAAATTGTACTTCTTTAGCTCTTAGCTATTCTTTTCTCTTTTATACTAGAGCTTTAGAACTTTCTACTAAATTAGCTCCATATCGATCTGACACAGTTTATCTGGCAGTATGATATAATTATCTTAACAATCTTTAAGATATTATCTACAGTACTAACTGTAATAATTATTGGGCTGATTACTTAATTGTTTATATATATTTTATACTGATAAGATGATAGCTACTACGCTATCCCAATATGAATATGTTCTTATATGTGATAAATCCAACATCTAAGTGTCTGGATCACCACAACCTACTCAAAACTTCCAATTGCCCATTATTGAAAGACAGTTGCAATATGTTCAGTTGGAGAGAGTGGAAATTCTTGCTCTGCATGCAAGTAAACATTGGCAAAAAAATTGAGAAATCTTCACAAAATAGCTCAAGCAAACAGTTGCAGAATGCCAAGTGCAAAAGAACATCCTCAAACCACGTTATCCCATCACTGACCACTTACACACTGAACCTGATTCTATAACTAAAGCTGCCACTTCTTTTTACAAAGTTCTGTATACACTTGAATCCATAGATCAACTTGCCATAAATGACTTACTTCGTCATCTTCTCCACGATCTCTACCTCTTTGAGACCATATGTTTCTCTCTAACTGCCGAACTTTGCATCGAAGACATACAAGAAGAAGTGTCTTGCTTTCCATAAACAAGTAGTTCAGGACCAGACAGCCTCTATTATGAGATCCTCCAACTAGTTTTTCATTACTGTTCTTGCTCCCAGTCACTGATACAAGTATACAATGATGCTCTTAGTGGTGGCCAATTGTCTTCATACTGGCAAACAATATGTGTTTCTCTGTTGCCCAAGAAAGACAGTCTTTTATCTCTGAAAAATTGATGACCAATTGCTCTGATCAATGCTGATGCAAAGATTTTTACTCTGCTTCTCAATGTTCAAATTGTCAAAGCTGCTGTAATGCTTATATTTTTGTATCAAACAGGATTTGTCTGTGGTCACTTCATTGCTGATAATAGGGTGTTTCAGCAGTTTAAGATGTTTACATTTTACTTTTGCAGTAATTTAATTTATTAAATGATTGTCCCTCACTAATCTAAATTTGAGATATTTTCAATCTATAAACTGTAATGGTATAAAAACTAAACTGATCCTAATATGGACAGCCAATGAAAAAATTCTCTGACCTATAGGCCCAGGCAGTTGAAAAATTACTTAAAATAGCAGTTTTTTCTTTTTAGGAGAAAAATATGTCAATACTGAAATCTCATACTAGGAAAAAAATCGGGTTTTTTACCCATGAAAGTCTTCTTAAAATGCGAATCTTGAGTGTCATATCAGATACCAGAGGTAAAGTATGTTTACCTTATACTACTACATGGTTTATATGATACTTTATTTATCAACTCTATTTATTTTATATTGTCTTTCTTACTTCAACATCTTTTAAAATGACTCATACGAAATGCATAATTGTGTAAATATATACATTTAATTTTTTATTAAAATGTATTGTAGCTGATAAAGAATAAGATGAATAGATAATATGATAAAGAATAGTAACAGATATATGGTAGTGTATATATCACGGCCTTTAAAAAAGAGTATTTTTAATTGCTAGGCTCGTAGCTAACCCATGTAGCCTTTTTCTTGGCTTTGGGCTTCGACAAAACAATGGGGTGTCTATTTGAATTGAGTGAAGGTGGGGCAGCACTTATAGCAATTGGTTGCTGAGTAGGTGGAGGAGTAAAAGGAGCAGAGGTAGAGAAAGGAAAAGGTGACGTTGAATGAGTAGTAGAAAGAACAGGAAAGATAGGCAGTTGAGACAAGCTGGCATTGGTATTTACGCTTTGAGAAGCATTGTTGGTAACCATGAGTAATTGCATTTGTGAATTTAAACACTATTGCTGGATCATGAGGATTTTTATGTCCATAGCCAGTTGCTGTGTCGTGTTCATCAGAAGCCAATTCTGCTGGTTACTTTGTTCAATGAAGTTATTGAAAGAATTTTCATTTTTCTCAAATCAGCTGTCTTGTTGTTGCTGCAATCGTATGATCTGATGATTTACTTCTGTCGCTCTGTTGGCTACCTCTTTGTTTATATCAACAATGTTAGGAACAAGGCTTTCATACTCTTCTAGTCTATCAATGGAAGGGCTGGTAATGGCAGCTACAATATCCTCTTGGAACATTCTGAAGCTGTTACTTGAGAACAGAAGGTTTCTTGTATTGATGTGCTTGTTTTCTTTGTTCAAATACAAGTAAATGGCTGTATCTTGTAAGATTATTCTTCTGCATCGTATCAAGAGTTGTAAAAATCCGTGCTTTGCTGTATTGATACTGCTTTGAGTTGCTCTTTGCTTTCCTTTTCTCTTTTTTTCTTTCGACTGCAATCTTCCATCTTCCTCCACGAATTCTACGGAATCTGCTTCTTCATCTATCTCCAAATTTATGATGTTTTCATCCTCATCCTCGTTCTCATCGACTTCATTCATCTCCTTCTCACAGACAGCTACCCACTCTGCATTACCAACACCAAAATAGTCTTCGATCCAAGGAAATACCATCTTTTGTAATTCCATTGGCGGTGACACGCCATTTCTTGCTAGTGAGAAAGACTTTTCCCAAAAGCCAGCCATACCTCTGGCAAAAGGAGATGGGAGTTTACCCAAGTAATGGGTCTCCAAATGACCAAGTCGATCCTTCTATCCTCCTCCTCACTTGATCAGATCAAAAGGTATCTCTAAGCCCTCAGCTTCCATTGACCCAGCATGACGGCCACCATGCGTTACTCGTGTGGTATATATCTCTTCATCTGCAAGTGTCTTTTTTGCAGTTTTCCATTGAGAAGCGCCAGTTAAACTCTTCTCAGGGCTGGTACATCCACGTAATACCTTCCAGTTCTGCCATCTGTCTTCGTTCAAGAAGTCACCACTGGTCTATAATTTTTATCAAGAAAGTTAGAAATTATTTTAAAAAAGTCCCTTTTTTTAGCTGACCAACCTACTTGAAGCAAACTGAACATAAAAAAGGCAAATGCACCAAAAGAACATCTGAATACGTTTTCATGGCGCATAGCACATGCAAATTTGACTTCTCCTTCCTTCAGAGTCTTGCTCTTGTCTAGACTAAAAACCAAAGCAAGAGCCTGTTGCATTCCTTTGTGCTGTTTCTTTAGAATGATCGTGCAAAAGCAATCTGCAAAGTTTAAATTTCTCAAATCCTGATCTCTAAGTAGCATATGGTGGTGGGAAGAGATAGAAAACATCTCACGCAAGCCTGATTTGCTGTCAGAAGTCCAAAGGCTCTTCAGGATTCTTATAAGTTCGCCAGACTTATAAGAGTCCCCAATCACACAATGGGCTGCTCTATCTACGTTTGTTTGTACTTGGTCGTAAACAAGGTTGTGTTCATACTTCTTGATCAATTCGATCACTTCTTTAGTCTTCTTTGGAGATGGCCATCCAACTTCTCGGCACTCGGACTGGAATTTGTGCAAGAACATCAAGACTTTCTTGTATTGATTGACAGATTCAATACCTAAAGGAACTTCGATAACTTTCTTACTACCGTTCTTGTTAGAAGGAGCATTCTCAGCAACTATAAAAATGGGTTGATGATTAAGTATAATTGACGGATTTTTTTTATGTATTTCATGCAATTTTGTATTACTTTGGAGCAAAGTCAATTGTCTTTCTTCGTTATCTTCTGTTCTTAAGCCAATTTGTGTTTTAACATCAGTCTCTACTGAAACACTTTTCATATACATTTGCTTGAAAACAAATTCTTTGAAGAAAGCAATAACAAATTCAGTAGGCCCAACAGTGTATGGATACTGAAAATCAACAGGATATCTGTGTCGGTTTTTTCTCACAAAAGACCTTCAATTTAAGTAACATTAAAAAATGAATACAATCAATACAATATAGATTCTTATTCTATTGAGTTGAGACATACCTTCCAATGTTCTAAGGGCATTCTGTAAATTGCAGCAGTGCTGGCACATACTTTCATTGGCAAAGCCTTAAGTGCAAGCTCAAACTCAGACACATTGATTGACGAGCTACTTTGAAGAGCAACAAAGGCATTTGAGCCAACAGAAGTAGACAAATTGGCTGAACTGAACGATTCAGCTTGTTGTGAATGAGTATTGATTACTGCTGAATCTGAGAGTAAGACTGAAGGATAAAATAATATCCTCAGCTATTCCAGTCAAACGGATCTCCCTTTATGATATTATCTAACACACAGATCATCATACACATAATTGATTATTTATTATTATCACTATGACATGGGATATACAAATACATATACATTATATATATGGCATCATTATATTTCATCTACATATTTCTTTTATTATACAAATACTTAATTGAGAGACTACAACTACAACTATCTAATATTATGAAACATTACCCGAGTATCTGGGTCGGAATACTAAAATACTACCAATAGCATAAATGCTCTTCTTTACCAAAACTCTTGGACTGATCTGACTGGAGAAGTATCATATCAATTGGTCTTTCCGGATCTTTTCAGAAAAACAATACTCCTGGAAGATGACTCATCGTGATAAAGATTACTTAAGCACACACTGAATTACAAATTAGAAAAACATATAAATATCAGTAGATAGTTCCGTATAGAAAGACAATCGAATTTTATCATTCTTTACTTTTCTTTTGAAATAAACAACCTACACAAGTTCTCACGAATTCTTTTGTCTATATTATATTTTGCTTTATTTTCTCCCCACAACACAGCTGTTGAATTTTCAACCAGCATAATCCTTTTTGATGGTTGACCCCTACGAGCTTTCTTAGGCACCTCTTCAGAAATTGCAGCAATACTAGTAGGCTATAAAGATATATTGTTAATATTGGTGTGCATTTTTTTGCATATAATCTATTGTCTGTTTTGTTTATACTTGAATTCCACTAGAAATCTCAGCTTCTTGTTGCTCAATTAAATGCTCTAGTTCTTCCAAATCATGCTCATTAACAAAGCGTCTCTTAAAAGCAGTGATATTAGTAGGCAAGGGCAACATAATAAATAAGTTTTTGAAAGAAAAAGAAAAATTTAATTTTAAAAGTTAATCAAACTGTGGGCAAACCAGTAATTTCAACTTGCGAGTTGATAATACTAGAAAGTTCCAGCAGAATCAATAGTATTCTCAGCTCGACTTTCAGTTTAATCAACTCGCTACTACCATATTTGGAAATTTTGGAGTAAAAATAAAGACATTTCATTGGAGGATCCCATTTTTTATTTCCAAAAAAATAAAACGAGTTACGATACTGTCATGAGCATGTCGTTTCTAGAATCTGAATTCTAATCTAGCCAATCCAATTCACTCCTTCTCAGAAATACTACACTTTGCTAGAAGTTTTCAATACCTGGTAACTTCTAGCAAAATCCCTTTAAGATAGTAGAAATACAAATTGCTTCATTGAAATAAAATATTAGTCAGTTTGCTATCTAAGCCGTTAAACTATCAGCATAGGCATAGGCTAAGTGAATTCCCAAATTTGTGAAAACATTGTAACCCCAATATTTCACTTCCCTTTAAAGCTGAACCTTATTCTCTGGATTCTTGGAGACATATTCATCTCATATTTTTCAAATTCTATAACATAAAATATAGAAGAAGGCCTTTGACTAACATGAATTACAATGGCAACCAGAAACATAAATTAGTTCTTTTTAAAACTCATTATATTGGACATGATATCAATTATTAACATAATACATCACAGAGTTCAGTATAAATAAGAGTGTTCGTCTTGAGTTACTTCACTTATATTCTTCTTTTACCTCTACTGTACTCTTACATATAAGCAAGCATGGTTCCAACTACACCCAACAAGCTGACATTTAAGCCGTACAACCTAAAAGCTGAGAAAGACAAGCTTTTAACCATCAGAAAAGCACCAACCCCCCTTTCAAGCCAAAGGGAAAGCAATGAAAATGGACTCCAGACAAGGAGCTTGCACTAATGCAAGAGTACGCGAATCTCTTCCTACCAGCCTGCCCAAGAGCTGCTGTCACAAAAACATGAGACAGGATAATCAAAAGGGTAAACGCATGTGCCCCGAATGATATACCACTAGAGTATAATGCCTGTCACTGTGCAGTTAAGAGAATCAGCAACAGCTACAAGCCTTTGTTTGGAGAGTATGAACAGAGTAAAGCTTCAGAAAGTAACCGACATAGAAGTGCAATTGAAATAGCTGCACTTGATGTCATTGAAAAGATATTTTTCATATAACTTTAGTATAACTTATACAGCAATTATTAACTTTAAATGACTTTGTGAATATAGAAAAAGGAACATGACAAGATAAAGGACAGAAACCAAGCTACAGAGATTGAAAAGTATAAGAGGAAAGAAAGTGGAGAGCAGTTGATGAAGGAGAACTCTAATGCAGCATTGGGAAAAAGAACGGAGAAGATGCTGGAGTACCGGTGTAAGACAAGCAGCAATGACAAGGGCAAGGGCAAGGGAAAGAGTTCAGCTGCAGGCGAGATCTTGCCTGTCATGGATCCTACCACCAAGCCAAGTGGCAGCAAAAGTGCTGTAATAGAAGGTGAATACAAAAAGTATTTGAAGGAGGAATCCGAGTTCCAGACAAAGATGGTAGGGAATGTAGAGGACATGAAACATATTCTATTCGCCACGTCCAAAATCATTTCTAATATTGAAAAAATGGCGGAAATGCTTGTACTCAAAAACAAATAAAAAAATAATATTTGTTCATTTATAAGGGCTGTACAAAATACTCATCAAAGTCTTTTCCATCTATCTTTTCTCATCTCAACCTTTGTATATACTCCTCTAGTTGGAGTGGTTGCAACCTAAAGTAGAAACTGGTCAATACTGAACTATATCTTAAACAATGTATCAAATTTTTTAACATAGTTGATAACTGATAAACTCTAACATGGTTTGATTTGCTGATCTTCATTGCATATCTGTACTTACAGTACTTAAAGCACTTCTCCACATCTGCAAACTCCCACTCTACCGCAACCCAAATCTTTGACATGCTCTTGTTGCAATACTGTTCATGATCTATCACTATGACAAATAGGGGCGGTTTCTTGCATTTGTGACTTTGTTTTTGGCCTATAATAATTAAAAAAACACCAAAAATTCAAAATGAAACAAGAAAATCTATGTTTTTTGAAAAGGTTGACAAAAAGCAGATTGACCACCTAAAATTAAATCTCCTGATAGACAAAAGTACATTTTAACTACAGATTTTACATTTTTAGTAAATGTAGATTGCAATTGATCACTATTAAAAGTCAGAGGTAAAATAGAGAAAAATATTTAAACTTTTTGCTGGGAGGATAAAATATGTTAAGACAATTTGAAAAAAAATAATGTATTACAAGAAAAAAAAACAAATTATAGGTCTGCAAGAGAACCAAGTGACAGTTTTGGGCCGCGGTTAAGCTCTGGCCACACTACATATGTTGTTGCTGTTGTTGCTGTTGTTGTTATTGTGTTTATAGTCGCGTCCGACTTCACCAAACCAACTAATTCTTTGACATCTGCCAGGTGAACTACCATTGGCTTCATTTGCCTATTGTTGATGACTGGTATACTATTTACCAAACGAACTGCATAAACATTGACAAGGACAAGCAGCCACCTCTTGTTATTGATCTTGTGCTCAAAGAAAATGACGATCTTCCCAAAGAAATCCTTATATATTGGAGAGTAGCTCTGCCCAATGTTGCGGTTCTCATCAGCCTGAACCTGAAGTCTGACGTTATGTGCCTCTCTTACACAATTATGGTCGAGTGTAGAGTCAATAACACAACCATTTACAAATGCCTTATGGCTTGTTTTAATGGCTGCTTCAATCATACTACACTCTTCTCCCTTTGATTCGTAGAACTTTTGAAGAAGCTCTGGAAGACAAGAAATGCCTCCAAAACTATCAACAATTGTTCTGTTCCTCAAAGGCCCCCAGAACTCAATGTCAGAATCAGTACCAACATTACTACCTTCTTGGTCAATTGGCCAACCAGCAGAGGGATTGTCATACTGAAGGAGAGTTGTTGCTGTTGCTGTTGCTGTTGTCGTTGTTGAATTTTCAACTCTCATCTGTCAAATATGTGTCAAGTCAAGCATGATGCTGCCAGTGTTGATTCCAGTTGCTGAATTACTCTTCATTACTTGTGAGTATTCCCTAATTGCCCTCTTGACAGATCGTGTACTATATGCTATGAGGGGGCCATACCCTTCTATAATCATGGGATAGTGCTGCAGGAGGTGCTAGTTGATTGTAAAGAGCTTGAGCTGGACCTCTCCTTTAGCTAGCAAGGCTTCCAGATACATATTCCATGTGACAAGATTATTAAAAAAAAAGATAAGTTAACACAAGTTATAAAACAATAATATTAATTATTATTAAAGCTTACGTTTTGATTAAGGTTTGTTCCTCTGCTGATAACTCTCAGCTCATGAGTAGGTTGCATATCTGCATCAGATCAAGCAATGCTTTGTAGGTAGCTTGGTCACAGACATGCTCTGTCACAAGCGTGGGGATGACAAACAAGAGGAAGTCAGCCCAGTCCACAGCTCAGAAGTACCCTGATCTTGTTGTGACATTTATCTAAGCACCGTGGAAAGACGTTAGAATACTTCTTCTAGTGGACACCATGGCAGTGCCAATTTCTTTTTGAGCTGCAAGGGAGAGAGAGAGGATGATCTTTTCCATACTTGCCACACACGAGCCCCCAGACCTGTTTGGCAATGCCATGACAAATGCCATGCATTTCATCCAATGCAAAAAAGAACGGACCAGAGAAGGAATTCAGTAATGAGAAGAGAGATTGGCCAGTTAACTCTTTTTTGCTTGATAATGCCACCTCATCAAAGTACTTGAAGCTTTCCAGTGTGCGCATGGTGATGGTAGATGTCATTCTGAAATATTGGCCATGACCAGGAGATTGGCCCACAACGTGGCAGATGCGGCAGCCATCCTTACTCATATGGCCCACATGACAAGCCATCTTTCCCAGAGCTGGAATGTCGCCAGTTGTCATCAGTACATGGACTTTTGCACAAATATCTCCATATGGTGTCTTCACAACCATTCCACTGGCTCGGAGAACCCGAAGTTCTTTCATGATTGGCTCCAGGAATGACCAGAAGTTGGCGGGTGCTTTGGGACCAGGGATGATCGCAACTTGGATCATACGGCTGCACTCGTAGCAGATCATTGGGGGCAGGTTGAGGTTGGTAACGTGGACAATGGTTACCAAGCCTGGAACACTATGGGGAGCAAACCCATTGACAGACAGCGAAATGGCAATGTTGTTTTCACCTGAGAAAAGATGTTTTTTCGACTGGTATGCCTGTCCATCAAAGACATCAGCAATGCTGCCATCAGCCTTCTGTGTATGGTGGTAGCAATACAACATCTCTTTCCTGGTATGGTCGTTGGCCAAAGCAACTGCAAGCTGTTTACCCAGAGGAAGCTGTATCATTGTGCTTACAGGAACCAAATTCTTGCCAGCGTCTTGGCTTCCATCACTGGCCTTGTAATGAACCTCGTCACAATGCGGACACTCTATTTGCTAATTTTCATTATACAACATGCACCCATTGCGACAGACGTGATATGTATCCTCTTCAACACTGAGAAAGCGGGAAAGAAGCTTGGTACCAAGCTAAGGAGAGCAAGCTCTGTACAAAATCTCATTTGACGTGCTGAGAATATTGTTAAAGTGTTTTGCAAGGCTAATATGGGCCTTCTGGGAAATGCCAAACTCCTTGACGATCTTCATAAACTCGAGATTCTTAGCATCATCATAGCCAGGAACAGGAGCAGGAGTACTAAAGTCATAGACCAGCTTGGAAGAAGCATTTTCAACGTCCTCAACCGCCTCTATGAATGTTGAGTCATTGTTCATAGAAACCTCCTGATCAAAGTCATACTTTAATAAGGTAAATAATAATTAGTATAATGAATGCATTTACACATATATATTTCTTACTATGGGCTCATCAATGACCATGTTGATGTTTTCTCTATGTAATTATTAAATTAAATCAAAGGTTAATATGTTTTATTTAATAGTTTTATTATAATGTATATGCTTACTCTACGGATGAACCATTGGTAAAATCCAAACCATGGTGATTTTCTCCAGAAAGAGAAACGGATTGGACATTTGTCTCAGTCAACTCTTTCAAACAACTTATCCAGGCATTGGACTTTGCATTTTCTAGCTTTTTCTTTGCTTGAGAGATGCGTGTGGCAAGCACTGCATTCATGAGGGAAAGTATTTCTGGTTGAGTTCATTTTTTAATAAGAGGTAATGTACTTGTATATATAAGTAAGAGCAAATATAATTGCTTTCTGAATACATATCTTTATACTTAATTATTTTAAACAATGACGGCATGGATTATTCAGATGTAGACTTAAAAAGAGTAGACTTTATAATGTATGCCATCATTACAAAATTACTATATTAATCATAGCTCTTATTGAAAACAACCAATAGATGTGTTCAATGAATACAAAGCTAATAATAACTCTTGAAAATTTTTTTCCTTTCCTCTTTTCTCTATAACAAATCTGTATTTCTAACTTTTTTTATTATGAGCAATATAGATCAAACAGTTGTACAATTACTTCAAGGCATACATAACACCTTGGTTGCCTTACACAAGGACATAAGAGAAGTGAAAGAAAAGTAAGATGCAATGCAAATTGAAATAACAAGCATGAGCAACAAGTTGAATGTACCTCAAGATCCAGAACAAGTTATCATAACCTCTGTTAAAGTAAGTAATTAATAAAATAACTATATTTCTATGTATTGACTCTAGATAGTATAGGTTTCTACTGGCCCCATTCCAAGACCAATAGGCAACATACGAGGCATAACTACGAAGCATGTTCATGACATGATGGTCAAAGATCTTGGAATCCAACTAACCAAGGAAAGCAAGTCAACACTTCAAACTTGTACACATCTGGCATGTGACCAACTTGCCCATCTTCCTTCTGTTCAGTCTCTGGGACCTTCTTCTAGCTGGCAATCTATCTCTCAAGTAGACAAAAAGAGGGTTTGTGACAATCACGCTAGTGTTTTCAAAGAATGCGGTATTGATTTTGTTGTAAATGAGTATTGACTACTGCTGTAATTGAGAATAAGTCTGAAGGAAATAATATAAGGCCTCAGCTATTCCAGTCAAAGATGTCTACCAATTACTTTATTATTTAACACACAGGTTTAGCATGCATGCTAGTGATTATATTTCATATGATGATATCACCATAATATGGGATACACCAGTGGATTATTATAAGCATAATTATAACTCATAAACACATTTACTTTCGATGTTAATACTTCATTGGAACTACACACATTTATATAATTAATCATACATTAAGGCTATCCTTACAGACAAGACGACGGGACAATATTTTGAGGACAATATTTTCATCTCTGACGTCAGAGATGATTAGTGTAACAATCCCATTTTTTTGGGGGGTCAAATCTGAGTATTTCGTAAAAGTTTCAAAAAATATTGATTATAAAAAAAGTTGACAATTGAGATAAAAATTGATAGAAAGATAAAAGTTGATATAAAAATAAATAGAGATAAAATATATAAAAAAAAAACTACAAAAATAAAATATTCAATGTTAATATTATCAATGCCAATTCAAATACAAAATATATACCTTAGTAATTAATACATGATCAAGTTGTCGCTTAGGCCATATCTTTTGACTATGGCTTTGTGGAAAGGATTTATTTTTGGTCAAGTGAAGTTTCTGATAGGTTTACGTTTCGCAAGGAGAAAGTGGTTGATGTCCAAGATGATGATTATTGGTTCGAATTTTTCTGGTGTGGTAGTTAATGGAACGAAGAGATAGTCGCCTGTTTCTCTTGGAGTGTTTCAATATACAGCTACTGATCTATTGAACCCATCTGCTACAAGTTGTAGATGGTCAATCGTTCCGAACCAATGTTGCTGTGGGAGGGGTGATCTTTTGTCTTTGAGACTGATTATGAGTGGGTTTGTGGATGCAGGCATGTTGCCATTCTCCATTCTTCCCTGGTAATATATATGCTGATACTTTAAGTAGGCTTCTAGCATATTTTCTTTAACTTCAGACCATTTCTCCTGGTCCTGATATATCTCTATTGCTATTGCTTGATATCCACAGTTGCCATCTGCTTCGGGAGAAAAGACTTCAGTTATATGTTTAGGAGCAATAGTAAGATTTGTTAATATTGTGTGATCGATTGGCAAGCCAAGATTGATGATATTTTGCAAGACTTTTTGCTCTTGAGTTGAGGATATTTGTTTTCTAGAAAATAGAGCAAAACTTGAGTGAAATAGATTTAAGTAATGTATTATAAATGAATACTCACTTTTTTTGTTCTTTTGCTATTTTAATTTTTTTTGTATCTTTTTCTTTTTCAGCTTCAATGCAGTGCTTTAATGCAATCATTTTACACTTTGTATTTTTGGGTCGGCCTTTGATAGCTTCCACTATTGTTGGACCATTAAGATCCTCAAGTTTCTGCTTGGTCATTTTTTCTAGTATGTTTTTTACTAAATTATGTATATCTATTTGTTCTTGTTTGCTGTGTGTACTGTGAAAGCCTTCATGAACAAGCTCAAGATCGTGATCAAATTGAGGCGATATAGTTGTTATTTTAGCAATGTTTGCTGGTACTGGTTCTACGTTGTTAATTGTCAAGTGGTCTATATACAATTATATATTATATGAGAAAATAATGTTATAACTATTATATGTATTACCTTCTCCTTCTAGATAATCTTTTCTCCAGCGTCTTGGAATTAGGGAGATTGGAATTGTATTAAAAGTAGCAAGTGTATGATAGCATGGTAGGAGATAGTTGTAATGTAAGAGGCATTTGCACTCTTTGGTCAATTTTTCAGGTATGATTAATTTGGTCCATTGCAAAGCGGCTAATTTTTTGGCAAATGACATTTAGTCTTGCTCTGTTGACTTTGTCACACACAACTTCTGTGCTCTCTCAGAGGCACTCTGTCATTAATCTGCATTTACAATCATCAACCTATTTAATATACAAATATATTATAGCAGATAATTATAATTAGAGAACTTATTCAACTAGCACATAGAATAAAATAAGATAATGCAAACTTATCAGTTCCTGATACCACTTTTTCACTTTTAGTGTCACTGTCATCAATTTACCAGAAGAGGTACCAAGAGAATGCTTGAGGGAAGCATGTGCACTTTCTGCACGGTTGGAGGTATGATTTCCAAAGTGAGGGTATTTATAAACATACATGTTTACCCAGTTCTCCTTGTCTTTCATTTTTCTAGTAAATTATACAAAAATTACCAATTTTTTATAATTAATAAGCCATTTTTGTCAAGTTCAATGGCTCTATATGTACCTTTCAAGGAAATTACTGGCGGTTTTCCCCTGATCCTTGCAATTCTCCTTTGCAAGCTCAAGGTACCCATCCGTCTCTTTCTTCACTTCTTTGGGCGTCTCGCACTTCAAAGCAATCTTGTCAAGAAACCCTGCCAAAGTCTCCAAAAGCTCTCTCTTCTCACTGCTCTCTTCTCCCTTCATCGTCGGTAGCAAGTCTTTTTTGAAATTATCTTTTATATGCTTATAGCATAAGACTTGCTTTGACTCAGGGAAAACACAGGTAATTGCATTTTGCAATGCTTTCTCATTGTCAGTTATAAACATATTAGGAAGAAGAGGTGTGTATGTGTTTGTTTGTGTTTGTGTTGTTGTTGCTGTATTGTTGTTACTATTGCTGCTGTTATTGTCTTCGACATCTGGCCAAACTGCATCACAGAGACAACGAAGTACCCAGAGATAATTTTCAACAATTTCGTGCTCTACCCAAACACCAGCAATAGGGAATGTCTTTAATGTTCCGCGAGATTTACCAGTTACATTACTGGTACCAGCAATATTGACAAATGTCATTCTATGGCTATTTGTCTTATATGTAGCATTGATGATTATTGTCTCAGACATTCTTCGCGCTTCCTCAATTGCATCCTTGTGAACAAAGAAAACCATGTTGATTCTTTTGTCATCTGTATTATCAACAGTATAGCGGATATAGAAGTCCAGGTCTTGTAAAGTGGTAATAAAACTGAACATCTCCTTTCCTTCATAATCTTTTCCAAAGTGCTGCTTGATGTTCTCAATGTCTTGACATACAACATTGGTGTATCCACATATCTTCAACCTGTTGAAGATGGTTGATACATCATTGTTATTCTCCAGATGTCTTGTTACAAGGGCCATGGCCTCAGGCAAAAGTTTTTGGTGCATAGCGTATACCCTATGACCTTCCTCAATTGGATGGTTATGTTGTGCCTTGCACAAGTGCACAGCAACTCTTCCGTCTTTTTTCTTAGAGGCGTACACAAAGTATTGGCAGCCATGCTTTTGTGTATCCTTGACACGTTTTCTTTCCCATCCAGGAAGGGGACTCTCTTTGCTGGCAGAGGTTTCTAAAGCAATCTTTGCAGCCTTACGAGTGTCTCTATATTTGCCCGCATGCTTACAGATTATCTTTATGCGAGTTTCTGATGAAAACATAGTGGAAAATGCAATATTATGCGTGGCACCATATGCCTTGACAGCTTCACAAACAGCTACAGTTGAAGAAAATTGTCTTCCAACAAGAAAGATAGAATTAAACTCGGTCGAAGCAGTATTGTACTTCCTGGAAGAAGTCTCACTGACAATGACAAGGTTATTGGTGTTGTTGGTGTTGTTGATGTTGCTCATGTTAAATGTTAAAAAAATTATGCGCTGATGTTGTAATAAAAAAAGGGTAGTGATTTTATTGGCAATCCGAAGAACCATTTATCTAGTCGCTCCCCCCAAAAAATGGGATTGTTACACTAATCATCTCTGATGTCAGAGATGAAAATATTGTCCTTAAAATCTTGTCTCGTCATCTTGTCCGTAAGGATAGCCTACATTAATTATCTCAAGATCACGTTGCTCTGATTAAGGCTCAGATAGAATTGATTATCTGACCCCAGTCATATAATTTTCCCAATCCAAAATAATATAAATAGCAGTAGTAGTTCAGTATCTGATTCTTGAGACTCACACAAAACTCAGGTATTTTTCGGCGGGGTTTTAAAAATTGGCAGTACTTTTTTGAAAAAAGAAAAGTATTTTTCTGTTTCCATATAATCATGGCTCTTCCCATTACTCCACCAGATTCACTTGGGGACCCCCCCCCCCCCCCCTCAACTTTCAGCTCACCCTCACCTCACTCCACCACCCCATCCAGCCCCACCACCTCACAACGCATGTACTCGGTCGCTGCTACTCTTGCACCTACTGCTCTTCTTCCTCACCAACCTCGTATCATATATGGCGATTCCATTGATGGGTTACCACGCATCTGGTGTGCTGGTACCACACCCCACACTGTTTTTTATAACGCTCCTCTTCCCACTTCTCCTCTCCACAATGCCTTCTGGCATGCCCTGAAAAGCTTTGCTTTTGCAGACTCTATCATAAAAGTTACTCTTCCCAGTCGTTCTGCTCCTACTGCTCTCAAGGTCCAATTCCTCGACGCTGCTTCCTGTGCTATTGCATGCGCGCATCCTATTTCTGTTTCTGATCAACACTTCCCAGCCTGTATTGCCGTTGCTCCTGGTCACAAGGTATATTGGGTAACATTGTCTCAACTCCCTGGTGTTTGTTATCCTGATTTAGTAACTGGACTTCAACAGTGCCTTGCCCCTTTTGGAATTGTACGCGAAATTGTGATCTGCGAGAGTTATACCTTTTTCGATGGCACTGGCAGTGTCCTCCTTGAACGACCCAACCCACCAGCTCAGCAAGTCGCTAAGCTTGCCTACGAGATTTCTTACAACGACAACACTACCATCCTTAGAGAATGGGCACATATGGGCTCCCATTGCAAATACTGCAAACAAATGGGCCACGACATCGATGCCTGCCCTGCACGCTCTTCAGAAACACGCACCTGTCACAGCTGCAACAAGCCTGGCCATTTGCAAGCTAACTGTCCCCACGTCTCCGAACCTGCTCGTAGGTCAGCAACCACTAACAAACGCTCTCGCCACCTCAACCGTGTTCCTCACCAGGATCGCATTGTGCTGCCCCGCCCCCTGACAACTAATCTCCCCACTGGTACATCTGCGGATTCCATCCACAATCCGGCTAACAAAGCTTCATCTTCTCTTCTGCCGATTGAACCACAACGCAAAGCCAAGGTAGTCAACCATGCTGAAGAGGAAACACCATCCGACAACACCGCCTATATTGTAGATCCTGAAAACGACACAATGCTCGACGCCCTTCCAGAACAGGTAAATTCTGACAAAGCCCAATTGCAACAGGAGCCTGAGAAGGCCGCCGATGAGTAGGCTCTCCTGGAGGCTATTCAGGCTACTGAAACTGAAAGAGTACGTCGTCTTACCCGACATACGCCCAACCGCAACACGAGACGCAGTCTTTCCACGTCCCCCACACGCAGGAACACTGCCTCTCGTAACTCTTCGCTCTCCCCTCCACCCCAGTTCACCCGTCAAGCCCTCGGCGCAGAGGCCAAATCTAACCAATGATTACCATTGGAACTATGAACTGCAGAGGCCTCCCCAAGGTGGGACGACCCGAAACACGCTCATTATTTATACGCCACTTACGTTCGAAGGGAATTGATCTCCTCGCCCTTCAAGAAACCCATGCCCACTCTATTGCTCTTCAAGACACATTTACTATGCAATTCCAATCTTCTTCTTCTCTTTGGTCTCCTCATTGTGGACTTGTATGCCTTTCAAAAGATATTATGCTTACTGATCCATTGTTTAGTATATGCGGCCGCTGCATCACTGCTACGGTATCTCACGCACAGTCTATGTTCAACTCTTTCCGTATCTGTGTCATTTATGCTCCCGCTACTTATCGCAAACGACATTCGTTCCTCACCTCTCTTCTTCACAATCCTCTCTTGATACCCGCGTCACCCACTAATATGATTCTATTGGGCGACCTCAATCACTCACTCACTACTACCACCGCCCATAGCACTCCACCTCGCCCATGGCTTCAATTTCTCACCGACCGCCTTGTGGACTGTGTGACTCCCACCGGCAAGGTACCTCAACCTACCTTTCACCGTGGGACATCATCCTCCACAATTGACTACATATTCGCCTCCTCCGACCTTGCTTCTTGTGCCACCTCACACTCGGTGGAATATATACACTCACAATGGTCTGACCATTGTCTGGTCACAGTCGTACTCTCCCTTCCTTCTTCTCGGACCAGTGGTAAAGGCCTTTGGCGGGCGAACCCTCGCCTTGCTCAGCTCACTTCCTTCCAGGACGAACTTTCTGTCTTTCTTCACACCTTCGTTCCCACTCTCCCCGCCTCCAATTCCCCACAGACAAACTGGGATTTAGTCAAGTCTGAAGTGACTAGATTCATTAAACGTTTCTCTCGTCGAATCTCACCTTCCCTGTCCACTCTAGAAGCACAACTTCAAAGTCGGCGTGATAAGTTGATTCTTCGGTTTCGCCATCAACCCGCCCAGAACTTTCAGCTTCCTGTAATCGAACGCAAGCTCCAACAGGTTCAACTGGAACGCGTAGAAATTCTTGCTCTCCGGGCTGGCCGACAATGGCGCGAACAGGGTGAAACCTCTGCCGGTTTCCTTAAACGCACCGTTGCTACACGTCAGTCCAAAAAACTCATCACCAGCCTACGCCATCCTGTTACCGACTATCTTTGCACTGAGCCTGACAGCATGACGGAGGCTGCTGCCGCCTTCTATGAGACTCTCTACTCTCCTGAGCCCATCACTTCTGCTGCTGTTGACGATCTTCTCCAGAATCTTCCTGACAATCTTGCCCTCACTGATCTCACTCAACATTGCCTCACTCGCAAATTTTCCCTCGACACTATTCGTCAAGGTGCCTCTCGATCCCCCAATGCCAGTAGCCCTGGTCCTGACGGATTGCCATACGAGATTCTACGACTCATACTTGACCACCCCGAATGCTCCACTCTTGTCTCGCGTGTATATAACGAAGCTTTGTTGGATGGTGTCTTTCCCCCCACTTGGATGTCCACCTGCGTGTGTCTTCTCCCGAAAAAAGGCGACCTTACCTCCCTTCGGAATTGGCGACCCGTCGCACTTATCAACACTGATGCTAAGGTCTTCACTCGTCTTCTTAACTCTCATTTGATCCCTGTTGCCACTCCTCTTGTCACTCCCTACCAAACTGGATTTGTTCAAGGACGATTTATTGCTGATAATGAGATGCTCACCCGGATGGTCATGGCTCAGGCACTTCAGGAAAGCTCGACTGGAGTGGTTCTTCTTCTTGATCAGGAGAAAGCGTACGACCGAGTCCACCCAGAATACTTGCGCCGAGTTCTCGATCACTTTCGCTTTCCTAAATCTATAATAACTTGTATCACCCAATTGTTTTTCTCTACACAGATTCAGATCAACGTTAATGGCTTCCTATCTCGCCCTCTCACACAATTGCGTGGCCTCCGTCAAGGCGACCCTCTCTCTCCCATCTTGTTCAATTTGGCTTTTGAACCTTTGTTGCGACGGGTTATAAGTGATCAATCCTTCCTCGGTTTTCGACCTTCTGTCCCTGATAGTGTGGCTACTATTCCTCCTATTAAACTTCTAGCTTATGCCGACGATCTTCTGGTATTTCTCCCAGATCCGGCTCACCTTGCTCGACTCCACACACATCTCACCACCTATTCCGCTGCGTCCAATGCGCGTATCAACCTCCACAAAACGCAAGCTTTCTCACTATCTGGTAGTCCTCTCCCCGATTGGACCTCCACCCTCCGTCGTCATAACATTACCAATTGGCATGACCGCACCTCGCCCGCACCTCTCCGTTATCTTGGCTTTCCGTTGATTCACTCCAAGGCTCAACGGGACTCGTTCTGCTCATCTCTTCTCCAAAGGATTGAGGACAGCTGCAATCTTCACTCATCTCGCTGTCTCTCCTTTCGGGGTAAAGCCACCATTCTAACATCTCTCATACTCTCTCAGCTTTGGCATGTTTTGCGTGTGGTCTCTCTACCTATGTCCTTCTTTCAGAAGATCAGGTCCATCATGGGTAGCTTCCTTCAACGTGGCACCTTCCCCCCGATTTCTTTGGATACTTTCTGCCTCCCACGCATGCAAGGTGGACTTGGTATCATCGATCCTAAGACGCAGCAGAGTGCTCTACAACTTCGTTGGCTTCAACCTATCGTCCACGCTCCTCGGTCCCCACCTGGTTTGGTCCCGCACTGGATGTCCGGATTGTTACAGGCTTCACTTCCATCTCTTTCTCCCCTATTTCCCCTTCTATTTCCAACTATGCGTCCTTCTGGATGGCAGGATCTTACCTTTCCTCTACATTTAGCCTTCGTTGCCATTGACCATCTGCTGCACAACTTTGATAATGTTATGGTAAATTCGACTACTTGCCTTGCTTTGCCTCTCTCAGTGGTCACCATTGTCCCTGCTTCCCAAGCACGCTTCCCCCCATCTTGGCAAGATCTTTTGGTTTCCCACCTCTACACCTTTGACCCTGCCCTGGCATCGCTACGGTCTATCTCCATCACCAGCAGCCATCCACGCTCTCGTGTTATTAATAAGTTCCTTGGCCAAGTTCAACTCAACACTCTCACATTACATTCAATAATCGTTTGTGCTTGTTGCTCTCCTCATGAACTGACCGAACAATATCCGTCTCTGCTCGTTCAAGATGGCACATCAATTGACTTGTTCCCTTTCTTTAATGCGCTCGTACCTTCTCAGACTTGGGCATGCCTTTCCACACGCACTTTCCGCGGGCTGTGCTCCCACCATCTCGTCCATGCCCGCTATTTCGATCCCCCTTGTGGCTCTTGTCATTGGCGGAAATTTTGGTCTTTCCCCCTTCCCCTGGTGGCTCGTAACATTTGGTTTCGTGGTCTACACGACAAGATTTCTTGCCGAGCCTGTCTTCACTTTTTGCTTCCTCTCGCCTTTCCCTCTCCTACCTGCTCTATTTGCTCTCTCTCCTCCGACTCCCAAGACCACTTCTTCTTCACTTGTCCTCTCAAAAACGCGGTGTGGATCGACATGTGGCTGGAATTCTTTGGCACAATATCTATCCCAACCGCACTACACAACGCTTTTCACTTCTTCTCTTTTCCCTCTTCCTTAAACTCTTCTATTCCCCCTTCTACCGTCTTTGGATGCACCCTCCTTGCGATATGGCGTCACCACTGGACTTTTATTTTTGACGATTCACCATTTGTTCCGTCTGCTGTTGTTGGTACGGCTTGCAAGACCCTAACCCGCATTTGCCCAGAATTAGACCTCGATCCTCTCTTTTAAAAAAACTTATACTTATATTTATTATAATTAACAAAAACAGAAACCCCCCAAAAACATTGAAAAAGCTAGAAAACCCTCCAAACAAATGCTGTGATCACTCTTTTGATTATCTTCTTTTGAGTATCACCAGACCCCCCAAGCCTAATAAAATGCTTCTTACAAACAAAAAAATGTTTCCATATAATTTTCATAAAAATACCATGACGAATACCATGATATATCGCATATCGGACTCATATGAAACGCAAGCTCAGATACATCCAATGAACAACGACTTTTGGCTTTTGGTTACTTATTATAGTCAATATTTATTTTTATATTTATTTTACATGTTACACTACAATATATTAGGAAGAGAAGTATAAATCCTTAGTGGTTCATCTAATAATAGAAAGATATCTTTATTTGCAAGGCATTTGAAGTCTAGGATTGGTTTACCTTTAACAAACAAAGACATTGGTTCCTGACAATGTCTTCTATACTTCCAATACACTATTCTACTTGAATGTGATTAGTTCTCTTCATAATGTATTTTTAGTACGATGTACTCTGATAGTTTTCATTAAAAAAAAAAGATATAAAGAGTACTACAATTAATAGAAAAAGAAACTACCTTTATAACAAACTAAACATTCTCATAAAGAGCTGTAAGTATATCTTGCCATAATTAATACGTTATTACTTCAAATTTTCAAAGACTTTATGAATAATGTTGTTGATATATTATACATTATTTTATTTCTATTTATTCAGCCTCAAATGAACAACGGAAACAACACTACCGTCAATGATCCAAGTCTTCAGCGTATGATGGACAACACATCAGCAATGTACAGTAGCAACCAATTGGTATTAGCTCAAAACCTGGACCAGCGCCCTACAAATACGACTGTTGTATCCAACATAATCGTAGATTTAAATTAAAAGTACAGACACTCAATAAATACGTACATTGAGTTACTGACAACTAGTAACGATACTAAAAGATATACCTTCCCTTATACAAGGAAATTACGTAAAGAACATACTAAGACAAATACTAAGACTCTAGTCAATAACACTAAAAACATAAGAACTAAATCATAGAAGATAATGGTAGAGAAACAGCGCTAATATTAGGGGGACGACATTTTCAGGATGGGGCACTACCTTTTTGATGGGAAACGTTGTTTTGATTTTACCGGACCACAAATTGTGACTTGCTGTCCGGTATCAAATAATTATATCTGGTCCCTAAGGATTCATACTTATCATAATAAAGATACTTTTATACAAGGCAGGATAATAGCTTTTTCTACGCTTCTTTCCTCTATTTAATTATGTCTTTTCCTTCTCCACTCATGCGTATTAGCTCACTAAATTGCCCCCAAACTTTGTGCATTCATCAAACTGTCTCCAGGCATATACCTCTCCTTCTTTAGGAGGCACGACCTGTCTTTGGGCAAAATGATAATAAAAAATCTTCTCATATAAAAAAATAGCTTTGACTAAATATAAAAGCGTTGTTTTATATATATAATTCTATACTTAAAGTTTTATACTATATGTAATAAATTAACTGATATATATATAGAATAATAAAAAACTATCTAACATGTTACTTCAAGACATTATATCCTAATAGAAAATGTCGTGCCCTACCCTGGAAACGTCGTCCCCCAAAAGTCACGACTTTTCATATCTTGCCTATCGAAAAAATACCTTATAAAATTTGAAATTTCTTTACTAAATACTTTATTAGGCTTATAATATCCTTTAATGTAATAAACATTACCTTTTGTTAATACTTATTTAAGATAAACACTAATAAAAACTGCTAAATCTTCTTCAGAAAAGAAAAACAAAGTCGCAAAAATGTCTGAGAATACATATAGTATTAATTAATTTTGCATATATTAAAAAGTATATCTAATAATTGTAGAATAAACGTAGTTTACATTAAAAAATATATATATTAGATAAAGTGACAGCTACTTAGAGTCATAATTAATAGTTAAACACTAATAAGTTTACTTCTTACTATAATTATGATATAATATTATAAGGCAAAGAAGCAAAAATAGAATCAACTTATTATACAAAAATGGTAACTAAAATCGAGTATTTGTAAGATATAAGATTTATTTGGCTCCCGTCAACAAATCACATACCTGTGGCTGCTAATGAGCCATATTTTCACGATTTAACTTGAGACATAAATCATATGTTTTCATTTTGTGTGATTTAAGTGGAAAAGATTATAATCCATATAATTTGCATTTTTTTTCAAAAACTTTCATAATAGATATAAAGGTAATGAAGCATTTTATGCCTAAGAAAGTTTACATAGCAGTTAAGTTATTATATTTTTATAAAATTCATGTTTTTATTTTTATTTTTTATTTTTATTTCTTCTGTAAAAACTCTTTCTATCATTTTCTCACAACATGTACATGAGATATTTTATCAAAAATACAGAAAATTAAAAAATATTCATAAAGGACCAAAAAAAGTTTTTAATTACATATATTCAGATAATATATGAATTCAGTAAAAGTTTCATAGAAAACAAATGAGAAAAAAGTAATTCTACAAGCAAATACAATATTTTATTTTATTAAAAAAATGCAAATTTTTGAGATATTACGTTAGTTTTCTCATGATCAATCTTTTCAATTCAACTAAAACTCCTAACATACATACATATATTTATATACTACTTTGATCCAAAGTTATAGAGAGCCAGCACTTGAATTGATGAAATAGATAGATGTAAATGCATAATATAACATATTTGAAGATAGTTTGGCTCTATCTGTGTAACACCACCCGACATTTATGCTTTTTAATTCGCTGGATATATGTGTAACTCGTAGGGTAAAGTACTTCCCACGAATGATTTCTATGAAAAAACAGAGCGGAGAGTAATTTAACCCAAGTGATAGATAGCTTATGTTGACGCAAAGAAACAAATTGATAAGATTTATAAAGGTAAAAAAAAAGATCGTCTAGCTAATAAAATATAAGAGTAAATGAGTATATAAATAATAAGTTGTCTAGCTAATGAAGTATAAAGAAAAATATAATAAAAATAAAAGAAAAAAAGAAGAAAAAAAGATTATGTTATAGTGAGATCAACATGTTCCTCTTGATCGGAAAGAAAAGAGAACATCGCATTTCTACGATCATACTTATTGAACTCTTTAAACTTGTTCCAGTAAGTATCAAAGTTGTCGGGAATCTGGTTTCTGACACAACCCAAAAAGAATAACTCAGGAATGGTTGGCCATTTCCTTGAGACATTGCGGGAGAGGTGTACTGTTGTCCAGTGGTTATTGTTAACATGATTGAAAATCAGAGGTTGTTGATGTTTTGATATGTTTTTGGGAAGGGTGAAGGGAAGGAACGATACGGAAGGGGTGTTGGGGTTGTCTGAGTAGACGCAGACTGGTCGCTTATAGGTGTCCGCAGCTAGTTGAGCACAGTCGGATGTGCTAAACCACATACTGGCATCTAAACACGCTGGGATGAAGTTGGAGTTGGAGTTGGAGTTGGTGATGCAGAGATCAGAACCATGCTTTATAATGTCTTCTAATTGCTTGACATCGGTTCCAAACGTGCTGGCGTAAATGCTGCTGTATTTTGGAAGGGTAGCAAGCATATCTCTTTTCACAAGAGGGAACTTTTCTTGATCTTTATAGATCAAATGGGCAAGGACCCGAAAACCACACCATCCATCAGCAGTAGGGTTAAACCCACCCTTAACGTCATCGACTATCTCATGAGAGACAGGAAAACCGGGCTGGAATTTAACCCTCTTGCCAACAGAGGTGCGATAGTCATATTGGTAATCTTCTTGAGCTGTAGCGGGTCTTTTAAACCCTATTTCTTTTGTGGCATCGACTAAAGAGCATATAAGTATACAACGATATTTCTCTTTATGGATTTAATTACACTGAAAAATGAGAAAGAATATTACCTGGGTCGAGAGGCTCTTGTTTTATTTTTTTTGTTTTGTTTTTGGTGGTATCGACTAAAAAGCATATTAGTATAAGGTTAGATTCCTTTTCATGAATTCAATTACACTATAAAATAAAAGCACATATTACCTGGGTCGAGAGGCTCTTTTTTAATTTGTTTTATTTTGTTTTTGGTAGCATCGACTAAAAAATGTATGTGAATATATGACAAGATTCTTTTTCATAAACTCAATTATATGTAAAATAAAAAAGCATCTTACTTAGGTCGAGAGGCTCTTTTTTGCTTTTGTTTTGTTTTTTGTTGTTTTTCGTTTTTTGTGTAGCTGCAGGCTTTCCATCTCTTGTTCTAGCTCTTAACCTAACCATTGCCTTAAGGCCGGCCTAGTATTTCAAGATACATATTAGTACTTTGTTATGTTATATTTTTTTTATCTTACATGACCAGACGAAACACTGATCTTCCTCCAGTTTGCCCGACCAAAGTCTTTGGGAAGGTATTTGGGACGTGCACCACCCTTTCTTCTGCCAGGATATTTTTTTTTTCTGAGGCTTGAAAGTTAATCGAAGGGTGCCCAGTTTTGCCTTCGAATTCAGAAGTAACCTTCTTGATCTTTTGAAGGAGGTTGGCCACTTGCTGGCTGCCCTCACAAGAGCGGAAAAGAGCCTCAAGCTTTACAATCTCTTGCATCCACTCTTCTGGCCTCTCGGCAATTACGTGCGCTGTACAACTTTCTTCGAAAGATGTCTCTTTTAGAACAGGGTTTATGATCCATCTTTCAGGAACATCATCAAGGGTGAGCTCCCTTCCAGCTGGCAGCGAGTGTCTGCAGGGCAAGCCGAACTCAAACCTGTTTTTGCAATGACAAAATTCATCGTCTCTATTGATCAAGCGAAGTTCTTGATCAATAACAAGCAATGCTCTCTTAGAGACTTTCATAAAAAGCCTGGAAAGCTGCTTGTTGCGGCCAACCAAGACATCAACAGTTGTCGATTCCCTGATTTTTATAGCATTGAAGTCTCTTTCGAGCCTGTCTACATAGGAGTTGATAGCTTCAAATGCAAGCCCCAAAGACGAAATTGCTGATATCCCTCTTTTCAAAGCTTGGTGTGCGCTCTCGACTCTCTGGGTAGTTGTACACCCAAAATGCATTTGCTGGCTGGTCAGGTATCCTGCCCACTTCTCCTGGCACTTTATCCATCTTTCGGCAAAGTAAACCGATGCATCTACCTTGGACCCTCCTTCGTCTACTTCGCAACCAGAAGATACTGCATTGAACTTCATCAACGCAACCTCGAAATCCCTTCTGGTACTGCTGCGAATCATGGAGTTCACATACTCCATAAGGACCTCTTTCTCTGCAACTGACTTGAGTTTTCCAGCGAAGGCTTTCTCAACGCTATTCAACATATGCCAGTAGCATAGCAATTTAACATTTTTTGGGAATACAATGTCAAGTGCATTCATTAAGGCCATACATTTGTCTGTTACAAATAGAGAACTGCTTTTCTTATTCTCAAAAACAAGTGCCTTGAGCTGCTCAAGGAACCAAACGTAGGTCTCCTGTTTCTCATTCGAAACCCAGGCGAAGGCAATGAGAAACGATTTAAGAGTGTCTCCCCCGAGGTTATGGACACCTTCCACGCATACAAGAGGCATTTCCAAATTATTGGTTGAGTAGGTGGCATCGACGGCCATGACTTCTGGGAAGCGACGGGCTCTTTCTAGTATCTTTGGGTGCGAGAAAAATACTCTTTCAAGAGATCCATATTTGCCGGCGTCATAGCGTACAAGATATCCCTTAGCTTCCATGGTTTTAACGAGTTCAGTACCTGCATCCTGAGAAGTGGAAGCAGTAGCACGAGCAAAAGCAGCATTGATATTGTTGATGTCATTCACATACAACTTATGGCTGACATTATCCTCTTTATTGATCGCCTTTTGGATCTCACGAGTCTTGGTTTTGGTCTCAACAAGCTTCATAATTTCCCTAGCATCATCGACAGTAACCTTTGACAAACGACCTTTCAAGGTAGATTCCAGGCAGTCATCATCAAGAGGGTGATTGTGGTAGCTTTCAATCTCATTGGTGGCTTTCAAAAGAAGATATCCTTTAGCGGCCTTCTTGTATGATATTTTCAAGAGATAGGGGCATCCAGTCTTTCCACTAGACGGAATTCTCTTGCGTTCGCTGTCTTCAATATTCCGTGTGTTCTTATAATGACCGCCCTTGGCACACTTCAAATACACTCGAGTTGGTTTACTATCTCTAGTTACAAGTGCAAAATTGTTGGCAAGTGCATATTCCTGCATCTTTGAAATTGCCATTGTCATGTCACTGTAACCATTAACTGGTGAGACAGGAAGAGGTTGTTGGACAGGATAATGTTCCTTTCCATTGAAAAAGCGGATTTCTTTATTGATAGGATTCATATTGAAGTGATTTCTAGAGAATACTTATTAACATCATGATTTCTAATTGCTAATCTGCAA